TTGAAATAATCACTTATACTTGATTTGCTATTTAATGGTTGCCCATTATCGGTCTTTAGAATTTTTGAAATTGGATGTATACTAGTAACAATATGATTATTACCTAATGCATCAGCTTCTTCTACTGGAATAATAACCGCAGCTAAAGAAAAAGCTTGTAAAAATGCCAAGAAGAAAAAAGATTGAGAAATATACATCTTATAGATATAAATAGAAATTGAAGAGCATAAAACAACTAATTTCTAGGTAACCACGAGATGTCTGTATTGTAATCTACATGCATGGCGCATCACGTCAAGTAAAGTTTACCTGAAATCTATTCTATTATTGAGTTTAGGCGTTATCTTTACTTTCTATATAAAGTGGATGATTCTTCTCAACAATAAACCTATCTTGCCACAGAAAAGCTCCCAAAAAATTATACCCAGATTTAATACCCCTACAAAAATACAATTATTAAAAAAGAATAATCTGAAATGAAAATAACTTACTCTATTTCCTTATTAACCAATTTCTTATATTTATTACCCTGTTTATCAAAACATTTACTAGTCAAAATATAGGATTGAACAAATCTTTTAATCGTTATCTCTCTTATAAAAGATAGATGAGCTAAAGTATCAACATCTTTTATTTCCAGTTCCCTATATTTAACAAGGCTATATTTGATATTTGCCAACATAGCCAGAAAACTTTCCATATTATCTTTCATTTCTATACTAAAATCACTATATTTACCTTCATTTGCCTCATTACTGTCATTACTGTCTGACGCAAAAACCAAATTTGCTACTTTTTCAAGTTTCATATTAAACCCCTGTATATTTCTTTCAGTATCAAAAAATTCAGTGGTACAAGGATTTAAACTTCCAATCTCTGATTTAGACTCTCTTTTTGTCTTAAAAAATTTAATATAAAAGGAATGAAGTAATCTATAAGTCCTAAATAATCTCTTCTGCTCCTTATCCTTTAGAACTGATTCTTTTCTTTCAAATTTAAATATTATATGTTTCAAAGCCAATCTAATCAGATGAAGCTTACTAAAAAGACTTTTTTCAGGTTTTGATAAAATATCATTAATCGTTAGTATAGTTGCTCTAATCATTGTTAGATTAACAAAAGAGTCTACTTTTTCTGTTTCTAATAACTTTGTTGATACTAAGTACTGATTTAACAAAGAAAATCTATTCACAAAAGTAAATAGTATTATATTAATCTTGTATTAAATAGAATAAAAACCTTTTATTTACTTACCCATGCAAATTTAACTTCTTTTTTGATTTATTTTGGAATATATCGAATGTTTGTTTCATTAAAGAGATTAGTTTAGGTAAACCCCTTATTTTCTTTGAGAATAATGAAAAATACTTTTTACATATTACAAAACTATCTGACCTTAGCAAATTTATTTCATTATCAATTATAATTACAGAAATCCACTTTTTCATAATTCTACTACACATCTTCATATCCATATGAGTTACCACTGATAGTTTGTCAAACAACTCATTAAGTTTTTCTGTATTCTCACTTAAAATTTTTGCTTCATATTTATGATCAAGAATCTCCTCTACCTCTCTTAAAAAATTAACAATTTCTTCATTTGTATAACTAAAAAAAATATGAATCTTACATTTATTCCCAGAATAATTCTTATTTTCTTTATCTTTATTTAGATTAATTCGTTTTATAATCCTCAATACACTAACTATATCAGATTCTGATTCATCTTTATTTGAATTACTAAAAAAAGATTGATTTACCTCAGAGGATACATTTGAATTATCTATTAAATTTATATTTGTTTGATATTCTTCCTTTAACTCAGAGGAACCACTTGAATTACCTATTAAATTTATATTCGTTTGATATTCTTGTTTTAACTCAGAAGAACTACTTGGATTATCTATTAAATTTACATTTGTTTGATGTTCTTGCTGAAAAGTATCTATATACTGCTGGTTTATATCTTGAGTTTGTATATTATGACCTATGGTATCTTGTTTAGCTAAAATACTTTCCATATTATTGGAATTATATATTGGTAGATTACTGTACAAATAATTATAACCTACTTCTACTGGTTCATAAGTATTCATACCAGGTATATAGCACCTCATCCCAGCCAATCTAACAAGTAGCAATATTAGCAGATATGCAATACATTTATTAGATATTAGCATAACGCTTATAACCTTGTATTCAGTCTTCTTGCATAATATCAAATAACTACACTCTTGGTTCTATAATAATAAATTTTAAATTATATCTAGCCTCTTAATTTATAGAGACTATTTACAATATATAAACTAATAGCTCAAATTCATCAATAATAGTCCATCTAAAATTAAATATATATTAAGTATTATCCGCCAAATTACAAGATCTACAATAAAACAACACTTTTGGCGGTAAACACACCATATAAGGTCAAACCTAGCCCCGGAATTATTAAGATTTACTATTATTACAAAACCCTATAAATATTAATAAAAAAAAAAAAAAGACAATAAGACTCTAAACCCAATCCTTTGCTTTCTTAATAAGTAAATATTATATTAAACAAAAATAACTCTCTAAAGGACAATAAAAGTCCAAATATAAAAGTACTTAATACCTCTTTAGAAACTTTAAGTGAAGATATAAACTACCAAATTAAAAAAATACTTTGTTACTAAAACTACATTTCTTTCATATTTCAAATAGTTGGAAAAAAGAAGACCAACTATTAAGAAAAAGCAGATATTTAAACCACTTTAGAATTTTAGCGCTACAATCTCATTTACTTGTGACTACTTAGAGACTTCTAGAAACGATCAAAATACCCCAAACAATAGCCCAGATCCAACCGACAAATGGTATACACAGTTGCAAAATACCAGTGACAATGTCAGGAGCATCATTATTCATAACTCCAATAATAATCATCCCCACCCCAAATAATATGCAATTGAAAATACCTAACAAAACATATTTTCCTTTATCTGTAACCGAAGGCATAGGAGTTGACATAGACTTGAAACGTTCAATTACAAGTCCTATAGTATTCGTCATTTTAGAATAATACTTAATAAATGTCCAATTTACTCTTCAAATATTTATAAAAAGTGACAACTGATCACAATGTTAATGGGCACACACCTTGCCACATCTTAAACAAGACACAATCTAGTGAGGGGGAAAATAACTCATTAATATATGGCGCTCAATGCGACAGGGCTTGTTGTAGTTGCTACTGAAAATTATATTTGCAGATAAAATTAGAAGCATGAAATTTATAAAGTTGTAACCTAAGTGTATAAAAATTAGAAATTAATCCATAGTTGATTATCTCTACCTAATAGTAATAGTGATTTACTTTTATTATTGTAGAGAAGGATATATATGGTCCTGTTTTTGACTAAGGTGTACTTTGTGGATGGATAATATTCTCAGTCGTAGCCTGTAGGTTACCAGATACTATATTTGGAATCTTTTTTCTAGCATGCCGAATATTGAGAGACTCCCCTACTATGTACTTTTTCCCACTTTGTACACTACAACCTTTACTAATTGCAAATAGATGAGGACCCTGAGAACCTCCACACAAACTTTGCTTATGTACATAATTAGGTATTCTATAATTAGGTGCAATTAATATATTTGATCTGTATTCAGGTATAGGAATGTTCTCAAGAGTTGAATTTAAGTCTCCATCTAAATTATCTTCAGAAATTGCATTTGATGAATTATCTATTGTAGATGATGATTCATTATGTTGAAGATCATTTTGAGTAGCAGTTGTCTCTTCGTCTATTAAATTTTTTTCAAGTCCTTGTTCTAAAGAATTTTTTATAGAGACAAATATTTCATTGTGTGTATCTGCCGCATTTCTTATTATTGCATTCTTTATATCTCTTAACTTTGTAGTGGCAATAGTGAAAGATTCTTCACTATTGCTTACAGCATTTGAAACTATATCAAAGATTCCATTCAAACCTTTAAAGAATTTATCTGAAAAATTAGCATACTTATCAGAAAGTGGTGAAGTACCTTCTCTTGCATATTTCTGTTTATTAACTCTTTGATTAATCCTATCTGTAGACTTTATATTAATTAACCCAGGATTTGTACCCTGTTTTGCAAATTTTGCACCTCCACCAAATAGTGAACCATCAAAACGAGCTGTTCTTGCTCCTCCAACCATACCATTTGAAAATATTTCTTTTTTTTTAGAAATATATTCTGCTTGCCGACGTTTAGATGGACTCATCATTATATCATATGCTTCTACTATATCCTTGAACTTAGCCTCACATTTTTGTCTTTCATTGACAGGATTCTTATCAGGATGCCACTTAATTGCTAACCGTCTGTATGCCTTCCTAATTTCATTCTCATTATTTATTTCTAAGGAGCTAATACCAAGTATTTCACAACACTCGTTAATTGTACGTTTTAAAGTTACCATATATATGGATAAGGCAAAGCCTTCAACTTTTATACTCTATCTATATACTCTCTTTATGCATAACTGTGTCATAAAATAATCGCTGATCTCAAATTTTTCTTTTTTTTTTTGAAATCTACTGCTATTCATTAAATAGACTAAATAGCTAAACAACACTAGACGTGATTACACGTCCATGTAATTAAATATTCTGTGTGTCCTACGTAGTATACACATATATGGCGCCTCAATATACCAATAACTTTACAAGTTCAAATAAGTCAATATTAGTCAAATTTTTCAACTATATTGCAAGGTCACAAAAATTAAAGAACTATAGGGATAGTTACACTTTGAAAGACACTTAGCTTTTGAATTTTTAGTTTTTTTTTATTAGTTCTAAAACAGAAATAAGAAAAAAAAAAAAAAAGAGAACTTGGCTCTTCGAATAATAATAGTACTTTAATTCGCTCGTAGAATATGTAGAAATTCAGAGTATTCGAGTGATTGTGACAAAAAGATACTTATGATCAAAACAATATATACACCTAAGTTATATATATTGTCTAATAGAAATGAATCGTACTTTATTCTGGATCTATATATATCTCCAGTATTCAATATACTATATTTATGCAGACGATATAATGTCATCATTATTGTATTCTGGAAGTGTTTATAGTCCTTCAGTTCCTTTGGCAACAATGAAAAATAATCCTAATAATATTCCAAGTAATCTCTTACCTAAGGCTAGAGTATCATCAAACTTTAAACAAGGTAACAGAAGGTGGTTTAAAGCTAAAAAAAGTGGAATGAAGTTTACACCACAAAAAAATATGGCTATTGGTAAGAAAGTTGCTTTGAATGTATCTGTTGGGGTTATATGGATGTATGAACCTGGACTATTAATTGCTGAAGAATTAGTATCACCATGCTTTGGTGTTATATTTTATTATCCAAATATACAAGTTTCTGTATCCAAAGGTGAACGATTTCTTGGTATATTATGCGATGCTAGAGTACATAAACCAATTTCAGATCAAAGGTTTAAGTGGTATGTAGCTATGGGAAATAATTTGACTTTTACTCCTAGAAGATATATCTATGAAGGAGCCTATATTAAGGAAGGTAGAGAAATTGGCTATTTGTCAAGACCAGCAAAAACAGTAGGGAAGGTAGCAATTAAAGCTAGAGCCAGGTGTTCAGGATATATCATTTTATGTAAATCAGGGCCTGTAGTATCTTCAGAAGAGTTTTTACGTATATCCTGTGACCAATCAACTAATGATAATGATAATAATGATAATAATAATAATTATTATTATTATTATAATCTACCCACTGATGGAGCTCATTCTTCATTACTATTACAATCAGATTTTGGAAAAAGTATTACATCTACTAGAGGACTTGCACAAATAAGTACTGCTGAAGCCGAGCTAGATGGTGAAAATATTCAACTTCCACAAATTATGAATCCTCTTGAATCAGAAGAATTACTAAATAAATCATCTAATATAGAAGATAATAATGAAACTACTATTGAATATTCTATGAATACCGACCAACAAGCTTTTTTAAGCAAACAAGTTTTATCTAAGGAAGAAGATATAAATCTTATAGAAGATGACTCTGAATACGAAGAAGATGAAGAGGATATTAAAGATATTGAAGAAGAATCTATACCCCAGAAGTGGAGTTTATCTCATCAATATTTACCTCAAGAAGAACCAACAAAAACACTTTTTTCAGAATATAAAAAAGTAGATGAAAAAGTTTCTAATCAACTTTTAAATAACCAAAAAACAGCTCAACCTAAAGACATTGATGAAGATAAAAAAGTATTTGAAAAAAATTATACTATGTTACCTAGATCACAAGAACCATCACTAGTAGATATTAGTGGAATTCATATGCCAATTCAGGTAACAGTTTCTCAAGTGGACACTTCAGCACAAGAATTACCTAATTTGGTTATAAAAAACAAGACTCTAAAGTATTCTAGAGATCATAAGACCTCAAAACTGATACAAACAGGCCAGATTATAAAAGAAGAGGAAATTAAGCACAATGAAGTAACAGCTACTAAACCAGATCCTTTAAATCAATTTGATAATCTAAGCGGTAGCCTAGTTGATGAATCTACTTTACATGGTATTTAGTGTAAGCCAAAGAAATTATAACAAAATAATATAGTATATCTCACATAGATAAATCCAAATAATATACCAGAAATAAATTTCTCCTATTTATATCTAGCTAATTGAGCTATTTTACTAAGTATAAGACTCAAGAATTTAGATATTTACTCCTATTCTTTATCTGATTGACTCACCATATCTTCACTCTGGGAGTTTAAACTTATAAATCCTGCTTTTTTACATGCTTGAGAAAATATATCTCTAGCAAAATTGAAACGTGAAGTAGAATCAAAATTGCTAGTACTCTTTATCTTAAAAAGAGTCAAAATTGCTTCAACACATTCTACAATTGTTCTCTTTGCATATACAACTTCACAATAATCAGATAGTACAACTCTATAGTTTATATGTTTTAAAGGAAGAAATTTATCAATGGTTGATTTTAATAACATGGCCTTATGATTATCTTCTTCAGAAATTTGACTACATATACTACCTCTATTTCGTAGCATATTTAGCATTTCACGCCTTTCTTCAGTCAATATATATTTTCCTCTCTTAGATCTTGAGGATCGAAAAACTCCAAAAGGAGCATATGCCCTATCATTTTGAAGTTCCCACTCTCCTATACTATAACCAACATATTGACATACCTGACGAAATCTTTGCCTAAAAATCTTAAGAAACAGACCCCATTGGCCATGGTAACGAGCTAATAAATCTAAAAGAATTCGTTCACAGTCTCCTGTACCATGATATGTTGTTTCAAGTAAATATATTCCTTCACATATATTTTGTATTGGCCACCCTATAGGTCCTCTTTGACCTGATTCACCTCTGAAACTAACTGCACCACCTTCTCCTGTACCACCCAATATACTAATCCAACCACTTTGCATTAACCGACGAATTGTAGTAGCTTTTTCTATATTCCTAGGATCCATTCGCCCAATTGCTCTGCACCAGTTTACATTGGGTTGTGCAGTTCGATGTCTTGGAGTTAGTCCTTTGTATCTTGAATTACTTAATCTTAGTATTTCCTTGAATTGAACTTGTGGTTTCATTGTTGGAATTTCCATAGCTAATATCATATCTTTATTTGGAGATCCATACAATTCTAATTCTTCTTCACTTATTTGAGGAACTGGCTCCCCAAATCTTGCGTGGATTATCATTGGCCGTTGTTTCTCTTCAACTAGTTCTTTCGAAAACTTCCCAAATGTAGGTTCTAGTTCTAAATTATATATATCATTGTCTAAATCCATCATATGTTGACTTTTTAACACAAAATTATCAGTTAACTCAAAATTGTCTATAACATTATCTTCCAATGGTGAAAATACTATATCGTCCTCATTTATCGTACCACTTTCCAAAGTTCTCTTTAATACAGGGATACTTACCTCCTGTGCTTTAAAACTAGGTTTTCTAATTTTATTGCTCCGTTTCTCAGTGGGTATTGTATCATTTACATATTTTGACTGTTTTATTGTCGATTTAAGGCCATAATTAAAAGGTTTCTCCCTAATATTTGAGCTATTACATTTAGTTTCTAGTAATTTATAGATGCATACTAAAATCAACAGAAACCCATATTTCCTTATAAATCTCATCATTCTGAAATATATTTATACAATATTTTCATTATTATCTCAAATATAATACATCTAATGAACTACCCTCAAATTTCCTTTTATAAGCATCAGCTTCTAGGTAATCAAATTGTTAAAGCTATATATTTCTTTACAGCGCCTAACACTGCTACAAAGATCTTAAAATAGAGATGTAGTAAATCCTAAAAAAATAAGAAGTTATATCAACAAACTTCTAGTCTACATATAATATTTTATAAAATTTAACCAATTTAAATAATAATTATCATTATAAATTCACATTTGTATCTATAAGTGTTACCATCTTTGCACAAGCTTCCTCTAAAAGAACTTCATTTTGATTATTGAAATCATCACTTGGATCACAAACTCTCACAATTCCAATATAGTGAAGCCCTGAATCTTTTGCAGTTTGAATAACAGAGCTTAAAAGTATCTCCATAGATCTTACACCTGTAAATACACTTTCATTCTGTAATGCAGTGACTGCGATTAAAAATTCTTTATTGAAAACTGCCTCCATAAAACCTTTTGATGTAAATACACTTTGTACATATTGAGTTAGTAGTGCTGGCATATAATATGCAGTTAGTGGAAATAGAAATACCACGGCTTTGGCTTTACTTAACAAGAGGATTTCCTTTTCAATGTCAATTGTAAAATCTCTATACTCTTCATTAAGGTTCCTAACTACATATTTTGGGCGTTCCTGAATAAATTTAACAACAAAATTTACTGCTCTATTGTCATGTAATAAATAATTTGGATTTGCAACAATTACTTGGATATTTCTATCATAATCCCCTTCATTTATCATACGCCTGGATAGGACATGTAAACTTAAAAAGAGAAATGAAAAAATAAAAATTATGTTGTGACTCATCATTAACCATGAGCTTTTTTTTACGAATTATAGATACTTCTTTATTTTAGTTTCGAGTATTTTTCGAGTTTTGAGGTACTTTTTTATTACAAAGTATATCTAAACTTCACATTATTTCAAGTTATAAACTACATGAGTACCGCATATTTAAAGTTGATATATCATAGAAGTAACTACTATTATATTTGTTTATTTTGATAGTTTAGATCTATTCCTTACTGAAATATAATAGCTCCTATAAATTAACATAAAAAAAAAAAAAAAAAGTTTAACCGCCCATAAATTGGCGCTTCAATATAGCCGGATAGAAAAGAGGTATTGAAACTCAAACTGAACTATAACTTTACTTTAAAGAAAAGTCTGATTAACTAAAATTAGCTAATGTATATATCTGAATAAAGTTTTAGATAATACAATCTATAGTCCTAATTAACTGGAGAGAGTATTATTTGCATTTACATTTGAGATGAGATATTTGACTATTGCAGTAAAACTTTTTTTCAGTTTTTTGTTTACCATGTACTGCTATTCATGCAATAGTATTATTAATGAACTTGTGGTGTCAGAGTATTTGAATTCTCCTGGGACTTTATATTTGACAAAATATAATGAGATATCAGAGTCTTTTATAGAGAAATTACAAGATAATGTACTACATGTAGCTAGAAGTCGTTACTACGAAGTAGATGATATTAAATCTCTTTATAAATATCGTAATTTATTAAAAAACCTGATTAAAGATCAGATGAATATTATTGGGCATAAAATTGCAAAATATGAATTAGTGAAAGAAATTAATAAACTGAAAGGTATCTTAAAGGATTATATTGATATAAAAGAAATTAGAACAAAATCTATAACTGGAGCTTCAAATAGCCAGATAATAAGGTACTTTTTACTATTTTTAGAACAGTCACAACATAGAGAGCCTTCAGAATGTGTTCTTAAAACTGTTACTATTTTAAAAAGGATATACGAAAAACAAAACCTTATTTTACTTAATATGTTGGAATTTCAGAAACTAGTATCAGAGATGAAACTTGTTAATTTAATGATTAAAACACTAAACCCTAATAAGTATTTTAAAGATTACTTGTTAAAGAATAGAATGGAATTATTTGATACTTTGAATGTAGCACTAAAATTGATGGATATGTTAAAGGGTAAATTCAAAGAACCTGTAGACTTGTCCATTGCGAAATTTACGAATTCTTCATTACAGGAATTTGTTAATGGTACAATTATTAACATAATTCCTTTTGAAGAAAGCAAATTTTTAACTCATTTTGGTATAAATTTGAATGATACATCTACCAATTCTCAGCCATTAGAAAATATTCAAACTCAAATGACTATGGGAGATAATGCAACATCCAATATACTAAATGATACTAAAGTAGATTATATAAATAATAATACTTGTAAAGAGGGGATTACTGATAATATACTATTAACAGATCCTATACTTGACAAGTTTATTTTTGAGCAAAATATATTAAATAAATCTGATAATATATATTCAAACTCGACTGAAGATGTATATAAACATAAATCAGATAATTTAGAGGAATTTCAGAGATTTGTGGATTCTCATAGTAATATTAATGAAACTTTAGATAAGGAATATATAGAAAATATTAATACTACTCAAAATACTAACCTTAATTTGAGAAATTTGGATGATTTTGAAATTAGTGGTGATATGAACAAACCTGCTTTATTCCCAACTTTAACCAATAAAGATAATAAGGGTTTTACTGAATCTAATATTTCCCAAACAATAAATTTCACAGATACCCAAATGTTAGCTACACCTAACAAGAGTACTAATTTAAATATTAAGCCTAACTCCGAAATTATAAAAGAGCATGACTATAAATCAAGAAGAGAGAAGACCTTTACTACCCGAAGTTCTAATAATACAAAAGCACAATCTGAGAAAGCATTCATGCATGTAAACTCTCATATAAATTTGAAATATGAACAAAACTCTTCAAAATGTTCCCAATTAGTTTGTAAGACTATAATACGACATTTAAATATAGAAGAACTAAAGATGCTAGATGAAAAAATTTTTTCAGCACCTTCTTATATTAAATACAAAAATAATTATGTTACAACTGAAATATGGAAGATTGTAGAGAATTTATCTGATAATCCAGGAGGGACACCACGTCTTTTAAGGCAAATAGAGACTAGAATTGTCGAAGTCTCTAGTGCTATTAATCGTACAAGTTCCAAACCCGTATTATCTATTGGAAATACTATCAATGAGACAAATAATTATTATCGCGGAAAGTTGAAGTATATTTTACTATTTTTAAAGGCTCTTCATAAATTTTTGAGAGCCCATAACTCTCAAGAGATCGTAGATAGACGCAATTTGACAGTTAAATATTTGAAATTAATATCTCCTTTAAATATAAGAGATCCTCTCATAAAAAAAAAGATATTTGATCCATCAAAAGATTATGATCAAGTAGAAACACCTAAAATAAGTACTTGGCCCTTACGAGAGGTTGTAGAAAGAAGTCCCAAATTACATAATAAACAAGTAACATATGGTAGAGGTCATACAAATATGGAAATATCTACACCTCCAAGTCTTCTTGAGTCCTGTACTAGATGTTTGATGATCCTATCAATCACTAATCAAGTTGAAAGTTTTTGTGATAATTCATATATATTTGCCAATCTTATATGTGCTAAACTATTGGAAAAAGAGATACATAATTTAACTAATACTATAGATGTAAAGTGGTTAACAGGTGAGCTAATTATGTATTATGTAAACTCAATAATTGATCGAAGTAATCTCCCAAAAATATTAAAAGTAGATCATACAATTTCATTAAAAGCAGTTAATTATGCCTTATCTCAACCCATATATAATATACATCAGGCTTGTACACAATCTTTAATGTCTCAGAAAGGCTCTTATATATATCAATACAGCATTTCATCTGATAAGATTAAACCAATTTATAGGGTGGCATGTGCTGAATATTTAGGAATTACAACATTTGCAATGTAGTTATATAAGCTCACCAAGAACCAAAACTATAATTTATAAGTATCTATTATCCTAATATTTAGCTATTTTAAGAAGTTTTATTGCTAGCTTATTATTATTACAAGAAATTGAGCCTGTAATTTCTATTTTGAAGCTTGGTACACTAAATATAATTATAATGTAAATAAGAGATAGCACACTAAGGCTGGATGGCCGAGTGGACTAAGGCGCGGCATTCAGGTTGTCGTTTCCAGGGGTTCGAATCCCCTTCCAGTCATCTTTTGCAGATAAATAGAACCTGAAGTTTTATATCAAGGTAACACGGAACAAAAATTAAAGAATCACTTAATTACTAAAAGTAGAGATAACTACAACTAATACTGCAATCTACTATGCCAAATCTATTCTCACACACGTCCTCTAAGTAGCTTCTCAGCTATTTCTATTTGCAAACCACTCTTAGATAGATTGCTGACTATTCACTTTAGATGTTCTTCCAGTACATTAACCTGCTGCTTTTTAAGTAACTCCTCAAATACTATAGCAATAATAAGGATTAATTTTAAAGAGATACAGCTCTGATAAATTCCCATTTAATGAATAAATTAGGTATTGGAAACCTATTACTTTTAAATCCAATGATATCAACACCAATTTCCCTAAAGTAAGATATCCACTTTTATATATATCTAGATATCCAAGTGGTAAGATATTATCATACATGCTATCTTAATCCTAGCTGAAAAGCTAATACTATTGAGTCTAGGAAATATTGGAATGATCCTTAGATATAGAAATCGCATGCATCACGAAGCTACTTTTCTAGACTAATTAGATTATTACTTTTACTTAAGAAATATAACTTCTTAGTCCATCAGATATTATATCAAGATACATATTCTGCATTATATTATATACATTCATTAAACTACCTTCAGAATTTACATCAGTTATATTTTAGCTTCATTATTCTTAATATATATAAATAACTAAATATAGATAAAAAAAAAAAAAAAAAAACTATTTCAGCTTGATCCATTAAGTTCTGTATTACATTTAAAAATATTAATATCTTCTTAATTTCTTACTTAAAATAGAAATATTGATTCCATGAACTTGGGTTGAAAGACCAGAGATTTCCTCAAAAACCTGAAGTGATTATTTTATTCACTGTTTTATGATTATCTCAATTTTTTATTTCTTTTTAAAGTTATGTACAAAATAATCCTATTATTGACAAATTGAAATGAATGGTTTCTCTAATATTAATTAAGACAAATTGAAGAGCTTCATAGGTGAGATCTATTACATTCTCAAATTCACTTGATACACAATCTTTATATTTTTTTTTTTTTTATTTTTATTTCTTTATATCAGTTCACTAGGCTCCTTTATTAATACATTTTGGGGATTACACTCTATTTTATCAATCAATATAATAGTTCTTAATCTGTTATTATTCATAGATATTATCTAATTCTACGCTATCCAACATAATTGTTAAATTTTACAATTTAATCGGGAAATTTTCTATGATTTACTTCTTCATTATTATTACCAGCAAGAATATCTTTAGTTAAATTATTAAGATTAACTAATATATATTCTTTAATATAAAATATGATCTGTCTGTATTAGACTTTTGACACTATCATCATAATACTCACCTTATATCCCTATCTTTTTTTTGTCCCAATAATTCGAAAATGCAATATTAATTACAAAGTTTCAGGATTATTAGAAATAGTATTTAGTTGATATAATTTGTTACTATTATTATCCACAGAATAATTATCTTTATCATTTACTCGTCAATATTTAACTACTTCTAATTCATCTCCAGTAGTATTATATAAAGGACTTCCATCTTTAAACTGATTACTGGCTCTATTATTGAGAATAGTCTCAATAAATTCGAAATGTTTATTTTAATCAGTTATTGCATCTAAGCCTCCATATATTTATCGGATTGAAGTACTAAAAAACTTTACACTTACATCCATATCTATATTTGATAAATTGATCCTGTTATCATACACAATACCTTCCATTCGATTATCCTATTATTGTAAGGTAATAGCTTCAGAATTAAGTAAATAAACTTTGGAATATAACTAAATCTCGAATTGTTACTAATATTAATCATGTTAATGGTTAGCAATACAGTAAATAAAAGCTAAGTACATCCGAATAGGTATTAATAAATCACTAACACATACCATTAAAACGGAATTACTAGTATTTATAAACACCCTTGAAAAAAGATAATCCTTTGTAAATCTGAAGGGAAGATCGTACAATTCTGACTAAAACTTCATATCTTATAACTTAAGAAATTTAAGCTAAAAAAATAAAAAATAATAGACCAATTTACAAAGAATGTGAATACATAAAGATAGACATATAACCCACAATATAATAATCTACTCCGGAAAATAAAGTTTGAACTTATATTGTACAGGTTTAGATATAAATGAATTTGAATGTTGATATTGGTTTATTAATTCATGCATACTCTAGTCCCAAAAACTATTACTGATTATGGAAATTATTACATGCCGCAAATGAAGTATTGATTAACCAAGTTCTGATACTGAACAGAAGTTGGAAAGAATTGTACAATACAAGGATACTTCATAAAGGAAGTATTCACAGATACCTTTTCGGGATATTTACTTCGTACCTGTGTAACGGCTAATTGCATTAATTCATGTGAAAAACAAGAGTATTCTGGATTTCTGAGCTTTTGACAACATACATTAAGAGCATTATGAGATTTAGTACTGAAGACACTAAAGTCAATTTCATTTTTATCATTTGAAGAAACAAAACCTTCATTGCCATTAATAATTATCTTATTTGTAGCATATTTCGAAGAATAAATTAAATCCTCCATTTTATATATATGCTTAACAATAAGACTTTTAATTAGTTCTATGCTACAAAATAAATTAGAAAATGATAATTTATGTTGTAAAGCCATTGCAAGAGCATCTATTTCCCCATATTTTGAAGAACTGAAAAATTTGCTAGAATCAGTCCCTTCAACTCTATGTCGTACTTGCCACCCATGGCTTCTATTATCATAATAAAGTCCACGCCAAAGATTATCTGCTTCAGTTAAAACAGAATTAACTGTAATATTTTTCCATAGATCAAAATTAACTATTTCTGAAGATTTATCTTTGGTATAAAAACTACTGGATATCTTATTAATTGATGTATTTGTTGGACCTAATCCAGAAGTTTGGGACTTAATGGCATCATAATTATATTTCTTCTTACTATTTGTTTCTAAAATCCCCGGATTATTTCCAATAATATGCATATGATAAAACTTTAGAGCCATCTCATATGATTGCTCAACACCATAACGTTTTGCAGAAAAATAACGTGATATCTCAGTTCGACGTTTTCTAATCCTTACCTGCCAGCCATGATTACGTCTATCATAGTAAATACCTTTAAGTGATAATCTACACATTTGAAAAGGACCATTCTTAGACAACTCACAAGAGTCCAAAGTATTATTCACAGATATTTTGTTTACTTTCAATTGCTTTGATTTTCTTATTTTTTTATTTCTAGACGTTTGGAACAAAGACTCACAAAATGAAGATTCAGGAGTAGATAGAGATCTAAATTCCTTAGCTCTACCTACTTTTGAGGTCATATCAACACTTAGAAAAGGCAAAACTTTCTCCTTGACAGTTTGAATAGAATCTACCAAACCATCTCCAATAATATCAGGTTGGCATTCTGTATTTGACTTAAGTGTTCCTACCACTTTATTATTATCTGGTACATAATCTGAAGAATGTGGTGAATCCAAATCAGTAGATTTTGCGACTACACCAGCAGTTAATTGGACAAAATTAATATTATCAGCAATATTAATGATCGGAAATAATAAAGAGTTATTAAAATACGGAAAATTTATTGCGGATTGCTGAAGATGTTTTTCTGGATAACTGCGTAGGTCCAAAAAACATCCATTTTGCAAGTGAAACATATTTCTTTATACGGTATAAATTACGTAAATACTATACTTTCGTTCTTTTCTCTAACTCGGAATAATTTTTAACGGAAATCTTAAAGCTGTAAAATCAAGGCGATTACATTTAAATTGGTAAATTAAAACTTTTTATCCATAGAGAAAAACTAGGAATAGCACCAATTCCAAACATCCAATAGATACCAGTTACTTCATTAGATAGCTAAAAGTATGTTGAATTACTGCTTTTCTTCGATCGTCTTAGTCCTATGAATCTGCTTACACTCACCATCAATATGGAAAATCTTGCAATTGGGGTATACGAAAAATACCCGCCATGTCTATGTCTACATATTATATTGCACAGTACGATATTTTATGCGGTCTTAAGTGGGGACTAAGCTTTACAATAATCTATTGAACTGTGTGCATTTTAGTAGATCACATCTTTCAATAAGACATGTACAACATGGTGTCTACATTATATATTACCTAAAATATTAGGATATGATGAATTTATTATTTAAAATTAATTAGTTCTGTTGTAACTTAATTAGCTGGCTAGAAATAATATTGTCACTATAATGACAGTAACAATGACAATATTGAAGCTAAAATAATATTGAACTATGAACTTGTATTATTTGTCACTTCTAATATTTTTTTTTTATTATTAAATTTAAAAGTAAGAGCTTTAAAGTCTGAGTTCTTAGAAAAGTATACTAATACGAGTTTTAAATTAAACATTATTATTCCTGAGTATAAATGCAATTTTTTTGAGGACTACTATCTAGCTAAAATCTAGCTAAATTGTGACGAAATTTTACCTTATTAATTTTTTTTCTATATTTAATATTAATGGATACTTAGAAGAAGATATTTACATGCTTTGGAGACCTATAAAGTAATTTGATATTGAGCAATATATATGTTGTGTCTGTAGCTTATAGTACATGTAGGCGGTAAAAAAGGGGGGCATTATTGAATAACCCAAATAGAAGATGAAAGTTGTAAAAATAATAAAAATAGTGAGTTCTGAAAATTTCAAGCAATAAAAGAAAGTGCAAATTTGTATTTATTGGTTCAATTTTTTACGAGATTGTACCATAGATAATAGGCAAATGGGAATTAATTACTTTATCAAGATTCCGTGTGTAATTTTTACTAGCTTTTATTTTTTGGGATTGTGGCATTTTAGACATTTTGATGATGAATATGTATATAATCATAGATTTTGGGACCTTAGCAGGTGAGTGATTTCGATCTAATTCATCTCAATGTTACCCAAGTTTTTAATATATAATATTTAACCACTTGAATTATCTATAGATTAGTCAATGGGTATGAACCCTCTTTGTTAAAATATTTCCTTATTGGATTTAGTATAATTTTGAATAGAGGTATAATGGGAGCAGATGATATTATAAATAAAGTTGTAGAGAAGTTATACTATATTCATTTGGATATTTTCATATCTAATGACTTTGCAAATAATCTAATAATTACTGTTGTAATATTTTGTCTATTTTTAATGTTTATATATAAGATTGTAACACCAACTTCAACCAATGATGAACTTATTCATGCTTTCAGTATTATAGAACAAAATATAGAAACGCTAACTAAACAAGTAACATCGAGATATAAGAAAAATAAACACAATAGAGATGATATTGGTGAAAATAACAACTGTGTAGATAAAGTTTTATTGGATGCTGTTGATAATATAACTATTGCCTCTAATCAAGTTACAGAAGCTATGTATAACTTTTTTTCTACAATGTATATGGAAGATGGTGACCTTAACAGTTCTACAGAAAATATTGCACAGAAGCTATATACACAAGAAAATCAAGATGTAGAAGAGATGCAATATAAGAATTCTGATTTAATATATCATGAAGGTAATATAAGAGAAGATAATGCTGAATTCATCGAACACTCATCTAAGCTACTAAAAGGTGTTGATAATCAACCTTTTTGGGTTAATCAAGATGAAATTATACAAGATAAACAAAGCTATTACCAAATAGAAGACAATCAAAATCCGTTTATACAACCTTTACAGAATGCTTTTATAGAAAAAAGTTCTATGCAAAATAAACACGGACAGTTAAGCACCTTAAAGACATGTAATGAATATTCACATTTAATGTATGTAGAAAATCAAACTAATACGGATCTATTAGCCAATTCCAATGAAATCAAATACCCTCAAAATTCAGGAAATAATCAAGACTCCATAGATAAAGATGAATTAAATATAGTTGGGGATCCTTTCCTTGTACAGCATACTAGTAACTCCAACTTCTATTCAGATATGATTTAGTGAAGTTGAACGAAATGTGTAGAAATTAGAGTAGTCAATAAACTTCAGGTCTTTATATTATCAAATAAGAAATACGTTATTAATCATTTAAAAAATCTCTCATAATAAGCCTATCATTATTTCTCACAACAAAGTTGCAGATTTCAGTTAAATTAAAAGCCTTGAATTTATCTGCTAGTAAAAACAAGGCTTGTATACATCTTGTATATTCAACGAAGTGAATTAAATACTCAGAGTACAAAATATTATAATTTATAGATTCATCGATGTGAATCTAAATTTTCAGTAGTAGAAATTCCAGTTAAAAACCAATTCTATACAATGATTTGAGAATTTGTAAGTCCACTTAGCATGGTAGCATTAGAATTTTGAGATATGGTGGAGTTCCCACCACTAAATACAGAGTTTCCTTGGTTATTCGGGGTATGGGTTGAAAGTAATGCCCAAAGCCCCTGATTAGGTGAGTTTCCATTAGACATAAAGGTTCCTGCTGAACTGTTATCAATATTTGAATTCCCAGCTATTGAAGGTATATATGAAACAAGTGAATTTAATAGTGAAGGAGATGTAGAAGACAAATCCAAGTTTCCTTGTATATTCCGGAGCTGTAGAGATAATTGGTCAATAGAAATTCTGTCAGATTGCAAATTCGAGCATGCAACTCCTTGTATATGGTTGTTCATAGTATTTGGAAGACAAGCAGCATCTAAGGATGACCTCAAAATAGCGGAGAATGTGTCAGGATTTACAAATTTCAAACATGATATAGTATGTATTAGTTCACTTTGTAATTTTTGTGGTAGGGATCGGAAGCTATATAGTAGCAAGAGCTCAACTGAATCCTTTGCAAAGGAGGCTGCTATGTTGTTGCTTATCATATTCGCATGAGACTGAAGTATACTCCCATCCATGCATAATTTCATATTCAATTGATTATTCATCCCATTCATAGCCCCCTCTAGTAAATTTGGGTAAGACTGTCCATCTCTTCCTAATGAAGAATTTATCATATTCGCACAATTAGGTAAAATGTTCTGATTATTGTTGCTTGATGCCCCTATTGTAAAATTAAGAGTATTTAATCTCTCAGAAGTGTTATTATTTTGAGATGTTTCATCATTAATTAAAAGTGTCTTAGGACTTTTTAAACCTCCAAGTATTGTACTTTCATCTGTAATTGTATCAGTAGTTGTAGATACAACAGAATTCAACCCATTGTTTGGACAGGAATCAGTAGATTTTTTTATTTCAGCTGTTGAGCATGCTTCTGTCATAGCCAAAGCCTCAGTATGATCTTCAAACAATGCCATACCAATAGGTAAGTCTAACCCATCTTTTTGCAAGTGGATAGTATGTAATTTTATTAGTCTTGATGAATGCGTAGAATTTATTAAAACTTGATGCCTACTATTAAAAGCATTTGTTCTCATTCTAGCAGAATAAAATTGCCTCCATACTGCTCCTGGGTGACTAGATTTAGCATACAAAATATAAAATCCATTATATTTCAAATCAAAGCCATTGTCTGTTATATAAGCAAAGTCCTGAATATCTGCAGTACTCAGATTTCTCCATTTGGTAACTAACCTAGATAGTGGATCACTTCCTCCTCCTCTATAACCTCCACCTACTTTATTTCCATCATAATTTAAAGGAGTTACAATGTATATAGTTCGCATCCTGTTAATGAGTGGAGGAGTGTGAGACGTCTTCTGGCATCCAAATATCTCCTTAGAAAGCGAAGAAGTTGAAACTATAACTCTATCAGAATCTAAAGGCTGCCAGTCCCCTACATGACATGATAATAATGGAATATTATGTTGAATACTTTCATCTTTCGGTAACTCAGTTGTATTTTCTTCATACAATCTTACCAATAATCTAGCTGCAGATATTAAGCCTACCAGCTTAATTTGGTTAGAGGATCCAATTATTAATCTGCGATAGATTGAATCAGTAAGACGCTGAAAAAAGGGTCTAGGAATAAAGATAGAATTAGAGCTAGACTTAGCTGTATCTTGAACTTCCTTATTGCTCTTCCTTAAGTTTTTTGCCATCCTTTCACCATTAGACTTTCTCCTTAGAGACATGGCTTTAGCTATAATCTCATCAGCCTCTATATCTCCATACATATCTATATTATTACTCTTCTTAGTGTTCTTAATAACGTTCAAACTATCCTCATCCACACTACTAATTAATTCTCTATCTTTCCTTTGCAAATCATTATATAGAAGATCTCCATTTATTTCCACATCTGCTTCTCCCACTAAACTCTCCTCAACAGTATTATTTATCTTATCATCAAGACCTAAAGATTCCACCCTATTCTCAGAACAATCCGACAAAGTCCCTGTATTCCTTTCATATATATTCATCTTATTAGAATCTCCTAATATATCCCCAGAGTTCATCTTAATCAATACATCCTTCATAATAGTGACATTGGTCTAAATATATAAATTTCCAAAGCACACCACACTAAATAATAAAACCTATAAAACTTTCTTGAGTTTTATTAGTTCTGTCTAAAAGAGATCATAAATATTGCTCTAAATATATTGATTGTGTTTTATATCAAGGATATATAGGCTCACCGTTCAAAATGAAAATCCACTCACCTATTAATACCTCCACACCAAATATATAATGGGTGGTAACTAGGCTGTCACGACAATGTCACTATGACTATATATCTGTCTGAAGTAAATTTTATGGGTATATAATACTAAGTTTGAGGACTTAAGCGCCGTCTCGTCTCATATACCCGCTAAGAGGTGCAAAACGTACCCAAACAACTTGAGAAGTGTTCCTAATCTATTACTATTAAAAAAGCTAAAACCACGGATTTTGGAATAAATTAGAAAATATTTCAAATTTAACTGAACTATTGAGCACTCTCTAAGATGAATCTATATATTGTTAAGGCTTTGAGTCTATATATTTTGAAAGAGCATCATTGTTAAAACCAAGTTCACTTAGTATAGTCAATAAATCTGAGTTTTCTCTTTGCATTTTAGTTTGAACTGGCTTTGTATATGAAGGACTCGAGGTATTTGTATTCTTTATTCCTTGTATTTCTACCTTATTACCTAAGAGCACATCTTTACCTAAAAGTTGCTCCTTAATAAGTTCTACTTCAGCTTTCTCTACTTGTACTTTCCCTAATTCCAAACTATTATTTTCCGACTCTTTTCCCTTCAAATCTTTATCTACTGGATTATATATATATTCTGCTGATTTAGAACTTATATAGTCATCATCTGAAACATTAAATTTTTGCTCTATAATTTGTCCCTGAATAGGAGATATCCAATGAACTCCTTGCTCAGCATAACTCATCAATAAAACACCTAAAGGACTTATGGGTGATGACTTAAGTATTAAATTCCTCAAAGATCCAGAGACCCAGCTATTTGTAGATATTCCATGTAGGCTTTCTATATCTTCTTGAATATCGAAATCAAAGTAATAAAGATCTAAAAGTGTTTTTGCATCTAAAATTCCATAATAAATTGTTGGGTGAACTTCATTATTTGCAATATAAGAGTTTACAGGAATTCCAACAGCTCTAGCTGTATCTGCAAAAACCTTAAATGAATCTTGAACTAAACCTTCTTTTATTACTAGCTTTTCCTCTGTAATTACTACTTTATCAAGATCATCCTTTATATTTTCACGATTAATTTGAGTTATTTTCTCTTTGTTATCAGTCTTATTCATTGTGAAACTTGTTTTAGAATCCAATACTTCAGTCATACCAATGTGAGATGTGTGTTGTAAACCTCTTGCTATATCAACAATTCTCTTGTAATTATCTTCAGATGAAAGTAAAACTGTTCCTTTATTTTGTATAGCTTTTTCCTAAATATTTATTTAAAAAAAAAAATTAACATTTATTTAATACTTAGGCTTATGATTTCTTCACTTACACCTATATTTGTTGCTAAGGTATTCCTGTAAGTAATATTCCACAGAATAAAACCTAAAGTCAAATACTTAAAGCTCAGATTAATCACCATTATATCTATTTTGCATTTTTATATTAAAATTTCTAATTTCAAAAGAAATAAATGAAAAACTTAATTTTTAGATCCAATGCCTTATAATTTAACTTTCAACAGCACAAACAATATTTAAAACTTACCAGACTATATTTTATTTTAAAAAATGATTATATTTAGATATATGTCCTACTTATTCCAATTAAATAATCATTAATATAAAGTTTTCAGCTGTTAAATTATCAGATAGTTATATTCAATTAGCCAAAACTTGTCCTACATCAGTTCATGTAATATGGCGCTGTATGGATCTAATATGAGTTATCTAGGTACTTATTAAAATACTAGAAAAACGAAATATTAAAAGCCTAAAATAAGATATACAATTGGGTGAAGTTTAACTATAACCTAAATTTTCGCAATATTAAAAAAAAATCAGATTCTTTTACTTATTCTACTAATAAACTACCTGAAGAAGGCTTTAAAACTATTTATAGGCTATCTCAATCATTAAGTTTTATAAAGGTTTTTAAAAATACTTTGACTATTATACAAATTTATTTCTGAGTGGAGATTTTCTTTAGGAAAGATATTGGCTTTTTTAATATATAGGAGATAATATAAGCTATAACTTAAGATCTTTTACTATATGTTTAGAGAACAATATTAAAAAGAAAATATATCTACTTGGGATATATTGTCGTCTAAAAATCTTAGTCTCAATTGATATTTTAATCATAACTTTAATCAATATGAAACTATGATGGTATATAAAGGAATATTTTCATTTTTATTGAGCATATTACTAGTGGTACTATCATTACCTGAACAAATTTCTGGAAGACCATTTGTACCTGAAGTAATTCACGATATATCTTTTGAAAATATTAGTTATGCTCTCTATAAAAAAAGCAGCGACCTTGCTATTCAGGAGTTTCAAAATAATGGGCACTATGCAGGGTATAGACTTGACATCAATTATATACAAGCAAAATCTTTTGCAATTAAATTAAATCAAGATGATACTGTTTTTAGATCAATGATAAGTGCTAATATGATGATAAAGTTGGAAGATCCCTTAATGAGCTGTCAATTTTTGTGGAATTACGTTAGAATAAAATATAAACTATTTTTAACAGAGAAAAATATATTTGATCTTTGGAAGGAAACCCTTGTAATGTTAAATTATATTGTTCCAAATGAACTCAGTTATTCTCCAGAATATGCTATTATGATTCGATCTCGTCCAATTGGATCATATGTTGCAAATAAGTTACCTAATTTTCCTACTAATGATGATTTTTTATTACTAATCAGCTTGAGTTCATTAATATATAGGAATGGGATATTTGCAATTGATTTAACTGGTGAAAATTTTGTTCTTAACTCTGAAAAATCTCTATTAAGAGAAAATATGACTCCTCTTGCATATTCAAATGTTAAATTTTATATTCCAATTCTTCTTGAGTTATATCCCCCAAGTATATTATATAGTCAAACTTTTACATCGGTTGGATTTGTTTACAGGATAATATATTATTGTATAGGAGCTATCTTTACTGTGGAGGATGCCTGGCACATATGGGCCAATGTTTTACTTTGGGGAGGAGGAGGTTATTTACCAAGATACTTAAGAAGTTATGATAATCAAATTCTTTTTCAGCATGAGAAAGATCCATTTCCTTTAGATAGAAATATCCTTATAGTATTAGAAAGGTTTGGAGCAATTCAAAAACCCCAATGGAATATTAGATTTCCTCCTTTTAATGCAAGTGAGTTGCATCCAGTATCTAAATTTTTGAATTTACAAGGATTCCCAATTCCTTCTAAGTCATCAAAAGATCTATCAGCTATTATAAGTATTTATCAGATTTTTCATTTATTTTTGAATAGATTTATAAGTATTAATATGGCTTGTAATATCTGGTTTGTAGTTAAAAGATGGGTCGGTATGACTGAAACCCTAGATCTATATAATTTTGACAAAATTATTAATAAAAATAATATATATAGTAGTACTATATTTAACTATAAATATAAAAGTAAATATAATATTAATGGTTCTGATTTGGAAAGTAGGAATTTTATACATTTTCCAAAATGGATAGATGAATTTACTTATGTCGATATCAATAGCCAAAAAGTTAAGAAACTTCTTGATGATCTAGAAAAAAAATTCCCCTATTATATAACATGCCCAAATGGTATACTAGTTGAACGGCAAGAATACAAATCTGTAAAATCTATAGAGATGCCTCTGACATCTTTCTATAATCGTAAAAGTGATAGACTTGCTTTAAGTTTAGCAAAGGTTCTGCATGAATGGATTCCTTCCATAAGTTTTAATGATATTTGCAATATAGCTAAAACACTTGCAGTTAGACTCCCCCCTTTGGGTACACTAAATTCTGATTTTATAGTTAGGAGTAAAGCTAAATTGTGGAATACACCAAAACTTAAGCCTTCTGAAAAACCCTACTATATTCAGTACTGTGTTTACTCACTAGAACAGTTAATTAGACAGAACTTACAAAGTACCAACTTAAATTTAACTCAAAACTTTTCAGGAGACTATTTTGAAAAGAAATGTTTGGAAGCATATAAAACTCAAATTTCATGTTCTGTATCTTTTCCCTTTGCAGTTACACCAGATGTTCAAGATATTTACGATATTTACGCTGGAAATTTAGCATCAGCAATGGCTTCCTTATTTCATGGAGAAGTACTTTCTTTAAAAGAAGTTGCAGGTACTATTTGGGATGGAATGTTAGAAGCATTTCCTTCAAGACAAATACCAACGCTCATACGTTTACATAACCCGTGGTTTGAGCCAAAAGAACTATGTGCTATATCAGAATATTTCCTAAGTATCGGGATTAAATATAGAAGTACTCATCTCATTAAAAATAAATTGGAAAAATTTTTTTATAAAAAAAGAGAAATTTGGTCTTTTTTTCATCCTGAACTTCCTATTCCCCCACAAAGAATTGAAGAAAATATGAAATCTAAACTAAGTATCTATATTCCTCCTATAGATTCATACAACACAGATGTATGTCCTAAAAACTCTGAAAAAAAGAAAAAATTAGATAAAAGTGAAAATTGGAATCTAACAGAACGTCAAATAAGTGGAATGATATTTAGGGCTGTCAACAACAAAGTTAACTTCATGAATATATGCGTCAAACAGATGAATATACTTTTTAATGATAACAGAATTAATTGTTATCCAAAGATGAAATCTGGAAATTATTATCAAATCTATTTTAATACTATTCGTAATGTTAGAAACTCTTTTATCAAAAAATTATTTAAGTCATATTCAGTTAATAAAAAAAAGTATAATTTGGCTGAGTTATTATCTTTTAACGGCGAAACTATCCATTCAAAAGCTTCTTTATATATGCAACAGTTTTCAAAATATGACTTATTAATTAGATTTGAAGAGAATATTCAAAGATTGTTCAAATGGTATATATACAGCTCTTGTAATATAGCATTTGAGGTAATGAATAGGCGAGATATAAATGGAAATTTGTTTATATATACAGGAGTTGAAAGTCCTAAAAAAAAAGTTAATTTTGAGATTTCCCCTGTAATTTTTCCTTTTAACAATGAAAAAGTTTCTCAGAAAAATAAGGCATTATTTGTTGATGATATTAATCAGTCTCAAATGAATTCTATAAATGAAGCAGTTAATTATGGATTAAAGTATATTCTTGGTGATCAATCTGCAACTTTTAATTTTCAAAAAGCAGTCTTACTAGATAATAATTTACAATTTATGGTGGAAATGGGCTGGAATCTTGAATTAAATGCTTTAGATCCAGATTTCATAGTTAAAAATGCAAATTTTCTTTATTACTATATGATATCTTCAAATATTTTTTTGAGTACTTTTCAGATCTACAAAATTGTAAGTATTGCATGTGACATTATAGCTTGTGCTTATCAAAAACAATATGAGGAGATAGACAATTCTAAAACAGGATTTTATATAGATTCACTTCAAATAAAAACTTTGACTCATGTTAAAGATAGTTTAGATCAAGATGCTTATCAACAATATATTCAATATTGGGATAAATTACTCAATAATAATTCACAGATACTGGTCTTACTAGAACTTGTATTGAAAGAACGAGTCTATAAATATAATGTACAGGATATTTGGGATAATTGGAAAGCCAAATATATCAAACTTAAAATGGCTAAAAAAATTGTTGAAACTATTAAAGCTTCAACATTTACAAATTTATCTTTAATTGAAAATAGCATGTATTGTCTTGAAAAACTAGCGTCTGATTTTGAAACAAAACCAAATATTGCTGTTATTGGATGCAAATCGCAAGACTTACTAGGGTATTGTAGTAATGATAGTCTTCTCGATGGAGTCATTGAACTGGCCTTTGCAAAAGCTATTTATTCATTTGTTTCTGAGTCCAGAATAAGTGATGACAAAGCACTAGGATCTGGAGATATAAATTCTAGTGATATTTATAAGTCTTTATATAAAGATATAGAAGATAATAATAATACTTTGTGCCAAATAGTTAAAAAACTTGTAATATTATACAAGCTACCAAATTTTATTTACAACTGTCTGATTACCTTGATGAATGAAACATCCTTTTTACAGTATATCCTTAATTTATTTCTAAAGATCCCCACTGTAGATTATAATATGGCATTTCATATTTGTTCAAATATGCCTCTGTCAAGTAAATGTACTTCATATTCAGATACAGATTCTAAACAAGAATATGGAGAAATTGCAGATATAATAAAGGGGGAATTCATGAAATTCCAAAGTGAATATGTTATTCACTTTCCACCCGAATCATTTTGCTCCTTGGCAAGTTTATTGGCTTCTGCTCCCACTTTTGGTTCCTGTGTTGATTATGTTACCGATAGTATCTCAAAATATAAAACATTTTATTGGCCGGAAAATATCGGTTATTCTATATGTTTAAAACTCAAAAGATGGCCTCTTCGTTGCTCCCAAGAGAAATTTCCATTTCACTCACTAATAGTTTTGAGATTCCAAAATCTAATGAAAATTGAAGAAAGTAAAATTGTAGAAGCTGGACTTGAGTCATTAAATAACAATGGAAATACGCTTCTGAGTAACTTATTAGAGATGGGCCAGTCTGTGCAGACATTAGCTTTTAGAGTCCTTTGCACTATGTTTGAAAAGGAACGCTACAATCAGAATCTCTATTATAAAAGTAAAACATTTCAAGAAGACGATACTAAATTGCTATTAAATCCTCATCATTTTTGCCATGAGATTTATTACCCAAAGCTTACTCTAAAAGATATATATAGTCACCTAAGGCAAGATTTAGCCTCCAAAATTACTAAAGCCTGTATGGAGGTTTTAGATACTATTTTAAATGAGATTAATAAGGAAAAGCTAAGTATTGAATATACAAGAAGGAATGAAATTCCATTATATTGGACTAATAAAACTAACAATCTACTCCCATACTATATGAAACCTTTGGGAATTGTCCATCAGCTTATTGAACTGTTTATTCTACCTCCAAAAGTCACTGTAATTGTAGTTTCACTTTGGAAAGAGTTTGAACAATTTCAAAATATTCAAGATCCTAAAGATATTCGAGAAAAGCTTTATTTTTTGATCCCTTTTGGAGCTAAAATTTCAATTATTAATGTTAATTCAAGTCTCAAATCATTTATTAATACTTGTGAACATATTTTAATTTATCTACTTCAAACTTCTAATGATAGAAGACGTGAAACTTGTTTTAAAATATATTCGTTAACTGTCTATAATGATACACTTGTAAACTTCATATATACTATGTATGCCACAAATCTTCAAGCTATGAAAATTTATACTTCTTCATTTACTAGTGAAAATCCTTTACTCACTATGGTGGAGTATAGAAGTAAAATCTTGCGTAGTGATACCTCGCTACGTATTCAAACTTTATATCAGCATATGCTAGTTAACTACATTGATTATTCCATAAATAAATCAATTAATAAAGATATATTGCTTAAAAAGGAAAATATCAAATTAATAACAAAATCTAAGGTTTTTACTCAAGATTATATTAATTCAAATAAATATATAGCTAATGGACTAAAAATGTTTCTTTTATTGATTCATTTAAGATTATCTTCTGCATTTTCCAGGAAGAATACCTATACTTTTCAAAACTCAATACCGAAATATCTTCCAAATATACACAATTTCTTACCTTCACATCTGGCTTTTCAAATTATAGACTCTGATAGGTGTGTAAATATGCTACATGAAAACTTTATTTTCCCGTCATTCTCGGAAATTCCAGATGATTTAGAAGAAATGGAAAATACTGAAAAAAATGATAGTGGTGAAAAACATCTAAGTACTAAGAGTAAAAGTTTTATTCTATTAGAAAATAATGAGGAAAAAGACTTGAAATCTGAAGAATATACTGAAAACAATCAAATTAACCATATATGTAAATTATTAAGAAAGGGTATCTCCCAGAGTGAGTTGAAAGGTTATTATAGTAAAATTTTAATGAGGATGCTGTTTCAAACTTACCTATTACAAATTTCTCCCAATTACCCCTCCAAAAGTGTCGAAACTGTTGAAATACAAAAATCGAAGTATACTCTGCTTGAAGCTATATTGTTCTTTTCTAAAAGATCCCCTAAGGAGCTTACTAAAAGTTTTAATTTTCACTGGTCTGACTCTTTTCTTAAAGGGGATGAAGAAAATAATATTTTTACTCATTATCAGACAGTCCCTGAAATACTCACTTGGTCCAGAATGAGAAAATTTTGTCAGATTATAAGCAGACAATTAACTCATGAAGATTTTTGGGAAGAAAATCCTTTTTTAGAGTGTAAATATGTTGATTCAAGTGGAAATCCCCTTGCTAGTTCTAAGCCCAACTTTAGTGAAATAAATAAAGTGAATGTCCTATGTTATATTAAACCAAAAGAGAACATTGAGGGAGATATAGATGCTCAAATAACTCATCCTATTACTAAAAAAATATTCGGATTTCTTAAATATGGAGATAAATCCTATGGATCAACAGAAAATGAGCTTAATTTAGAAATACCAGATGTTCTGATGCGTGTTTTAGGACGTATATATGGTTTCTGTATACTCAACGAGACACCTATGAATCTTAAATTACCTACAATTTTTTTTAAAAAAATAGTTGGTGAGTCCCTAAATAGACAACAAGATGCTGTAATTTTAAATAATAACATTGCAAAGTATATTGCTGTATTAAAAAAAGCAAAAATGAGTATTACAGATATGAAAGAAAAAAAAATAGTCAGGTATGGAGTTGATAAGGCACTAGAATATTATAAGATTAAAACCCCTCTTTTATTTGAAATCCCAAAGCATAGAAAGTATTCTCAAACTGAAGTAGAACCATTTGAAATTCATAATACAGCCTTATTAGAAGTTTATATATACATACTCCAAAGGTATTATATGGAGGAGTATGCCGAAGATGAAATAGAAAATTTCCTTACTGGAATTTATGATATAATTCCCAAGAGATTCTTCTATATGTTTAATTCAGAAGAGTTACAAGAATATATACAAGGATCTAGAATGATGGAATTTGAACCTTTTAAGGAAATTGAAAGAATACCGGAGTACTTTTATGCTGAATCTGAAGAATTTAAACTTTATCACAAAAAATTGATTATCGATTATTTCTTCAATGTAATTAAATTTCATATCTCGAGTTCTCAGTTGGACATTTTCTGGTCTTGTTTTACAGGTACTACTGGATATGGTATTCCTGGAGCTTTGCAAGGTAAGATCAGAATTATGGAAATTCCACAAAAAAATGAGTATGGTGATTTACAAGAGATCAAGATAGATCCAAACACACTCACAATATATCTCCCAGCATACTTAAATTTAGAAGAAATGAAGATTTACGTCAATAAGGTGATAGAAAAGTGTGACAAGTCTAATAAAGGAACGAAATAATGGAATATTAAATTATTATTAAGACTCATTATGTCCTTATCGCATATTATATAGTATAAAGTACTTAATTTTTTAAGAAATAAGGAGAATATAAATATTAACTTGTACTTTATTGTAAGGAATTTGAATATTATAGGCAGTACAAATTCAGCGCCTATTTACTTTATGTGAGGTTGTTAAGTGTGCTTAATTAAATTTAGACAAATAAATTAGCTTGTTTTTATAATATAATGGTTAAGGATACACGCCTATATGAGATTATAGGGGTGTCTCCTGATGCTACTGCAGCTGAAATCAAGCGTGAATATCGAATTCGTGCTCTAGCCTTACACCCAGATAAGAATAGGTGTGATGAAACTAGTAAGGAACGTTTCCAAAATCTACAAAAAGCTTATGAAGTTTTACGAGATGAGCAATCTCGAGCTGAATATGATGAAAGTGGCTATATAGAAGATGATTATAATGATAATTCTAGTAAATGGAACAACCTAACTAAATTTTTCAAACAATTTACAAAAAAAGTTACAATACAAGATATTTTAGAGTATAAAAAGATATATAGGGGATCTAATGATGAGTGGGAGGATATATGTTATTTATATAATAAATTTGATGGTGACTGCACTAATTTACTAGAATATATACCCTTTTGTGAAGCTGAGGATATAGACTACTATATAGATATTATTAGAAAGGCAATTAAGGACCAATTATTACCTAAGAGAGATAAATTTGATAGTTCTATTAATAAAATACGCCAGAAAACTAAGAAATGGAAGAAACAAAGAGTTAGAGAAGAGAAACAAGCAAATATTGGTAATATGGATAATTTAGTATTAGCTATAAAAGGTAATATGATGAAACGCAATAAGAGACTTACTCAAATTTTTGCACAATATGAAGAAAACTCAAATGATGATAATATAGATGAGGCTAAATTCCAAGAAATCCAGAAGAATATATTAAAGAAGCCAAAAAGAATCTAATTGGCTTAAATTTAAAGAGAGAATGGACCGCCTCCTTCTAGAACGTGTCTCCTGTGACATTTATCATTCTTTTAGGAAATTTATTTGAAATGAAGCGATGAAGATGCAGTCTCGACTAGAATAGACCAAAAGTGCGTTATTAACAATATTAAAGATATAAATATGGTGCTATATTTTATAGGTATTGGTCTATGTGATGAGAAAGATATAACATTAAGAGGCTTAGAAGTGATAGAAAGTGCTGATAAGATATATTTAGAATCATACACAGCTATTCTGTCACCAAATGCTAATATAGAAAAAGTTTTAGGGAAGAAAACTATTATTGAAGCTGATCGAAAATTTATAGAAGAAGGAAGTGATATAATGTTAGATGAAGCAACTAATCAACAAGTAGTTTTATTAGTTGTAGGAGATCCACTTTGTGCTACAACCCACTCTGACCTAATGTTAAGAGCATATGAAAAGAATATACAAGTTGAAATCATCCACAATGCAAGTATAATATCAGCGATAGGTGCTACAGGTTTACAAGTATATAAGTTTGGTGAAACAGTTTCAATTCCATTTTTTGATAATAATTGGCAACCAGAAAGTTTTTATGATAAAGTCAAGCTTAATATGAAGCAAGGATTACATACTTTGTGCTTACTTGATATTAAGGTTAAAGAGCAATCATTAGATAATATGATGCGAAATCTACCCATCTTTGAATCTCCCAGATATATGAATATTAATCAAGCAATTAAACAATTATATATAATTGAGAAGAAAAGAAATGAGAGAGTGGCATTACCCAGTACATTAGCATTTGGAGTAGCTAGGATAGGTTCAAAGAATCAACTGATTTTAGCTGGTACATTAGAACAGTTATCCTCTGTAGACTTTGGAGAACCACTACATTCACTTGTTTTATGTCATCCAGAACTTCATTTAATAGAGAAGAAATTCTTCGAAATTGCTAATAAACGTATGATTGATCAACTAGAAGCTAGATCTGTTTGATATTGTTAATATTTTATTTTTTCAAACTAGTTATTTGATTAATTATAAGTCTGAACTAAATATGGGTATTATAGCAAACGTTTTAATAGGTTTGAATGATGAAGGAAGAAATGTTTGATCCATTTCTAAAATGCATTCATACTTTGCTTCTTTAAATATACTAAGGTATTTAGAAACAGATCTAATTATACTACCATCTCTTTCATCATATTCATCTACATCATGTAATTCTATATTTTCCTTAATACAAATCACACTAGATGAATCACCAATACTATTATATTTTAATCCATTCTTCATTTTGACTAAGAAATTTAATAATTCATCATCAGATAAATATTGGACGACCCATTGTATCCATATAATATCGTATCTATTAGCAATGGGTTCAAAGTTTTGTAGATTACTGTGGTAGGAGTTAGTATACTTTATGTTATCCATAGCTACCTGTAAATGTTTACTAACTGATTCTAGTAAATCAATTTCATTACATAATGGTGCGAGGATAGATGTAACACGACCAATTCCACAACCAGCATCCAGTCCACATAAAAATTTGTCAGTACATATCTTTGGATGTTGTCTCAATGCAATTAAAAAGTCCTGAGAATTACTCAAATCTATCTCATGAATTTCTGTAAAATTATCCAACATTCCAGCAATTGTTGCTAGTTGATTTTCCCAAAATAAGTTTGAGACATTATTGACATTTCCCAAATTTTTTTTATCTGTAGCCTGCTTATTCTCCATAAGACTTCCCATATTAACTAAGTTCATAAATTGACTCAGATATATTTTGCGGCGCTACTGTCAAACTTTCATTCCATAAAAATTAGCAATTCAGAATCTTTACTTGAATTTGATATATTAAGAAGGTCCTAATCAAATTATTAATAATCAAAACAATTAATCAGGTTAATTGATCATATATGGTAACACGTACCTTTGTTGTTATATGTTTGTCATATATCTCTAAATCAAGTTTCTCAATCATTGAACTTCTAGATATAAAATATAATACTTTCCTATATTTATACTTTTTTAAAAGTCTCCAATAAAATAATGCTAGAAGCAAAATATTTATGATATAATATCTGTTAAATAAAATGTAATCTTTGAAATCCAAACTCAAAGATTCGTCTACTTTATTATCATTTACTATTCTTGGTTTACATTGTGTTATCTTAAAATTGAAGGTTTCCCATGTATTATATTGTAATCTTAGGATTTCCCACAAATTCCTATTTGAATTTTCTAGTACTCTCTTCTCAAACTTAACTAGTAAACACTTGTTTGTGTCACCCAAATTTACTTTATATTTTTTAAGACCTTGTGAATCCTCTAAGAATATAGGAAATAAACATTTAAGTTGTCCCTTTAATCCAATGATAGTTGTGTCAATTAGCTTGAATTTTATTCTATTACTGCATTTCACTGTATCTATTGGATACTTTTCCTGATGGTCCATATAAATTACTATAGAGCTTTTAACAATTTTATTACTTCAATACCATAATTAGGGAAAGTAAGATCTTAATAAGCTTACCTTGTTGGTATATTATCCAGTATGTTTAAATTTATTCCTCCCACACCTAAGTATACTGAAAATAAAATGCTAAAAAGTAAATGGGTCATTAAATTTTTTAAATTTTAAATTTATTATAAGTCCCTGATTTAGTGAGTTTGCATATTCATAATATAACAAAAATATGGTAATAATTTTGTATGCATGCAAGATTACAATGCTTGACTAGTTTCTCCCAAATTAGGCGCTAAAAAAAAGGCGCTATTAATTAGATACCTTATATTGACTTCACTAATATGTTAGAAACTCTGGAATTATCTACACAATTAAGAAACAATGCTCTAAAGTACTATTAAAAGTCTATATATGAGGAAATTTGATCATTGGAAAGATATAGGGTATAATCCAGACTGGATTAAATTTCGTCGAAGAATATGTAAAGAAGACTTTAGTGGAATACTATCTGTCCTTATATTGGGTCCAAAGAATAGTGGAAAGACTACATATTTACTTTCCATAATACAGTGTATTTTAAGATATCGCAAAGATAACCCATCTGTATATGTCTTAGATTGTGATTTAGGTCAACCACTTATAGCACCTATAGCTTGCCTAAAGCTAGTTAAATGGGACTACTATACTACACCTATTAATATAAGCAATCAGTTTCTTCTACCTGAATTGATGTTCTTTATTGGAGGAAATAGTCCTATTGTTAATCCAATAAGATATTTAGAAGGTATAAAACATTGCATAGAATATATGAGGCAATTATCTCAAGAGAATAATGCTATTTTACTTATAAATATGCCAGGATGGGTTACGGGAATAGGTCTTGAAATTGCTTCAATTATTACTGCATTATGTGTTTCTATTTCAACAAAAGTCCATGTGGGTTTTACAAAATCCTTTGTAGATACTATAAATAATGAGGATTCAACTTTAAGACAAAGTGATAATATGCATCTAGTGACAGCTAGTTTCCTATCATACCCCTCAATAAATTTATCTATATTTAAGAATAAGACAGAGATATTTTATGTACAGAATATTTTTGAAACTAAAGTAATTATAGAAAAATTAGAAGATATATCTGATTTTATTAATAAACCATCAATTTACATTAAATCTAATAAAAAATCAAATATAATGGATGAATTTGCTAATTATATTGGATATACTCTTTTAGAAAATAATGTGACACTTTTTGGTGGGAAGACTCTTTCATTACCATTTGATTTTACTTTCGTTATTCCAGCTCCAAATACTTCTATAATGGATAGTGATAGTTCCCTTCATATACCTTATCGACTTACAAATGCAATTGTAGCATTGTGTATATGTAGGGAGACAGAATTCTTGACTAATTCAAAGATATCTAAAGAAGTTTCTCAATTAATAATACTCCATTCTTCTGTTTTGTATCCATGTATTGGATTGGGAATTGTTCATCATCTAGATTATTCAAACAAATATATAGTAATTCAAATACCAAATTGGATATCTGATTATATCCTAAATGAAGTTAATATTGTTCAATTGACAGAAATGATGATACCTTTGAATTCTGCAAATTATACTCATAAACCTTACTTGTGCCCAAGAAATAATATAATTAGTGGAATGGTTTCAGGCTCGAAGGTTCCAATAAATAGGAGAAATGTCAAACGCAAAATCCTTAAAAGATCAAGCCACTAGAGAGGTAATTAAATTTAGTTTTTAAAATTGTAATTTAATATATTTAGTTTAAGATTTATCTTTCAAGTTTCTAAGAAGTAATAAGCTTCACATAATTATTTATTGTAATTATGACGAGTCTGAAATATTAAAAAAATATTATAAAATAATATTATATAAATACTAATACTTTGCAAAACACCTACCATTGCATTCAATACTATAGAAAAATCTGTTACTTCTTTGTTTGTCAAGTTATTCAAACTAGTTTGATCACTAAAAAATAAGACACATAAACAATCACAAAAAGTTACAGCTAATTCATATTTAGAAGTGTTACATGAAAACCATAGTACTCTTTTTTTATCCTCATCTTTACTGGAATGATCTTTAATATCATGATCCTTTATATTCTTTAAGACAAAACTCTGACCCCAAAAATCAATCATACTCGTTTCAAAAATACATTCCTTGTCTAATTTCATCTCAAATAAGTTACTAAATATTTCTTCTAATTTTCCAAATATCACTTCATCGACGTGAGGATGTAATGATGTCTTTAATTTCCAACGATCACTTTCATTCTTTTCTGCAACGATTACACCATGATTGTTACTAAACCAAGAAGGAAAAAGTTCAATACATATATTATCCCATGTATTAAGGTTAGATGGAGACTTTATTTCAATTGCTCTTCGTCTTTTTCGTGGTAAAAGGGTCTTCTTAATACTTTTTCCCTTCTTTTTCACTCTATATTGGATAGAATCGCACACACGCTCATCATAAAGTCAAATTTTAAATAATTAAAGATCAAGTAAACCTACTTTCTCGTATTATTAGTATCCATATAAATTAAAACTTTTATTTTAAAGATCTTTGATATCCCTAATACGTCTATTTATTAGGACTCCTCTTAATCTCTTCTAATGATACCACGCTCAATCTAAATTTAGTATTGACATACACCGCCGAAATTTAACTCAATATTGGTTTAGAAATAGTCAACAGAAGTAAACTAGAAGTGTATAGATAATAGTACTATTGCACAGATGTTAAATAAAACCTTTAAACGTCGTATTGCTGATGTTTTAGATAGGTTGAATAATTGTGAATTACTTCAAAATAGTGCAATAATAACTTTGGGACAAAACTTGGAAGAATTAGAAAATTCTCCAAATGAATCTGAAGAAATAATATTAACTGAACTTCTCGTTTCAATTGTGATGGAGTCTGATTTAGAATGTAATATTTCATTATTGAAGGAGTTCATTTCAGAAATTCCAGTAATTAATATATCACCTAGGATACGTCTAAAGGCAGTGAAAACATTGTTAAAATTTAATCGTTACAAGGCTTTGAATATATTCAGGAGATTATCCAGCATAACAACTAACAACTCCAAACGTCTTCCTATAGTAGTGATCCGCCCTCTTTTAAAATATATATTGTGTAATGAACGAGATATAGGAGAAATACCATCAATCCAAGAACTAATTAGCTTTTTTTTGAAAAATAGCCATTGTATTTGTACATTACTTGACATCTGTTTTGAAAACAAAAAATTTGAGCTTCTAATAAAATTATTGAGTGACTTACTACCACTTATAAAACTACCCTTTTTGTCTGATGTATTTAATCTTATTTGCTCGAAGGTTGTATCAAAAGTTAAATTTGAAACATCCTTTAGTCCTAAAAAAGTTCAAGATTTGTCTTTTTATTCTTTAATTGGTGCAGAAAATAATCAAATTGCATGCCTAATTATTATAATGATTATTAACTGCAGGAAAAGTACTTCTTTATACCTTTTATTAATGACAACAGTCCTTAATATAAAGGGATCAATAAATCTAACTCTTTTATTATTTCTGAGTTTATTGTCATCTTATAAGTTATATTTAGAAGATTCAAATTTCAAAAAAGATGAACTAGAAAAAAGTGATGATCCAGAATATGAAACATTGACAGATCCCTTACAGCTTATTCAACTACTAGTTCAATTAGCTGAAGATATTGAACCTCTCTTATCGGACTCCAAGAATCACCTAATTGTATCAAGTATAATATCTTCAATTAGTTTATTAATATATTACTGCAGTGATATAGAATACTTGGACTGTCTTGTGAATATAATTATTAAACTAAAGTCTGTTATGGCCCCTCAAGATCACGTTTCTATATATGCTTCTCTACTTTATCATACAAAAGGAGGCTTAGCACCAAATGAACCTCTAGCTATTTTTTCTTTAGATTCAATAAAAAAACTTGGATATAATGAAATTCCTGATGAAGTGTATGGGTATTCTTTCAACATTTCAGACTTTATTACTTCTATAAAAGGTTTAATTCTTGTAATAGATGATGAAAACCTAATTTTGTCAGTTTTTTCACATATATTAATTGGGCTATATCCTGGTTTTTTACTGATAATCTCGATATCTCTCCTTAATATAAATTATATCTATACAGATATTAATTTGATTAGGAATTTAGCTGTAATGACAAATTTTTTGTTGGGGATTCCAAGAAACAAAAAAAATAGTAAAATCAACAATGATATTTACATAAAAATAATGTACAAATACATATATACAATAGGCCTTAATAATCCATTGCAGACTTTAGACTCATTTTACCCTAATTTAATGAAACTCCAAGATGTACAACCTAATGTTGCTAAAGAACAGTGTCATCTTCTATGTACATTAGCAACAAATAAATATACCATTCCAATTATTTATAAACATATCATCAAAATATCTAGTGATAATGAATTAGAAACTTTCAATCAGCCCTCAGAAATCAAATTGGAAAGTTTGTATCAAAGTCTAAGGTTTTTATTTGAGATGTATATAAATGGCGAACTTCCTTTTTCAAAGTTGGACACTATACTTTGTAAATGTACTGAGAAAGAGAAATTAGGAATCATAGCTCCATCTCAATTTATTGGGAATTTTGAATCAAACATTTCTTTTCCTTTTGGATACTTGATATTATACAATATAATTCGTTATAAACCAGATATTATAGATGAATATCATATATCGATTATTCAAGAAGGGCTTCTTTCTTGTGATCCAAGCTTAGTTACAATTTCGATTCATTGCTTAACTGAACTTTGTAAAGCAGAAATTATGGATTTCGAGAAATGTCTCATGATTATTATTAAACATCACCCACTACTATTTGAAACTAAATTGGAACTTCCACACTTTGTGACTCCAATAAGTTACAATAAAGTCTCACATTATCAATATATAGTACCTACTATATCAAGTTTTGCAAGATTTGTAAAGTTCTATATATTAAAAATGTTTCCTAAGGACTCAACTTCCATAATTTCTAATACTTTATACTATACTATTCCTGCAATGGTACAAATTTGCAATGAAAAAATTCCACTATTATCTTGTTATTGTTTTGAAGCACTTTCTCCAATATTTCTCCAATATTTTCAAGATTATCAAGATCTGAATTCCAATTTGAGTTCATTCATTGATTGGGTTATGAGCAGCTTTAATAGAAACCTTACTTTATTTGAAGAATTTTTGCAGTACATCTTCGACTCAATTTCATATAATATTGATATAGAACCATTCAGTATAAATTCATTAAATTTCATTATTTCAACTTTAACTTATCCTATTTTATCTATTTTAAATCAACAGGGAACAAGAACAGTAGGTACAACTCAAAACTCAGCAAGTCAATCCTCTAATTCTAGATATTTGAATAACTTTTGGTTAAAGTCTCTCACAACAATTAAATCAAAATATAATCACCAGAGTATTCAGGAATTATTGAATTTAATTGTATTCGATCCAAAATCAGTTCGTATTGAAGTTTTTAAAAATAATAACTTAGATGATTTCAAGAAATTTCAACAAATATTTATTAGGGAGATAATTCGTACAGTAAAATCCCTAAAATTAATTTCTTCTAATATTTTAAGATTGAGGTACATTTATTTTTTTTCAGATTTGTTTAGTAAATATTTTAAGCAGATCGAATTTATTCACAATCATATTCTCAAGCGACAAAATACTAAGAATTCTACAACAAACCGTACAACTAAAAAGATTTCAAATTCAAAAGGAAGTTCTTCACTTGATTCTTTTTTAACTTCACCTTTTCTTTCAGATACTCCTTTAAAAGATATTTTTATAAATGAATCCTTATATCTATTTTATATAATGGCATCCTATTTACCATTTGAAGAAAATAGTGAAAACTCAAATTTTTTTGATTTAGACTTAATTAATAAAATAATATCTGATAAGAGTAATGACTTACTTTTAAAGGAAGAAATTTTTATTGATAGTCAGTGTTTTCTTGTATATGCAATTGTTGGTTTAGCTATATGCATACCTCAAATTTCAGACTTAGTTTCTAATTTTTTCTCTATTCTTTTGAAATTGGAGACATTACCTTTTAAAATATTTTCTTATGTTGTTTCAGGAACTTTTATACTTCATAAGATTTGTTGTTTAGGACCTATAAGATTGAACATGACTTCAGAATTGGAGGATATTATTTATTTGGGCTTGATACCTATTCCTAAGTATTCAAGTAGACTTTATCCTACTGAAGATCTTATTGACTTAAGTTTAATAGTCATGAATCAGGGTATAATCTTAAATAATATGGAAAGTGAATATAACCAAGTTAATGAGTGGAAATCCATTCTAGATCAGTACTTGAAAATTGAAATGGGTGACTCACAAAGTCTCACAAAATCTAGAGTATTCAGTTGGACATTTGGTATATCTACAATTATTGAAACTATGTCTAATACTCTTCCCACAAAAGAAAATCTGCAACATTTACTAAATATATATAGGATATTTAAGGGTAAAAAAAGTTTAAATTTTAATCTAGATCGAGAAGTTTATCCTTTGATATTAGAATGCCTACTAACTGTTTCACTATATAAACACAATTTAGTGACAATAGAAGAACTTTGGAATCTGACTGTATACTGGGAGAAGAATTATGAGAGTTATTCTAACAACTTATCTGGTTTAAAGGAAGTTGATAAGTCAAATTTATGGATTAGTATAGATGTGTTTGCAATTTGTTATCTTCACTATATAGCAAGACATTCAAATGAAAGTTGCTCCAAAAACTTGTCTAAGTCTTGGATCAAACCTTTAATTAAACAGGTAATAGCTACAAATATTTCATGGGATGACGATTCACTAGTATTTATCTTTTCAGCAATTTTTATTTATCATGACATTGTAATTTTACCTTGGAAATTATCTTTTAATAGAGATTTGGATATGATTAGTAATCTAACAAGTTCGATAGTAAATTCAAGTGAATTACTTGAAATATTTGAATTTTTGTATCATCAAATTGTTGATACAAACCAATTTCTAGCTAAATCTCAAAGAAAAAATTCAAAGTTATCTTCATTAAACTCTTTTGAGCAGTTTATTTTATCTTTGTCGGATCCAACAAAAGCAACAAATCTCATACTTCTATCTTCTTTTGTTTTTATTGATAGCATGAACTTTTTAAATTTCAACGAAAGTTCGTCTTCTTCATTAACATCCCCATCATCTTTGTTGTTCTATCTTTTACAAAGAGTCAATAATATATTATCAGGATGGAGAAAAAACATTCATTTATCTCCTTTTTGTGTATCTTCCATTTTATTTGGATCAAATGAGAATATTCGTGATATTTTAAGTTTGGGGATTATTCTTAAAGCTATTAAATACTCTTCATCACTAAATTGTATTAATTTCAATCTTTCAGGTATAATTCACTTCTTGCTTTTTGATTGTGTTATGCCATTGATTAGCAGTCAATTTTTGGAGAATCAGGGGCTTTTGGAGATAGATAGAATGAAAGTAGTACTTGAATGGTTTTGGATTATATTTACGGACTTTATGACTGTATACTTAGTTAATGAACCTTTTATTAGTCAAAGTCTGACTAGATTTGGTTATCAACTCTTCAATACTGGACTATATAGTCGATCTAATCACTCTTTTTGGAACATCCTAATTATTTCATACTTAAGGTTGGTACAATGTATATTTATTACAATGAGCGAAATCACTACCCTTAATGACTTTATGAGTTTTTTATTCATGGCCCTTACTGAGAGTAATTCTCAAGAAACAAGTGTTTTAAATCACAATTCTGGGCTTTTCTTAAACTGTTTACTAGTAAACATAAAGCAAATTTTTAACATTTACCAGAATAATATAAATAACACACAAAGCCATACTCAATTTCCAGATTTCTCATATAGTCAACTACAGAGTATTAGTATAAAGACTCAAAGAATAATAATTCCGCTCTTCAAGTACTATCTAGTGCCAAAAATGTATGACTTTCCTTTCTCTGTAACAATTTCAACAACTCTTCTAATAAAGTCTATACTATCTAGCTTTGTAAGATCTGATTATAGAGATCTTAATACTAGTAAGGAATCAATAAAGGGAAACATTATGAATTTGATTAAGAGTTTACCACCCTTGTGTATAGGGTGGCTTGTTATACACGAAGGAGTCCCTATCGAATTTCTACATCTACGAACAAGACTATACATTGAATATGCTGAAGATATAATAAACTCTGAACATATAAGAGATATAGTACATACTGCATTCTGCTATTTCCAGTACACTATTTTCAAAGAAGGTGACTTAGTCACAAGTAATCGTGAAAATAGTGAATATATATTAAAGTATCTTTCGAGTTTAATTAAAATAGAGAAGTATTCTTGTTCTTCTATATTATTGCTACTGTATACATTAGCATTTATGTTTATACCAGATCTCAGTTATCTTTTATATGAGGTTTATATAGAAGATAAAGGTAACTTTACGAATAAAACAAAGAATTTAATAAAATCAACAGAGTGGCATGATATAAGGAATTTTTCTTTGTTGGACTCAGTAGACCATCCTTCCTTTAAAAACCCAGATGATATATTTATTGATAATAAAGGAATACAATTCTTATCTTATCACTATGATGAGATAAAAGCAAACTTCTTTTCTATTGATACGAACTTTTTGTCTATACAAAGTAGTTTTACTGGTGATACCTGTTATATTCCATGGAATATTTACAAACCATCTCCAATATTTTATAATATAAATCTTTTCTTCAAAAAAGAAGACTACTTCAGCAGCCTAAATAACTACAGAGAAGATATTAGGATATGGAGAAGACTTCTACCATATCGATTTTCCAATAATCTTAAGAACATTTCTCAAATTAATAATTCCAAATATTCAAATCTGATAAATAAAATTGAAGATTTGGAAATTGTGAAGTTAATATTACCAATAATATTAGCGTTTATAGACAACATGTACTCACCAAGTTTAATATCTAATGATTCTTTTATTAATTTGGACCTTATAAAAACCTTTAAATACAGCATTCAAAAATTACATTTTATCACCAATAGATAATATATAAAATTTTCGATATGAAGATTATAAGATTTCCTCTCTTGCATCATACTTTGCACGTATCAGTACTGGTACGTATTCACCCAGTAATGAGCCTATTCTTTTATTATCTGATTGTATCACTGCATATGGTACAACTGTTGAAAACTTATCAACAAATGTTGGAGATACTTGAGGTCCTTTAGTATATACCATTTCACGAATCTTTTGTTGAAGTTTTATTCTAGTATGTAATAAGTTTCTTTCAGTTCCTCTCAGATAATTAATATTTGAAAGGACAACATAAAATAATGTCCTTATATTTCTTGCTAGAGGTAAAATTCTCTCAAAAGATCTTCTTGAAGCATAAAATAGAGGAGGCAATAATGTACATGTGAAAGAGGTACACACAATTTTCCATATTAAACTTGATTTGGAGAAAAAAAATATTGAAAACAATATGGCATAACATAATGTAATAGTTGGTAGTAATGCTATAATTACAAGTATTCTATAAGATGCCAATACATCTGTTCCTCTAATTTTGACATCTGAACCTGCTAAAGCTTTCTTTCTATGCCTCTCAGCTAGAAGTGCAGGAATATATCTAATTGGTGCCCATAATGGGAAAAATGAGCCACCTATTATTATAACTAAAATCAACAAAAAAAATTTCGTAATAATTAATGTTATTGCAGCTGTTACAGGTTGTCTTAGTTGCCAAACTTCATTATCTGGTACTCCATATTGATTAATCATATCTTCATATTCACATAATCCTTTGCGTAGTTCTTCTAACTCAATGTCATCGCTTAAAACCCAAAAAAACTGTGAAAATAATTGATGTAAGTGATAATAATTATCTTGGGATAATGTCGTTCTATCAGGCGCATATAATTGAACGCATAGTCTGATGCAAGTCAGCGTTGTATAATCCCTAGCTGATACAAATACTGACTTCATACCCTTCTCAACAGTATCTAAAAGTTTTTTTACAGCATCACTAGGATTATTTTCATATTCTTGGGCCAACTCAACTGTTACAGGTATTGGTTGTCCAATCTCTACAACAGCGCTTGACAGTGCTTTGTATGGTTCATAATAATTTAATCCCACAGGTACTATCAAGAGATCTTCTGCACCTTCTAATACAGATGTTAATGCCATAACTGCTACACCTGGTTTAAGTGGCAACAAAGTAGTTCTATCATGTGATCCACCCTCTGGAAAAATCCCAATAGCATGACCACCCCTCATTACATCAGACACTGCCTCATATACAGAACTTTGGTCAATTTTTGGTATAACTACGAATGGGTATCCCTCAGATCTATCACTAGAAAATTCGATACCTATCTCAGTATCAATTAATAGTTCATTATCAGAAATTACATCGACAACTTTCCTACATATCTTTGTATTTTGGAAAGAAATAAGATCATGTACTTTGACATCTAATTTCAATCTTGTATTCACCCCTCTTATCCTTTTATCTGATATTGAATCCCAATACAAACCACCAATACCACGATAGCGTAAATCTTGTGGTCTCTGAACAGTTATACAGCCTGCTGATTGAGCAAATCTTCCAATTATAGGTCTCTTCGTAGAAATATCAGCAATCAAGAATCTAATATGACGTGGAAAGATTGCAATCAACATTGCAGCATCGACAAATTGATTCATATGATTACCAACAAATATAACAGGACCATATAGTGGTATCCTTTCCTTTCCTAAGACAGTAACGTTCTTAAAAAAAGTTTTCATCACTATTTGAGCGATTAGTTTAACCAAAAAGTACATTTCTAGATATATAAAAATTTATTAAACTTGAATAATTAATTGAGCCATATAAAAAGTGATTGTAAAAAATTAGAAAAATAACTTAGAGCGAGTTAAATTATTTATGAAATATCTGGACTATGGCGCTATATAGCAAAATCTAGCAGCATCTAGGATACATGTGCAGTATCACTTCATCACATATAACATCTAAAGAAACATTGATTTAATAAAGGTAGTCCAGTGAGGAGTTAGTTTACAGTCATTGTATGATGCATTATCCAAAAATAAATTCTCCTGTAATATTCCTTCTTCACATTCATCAAAAGTTATAAATTCATCAAGATCACCAATATCTTGTATATTAGAACTCTTAAGTTTATATTGACTAATTTCACAATTATCCCAATACTTCAATATCCAACTCTCTATTGTCTGACAATATTTAAGCATCTCATTACATTCCAACAATAAATCCTGCCAATAAGAATTAATTGAAACTTCTTGTACACCTTGATAGGTAGCAAAATTTTCCTGATTCTCTAGAGACATGGGAATTGGGATTCTTTCCAACCTAAATATCTCCATCTGCAACACTTCAATACTTCTATTTAGTAAACATATAACACATTTAATCCATTTATAATCCTTTTGTACAGTTTCATTGTCAGGACTAGATGTAGCTAACTCAAAACTTGATTCTATAATATGTATAAGATTCAAGAAACCAGATATAAAGTGGTGAAAGCACTCAAATTCACTGTGAATATTAATTAAAGGAATTTCATTAAGTTGTTTATTAATAAATAGTGAATTTTTATCCAATAGTGCTACAAATATGAATTGAATAGAGGGAAGAATTGATGGTCCATAATGGCGTAGTAATCTTAAGCTTATCTCAGGTAATTCATCATACAAAATATCTGTACAATATTTAATTAATTCAAAACTTGTATTATATAGTAATTTCTTGCTATCATAATTGTTCCATAATGCAGTTCTTGAGGCTATTTCAGTAATTAAAGATGGTATATCATGAAGTGGTGTATTATACATAGTAGAACGTAATATAATTAATAAGATAGTTTCATACCATTGTTCACGAGACGTTCTTGTATTTAGTAGTGGAAGAGTAAAACTTAGATGTGAATTAAAAGTTTTCGTATTTTGTATCTTAATAGATTCCTGCAGACTTCTCTCAGTTTTATTAAATAAATGTGTATTTTGAGATGAGTTAGTATTTGAAATATCATCTTCTATTGCTATTTCATCTGCTTCACTAATATTTTCATCTTGTTCAGATATAGTATTGAGTTCATTTTTATTAGGTGAATAAAATCCGTTATTCTGAAAGTTGATGTTGTTTGTATAATTTGTCTCTACTGTAAAAATAGGATTTTTACCCAAAGAATTAGATGGGAGAAGTAGAAATAAAGCCTCCTCAATAAAATCTCTCACTTTAGCAATAAGATTGTGGTCATTTTGGCAATAAATTTCACATGTATCAGCTATAACTGATAGTAAAGTTGAGACATGAAATATAATAGTATTGCAGTCACTTATTTTTTGTACTTCATAATATTGATCCTCACTCCTTTCATTTCCATTAGACAAAAAGAAGTGTCGTGAGTTTGAAGTTGGAGATGTACTTGATATAGGTGATTGACTTGAAGTGACAATAATTGGAGTAATACGCCGCTTATTAGAATTTGTTCTTGGAGGTGTAGCATCAGATGTATTAGATCGATTACGTGATATAGTTGGGGATATTGAGGAAGTATGTATTGGTATGGTACTTCTTTTAGTATCTGTCACTAAACATTGTAAACGTAGTGAAAATAATCTACATAAACCTATAATGTAACTTGAGATTGGAATAGAACCGAAATAATATCCTGTTCCATCTTTTTGGTTGACTAAATTTCCATTAGTCGACTGATTATTTATATAAGAGCCGAATAAATAAATTAACAGACTTCTAAATGTAATTCTTTGTATATCATAAATCTCTTTTATAATAATTTCATCATCCAATAACTCATTCCATAATAATATATAAACATCTTCAAAAGAAAAATGAAGTAACATTTCTTGAATTGAACTTCTTAGTCTAACAGATGTCAGTGAAAAAACAGTTTGAACTTTCGATGGCTCAGAATATTGCATCTCTTCTATATTAAAATATCCATTTAGAATGGAAATTAATGATAATATTGATAAATGTATAATCCAAGGTTTTGAAATGTTAAATGATTTGGATTTCTCTATAGTTTTCATTATTCCTAAATACTCCATGTATGAATACAAGTCACATATGAAACATCTTCCTAAAATTTCACAAGTATGCATTTGGTTTATTGGAAATATACAATTTACTTGAGTATTAGCCTGTTTTTGCTCAGAAAGATTGGATTCTACATTTATAAGTCCTGTAAATTCATCCTGATCAAAGATACTTTGCTTTCCACAATATTCTATTATCTTTTGTAAAAAGTGTATACCGAATTTTGCGGATATATAATATCTATTGTTAAATGTATCTGAATCATCAAATCCGCTTAAATCTGGTAGTATCATATATTCAAACGAGTATAAAGACATGTGACCACGTTGAATTAAAGGAGTGTATATAACACCTAATATGTGAGGAATACAACTGCAAACAAAATTACTAAGTTTTAAATTACTTTCAAAAGTGAGTTCTTGAGAAAAAGTTCTTGATTTAACTATTGGAAAATCAGAAATGTATCTATTATTTTCCCTATATTCGAGTATTTCTATATCATCATAATGCTTGTCATTCTCTTTATCATATTCTTCATTCCTTATTGTCAACTTTTCCACAATATCTAACAGTGACGTATTAATTAGCTTTCTTATCGAATTTGCAAACACATCTTTCTTTAAATTTCCCTTTCTTACAAAAAATTTGCTTCTCCAGTGTAAAAATACCGATGTAACTTGTATATTTTCACTAAAAAAAAATAATAACTTTAGATATAAAGAAATTATAGTAAATGTTATATTAATTGGAGTTTTAATGTCATTTCCACTATTAACATTTGCAAAGGCCAAATGTACAAAGTGTTGGTAAAGAGTTTTTTCACAAAGATCAAGAACCTTATGTACTGCCCGAAATTTTGGTATATTTTCCACTTTCAAATTATTTATTACCAAAAAAAGTTGTAGATATGGGAAAAGTTGAGAATTTACCAGGTGAATAGACCTGAAATTTAATATATTTAGTTGCACAGCCTTTGAAACATTTAACGGAAAAATATTTTTCTTCAATAATGAAGCAAGGTATATACCCAATTCAAAATGCCCATTGGATATTTCTATACTCCTCTCAAATACCCACAATAGTACTGAATTTTCTGTTCTTGGATTTAATAAGATTAAAAAAATTAAAACTAGGCAAACTCTTTTCTTATCTATTTCATCATCATCATTATGAATTTTATACATTTTCAATAATGATTCAATAATCAGTTGCATTGGACTTTTTAAAATAATTGAATCAAATGTCTTTGAAAATGTATCAAAATATTCAAGGATAGAATCCCCTGGTTTATAGTCAAATTCATTTGAAAAACAAGACATATTAGAGTCAAGAATAGTCAATTCTTTGATATAATTTAAATGATCCAATATATTCTCTCTGAATTGATATTCTGATAATTCAACTAGAGTATTAAGAATATCAGTTGATTCTTGGTACAACTGTAGTAGATCTTCAATATTATTATTATTTAAACTGTAGGAAGATAAAATCCATTGTAAAGTTGTAGCCATAATTAAAGGAAGAAAATTTGTATTAATAGCTGATAATGAACAGCGACAATCTTCATGAATCCTTTTATTAGTCTTTTTCTTATCCAAAGATAAATTTATATGATTGCGAAAGAATCTCCATAAAGAGATACAATGGACAAAAAATATGTTACAAAATAGATTGGAAGTACGACATTGATATAGTATTATTAATGCAATTTTTGTTGTACTCATTACATCATGTCTTTTTCTAAACCATTTAATGCTTGTCTGAAAATTTTCCTTATCAATAATCCATGTTTCATAGTCACATATGCAAAGAGTATCAAATAAACAAATATTTAAATTCCTACTGTGTTCTATTTGTATTTCATCCATTATTGAATAGACAAATATCCAAAGATCTAAGTTGTACCTTTCTAAGCTAGGAGAATCCAAATAATTCAAATAGTGTCCAAATTCTTGTAACCAATATTTAAGGTGATTATTTGGAAACAAATATAGTGAATTAAGATGAATATTACTTGACAAAATCAAAATTAAACAATTTCTGATAGAATTACGAACAACACCATGTATAACATATCGTAGTATCTTTGGATGTAGGCATTTTCTCAATGGATTTTTTGTTAGATTTAATGATTGGTTATGAAGAACAAAACACCATTCTAATATTAAAGGAATTGCTGCTATATCAATAGGTTGAAGTTTCTTAAATAAATTCTCAAAAAAAAAGCATATCTGCACTATTTCAAGTTCCATGGATAACTTACTAAGCATTTTCTCAAATACTTTCAAGTAAGGCATGCGGCTTTTAACTCCCACAATTCTTATTGCTTCTAAAAACAATTCAATCCAATCATTCACTGTAATACTAATATCGCCTGTTGACATTCTACCTAGAAAATTCTCAGTTGACCTTTTCCTTCTCTTTTTAATCTTTATTGATTGTTTATCCTCATATAATGGATTATTGACTACCTTATAATGCCCATACTTTTCTAATTTTCTTTTTAAAGGAAGACTAGACACTTTTTGAGACATTTTTGAAACAAAGTCAGGTTACTTAATCACATAAACCTGATTATATGATTTTAATTGCTTATATATTATATATTTATATATATATTCATTATTCAATTAAATTAGTGAAGGGCAAGATGTTCCCACATTTATCTTTAATATTTTGCCATTACAGTTACTAGCGCGGGAGAAGTGATGTGTTAAACTTAAAGAGTTCCCAATTAAAGATAATGATGAAAAACTATAAATAAGGATTAGTGGGACTCTAACCAGACTACTAGATGAAAAAAGATAGCCAATATAAATTCTAATTCCCTAGTAGATATTTTCTTTAAGTTAGGGGTCTGGACAAATAGAAACACTTTCAAGGTATATCACAAAATCTTAATATAATTTGATTATATCTGACTTCTAGTTTTCCATTACCAAGTTAATGATAATGCATTGATAATAAAATAATATTGGATAGTATTTAAGATGTATTTACTCCAAAACTCTGCAATATTCCTTGTCATTTGCTCACTTTCATTACTAGTATTAATTATACTATGCAACTTGGCCTTTATATTCTGCAAAAAACATCCTTGTAGAACTGAACATAGTAGTCAAAGATCAAGAAGACAGAATTACAATAATGCAGTAACAAGTAGTTATATAGAAAATGATGAAATGAATTTTACAATAAACCTCGAAGAATTTTCTTCTGTAGTCCCAGTAGTTCAGTATAAGATGTTAAGAAATACAAATACAGATTCATCTATTACAAGTACACCAACTAGTTCAAGTTATTCTTGTTGTGTAATATGCCTCAATTATATATTAGAGAATGAGTATGTACGACATTTGCCATGTGGTCATTTATATCATTCAATTTGTATTGATCAATGGGTTGAAAGGCGTTGTGTTTGTCCACTATGTAACGCCGACCTCAGACTACTATGTTCACAAGATTCAACATTTAGTCAGCAAATCACTTCACAATCTATACCCAACTCTCCATACCGGCAGCAAAATTCTGAGATGAATGAGATACCAGAATCCAATCTAACTCAATATAATTTCTGTAGCAGGTTATTTATCCCAACATTCCTTGTTAATATTAGCTCAAATCCTAAATAACTCATTTTGGAAGCTACATTTTACATATGTTGGTATTGCCATTTATAGTTGGTGACTTTTTCCTTGCCTTGCTGAATTTTTGGAAACTATCAATATTGCAACTACAATACCGCTTACTTACACCGTATTAACTTCAAGACATCTATCTTGAAGCCTTAAATTTCTTTATCTTTTCTGAGGCTATTCTTTAACGAAATTCATATTTAAAATTTAAATCTTTACTAAATTCTTGTATAATATTTAATATACATTATATCAATTATAGAGAATTGTCCTTTTTCTTAAAATGTATCTTATAAAATGGCTATTAATAATAAGCTTTTTAATAGATATTAGCCTTTTTGGTGTACAGTCACATCTATTACCCAATAGATCAAAATTAAATTGCCCCACTTATGGAAGTGTATCTTATGGATTTCTTTGTTCTGGGATAAATATTATTAAGAAGATGAATACGTCTTCATGGATAGAATGTGCTCGTGAATGTCAGAAGCATCATCAAGCCAAATCTCTTCGTAGATGTAAATACTGGTCATGGAGATCAACTGACTCAAAATGTTGGTTAAAAACTGGGCACAAGTTCTGTGCAGGAAGAGATGATATTTATATATCTGGTGTTTACCCCACTTTAGTGGCAGGAGATTGTTCCACAACTTGCATTGTTGGAGAATGGTCCCAATGGTCTCCTTGTAATCCAGAATTACCCTGTGGTGGTTATTCAGAACGTACTAGTCATATAATATATCCTTCTATATTTCCTGGTGAGATCTGTCCAAACAAATACGAAATTCGATCTTGTAAAGGAGATGCGATAAGATGTCCTTCAAATTGCCCAAATAATGATATAGTAACTCTTGGTTGGGGTTGTACAACAAGTATTCTACCTGGTGGTGGCTCTTTAATTTTACCAAATCTTGATATTGCCGATTGTATTAGCGTCTGCAAACATAACAAGGAATGTGCTGCATGGTCATTTGGTCCCTGGAACCAAACTATTGCAAATAGATCCTTGTTGAATACAAGTGATCTATCACCCAAAATTGAAGATGGAACTCTAATATGTATTATATCTTTAAATAATATTGGATGTTTTTTTAAACAAAAGGACTGGATTTCAGGAAATAATCAAACAACACCTGATGTTAACAACTGTTCAATTGATTGCACCACTCATGAATGGACAGCATGGTCTCTATGTGAAAAAACACCTGGAGAGAATAGATACATTAAAACTCGTTCACGTGAAATAGCTACATATCCACGAAATGGTGGGAAAGCATGTCCTTATCTGAAAGAAATAATACCTTGCACAGACCATTCTATAAATTCTAATGAATTTCAACACGATATTTTAACTACTTAATGTATTTCAATATTCCCTTTTAGGTTTTTTAATTATATACATCATCTCTTCTGTTTCTGGGACAAATATTATTTAAATATTATCTCAGATATTGGGTCATCTATGTTTTATAATTTAGTACACATTTAATAGTGTGTTTACTACTAGTGCTATTTATAATTTAAAGTACAAAAGGAGTAAAAATATCGGTATGTAACTACATGCATGTATGCATATAGTGGTGTTTTTCTCTATGAATAATTTTAGTTAAGACCTTTTAAGGCAAATCCTTAGTTTAAATTATTCTCTAATTAAATCTTACTGAATTTTAATGACTAATAATACTTTTTGTTTTACTTAGAGACTATCTCTATATATGTGGTCAGTAACATTTAATCAGTGTAATAAAGGACTATAAATACTACTAAAGATGAATATTTGATTATATTAAAAATATAGAGTACACATAAAATATAAATAATCTAAATAGATGTTAAAGTTTCTTATAAGTCAATCCTAATAGAATATTCAAATGTTTAATATTGTAGTTCCTGAACAAAAGTGTGCTATTATTGGAAGATATTAATAGAGATTTTGGCATATATAAACTAGTATAACTTTTAATTTATAGAAAATACTTTATCAGTAGGAAAAAATCCGTCGTTCCAACCTCTAAACAATTAGCATTGGTGAGCTTTTAAAAAAACATGGCGGGATGAGGACCCCCACACCCGTCCTCATGCAATATTAGTAGGGGGTTTCATGCAAAGATATTTGGGAAAAGGTAAAAGTAGTGGAGTAAAAATTAAGTAGGTAGATTGGAAAGTCTAAAGGCTAACAGATTCTAAGAGGGGATATTTTGAAGTGATTTGTTCATCATGGTAGCAAATGAACTATTAAATGTTACTTTTGATGAGGTGAGGCTGAAAGAATTTCCAATGATTGGTACAGAATCAATAGTGATAAGGGGCGAAAATACTCCAACGACAGATACAGATAATGAAACTGATACCTTCAGTGGGAATAGCCTAACTTCAATAAGTAATGAAGGTAAAAGTATAGAAGATTTGAAACAGGATATCGATTTGATCAACTCTGAGAAATATTGTATAAGTAATCATGATGATGTAGATTGCAGTAATAATTTAGACGTCTATGTAAATTCATTTAAACAAATAACCAAAGATAATAAGCTAATGAGATGTGATAGAATAATTTTATTGGATTTAGATAATACATTAATACCAACTAGTTGGATTATGCAAAAATGGCGTAATATCCAATATGAATTTGGAAATATTGGTGATAATTTTGAAAGTAATAATAATGAGCAATGCTTATATATGCTAACTGAGTCTATAAGAACACAGTTGGAAGAAGTTGGACTATTTGACATACTTGAACGTTTGTTTAATGATCTCTGGAAGAATGGTAAAGTCTTAAAAATTGTCATTGTCACTAATGCTGGATTAAGAACAGTTGAATTGTTTTATTTAAAATATTGCTTACCTAAGCTGAATGAGCTTATTATCAAATATAATATATCAATAAGATCAACAGAGGAATATATTAAGAAATCAGGGCCACCTCCTTCACCATTTCAAGAAGAAGATTACCGTGAGTTTTATACAAATGCAAAACTTTGTGAATTTCAAAGAGTACTATTAGATTGCTGGCATAGCAAACAGGTACAATTTGATTTAATATCCGCAGGCGATCAAGCATGTGAAATGACTGCAGCTTGTAGAATAAGTAAGTTTTATGAAGAACGAATAAACAGAACCAAATTAGTATATATACACGATCCAGATGATTTCCGATTCTGGAAACAAACTCCAGAAAGTTTTATGAATCAGTTAACAGAGACATATAAGGAATTATTGCTCTTATTGGATAATGATTCTGAAACATTAATTGGAACTAAGGATGATTCAAACTCAAATAGTTACATAAATCAGCATTATACTAATGAAGAACAAACTTTAGGTTGGTTTTCAAAAGGTAAATATATAAATATTGCAGTAAGCAAGCCAGAAAGGTTTGTATTACCTAATGGTAACGCACCTATTTACTATAATACCGAGAAACTGTACTATAAAAAACAAATTTAGGAATAAGTACTACATAGAGAGTATTATTAGGATAAATTCAAGTAGATATAGAGGTATATATTTATTTTGTTTGAATAGGTAGTGAAAACTTTATATATCTAAAGCCTAAGTCTCTAGAGATAAAGTTTTTAGGTAATTTAGAATTTATAAAGTGGATTTTAGTCACGAAATTTGAATGACCGGCTATTAAGTCATTTTTAAAAGACTCTTCTGTATACAAGGGGATCAATAAATAGGGGGATATTGTAAAGCCAACTATACAACTTTTGTAATCCTCCGTACATGAAAGATCTACCATGGATTTTGGTATTGGGATGTAATCAAGTGTTGTTACATCTGTAAATAAATAAGGTATAGTTCTTGTATTACATGATATCTTACCTGTAGCTGTATCTATAGGAACTGGTCCCAAGTATGCAATATCGGCACTATTAACTTCTACTTCGATAAGAAATAAATAGTCAACCCTACTTATATCTAGTAAAAATGAGAAAGATGATTTAAAACCAACTAAATTGTTAGTTATAGTTGTCTTAGTCAATGGGTTTGAGATAGTAAAGTAATCGCTACTATTTATAGCTGGCATCAAATCTATCATATTGGGAGAAATCGCAAAAGTTAAAGTTATACCACATAGAGGAATAAATAGTGATATACATAGCCAACAAACAATATAGAAACAGATAATGAAAATATCCTTCTTTGTATAACGAGGTGCAGGTGTATTCTTAATATAGCGACGCCCGTATATAAAGCTGCTTAACAAATTATAGTATATACCCTGATAGTATATGTAGATTCTAGATAAAAAATTGACCTTTTCCATGTAAAATACACCATAAACACTTCGAAACCTACGTTGATCACTTTCAATATTACAGTGTATTAGGCTATAAATTGTAAGTCTTTTGTTACACCGCCAAAATATGGGTCCTTTCGAGAAAATTATAAAAAGTAAAAAATGGTACGTAAAACTCAGACTAATATATCTGGTACAACACTTGACAATAAGAGGCGAACTTTACCCAATTTTCGCTTTGTATTACACCCGATATACAGTATATTTCCAATGGATATTACAAATATGACATATGAAGAGTACTGGAATCTCTACAATGAATACAAAACAAAGGCATTCCATAATGAACTTGAACCAGTGATACCACAGCATAGTGATTTTTTTATGAATACTAATATCCCTAATATACCAACTACTGTCTATCAACACCAAGTTGGAGCTCCTCAGTATGCAATATATCCTTCTCTTGGTCCTATCTAATGATGATCAAAATATCAAGCTTAAATATTTCTCAATAAAACTATATTAGGAAAAAAAACTAATAGTAAATACTATCCAATATTCTATATACCAGTTTTGTCTCTAATACTAGCTGCAGTAGAGGGTGTATGTGAATATAAATCTTCTAAACTATCAGAATAGAAATTCACAGTTGATTTTATGTCTTGTGGCCTAATATCTTCACTATGTATATTGTCATCCTTATTCAAGTTATCTACCCAAACAAGAGGAATATCAAGTAAACTTAGTGGAGTGAAAGATGTGGGTATATTGAAATTATCAATGGACCATGTAACTTCTTCACTTGGATGAGAAACTTCACAATCTTCTACATCAAATAGATTAGCTACAAATGGAGGTAGTGAACCAATAGATTTATCTATTGATTCATCTAGAGATGATGAATTTAAATTCGTTGGAGTATTTGTACTGGCTAATGTAGTAGAAGTACTTAAGTGATTGAGATTAATCATGTGATCATCTGTTAAAAGCTTTCTTTGCTGTATTCTCAGTTTTTCTAGTGGTACTGGAAGTGTCTCAACCTCTAAGGGTATGAATTCTCCTTTTTGAGGCTTACTTCGCAATTCATGGACACCATGAGCATAGCGACAGGATTCACCTACTGCGCAACTTCCTTTTAACCAATATATACATAGAGAAGTCTTGAATAGATCCGATGTTGCTCTTAACTCTTTTCTTGAGTGGGCATATCTACATTGAGGATCTTTACACTCCCCCTCTTTTAACTGTCTATCACATAACTTTGTCCTTGTTAAATCAACACTAGGTCTCAATTCATCAGGAGAATGAGCCCAATTACAATCTTTGTCCATCCTACAACGACCTACTGCAAACCATGGACACTTCTTTGTTTTATAGAACTGTGGCATTATCTATTAATAAAGGTTCAATTTTATTATACGACAAATAAAAAAGATCTTGAGGAAAGAGATAGCCTTTATGGAAATATGACCATGTAGCTTTTTGCTGTAGCTTCTTGCTTAAGTGTGATTCAAAATATTCTACCAACCAGAAGTTTTGATTATTATACTAATTCCTGCAATAAACTATCCTGATTTTTATATTGTCATCCATTCTACACCATGCACCAAAATCGTCATCGCGGAAAATGGCCATGTCACGGGTCAGATATCGGTATTTTTTGGGTACCCACATTTGCATGTTATGACACTACTTTTTTTTTACTAGAGAATATCTGGTTATAGAAACTACTTTATATATAAGACATGTATAAAAGATACTTTAAAGCCTATATTTATATGCTATTCTAGTGTATATTAATTATGTAGATAAACTTTATTCTACAAAATTTAAGTATATGTAGTATCTTGTTCCATGACTGAATTTTGACTAGGATTTTTGGATAATATCCCTTAGCATAGCAACTGAGTTCATTTGATCAAGTATAACCTTTTTAATTATCCATGCAGATATGCCTACTGTCTGGAGATCAACTTGATTAAGGTATATAAGCTGAATTTCATTGTCTTTACTTCCAGGACGAAATATATATGTTGCAAAGTAATTTTGAGCTCTCACATAAGAATCATTAATATTAGACCATTCAACTGATTGAGTGAGCAAAATTTCCTCTTCACGCATAGAATTTGAACAGTTAGAATCTTTAATAGGACAACTACTATTAGTTGAATGATTATTACCTCTGAAATTTCTTTTTAATCTATAGCAAATTACAACAAAATCTCTGCCTGCAACTCCCCATTGACCCTTAAATGCTTGATAAACAATACAGATATTAGGATTAGATTTAAAATAATATAAAGGTTTGCAATACTCAACCATTGGATCGTAATATACTTTAGTACTAGAGTCCCAAATATAGTCAACTATATCTTTAACACATGTAAAAATGAATTTGTTTATTTTTATATTATTAGAATCTACTTGACAGTCATTCCTGTTTTGTAATTTGATAGTTGTAATTCCACAGCTCATAAAAGGAGCATTTTGAAAATCTTTCTTGTATATTTTAAAGCCATTAGATGATCTTTCAAGACTCCATTTTAAAAATCCCTCATCAACTTCTGCCAAAAGTTCATCAGTTCGAGACAACAATTCTCCCTTTTTTTTTTCAACAATAGAAAGGAACTGATCCTCATTATCTGCCAGATGTTGAACTGACTTTGGGAAATCCGTATTACTTCCTAAAAACCAAGGTGAATTTAAATCATTTTTCAACGATAAGTCTTGTGAGGTGGCTGACTGACTAAAGACTTGTTCATCGGAGGAGGACACTAAAGAAGACTTTTCAGATGGTGAAGCTGAACACTTTCCGTTAGACAACTTTTCACCTTGTTTTTCTTTTATAGGATCCTCTTTCCTTTTAAAGTAGCGAGAGCAGACTAACAATATATTTTTACTATTTAAGCTGCTCTTACATCCTTTTAAAATGACTTTATAACAAAGAATATCTTGATCTTGACTATCAATAATTTTTCCATCATTTCCTTTGATTTGGAAAGGAAGTTTTGATGAGCTAATGATTCGTCTCATTTCTACCATTTTAAAGCCATCTTTATGCTGTCTAGTTTCTAAAATGACACTCATATCTTCAGACCACTGACAGGTAGTGTTAGGTTGTTCAATAACAATATATTTATTACTTGAACGTCTTCTTTTGCTAGTACTCTGTTTATTAAGATATAAATCCTCATCTTGTCCTATTGGTAAGCATCCAGATGTTTGTGGAGAAATGAGAGCCTGATCATCTTTAATTACAGAGTTATTTTCCTTCTCAATAACTAGGGTAATCTTATTATTGATCCCCATTCCTAAAGTAGTAGATACCACAATGAGACCTTTAGAGATATCTACATCATAATGTACAACTGGGTTCAACTTATCTACAGCTCTACGAATAATCCAAGAAACTCCCAATGCTGCATTTAGTTCTTGCAAGGAGTCTGAATGATTCCTTAGAAGGCACCAGTAACCTCTAAATTTCAATAACATACTTAAAGGAGGAGTTGTGAGGGGAGGTAATGGAGAAATATTTAGAGCTGATTTCCTTGATTTAATTAGAGAGACATCACCACTATTGATCAAAGGCTGAATTTTTGGAATAGGGCTTGTTAGGCCTAATGGAGGTAGTATATGATGTCTTTCAATGACTTTGTCAATTATACTTGACAGGGATTTGTCCGAAATCTGCGATGTTTGAGTATATATACCTGGGATTAGCCTAAAGAGTGATAAAACAATAGTTTCACTAATAAATCTAAGTATATCACAGCTATAATTAACATTTGAGATTATTCTGATGCAAATAGTTAATATTATAACATAAGTCTTCAGACCTTTTGAGATATCCCAAGCTGAAACAAACAAAATTACCAACATCATATTAGTCTCCAAAATCAATTGCCAAATTTTGTGAGACAAAGTAAATTGTAAGAGCCATGGACGTGTAGATTGCATTAATAATTTCCCACAAAAGATAATTATAAGTAGTATACCACTTATAGTTAGAATAAAGGATGCAGTAACTGGAAATTGTGTACATATGGAATATACCATCAATTGTAACAAACTGAAGCATTCCATATCTTGATATAAAGTTGAATAAGTTTCTTTATAGTATGTATTGTCTTCTGCTGAATAGATATCAAACTCTTGAGGAAATTGTTCTGGTTCCTTAATATATTCATTCCCATTTCCAGAGTTAATTAGTAATTCATTACATTTATTAGATTCTTTGGGATATTTAAGGGAGATCCTTGTTTCCTTACGACTTGATTGTATGGAGTAGCATCTTAGTTGGTCTCCCAAAGAAGCTCTATTTATTTCTTGACTAGGACCCAACTTGAAAGCTATATATTTAGCAGAAAAAGGTAAAAAATTAATAACCTGGGCCACAAAATGTACCAAAATAATCAAGCACATTGTAAGAGGTAGATAATATTTTGAATTATCTTTAAAAAGTTTTTTGAATAAGATATAGAAAAGAAATACTCCTAAATTTTTTATTTGAACTGGCAAGGCAAATATCACCAAATTTCCCATATTTTTAAAATTCAAATTGATCTCCATTTCACAAAATATTCTAAAAAGGAAATGTGATATTAACATTGTGAAAAAAAATACCCCGTAATTTGTCTGGATCAACCAAAATAAAGTTGAATAATATCCCAAAGAAAAGTATAAAATTGTTGCTATTGATAGCATTGCCATTGAAACTAAAAATGAGGAGTAGGAGTTTGGTATGTAGTTAGAAATATATGCCTTAGCTATTATTGAATGGATTAGCTCAGTTATTCCTGATATCCTATATTCTGATTGATAAACCTTAGCAGTTCTTACAGGTGCCTTAGATTTCAATATAATAAATTGAATTAGCTTCTCTTCATTAAAATTAGGTAGTGGAAACTGATCAGCTAAGCTCGTTAGAAATACTAAACCAAAAGAGCATATTAAGGGAGTCGAAATTAGTATATAAGAAGTTGCAGTAGATTCAACTGATTGACCCAAATTTAATTGATATTGGGTCAGTTTAAAAAATATATTGATCCCAAGTGATACAAAAGAGACAAAAAGTGAACTAAAAATAAGCCATAACCACGTCAAAGTTGTAGGGCCAAAATAATCACACCAATTACACATGATATTAAATAAAGCTGGAGCAAGAAAATTCACTTGTCTACTTAGTCTGGAATCTGATGATTCTTGATATTCAGGTATTGATTTTAAAGTTATACCTCCATAAAAAAAATTTTTTGATTCCTGTAAAAGCTCAAATAGAGACTCCCCATTGTGCAAAGGTATCATTGAATCAATATGAAATTCCCACTCTGGTATTACAGATATTTCATCATACAAAGCAATCCCCAACAAAAAAAGCCATGAAAATGGAGGAGGCCAGTCCCCCCAAAATCTTGATTTATCTGAGGGTTTCAACTCTTCAACTTGGCTAATTATTTTATCATTTGATAAGTTTAAACTCACCACTAGTTTGATCAGATTATCTTTGTGTTCGGAATTAGAAAAATCAAATACTAAAAATTGTGAACACTGCTTCACACAATTTGCAATGACCCTACCCTTTTCAGTCTGTCTTAATATTAAAAGAAAATGAGATTCACTCTCTTCTAGTGATTCTACATTATCTTCTGGTAATCTTTTTCTTGGGTGAGCCCAAAATCCCGGAAAAAATTTAGAAAAAACCATCATTAAATTATTGATGAGACCATTGTGAAAATCAACTCCTCTTTTTTTTCTCAATATTCTTTTCTGCTGCCTCTGCTCAGCTCTTGTCAAGGTATGACAAAATTTCTTAAAATACATACAATACTTTTAACCCGAACCCGCGCTAACATTTTACTAGTTAACCGCCTTTCCTGTTTTTTCCTTAGGATGTATTCTTAAATAATGAATTTGAACTGTCTTTAAATCTAATAAATCTATATATAGTGAAATATACCAGCAGTAAATTAAGCTGCAGCTATAACACTAGGCAGGTTTTTAATGATATTACCTAATATTTTTTGTCTGATTTCATTAACTAAAGCTGGACCACAGTAACACCTAAAATTAATAATATATCAAGTAAATTAAATACAATAGAACTAATAGCTTCACTTCTTATACATATTTAAAAATAGTCTTACCTAGCCTGTTGTAGTATCCCATTTAGATATCTCTGTTTTAACTGAAAATTATATAAATGAAATGGATTAGTATCAAAGTCTAAAACTTGAGTATATGAGTTCACCATAAGTGCACATAACAATTCAAGCAAATACATCTTAAGAGTAACTGTTTGTGTTACTATGCTTAATGTAATATTCCTAACTCTAGACTCATTATTGAGTTCCAACTTTCTAGGATGTGAGAGACCTGTCTGAGATGGTAATGTCAATTCTGATATCCAAATAGTCTCAATTGGAGCTAAGTTAGTATTATTATCTCTATAGAAAACTATAGATCCATCTGAATATATGCAACTATAAAGGTATTCATATATATCATTATATTCACTTAATACCCATATATAATCTTGATATATGCAAACTATATTAATGGGGGGAGGATTCATAATTAAGGAAAGTCCATAACTTGTTAAATTTTCTAAGATACCATTAATATTTATTGAATTAGATAATGAAGACAAAAAATTATCATTTTCGTTATGCTCATTATTCTCACTTTCCTCTGGATTTGTTACTTGTTCCTGACTATAAGTTTCCAAATGTTCTGATTCACTTCTTTGTTCTGCTTGATTTTGATTTTTGGTGCAAATATGGTAAACTTGTGAATATGTATTACTAATAGTCTTTAATAGTTTACGATAAAATATATCTACATATGTCAGATTATCTTCACGCAGGTTTGCTAAATATATTTGTCTCTCTGGTATTTGTTGGAGTTGTTGGTCTTCTTCTTCTTGATTAAAAACTGTAAGAATATTATATATTGATGTCCAATCTATTGAGATCATATCTATTTTGTGATTTTTGTAATAATTATAAGTAACAAGATACATATAATTTACATGCAAGATGTCCAGAAGTGCATCGGATATCACGCGCCTCAATTACAAGGTTTATATTGAGACAATTGTGTATCAGAATAGGGGACCTAATATTATAGAGCCATTATAAATTTATCTAATATACAAAATATATTCTAAATATTGACTGGACTTATGAAATAATTAATATTTTGTTTCACTATCAATCTCTTTTTTTTTGGTTTTGGATGATATTATAAAGAACTTTTAAATTAGGCTATGAAAGGGATAATTACAAATAGGAATGTAGCAGAAATAGTTCTAGATGAATTAGATATATTGGCAGGGCTACTGAAAGATTTAAAGTCACGAGATAGTAAAGTATTTTACAAGATATATCACTCTTTACTTCGTCTAAGGCATAATTGGCGAGAGCTTTCTATAAATGCTGAACAAAATAATACTTTACTACAGGAACACTATAATAATTTGATTTTGGATAAGAAACTTCAGTTATTTGAGTTAAATCAAAGAAAAATGAATATTGAATATATTATAAAGGATATTTTAAATTGTATCCATCCAGCTTTTGATACATTTGTAAAGCAGACTTCTCCAGATAAAATAGATACAAAATGTGAGACTCTTAATGAAGTATTTGAAACTACTGAAGAACACTTATATAATGATCTAAGGGAAAGAAAAATGCGTAAAACCGAAGAAGAGGCTTTAAATAAAAGGAAAGAGTCATTAACAAGCCAGCTTCAATCACTTAAGAAACAAAGAGAGGATATACCAAGACAATTTGAAGGTTTATCTAAACATTTAGAGAATGTAAAAAAGTATCTTTTAAAAATGAATATTTTACAAAGGAATCATATAGATAATCTTCAAGATTTACCATTACCTTTAAAAATTATATACATTAAATTCCGTATATATATAGACTCTTATACTCGTGAAGATAAGGATATTATTGGATTATTAATAGATGAATATGGAGTAATTAGCATCAATATTAATAAATTTATAGATAATATTCAACCTAAAGATAATGATTCTATAAACTTTAATGGAGATTTATATGAATTACCTATTCGTTTAGAGTTCTCATTAATGAATTCTATATCATCTCTAGAGGTTGTAGTTGCATCTATTTACTCTTCTAAAAATAAGCTTTTAAGTCACAGTATATTAGCTAATCTATGTTTTCCAAATGATGATGGAACCTTGATACCACTTATTGAAGATGAAACATTGGAAATTACAACAAAATCTGAATATGGTAGGGCCTATATATGGGTGCAGGCTTTGAGTAATAACTCAAATTTCCCTTCAGGTTACATAAGTCCGAAAGTAGATGATATAATTAGAAATATACAAAAAAGATTATTAATAGTTTCTTATTCAACATATTTTATTAAACTGCTAATTAAATCCCCAGAAGAAGCATACAATATAATGAACCTATCTATACCACTTGATATGTTCCAAAAGTCCTTTAGAGTATTGTCAAAATTACCAGAATGGACGAGTGAGACTGAAGAAATTGAAATAGATATTCAAATTTGTTCATTTCTCATTAAAGCAAAGATATCTATACTTGGACATGGACTTTTTTATAGTGATACAAATAATGAAATATCTAGTCTTATAGAACAAATAAATGACCTAAGGATAGAAAATTTTGAAGGAGATTTTAGTATAAATAATATAGAATCAATTATATTGGTTACTAAGCAAATCAAAGTTTTATTAAATTTTTGCCTTCAACATAAAGACCAAATATAAATGTAAAAAGGCGGTCAAAAGGCGCCATATTTTGTTTTTGTTCCGAAGGTAAATTTATATTGTAGAAAAATAATAAGGGAAATGATGGACCTATGTGATAAATTCAAGAAAAGCTATTTTCTTTGGGACTTAGTTAGATATTTATCGGAACTTTATTAGTTAATAAGAGTTCTACTTTTAATTTTAATATTTTTCATTGATTGATGACTTCTCTTAATACCTATTCATCACCAAGATCTACTGGTAGATTATCTCCAAGAGCAATAATAGGAAAAAGACAAGTTAAGGAACATAGATCACCGAGAAAACTGGCTACAGAACATATAACTCACTCTCCTATATTTCACCAAGGTATATCTTCAGCCCATAATATCTCTTCAAATATTAAAAATCTGAAAAGTCCTAAAAGCATAAAATCAGGTACACATACTAAAATTAGTCCAATAAAACATCATACAAGTCATCATGCAAATCATAATGTAGATCATTACTCAAAAAGTCCAACTCGTCGTTCTTTAAGGTTATTGATGGAGAGTACCCAAAATAAACATGATACTCAGATCTTTCACCATCAAACTACTAATAATTCATATCAGACTGCAAAGTTAGTTGAAAAAGGATCTAATCAAATCAAATCTTCAGTTACTTTAAAGAGAAATAAAAAAAAGAATATAACTTCTCCTAAAAAGAGAAAAGCAACTAACAAAGTACCTACAAAGAAAAGAATTTCAAAGTCTTCGAAGAGTTCTGCAAGGGTATCCCCCAAAAAATTTTAATATTCTGTTGAATAGATAAAATTGAGGACTTTTTAATAATACTCTAGTATTTTTAAAGGTTACTGAATTTAGGTGTAATTTATTGTTTACTTTATTGAATATCTACTATTTCTTAATCTTCCTAGAATTACTAAGAAAAGTAGTAAATTCTGTCAGTTCCCCATTAATAGCTAAATACTAAGAAGGTTTTATATAGAAGTTGAACTATATTAAAATATAAAGTATAAAGTATAATTAATTGTAAAAGTATTCAAACTAGGTAGAGGTTTATAGAATGATTAATAACTTGCTAAATAATATAATAATCTCAATCATTGTCTGCATTAGCAGGAGAAATTATTATTGATATTTGAGAATTAATACTAGGGAAGAATATAAATAAAGACATATATTTTTCTGGGGTTATTGTAGCAACACAATGAGCATCTGAGATGCATAGAACCAACTGTAAAATAGCAATTATATGGTGTATATCAAAAGTGGCTGATAAATTAAAACCTTTATTTACTTGATTATTTTGTAAGTTATCGTGAAATTCATCACTAGTTTTAAAGACTCTGCAGTTATTAAAGAAAGTCTTAATGGAGGCTGATGCCAGAGATGTATGAGAAGAACATACAAAGTGGCATAATTCATTATTCAGAGGTTTCCCTATTCCATTAATTTTTTCACTTTCATCAGTATCTTCATTATAAATTATTTGTATGTCAATAAATTTAGAACCAACTAATTTCATTCTTTCCAAGAGCCTGTGAAATAATTTAGCTGGAGGGATTGAAAAGTGGATATTTGGTATTCCAATTTCACAATTTAATAATTCTGCTAATGGAATCAAATCATCTACATATTGAGCTTTGATTACATCTATAGAGCAGTCATGAACAAGTTGGAAAGTACTCGACTTTTTAGTTTCAACTGTCATTGTAAAGGAAAGGACATTTTGATTATCTCTTTTGCTAAGTCTCAAACTTGTTTCCTTTGCTAAAGAAGCTGATTTTAGTGGTAAAATTAGAGATTCTGGATTCATACTTATACCTATAATATTGTTATGTTTGCTTTCAACAATATATCCTGGATAGAAAATATCTTTGTAGTCAAATTTACAAGAGACATCCAGTATTTCATTATCTGTAGTGTTATATACTGTTAAGATTAATAGAAGAAATGTCTTATCTAATTTTATACAAAATCTAGTCTTCTGTTTTGGTGGACAGGCTTTTGAAAGTTTTACAAATCCTTGTATACATTCCATTAATAGAGTTGATCTCCTATGTAGGAGTGTAGCTTTGAATCGCATAATTCTATAATATTACAATATCTTTTTTATAATCAAGGTAAGTATAAGGATCCAATTGTTTACATCATGTCAGTAATTTAATTATTTTGGATGATACCGTTCAATATAATTTTATGTAATAGGATATCCAAAAGTTTAATATTAAAATTACGATTTTTGATATATCTTTTGTTACTATAACGAGCTTTACACACTTAGTCTATTTACTAAAATTATACTAGTAATCTAAACTTTGTGTGTATTAAGTATAGACAAAGTTAGTTTAAAATTGAGTCTTTAAATTATTGTCTCATGTTTCTCATACTAAAAACGTAGGAATCTTAAACAAAATATTATGGCGGTTAATGTACTCAATATGAGACCGCTTTATTTTGTTGGGACTTTATTTACGTACCTATAAACCTCAACTGTGGTAAAATATTAAAGAAAAAAAAAAGCCAAGAGGCTGAGAGATTAGAAACATCACATAAATATAGAAAAATATAAATAATACATTGACATATAGAATAGTATCTGAAAAAACTATGGGTGGAAAAACTAGAATCGCGTATTTTTACGACGAAGAGGTAGGCAATTTCCACTATGGTTTAGGACATCCTATGAAACCCCATAGAGTACGTATGACTCACGACTTAGTAACCCAATATGGGTTAACTGAAAAGCTTGATGTAATGATCCCAACTCCAGGTACTAGAGAATCTCTAACGAGGTTTCATTCAAATGACTATGTGGATTTCCTCAGAACTGTAAACACTGACAATATGCATGATTATTCAGATCACTTAGCTAGGTTTAATGTTGGTGAAGATTGTCCAGTTTTTGATGGATTATGGGAATTTTGCCAGTTATCAGCTGGTGGATCTTTAGGGGGTGCTCAATCTGTGAATGAACTAGGTTATGATTATGCTATAAATTGGGCTGGAGGTTTACATCATGGTAAAAAGCACGAAGCTAGTGGTTTTTGTTATGTTAATGATTGTGTCTTAGGAGCTTTGGAATTTCTCAAGTATCAGCATAGAGTATGTTACATAGATATAGATATTCATCATGGTGATGGTGTTGAAGAAGCTTTTTATACATCTCCACGTTGTATGTGTGTTTCATTTCATAAATATGGAGATTATTTCCCTGGAACTGGAGCTATAAATGATGTTGGAGTTGAAGAGGGACTTGGATATTCCGTAAATGTACCACTAAAAGATGGTGTAGATGATGCCACATTCATTGACTTATTTACTAAGGTTATGACTCTTGTCATGGAAAAATATAGACCTGGAGCTATTGTATTGCAATGTGGAGCTGATTCTTTATCTGGGGATAGATTAGGTTGTTTTAACCTTTCTTTGAAGGGTCATGGTTATGCTGTTTCTTTTCTTAAAAAATTCAAAATTCCAATGCTCATACTAGGAGGAGGGGGTTACACTTTGAGAAATGTACCTAAATGTTGGGCATATGAAACTAGTCTTATTGTGGATACTTATATTGATGAACAACTACCGAATGCATCTAACTTTTATGGGTATTATGGTCCTGATTTCTCCTTGGCTGTTAGAACATCAAATATGGAGAATCTTAATTCAAAAAAGGACTGTGACAATATAATACAACAAATTTCTGAAAACTTTAGGGAATTTGTTTTACCTGTAGGGGGTCACTTATCATGCTATGATATTCCAGATAAACTTCCATTATTATATAATTCGGGAATTAAAGATGAATATATAAATGATGGAGGTGATCCTAGAAATGACATGCACACTGATTTAAAGGATGACATGGAAGATTTTCATCATGTAGATTATAATGACAGAAATTTAGGTTAAAATACTATTATTAAGGATAAATTTAATAAATTAGACTATTATAATCTCCATTGAAGTTTTTCAATTCTACTTTGGTTACAATTAATTTGCAGTGATTCTTTATATTGTATATAATTAAGCTATTATTCAAAGTATACACTATGAATATTTGGTTTGGTTTTTACGAAACTTTACAAGTTCACAGATTTTTTTTCTTTTTTAAAAGAGATTCTCTATTTCCAAGAATTTGGAAGACTTATAATTACTTTAATGTAATTTTTGATTTCATAGGATTTCACCAGATGGCGTATGCAGTTATTTAACATAATTGTTTTATTATAGTTAACAATTCAATTTATTATCGATGTTTTACACAAGTTAATATTATATAGCATTATGAAAGTACAGAACCAATTTGCTGAAATTCAAAATATTGCATTAAGAACTTGAATACTTCGTGGACATTTTAAGTTAGACTAAATTATTCATACACTAGATAAAGTTTAAGCTGTATCTTATTGCTAATTAATGTGTATATGATCTTTAAAGTTTTGTAACAAATACTACTGGTGGATTAATTTAATTAGTCTAATGTTAGCAATCTGTTAACTATTGTCCAGTTGCAGATTGATCAATACCTTTCATTTCAATTTACATGAATATGAAATGGAAATTATTTATAATACATATTTATTAAATTAGTGCACTTTTCAATATTAATTTACAGTTTAATATTCTTGTATTTAAGAAGTTTTTTGAATATTATTTAAAAATGAAATTTGAAACTTAATATTATTAGGATACATTATTATTGAATTAGAGTAATCGTGACTTGTATATATATCAAAGTATTGTAGAATACAAGATACTCTTAGTCTATATTCATCTGTTGACTAAACATGTCAATTTCACAGTTCTCTTTGTTAATATTCTTGTTTGTGACTTTATAATTATCTATTTGTTGCTGAAATACCAAATTAAAGATATCTTGATTTGCACTATTGTCTATAGAATCCTGTTGTAAGCAACTAGTTTCTGGATGATTAATGTTCTGTTTAAGATTACACTGATAATATTCCTTATCTTCCTCATATTTTTCATCTTCTCTATGATTTATAGATTTATTAATTCGCTTGTAGTCACCTTCATTCACTATCCAAAATCTTTGTCTACGTTTCTTATGTGAGTACCCAAGATGCATAATAGGATTTATACTAGGTAATATTTTAACTACTTCTTCAATTTTCGGTAACTCCATTATAAATGGTACCTCAGTTTCTCTATTTACTATTGAGATCTTACTGTTTGAAGATGGAAGGTCTATTCCCTTATATAAAACAATACTCTGGCATCCAGAATCAATGCTACTAAAATTTGAGGAATTTCTGTAATCTTCATCAGTATCAAATACATCATAATTATTAAATGGTATATTTAAGAGATTGGAATCACTAAATGGGTTATATAAGCAAGTTTTTTTGGTAGGAGGACTATAAGAATTAAATTCATTTTCCATTAAAAAAGTAATGTTACAAAGTCCCCGGGTCTAGTTACTGAATTATTTTAGGCACAGACATAGTATATTAAAACTCACAATATTAAAGAGATTAGTCTACAAAAGGATCCAAAACATAAAAAATAATTAGGGAATCTAATTGATATTCTATTTGTCTTTACTAAGTTAACATCAAATGAGGATTATTAAAATGAGTTAATAATGTCTCATTTCGATATATATGGTCTTAATAATTCTACAATATTTATGACCTTGGTTTTTCCTTCTTTTCCTTAAAAAGAGCTAATAATGATACTCCAGAGACCTTTACAGCCTTAAATCGAACACCTGGAATATCACCGACGGAGTGACCCTTACGACCAAAGCCAGCAACCAATACTTCATCATTCTCATCAATAAAATTTAAACAACCATCTCTCGGAACGAAAGCAGTTATTTTCTTACCATTCTTAATGAGTTGTACACGAACACATTTACGGACAGCAGAGTTTGGTTGCTTAGCTTCAATACCAAAGCGTTCTACAACTATCCCCTTAGCATGAGAAGCACCTCCAAAGGGATTAGACTTATATCTTGTACCCAAATTAGCTTTCTTGTACTGTTTATCAGCCCATCTTTGTGATCTACGTCGTGTACGAAGTTCACGTGCTGTGTTAATACCTCTTGGTTTACCTGTAAATTAGATTATTGTCTGTCAAGTTACAGTCCCTATTTTACTGAAAATATTGGCATAAACATACCTGAACCCATCAATACTTCAAATTAATCTAAATCTATAAATAAATGCTCTTAATTAGTAAAAGCAAGAACCTTACTTCTTACAATGCTTCAAATTGTCTTCGTTAATAAAATAATATATACCGCCTTAGTAAAGACAAAAGTCCATTTTAGGTCTAATAGAAATAAAAATGTAATCTCGTCTCGAGACAAGACAGACATATTGCGCTAAAAGTAAAAACTGAGGTTACCTAACATAATATAGTAAGTTTGTTCTTTATTCTTGAAATTATTCAATTAATACAATACACTTAGAATTAGATAATTCTCACAGCAATCTCCTTCATAAATTATTTGATGTTTTCAGTGGGAAGAGCTCCTATTGCTTCTCCTCCCAGTGATGATTGTATTTCCAAGCTTCAAACGACATTGAATAATATTATACATTGCGCAACAGTAGGTTTAAATATTTGTATGCTTCCTACTCTCTTACCGATTTTATGTCTATTAACTTATGTGAATATCGGTCTTCTTGATTGTAGGATGCTCTACACATACTACCAGAAACAGCACCAGTTATTTCCTCTAGTATGGATATATTAGGTACCAAAGAAGGATTTACAGCTACAAAGTGTGATATTCTTTACCGTGCAAATTATATAGGGTCGGCATTTGAGTGTTCAAATACTTTAATTGAGGAACTTGCTTCTTTGAAACCACTAATTGGTACTGATGGAGAAGTCTTCATTGAGAAGGTAGAGTCCTTAAAAAAAGAAAATGAGATGTATAACGAAACTCTGCGTGAACTGACAAGAGAGTGTGAAGAAGCACTTATTCATATAAAGAAATTAATAAGAAGTCAGGTCAATGATTCAATTAATAAGCAAATTGAAGAACTATATAGTAATGCAACCATGGAATCTGCAGAGGATATTTACCAGAATATGAGGGAACATTCATAGCGGGTTACTTTTTGAGGCAATATAATCATTTTAACGTTTACTTTAGTTTGTATATCTGTGTAACTTGAAGGTAATTTTACTTTGGTAAATATATACATATTTGAGTAGGAATCTAATAGTATAACTACTTAAAAATGAATGGAGACTTTAGAGCGCATCCGGAGAGTTAAGAATATTAAGAGTGAAATATCAAGAGAATGGAAGTTAGATGATAAGGATGTAGCCGAATTTATTGTTTATTTAGGCGAGAATAGTTCTGATTGTAATGAATTTATTAGTAAACTAAAGCCGAATATTGATATAAATGTCTCCAGTGATTTTCTAAATAAGTTATTTATGATAATTAGAGGTATCAAACCTGAAATGAAGAATGGGGAGCAGTCAAAAAGTACAAATAAAATAATTGATGACAATTATAGCTGTAATATTGATGCTCAAGATGAGCAAGTGGATTATCCAGGAAGTAGTAATACATTAGAAATAAAATCTAATAGTACAGGCAAGAATTCTACTAAAGACCTAATGAATGAAAAATTGAAGATCAGTACAAAATATCCATGTTTAACAATCCCTAATAATATAGATAGAGTGGAGTTGAAGTTTAATATACCAAGTGAGAAGAAGCTACAAAGTGCAGACTCATTACAACTTATTAAAAGAGAAGATGATAAATATTTGGATCTCAACAAGAGGAATAGTTGTACATCAGACACTATAAAGAGCGGATACGGTATGAACGATACAGAATATAAACATGGATATGGCCCAGTTACAGGTATTAAAATAAATTCGAATACATCTTTTAGTGATTTTCAAACTGCAGATAGTACTAATGTAAATAATGTAAATGTAGGGAATTTATACAATGACTATGAAAGGTGGGAACTACTTCAATTAATTAATTCTGGGGCAGTTTCAGTTGATGAATTAAATGAATATGATAGGAACTGTATAAATAAAGAAATGAATGTATTGTATTCTGGGTCTTTAGTAGAGACATCAGTTGAAATAGAACTTCGAGACTTTGAGCCTAAATTTTTACGTGGTCAGACTTTCAAAAGACATAATATAGATTTTTCTATTCAACCAACAATACAAATTTCTGCCAATCCTGAAGGAAGTTTAAGTAAGGCAGCTGAATTAGCATCTAATATTGCTAGGGAGAGAAGAGAAATACGTGATTTTCAAGAAAAGGCACTTTTAGATAGTATACCACGTGATATGAATAGGCCATGGGAGGATCCATATCCTGAATTGGGTGAACGTACAATAGCAGGTATGCTGCAAAGTATTGGTGTTGAGGCTTGGCAAGTACCTGAATGGAAACGCCAATACTTTGGTAAAAATTTAAGCTTTGGTCAAAAGACTGATATAACTTTATCAATTCAGGAACAAAGGAGGAATTTGCCTATATTTGCTTTGAGAGAGTCATTAGTTGATGCAGTGAGAAAGAATCAAATAATTGTAGTTATAGGAGAAACTGGTAGCGGCAAAACAACACAAATTACTCAGTACTTATATGAAGAGGGATTCTGTGATGATGGCAATATGATAGGATGTACTCAACCGAGGAGAGTAGCTGCTACATCTGTTGCGAGAAGAGTTGCTCAGGAGGTTGGTTGTACTATTGGCTCAACTGTAGGTTTTTCAATTAGATTTGAAGATGTTACATCATCTGAGACTAGAATCAAGTATATGACAGATGGCATGCTTTTAAGAGAGGCTCTTTCAGACCATTCACTTTCCAAATATAATGTAATTATGTTAGATGAGGCTCATGAAAGAACAATAACTACAGATGTCTTGTTTGGTTTACTCAAGGTAAGTTAACTTTTTAGACGGTAGATTTATAGAGGCCATTGCACTATTATATAGTTTATGAGCTCAGTCACTTTTTTTTTTTTTTTTGGGTATTTTTCATCTTGTGTACTTTCACGAGAGTAGAGAGCCCTTATTTATGGCTGAAATATTAAACATAAAATACGTGTTTACTATACATACTTATATGCATGTATAGTAGCGATACATATTTCTATATTTTTTGTTTTTATTAAAAGAAAATAGAAAGACCCATTGACTGATGACTATTGAAATTTGAAGGAAGAAAAGATCAGTGGACAGATACCAATGGGACAAACTATATGCTTGGCATTAACCGTCTATTTAATTGGATTATTTTAATACAGTAATTAACTTTTTCTTTTCTCAGGCTACCTGTATTGAACGTCCTTCATTTAGATTAATTGTGACATCTGCTACACTGGAGGCAGATAAATTCTCACGATATTTTATGAACTGTAACATTTTTGCAATACCAGGACGTACATTTCCTGTAGAGATTTTATATACGAGGGAACCAGAAAGTGACTATGTAGAAGCAGCTCTCCTAACAGTATTACAAATTCATTTACGTGAACCTCCAGGAGATATCTTAGTATTTCTGACAGGTCAAGAAGAGATAGATAATGCTTGTCGGACTTTACATGAACGTATGCAAAAGTTAGAGAATCTAAATCCCCCTCCATTAATAATTCTACCTGTATACTCATCTCAACCAAGTGAAGTCCAATCATTAATTTTTGAACCTACACCAGAAGGTTGTCGAAAATGTGTTATAGCAACAAATATTGCTGAAGCATCACTAACTATTGATGGAATATATTTTGTTATAGATCCAGGTTTTGCTAAAATGATGGTTTTTAATTCAAAAACTGGGATGGATAGTTTGGTCGTTGCACCTATTTCACAAGCTAGTGCAAGGCAAAGATCTGGTAGAGCAGGGCGAACAGGTCCTGGAAAGTGTTATAGGCTTTATACAGAGATAGCCTTTAAGACAGAAATGCTCCCTGTTACAATACCAGAGATCCAAAGAACAAATTTGTCTAATACAGTCTTACTACTAAAGGCATTAGGAATTAATGATCTCCTTAACTTTGACTTTATGGACCCACCTCCACCTCATACATTGTTGATTGCTTTAGAAACATTGTATGAGTTAGATGCACTAGATGACAATGGAATTTTGACTCGTTTAGGCAGAAAGATGGCCGAACTACCTATGAGTCCAAATCTTAGTAAGATGGTTCTTTCATCTGTTGACTTGGGATGTTCAGATGAAATTATTACTATAACATCTATGTTAAGTGTTCAAAATGTATTTTATCGTCCTAAAGATAAACAGGCTGCAGCTGATAGGCATAAGTCCAAATTTCATCATTCATATGGAGATCATTTAACTTATTTGAATATCTATAATTCGTGGCAGAGACAGAGATATTCAGTACCGTGGTGTTATGAGAATTTTTTGCAATCTAGATCTTTAAAGAAAGCTCAAGATGTAAGGAAACAACTAATTAGTATATTTGACAAATATCAGCTTAACATAATATCTGCAAGAAACGACTATGACAAGATTCGCAAGGCTATTTGTGCGGGATTCTTCAGTCATGCTTGTAAGAAGGATTCTCAGGAAGGTTATAGAAGCTTGGTTGATAATCAGCAAGTATATTTACATCCCTCTAGTACACTGTTTAACAAATCTCCAGAATGGCTTCTATATCATGAATTAGTATTTACAACCAAGGAATATATCCGTGATTGCTGTACAATTCAACCAAATTGGCTTGTAGAATTAGCTCCAAATCTTTTCCAATTTGCAGATGAAGCGAAAATCTCAAAGAGAAAGATGAGAGAAAAAGTACAACCCTTATATAACAAGTATGAAGATCCTAACTCCTGGAGGTTGTCTAAAAGAAGGAGGTAGTTTTATATCTTGATATAGCAGAATATGATAACCGGTAAGATTTTGAGATAAGTTACTATACATTAAGAGACTTAATTATAATATTCCTATTTTAAATATATGAAAATTAAGGTGTTTGAATTTTTTGTATAGATTTCTTGATATACTTGGAATGTACAATGTCATACAGAAACAAAGACTGTTTCTTATAATAGAGCTACCTTGTTGAAATTGTGACGATACTAATTTCAGTCATTATTTTCTCCGCACTTAATGGTGGGAGATGGATATATCCAGCTATAATTGCTATCTTAGCTATTATCTGGATGTTCTAATTCCATTTTATCTTATTTACACTAATGGCTAAAAACAATTTAAGGCCACTATTATTCAAAATATATTGGCATGGAGACTTTCTGAATTTAGAGGACCATCTCTTGGCTAGCTAAATTCTGCAGATAGTTTACATTTGAGATGGGGTTTCTGTTAAACTCACCTTGTACTTATCTGCCATATCTGGTATTACCGGCTTTTTAGAAATAACTTTTGTCAAATATTAATGCCTTGTTTTAAATGTGTACCTTAAATTTGCATACAGGCGCCTTGAGATTGGCGCCAGAAATTAAATTTTTGAAATAAAAAATGTCAGATTAAAGCATAGTAATTGCGGTGGCCTCAACTCCTAAAATAGTTTAGACTAATAGAAAGCATCTTATTTTCTATTTTCTACTTGTCAATTTGCTCTTTTAAGTTGGAGTTTTGTAGGCAGTGATTATATGAATAAGTCTTGGGGACTTAATTCTTTGAAGTCAAGTGATAGTACGAAAGTTGCTATATATATATCAAGTTAAGTATGAAGAATGGTCAGTAGCAGCTCTTTGGGTTCTTATGTTAAGATAATGCGTATAGGGCAAGGTGCCTTTGGAGACGTGTGGCTTGCTGAGGATGTTATCTCTAAACGTCGTGTAGCACTGAAAAAGTTAATATCTAAGGAAAGTAGGGAAGGTTTTTCTAAAACTGCTATACGTGAAATTGTACTTTTAACTAATTTAAAGCATAGAAATATTGTGGATTTATATGGAGTTGTATTTTCTAGACCTCAAAGCTCAGATGACAATGGTGAATTAGTGAGTCAACTTCCAAATGGTGGTGCATTGAGTAGTCTCTACGTAAATAATGTAAATCGTGGTTCAATTTGGATGGTATTTGAATACTTACCCTATGATTTATCTGGATATATGGAAGGGTTAAAACTAGAGGGTAAGTTAATAAAAGTCATAGATATAAAAGTTATTATTCGTCAATTACTAGAAAGTTTGGAGTTTTGTCATATGCACAACACAATCCATAGAGATATAAAGTGTGCAAATCTATTAATATCTAGTGATGGAGTTGTAAAATTGGCTGATTTTGGATTGGCTAGATATTATAATGTAAGATATAGGACTTTGACAAATAGAGTCGTAACTTTGTGGTATAGATCTCCAGAACTTTTATTAGGAGCTCAAAGCTATGATACCCCTGTAGATATGTGGTCTGTAGGTTGTATATTAGGTGAATTGATTTTACAACAACCATTATTCTGCAGTGAAACAGAAGTTGGAGTATTGAAGATGATTGGAGAAACTTTGGGACCTCCTTCTAGTGATGTAGTTCATGATTTGAAGAAACTTCCTTTATGGAATGATTATGAAAATAATCCACTTCTTCCAATTTTAGGTTCAGGGACAGGTAATAAATATCGACAAATGATTCATAGAGTAGAGGAAAAGGTAGGATCTCAAGGTCTAGATCTACTTTTGCAGTTATTACAATACTCACCATCAAAACGTCTGAAAGCCAAGCAAGCTTTATCTCATCCATGGCTACAGCATGGAGAGAACAATGAGAGTCTCCCTGATCACTTAGATATGTCAGTATTTACTCAAAAAAAGCAATTCCATTCTCTCAGTGCAAGAAAATTACGAGACAAACTACAGGGACGTCTTAAAATTCCTTCAACATCAGAGATTGGAGGGGCTGTAAATGCAATAATTGGAAAGGCCTACAATGTTGGAACTTTAAGGGAACAATTAAAAGATAAGCACCGTAATTCTATTGGTATTATTCAGAACATTAAAGAAGGCATAAATGAACAGATAGATATTAAAAAGAGAGCAGTAGTTACAATAAACCAAGGAAATATAAATACTTCGACTATAAAACGATCTAGGAGTAGAGAAAGAATAAGCCCAGATCCTAGTAGATGGAAAACTAGAAGTTTATTTGAACATAGAAATTCGAGACGCGATAGAAAAGATAGAGTAGAACATGAATGGAGAAATGAAAGGGATATTGATTATGATCGAAACAGACACTTAGAATATTCAGATAGAGATGATTATTATGGAAGAAGAGACAATTGTGTATATTCATATTCAAGAAGGGAGGTAGAGTATAATAGAACAAGACATTACAATAGATCTCCATCTCCAAGTGGGTTACGAAGACGTTTATCACCATCTCATCGTAGCTCAGGAAATGACTACTATTATAGAAGAAGAGAAAGTTCACACTCTTATTACGATAATAGAGCTAGAGATTATAATAGAAGACGAGATTAACCTATAAAACACTTAGAAAATTTATTCATTTGATTATATATCTAGTCACTTATAAACTTGCTACTTTCCTAAGTACTTGCCTCAACACTTATCCATTTAGCAAATTCCTCGATATTTTGATCACGTTCTATTGAGTTCTTTGAATCAATGGCTGTAATAGAAGTATATATGTCATTCTGAATACATCTTACACCATGCAAACGTTCTTGAAATAAATTGACAAGATTAACATCTAGACAATCGGAGTATACTTTAGCTTGTTTTATAAGGCTCGAATCCACATCTAGATGTACTTGGAAAGATCCCCAGTCAAATCTTTTCTCAAGTACTGTAGAAAATTCTGGAGACTCTCCATATCTCCACTCCCAAGATATAAGTTGCTTATATGTATCTTTATATACTTGATCATGTATAATTGCATCTCCAATTTCTGGTTTATTGCATGTTAGAAATGTATTGATATCTTTGTCAGAATCAATATGTATATTATTAAATGGGATATAATCTGCAAATTGTTTAGTAATTGGTGTGTTTACATGCACACCATTATTTTGAATCTGATTGAAGTACTGCATATTTTTATCTATTCCATTTTGTTCCTTCTCTATTACTTGATATCTATTAGACAGACTTACATCACTTTTTAGATCTTTAATTTCAAATTCAACAAGCTCTCTGTCAATAGAATAAGTTTTACAAAACTCTTCGATTATGCTTGTTTTTATGTCCTCTAACGTAATATCTGGAATTACATCTTTTACATTTATAACTCTAGATGCTACACTTTGCACCCCTTTACTTTGCAACTTTGTCTTATTTGGAGTTAAAAACTCCTCTAAAGCTTTTCTATTAACATTAACCATTATAGTCCCATGGTGTAATGCTTTATTTCCTGATAATTGAAAAGCTGAGCCTGAAAACTTGCGCCCCTGTAGTAAGATATCATTTCTACCCTTCACTTCAATTTCTATTCCAAGGTTTTGAAAAGCTCTACTAATAATCTTATTATTCTCTTTCCTGTAATCTTTAATATTGTCAGTTATAAATGTGAAACATAGATTCCCATGATCCTGAAACAATTAAATATTATAGGAACAAATAATCAAGATAGTTATATTTCAATTTAAATTAAAATGAGAGATCAAAAATTCTTTGACCTATGTGAACAACTATATTGGTATGTATTTATATTTCAACTTACTTGATAAACTGCCCCTCCACCAGAATATCTTCTTGCTAGAGCTATATTATAAGATCCCATCTTATATAAATTACATTCCCTCCAGGCATTTTGGTGTCTGAGAAGTGATCATATTAATTTAAAGTAATCAAATACTATGAATTATACAAGGAAAATATGTGTGAAGTTTCATGATGTAAAGTTATCAATATAGAGAGGTGGAAATATAACGAAGTGTGTCCCTACAAGAAAGTTGTCCCATATAATTCCTTTCAGATATATTCTATTAACATCTCCACTATGAGTATATTTCCTCATATTTCAAAATTCCTACTCATGAACTTATTTATACCAACTTACCTACCAATTACAACTGTTTTTCCGTGTGTCCAAAGGTATAATATAGGTTGACCTTGGGTATACCTCTTCAAGAGAGTAGATTCCAAAGCTAAATTGTGAAAGAAATCTCCTTTAGAAAAAAAAAGTTGGTTAGCTTTCAAAAGGTTTGTTAACTTCATTTAATAAATAACACCTTACACTTCCAGGTTAATTGAGTTGTCTGGTTAGTAAAGAACTTCCCACTTCCCAGCACTTTACAATAAAATAGCTCGATACCCGCTAAGGAGACGGCTCCAAAAGTCAGAGCGGTATGACACGTATAGTCTCTAGGTATCAAAGTAGGAGATATCTAGTTTGCGTATTAGCTTATGAATTCAATAACCCAGGATACGAAGACATATTTGTTAATGCTAGTATCATTATTAGGGAGGTAAGTAAATACTAGGAGCAGGCGGTGGAGTACACTGCCGCTTCCGCTTGGTATTATTAATATATAGTTTCTGTACTTTTTCCACGTGAGAATAGTTTTGTATATAATTAACTAATTAATTGGTATCAGTTGAATAGTCTGCCCAGAATGACTAGTGAGGTGCCATATAACTTTTCGATGATTGGCACTTCTTCAGCTTCTACTGCTACAACAAACAGCGGTGGTGAGATGGTTGGAGGCATGAATCAGGAGTTATTGCACGAGGGACCTGGAAATAATAATAATAGTAATAATAATAATAGTGGCGGTAGTACGAATACCCAAGATGTGTTATCATTGTTAAACTATTTGGTTCCAAATTCCGGAGGCGAATCGGGCTCATCTGGGGTTAATCCGCCTCCTCAAATAGCAGACCCAACGACACTCAATGAGCTCTTAGGACTAATTAGTGGAGCTGTAACATCTAACCCAAGTGGAGTTAAGGGTTCTCCTGAGCCAGCTCTGTTAGATAATACGGGTGGAGGTAATATGACTAACTCAATTCCTTACTTACTTCCACTATTGATGAGTTCGGGATCTAATAATGACCAGAATGTAGCGCTATTAAATAGTTTGGTGTCATCTACAGGGGTAAATGGAGCTCAGCCAGCTAATTTGAACCAATTTGTTAATCAACTACAGAATCTACTGCCCCCTTTGGTACCTGGTGGAAATGCTACCGGTATATCAAATAATCAACCTACTCATACAGGAACCACAACCCATCACACAGATCATCTACAACTTCTATATGGTGGTGGTGGTGGTAATCTTGGTACAGATAATAAATCCGAACTTTTGGCAGCTGCAGCAGCCTTTGCAGCATCCAACGTAACTCCCCTAAATGCAGGTCCTATATCTAACTCTCGTGGTAGAGCAAGAAAGCGCACATCAACTACTCCTTTGGGTGGTATGAGAGGTCGCCGTGAATCTAATGATATATCAAAACGTAGAGTAGGAAGTCCTGGTCGTAATCATGGAATGGACAATATAGGAACTCCAGGAACAATGTTACCTCATATACCCTCGCTTGCGGGAGATGGAATGGAGAATCTTGATCATGGTGGCAATGTGAACTTATTAAATACTCCAGCAAATCATCATGGTTCTCAGTACAATGAATTTAGTACAGAAGATGCTAGACATTCTGTTAGATTTGAAAATGGCTTGGTTCTAATGACTAAGAGATTTATACAATATCTTTATGAGCAAGGTGAAAGTAGAATTATAGACTTAGCTGCGGCTGAGGCACATATGGATGTTCAGAGACGTAGATTATATGATATTACAAATGTATTGGAAGGTATTGGTATTCTCAAGAAAATGGGACGTAATGCTTTCATGTGTGCAGCCACAGTTCCTGATGTCCTTATAGAGAGAGATGCTGTGCTATCATCTTTTGGAACAGTTGATATGAGTGTGAAACTGAGTGGTAACATTGATGACGAATCATTGAACTCTATTCCATGGTTTCATAGCTATAATAAACTTCAGGTCCTATCTAACGCTGAATATGAAATGATGGAGAAGACACTTATACAGCGCAAAGAACAGTTACTACAAGCTTGTCAACAACTGGGGTTTACCGATATTGTAGATCAATATACTATTGCCAGTGCTTCCACCTCTCATACAGCAGGGGCTAATGTAGCTAATTATGGAGGAGCAACTCCACACTCTGGAAGACCTAATCATGTACCCAGAAACTCGGCAGGATCTCATGGAATTAGCTTAAATCATGGACATCTACGTGAGGATAATATATCAGTACCTAATACAATGGAACAAGGAAATGAATCTAATAACCCTAGTGGAGGAGCTGGAGCTCTCTGGGGAAGCATTATGGGAGGCTCCAATCGCGCTAGCAATGTTCCATCAATTCATCATCCGGATGCTCGTTGGATAGAAGCCCCAGATACTACAAATCACAGCAGTAACGCTCCTAAACACCATGTAGAAAATGAAAACTCCAATACTAGTGTCGCTCAAAATGATACAATTAGTGGGTTCAATGAGTAAATAAGTTGAAATTGTATAATTAGCTTTATAGACAGTCATACAAGTAAAAGACCAACAAAGGAAATATAAAGTATGTGAAATTTACATTAGGATATATCTTATAAGTACTGATATTTATTGCTCTAGTGGATCTACTTACAAGTAATATTTAGTCTTAGCATTTATATTCAAATTGTGCGGACTAATACTATGTACCTTTAATGGATTTTTTAGCATTAAATCTTTTCCTGAGATAAAAAAAAAAGCTGTATATATATGGTATTGACTCATTTCTCAAATATTTGACGGAACTGTAGGGGTATTTCAACAAATGACTTATATAGTAGACTCACCAATAATTACCCCTTATACTAAGTTTATAAATAATTTGCACTAATTAAAGATATACAGATACCAAATTAAAGAGGATCTGAAGAGATATCTACTAATCTACAGAGTTATATTAGGTGCTTTTTTTTTTTTAGCCTTAATCATTATATGAATTAGCCATTCTCTACTTGTTATGATATTTCGTATGGCTGAAGATAGAAATTACGAGTTTAAACTGAGTTAGCTAAGGTCCAGTTTTAATGAGTTAAAAAAAAATAGTTCATCTAATTTCTCTTTTATTTATAACTGGATTTGATCTATTTTATCAAACTTAAATATACCGTTGGGCTTCTTAATAGCAAATTTTAGTATTTCCCTAACTTAGACAAGGTTTCTTTTGAATAAAAATTAAGCCTTATAATATTTATTATAGCTATATATTTTTGTTTCTCAATATTGGATCAAATTGAGTAATATTAATAATGTAATCTGATATTGTAGACACTTAACTATAATACTAATTAATACTTTGGTTATAAATTACCAGAGTTGGCTGTTAGTTTAGTTGGTCAGTTGTAACTGCGATGAAACTATCTTTATACATGTTAGAGCTTTTTTTCTAACGAATCTAGTAATATTTAATATTTATTGTAAATTCAGTAAGATATTTAGCTCCATAACAAGTCATTATTTTTTTTTTCTAGATTATACTGAGAATATAGATACTTTTATTTACTAATATACTACTCTACTTATTCTTTAGAAGTAGTCTTTTATAAAAGTCAGAATTAAAATATATTTATTATTTGTTGGTACTACTCATATTAAGGAAGATAATTCTAGTTTGTGGTATACACTTAAAAATATTATAATACTTGTCTAAAGTGTATAAAATTTATCATTTATCTATACTTATAGCGAGATACTTTTTCCTAAATCTTTAAATTCTCCATACATTATGAATACTCTATCTTACAATTTATGTATATTTTTTTACTGCAAACAAAATTACAGATATGTAATATTTAAGATTCTCCAATATTAATTCTTAAGACTTATAGTGACTTTTTACATTATTAAAGTCTTTCAGATATAAACTATATAATGTTAAACATATATCTTGTGATATTTCAACTAAAAAAATTTCATTTATTTAGATATTGTGAGCTTAAGTAACCGTTTTATACTAAAATATTGTACTTTTAGGAGTTTAAAACCCAAATTCAACAATGATATGAATTTAAATCTTGTGATTAGCCGTTAAATTTATAAATATTTTGACTTTTCCTTATAGAGCTGTACTAATAGTATTATGAAAAAAAATCCTATCAATTAGTTTTACTTGAGTTAAATTATTCTGATTAATTCTGTAGCTTGTTATTTTTGTATTAGCTTATATCACTAAAATTTAACAATAAAGTAATATTTATTTGATCAAATCAACAAGGGTATAAAACTACAATCTAGATGGTAGGTTTATTACTTTTTTAATAGAATAATTATAAATTAATTGTAGTAATAATGAACTATATAATTTGATACCATTGATATTTACTTTAAAGATAATTCAACTGATATCATTTTCTACAGAAAATTTGTAGGATTTTTGTTAAACAGCTTTAAAGTATTTTTCAAGTAATATCTAAACCATTAAGTTTTCCTTTTTATAATATAATGATATTGTAAAAGATGTGATTTAGATTAGGAACAAAGAAATTTAGCTTTATTTTTATTTTTCATTATTTTTCTTATATATTAATAATAGAATTTACTAGCTTAGGAACTACTCATAAACTGGTACATTTTTATAGTGTAATAATTTTCAATTTGTAATATTCCCAGTAAGAAAATCATTAAACTTTAGTTGGAAATTTAGAAAAATACTTGAAAAATTTTTCAAATCTTATATACTAATACAATTATAGTAAAAGGTAATTTTTTGATATAATAAGGCTCTTTGATTTCAATAGAAGAGTACTGAAAACTATTGAACTTTTTTTTTTTTTTTTCTTTTTTTAATTCAGATGGATGAAGTTAGTATGTTCTAAACTTAGTATTTCCATATTATATACTAAAAATATCTTCTATACTATCAAATCCTTGTATGAATATATTTATCATGAACAATATACATTTAGCTGTTAATATACTTGGATTATCTAATAATTTATAAAACATATTTAAAGGAGCCTCAATATTTTATTTAGCTGAAAATAAATGTATTCATTAGAGTTAAATTATTTATTTTTTAAAAGTATCTATCAAAAATAAGTTTATTAGTTTTTGAAATATACAATTTCTAATATTTAATAGAAATAGATTATAATAGTGATTACTTTGTACTTTTTTTTTTCAAAAAAAAAAGAAAAAAAACATATATACTAAGCTATACAATGAAATTTACAATATACATAACTAGTTTATCAATATTTTATATTTACTAATATTAAATATATAATCTTATGTGGTATAAAATTCGTTCTTGTGGATTTACAATAATAGTGAGAATATACTATAAATCAAACTCATGATATTTTAAATTTTTAAACAAGTTATCTTTACAATATGAAAATGAAGTTTTAAAATTCTCTTATTTCAAAAATACTTGAATATTCTCCAAAAATTTTTACTATTGTAAATAGTAATACTTTATATAATAAAATAATTCATATTACCAGTATATAATTTTTAATAAATCATTCCTTCTTATTATTAAAATATTGATATTAATGAGATATTTTAAATTAGCCTATAATATATTAAAATTTAACTTCAATTGTTTTATTACTATTCACATTGTATTATAATATTATCATCTATTTTAGAGTATTAATTAACACTTAAAACCAATAATTTTTATCCTCATTGTATAAGTAACATAAATACCTAATCATTTATTATATTTTTTCTAATATAAAAATTTTTATTGAGTCTAAATATAAAGAAAAAAAATTTAAAGCTATCTTTAAATACTTTTGATGTTAATATATACAAATATAGGATAATTGAATATAGCTACATCTAGAAAAAGGATATAAACAAATCTAGGTAACCATAAATTACTTTTAACAATTCAAAAATAAGAATAAACTTTAGATTATATCTCCTAATCTAAATTAGACGAAATTCAGGAAATTACCTACATTCAATACATTTAGATTTTTAGATTCAAATTCTTATGAGAGTAAGGTCTAAATGAAATTATATTCATTGGATTGAATAGATTCATCCTTAATCCCTCTAAATCCCTTATAAACAACTGAAGAACGATTTTTCTGTTTATCTATCTGACTAACTTCATATATAGGATTAGATAAATTATCCTTATTAGATGATATCTTTAGAGTCTTATATATATTAGTATTAGGTATATTTTGTCTATTTTCCATCTCATAATATTTATATCGTCTTCGTAAATTCTTCAACCGTCTCTTAATACTTTCATCATTTTCAGTATTTGCATACTTTTTACGAAGCATATGATAAGATTTCCAAATAGGTTCTTCTTCTTCTTGGTATTTTGTATTTAATTCAAATTCATTAGCAGATATAACTTCATTATCTTTTATTTTATCATCTGATACTGAATTTTCAGGTATAATATTTTCTTCTAATTTAATGATAAGATATAAAATTATACTTTTTATTCAATATTATTGTCTATTTAACACTTACCCTTAACATTTTCCTGTTGTTGTACAATTTCATTTTTGCTAGAAAAGCTCAGAGTTATGAAAATACGGTGTAAAATAGCTCCTATAAATAATATAATAGTATTAAATATTATAATGTCAATTGAAAATAGATATAACTGTCACTAGGTGACTATTATACAATGGAAATATCTAAGTATATCCAAATCTTAAATTTTATCCAAAACTTACCAAACATAATTAGAGATAAAATCATAATAATCAAAAGAAGTTTACTAGTTATTGAGAATGATGTAGAGTTACAATTTGAAGATGTAGCATTAGGAAAATTTTTTAAGGGGGTATACTCTGGAAATTTATCCGTCTTTTTATAATGCAAAACTTCTCTTGCAACTATATCATTTTCTACTTTAGATTGTTTTAAAATTGAAGAGGACCTCTGCATTTTTTTTTTAAAGGAAAACAGCTCTCTGTAAAAGTAATACTTGAAAGAGATTGCATGTTCTTATTTTGGGCGCTTTTTTGTAAGGTGCATCTGAGTGTAGACATATATACTGAAGGGTAGGATAAATGGTAAAGTGAAAGAATTGCACCATTATTAAGATAAACTATTTACTTACTTATATAAGGTACTTTATATACTTTTCAATAAATAGAGTTTAAAAATGAATATATATAATATATTAAATGTAACTATACAAAATAGTTTAAATTTTATTACATAATTTATTATAGTATTAAGATATATATTAGAATAATTTAAATTAGAATAAATTAATGTTATATTACAGATCTACCTTAAAATTTGTAAATAAAGTAAGGATATAATTTAAAATAATTGAAATAATATAACAAGAAAAGTAGTGTATGTTTATAATCTAAAATATTCTAATATTTGTTCTAAAATTAAAATAATTAGCTTATATTATTATTCTTTGAAGTACAGCTTAAAAATAATTTTTATTTTTATTTAATATTTGTATGGGAATCTGTATTGTGAAAAATTTAAAGAAATTGGAATTTTTTGCATGCCTAAGTTATAAATGACCAGTGATACAGGACTGAATTTTGGCGCACATTTATTAACTAAAGGGCGTGTATGAATAACCTATAACTATTGCTACTTAAAAAGCAGGCAAATGAATTTTTAAAATGCAATCATTTTTTAAGAGTGCAATTGATAAGGTTTCAACAATAAAAGATGTAGTTGAGCACTCAATTGAAGAAGCAGTTAAAAATAATCAAATTGAGACAGTCTTCCTTTCTGGAACATCTATTTCTTCAAATGTTATAAATTGGACAGAAAGTGATATTTCGAAGAGAGCTAGTAACCTAAAATATAATACAACTTCATTTGTGGGTGATTTAGCCCTTAGTATTAGAGATGCAGCTGCTAACTTGACAATTAGACAGACTGAAGTGGATAATTCTCAGAAAAATTTTCAAATAGGGAAAAGTTTATGTTATAATAAGAATAATAGCTTAAATAGTATTGAATTTAAAAATGAAATAAGTAATAATTTGATTAAAGATATGAAGACTAGAAAAAAATCTGCACTAGATATTAGAAATACAGTTAGTTCTCATTTATCATCTAATATAGAATATATAGAAGATAGAAATTTGAACGATGATAAAAATATAGAATTAAATGAAAGTCAAATTTATAATAATACTACTGAAATAACTAAAAATTCTATGCATAAAGAGAGTGATATAGTATTAGATGAGAATTTCGAGGAAGTTGATAAATCTACTATTTCAAATATAATAGAAGGAATTGGGGATATTTTATTAAATGATACAACTGAGGGTATAAAGCAAAGTGGTAATATTGAATCTAATTTTAACTATAAGGATGAGAAAGATAATACAAATGATATTAATAATTGCAATAATGAAACTTTTAATCTTACAAAAGATTGTAGTGATTTGAGTGAAATAAATGAGGGAAATCCTGATATAAATAATTTGGATTTTAAATCTGAAGATTATGGAGGATTGATAAAGGTAGATAATTTTGATATTGATGACTCACTATATAATAATAAAGTGATAAAATCAAAGATGGTTTGTGATTTAGATAAAAATAATAATTTAAAGAAGGAAAAGAATGTAAAAAAGGATTTATTAGCTTCACCAATATTAAATAATGGAATTGAAGGTAGCGTTTTAAACCCTCTATCAATGTTTCAGGAAGTTAATAATTTAGAAAATTTGAACTTAGTTCTTAAGAAGGAGTTGGGGGAATATAAAGGAAAGTATTCAGATATAATGAAAAATTATCATAATTTAGAAAAAAAAATGTTGGAATTAAGCTCAGAGTATAAAAAAATAATTGGTGAGAAGAGGATTTTGAAAGATCGTCTTTTAAAAATAAAAGAAAATAAGAATTTAATTGTAGATTTACAGACACAGGTAAATACCTTAACTGAAAAATTAGAATTCAGGGATAATACAATACAAGAATATATTGAATTAAACAAATGCCTTAGAGAGAAAATTGGGGAACTAGAAATAACTCTTTCTTCTGAGGAGTCTAGAGTAACTGAATCTTTAAACTCTTACCAAGCTGAAATTACAGAATTACGTTATCAACTTTCCAAATTACAGATTGATAATAAAGAATTAGTAATTCCTTATATAGAACGAATTAATATTTTAGAATCTCAGTTGGGAGAAACTAAAAAAAGACAAACCCACGAACAAAATAGATATGAGTCAATAATTCAAAAACTGAAAATAGAATCTAAGGAAGAAAAGGAATTTTTGAAGTTGAAAATAAAAAAGTTAGAAGATTTTTTGTTACAAAAGGAGGAAATTATAAAGAATAATAATACTTATATAAATAGATTAAATTTGGAAATTCAGAGTTATAAAGCTGAGAACTTAAATAAAAACTTGGATAATACACATACAAATACACATAAGCTCATAATTGAAAGAAATAATGTGAGTTTAAATATTGAACCTAGTTCAATAAAAGATACTCAGGATATTCCAGTTATAGATAAAGAACTATCCAGAGCTTCAGTAAAATCTCCATTATCATCTAAGTATGATTCTAATATATCAATTTCATCTCTGAGGGATGAGTTAAGGCGAACTATAATAGACAGACAAGTAATAGAAGAAGAATATATTAAGACTAACAATGCAAAAATAGTTTTGGAGAATACTCTAAAAGATGAAGAATATCGAAATAAGTTATTGAGACAACAGCTTGACTCTATTTTAGCAGTTGTAAGCAATTTACAGGAAAAATTAGAAGAAGCTAATGAGACTATATTACTACAAAAAAAAGAGATCACATCAATTTACTTAAGAATAACTTCTTAGATATCTAATAAACAAGACTATTTAATCATTTACATTTCATCCAAGTATATTTTGGCGGTGCGATACCTCTGCATGTAAGTGTGCCGGTATGAAATGTATTAATGCATGTGGAGACAATATATAGAATTTCCACATTACTTGCATATAATTTGATGTAAAGCACTTAATTTTTCTTTAATTTACAGATATAGAACGATACACTTAATAATTTTGGATTAAATATAAGTGGTTATAAATGAATAGTAACATTAATAATGCGAAAAGGTAACTATGGTTTACTTTTTATATCTCTTCTAGTTTGTATCGCAATATCATATTTGGTTATAACAAATTTTTATAATAAAAGGAATATTAACTATATGATTAGGAATATTACTGATTCAGCTGTTGAAAGTATTGAACTTATTGAAATACCCGATAATATTGATAATTCTACAACTGAAAGTGATTTGATATTAAATGAGGATGTTGACTCTTTTAAAAAGCAACCAATTCAAGTAAATAGTGCAAATAATTATTTAGAGGGATTTCCAGATAACAATTTGTCAATATGTGACATTGGATTCGCAATATTATCAGCTCCACAATACTATCAAAGTAGAATAGTTGATTTACAGAATAGTTGGTTAAAACATTTATGCAAATATACAACTAGTAATTTAGATAACAACCAAGATTACTCAGCAAATTATGTTTTAGTTGCATCTGAAGAACATCCTAACCTACCTACAATGATACCAGAATGTAATGAGAGCTATGACAATTTATGTTGCAAAACTTTGGCCTCATATAAATGGATGCTTAAAGTTTGGCCTGATAAAAAGTGGTATATGAAATTAGATGATGATACATTTGTTATTTTGCAAAATTTATTGGATGAACTTAAAATTTTTAACCATTTAGAGAGCCATTTAGTTGGTGGACAGATTTATCTAACACTTGAAGATGCAAATACAACAAGTACATTAAGTTCAAGATCCAATAATCTACCTTGGGCACAGCATGAAGATGTAATTAAAGGAATTCGAGGTGGAGCAGGTTATCTTATGAGTAATTCTCTTGCAAAGTTATTTGTAAAGAATGGGAAAAGGTATTTAGATATTTGCAATAATGGAGGAACAAGATTTAAAATGTTTGAGGATGCTTCAACAGCCTTGCTAGTTACAGAACTTGCTGGACAAAAGGCAATTAAACATATACCAGGGTTTCATTTTCATAATCCACAAATATCATATCGTCTTGGTTATAGTCGACGTAATTTTAAGCCTGTTACATTTCATTTAATGCATCATACTGAAGAAATGCCATTTTTGGACTATTTACTTAATGCTCCTGTCTTACCATCAACATATTCTTGTAATCATCCCTCAATAAACTTTTGTTTTTCACCTCACGACTTGCGTATATCATCAAAATATTGGAATCCTGTTTATTTTGGACCACTAGATACACCTAACTCTAAAATACTTGGTAGTAATGCTGTTATTAGGCAATTATCTATTGATGAAGATGATAATTTGAATCTGGTGCAAGATAATAAAGTTACATCTTTAGAAGAAGGAATAAATGAAGTGATCGATACAAATCCTATAGATGAGACTGCAGAAGTAAATAATATAACGCAGGCTTTTGTAGATGAAACTCAAATTGATTCAAATAAGAATATTGATTTATTATCTGATAAAATAACCCAAATAAAACCAAAATCAATTAGTACAATTGAATTGTTATATCCAGAATATAACCAAAATAAAATGAATGAAGTCTCAGTAAGTTCTATATTTAATATAACAAAAAGTATTCAAATTCAAAATAATGATGTAGAAGATATATCAAGATTTTATTCTTCTCCTGAAGTTGAAACTATCGATACTGATCATCCATGTGCAGATATTATTGAAAAATACTCAAATAGAATCAAGGAATATTATGAAAAAGTATTCAATGGGATTAATGAAATTGTATTTGTAGGATTTCCTGATCATCCTAATCGTGGAGATTCAGCTATATTTGTTGGTGGATTATTATTAATAGAATCGTTAAAATTACGTATTATAAAAGCAATTCATTTACTTAGAGAATATGATAAAGTAGAAATTTTGAGTAAATTTACAGTTCCAGAATCACAAAGAGCTATCGTATTTCATGGTGGTGGTAATTTTGGAGATTTGTATACCCATCATCATAAATTAAGGCATGTAGTCATGAGTGATTTTCATGATTATACGATTGTAATGTTCCCACAAACAGTATTTTTCAGGAATATAACAAATCAAATGGCAACACATGATATTTTTGTTCAGCATCAAGGTAAAGTATTTTTAGCTGCCAGAGATACAAACTCAATGGATACACTACAAAAAATGTTTAATAATGAAAATAATAATATAGAAATAACTATTCTACCTGATTTAGCATTTCTTATTGGTGATCAAAGAAAAAGAAGAGGTATTCCTTTGTTAGATTTATTGATTCATTCTAGGATGGATAATGAAGCTCCTCTACTTTATATTAAGAAAGAAAAATTCAGAATGAGCAAAATTAATATGAATGCAATTAAAAATATGATTAAAGATATTAAAGATTCAATGATGAATTACAGATATAATATAAACTATCAAGAAGGAAAAGTAAGGTACAATATTAATGAAAAGTGGTTTGATTTTATAACAATACTAGTTGATGATTGGTTGTATAGTGACGCTCAATTTAAAGATGTTGAAAGTGCAGATTTTATCGAAAAATCTATTTCAAGAACATTAGATGGTATGGCATTTTTATCAAGAGCTCAAATGGTCATTACTAATAGATTACATGGTCATATTTTGATGATATTGCTTGGTATACCACATATTATTATGGGTGATTCTTTTGGAAAGTTGGCTCACTTTAGAGATACATGGACATCTAACTGTCCTCTGTCTACTTGGCATGATGATTTTTCTGATGCATTATATAAGGCTATACTTGAATTATAACAATGAGATAAACTAAATATTAAAAAGTCTTTATACTATTATTTAGTGGGTCTACGATTCAATTTTTTTAAAAGAATATTATACTGATGAAAATTATTCATATTAGTGCAATTATATCATCAAAGTAGTTTATATTTGTAATATTTTAAAATCTTTATTAAAAAAAAATAGAGTTCTGCAAGAGTAATAAATTAAAAAGAAATTTGGCAAAATAATTTGGTACAATTTATAAAGTGTTTAAGAAGTAATAATTACATTAATAAAATAAAGCTAAATGAGTTTATTTGTTACTTTGCTGTAATTCAAACATTATATTGTATAATACTTGAATATTTCAATTTCTACTATTATGTAAAAGTAACTTCAATAAAAAGTGCTATGAATAATGTAATCCATTCTTGAAAATAACTATTAATAGTATATTTTACAAGCTAGAGATTCATTAATTCAAAATAGACTATCAGTAAATACTCTTGCAATTTTAGAGAATTAAAATATTTGAGAACAATAAATAAAATCTCACTCATTATAAATAACTATACAACAGTTCTAATTATATACTAATTTAATGATACCAAACTTTTTATTATTTGATTTTCTTATCACTACTGGAATAAATTTAAAAAAAAAAAATACTGAAATATTGCAATAAATACTTTTAACAAGAATTTATAGGAAATTCCTATTATTTACATTCTCTTAATAATATTATTAGAGTAGAATATTTATAATTATTATTGCTCAAATTGTTATAGTAAATTCAAATCTAAGGTTTATATCAAATATAAATTTCTATTTATAAAAGAAAACTTTATATAAATAATTCCTTATTATTTTATTTTATTTAAATATTTAACAAATTACTTCAGATTTACCTTATAAATTCAAAAATAAATAATATAAATAAAATTTAGATAACTAATTAGAAATAATGTTTTCTTCATATGAATTAGGAGAATAGTGAGAAAATAAAAAATCCCGTGGTATTTTTGGATATTTCTTTGCTATCAATGATAATATATCGAAATCTGCCCAAGGTCCAAAATTATAATAAAGCCATTCATCATCTTTTGGACCAGTACCACCAAGAAATTCTGGTAATTGATTTTCATCAATATATTCTAAAAGTTTCTTTTTCCAATTATCTTTGCTACTATAAACTGATATTTTTTTTACAGTCTTTTCATCTAATAGTGACTTTACAAAACTCCATATAACTGTAAATATACTTGGAGCATTTACAATAAACATTTGACCTAAAAGTTCTGGGTAATAGTTTTGACTAACGTGAATAAGTTCTCTCATTATTTTTCTACAAGTTGAATTAAATTGGCTAATACCTAAGCCATGTAAATCAATAATATTCAAAGTTTCAAAACAAGTTGTTTTATATAAATTTAGGTCTAATCCAGCTTTTTTACATCTTTGTATACAGCAAGCTGGGAATATTACATTTAAAAGAAATTCATATTCATAGATCCAATAATTTAATATACTTTTTTCAGAATAATCATTAAGAAGTTGCTTGATATTACTCCTACCAATACAGTCAATATAAATTGGTCTTCCTATTTTATCAATACCATGATAAGCTCTAGGATAAAATTCTAATCTAATTGTCTCTCGTTTAGTTTTTATTAATAAATCAATATTATGAACCTTTCTCCAATTAAAATAATTTTCAAGCATAACTATAGCTTTATTAACATTCATTTGTCTTGCCTTCAAAAATCTAAGTAAAAATTGATCATCTATGTAATTAATGCTTGCCATATTATTACCAAATTTATTACGTAGTATACTTAAACCAGGATATTCTTCTTTGTTATTATTTTCATCGTACTTTAATGATATTTGAGGAGATCTAAATATGTGAAGTTTCATCAATATTTATAAGTAGATATAAATGATAAAGAAGACTTCAATTATAACTATTGAGCTAATTAGGCGGAAAGAGTTAATATGAGTGTAAATTCTAAAGGATCTGGTATACTCCCCTCACAATCTATATTATTTTATATTATACCAATATAATTTCAAGTTATATAAAATAATAAATTCTTAGGATTCATTCATATTATTAAGTTTAATATTAATAAAAGACTTATCTACTATAAAATAAGAATATATATACATGTATCTAAACAATTTTAAGATTCTACTTTACTTTAACAAAAATAAAGTACTAAAAAAGAAAAAATAAATGAACAAAAGTTTAAATCTTTTAATACCCTTTATTTTTAGATTTAATCTTCTTAACAAAATCATCCAATGATATTGAATTTGTTATATGGCAGTTACTTTGTACAGATATTTCTAATGGAGTATATTTTTGATTATGATTTATTGATTCAATCTTATGAATAAAATGACTCAAAATTAATATCTCACTTTCAGAATCTGAGTATTGAATAATATTAGAAGATTTAATAAAATTAGGTGTTGGATTATTATCTATGGAGTCCCAACGTTGATCAATTTTTTTTGGTTGTATATATATTTTTGAAAGATTGCAATATATTTGAGTAATATTTAAATTATTTTTTTGTATACTATTTTTCAGACGCCAATTCATCATATTACTTAAAAGTAGACGAGCAGATCTTAATAGTATATTATTGTTATTTGATGAACTAACAATCTGTCTCTTTACTAATTTTGGTTTGGAATGTTTAGATTTCAAAGAATCCTTTGATAATAAATTTGAATAAAAAAGTAATTTTAATTTATTCGCCATAACTTTATTAGTTATCTTTCTTCTTTCTTTACTATTAATTTTATTCCAAAAACTTAGATGAGATGATAATTCACAACGATAACAAACAAATTGATCAGCTCCATGATTATCTAAATTATTACTAGGTTTAAAATTAACTTTTTTTAATGAAGTTGAATTAATATTATATTCAGGATTTGAATTTATAGAAGATGAAATATTACTTTTACATAATGGTTTATACACAATAAAATTTTTATTTTGATGAAGATTATTTGTATCAGTTAATTTCTTATTATCTTGAATATTTTTATATATCAGATTATTAAAAAAATTTTCATCTTGAAAATTATTTAACCATTCTGGAATTTGAAATTCCGATGATTGAATAAATTGATTACAACGTTTTGAACATAATTTATGGATACCTTTATAACATTTATCACATGACATAAGAATACCATGATTACAGCATACAAAACATTTTTCATCATTCCCAATACCCTGGTCAATTAATGGCCATATTAAATCCTCATCAGTAACATTAAATAAATGGAAAAATTTGGTTAATCTTTGTACTAAATACCATCTACCAAAATCTACAGATTTTATATGAAAAATTTTATATTTTTGTATAAGTTTACATTCTAATGTTGTTAAATTACATAGAAATAATAACCATGGATGTGTCATTACATGAAAAAATAAATTTCTATTTGGTGAAACAAAAGGCATAAATATTGGTAATTTGGATTTTTTTATCTTAGATGATTCTGGTATAATTGATAAATTATATGCAATATCATAGTATCTAGTAGCAGCACCACTTCGTCTTAATCTTTCAATTGGTTTTCTTATCTGATTATGATTATTATATTCTCTATTAGAAGAATTTGTATTTTTAGAAAAATCTATTAATTTACTCCACCATTGACTATGTAATAAAGAATTATCACAACAATTAAAATTTCTATAGTAAGGCCCTGATATACATATAGATGAAAATATATGCCACAATGGATAAATATTCTTAGATATATCATTATTTACATATTCATTTTCAATTTTAGATTTATTAATAATTAAAGACTTATCTTCTTCAAATATTTCGTATGTATTAGTAGAAAATTTTAATTGGCAACTTTTTGAATTGTTATTATTATGTGAATTATATTCTTCATATTTATATTTTCTTTGATTTTCCATAAGAGACTTTTTAAGATTTATAAATGAAGATAAAGAATTATGATCTGTTTTTGATTTTTTGTTTCCATAGGAGTTTATTTCATTAATAATATCATCTTGATCACTTTCATTATGACTATTTATTCTCTTTTTTTTTTGAGGTTTAATTGGTAAAAGATATGGATTCATAGGATCATCATTTGGAATAATCTTTTTCCCAATAATTCCTCTACATTCTGAGAAACCACAATTACATATAAATTGGTTTATATAACCTGTATTATTAATAGAACTATTTAAATATGTACTTGGAATTGCCCTTATTAATATATTTTCATAATCAATTGTAATTTCTGTATCTTTTGGGATATTACTTAGTGCAAATATTCCAATATGTAACCAGGAATAAGCAAAATCATCATCTTTACTACTTCTAATTGATCTGCCAGTTGGTCTTACAATCCATACTTGAGCTTGACAATTTGGATTACAAGAATGTCGGATATGTCGAGCTTCATTACCATTTTGAGTCATATCTAAATATAAAAAATTTTCAACTATCCCAAATAATCTCTCTGGAGTTGCAATTGTATATAAGGTATTTTCATTCTTTATATTACCTTTTTGATTATCCTTTAATTGAAAATATGATAAATATCGTTCTCTTACATCTAAATTATTAATAATTTCACCAAGGCATTCAATAATAAGTTCACCTGCAGAAGCTGATTCTGTTAAAGAAAGTTTTGTTAATGTTGTTGAAAAATCCACATTTAAATAATTAAGATTACTTCTTTTTGACAAGTTTATAGTAGATTTAGTTCTTCTAAATTTCGAAACAATAAATTTTTTTTTTTTTTTACTATTATATCGGAAAAATGGTCTATTATTACAATATACATCATATAATCGTCCAGAAAGTCCACAATTATAACGATTACATTCAATATGTCTTATACGATTGAGGCAATCTTGATTACATGACTTCTCACAATAGCACCTTTCCATTTCATTTATTAATGGAATAGGTCCTCGTCCTATATTTTGTAATCTCTTGCTTAAATTTTCTCCATTTTTTGTTATACCCTTATTAGTAGTTTGATTTAATTCTTTCTTATTACAAACTTCATCTAGTATCATTTCTTTGGAATTCCCTGTATTTACCATAGATATATTTAAGTAGTTATTTATTCTCTGTAGTTCCTCTCATCTTTAAAACTCTAAGGATTCCATTATATTACAAAATTCTAAAAAAAAAAAAAATTCTATTGGTTATATCTGACAGGTCGCGCCAATTTTTTTTTTTATTCCTAACTTAAAGCTGATAGAATGAGTTAATAATTATACAGAAAAGTTGTAAGTAGCTATTTAGTAATATTTTACAAAATAATTCAAGTGGTTAGGCTAAACTTATAAAAAAGGTGATGGATTTTTATTTTCTAAACTGTTGCACTAATTAAATTACTACTCTATAACTTTCAATTATTTGTATGTTTTAATGGCGCATGGAAATTTTATAGCCAAAGGAAATAATGTTTTATTAACAACCAAAAAAAAGAAAAAGAACTTTTATAGTTAATATTGGGTAATATTTGGGAGGTTTCTAGGTCTAAAAATATTTAAATTCCTCTTTTTTTTTTTACTTAATAAGATGTATGGTCCAGAAGTAGCAGTAGCTACTGCTTTTCATAACAAAACGATAAATACAACATGTGGTAGGAGTATATCAGCTATATTCATATATGATCCAACTAGAGTAAAGAATCTGGAAGCTTTAAATTTATCAGATGATACTAAACAAGATAATAAGATTATTTATTATTACCCATCTTATAAACCAAGTAACGAACGACGAAGTTACTTGGGTCTAATAGAAGGTTTGGTATCTATATCAAGCTTATTAATGAGTGGAGGAAAACCCTTAGACTATATAAAGACTAGAAAACATGAAATAGTTGTAAAATCTATAAATAATTCAAATATTTGGATTTGTTTAATTATGAAATTATCTTATATCTTAAAAATACAAGCTGGAAAGGTTGTGGGTATAGAATATATAGAGGATGTATCAAGTGAAGATAAAGATAATAATTCAATATCTAATTTTAAAGGAGATCATTTAGAATCTACTGAATATAAAGATAAATCAAATAGAGAGTCGTTACTTTCTTTATTAGATTCATTTATTGAACTTTTTACTCTTTTACATGGAAATATACAAGATATGGAAGAAACCCAACTTATAGATATATTAGAAGACTTTGTTCCATCTTTTATAGATACAATAGATTTGAATACATTATCAGTTTTTACATTTTTAAGTGGTTTTTATTATGCTCCAGTTGAAAAATTAACCCAATTATCTGTAATAAATCTTGTTGAGAAGGTGAGGACAACTTTTAATATTATAGCTCACATATCAATTTTTTACGATGCTCATATGTTATATTCTACTTTACCTTTAAATTCTAGTCGTATTCTATATAATTATTTAGTAATGAATAATGGTGTAGCTTATAATGACAAATTATACAACAGCCCATATGGAAGATTCCCAACAGCTGCTGCACTTGAAATAAGTGGTGGTTCATCTTCTTTTGGTAGATGTAATTCTATTATAAATAATCAAGGATTTTTATTTGGACCTCTTGAATTAGAAGAAAATAGTAATAATCTTGTTTTTTGTCCTCAAATATATTTACCAGATTTTATAAAATCATTTAAATTATGTACATTTATATATAAAGATATAATGATTGTTATAGTTTTAGATAATGACTATTTATCTTTTATTTATTCAGAAAAATATGAGGGTACGAATACTTCTTTTAATAATATACAGGAGTGTTCTGATAAACTTTTCCAAATTAGAGAATTTATAATTAATACTGATGGAGGTCTCAAACATATTTCAAATAATATTATTAAACAATTTACTACTATTATGAATGAACCTGATAAATATCGATTTTTTTACTTAAATAATATAAATAATGCAATTAGGAGGTCTAATAAACTTTTAAAATCAACCAAGACCTTAATGTCTGCAACAGAAGGCGAATGTGTAGAAAGAATATCAAAATTAATAGACAGTGATTCTTTAATAACAGAAGTTATGTATAAGCCAAGTAATGGAGGCTGGATAGTGTGTAAGAAATCACTTGATCGTATATTTCATTTATTTTCTGAAGATATTCATGTAACAATAACAAAAATTAAGAGTAGGTTTACTTGTTATATTCTTATTTAATTTTAATATAATGTAAATGATCCCATTTTATTTTTTTTCAGATGAATGTTCAGAGTTCGAATCAATTCATTTTGGGAGTATATTTATATAACATGTATATGTAAATATTTACTTAATAGAAATAAAATTATAACTAGTATAACAAATCACTCCAGAACTACAGATACTAATTTATTTAAAAATTCTATCCACATTTAAACTGACATAAGAAGTTATCACGGTGATTTCTTTATTAAAAATTCTGCAATTCTTATTTATATTAAGTAGGAAATTTTAATAATATATTTAGGAATTCTTACATTTTAGACTATTAAAAATCTGTCATAATAGGCGCTAAGATAATCCGCTAAAGGTACCTATGAGGTTTTTTTTTCTTTTTTTTATATCTTGAAATGACTAAAGATATAATATGAAGGATTCTAATGAATTTAATAAATATTTAGTACTAGTAGTAATATCTATGTCTTTAATTCTGGCTATAATATCGGAACTTATTTCATATTTTTTTGTACTCCGTAAAAGCGATTATTATAAACTACGGGATAACCTAACTCGCACAAAGTTAAAATTAGACAAGCTAAAGCTTAAAGAGAAATCTGGTATAATTATAGAAAATACTACTATGTCATCTAATTTTAGTATCCCTAGAACTAAAAGAGATCCTAAGATTGAAGCATTGGAACAAAGTATAACAACTATTAATCAAAAGATGTCAATGATCAAATTAAGATCAAGTTTCTTTACTGGTTTACTATTTGCCTTATTAATTCCTTTTAGAACTTATTTACTTGGTGATGTACCTGTGTGTAAACTCCCATTTGAACCAGTTCCAATGTTTAGAATAATAACACAAGCTGGATTAAATAATTGTGCTCCTAATGAAGCTGGAAGTATATTTATATTTGGTCAGGCCTTTATGGCTTTTAGAATAATCATTCAAAAGGCTATTTTTATGGATGCAACATCTTCCTTTGGAAAAATATAGATACTAATATTATCTCAGGGGATATAATTACAATTTAAACTAAAGACTTAGCATACTAAATTAAAAATCATATCATTATTTAGATCTACTAAAGAAGCATAAATATCCATTTAAGTGGATTAATTTTAAAGTTCCAAGGCTAGATAACTAAATAACGAGTTATTCTCGATAAATTTAAGATATTTTAAAGAACTCTTAGCTTGATTAAAATATCCACTTCAATATTTACTAGTCTGGCAAAATTTTTAAGTATTCCTTAAAATTTAGATATCTATTGCATATAGCCTGAACCTTGGGGTGTATAACCTGGTTGTTCATCAACATTATAGTAGTGGCTAGTTCTAGTAAATTTTTCAACTTGGGTCTCAACATCATTTGTTAATTCAGTTTCACCAAGTGATGGTGAAAATTCATTAACTGCTGGTTCAAAGAAACTAGCCCAAATAAATGCTCCCATTAATGCAACTAAAGCAACAAAATTAGCTCCAGATGTCTTGAAACTAATGGCATATATCAAAATCGCAATACCAGCAGATACAAAAGAAAAGAAGTTAATATAACCATAAACATTACCTACTCCTTCATCCTGAAATAATTCTAATAGTAAAAATCCAAAACCATATGAAATAAATGCAATTCCACTAAGTACTTGTCCAAATGTTAAAAAGTTTATTTCAACTCCACCTTGAGCTACTGCAGTATTGAATTCAATAGCATTTTCACTAGTACCACCTAGCTGTAATGTAAATACAAAACATATCATTTTACCAACAAGATCCAACAAGGATGCCACTTTGATTATTTTTGATCCAGTTACATATCCACGGGCAAAGCAAGTGTCATCTGCAAGAAGTATTTGGAATACCATTAATTTTCCAGCTCCAATAAGTCCTAAAAAGAAGCATAAGGATACATATGATGGTATGGAACCTTGTAGCATATTCTCTGGAAATGAATGATAATTAAGCATTAAGGATCCTGTAGATACATAACTAATCAGAGTTAGACCAGTGAAGCACATAATCTCAAAAAATATTCCAAGTCTTAGAAATGCATAAAATAGACTTTCTATAGGAATACTAGGACCTTGTTTAGTAGTAATACCTGTATCAACATTCTCTACTCGGGTTGACAACCACATTTTGATTGAAGTCTACCTACAGTAAATATGGTCTCTATTTAATTTGAATTCTTATTTTGTGATCTTTTTCAATATGAAATCTCACATGCAACTATCCATTACACGACGACACTCCCTTACGTCTGATTTCTGACGTGGGGAGTATTACAAAACGTAGTAGAATGTCTAGTGTCAAAAATTTACTTATTAAGAATTTTTTATATACCCAAATTTCTTTTTATCAACTTTTTTAAGATTAATATTTATTAAATATTTTTTTATTAATACAAGTATTCTTTTAAAATTATAATATTCATATATCTAAGATAAATCTAGTGGTTATCAGAAAACTTATAAATTATAAAGTTTTGGTATTTTATATATTTATTGTATATTACTTTAGTATTATAAATAGGGGGATAAATGAAAAGAAAGACTTTGTAATGAACTACTTACACACATTTATTACTTGTATGATTTACCGCTGTTTAATTACGCATGCATTTGTGTGTATAAATGTGTAATTGGTCATTGGCGGGTGGTGTGAATATTTTTTGGATAGTAATTTGAAGATTCAAGCATAGAAATAATTAAGAAAGAAGATACAACCAAAGAATATTTCAGTTACTAGATTCACATTAAATGTATCAATCTATTAGAAGATTGTTAACTCTAGAAGTGGCAGATAAGAATGAGTTATCAGAGGTAGAAATTAAGAAACTTAGGCTACGTCGCCTGATATATATATTTTTCTTTACAATACTATATGTATCTTGTCTACTTTTACAACATGGTTATAATAAGAGTTCGCCGGTAGCTAAACAAATTAGGTCCAAAATATTTGCTACTGAGCTAGAACAGCTAAATAGGATCCAAGACCAATATGCAACTCCAGATTTTGATGTAGCCATGCCAGGGTCTGCTGTTGCAGATTTATTAAATGTATTACAAGCATCATGTCGTTCTAAAGCTTTAATAGAAGATGGGATGACAGAATTTTTTAGGTGTGATATAATAAGGATAGACTGGAATAGAACTCATCAGAATCCTACACACCCTGAACTTCCTTGTGATTATGCCTCTCTAGAAACTTATGTAGAGCAAGGTGATAATACTCCTTGGGGTGAATTTCCATCAATTATTAATGAATATTATAGAACAAATAATATACCACCAGAAAATCAATCAAAACCTATATTTCACTTATACCATCGTTCTAAAGCTTTATTACCATTGTTTACAATGGGATCTGAAAAGGAATCAGGACCTATTCCTTTATTACATAAAAAAATTAATAAGATTGGTAGATTAATTATGGATAGACCTGATGTGAAACTAAATGAAGATAAACAAGATAGGGTACAAAATGAGAAATTATTTGAAGATAAGGAAGTTATTGCTTCCAGTGAATCCAATGAATCTTATAAAATTACTAATCATATTGGGTCTATTATCACTAGTAATAGTTCCAAGTCTAGTAAATATTTGGTAGCAAACAAAAATCATCACTGGGACTTACTTATGAAATGTGACCCAGAGTGGGTAACTGTTGTTTTTGAGGTATCTGCGGTTGAGAAAGATAAACATCCTTTGTGGTGGAAAACTAAACTAAGTTTTTCAAGATATTCACCTTATCTAAATCATTATAAACCAAATGTAGAAATTACAACTGGTTTAGCATATCAACGTCATCATTCATTTACAACAATCCTTCCATTAATAACTATTATTACATTTTGTTTTATATTATTCCCAGGATCTGTATCAAGTTTCTTATTACTACCTTATAACTGCTATAGGTTAGTTGCAAAAAAAGGTAAATTTAAGGAAATCATTGCACATACTATTGATCCATTTGGTAATAGAATTAATATATTAAGTTGGTTTCAAATTTTAATTGAAAATCTTATTGGATTTACAGTTATGTTTGGTTTCATTACATCAATTATAGGAATTTTTTATGGATCTGAACTTTGTATTGAAACAGCATACAAACACTGTACTCCTCCATTTGTATATTGGTCTCAAACATTACACCTACAAGGATCAGAATTTCTTGGTCAAGTCTTATTCAGTTTATGGGTTAAATCTACTCCACATGCAATTGCAGTACTATTATTATTTATAAGACTTCTAGAAATTTCTTTATTTTCTACAAGTACAAATTTCCTTCTTATGACATTTATTTTTGCATTTGTACCTTTTGCACACTTTTGTGGAATATTTTTAGTTCTATTAACAGCCTTTGCAATTCTGATGCATGCCATGTATGGATCAATATATATTCAATTTTCATCTATACCTATATCATTCTATTCATTGTTTTTATATGCCTTTGGTAGTCCATTTTCAATGACTGACCATGGAATTCATTTTTATTTTGAACAAAGTGCTTATGGAGCTGCGGCTATGTTACTTTTATTTGAAATATTTTTTGTAACTATTTTGTTAAATATGTTTACTACTATTATTATGAACTCCTATTCAATTGCAATTAAGAATGTAGAACATCCAATGAAAATGAAAAAAGTTACAGCTTCTTTATGGTATCAAGCTAAGAGAATATTTGGATTTGATGATGAACTACAAGAAGAGCTTGATACTATAGAGGCAACAAATTCTATGTTTAAGTCAGGTGAAGAATCTATGGTCTTAGATATGGCTCTACATTTACCATCTAAAGTTTTCACATCTCCCGATAAAGCACTTAATGAGAAATCTAATATTAATGAAGAAACACCCCTTATAGACAGTTCAAATAAGTAGAATACACAAGTTTAGTTCAGAAATATTTTATAAGTTCAGAAAGTTGAACATTACTTTTCTGTCGCAATAAAAGCCTATTTTTAAAGTATTATTATTGAGAACTACATAAGAGTATAATATTTTATACTTAAATTTAGTTAGAGAACTTCTCATTATAGTAGTAGTAGTTTCTAAGGGTACCAAAATTAATCCAGAAAATATTCTTACACACATTAGGCGCTAGAGACTAAAATATTCTTTAGTATCTTACCTACTTTCTTTCCTCCATATTATTTATACCTATATTGGTACTCCATAATATCAACTTTTGAATATGACTACATATAATAGGAGAAGTATCTTAGTGGCTCTAGCTGTAGGTTTAACAGGGATAACAGGTTATTATCTACTAAAGTCCCTAAGAGGACGCAAAGGTAGGATGCAAGATCTAATTAAAATACTTAAACCAACATCATCCTGTAATAGTGATAACTCTAGTTGTTCTTGTGGTGACAATCTCAAAGTAAAGATAACTCAATCTAATAAATTATCTGTAGTAAAGAGAGATCAAGAAAATAATAAAGTTCCAGGAATTGGTCGAATAATGATGCGTAATTTTGGGTGTAACCATAACAGAAGTGATTCGGAAAGTATGAATGGACTTTTAGTTGAATATGGATATGAAATAGTTAATGAGTTAGACGACTGCGATTTGATTGTAATTAACAGCTGTACAGTGAAAAGTCCTAGTGAAATGTCGTGTAGGAATCTGGTTGAGACAGCCTTAAATAAGAAGAAATTTGTAGTAGTTACAGGATGTATTCCCCAAGCAGAAAGAACCTTACCTTGGTTAAAGAACGTTTCAGTATTAGGAGTATCATACACTCATCGTATAGTGGAGATTGTAGAATTGACTCTTCAGGGAAATATAGTAGAAATGATAAGCATGAATAGTGACTTAAGTGCTATAGGTACAACAAAAAAACAAGATAAAGCCACTTTTTCAAGATTACCACCATTAAATTTGCCTAAAATAAGAAAGAATCCATTAGTGGAAATTATTACAGTATCTGTAGGATGTCTGGGAAATTGTACTTATTGCAAGACAAAGTACTCTAGAGGAAACTTAGGAAGCTATACTATTGAGACTATCTTGAATAGAGTGAAGACTAGTTTAAAAGAGGGGATTAAACAAATATGGTTAACATCAGAAGATACGGGTGCATATGGTAAAGATATTGGAACTAATCTTTCATCACTTATTTACCAGATCTTGAATATTATTCCTCCAGATGTGATGATACGCATAGGTATGACAAATCCTCCCTATATCTTAAACCAAATTCAGGATATGGTGGAAGTTTTATCACATCCAAATGTTTTCGAATTTCTTCATATTCCAGTACAAAGTGGAAGTAATAAGGTTTTGACTAATATGAGACGTGACTATACGAGAGAAGACTTCTGCAAATTAGTAGATGAAATTAGTAGTCAGTTGTCATTGATAACAATAGCTACTGATATAATTTGTGGTTTCCCTGGTGAAACAGAAGAGGATCATCAAGATACAGTAGAGTTAATTAAGAAGTACAAATTCCCAGTTATTAATATTTCTAAATTTTATCCTAGACCTGGAACCCCTGCAGCTAAAATGAAGGCAGTTCCGAATGGAATCTCAAAGAGACGAAGTCTTGAAATCACTAACATCTTGCATAGTTTGAAGTACAATGAGGAGCTTTTAGAAAAATTAAGACTGAATATGAAATACAACTTATCAACTTCAATTTCAGATATTATAGTTAGGGTTTGGTTTATAGAAAATTCAGATATTAGTATACATACAATCGGGCATACTAAACAATACACTAAAGTTATTGTTGAGAAGGATGATAAACTTCTCGGTAAAGTTGCCTTAGTTAAGCTTATAAAGCCTGAAAGATGGCACTTTGAAGGGGAAGTTATATCATTACTAGACTTTTGAGATAAAATATTTATTAATATAATTTGAGTTGAAGGAGGTTGTCATTATTTAGTATTTATTGTATATATATATATATATATATATATAGCTATGTCATTTTAAATTTATAATTGAGTATTTAAAGTAAATATACATTGATGTTAACATTTAAAATATTAATTTATTAATGCGCATTGATATATATTCTGGATTCTCCACTAATCAGACTTTAGATCCATGCAAAGTAAATATTAGCTACCGAAAATTGAAGTTGTACATAGTTTAAATAACAATGTAACTGCAAGATATCTACAATTATCTAAATTAAATTTTGTACTTTAGTTATAGTACTATAAATTAAATGATAGATATCTCAAGAAGTGCCAATTTCATCTATTAAATATTTGAACACAATCATAATGACCTTATGCATTAGATAGATAATTATCTATGAGATAAGTTGTACAATATTAATCCCTAGAGTAGAGTTTGGGGTATTCATAAGATTATAGATGACTATTACATAAATTTGAAGTAAAAAAAGTATATAATTCAAGAAATTTGATAATTCAGAACAGTTCTAAAATTATATAAATGACAGTAAAGTACAATTTTTAAATGTATAAATCGAATTATTTCCCATTATTAATCAGTTATCTTCATATCAAATGTTATTCATCCTCATTTCTTGATTCTCTTGTTTTGAGCCCTTCCTCTACCTTAGCTAAACTTTCATTAAATAATTTTGCAGAAAGCTTTTTTAAAGAATTAGAATCCAGTTTCCTTACCTTAGTTCTACTTATTCTCTCCATATCACCACTACCATCTTTATAATCTTGGTTTGTATCCAAGTGTTCCAAAAATAGAGCTTCTAAATTCGATAGAAAAGCTTTCCACATAAATGGTGCCATTTTATCCATCTTCCTCTCTTGGAATTGATTCTTCTTCTCAAGTAGCCTTTGGTAATCTTCTTCCTTAATTATAATTCCATTATATAAGGGTTCAGCCTTAGAGTTTAAATTCCTGGAAAACTTGCTAGATATTCCCTTTTTATAGCCCCCACTATATTTAAAACCTACCAAAGCTCTGCCATAACTAATATTTGCACGTTTAGCAGTCTCTTCCCAAGAAACAATCCACGTAGACCTAAAGGATCTTTGGCCTTCCATCGAATCTTCCTCTGAAAGTTCATAGTTATCTTCTACATGAATACATCCCAAGGGTACTTGTTGATTATTCGTTAGATCTACATTATGAAATTGATTTACTGGAACTTGATTATCACAAGTAATTTCACGTATCGGCACTAATTCTGTTTGATATTCAGCATATAATTCCTTTATGATATTATTACTGGCATCTTTAATTGTTTTTATAGGAATTTGTCCTGAAGATATTCTTCTCTGTTGCCTACTCCATTGCTTTGCAGTTTTTAATTGCTGTACATTTTCTCGGGGATATACTGGCTCACCTTGAAAATACCCTATAATTGGAATTTGAGGATGAATAATCTCAATTGGGCTCAAACAAGACATTAGAGCATATTTCGGATGTCGCTTAAATCTGTTCTTATTACAAGGAAGAGGATCTTGCTGAAGACGCCTTTCTAGTGAGAAGTCATCTAACATATCAATCTGAAGTACATATATAGATGAACTCAACTGATTTACACTTTTAATAAGTTTATCCATATAATCTACCAAAAAATTCCTGCGAGAATTTAGAACAGATACCCACTCAGATGTATAACGATATGTTGTATCCCTAATATAACCTTTTTCATTAACAGTTAAAATCCACCATCCAATATTATCAAAATTCTTGTACTTAATTGAAGTTTTACATATGTCAATCTTATTCTTTAGTAGCTGTATAGAGGAGGTTTTTTTATATGTAGATGTAAATTCAAATGCTAATGCAGCGCGTTCTTCTTCTAATTCAATCTGAGTAGGCTTTCGTTTCAAACTCCCCTTTATTCCAATTCGAATCTCTTTGGATTTATTATCTAACTTAACAGTTTTGAGAGGTATTATAGGTAAGTATCCCTGTTTCAATTTATCAGACTCCTCATCTGAAGATGAAGAGTCTTCTACACTTAAATCCATGTGTAATTTTGAAAATATAGTCCTAGGAGCTGCAGTAGAAGTACATTTCTTATAATTCTGACTTTGTTCAACACTTGTTAATACTTGATTATGATCAGATAAATTGTTATTCCTTCCTAAGTGATCACTCTGTATAACCCTTGAATCTCCATCTATAAAATCCCAGCCTCCTCTATGTACATCTACTGCAATCCACTCATTTAACTTAGTACAAAAAATCTCTAACCACAATTCTGGACGTCTATCATCATCATCTAATGTTGTTCCAATCCAAGAGTATATATTAGGAACGAAGTTTTTCTGTTTATATTCATTAGATAGCCTCTCTAATTTGTGTGTCTTGTCCAATCTGTTCTTCATAGTAATCCTAGGTGGTATAAACATTACAATTCGACATCCAAATCCTAAGATTCTTAATAAGGAAGCAAAAAGTAAATTTGCAACTTCCCCACCACATTTATATAAACTTACGCTTGCTACAAGCCTTCTGACTAAATATCCAAAGTAGAAACATCTCGAAATACTTTGATTAAAAATGACCACATTTTTTGTAAATCTATAATTCATAGGTAAACCACCAGGCCAACTAACAAGCCACGAATTTGGAGATATGTTGTATGATCTAAAGTGCACTCTAAACCAATCATAAATTTGTCTAGGATGTTGATATTTACCATATCCTAAGTCACTCAATATAAATAGTGACAGCATAGATGCTCTTACAATTGCACAATCTACTAAGTTATTTACATAACGTAAATGACTTATCCAGGAAAGTATATAAGACTTCTGAACTAACCACTGTAAACTTCTATTTTCTGAAAATTCGATCTTTTTCTTCTTCTCAGATTTTTTCATCACAACTTATTATATTAACTATTAATATTTATATTATATAAGTTTTTATTTATAGATTCATATTTCATTAAGAATCACGAAGAATAGTCCCAAATTTCAAATCTTTTTTCCCTTCATGACAAATATTAATGACAATATTAGCCCGCTCCACTTTAGTAATATCAGAAACTAATAGTTAAACTTCTTTGGAGCTATCATTCATCCTAAAAAAAAAAAAAATTAACATATGATACGAACCCTACTTTTTAATTCTCTAGATCTAATATAGTTTAAAACTTCTATTATTCATTCTCCGTATCATCATATTGATGGAGGGATTTTCTCCATATATTCAATTGTTCAGTAAACTGTTTTTGTGGACATCTAGAATGAGCATTCGGAGTTTGAGGATCTTGTGGATCACGATTATCCTTATTTGGTTTTAGTTTCAGGTAATTCTGATAAGCTCTTGTTCCCTTTCCAACAGCAATTTGGAACAATCTACTCGATATCCTTTTATTCCAATCTACAGTTGCTGTGTTAGACTGTGTCATATTATTAGAATTCTCAGTGGAATGTTGTGAATGAGAATAAGTAAAATTCCTCTTATACTGCTGATATTTGGGAGTAATAGGACTCTTATTTGAACTTATATTTGATGAAATGGAGCATCTTCTTGGAGTGCTGTTGATTCCCATTGCTAATCGAGAACCCCTAAAAGAGGTAACACTAGATGGGCTACTTATTCTTTCAGTATATATTAGATTTAAAGTACCATTATCAGTACCTGAATTACACATTTTATTACTAGAATATCTTTGCCGTTTTAATATCTCATGACTTCCAATTATTGGGCTTGCAACATTATCTTTGGATATACCTCGTTTATTATTCTGCCTTAATTTAGAATCTAAATTACTAGATAGTTCATTTATATTATTTGTATCAGATAATTCCAAGTCTATATTATCAATAATATTGTTAAAGTTGCATATACCATCTTTATTAGTATCGTTTTGACTATCGTTATTTGTATTCGGAATTGTTTGGGAGATATTTATCTTCTCAGATATGTTGCTTAAACTACCTTTTATAGTTCCAAGAATTTTTGGAGTTTGCAGATTTGCTGTTTGAATTAAACTTCTAGGATCAAATGTGTCACAATTATTACTCTGATCATTATTTATATCTCCAAAGTGAAGACTCAAGCTATTGTTCTCCTCATGTACTTCACAAACCTCTAAGAGATCTTTTGTAACTTTTGAGAATTCTTCAGTAGTTAAACTAGAAGTTATAGTTTTGTTTGTAGCCTTAGAAGTCAAAAGCTTAGGTGCAATACCTGAAAAAGAAGTAGCTTTCAAAATCCCAGATTGTTCTCCTGTATACTTTGGGTGATAGGTAGTTGAATCGCCCAATATAGTGCTTTTATGAAGCAAACTAGTTAACCCACATGACTTAGAGTCATTTCTAACTTCAGTTTGGCTTGGTAACCAACTATTAGATGTATCACTAAGGCTTAAGTCAGCCCATCTTACAGAGCCTCTTATACACTTCCAATTAGAATTATTTGGAATATTTTGCTGATTTTCATTTTCGTCCATATTCCATTTACTTATAAAACACAGATTGATATAAATTTCAGATAAGTTCAGGCTATGACAAGTATTCGTTGTAATGCTCCCCGTACCTTTTGTCTTCCGTTAAGTATCCCCAAATCTCAAGATATATGAAAATCAATCCTTTCTTTTGGCACAACACCAATATAATGTTAGTGCTTAATAATTTCCTTTATTTCTGAAGTTTTGCAGAATTTAGAAATTTTCTTGAGAATTATTATCTATCCTAAATATTGCGCCAACCTCTGTGTGGGCATGCTGACTTTTATGGGGAAGGGGGGCTGCTTTTTGACAACCATAGCCTATCACTGTATTGCTGATTGAGATTAAAAAGCGTAGTAACTAGCATGGATACTGAATAAGTGGAAATATATAGAGGTTATTCAGTGATTTAATACATATCATGAATACTTACTAAGTCTTAGTACAATTTATATACTAGCCTAGTGCATAACAATATACCACTAGAATAGAGAAAAAGGTCTACCCTTAAGAAAACTATAAAGTTTCAAACTAATTAAAGCCTAAAGGTAATAACTATAAATAGCCAAAACAAAATAGAATATACTTAATTAAGATCTCTTTTGTTTCCTAGAACTAGCGTTAGATTGGCCTGTTTCACTCTCATTCATGACAGCATCTGATAATTGAGATACAACAGATCCTACTACCGAAGACCCCTCTAGTGGACCCCCCATACTACTTTGGTTAGTGGGAGTATTAATACTATCTAATTCAACTGGGGAAGTAACAGAAGAAAGAGAAAACCAACGATCTTTATCTGTAAACATTGTTTGGGTAGATCTATAAGAGCTTCTACCACCACTTATGTTAGATTTTCTTGCTCCAGTACTTCCAGATGATGTGTTGACATTAATATAACCATCCCATCCACGCAACATATTACCTATGTCAGTTGTTTGGTTCCAATAGAAAGTTTCCAGTTCATATATCCTCTTTTCAATTTCCACTAAATCACCTGTCAGTTTTTGTCTATAAATCTCCATTTCTTCACTTAATAAAGGTTTCGGAATAAGTTCCTCTGGGATATCTAAAGATATTGTTGCATTTTTAGAGCGACTATCTGACTTATGCTTCATCTTTATAAAATTATTGTCATCAAAAAAGTAAGGAGTAACAGACTTCAAGAACTGATAAATACCCTAGCTGAAACACAGTTCACAAAAACTTAGAAACAGTAAAAAGTAATTTTGAAGCTTTAATAGGGGGATTTTTATTGTAATTTAATCAAAGCCATATGAATCTAATCACTAGTGACAATATGATAAAACCACGTTATCTGACAGTTTCAATGTCTAGAGTTGAAATATGTAGCGGTTATTATGTCTTCTATTGTATGGCGGCAAAGTTGCCGCCTATTTGTGAATTTTTGTTTCTAATTGTTTATTAATAGTTGCCATAAAAAACTATATAAAGGCTATTACTATTCGGAAATAAGGCGAGTTAGATAATAAATGAATATCATATTGTAGTATTTGTAGCTTAGTGAGGCTATACTATTAACTCTGGTAGTCTGAAGGATGTCTGATCGTAAACTACTTAATCGATATTACCCTCCAGACTTTGATCCGGAGAAGTTAGAGGCAGGGAAGAAGGTATTGCGAGCAGCTAAGAAGTCCAGGAATGTCAAGAAGAAGAGAATGCTAAATATTAGAATGTTATATCCTTTTACAGTAAGGTGTAATGGTTGTGGTGACTATCTATATGTCGGTACAAAGTTCAATTCCAAAGTTGAGAAGGTACCTAATGAGGATTATCTAGGTATCCCTATTTGGAGATTTCATGGTAGATGTACTCAGTGTGGTAATGTAATCGTATTTCGTACAAATCCAAAGGATGGTAATTACGAATTGGAATCTGGTGGCAAAAGGAGCTTTGACCCAAAGAGAGATGAGGAACTAGCTGCGAAGAGTGCTAGGGAGATGTTGGAAGAGGAACTTTCACTTAACAAAGATAAAGCTTTACAGCGTAAGGTATTAGATACAGCTGAAGAAATTCAGACTCAGGATATACTAGAGGAATTGAGAAGGATTAACAAACGATTAATGAACCGTGATGAGATGGAGAAAGAAACACTACAATTTCTTAGTAAAGAAAGAAGTACTCTTCTTTGTCAATTTTTAGATGATGAAACTCAAAGTTCTCAAGTAAGAGAGAAGTTACGAGAAGAGGAAGATTTTGAGTTGCAGAGAAGTAAATGGAGTGCTCATACGGAAGCTAAGCTACTAAAGGTGAGTGATGAGCTGTTATACAATAATACACCATTTATAGAGAAAGAAGATTCCAATTTATATGCTAGAGATGAAGTATTCATGAAGCACATAGAGATTAAAAGAGATTGTGACCTATTTAAAGGCTACTCATCTGAAGAAGAGTAAAGAATACTTGGAAAACAGATTAAATAATGCTTTTAGAGAAATTAGAAACTGAAATTAAGGAGTACTTTATAAGTATTTGGAGTGTGTTTACCTGTTTAATAAATTTTAATAAGATCACAATGACACTTGATAATGACATCTATACAACTGCAGAAAACCACATAGAAAACCACGTATAAACCTAGATGAATAAATTAAATATTAAACCACTTAAAATATCACAGAATATCATGGTGAAGATCCTAACATTGATGTATAATATCTCCATCTTTCGGATTAAAAAATAGATAATAGAGCATATCTTCTAGATCCTAAGATATTGAAGTTAATTCATTCAATTTCAGTGTAATAGCACCATTACTTTTAAACAGAGATTAGTTTACTTCGAGTAGTAAATTTACAAGATCTCTTTAACATCTCAAAACAGCATTTTGGATCAAGCAGATTATCTTGTATATTCCCCTCATCTGGAGCAAGTATATGAAGCAAGTCACCATTTGCAAATCCAATAGCATTTGCCACAACATCATCTAGCTTGTTAGACCACAACTGATCAACATGCGACCAGCTGTATTTAGAGTCTCTCCTAAATCTTTCTTGAACATATCGATAGGCATTTTTTCTGTATAAAGGAGTTCTAAATGCTAATGATATAGGAACATATCTCATCCTACCGCAACTTATTAAAGCTAGCAAATATTCCACAGACCACAATTTTTGAGCCTTTTCAAAAGGTAGAGATCCGGGAATAGAGATACATCTAACTTTCCTCTTCTCAACTTGGATATTTCTGAAATTCCATAATCCTTCAAATCTATCAGCTATACTTAAGTGCTCACGATTTGCCGAGCTTAGGAGAGAGGCAGATAAATTAGAATTTGTATTAGATCCACCACTTGAAGATAGAGAATTCTGGTGAGATAGATTTGTTCCTGGAGCTCCTCCACTTCCACTAGTTCCTCCACCTGCTGTTGATACTGGAGTTCCAGTAGCCCTTGTGCGTTTAGGTGCCAATAGTGGATCATGGCAAGTACTTCCAACTCCAATAGTCTGGAATACTCTTCGACATTCCAACAAAGCAAAGTGACGCAAGAAATTTATTCCAGCTTCCATCACAGATTCGCGTGCATTTGAGCAAATGCAAGATCCCCAGACACAGTTATTACCCCATCTTTCAAGCCACAGAGAACAACTGAAGCTTAAAGATGGTTTGCTCGAAATCTCCGAGTTCAAAGATAAATCCACTTCATAGTTGTCAGCTTTATCACTGTCATCTTTCAAACTATCTGGGGTTGCATTTGGCATATTTCTTAAATACTCAGAGTTTATTTTATAAAATATTCCGCGGTATCTATATTCACCTTCTTCTAAAGATAGCGATAATAAATTTTCTGAATCAGAAGCAATGTCAGCTTTAAATTCTATATCCACTGAAACTTCACGATTCTGATTTATTACTAAATTTTCTTCTGTACACTCAGAGTGTTCCAGGTTTAAAGATATTTCTTCTGAAGATTTGTCATTTTCATTATCTTCACCTTTGTACATATTGTATAACCCAAATTGTCCTTGGATATAGTAGTCAATCATATCTAGCAGGGCCAAGGGACCAATTTGGCCATGCTGGCTCAGAATAGACGCTAATATGTGATTTGCCGATACAATCTTGTTATTCAAAGTATCTACGATCTCATGACTTGGCAAGGGATGAAGTAGAAGTCTAGATAGCTCATCTATAGCTGCTGAGTCTTCTGCTAATTTGTCATCCTTCTCAAATTTAATAAGTCCCTCATTGTTAGTTTCACATATTTCATTTGTAACTTGCAGCCATAAATTGAAAGGGTGTAATGATACAAGATTCTCAGCTGAAAAAAAATATGTTCTAACAAAGTGAACAACACTGCAATCTAGTGCTCTCTCATCTATGCCCTCAGCAACTAGCTTTGGAAGACCATGTAACCATTCTTCAGCTGATACAGCAATACCTACTAAAGATTTCTCTTCACTAGGTGAAATAGAAGAATATCCACCCGAAGTAGCAAGTGGAGCTATAGATTCAATTGCAACTCCTAAGGCTTGTAAGTTTAGATCTAAAGGTTTATGAAATACATTTTGATTATCCTCACTGAGCTCTTGTTCTTTAGTAGAGTTGACCTCTGCTGTGGAAAACTTTGTTGTCTTAATAGAATCTAAAAGTTTGAGAGGATGACGCTTACCATTGACATGGTATGACCAGAAGCTAACCAAACGTCCCAGTAATTTCGCAAGAACTTTAAGATCTTCGTATATAGCATCTTGATACATGTTATAAGGTAATATCCATGCTGAAACCTCACTATTTAGCTTAATATTTGGATTACCACTTTCTTCATCAATAGGGAACTGATCTAAAAGAGCTTTAGAGTTACAAGAGGAAGGAAGGAGAATAAAACCATCACCTCTTAAGCGTTCAGTTTCAGGGAAGCAAAAAAGTTCCACAGACCAAAAGTCGCACTTAGCCTTACTAAGATTAAGCAGATTACGTAGTTTATACATAAAATCTAGTTCTATTTGTATGCCACTTAAATTGGGGAGTCCATTAATAAATACCATTGAATCCAGAGTTACTACTTGATTACAAATACTCACGTTATTCATAACAGATAGACCACCTATATGAACTCCGGAATTTGCTACATTTGTACAGCTATTCTGATCTGTATTTGAAGTTGTAATTAGAGAAATATCCATTGAAGCTGTTGTTACATTCTGAAAACCCTGAAGATGTAAGTGATCATCTGGAAATCCCTCGTAATCTACGTCATTAAACCATTTATGACCACTATTTTTACAGTGCAGTCTACGAACAAGACGGCTCAAACTATCAATAAGATCCAAGCCTGCGAACCCCAAATTCCCAACAGGAAAATACCTAATACCCCATGGAAATACATCACCCATATCCTTCGGTAATATATTGACTGACAGTTCGTCATCAGCTTGGGAACTTGGCAAGTTACGGTCTAAAGATACATCTATTTCAGTATTGTCTATTTCTAACTCAAAGTTCTCGTTTAAATTTGGAGTAAGATATTCATGTGCCTTTCCAGAGTCTTTGCATATGTTGCTTTTGTACAAATTAACTAGAGCATATTTGCTTATTGTGTAATGATCTGTATCCTTTGAGGATCTTGGTTTAAGAAGCTCTAATTTATCTGCTTCAGCTATAATTTCATTGTCGTCATCTTCTTTTTGATCAAGTTCTCCAATAGTTCTGCCAAATTTGGATAGCTCAAAAATTACTTTAAGTATCTTTTGAGGTCTAAAAGATGCATAAAGCTTACGACCTGCAACAAATATTACATCCCGACGTTGAGAATCCCCATTATATGCTACTTCTAAAGGATTACGAAGTCCCAATTTTTCAATAAGTTGATACAATTTTTCTGAAATATTCATGTACTCTCTAACTTCACCATCATCATCATCATTATTATTATCACTATTATTATTATTATTATTATTATTATTATTATTATTATTATTATTATCATTGTCATCATCAGTATCTTTATCTTTATTATTCTTACTCTCATCAAAATTTAGGTTCTCTTCCAAATTCTTCTCACTACTTGCTAAATTCGACACATATAATTTAGGGATTTGGTATACAGTCTCATTAGAATTCTCAGATAATCCTGTCATAAACCTACAATTGAAAGAAAATAAATCTGGATTCAATAAAGGTTTAGCCTTTACACATATCCCTCTCCATTGAAAATGAGATGAAATTAAAAACTCCACAGCTGCATTTTTATCCAGTAGTAAAACTACAGCCCAGCCTTTGCAGAGTCCAGTCTCCGGATAAGTTGCTACCATCAATTTAAATTTTGACACATTTTGAGCTCTATAATGCTTCATTATGCTTAAATAAAGCCTAAAACTGTCGCAGTTAGGTAAGCTGGTAATTAATAGTGCAGGACGAATTTCAGGAATTCTACAAGACCTCGCAGTACTCACTAGGCGCACAAATTCATCCCCTGCAGCTAAAGCCTTGTCAACATATACCTTGGGAAGCATGTTATCTACTCTTCCATCTAATTCCCTGCGCAAATTAAATTCTCTGAAATCTGTAATGAAATGAGTAGGATAAGATCTATCATTTATTAGTTTCTTATTGTAAACATTAGAACTTCCTAGTGGTCCTATTCCACCCCCAGGACCCCTATCCTTGCTAGAACGAACTGGACCCCCTCCACTAGCTCCAATATTAGCTTGAGAATAAACTCCGACACCCCCCTGATTCCCTGAACCACCAGAAGAACTACCTCCAGAGCCTCCCAAGTTTACCCTACCAGTTCGACCATCATGGCGATACGGTCCAGATCGACGATAACCTCCTGAACCTCCACCTCCATTATGACGCCTTAGCTGATCCATAGAACGACCCACAGTATTGGACATATGGTGAAGAGAACCAGTTCCAGAAATTACATTTAATTTACCATTAATAGCACTCAAGGTATTCTGCATGCTAGTATTAGATGTATTAATAACTGAAGAAGTTGAGCCAATTACCGGTGCTCCTGAAGAATTGCCACAATTTGATTGTCTACTAAAGTTATAAGAGTTATAAAGTTGTTGAGGTGTAGCTATACCAACTGTATTTGATACTTGAGGAGATATTGAATGCAAACTCTGGTTTTGGTTAGGGAAGTTACCATACGAAATCTGTTGTAATGGGATATCTCCAAAATTTGAAGTCAGGTGGTGAGAGGATCCATACTGTAGCACTTGTGTATGACCCTGAGATCCTCCTGAAACTCCATATGTTCCTGACGAGCCAATATACTTTGATGTTCCTCTATATACTCCCGAACCTGATAAAGATACACCAGGTACTGCAGAGTTTCCTCTTGTAGCCTGATGATGTTGCCCTTGTTGAATACTACCATATCCTTGAGTAATCTGAGGCATTACATAATTTCTTTGATTCATATAAAAGTTACCTGCAAAGCTTTGCTGCGCATCCTCATAGGATCCTGACTGGTGTTGCTGAAGAGATGAAGTACCACCACTTGGTCCACCATAAGCCTGCATTGCCCCTCTATAAGTCCCATAATTAGACTGAGTAACTCCATATGTCCCAACATACGTCATATTACCATCAGGATATCCTGTAGCCACTGTAGAATTACCGTACTCTGAGTTCATATGATATCCATTACCTGCACCAGTACTACTACTGCTAGTGCCCCCATATCCATTACTTTGAAATCTCTCCTTATTATATGCATCTCCAAAGCCTGCACGCTGCCCTCCACCATTATAAATATTTCTAGGTATACTACTACTACTTGAACCAGAATTCAAATTTAATTGGAAATCAAAAGAGACCCTATTCTGGTAACTCTGTCCTTGCCCTGCACGCTGAAGCATTTCAGCCAGATGTTGCAACCCTTTACCTCCTGAATTGGCTAAGTGACCCCTTGAAGATTGAGATGAATCATTCTTATCACCTTTCCAATTGCCGTTAGTCATATAATCAAAATTTCAAAAATGTTTAGTATAAGCTAGCCACCAATTTGGCGGTATAGCGCCCTACACGAGTATAGCGGTAAATATTATCTGGCCTAGTCTTATACAAAATTTACCCTTTAAAAAAAGCTTTATGGTTGAGGTAATTACTTGCTATTTATTCACTTCCAAATATATTTAAAATATGCTAAGTTCAAATATAGAGCTGTCATTTAAAAGTATTACCTAAGAAGGTCATGAACACAAAAATTATGGAAATAATTTTCGAGATTGTGGGGAAGCTAGAACGATAGTATACTCTAGTGTCTCTTTTTTACCTCTTACATTTGTAGAGACTGATAAATAATGAAGTTTATACTAAGAAATTATAACTTTTTGAGATACTAGGGAATTTTATTTATTGAGAACTATAATATATCTTCAACATTAGTAGTGACACTTTTCTAAGAAATACTCATTTACCTTTAATATAGAAATTAAATTTAATTAATTAACTTAGATATTTCTTTCTGCATAATTTGTTAAGTAGATTCCCCTAAAACTCTAATAAATCTATTCATAAATATGTGGGTTTACATTTATAAGTAGTATATTATTAAGTGAATGTTTACTTATTTTCTTTAATTTGTCAAGTTTGCCAGCCAGTACTCGAGAGGGCCTTTGTAGAGCAATTTGCCTCCACTCTGTCAGTGTATAAATTTCTCTCTTTTTTTGAAAATAAATGAAATGAGTAAAGAAGACTTACTCTCTTCTTATGGTTAATGTAATGATTATTAAAAAACTTATTTTTTATAGTAAGTTACTATATTGGAGCCCTATATATTAATATTTCCTTGAATAATATTGTATTCAAGATTATATTCTATATAGTTAATACAATTACATTTATAACTTACTTTTATTACCTTTATTTTTTAGAAACTACATTACTAATACTTTTTTTTAATCCTTCATATTTTGGAAGTGAAGTTCTTGCTTCTAATACGCAATTCTTTTGTAATAAGGTAAATCCATGCAGCTTCAAAGTAAGTACTATATATAATTATATCCACAATTTTACATTTGGAATTAATATTTAATTTCAAATTGAAGTGTTCAATTTTGTTTCAAAATCATTTTATTTTTATGCTTTGACTTCAGCTTGTGGCAGATTTAGACTTAAAGTCACGCCCATCAAACCCTGGTGAAAAAGATTTTAGAAGTATACTTCAGAAAGGACGAATTTATTTTGATACTAAGGAGGAGCAATATAAAGTGACATGGGATGCAGCTCTTGTTTTATTAAGTGGCCATAATGAATATGGTAGAGGTATGGAATTAAGCGAATTAGTAATATATGATGGGAAACTTCTTGCCGGTGATGATAGAAGCGGAATCATGTTTGAAATTATTGACGATGGGAAGGTTATTGCCCCACGATATATTTTATCTGAAGGAGATGGTAATAAAGGTAAAGGAATGAAGATTGAGTGGGCAACAGTAAGAGATGATGTACTTTGGGTTGGAAGCTTTGGGAAAGAATTTGTGCAGAATGGAATAATTTCCAAACAAGATAATATGTGGGTTGCCTCAGTAGACAAGTTTGGAAATATAAGATACTATAACTGGTCAAAAGTTTACAACAGTATACGTTCTGCATTGGATGCAGATTTTCCAGGATACTGTATTCACGAAGCTGTAGGTTGGAGTCCTTATATGCGTAAGTGGATATTTCTTCCAAGAAGAGTAAGCAATGAACCATATGATGAATTCCTAGATGAAATGAAAGGTTCAAATAAAATGGTAATTTTGTCAGATGACCTTGAAATACTTGATGTGAAAGCTATAGGAGATATTATCCCTGAGAGGGGATTCTCATCATTTAAATTTTTACCTGGGTCTAAAGATCAAATTATTGTTGCTCTTAAGACTGTTGAGAATTCTAGGATAGACTTCCAAAGTACATATGTTTCTATGTTTACCATTGATGGTGACTTATTAATTGATGATATTAAAGTTCCTGGAGAATTTAAATTCGAAGGTATTGAGTTCACAAGCTTTTAATTACTTTCATCCATTCTCTTAGGTATAATAAATTGAAGGAAATTTTATACTTAGGACATATTTCAATTTGAGGAATACCTTAAATATTTTAGTTCTTTATTAATTATATTTAACTATTTAAACTGATAATCTAAAGATCCGTTTATTTCTATTTAACTTATATGGGGAGTTCTGTTTAAACATCAATTTCTACATTGTAATTCTAAGATTCAGACTTACTATTCACTTATTCTGTTTATTCATGAAATTTACTTTGATTTATCAATGAAATGAATAATTATCTAGTGATTGTATGATTAACTGATCATTTGGACTGATTGTGTCATATTTTGGCAAATCCTTTCTGGCCATTGCGTTTAACCAAATTGCTCTCCTCTTTACTTTTCTTCCCATATTTGCTTTATCATACCATTTTAAATTACAATTACTTTTATTTTCTGTATTAGCTTCACTATTAACTTCTTTTGCTGAAATCTCCAACAATTCTTCTGAATAGTAAAGCTGTTCATTTTGCTGAATTTTATTGCTGAGTTGTTCCAAAACACCTTCATGTCCCTTTACATTATTGTAACCACCAAGATTTTCCTTTTTTTCTGTGGATATTGCATAAGATGTTATTTCATCAACTACTTCTTCAGACACAGCCTCATTAGTAGAATATGCTCTCAAAGTTTCTGGATGAATATATCCCATACATATATTTCTCGCTAGTTTCTCTTCTAAGAAAGGACCAACAAATTCATACATATTATTATTTTCTATTTGTTTTTCCGGATTATACTCTCTAAATATTGGAATATTAGACACTTTAATATTGTTAGAGTTATTGTATTGTGGTAAAGTACTCTTTGATAGTGGCACTAGCTTCTGAGAAGGTGGATCATATACAGTTTGGTGAAAAAATGTTATTAGTGCCTTCTGCACATTTATTGAATAGTCAGATGAAACATTTTTTCCAATAGTTTGTAATTGCAGAATAATTCTTTCTAAATCTCCATAATACTCTTGCACAAGCTTCATAGCTGTCTTAATTCCTACTCCTTGTGGGGATTTAACATAATCACAGCCGGTTAAAGTGCAACCTAATACAAACATTTCATATGTAAATATATTTTGTCGTAGTATGCCACTTCTTGGTAAATCTCCCCAGTATATGACTCTGCATATTCCCGTCTTATCATCATGCTTATATATTGTGCAAGGACTCCCAAATACCAACATATCACTATCCTCCGTTATTACAGCATCAACATATCCAGTTCGACATAAATAAGATAATTGTGCATCTGCTTCATATGGTGCTACTATACATTCTATCCCGTGATGATCCCGTAGTTCCTCAATTACTTGGTGAGCTATATCAGGAGTAATATCTAATGCTCTTTGGCATAAATTGCGTATTTCATAACTATTTGAGCATTTTCTACTTTTTTCTAGTTGCAATAACTCCTTCTTTGCTTCCAATCTCTTCATATGCCTTTCTTCTTCTGTAACTCTCTTCATAGGTAAGGGGGCACCATCAAAAATGCAGACAGGTATTATTCCTTTACTCTTCAGTAAATTAACACGATCTATACAGTATTGGATATGCATTCTAGTGGATCTACCCAGAACCAAATCTTCAGCACAATTTGCAGCTGATCTATGTAGCCATCCATAAGTGTCTATAGCCACTCTCTTTCCCTTAAATTCATCTATCTTCTTTATTCTACTTACTTTATCTATATTTGGAAGCAATCCCTGAATTCCCATATTAATTAGTTATACTAGCTCTAAAGGTTATTGTTTTATATCTTCTTAGTCTTATACTTTCCAACGACATCATTTTTTTCTACCCCACAGAAAATTGCTATGCGATACCCGCTACTCGTGAGTTCCAATATAATCTGTTTTTACATATCAAAACCTCCAGAATACCTTATTATTACCCGAAACTTGATTTTTAAGACTCTAAAACATTATATAGCTCTATTTCAATTGATAAACAGTACTTAAATGCAAATTTACACTATATGTCATAAATACCAATATGCATGTTATTTCTTGCAAAGCTTATTCCGTTGATATATTATAAAATAATACCAATAATATATCTAGATTTCTAACTTATTTTAATAACCTCAAATTCTCACTTATGTAATATGTAAAATAGGCAAGATTCCTTATAGCCTAGTAAGAAAGTCAAACACATACCGGTGCGTTTGCATGCATTTGCAAGGATAATGTGGTAATGTCGACTATACAGTTTTTATACTTTATTGAAAAAAAGATTATTTTAAAATAAATTTTATTGAGCTTTTAAGCCCCCAATTTTGTACTGTTATTTAACTGCATATCTGAGCATTGAATAAATGGTATTTGTGATACAGAAGAACATACGAAAATAAGTGATATACTTTAACTTAAGAAAAAAACTTTAAAATTCAATTATATTATAAAAGGAACTAATTGTAAAGGCTAATTAATTGTAATTTAATGGTAATTTAGATGATATATTATATTTATAAATATATTGTTACACCTGGTTATATTTCATTTTATCTCTAATATCTGCAATTACTATTAGCATTGTGCCAGTAATAAAAGGAGGGAAAACAAAGTCAGTATCTGACCTCAGATACACAAGACGTACAGCTAATGTCTACTAAGAAATATATTATAGCGCCTTTGTAGACATAAATCCACTGAGTCAGTTAGAGGGGTATTTTCAAAGAGTGGCTCCAACTGGTAACTTACTGACGTGTAAAAGGGGAATTAAAAGTATCGGGCTAGTTACAACCGCCAGGTTAATTTTTTTTGTTGAAGAAATAAAGATTGATTATATAGAATATTAAAGTGAAATATTTAATAAACGCTAGAAAGAGGTCAATCTTTACTATTAGTTTGGTTTCTAGGGAAGGGTCCGAAGTCTCTAAGGACTACTTCTTGAAATAAAAGAGGAGAAAGGAAAAGAGGAGTTATTTGATATACAAAAAGCCTAGTATTGGGAGATTTTCTGTAAAGAATAAATAATGACTCCTGAAGACAATTCTAATGGTAATGTGACTTGTTCACAAGAAAGTACTGGGAATACTACATCTAAGTTTAAGAGCCAATTGAGAGCCGATGCACAAGAGTTTAAACCATCATTTAATATAATAACTCCATGTACTAGCACGGCTAGCACAGGTATATATTACCATGGTGTCATACCAGCTTATAATGCTAGTGATGTGGACTATCAACACTATCAAACTAGTACTAGCTACAATATAAATCTGAATAGAAAGCGTATAAGCGGAGACTCCAACAAATCGCAGACAACTTTAAATCCCAATGCTCAGGAATTTGTACCCAGAGGATGGATTAACCCTGTTTCAGAGACTGTTGGAGTTGAATTTCCTTCACCTAATGTATCAAATACTCCCTATATATCCCAATTTCCACAACCAACAATTTTACCTCAAGTAATACACCCTCCAATTCATCACTTTAACAATATAATTGTACAAAATCCTGAAGTTACACATCTAGCAATACCATCTCAGTCAGTAGATATGCCAGTGATATGTCAACCTAAAGGAGCAACTGAAAAAGTAGTAGATGGTTCTATAGAGCTATCTAAGAATTCGGATCAAAATGGCGAAATAAGAAATGAATCTAGTGCAGCACCAATAAATTTGCAGAATAATGGTACAAACCAAAGTGTTCTTCAACAATCTACTCACTTGACCTTTAAGGATAAGTTGTTAGCTCGTGTAAATAACGCTAATGTTAATCCTAATTATCAAACTAACACACTCCAAGAAAATAGCCAACAAGCACCAATAGAAATGAAATCTAAAGTGCTAGTTTCGACTACTACATCTACAACTGTGTCTCCTTCCGAATCGAAAAATGGTGTATCGAATAACCAAGTTGCCAAAGAGCCTGAAACTGTAGACAAAGTTAATGAAACTACCACTCAAATAGTAACAAAACACATAAAAACTGAAGAAAGGAATTTTAAAGAATTGGCAATAGAAAGCCATACACAAAAGCAAGTCTCTGCTCCCGTAAGTTGGGCACAAAGGTTAAAGAATAGTACAAATAATGCTCAATATAAGAAGGTACATCACGAAATTACTGATATACAACCTAAAGCTGTAGAGAAGAAATATGACAAAGTAAAGGCATATGAAAATGAAGTGTCCTTTGAAGAATTTAAATGTAGTGATAACACTGATAAACTAGGGGAAACTAATAATATTGAGAAAAATAATAATCCTGAGAAATCTACTAAATCTGAAAAGACTGGTAAAGCTGGTAAGATTGATAAGGCTAATGAAATTGATAAGATTAATGAAATTAATGAGGAGATTAATGAAATTAATGAGGAGATTAATGAAATTAATGAAGTTAATGAGGAGATTAATGAAATTAATGAGGAGATTAATGAAATTAATGAGGAGATTAATGAAATTATTGAAAATAATGAGATTTATAAGATTGACGAGGTCGATCATGATAAGATGATACATAAGAATCATAAGGTTGATAAGAATCATAAGGTTGATAAGAATCATAAGGTTGATAAGAATCATAAGATTCATAAGATTCATAAGATTCATAAGGTTGATAAGATTCATAAGGTTGATAAAATTGATAAAATTGATAAAATTGATAAAATTAATAAAATTGATAAAATTAATAAAATTAATAAAATTAATAAAATTGATAAAATTGATAAAATTGATAAAATTGATAAAATTGATAAAATTGATAAAATTGATGAAATTGATAAAACTAATAAAGTTAATAAAATTAATAAAGTTAATAAAAGTAATGAAACTGACGGAGCTATTAATAACAAAGCTGATAAAGTGGACAGGGTTGATAAAACTAACGGAGTTATTGATGATGAAATTAATAAAATCGATAAATCTGATAATATTGATAATAATAGTGAATTTGACAGGGATAATAAAATTGATAGTAATCATCAAGTTAACAAAGTTGATAACAACGAAATTGTTAATGAAATTGACAAAGAAATTGACAAAGAAATTGACAAAGAAATTGACAAAGAAATTGATAACAAAGTTGAAGATAATATGGACACTAATGAACTATCTGAAATACCCAAAGCAGTTTATAACTACCCAGAAAAGAAAGATAAATTAATTGACGGGAATATTGAAGGAAATACTGATATAAAGGCAGAGAATATTATAGAAAATGCAACTGAAACTAAAACTGGGAATTTGAAACATAAAGAATACACTGAATTACATAATAGTGAAGATGCAAATATACAACATTTAGAGAAACCTATAGAATCCCCACTAAGGAGTCCCTTCCCAATAATGATACTATTAGCCCTAAGAAGTGCATCTCAGAGTCAAGATTTATCTGATTTAATGTATATACCTCCACAACTATGTCGTCGAAATATGAATAGTAAGGAAGGCGAGAGAGAAAGTGGAAATTATCGTAATCGCAGTAGTTGGTCTAATAATAATAATAATAATAATAATAATAATAATAGTAATAATAATAATAATAATAATAATAATAATAATAGTAATAATAATAATAATAATAATAATAATAATAATAATAATAATAATAATAATAATAATAATAATAATAATAATAATAATAATAATAATAATAATAATAATAATAATAATAATAATAATAATAATAATAAACACTATCATCGTGATGCTGCGGGAGGGTATGGAGGATCTAGTAAGAGAGATAGGTATCAAAACCAAAATTCAAACTCTGGTAGTGTAACTAACAAAAGATCGGGAGACCACCAGGGAGGTTCAAATAATGTCGGAGGTTCTCTAGATTGGTCACGAGATGAAAGGAAGTTGTACCGCTTGGAGAGTTCTGCGGAAAGTTGGGTTGTAAAGCAGAAAGAGCAAAAAGCAAAGGGTGATCAATATGAAACACATATTCGTCAATATAGGGCTATTTTAAATAAATTGACTATTGAGAAATTTGAAAAACTATATGACCAAATATTGGAAGTTGGAATTTACACTGAAGAAGATACAATTGGCCTGTTAAAACTAGTTTTTGATAAAGCAACAACGCAGCATCACTTTATTCCGATGTATGTTGAGCTCTGTGATAAATTACGCGAACATTTAAAGAATATCACAACTATTGAGACCAGATTTATATTGATTGATCTATGTCAAGAATTATTTGTTGAGAATCTATCCGAAATGATTCTTCCAGAGAGTATACAAGGTAGTGAAGAAGATGCATTTGAATGGCAACTAAAATATAAAAATAAGATGAAAGGTAATATGATTTTTATGGCTAGTTTAGTCAAAAAGAAAGTTATTGCATCAAGAGTTGTCTTAATGTGCATGGAAGAACTATTACAATTTCATCTACCTCACCATATAGAAGCCTTATGTGTATTTTTACATCATGTTGGTCCATTTCTAGATAGTGAAAGATGGAAGCACTATGATGACTTTAACACACTATTCCGACAATTTGAGGGATTTGCTAATAATCCAGATATGCCTGTTCGTATACGTTTTTTAGTTAATGATGTAATCGATAGTAGAAAAAATAATTGGAGAATAAAAAATAGTAGGGAGGGACCAATGATGCTTGATGACCTTAAACTGAAGATCAGTGCAGAAAGAGGTGAACATAATACAAATAATAGTCATTCAACTAACAAAACAAGCAATACATCACCACAGAGATATCAGATGGCACATAGAAATGATCGTTATGGAGATTCTTCAGTAAACTCTGGGAAGACATCAACTTCCAATACTTGGTCGAAATACACATATAATTACAAGAACTCAAATTCCTATGATACATCTACATCAAATTTTAGAAGTGGGAATAACCATGTAACAAAGAAACCAAGCGATAATGTAGAATACACCGCAGAGGAGACTGACATTGAAGATGACGGAGGAGCCGTGCCTGATTCTGTAAAAGATAGTTTGGGTGGCTTAATGGACAGTTTCGTTGCAAGCAATGACTTGGAAGAGTTTTATGAGCATGTTAATGACTTGGATATATCTGTTGAGTATCACCCAGGCGTTTATAAAAATATGTTTACTCGTATAGCTGAATATAGAGTTAAACAAAGAAGTTTATTACTTAAGGCACTAATTAAATTAGCACTGAAAAGCGACACTTATATGAATGGAGAAGCAGCTAAGTCAGGAATTTTGATGGTTTTACAACCAAGTATATTGAATGATATATTAATTGATGTACCACAGTTTAAAGATATTGTCTTAACGGAATTTATTGATGAAGCAATTACTTCTTATGATCCAAATGGTCTGGTATTTGATGATGCCTTTATAACACAAGCAAAGAAACTAGTAAGCTAATCTCTCGAAGTACTCTTATAAATATAGGGATGGTTGCAATTGGAAATTGGGAATAGATACAGGTTTATTAGGAATAGTGGATATAAGGAAATAAACTAAATACTACGCACTTGATCACTTATTGATGTATATTTCATATTATATTGTCTATTCTATGTATTGACTTAGCTATATGAGGTTTCAATAATCTAAGGGTGTATTTTAGCACTTCCTATTTAAATACACTTAAGAAGCAATAAACTATCTTGGCGCTATTTACTCTTGAAATAAGTATTAGTAATAAGCGCTAGAAATTCAACTTATTTTCAATATTTGGCTTGTAAATGTTTCTTTAGTAGCATAGATATCTTTAGATATGATTATTGATGCCAAAACTCGAATTTATACCTTATGCTCAGAGAGTGATATTGCGTAGTCAAGATGATAGGAAGCACAGGATGAAATGGGAGAAACAAAGAGATGCTGAAGATAGACGAACAAAAAGAGAAGAAAACCGTATAGAACTTAATAATTTACTTTATAAAAGTACTGAGAACAAAAATATTAATTGTACTATAGATCCTATTGATGATACAGACGATTTAGATAATGAGAGTGAGTACAATAACTGGAAGCAACGTGAACTAATGAGACTTGAACGTGACTACATTGAATGTACTACTCAAAATACAATCGAATATAGTACAGTTGAAATTAGTAAAAATTTAGTAGACAGATCAGAAAAACGGAAATTAAGGCACAAATATCTTTATATGCAGAAGTACTATCACAAAGGTTCATTTTTTCAAGATAAAGATGAACCTTTGTATAATCGTGATTTTAATTTACCTACAGAAGAAGATAAAGTAGACAAAACGATATTTCCGAAGATACTTCAGCTAAGACGTGGTCAATTAGGTAAGAGTGGACAAAGCAAACACAAGACTTTAAGAGATGAGGACACAATGTCTAAAACGTCTTTATTTTATGAAGCTTACAAATATAACAATATTTCTGGCAAATATAAGAATAATACTATTGGAAATAATACTGAATTTGATAGACTAAGTTTAAAAAGAAAATAATTAATTATAATTGGTTTTACTTTGTAACTACTTTGTCGGTGGTATGTATATATCAGAGAAGAATAATCTCTTTGGTCGTAATATACTACTTTTATTATCGACTCTATTTATATGGTCCCCCCAATTTTGTAGAAGATTATTATACGTGAAATTGAGTGAAAATGACTTGATGGCTTTCTCATTCTGAGGAGCTGTTTGAATAAATGTGTCATTGTTATTTTCACCATATGGAAGATTATCTAGACGAACTGAATAGGATATTGTCAGAAAATAATTGTAGGTAATAATCATAGTATTTATTCATAAGAGTAATAATGACTTACCTAAATGTGTTTCAGGAATGTTTAATTCATCAACTTCACTAATTTGTAGGTAGTTACAAAGCGTCTCAAATTTACCTGTACTTTTAGCTCTAATAATGGCAGATTCCCATAACTTAGTCAATCTTTCGTAGTCTTTGTTGTATAATTCCACTCTATGATCTAAGTCTTCCTGCTTTGTTCTCCAAAACCCTTGGGAATCTAAGATTTTTGCATGTAAAAGGGATCTATAGTGTATCAAATCAGCAAATAATCTTGTCTCTAACTCATTGTCATAGTATATTGCCAGATTAAGTGATATTACAAAGGATAAGATTGCGATAAGTTGATATCTACCATCAGGATTGTGTTTTAGAATAAAATCCAAAATAGGAATTAGCTTATTACAAATACTTTTAAGTGAAATAACAATTTCATTAATTATTTCTTCAATTAGTCGCTTCATTGCACGTAACTCCAATGTTTTTAATGGATAATTGATGTTTTGTGATCCCATAATATAGTAACGATCTGGAATAGTAGGTTGGTACATCCCCTTTTTATCAATACCCCATTTTGGACCATCTAGCTTATTACCTAGACTGCACTTTGAGTTATGAAAAGACCTAACTGTCAGAATATGATATTGTACTGGATAGTTCAAAGGTACTTTAGAGTTGTATAATAAAAACTTTCTCATATAAATCCTAAAATAGTTCTGTTTATATACCTTTATTTCAAACATATTTTCAACCTCAAAAGTGGCATTACTACTATTTTGAGACAGCAAAATAAGCCCTTTATTTTCATTTATGATATCCAGTAATTCTTAAAGGTGCACTTTGGAATTATGTAATGTCAAGTTCCAAGCTCGATAATTATAACTTAGCGCCTAAAGTCAACAAACTTGGTGAGTAACTTTCAACAATGCAACAGAAACACATTTTGTGTGACTAATGCTTTTAGATTAAAACTCAAAGAAATATATTAGCACTATGTGCCTGGATCTATACAGATTCAATAAATAAAATACTGGAATTCTAAAGTGGTACAGATATCTGAATTAAATTTTTCAACTTGTGCTATTCAGCAAACTAGGTCTAAAATTAGTGGAAATAACGATTACATTTATTAAAAAGAACTATAAGTGACTATATGAACTTATCATAAAACGCAATATAGAGTATATATATTATCTTTTTTTAAATAGAAACTTTTTATTCAAGAGATTCCTTCATAATAACACAAAATGATTGTAATTATCTGGATAATCTGCACGTTAATTATTTCATGCAAATCTAAATATGTTAATAAAGTTATTGAATTTAATGAATCAAATCTTGAAGCTTTTATTACGGAATTTAGTTGTGGTATTGGTGTTTGCAACGTAAAGATTAGAACAAGACGAATTGCAAATTATGCATCAATAACCTCATCTAACCCCAGTTTACCACCAATTGTCCATACAGATAAATTAGGGAGTTTAGATCTTGTTGTATTTATAGATCATGACTGGAGAGCTAGTACTTCTTACTGTAGCAATATCGTAAATGCAAAAATTAATAAAAAGTTCTTGATAACTCCTCAATGGAGTGAATGGATTACTATTCAAGTTGAACAAGTTATCTCACCCCATACATGGTTCTTCACTATGGTTGACTGTAGTAAGAAGAATATTGAAATTATTAAGAATTCAAAACTAGGTACAAGCCCTGAATATATAAAAAAACCAACAATAAGTAGATCTAGGCAAAACCAAGCTAATTTTCTATATATCCAAATAGAAGGATTTTTTTATCAACCTAATGGATCGCATCTTCCATATGAACTAGTCAGTTTACCTTGGCTCTTAATCTTCGAAATTCTGTGTTATATTGGCATATTTATGGCTTTATTTATTAAAACTATTGCATTAGATAAATCAGCCAAAATATATCATCCATTAATCCCTTGGATAACTGCTACACTAGCAATAAATGCTATAGCTTGCATTATAGAAAGTTTATATATATTTAAATTCAAAGAGAATGGAATAAGTAATAGTAACATTTTACTAGCTTCACAGATTCTGAATTTAATTTGCAATATTGGGATATATTATTTATTAATAGCTATTATAAGTGGTTACTCACTTTTAGTATATAGGGAAAAGGATAAGTATTACAAACCATCTATCAAACTTATAAGCTTTATATTTTTCATATATATTCTGCAGTTTATTTTTCTAAATATTAATAAATTCAGAAATTTTACATGTAACACGTATACTATTTTGTCATACCTCATAAATACAGATGATACATGCAATTATGCATGTAAAATTATTTCGTTACTTAAAATTATTCATGCAGTAATTTTTGAATACATATGGAAAAAAAATGAGAAATTATTTATTACAAACAATTTGAGTAAAATTTTGGACAAATTGAGAATTATTGGACATCTGTATATATTAGCATACCCAAGTTCTTATATAATATCAATAATTTGGATAAAATACCATAAGAGAGAAATTGTAACTAATCTAGTTATATTCATAATCCAAATAATAACATATTTAAGCCTTATATATATTTTTTCATCTAGAAAATCTTCATATTTTAAGCATTCATATCTCTCATGTTCAATAATTCCTACTAGAGAAGATCTTTTAATTCATGCAAATCTAGCCAAACAAATACTAACAAGAAGTAGCTCAGAATTTGATTAGACTATATATTCGATCATCGTTTAATAGGCTGAATATTTATTTGAAATTGAACAAAATATTTACATTATATATATTGAAGTATCACCTAGTCTGTTGCAATGACAAATATTATAAACTATTCAAAATTATAAATATTTATAAAACTCTTTAAATTGAAGCATTTACAATTGGTATTATTATCATTATTTCTAACTATAACAAGCTAAATGGAGTGAAATTTATAGATTTAATCTTTTACATTTTATTCTCAACCCCTCCCTGTAAATGGCGGTAACTCTGACAACTTTTCTCAGGATTACTGGTGCAAGACTGTAGCCTTGTGTGGAAGATAGCAGGAGAAAAAAAAAAAAAGAAGATTAGATTATTTGCTAAGATAAAGAAAAGATTAAATTGGGTTACATACAATATTTAAAGGCTTAAGTTTGGGTTATATAGCTTTTGAGATAATAAATACTTAAATTTCCTAGAAAACGTATAAAGGAAAAATAACTCACTAAGTTAATAATTAATTTTGATGGGATACTGAACAGAACGTGAATGAAGATATTTTACTAAGACTAAAGATGAATACGAATAAAATACCAACTAAAATTGTAGAGAAACATAAAAAAGTACTCAAGGAAAGTACAAATGAGTACCAATCAAAATGTTGTAACAGCTCAAAATGTACATGTACCTCATTTTTATGGAAAGGTGTGAATGTGGATTTGGGATCATCGGATGAAGGGATGTATGGTGAAACACGTGAAAAGAGCCTTAGAAATGTATTCAGAATAATGAGTAAATATGGTATGGATGAGAACTCAATTCTTCTTGATATTGGATCAGGAAGAGGTGTTCCAAATATTGTTGCATCCTATCAACTTGGAATATTTTCAAGTATTGGGATTGAACTAGATGAAAAGGCTTATTGCTTATCTTTATCAAATGTTTTATATATTTTAAATGACCAAATACAGAAATATACTGAATACAGCATGGAGAACAATGCAAATAATAAAGCAAAACTTAATGAAACTCAAGAAAAAAATGCAAGAAATCGTGTTAATGATAATTTAGAATTTAATGAAATATTTTTGAAAGAAAAAATATACAAGCATAAAGATAATTCAGCAGCTAATTTTGAAGAGAAATTAAGAAGACGTATTGGATTTTTTAGAGGAGATGCAACATCACTAGATAAAATGGAACCAGTTAGTCATATTTATTCATTTGATGCAGCAATGCCAGTATGGATGGTTAAAAAATTTGTAGACTTGTTTAATGAAAGTACAACTAGTTTTTGCTATGTATCGTATAGAAAGGATCTAATTGAATCTTTAGGGTTGAAAGGAATTAAACTACATGGAATATCAACTCAAATGGCTGGATCTGGAGAAGGTAGAATGTGTTGGCTTTATGTTAAAGAGAACTGGCAAGATATTAAAAAAAAGTGCGATTTTTTGATAAAGGAAAAGTACTTTGCTGAAGTTATATTATCTATTAATAAACTATCAAATGTTAAAAACTTGGAAAGTATTATACAAATAACATGTTTGGATATAAATAAACAAAAGCAATTAATTAATGATGCATTAAATGAATGGTATAATAGCAGAAAATCTAGAAAAGAGTGTATAGCTGAAAGAAAGTTGATGAATCAAAGACACAAAATCCTAAAACAATTATTTATCCAAGAGAAGCAAAACAAGTTAAATATTAATCAGCTTACACTAAAAGATGTTGGAATAGTCGTTACAAAAAGTGATTCTGAAGTTAAAAATAATATAACCAGAACTCAAAAAATGAAACAATTTACTCCAATATCTAAATCTACAAGTAAGATGTTAAGATACCCTAATAAAAATGAAGATTCTAGTAATATCTCTATTGATTCTGTTTCTGTGTCTAAGTCTGAACAGAAAATACAAAAATGCGATGAAAAAGTTAAGGAAAAGAAATCGTTAGCTCATAGTGGCTTGCGAAACACTAGAAAACAAAATATATCTACAAAAACTACTATAGCAAAATGAATAAGATGAGTATGAAGATATATTTGTGAATATTACTAATAATATTAAAATAGTACACTTTTTTTATGTATAGTGTGGAATACCTCAATAATTTACTTGTAGTCGGAGTAGATTACTTTAAATATACTTAATTTTGGAAATATAACTTAGTGTATAATTCATTCATTTAGATAAAAAAATTTTAATTTAAAGAGGATTAATATCTTCAACTGAGCCATATAAAATAACTTATAGAAATACCTAAGAAACACAATTAAGATCATATTACTATAATTAAGTTAATATCCTATATTACTAAGATAAATAATTCATTTATTATACTATTTCCTAAGTACAAAGCTGTCACTAAATGTTGTGGATATAATTTAAAGGGCTAAAAAGAAAAGTATTTATATCTATACTTTAACCTAGTCAGTTAGAACTTCCTAAAATATGCAATTAGCAATGTATTTGTGATAAGTACACTTTTAATTGCAATAATGAAGAATTATTATTTATATCAATTTATATTTTGATATTAACTTAACTTAATTCTAAGTATCATAGTGGCTATAAATATATTGTTTACCAATTAATTGGTCATCTTTACATTTCTCACGTAAATTAATATTACAAACCTTCACAGTCGTCTCCTTACCCCCAATGATATCTTCATCTATCTCACCTATCAAATCAGAACCTTCAGTATAATAGTTAATTAACTGTGAATGTTGGTTTATTTCACCCTCATCACGATAATTTATCATATCTGAACTATTATCAAACCTACTATTTATTTCATTGTGGACAAATGTTTGATTATCATAAGTTAATGGACTTTCTATATCAAGTGTTTGTCTATTTATGTCTCTGGGTTGCTGTTCATCACCTTGATCACTTTGTATGCATTGCCTCTTACTTGGAGTATTAGCTTCGTGAATATTAAAGTTTGGGAATTGCTCTGCTACAATCGATTCTAATTCTGTTACTTGAAATTCATCTAAAACAAAGTCTTCATCACATAATGGTAATACCTGAGGTGGAAAAGTGATTGGGCCATATAACTCAATTCGTTTTCTCACTGCACCTTTAAAAGCTGCTTGAAAAGCTGATATTGTAAGATCTCTAGGGGGAAAACGAAAATCATAACCACGACCTCTAGATACAACAAAAGATCCACCAACTCTTGTTCTCTCACGCGCCCACTTTACATAAAGATACCTAGGTATTTTGCGACGTAATTTTGCAACTAATTTATAAGAGAATAATTTCCCCAAAGCTATACTTGCAGTATGTTCTTGATTACTTGAACCTGCTTGTAAAGAAGTACCATTTTCAAAGGTAGAATTTTGTTCAATATCTTCTAAGTCACTTTCTATTACACCCAATGATAAATTAATGATCTCAGAACCTTTAGACTCCGATTGTAATTTTGCCTTCTCTTCCTTAATAAATCCGTTGTCTTCAGCTAAACTACATTGTTCATTATTACTACCCCTTATATCTTCACTTGTTACTATATCATTATTCAGTGTATTATCAGAAATTAATAATTCTTCATCATTCTCACCTCCTTCAGCTAAACACATCTGTAATATCCTTGCAGCACTCTCTTTAGTTGCTGACTTTCTACCACCCTTATTATTGATCTTTGGAGAAGTACTATTATTCACAAAGGGTTTCTCAGTATTATTATTTGTAGAATTCTTCAAAGATAAATTCTCTGATAATTCACGTATTTCTTGAGTTATACTCTTTGTGTTATAAGCATCTGGTGCGACTGATTCACTTTTCTTTCTGTAACCTGCACGCTTTTGTGTAATTTGTGCTACAGGAGTCGTATCTGTTAAAGTATTTTCTGCAAAAATTGGTGTAACAAGATCACTTTTTTTAGAATTTGAAGTTGTAGAATTCAATGTACCATTATTTGAAAGATTATAAAATGCAATTAGATCCTTAGATATAGATTCAATTATTGAAATATCATTAGAACCAGCTTTATAAGGTGAAAAAATCACTTGATAAGGACTAAACTGCTCTACTGATTTACATTTAAGCAAGTAAAACCAGTGCCATCTATAATATTCCTCTGTTATATTCCACTCAGAGTTATATCTATATATTTCATTTAGAATACAGCATAATCTTGTCATCTCTTTGGATACTAGTGATATACATTTAGGATCTGGAGCTAATGAGTTTGTATTTGTACTGATCACAAGCGAGTCAGTAGAAGTTATAGAACTCTCTAAAGAAGTAGGCATATCTGTCTCATTACTCACTAAAATATTATCTAAATCTAAATTATCTCCATTTATCTTTTCAATATTATTCCATGATGAACAATTACTACAAAATTGTTTGTCGCTATTTTTCTTATTAAAGACAGATTTCTTAGATTTGCCTGAGTTACCATTTAGATTGTTTATTTCAAATTCAGAATTCAGGAACATTCTTATCAGATATAAACTTATATATATATTATCATTATGGTGAAACAAATTTATCTCAAAAATGTTCCTACCTTATTGATTTCTTAAAAATCTATATCTAGCTTTTGGAGTCTCTTTTACCGGCAAAATTAAATTATAATTACCCCGTTATTATAAAAGAAAATAATACAGTATAATTTAACTCTAGTATAACAAAGCAAAAAAGCCGCATATTATTCATCTGAAAATATTTAATATTTTATTTCTTAAAATATCGGGAATTACTTTTAATTACACTTTTTAAATTCCCAATAATATATTATTATATATATTTACTTTAAAGTCAATATTACAACGAGAAGTAATTAGAGATACCTGAAACTTAATTATCACCAGCTTTATTTTCTATCATAAAGGTAAAATTTAGCTGATAATATCAAACTAATATATTTTATTTACATATCACTATATATAAATAAAATATATTGAGAGTAATTGTGATATTATCTTAGATTTTGATCATTGAGATATGTGAAATACTATTGTACTAAGGAATCAAAATTACTTTAAGTATTTAAAATCGAATAAAAAAAAGAAGTGAAAAAAAAGGGAAAAATAAGAGAACTTATAAGAAATATTATATATTTGTGCTTCTAAGAAGCTGTTAGTAATGGTCTCATTTCGACAGAGCTAAACTGACTACTTGTCCATATATTCTGCTTTCTTTTTAATATATTAAATAAACAAAATCCAAAAAGAGTCATGTATAAAACTCCATTAATCAAAAGAGCAATCCCACAATTAATCTGCTGAGACTTTGGAAGTTCCAATATCAGGATATCTAATATATATAAACTGCCCATTAATAAGCTAAGTATTCCACAAAAAGCAGTCCAGATAGCTCCTATACGAAATATAGAGTAAAGATCCATAATTACAAAAGATCCTTCTTCAAACTATAAGGGAACTGTCCTTTGTAGCTGAGTTCTAGTTTTAAAGTCTTATAATTTTATTACAGAACTTCAATTATAATTCCTCCTGAGAACTTTAGTATAATAGTAAATATGATCTAAAGCTTTTTATTTCATTTCAGTAGTAATAACTGAATAGAAATCGAATAATTACCTGTAAAGCTCATAAAATAGCTTTACCGTATAAATAGCAAAATTAGGCGAAATTTCTCAAATACAAACTGTCTAGTAAGTAAGTAATAAATGTCCCCTGTTATCTGACAATACTAATAAATCTCAAATTTATTATGCCCTTAAATATTAAGCCTGAAAAGCTTATCACACATCTTTATAAAATAAAATGGACCTATCCCCCTCACACAAATTATAATCCAAATCTAGAGCGCCTCTAAAATATTTATACCAGCTAGGCGGTACATATCCTAAAAAGCCCTATTATTTTGCCTCTACAAGAAAGTCCTTTTTAAGCTTATGTAAAATGTGCTATCCTAATAGTAATGAAGACCTAACTCATCTATTTCTCCTTAATTAAAGATTACTATTTAGTTCTGTTATTTGCAGTATGACTTACTAAGAGAATATCAGAGAGTATAGTTGTAAATATATTCAGTACATCTTATACAACAACTTGCGTTTTATATAGAGGAGTTATTGTTATCCTTATTTGAAGATACAATCATTTGGATTGCTAATTTAATACCTTTTGTATAATGTTTAGCTCCTTCATCAGAAAGCTAACCCCTCATCATAAGCCGCTAAAATTAAATGGTTCTGTCTCACGGATGTTGAGTAAAAGTAGTGGCTCTGTCTTTATTAAGAACTTAAAGTAGTTTTTGATCTTTTTAGAAAAACTCAATTGACTTTATAATGTTGCACCCTATAGTTCTATGGGCTCAGACTAAGAAGGCTCTCTATGTTACTGTGGATCTAACTGATTTAACTGATTACAAAGCTGATTTAGAAGAGGATCACTTGACATTTTATACAAAAGTTGGAGATAATGAATATGGCTTCACTTTGGAATTCGCCAAATTAATTAATAAAGATGAAAGTAAGTATCAGACTACAAGATCTCTACATTTTATGCTTGTTAAGAAGGAGGAAGGAAGATGGCCCTCAATAGTGAAAGAGCCATCAAAGTGCAGAAATTGGTTGAAGTGCGATTGGGATAGATGGATAGATACAGATGAAGAAGAGAACCCATCTAATAAATTTGATATGTTTGGTGGCATGGGTGGTATGGGTGGTATGGATGGTATGGGAGGCTTTGATATTAGTCAATTGGGTGGTATGGGAGATATGGGAGATATGGGAGATATGGGGGATATGGAAGATATGGAAGATATGAATTTTGGTGAAGATGATGTAGGCGAAGGTGATGAGGAGGAATTAGAGGTTGATGATGAACACAAGCATAGTTGTAGTGACAACTGTACTCATAAGGACTAACTAGAAACTTTCTAAATGGAAGATATTATGATGAAGATGTCTTTTTTAATTTCTGGGATACTAGTATTTATCCCCTCCAAAATCAACTTTTTTTTATAGGTTAAATAGGCTATTGATAAGCTAAAGTGCTGAATATTTCACTATACTCACAGTATTTACTAGAATTGCTGATCACTAATAGCTATTTCTCTAACTATCAATGATTTCTATCTATAATAGTCTATATAGTATAAATGATTTTACTTTATTAATATCACTGTTTATAGGTAGGGATGGTTCGATACCTAATACTGTTACACTATGTATGATACCTGTAATATATCAGTATCCTCTACATGTTTGAGATAAATATTTAGGAATTATATAGATGTATTTGTAGATGATAACCTGAGGATTTTTCTATTAGAAGATTCGGATATGTTCTATTTCATCTGGAAATTATTTTTATTACACAACTCAGAAACTATTAAGAATATGATAGTTAACTGGATTTAATTATAGTTTGAGTAAAAGTACTGACAAAATTAGTAATTAAAAGTGTAAAATGAAAATATTGTTTACTTAAATCTATGCTATTCTAATAACAATATTATATTCGTATTTGTATTATTAAATCCTATTTTATAATTAATCATTTATGAATAGTGTATAGTTTCAAGAGTAGAAAGTTTTCAATTTAGACCTTATGCTAAACTTTCAAAATCCTGCAATAGCGCGACTGTCTAATAAGGACTTTATAATCAATAAGATTAAATAGTATCAATAAAATACTTTAGAATAATATTGGCTATCTGAAGTCATATTGTACTACTTTTACCTATCTATTAGTTAAATATATAATTTATCTTTGTGCAAATTTTTTTTGTGACAAATCATTCATCAAAATGATAGTATGGATATATATTTTTTTACTCTTTCAGACAATATATAGAATTGGTGGAGAAAAATATAATATAAATGAAGGAGAATTGGAGAAAAAATTTGGATATAAGGTTAAATTAAGACATAGTAAAACTAACTTCTTTTATTTTCCACCAATCACAGAGTTAAGTAATAAGAATTTAAAAATTCCAGATATTGCATTTAAAGAATTTTATGATAAATTAAGAGATTATAATTCCACTAAGTTACAACCTAAGGAATATTATCTAAATATTGTAGATTCAATGGTTAAATGGTCTCAATATTTAAAACATAATGGAATAGGACTTTCTATTAATTCAAAAATTGAAAATCTAGTAGTTGTAATTCATCCACTGGGAGATTCTAGTTTATTTGGTCTACTTTTGGCTCTTGATATTATTAATATGAATATTCCGGTGTTAGTTTATGATCTAATAGGACATGGTCAGAGTAGTATAAATGTAAATGTTGGCCATAAGAAATTTCAAATTTTAGATTTTTGTGCACAGTTATGGGATATCTTAACCTATATTGGATGGTTCAAGGAGACAGAAGAAGATGGTATTTATACAATATATATTCCTAATAAAAAGGAAAAACGTTTAATACTTTATGGTCATTCATTAGGTGGCTTTTTATCTGTAGCTTGTTCATCATTATTTTCTAAAAGGGTTTATTCAGTTGTCATAAGTTCACCAGCTGGACTAATTGGAGATCCTGATCTCAAACATAAAACTCTGCTAAGATACTCTAAAACCTTGGATTCTATGCCAAAAACTTTAAAATATATTATATTTAGAACTATATCTTGTATGATATCTGAAGATTACAAAAGGATGACAACTTGTTCAAATATAGTAAATAGAATACCATTATTTTATGGTAATAAATATTATGAATTATTGAGTAAAAGTGATGTGAATATTCAATTTTATTGGGATAATAATGATAATATAACACCTTTGTATAGGGCAATAAATGCTTTAAACAAATATTTTCCGGATAAAATATTATGCTTATATAATTCTAATTATCATGGTGGCTATATAGGTAATAGAGATTATTCCGAAGATCTCCATACATTCATTGATAGATTAACTAGAATGAATTACGAAACTTCAGATGGAACGCACAAAGCTCCTGAAGTGAGTGAAAGGTGCAAACCTATTACTTCAGTTATTGGCAATATTAAATATTAAAAAGTGCCTAATAGTTATTTATACTTACAAATTAAATTACTTTTAGAACGTATTTTATATTGAGAAAATTAAATATATCTAGAAATAAATTGAAAATAAAAATATATATATGTAATTTATTAAAAAGTTATTATCATCTAATAAAGATGACGATAAGATCTAATTCTGTAAAATTCAAATGATCTAAAGTGATTATTATCAACACACAGATAAGTGGAGTCAGAATAGTTCCCATTAATTTTGGTCATTTTAAATTCAGTATATTTGAGATATCCATTTGATTTATTAGTGTCACTACCTTGAATTTTAAATGAAACCTCGTTAATAATTGTTGGATATTCTTTATATATAATGATAATATCATTTGAATCTTCAGATTTACAAATTTCATTAGGCTTGAAACACCATGTTCCAATAATTAAATTATTAATATCACTATCTTCTAATTTGATTTGTAAATCCAAATTATCTTTAATATTTACAAGTTGTAAATACTTAGAAACAAGTTTGTGACTCTTAAGATACTTTACAACATCAATAGGATTTTGGGAGCTTCTAAGTATTAAGACTATATTGGTATTTGCAATGAATAGTAAATAACGATAATAAGTAACTTGAATTATAGACAAATCACACATACATTTCTGCCTCTGAATATCATCAAGATGAATATTACCTGATTCAGATATTTTTCGAAAGTACGAACAGCGACTAATATATATTCCATCATATCTGATTCTCGGATGATTAAGATAAAGCGTATAATAATAGTGTTTAGATATTGTTGACGAATTTATAAGAGTGCTAGACCATATTGAGTTTCCCCAGATACAATGACACTTATATTCCCATATCCAAGATGTTTTTACTAAATAGTTGAAATATTTACATGTTGTGCTTAGTATACCACATGAAAAGGTATCTAAATACAACATAATTTCTCCAAAAGTTAATGGATTTAGAATTAAATACATCGAATAACAATTTATAGATTTAGTAACTGTTGAAATATCCATTCTATCCCATTTATCTATATCAAGAAGTTGGATTATCTTTGACATATAGTCAGACTTCATACTATTCAGGAAGTTTCTTCTAACCAAAAAAAAGTGTTGAAGTGATACTTGAATATTACTCCTATTATCTGTATTAGTAATAGATTCTGAAAATTGGTTTCTTTTATCTAAAATACTACTTGATGTATTTTCATATATAGAGTCAACTAACTCGTCTTCACTATCAATATTAAAATAATACAAATCCCTACGATACCTCTGTTTTTCAGTCAAATTTAAGACCATACTCTTTTCATCAAGATCAGGAAATATCTTCAAAGCTCTTCTATAACATCCTATTGCCTGAATCAGATTTCCTTGATATTCAAGTAGTAAACCACGACGATATTCACTTTCAGCCTCCTTAGCTCTAGATATATTATTCATATTTAAATAAATGATTAATTTCTACTACAATATATTATTAACAAATCAAAAATATCTTTGCTCCCCCCCCCCATTATTTATACTAGCTTCAATAATTTCCAAAATATTTCCTCAAAAATATAACCTCTTCAAGAGTATTCTACAAATATTCCCTAATATGTTTTATAAATATAATAAAAATGTCTATAGCCAGAACTAAGTGTTTAATGTGAATTCTTAGTATTATTGGATAGTATATCATCTGGTAAGGCATTTCTGCTATACATTATAGCAAGCTTTTTAGCGCGGGACCTCCCAAGCTTCCTTAAGCCTATTCCATTAGAAGATAGATATGTTAAATTTGCAAGTGTAATCAGCCATTCTGGCTCTTTATGGCAGCTTTTCTTAGAACCCATTATTTCAAATATATTATCGATGTGCTTTCGTTTATTACTTAAATTCTGAAAATCATTCCCATCTTCATTAATAAACTGAATTAATTTTGATGGATTAGGAAATTTATCAGCAATAGCCTTTGCAGATTCATCTGATAACCCAGGTATTTGAATTAGTTGTGATACCCAAATACTATCAGCTGCAGTTGAATTATTACTTTTCGGTTTATATTTCGATGGAACTGGACGTTTTTGTGCTTCACCAATACTAGATATAATGCTATACAGATATACAGTTACATCTGCTTCATTTCTGACTTCAATACTGTCACTTGATAAATGTATTAGTAAATATGTAATTGCCATATCTAAACTAGTTTGCCCAGAAAAGTTTAATGAATCATTATTTTGGAAGTTTGCTAAATGATTAGAACTTTCTCTTAACAATGCCTCTTGAGACAAACAATCTCTTATTCCAATCCATATTACTATACAACGAGTTTGATCTTGAGAATCTACTTTATAATTTGAGCTCATGTGTAATTGAATCTCTTCATAAACACAATCAACAACAGGGTGACCAAATTTACTAGATTTTATGTTATGATTAGTATTTAAATTGGATATTTGGTCATATATTTGTATTGTGACAAATAATATAACAATTTTAGATATATTATAGTGAATATCTCTATCTAAATCTTTATTATGACTTTTTATTTTCCATAAATGTGGAATATAGAGGAATTTGGGATATAATTCACAATAAGGAATATTCATTTTGCAAATATTTCGATTTTCTAAGTAATTTTCCTTGTCATTACTAGTATCACTGCACAAAATTAAATTAGCTTTAGTATCCTTGAGACTTTGTACTACATTTCTACCCAAATTTATATTACTTATACATGGACAAAGTTTAATTCTACATATATCTGTTTCCCATTCCATTCTTCCATTATATATATAGTATTCTAAACTCTACAAAATTTGTTACTACTGCGATACTATTAGGAATATTAGGAACAGTGCGCCAACAAATACTGATAATTGAGCATGGGAAACTATTTCAATATTGTACAGAAATTCAGTTAATATTATTTTAAAGGAGGGAGATATAAGTGCTAAATAAATGTTGAATGAAAATATTTGATTAGATATATATTAGTTCATTACCTAGTAATATTGTAATGGCAAATTACAAAATATTAATTCTTCATTTTTATTAATTGGCTATTAATATCAATGAATTTAATTGAAATTAAGACATTTTTGAATAGCCATTATGACATCCTCATTGTATTCCAATAGGCTTGTTTTGAAAATTGATACTTTGATATTTGGCAAATCATCAAAGTTGAATGGATTATCCAAATCTCCAAGTGTGTTTCTCTCAACAAGTAAACTTTGGCTATTTCGTATTCTGTCACTATAATTTTAAACGAAAATATAATTAATTATATTTATAATGGTACTTTTTATATTCTTAGATATGTTAAACTTACATTGTTCTCTCAATTTCCTCCTTTATATAACTTTCATTCCTACTAGAAGACAAATCATTTTTGTTACATATAATGAAAATGGGAGTACCTTTTATTTTTTTATGAGTATCTCTACTGTAAGATATACTTTTAGCTATTACTTCACAAATTACAAAGTAGAGTAGTTCTGCACATTCCCTGAAACTTGATTTACTAGTGCTATCAATCATCATTATAATAGCTTTAGTTATTGGTATATATCTAAGAATTTCGTTTTTAGCAATTCTTGTATTCCCAGGGATATCAATTAGGAGTGTATTTTCTGGATAATTCAATTCCATCACATTACTTTTCATTGATATGGTGGTATGTTGAAACTTTCGATTTTTAATCTTTATTAACAAAGAGTTGGAGTATTATTTGTATAAATAGTAATATTCCTAAATCTACACTTACCATATAAAAAAAGGTCGTCTTTCCAGATCCTGAAGGACCTAAGATGATTATAGCTTTTTCTTTTGATCTAGAATTACTAATAGTTTTACTGATGTTGTTAGATACAAATCTTAATAAAAGTAATCCAAATTGAAAGACTCTGGATGAATATAGTAAGGAAAGACTAAGGACAATAATAAAGAAGTATGTAAAAATTATCCAAATCATATTTAAAACTTTATATATCTTAAATATGAATAATTTGTTTCAAAGCATCTTGCAAGTTTTCATTGTCAAAGTAATAAATCTGATACATTGACAAAAATTACCGCCGTCTGGAGCCTTACATTAAGTATATACATTGAAAGTATAACTTTGGAAAAGGAGTATTAAGATAAATATTTCAAGAAATAATCTTAAACAATATTAATCCTATTAATAAAATATTTAGGTGAAACTTTGCGTTGTTTCCTTTCTTTATAAAAAAAAAAATTATGCTTTTGAGTACAAGAACACAGCGCTTTTTTATTACAGTTATGTTGGCGCTTAATCCACAAGCTATTGCATGCATGCAGTGTAAATAGTAAATATAAGTACTTTCATGACATTCATATAGAGATTTTGAATTTAGATGAATTCAATAAGATGTATAATAAGCTTTTTTTGGATATTTTTTAGTACTCCAAGTACAACTATTGGAAGAAAAGCTTTTTTGAATCCACTTATTGAGCAAAAGAAGAAGGTAAACTATGCACTGATAAATCCTGATGGGGAAATAAAGGAGATTGTATATAATAATATAAAGAATTTTACTAACACAAATACTAAAGAAGAGGATGTTTATATTGGGGATTGGGGTATCTTAACTAAAAACGAATCTGAAATATCTGAATCAGCTTTATTGCATGAAATATATAAGGATCTAATGACAGACCCACAACTGGCTGCGTTTTGCAATAGTACTATTTTTAATTTTAAGGACAGGACACATATATATAATCTATCATTATTTTTAGAAATAAATAGCCAAAATATATCTGATCAAGTGGATTCAAGCTTTAATGAACCCAAAAAAGGATACAGTTTTGTATCTTGGCTAAAGCCAGAAAATGTAAAGTCAAAAAAGAACTATAAAAATTTAAATCTAATAGATTGCGAACTTTTAGATAGGCCATACAAAATATTAAGTAGTAAAATTTCAAATAAAATTGCATCATCAATTTCCCTACTGTTTCCTATGTGGAATTTTACAGAGCAAGACCAGTTTAGTGATTTATACAAACATTTTGGAAGTCCAATTATGACTACACAGTATTTGAAGGATATAGATTTTGATTCAATGAGCAACGAAATATTACAAGTACTTTACAGTACAATGAGAACGTTAAACTCAACTGCTTATACTCTAAATTCTCAATTATATCAGAAAAGATATAGTAATGAATGTAAAAAAATCTTGGGTAGTAAACAAGAAGTTTCTAATAAAAAAAATAATTGGTTTAGTTACTGGTGTAATAATTTGATTATTCATAAGACACCCCAAATTTTGAACAAAAATTGCCAATATTACGGAGAATGGACACCCTGGAGTAGATGTAGTAATTTTTGTGGGTGGGGTATTCAGACAAGAGGGAGAAGAGTTGATGAAACTAAAATTAGTTCATTAAATAGAATGACAAGTGTTAAACTATTAGAGGAATATAAGTTAATGAATTGCGATTCTCAGATACAAACTCAAGGTTGCATATCTGTAGATGATTGTTGTGAATATGAAGTTCCATTAGAAAATAAATGGGTAAACTGCACCTCGAATTGTTTCGTAGAAGGAAGTGAATTCCAAATTGTAAATCTTATAAAGTCCAAGAATATAAATAATCAATCATGTTCAAAAACAAAAAGGATTTCAAGGAGATGTTCAAGATTGGAAGATCAAGTATGTAAAAAGTGTGAATATTCAGTTTGGAGCTCTTGGTCCACTTGTGTTATGGAGAACTCATCCTATGTACAATATAGAGAAAGAAGTATATTAACAACTAACTGTACTAACCATCAGGGTAAATACAATCATATTATGAATCATCCAAGTAACAAAGAAGTTAGATTATGCAGGAATGCAGATATATTTACTCATTTGGTTAAAGAGCCTGAGACTATTGATAACTTTGAGAATATGAGGAATTCAACTTTAAATAATATTCAAGCAAAACCACTATTAATGGGAATTTTGTCTGAAAAAGATCTAATACGAAGTATACCTCAAAATCTATTAGAAAATGAAGGTTATAAAGTCGATGAATGTATTTTTGTCGTGGCAGAATCATCATATTATGATAGTACTTTAGGTTCTTGTGTTTGTCCTAAATATATGAAGCCTTGTATTGGTTATAGCATGGAAAATACTGCATCAAGATGGAAACAACAGGTTGAAGAAATATGTGAAAGTATCTCCAACAAAAAAACTAAACATGGTAAAAATTTGATATTCGGTTTTAATCGAAAGAGGTTTGATTGCAAAAGTAAATCTTGGGTTTCATATTCAATGGATCCACCTTCTGGTATATGTGCAAATAGTTTCATTCTTTGTCAACCCTTAGATTTATGTGTAGTGTCGGAATGGACAAATTGGTCAGGTTGTAGTTCACCATGTAAAAGTAGCATAAGACAATCTTCAAAAGTAATACGTAGTGATCAAAAAGTTTATAATCCAATAATAGTAATAAATAGTAAAAGAAGGAGAACACGAGATATATTGCAAGGTAGTTGTAGTATTTTCACCACATTGCAACAAGAAAATTGCAATGATTTACCTATATGTCCAGATATATATTTTAAATTTAAGACAAACATGGCAAGTTTCCAATTCAAGGACTTTCTTAATAACTATCAAACGAACTTTAATGATAGTTTAAGCATTAACATAGATATAGATCATCAAAACTTTACGAAAAAAATAGATAAATCTTTGAATTACTCAAATAAAGAAAAAATATCGTATTTATTCAATATTCTGAGTGCTGTTATCCCATATAATATTGAAGATATCTTACTTGCTCAAAAAATACTTAGTTCAAAATGTGAATTATTTTCTAAGGATCAACTAAATATAAATGGTACAGCAATGACACATAATAATTCGTCCATTAATCCAATTATATTTGATAAGGAAGAGGATAAAAGCAACGGCTGTATATGTCCTAGTGGATATATTCAATGCAATTCAGCAGAATTCTACTTCGGTATGAAATCAAACTATTCCTTAAACTCTGCTAGCAATTCTAATAGTACTATTAATAATAATGGCAATAATGATCAAGAATACATAGACTATTCTTATATTGTTGGTGCATTTAGTGATTCAATGTTTTATAATCATGATGGAACATTTCATAAAGTTCCTAACAGTGTCTTTCGAAATTATTGCATCAGAAAAGACTCCCGTACATTCTGCAGACTGAAACAAAGCAGAGCTAATTATGTTATGTTGAGGGATTTATTCAATACAAATGTTGCTATTGAATATATCTTAGAAAATGCAACCCTTCATTTGCAATAAAAGTGAAACTTTATCAAAAAAATTTAAGTTTATCGAGTAATCTATAATAAACCTATTCTTTAGTATATCCTAATGAGTCCAATATTCCTGGGTAGTATTAACTATAAATATCTACTTTTTTCCGATATAAAGAGTCACATCTATTATCAAGTTTAACAAAAAATATCATAAGAGGTAGTATTAGGACATAATCGTAAAGTCATGAAATTTAGTTGAAACTAGTATAATATAATGATATCTATAAGAGTTATGATCATATTTGAACTTAGTGGAATTTGTCTTTATAATAAAATATTGTAATAGTTTAGCTATTTAATTATTGTATTATTAGAGAGAAATTGAAAGCTTAAATTAAATAAACTATATTGAGTCCCATTTATATTTCCAGATAATAAATTAATTCTATATATTACCAGTTATTTAAACAGAATTAATTTGCTTGGTGGTTATAATTTTAACAATGTTCAGGTTGTTTGACAAAGGCTGGTCATCTGCAACCTTAACACAACCAATAGTCTCTGCATATAGATAATTCTTGTCAATATCATGCCCCAGTATTTTAGCAAGTTGTCTTACTGTCGTTCCATTCTTTACAAGTAAGCAATCTTGAAGGGCTATATTTGAAGAACCAACTATATTCCCATATGAACCACTTGCTTGTACACCTTTCATATTCGAATTTGTTGTGAAATAACGTATATTTCTTACTGGATATACGGGAATAATATCTAATAATTCAACAGCTGCATTAATGGCTTCCTTTATACCTGTAACACCATATCTAAATAGAACCATATCTTTAATATTTTCAAGACGGTTCTTTAATTTATCATCCAACTCTTTCAGTGGTTTCTCGTCATCTTTATTATATAATTTACCTGAATCATTTGATGTTACAAACGTCACTTTATTGCTAAACGAATCATCATTATCATCTTCTATGTAACGAATATAGCTCTGCTTTACCATCTTCTTCAGAAAGCACTCTGCTAATGAAGAAGCAACAACTATTTTGCAAGAATCCCCATATTTTTCGTGAATACGAATGATATTATTGCTTGTATTTTTATTTACCTTGTCAGCTTTATTTAAAACCAATACAAAAGGAAATCTCACTTGAATAAATATCTTCACAAGAAAAATAATATCTTCCTTACACCATAGTGAGAGATCTGTTGTATCTCTCAGTTTCATTAGATCTAACAACTTAGTAATTATAGCTTCATTTGATCCATATCCAGAAAATTGACTTTGAAGTATTTTAAATATTGATATATTCCCCATCTTTTGTTTTCTAATAATAGCTGACCAGGAAGTATAGATATTATTAAATATCCACATCTCTAATTCCGTACATAGCCAATCATGATCCTTTATTGGATCATATTGTAGTGTTTCTTCACCCTTTTCATTGGTTGTACCACTTATATCAATAATATGTAGTAACACATCTGCATGACGTAGATCATCCAGAAACTTATTACCTAAACCATTGCCTTGATAAGCTCCTGGAATTAGTCCAGCTATATCCAGTATTTTTATAGGTATATATCTCCTTCCATCTTTACACATCCCATAATTTGGTTTACACTTTACATTATAGGTCTTACATGGACATTTAGTAGTGTAATAAGTGATACCAACATTTGGTTCAATAGTTGTAAATGGATAGTTGCCAATCTTCGCAGTGCTATCAGTAGCTGAGTTAAAGAAGGTTGATTTGCCAGAAGATGGCTTTCCGACGCATCCAATCACGTACTCCTTTTTTAAGGACATTCCATCAAGTTCAGTTTAAACCAGACCTTTAATAAAACCAGAGCCTTTTAATCTATAGAACTACTAATTTTAAAATATATTAAAGCCTCAATATGTCTCTAAAAAGTATAATGAACTTGTAGATATATTTTACAGTATGTAAACACTTTTATAGCTAGCCTTGGCTAAGTTACCGAATTACACAGGTATACAAAGGCGCTACATTTTTAGCTCATTTTTCTGTTTGTTGCATTATGTTTCTAATATCTGGGAGCATACAAATGCTTAGAACTTTCAGTTGCGCATTTAAGCACTATTAATTCTAGGATATATGTCACGATATAAGAGACGTGAGCGTCGTTCTGTATCATTCTCTTCATCTTCAAGTTTCAGCCATTCTTCTTACTCTGATGAGTATACTAACTATGGATACCATCCTTACAATTCCAAACAATACAAATCCAAACGAGAGGATTTTATAAGAAGGAATAGATACAAAAGTAGAGATTATGATGCAAGTACTAGCCAAAGAAAGAGAGATTCAGATACGAGTATCTCAAGTAACTACTGCAATGTTAATAAATCTGATGGTGACGCTTACGAGAGTTCACCTTTAGGCAATCAAAGTGAGAAGTTTACAAAAAACTTTGATAGCTACAGCAAATTGGATAAATACTTTAGATTTGAAAAATCAAATGAATCATCGTCACATATATATCAAGCTTCAAGTAGCCGTTCAGGTAAAGCACGACAATTCCGATTTGATAGCCCTCCTAAAGAACTCCAAAATCAACGAAGTTCTTCTATTCTCACAAATTTTACTTCTACAACAAGTAATTCGAGCCCACTGAATAGTTCAAATACCGCAAAGCCTTATAGGGAGGTTTATGTTGGTAATTTACCAAGTGGCATTGGTACAACTACATTATTGGAATTTATGAACCAATTTTTAATAAAGAATTGCAATATCACAACTCCAGGTAATCCATTTGTATCAGCTTGGATTAGTTCAGATGGTAAGTATGCATTTTGCGAATGTAGATCGATGGAAGAAGCAAATATGGCTCTTCAACTGAATAATACTATAAATTTGAATGGGAATATTCTTCGTATAGGGAGACCAAAAACCATAGAGAATAGCTCCAACATAAATAGTAGTAATGAACCAAATAATAGTGTAGTTTCCAGTATTTCTACTCAGAGCAACACCACATTTTTATCCAATATACAACCAATAATTAAAAAGGCTGACCGCATTGTAATTAGTGGATTTCCATACTCATACTCAGATGAAGATATTGAAGATATAATTAGGGAAGTTAATGGAAACCAAGCAATTAAGTTATTGTATGTTCCTCCTAACTCTAATAAAGGTAGAATTGAATCTTCTAATTGCTTGAAAATAGCTATTTGCGAGTTCGAAGATGTTGTAATAACTGAGAGAGTTATTAGAAGAGTAAATACTCAAAATGTCTGCAACTTAAAATTAAATGCATTTAGATCTCATGAAGCTTTACAAAACAAGTATATTCTCAACGTATTATCTGATGAAATTCACAAGATTTATGATTATGAAGTTAAACAATTATCCTCAGATTATTCAGAAATCTCCACTTTTTTATTACGGGGGCAAATACCCTGCCGTTGTATAAAGATTTCCAATATAATTACACCAGAAGAACTAGTTGTAGATAATATATATAACGAGATTATGGATGAGATAAAACAAGAGGTTTGTAAATATGGCAATATTAAACATATTGTAATACCTCGACCAGCAAGTGCTTTTAAGAGCGAGGATTCAGGATATTTTTCAATTTATGGTAGTGTATTTGTATTGTATAATGATGTTCAGAATGCGATAGATGCTAAGATAAACCTTTATAAGATGAAGTTTTCAGGACGATCAGTTTGCATTAGTTATTATCCTGAGAATTACTTTATTCAAAATAACTTTTCATGGACACATGGTAATAGAAGTATTCCGTTCAGCTCTGAAGAATATTTGAAGCTTACAGAAAATATGCCGTCACAAGATTCATACAATAAGGATAATACTGAATAAGCTACTTAAATATATATAACTTTAAGTATGGACCGAATATATGAAAATAATTATTAGGAGTCATAAACTTAAGTATACTTTTAATTATATTCCTTAACTGTGACTTTCTCTCTACTGCATATTATCTTCTTGATTGACTAAATTTTGATGCTCAATTCGATTAGCCAAGTAAACCTCTTGCTGTTCTAAATGATTTACTTTTTGTCTTAGCTCTTCAAGCCTTGTATTTAGAGACAATTGTAATTGGGGATCCATCTCATGAGTACTTTCAATAATAATTCCCCACTCTTGTAAAGCTAATAGTTTTTCTACTGTAGCATTCTTTTCATCTTGCAATTCCTGTAGTCTCTGCTTTACGTTGCAGAGCTCTTTCTCTATTTCACTCTTTTTTGAGTCTATTTCGTGAATCAAATGTTCTTTTACAAGTATTTCATGCTCTTTATTAGCCAAAGACTCTACTAATCTTGTCTGTTTCTCACTTTCTAACTTTCTAGCATCATCAAGTTTCTTTGTATATATATCCTTTATTTCATGTATTTCATACTCAAGCTGTATTCTTTGTTTCTCAAATCCATCATGTTGATCTAGAATTTGGTTAATCAACTTCTTCTCTCTATTTTGTTGTACACGACATAACTCCTGTATTTTAATATTCACTTCTTCATCTTTTTTCTTAAGCTGTTTATCCATATAATCGTTTAATTGTATTATTTCGTTATCTCTTGCGTCCAGTAATCTTCTAATATGATTTTCAAAGGATCCAAATCTTTCTTGTAACTCATTATTCCACTTAATTAATTCTTCTTCTGACTTAATTTTTTGGCTTAATTTTTCTTCTATCTCAGTTAATTTTTCAGTCTGAAGCTTGTATGCATGTAAAAGTTTATTGTATTTTTTATTTTCTTTGGATATAATCGCTTCATATTCTCTCTTCTGTGTTTCTAGAGCCTTGTCAATGTCTGTCATTCTATATGAACTATCTTCTAATGCACTCATTAAAATACTTTCTCTATGCTCCAGTGATTTGATCTTCTCTTTAAGAGTATCTACTTCATTTAAAGATTCCTTAGCTTTTTTCTCTGTAGTTAACCTGTCTTCAGCCTCTATTTCCAGTTGAGCCTTTAGTAACATTACATGATCCTGTAGTACCCCATTTAATTCACTTGATCTCTTTACTTCTTCAAATGCTATCATATTCTCATCATCTCTGCACTTTATAGTTTCGTATAGTTCGTCAATTTTTCCATTAAGATATTCTTTACTTTCTATCAACTCTAACTTTTCCTGAGTAATTTGATTTACAACTAAATTTAAGCGATGAATCTTATCTACCTGTTTTTCAATTGTCTCCTTATCTTTTAATTTCTCATCATTCAGATTTTTATTTTCTTGCTGTAGTTTTATTATTGTCAATTCCGATTCACTCAAATTTGATCTAAGTCTTTCTTCCTGTATCTTCATACTCTGTATCTCCACAAGATAGTTTCTTAGTGAACCATGAACATTGCCTTCTTGTATTCCAACTAACAATTTTTTCATACTACTCTTATATTTATTTTTTTCACATATCTCTAGCTCCAAATCTCTTTGCATCTTTTCTATTTGTTTAGATAAAGTCAGAACTTCACTATCACTTTGACTTATCTGATCTCTAATAATATGAACAAAATCATCCCTTCCTAAGATCATATCCTTTAAGACTGAAATAGAGTTTGATAACTTGTGTATCAGCTCTCCCATTATATTTGTTTGACTCTTAATTAATTGTGGAAACTTTTTGTTATATTTAGAGGTAGATTGTGATGTTACTGACCTATCATGTGTTGAAGATGAAACATTACTATCACTGCTAAAATTTTCCATCTCACTATTTAAGGATATTTCTGAGGAAGTTCCTGGGCTAGATATAGAAGACACCTCAAGTAAGTTCAAATTTGCACTACCTTTACTTTTGTTCTTTGAATATACATTATCTGAGTTCGATGATTGCTGGAAATCTAATGATGTCAAATTTATATCTTTATCTTCACTTGCACGATTAGTAGTATCTAATGGAATATGAATTGACATTTGTCTAGATAATTCTTCTAAATCCTTATTCACTGAACAGAAAATCGAATTTATTTCCTCTACTTTTGTATTGGTTACTAATGAATCTGATTCTTTTCCAAACTTAACAGATTTGGGAGTTTTGTTTAGCTTTATCAAATGTCTATTATGTGAAAGCTCATTATTTTTCGGATAATTCAATTTATTATAAGATTTTTTTTTATTTTCACTTGAGTTAGCTATTGATGCTGTTTTGTGTAATATAACGTTATTAGGGACTTTAGCTGCAACTAATAGTTTGTGCCCATCTACAGTCCCTATTGTAACAGAATCACTAAATCTAGGTGGTAACCCAAATGCTTTTGGAGTTGATGATAGTTTTTTACTTGTACCATTGTCTCTCACATTGTTGCAGTCAAATGTAATCTGCCCTCCAAGCTTTTTTTCTATTGGAGTAGGCATATCTGTTTTAACTTCACTATAAGAGAATACTTTCTAAGAATAAACTCTTAGACACCTTTTACTTACCTATTTTGACATCTATTGTAACTACTTAAACCTTGTGAAATTTCCTCTACTTTGTGTGTAATATATGTGCACACATGTATAACACCATCCAAATATTTATATATCCATATATTTATTAATAATCAGATATAGTACAAAATAAATAATTAAGATGAGTAAGTAATCACAATTGGTAAATTTCAATGTGTTATTTAACTTTGTCTCTTCAAAAGTATTTAGAAAAATCTATGAAATTGATAATTTATCTCTTCTAAGCTATTCTAAGCAATCTATAATATTTCTTAATAAAATATTTATGTTAAATTAGCTTATATGATGAAATAGAAAGCTGATTTAAAGATGGTACGCATGTAATGTATGAAACTAGTTGGTACCTTATAAAACCAGTCATTTTTGGCGCTAAATAACTATATTTCTTTTTGAATACAGTATGTAAATAATAAGCCAACAGACTCCTTTATTACATACAATATAACTGGAGAAATGTCGCATTTATATCACTCTCTAGGTAAGGAGCATTCATACTTTGATAAAAAAAACTATTCTAAAGAAGCTTGGCTTGAGAAGATATCAAAGTCTACAACTGTATATGTTGGGAATTTATCCTTTTTCACTCCAGAGCATATCATATACGAACTATTTAATTCTTGTGGACCAGTTAAACAAGTAATTATGGGTTTAAACTCGCAAACTCTTCAATTTTGTGGATTCTGTTTTGTACAATACTACGACCATAAAGATGCGCTAGCAGCTGTATCCTTTTTAAACCAGTCATATTGCGATGGCAGAGAGATTAGAGTTGACTGGGATTCAGGTGACAATATACTAGAAAATAGGCGTTATGGAAGAGGAACTGCTGGGTTTCAGTGGAGAGATGAACTTAGAACTCAAATAGATCCTGACAGGATCATCCCAGGAACTATAATGGACGGTGGTAGAGGTCTAAACTTTTCACATGGGACAAATTATCACAGCAAGAAAAACTACAATAGAAATAGAACTTACAGAAGAAATAACAGCGGATACAACAATACTAGATCACATCACAGAATTAGACATTCAAGTGATGCTAATTTGTTTAATGATGATTACCCAGTATATATAGATTATTAAATAATTATCAAGTCATATCAAAAGCTAATATTTGATGTGTTCACATGTATTCACTTGAATGTACTATTTACCTAGATTCTTTATATCTCGTATTTTGCTATCATGTTATTGATTAGCTAGCTTGTCTAATTACAATACATCTACTGGTTTCATGTCTTTTAGCTTAATAATAACTTCTCCATCCTTTATAATAAGTGATTCCTTAGGTAATTCAGGCTCATTCTTCTTTTTGTACATAGATATTCTCCTAACATTTGCGAGAGTTTTCTCCTTGCACTTTGGACAGTACGGAATCATATATCCACAGATGCTTTGAAGTCGCATTTGGCATGTTTTACAGCTCCAAAACTCCTTTAATGCTTTTTGATTATAAATAAGTTGATCTTCATGATCATCTTTACACTTTAAATTAGGAATTCCCTCTGACCAAGTATTGCATATTTTACAGTTGATTGCATTATATATGTAGATTGAATTAATAGTTTGCCTATACTGTTCGATTTTATCATCTTCTTCCAGTTTATTTAACTTTTCTTGTATTGCCTTATATTCGTACTTCTTGACGGCATCTTCACATACAGAATTTAAAGCTAAGGCATCATCAAGTCTCTTGATAATATCTATTTTCGATATTTCGGAATAACTTTTTTTTTGCTTCTTTAATTTATTCTCAATATTTCCTCCTAGAATAGTTGATATTAATGCATTACAGCCACCTTGATTACTTATCTTTTCTTGTATATCTTCTTTCCGATCATTAATTCGATTACGTAAGGATTTCCAAGAAATATCTATAGCTGTTTCAGAGCCAGACTTTTTATCTTTAGTAGATAAAGCTGTGCTAACAGTCTCGATATTTATACCTAAATTTTCCCTGATATCCATATCTATAATACAATTTTTTTCAGTTGAAACGCTAAAACTAGGTTTGTAGGCTTTAGAGTTACAAATCCTAAATCTAATCTTTAGTGCCATTATAGCAAAATCTATATCTTCACAAGATAGTTCATATTTCACTAATAAATCTAGGATTCCAGTAACATGTATATCTTCTAATGTTAAACATGTCATATCAAATTCTGCCAGCATTTTCAAGATATTGCCAGTATGTTTCTTGTTCATTGAGATTGAAGCGTCAGCAAATTGTAAAGCTAGTACCCTAAATTGTTTCTGATTCTCTGATAACTCCTTATAGTGCATCTTTTTTCTTTTAAAACCTTGTGAGAGACAATTTTCCTGCTTTATTGCATTTGCTTCTTTAGTGTTTAAATTTGGAACCCTTCTATAGTTCATTGTAAGCTTATCTTTTTGATTAAGAGTATCATTATTTGATAGTACTTTTTCACTACTGAAAAATATCCCATCATATCCATTATACACAAAATTAGAATTAATTTTCTTTCCTAATTCCTTGTTCTTTCTCTCGAATATCTCAGCATTTTTCTGCCGTGTCTTAATAGAAAGATGGTATTTACAGAATGGTCCCTGATAATTCATGTCGACTGGATTGCTACATGTAGTCCCACTTCGATTTATACCTCTACATAGTGAAAGTCCATTAACTTTTCCTATCCTTAATACCTGATCTGGAGAGCTTATACTTATTGAACTACAATTTAAACCAGTTATTATACTAGGATTAAAAATCAAGTATAAATAACCTGGTTTCTCACTTATTAGTTTGTTAAATGCCTCACCAAATAAGTAAAGTTTACATTTGTGCTCTCTTAAATCGCTAATATTCCAAATAGCATATCTTTGACCCGTTTTTGTACTTACTCTGGTGCTATCATGTGGTATCGAGTAAAATACACACAGTAGAAAAGTTTCTGAGTCTTTTTTATCAACAGTCTTAAGTATTCCCCCATCTAGATCACTGAAAACTAGACGGTGTGAATCTTCTATATGTTCTTTAATTCTTAGTTTTGGTACTTCTAAGCTGTCTAAGTATAAATTGCTATTTTCTTCATAAATTCCACTTCTTACTCTCCTTAATTCACTTAAATTCATCTTTAGCAGTTTCTAGTGCTTTTATTTAATTTTTTCTGAATGTTATATATTGTATTTTACACAATAAAGTAATAAGGATAAAAATGAGAATAGTAATAGGTAGAAGTTGCCGGACTAATTTCCCACAATCTGCTTTCTATTTTTTTTTAATACTTTGGAATAGAGACCATTCAAGACTATTTTATTACAACAAATAAAAAAAAGTTCTTATTTTGCAACTTTTCTTTTTTAGAAAATCTGCATGTGGACACATTTAAGGTTGCATGCAAATGCCGGTATATAAAATTCTTTATCCTCTGGTGAAAATTTTATTGGGTAATTTTTTTCCAGAAATTATCTATATTAAAGAACTAAAACAAATTTAGTTATCTTCAGTCAAAAAAAAAAATCAAATTCGATAAGGTATAGCGTTTGCAACCAAAGTTTGCAGGACGGACTTGTCAAGTACTAAAATAATTCCAAAAAATATATTTTAAATTACAAAGAATAAAAAAGATAAAAAAAGTTGAAATTTGGAATTATGGAAGAGGCTACTTATTCTGTACATTCTCCTGCAGTTTTTGAGGTAAGGAAAGCTGCGAAATCATCTCGTAAATCAGCTCCTCCAGTGATTAGAGTAATACCAAGGTTGAACAAGAGATATCAAAAATCACCATACTCAATAGACCAAATGAATAAAATCAGCTTAAAAATGATTGAACCATATAGAAATATTTTTAAAGATGCTGTTGTAATCTACACTGAAAAAAAAATTAAGAGCACAAGAAAGTGCGAAATGATTAGGAAGATAATGATAGAAAGAGAGAGTGGAATATTTAATAACTTACAAAAATGTCTAATATATGATACAGATTGGATGAAAGAGAAGATAAAACTGGACGAATCAGATATTGTAAAAAAAACAGAGCAAGAAATTCAACCACTAACTGATGTATTTTTACTAAAATCTGTAATTAATGACAAGATTCATGAACAAAAGAAACTATTGGAAGACTTAAAACTGTTTTGGAAAGAATATCCTGATAAACTGAAGACTAGAATAAGAAGTGAGACTCTAAAGCTAAACGATATATTGAATATGAACATACTGGAAGAAAATATAGATACTAATACTAACTTACCTAAAACTATGCTTATGAAAGGAAAGGATAGTTTTAATCAGGATTTTCACTCTGAGGAAATCAAGATAAATCAAATGAATGTAGCAGCAAGTATTTGTTTAAGTACTACAAATAAATTTGTCGAATTACTACAGAATGTGACACAGAAAATGGAACAGATATTAAATGCTGAGCAACGCCTAAATAGTGTTGCTAAAGCTATAATTGATAACCCACAGTCAGTTTAAAATGTCAATATTAGGATGGGGAATTTGCATAACTTCTAAACTACTGCAGGCATTTGCGCCCAATTTTTATGACAGTTTTTTGTGGTTTTTTCTTTTTAAAATATAATACTAACGAGTATTAGATGCCGAAGGAGGATGTATTATATGTAGAGGAAGTTATTGAGCGTATGGAAGATGAAAAATTACGTTTACTACAGAATCAATCAGTAACAAGGCATGATCCTAATGTTCGTGGACGTCACTCAGTGGTCTGTCGTCATTGGATTCGTAATATGTGTATGAAAGGTGACTTTTGTGATTTTTTACATCAGTACGACTATGAAAGAATGCCACCCTGTTTCACATACCAAAAATATGGAGTATGTGTAGATGAAGCATTGGGGAATTGCCCATTCAAACATAAGGCAGACGAAACACCATTATGCGCTCAATACTTTCTTGGATTTTGCAAATTCGGCCCTAAATGTAAAAGAAGGCATGAACCAAAAGCAAGGCATGAGATACCTGATTTTTTACCGGACTCATTCTTACAAACTATTATTGTCGACAAGAGTTTAATACCTAAAATGGATCCTGAAACTTTATCTATCGTGAAATTGTTAGAAGATATTTGCAAAGACAACTATGCTCAGGCTATATGTACAGACTCTACAGTGAATAGCTCCTCGAAGTAATAATCATAAGCATATGAGATATAGCGTATTAAGAACTGAGATCAGTTGTTTATTAGATATGATTAAACTAGCTAAATTTTGAAAGAATACAAATAACTATAAATAGCATGTTATATTAGATGAATTAGTGTAAAAAACCTTGGGAATCAATCTTTATTAGAGTTAATTCATGTTGATTATTAATGTACTGATTATATCCATGGCATCCATGTTGTTTTCATCAAAGCTATATTTTTCGTGTCTGTTGCACTTGAAATAATTTCGAGAATACTCTTATCTATGAGCACAGTCTGATCAGTTATTGGTCTTGGATTTGTCAAAATAGCGATCTTTTCCATCATTCTTCTTACGTTTCTATCAACCTTCTCACGTACATCAGCATTTGTAAGTAGCTTTTGCTGTATAGTATGCATAAAATTCGAGCTTCCAGAACTTTGTATTGATTGATTATTATTTGTAGCCGAATTGTTAATATTTGATGGTAATGTGTCACTTGTAATATTTGAATGCTGAACTCCAAGATATTGTGAGCGTGACATGTTTTGCAAGTTCGTAACAGTTGCTCCATTATGCACACTTGGATTACTTTGTATCTCCGTATTAGTGATATTTGGATTTTTTTGCTGTTGAGTTACATAATTCGTTGTTACTTGAAGGGCTCTATGCATTGAAAGTGCGTATAAGTCATCTCTTAATAGTGAACATAATAAGTTTCTAACGTGAAATTCATATTTCTGTAGACATTGAGCAAATGCTAACATAACACCAGGAAGGATTCCATTCTTTCCATACGGACCCATGAGGGATTGCATATTCCTGGTTAGTCTGAATGGAACTTTCTCAATTCTATCAATTAGTAGTGTAGACGATACATATGATGACTTTAATTCTGATTGATATACTTGTCCAGTATCAAGAGAGACAAACATCTTGTTTGGAGTAACATCTGTAGCACCTAAAATGTAAGAAAATATAGATAATACCCCAACATGAGTAGTAAACTGTTTTACAAAGATAAATGACTGATCCGAAGAGTTTATATTTCCAAGTAAACTATTCTTAAGGATATCTTGTGGAACCCAATTTTCACAAATTTCATTGTACACATTGATATAGTCTTGTTGACTAAGATTAAACAAATTCGAATTTGAATAGGTAATACTATTTCCAAAGTTTGAATTACTTTGATAGTCAGAATTATTGGTTGTTATTGCATTTATATTATTAATTGATCCAGATGATATCCCACTATTAAAATTGCTTGAGTAATTACCATTAAGTTTGAAATTGCCTTCTTTAACATTTCTTATATTCTCTATATTTCGTTTATTCCTCAGACAATTGAGTAGTCTTCTATGTAAAAGTAAAGGTAAATCTAGATCTCTAACTATTTCATATCTAGGAATTGAAGTTCCTCCAAATTCTACAATTTCTGCAAAACTCCTTTTATTCCCAGTATCTTCAACAAGTCTACATCTTGGATGTAATGGTATACAAGGTAATATTGCAAAAGATATATTTCTAGCTCTAGTCTCTTTATATCTGTACAGAAGGGTATTCAAAGCAACTTGTAAGTGTATAATTCTTTCTTCAACTTTTTGTTGCAAACCACTATAAGGCTGAACAAGGAAGTAAATTATACTTCCACTTGAAGTAAGGAAACCTATTCTCCTAAGTGTGTACGATTGTCTTGTAACAGATTCTACAATTGGTAATGCTCTCTCAAGGTATATCACTCCTCCAATGGGATTGTTGTTGTTACTCATATTTTCCAAAACAGCAAAGTTTCTTAGATATAAACTTTCAGAGGAAATTCTAAGATGCTGTCCTGGGACCTCTATTCGAATATTGATTCTATGAAAAAGATCACATAGAGTAGGTGATAATTCCGGAAGTAAGGGCCTACTTTGAGGTGTATTCGATTTCTCAGTAAGCCTAACAAGATAGTCTTTCCACTTCTTCAACTTTTCAAGAACAAAGTCCAGGGTTAAATCTCTCGGTACTCTATAGCAAAATTTAGAGTCTCCTGTATTTGCTTTGTATACTTTGAAATCATCTTTAAACTCGTTCCAAAATTGTCCAATAATATTTTTCGCCCTTTGTAAAGTAGAATTATTCCCACTATTTGGTCTTTGTAAAAGTTGTTCATATCTCTTTATTATATTATTTTCAAGGAATTGGATACCAACAGAAGGGAAATGATCTAAATATGAGAAATCTGAAAATGATGCATTATCTGAAACTTGAGATATTAAATTTGGTACAACCTCAATAGTCATTTGAAACAGAGTTCTAACTGCACATAATAGCTCATCTACAGGATCTGGTTTACAATGTAAAACAAGATCTTCAACCCAATGTTCAAGAGCCAGAGTGAGAGCTCCGTGTCTAACCCTGCAAGTATTCATAAGGGATTCAAGTCTTTGCCTTCCAACTGTAATGAATGGAGGATAGACCCCAGAAGAGATTGGAGGTGGTGGTCCAATATTCATACAAGATGATGAATTTGATTCACTGCAAGATATAGACCAGTATAAGTGAGCCATTTCACGCTTTTCTAAATAGTTGCATCGTAGGTTAAAGTATATGCTTTGAGGAAAAACAACTACGACTTTATTTAATATAGGTAATAGTGCATTCCCCTCAATTCTGTCCAAACCAGCAATAAGTTGGGGTATCCAAGGGAGCCAAACGGCACACGGAAGGAAATCAGAGTATTTCTTAAATGCTAAGGAAAGATATTTACCTTCAGGAGAATCATGTGGAAGTAACCAAAGTACCCTAGAAAGTAAAATCGAATATTTATCAGGTCTTAAGTATATTCCCATTAGGTAAGAAATCACTGCATTAACAGCATAGCTCATATTCTGGTGGATATATAAGAGTCTATCTGTATATTGTGCCCAAGTTATCCAACCTCTAGCAAAGAGAGGATATACCTTAAGTGAGGAAAGAAGATCTACATTTACCCTCACCATAGAAGATGTTACTATTTCGGAGTTTACAGATGAGGTAGATACAGACAAAGCTGAAACTTGGGAAGGATTTGATACTGATGAGGGGTTGTATGGGGGGGCTGAGGAACCTGGTTGTAGAGAGGAGTTTAAAACTTTATCAGTATTTCCCCTATTACTAGCATGCTCCACATCTATGCGAATTCCACCAGATGTGCTATCACCATCAATATAGTAGTTTGGATAAAGTCTATTTGTAATTACTCCCTTCAAACGCAGTAGTTCCGCTCTATATTCATCAAAATAAGGTTCTGGACACTTTTGAAAATCCGTCATATTAAGAATATTTAATCCTGTGCGAAGTTGGGAATTATCTGAAAGACAAAGTTTGACCTTCTCTAAAGTTGCCAGAAATGTCTCAGCTCTGTAAGCATCTCCTCCCGATATTTGGAGATGATTTTGTAACTTTTGTAGTAAAGCTACGGAGACCTCTGGGAGCCTATGAGATTTCCTTGCAATAGATGCAAACTTAATCATTGTCCATGGCATATCCTGTAAGTAGCTTGGCCAGAGGGATTTTGCTTGAGATGACAAAGTGTCTGATTTGCTAATCAGATTTGTAATAATTGAAAATACAAAATTTCTCCATACAAAAAGGTCATTCCATAATATCATACTGTCCCACTTATTCGGTAATCTATCACGCCATACATTTAGCATTCTAGCTTCAAAATATCCAGGTGAAGAGCCTGTAGAAGATGTGTACTGAGGAATGTTTGCAGAGTTTGTATGTCCCACATTTGACAAGTTCCCTGAATTACTACCAGAACTCACAGGGCCATTATTAGAAGAAATATTCCCTCCTATTATGTTTTGAGCAGTTATTTGAGAACCTAAATCTTGATAAAGCTTACGTTCAATATCTGAAGATAACCTAAAACCTTCTTGAAGTTCTATATACTGCTGAAAGTTTAGTAGCAATGGAATATGACAGTTAGATACAATACTAGGTAGTGTGGCCCAAAAATTCAGAACTGTTTTATATCCAATTGAACAATGCCGTTCAAATTCAGCAAGCTTAGATCTGGTTGAATTCATTGTATTTGAAATCCTTCCTCCTACAGAACTAGAGGAATTTTGGGGGTAATTTTGATTTTGTTGAAATCCTGAAGAGTTCTGAGGATAACAATTAGTATTAGATGATCCCAACAGTAAGTCATGTAATGAATGATAAGCTTGACAAAGCTTTGTGACTGGATTGTGTAAGAAGTATTTATTCACAAGTTTTTCGACAAGAGTCCAGTCTTGCAATTTCGATGAACATTCAAGCTGCAATTGAGGATTCTTTCGTTCCTTAGCGAATTCATTTAAAGTATTCCATTGATTAAGATGCTTAGCACAGGAAACCCAACTATCAATCCAAATAAGTGTCTCATTAGATAGACTTGAAGAGATATTAGAAGTAGCCACATTATAAAGATCAGAAATAGTAGCAACTTTATCGTGAATCTGAAACCTGGTATTAGTCTGAAATGAAAATGATTCTATCTCTTGTTGAGGTATTGTGTTTGAAAAGTTTTCAATGGAATTTTGGGAATTTGATCGTCCAGTAGATCCTCCTAGGCCTTGATAATTCTGAGAGATAACTCCCGAATCTGATGAGTTTTGGAGACTTGTGTTAATTCTATCCAGCTCAGAATCAACTACTCTCGAATTAACTGCTATCAGAGCTGATGAGTTATATATAGAGTCTAGATTTTTAAAGAATATTTCCTGAGCTTTACTCCACTCAGCTTGTTGCATTAAAGCTAGTCCAATATGTGTTTCTAAACAAGTGGAATATGTCCTCTTTATTCCAATGACAACATCTTCTTCTTGTAATTGTCCATATATCTCAGCCAAAATACTCCACGGATTTGCAGGAGATAAGGCCAAATTTTGAGGTACTGAGTAGTTCATATTACTTATATTTGTTGAAACAGAATTAAGGGTTTTATAGTTTATCTTATTTGTTACATCAACTTGACTACTCATAGATGTATATTCGTTTAATATCACCTGTTCCTTATTCAATATTCCAAATTTTTCAGAATTAGTTTGAACCTCTAAGTATTTCGCTGCAGTATGCCAGCATCTAAGTCTGGTGGCTAGATGTAGTAATAAACTGTTAGGAAGCTCTGGAGGTGATTCACACATAAGAAGACTCTCCATAATAACACAAGGAACTGTCCATTCAGAAGGCATTGCTGAACTTACGCGGTGATGCCTTTCTTTAGATAGCAAATCAATAATATCTAAGGTCAGTAAATTTCTTTTTTTAGGATCAAAGTTATTCCATATCCAAGGGAAGATACAATTCCACAGTTTAATAGCTAGTGTTTCGCTAGTATTTGCAAAGAATAACAAAGTTGAAATTATGGAATTACCATAGTATAAAGAGTCTTTATTCAGAAACTTGTCAAGATCTTCCAAGGATGACAAAGATAAGCTTAAGTACTCCTTTGGATGTGGAGATCCGAATGTAGTTTCATCTTTATTTTTATTCGAGCTATGTATATGCTCATCCGCAGTATTTCTATTTTCAGAATAGTCTCTAAAAGGTTGAAGTAATGACACATATTTATTCTGATCTTCCGAGTTTCCGCTTAAGTCATTAGTATCAGTGTATCCAAATTCCGAAATCCCACCTAAGGTCTTCAAGTAGGTTCTAAATTCCCACCATTCAAAAGGAGAGTATGTTTTCTGATTCCCTTTAGTATCTGAGTTTGCTTTATTCATTGCCATGTTCAAATCTTCATACATAATTTCAGGTAGTATAGGAGGAAATTTGTAGGAATATTCAGACCTATCCTTGCTATTTCTCTGAATCTTGTCATTGTCATTAATGATTGGATCTATCTTTATAACTGGAATAAGAAGTTCTAAAAATTGACATATATAAAACCTCTCTGCAAGTACATCAAAGCTTGAAGATGTAAGTAAAAAGTGAAGTCTGCCCTGCACATCTCTTGGAAGTTTATTATCAAACCATGTCAAAAATTTCTCTTTAATAATGGGGTGAGGAGATGCCAGTCCTAATAAGGCACATCGTTCAAGAATCATTATGAGTTTTGGATCTATACCCGTTACAGGGTAATTACTGCTGTGATCCTCTAAGTGGATTTCTGAATTGTCTCCAGAATTTCTCATGTTTATAGTTTCAGCTGATGTAGTCATAGAAATTTCACTGACACTCGCTATATCGCCTGCTGCACTATTTTGTTTACTGTCATGGTTTTTAAGCTTGTTGAGCTCCTCCTCTTTTTCTAATAAAATAGTACTTACTAATAAATGATATGCAAGATGAATTTCATGACGTCTATGTCGATCACATATAAGTGACCAGCTTGTCAGTAAATTCAAAATAAGTTCATATCTGAATGTAAATAATGGTTTCTGTGAGGAAAACATATATGACTCAGTATCTTCAGATACAACACAATGGTATAAATCACAATATACCTTAATAATATCATCAAGGTATAAAACTTTGACTTTGCTTCTATTACCCGTATTAGAATACTTTGAATCTGTGAAGGGAGAATTAGTGGTAGAATTTGTTGATAAGTTAATATCTAAATTCAAAGTTTGAGCCAAATAATTTGATATTACAAATGGTTTTCTATACATCCACCTTCCAATAATAGTAATGAGAATATGAATTATACCACCTTGAAGTGGTATAAGGCCAAAGTCTCTTACTAAATTAATTAAACGATTTTGTGAAGTTTTACTATTTAAGGTATACCAAGTAACTTCAGGAGTCATTAGTAAGATATGAAAGAGTTCTCCACAAGATTGTAAGAGTAGTATAATACTGGAATTAGAGTAATTATTAGATGAAGTTGATAGTAATGTAGCTGAAGAGGAAGTTTGAATTGTATTTAAAGGTAACCGATTATGGCTTGAAGTTGGTGCTACATTTGGTATGAGACCTGATTGCATCATTGATGAAGATGGTATTGTAGAATTAGATATCTGTGATAGAATATTTTCTAGTACATGAATAATTAAATCAGACATATATGATAAAAAAATTATACCAACTGGATGCTGGTTTGTAGAACTAGTTAGATCAGATGTTGTAGGGGGTGCAGAAGTTTGAGCAGTCATACAATCAATATGGGAACTAATTGTTGGATTAAAGGCTCCTACTGTCATTAAACTCATTATACATTTAACACCAGTATAAAAAGAAACATAATGTTTTGAAGATGTGTACATATTATTCCCAGTAGAGCCTAGTGTTATGGGTTGAACAGGATTAAATGGAGGTAACATCGATGACTCACCATCAATAGATGACCATAACCCAGCTATTGCAATATCAATTAATCGAGTATAAAAGGAATCAATTCGATTATCTGGTGGATACATTTTGGAAAATTGCATCTTATACCTTTCAATATTGACTTTACTAGCCTTTGCTTGATGGTTATTTGTTCTTGATTCTTCGATGGGATTGTTGGAGGATAAATTACTAATTAAATCTACTGAAGATACCTTCGTTGTTGATGTCAAGTCAGGGTTAGGAGCTGGAACTGTATTTGGTTCTACAGGCATGCTAACTTGTTCTTTAGAATGTTCTCTAGTAGAGTATTTGCATTGCAAAATAAATTGCAGTTGCTTTGAAGGTAATGGTAATATTTGAAGTATTTTGCATAAAAATGTGTAAAGAGAGTCTATAGTGACTTTTTCAGTAGAAATAAAAACTGGCTCCAATACCTTTAAGAAACAGTCCAATTGAAGAATAATAACAGGGAAGGATTGATACATGCATATAACTTGTAAACCAGCTAATAATGTTAGTTGGTAAGTAATTACAAATCCAGCAGATAAATTGGGTTGATTACCATAACTTTGTGAGCGACTACTATTTTTGTTATTAACTGTATTAAAAGATGGAATTGGAAATCCAAGATCCAACCAAATAAGTTGAATTTTTGAATTTGGTTCCATTTTTAAAATCCTTGCCATTTGAGTAAAACACTTACTAACCATCAAGTGATCAGTATTGCAAGATAATAGGGCCAAACGAAACCATGATGTTATAATCAAACTCGACATTGAGATGTTTGTTGTGCCAGATTGCTTAATTAATAGGCTAGATAACTGGGAAATGCTAGAAACATCAATTGTACAATTTAATATTGATAAAACTCCGGAGTTTTCTTGAGAGAATTCCAGTTCCTGTTTTAAACTTTTATTGTTTTGATAAGTCCCCATTTTCCGCTTCTTATATTCAGGTTGTATGCTTGCTCCATCTGTTCCGTATTCTTCAGACTCTACGTAACTTTGGTTGATACATATCCAGTCTGTCAAAACTAGTAGTATATCATAGATTCCACGTCTAATTTCAGGTAGTAAGGGAAGATTGTGTGAAAATCCCGATGAGTTATATGTAGAATTTGTTGAAGCAGGTTCTGTCGGTTGTCCTGAGCAATCTGCTAGTCTGCCCCCAGGAATTTCTCTTGAATTATCTCTTGAATTATCTCTTAAATTATCTCCTGAATTATCTCTTAAATTATCTCCTGAATTATCTCTTAAATTATCTCCTGAATTATTTCTTAAATTATCTCCTGAATTATCTCTTAAATTATCTCTTGAATTATCTCTTGAATTATCTCTTGAATTATCTCTTGAATTCTCAGAATTTCCTCCTGACACTGCAGAGTCACCTGCATGACCAATTTTCGACGTTCGTCTTGAAGTATCAGAACTTGCAGTCAAGCTACCATAACTCCACAAAAGTTTGGTAACTGTAGATAAAATGGGAGAGAATAAATAAACACTTTCATGAGCAAAAATGTGACTATGTTGTATTACTATGTGCCAATGAAAGAGTTGTTGAGGTAAAGGAAGGTTATAACTATCTTGAATTAAAATTGCAATCATCAACCTTAACCACTTTGAAAGCATTATTTCAGGAGATTTCTCGGAAATTTCTAATCTTGGAGGAGAGGGTACTAATGAAAAGGACAGATTCAGTGAATTTTGACGTGCAATATCAACACTTGTTCCAGAAATTGTTTCTGCTGCAGGTTGTGTATTAGATACTAAAGATGTAATCGCATCACTTTCACCCAAAGGTTTCAAGTTATACATTATTGGAATAAACAGATCTAAAGCTTTACGGACTGTCAACCTTACTTCTGATACTCCATAAAGTCTTGTTAAAGCAACTAGTATTGAAAACAAAATCTTGTCAGGAAAAGGATACTTACTTACAAAGAAACACATTGTTATATAGCCCCAAGACTTTAGCATTGATGACTCAGTGCGTAAAATGTTCCAAACATTCTTGATTATACGCTTTCTATTATTTGACAAAACTTCACTGCATTGTGGATTTCTGATTAGTAAAATAAGTAATTTCAAAATTTCTACTTTTAAAGGATCATCAATCGCACTAAGTCCTGTTGTACCATATAAAGGAATATTGCTTCTTTCCAAGCTAGGTAAAATTATTCTAGTCACAATCCCTTCACATATAGCATCATTTAGCCAACATGACTCATTAAAATGAGAAGTAGCATGTATTGAGTTTACATCTCCATGTTTTGTTGCCGAAGTAGTATTCTCCTTTAGTTTGGGTGTATTGTTTGTGTTGCAGTTGTTAAACTCGTATTCTATTAAAGGAATCAGTATAAGTTGAATACAAGCTACCTGAGTTCCAGGTAATATCGAAGAGACATCTAGATTTGGATTAATTGGATAATAACGCTGAATTAGTTGGTTAAAAAGAAGACGCTTCTCTTGTATAGTCATAGTACTAGGAACTTTACAAATAAGAAAATCACGAAGTGGACCATTATCTAAAGTAGAACTTGTACCAAATAATGTTGCAATAGTTAAAACTACATCTATCCTCCTTCTTCTCAAGTGAGCCTTAACATCAGAGCCATGAATTGTTTTTTTTAGCAAAGATAACACAAATTCCGAAGAAGGATATGATGATATACCAGAAGGATTTGAAGATGTATATGAAGTATTTATATGGGAAGATTGAGAATTTGCTCCAAGTCCAACAGAACCTGGAGACAAATTGGAGGAAGAACCTCCTAATGATCCGGACATTCCTACAATATTGCGCTCAGTCTCACTCCCAGGAGTTTGCCTAGGGTAGTTTAATACGTTATCCATAGAATTTAATACAGCCTCTATATCTTCAATAATGTCACTTCCGATACTTGTATAATTTGGAGAAATAACCGGACTATTCACACCATTTTGAACTGAAACAAAGTCATCACCAGGTATGCCTTCAAGAGCATTAGTTTCAGAATAAAATCCAATTAACATCTTAAATAAAGACAAACACTCTTGAGAATGGAAAAAACTCCAAGGGTGCTGCCAAGAAACAGTGCCTTGATAAGTTAATGCTAGTTCAAATTTGTTTTCAAAGTTACCATGTGAAGATATTCCTCCATTTTTTGTGAGGACAATCAAACGGTTATATATAGTATTATATAGTGTTAAAAGAGTATCTATAATAGTCAGAACTGACTTATTATTAGTTGCATAATATTCAAGAAAATCGATAATGAGAAGACTTGGCCACTCCTCACAAAGAGAACTAAGGACTCTAATTCCATTCCAAGTACAGCTATATGCCTCTGTAAAAGCAGGAACAACTGGGATTGATTGAGGTAGAGATTGTCCTGATATAGATGAAGATGAAATAGTTACAATTGTGTCTACACCCTTACCTTCTAAGCTGTCAGCTTCCTCTAAAACTCTATTTACAGTCGCTTCCATTAATTGCATCCTTAACTGATATAACTTCACCCTCACAACACTACATGGAGGCATCTTGATTAAATCAATTAATAGATTTGCATACTTGTCTGAAGCTAGCTGTTGTATGAGGAATGAAACCACAGATTGAGATGAATGAACTGCGAATAAGGCCAAAGGAAGTCTAAATGGAGATGAAAGAGTCATTGTGGTTATATAACAGTTAATGAAGGATGAAAGAGATGATTGCCCATTTGCTGTCCCATCTATACCTGGAAAAGTTCTAGTTCCCAGAATAGTGCCAATTACCTTTGCAACAAATTCATCCGATCCTTGAGGTAACAGGTGGAAAACACACACCATTGCTACTGCCATATAGAGGTCCTCTTCATACTTTTTTGGATCCTGATTTCCCAATAAATTGTTGGTGGGTTGTCTCAAAGATGATGATGTAGACATAGATGATGTGGTGTTTATCTGGTCTCGTTGTATATCAGTTGGCCAACAAAGTCTCTGTAGATGCTGCAAGAGCTTTTCACCCAAAGTTACATTGAAACAGTAACAAAGAAGTTCCAAAAGTCTAGCTAAGCCTTGCAAAACGTGAACTGTCAATCTTGTAGCTGATGCTAAGTGAACTAGAACAGGACGCAAGCAGTGTCGAAGTTGATCTTCCGGTAACAGTTCATACTGGGCTATATTACCACTCGCTAAAATCTGTTGATTATTTACAAAACGCTCTATTCTAACAATAACTCTCAAAGTATGGTGAGCAGCCATGCAAACCTCGAGATCTCTTCTTGTAACACATCGGAATAGAATCCCAATAATTCTCCATCTTAGTTCCTCAGAATTTCTACCCATAGAATTGTTTGATTGGGGAGCTAAAGAAGTGTTAGTAGTTCCATATGTAGATGAATTTGTTGAAATTGCATTGGAATTATAAGGGATCTGAGGGGTTCCAGGAATATTTCCTGAAGTATATAGATTGGGAGGGGTTGACGATACAGGAGATGTAGAAGTCATAGGTTGGTGGTGATATGGAATATTGTTTAAGTGTGTTGGACCTGTTGCAGGAGAAGTGCTTGTTGAAATAGGTACTGATAAAGAAGAGGAAACTCTACTTTTTAAATATTCCGACCAACTTGGATGCAACAAAACAAGTTTGAGGAATCTAATTGAACGAATTTGAACCTCTATTCTATGCTTTTTAGTAGTAGGGTTTGTCCTCACAGAACTTGCAGTAGGGATACTTGAGTTTAGCCCAGTGTTTTTTTGTTGAGAGCTATCACCCAAGTCCGAATCCACTTCATCCCTAACTACTACCAATATATCTTCAACAAATCTTCGTATAACTGTAGAGGGAATTCCCAGTGGATATGGCCTTAATGATGCTAGAAAACATAATGCATCTATAAAGGCTAGCTGATATGGAGTGCTACAAGTTGATATCAATTTTGTCTGTAGTCTGCTAAGCAATAGTTGTAGAATTGTATTAGAAGTAATACAAGATGAAGATGTAGAAAGCGAAGAACTTCCCTCATTACCGCTTGTGAAGCTAATATTCAAAAGAGTAGCTACGGAAACACCTGTAGCATTTGCCAAAAAAACAAGGCATTTCTGTGCCATTCTGCGACATGAAGATTTGAGAGATAGAATATTGGGAATAATAGTTACCATACATATATGATGAAGGTGTTTCCTAATTATATATAGCTCTGAACTTGGAGGCTTTTCAATGCTCTTTATCAAAGAATCTCTTATTGGACAATCCATGAAGCTCATATTGTCTGAATCTAGTAATAATTCCATATAAAACCTACTAGTATTTGACCACCATTGTAGAGGATTTTCTTTCTTTGAATTTTTTGTTTTATTGACTAGATCTAGCAATTCTTCCCAGTCTGGTAAAATTGTAGATATCCCTTCACCAGATAAGAGAGATAATCGATGTGATGATACAGTAAAACCATTTGTTAATAATGGAATAGCATCAATAATAAAAGACCCATCAGACTTCCTTAAATTTGGTTTGAAACCTGTAAATACAGAATATATTAAAGTTTCCAGTGCATCTTCAGCACATCTTTCTCCACAAGGGTTTGTATCTACCCCAGAATCCTTTGATATGAAAAATAGTCCATCTACTATTTGAATAAAGAATTCCTGTGCCCATATTGGAGGAAATCTAGCTAAAATTTCTACTAACAGTAAACATCCAGCTATTTTCTTACTCCACAGAGTTTGATAACATAATTTTACTAAATTGGTAGTTAATAAGACAGGTAATTGGTTAGTTTGAAGAGCTTTTTGTTGGTACTTCATTGGAAAATGACTCACAAGAATATAAAATGTCTCTACTAACTGACACAAGATATCCATTGCAGTTTTTGATGATGATGCTAAATAGGCAGTAGAGGATAAAATAACAGAGTTTACTTGGAGTATCTCAAATAATCCAGATAAAAAGGGACTAACAGGATCAATACTTGTAAGATTCCAGTAAATATTTAAGTTACAGTGGTCTGGAATGAAGATTCTTGATGCACAATAAATGGCAACAAATGTCTTATAGCCACTACAAAGTAGAAGGCACTTATCCCTTAGTTCTGAATCTATAGATACTCCTAGTATAAGAGTTTTTACATAAAGTTCCAGATTTTTATCGAATGAATGAAATAATTTTGGATTTATAAGCTTTACAAAATCTACAGAGAATATTGATGTAGGATCCTCAATAATATGAGGATAGTTAGAAAGATACCAATTTAGTTCATTAAAGTAAGCTTCAATAGATTCTTTAGAGGGAATAGGTGACCAAAATAAGTTTAAGTAGTTCACTAGAATGTATTCAATGTATTTTATACTCATATCCTTGATTATTTTAGAAGTTCCAGGGTTATCTTGGCTGGTGCTTTGTATAGACAGTAATGCGAAAATATGTTCTAGAGTGTCATCTAGTGAGATCATAGGTAAGGGTTCATTTTTGAAGTTCAGATTGATTTCTTTTAATTGGATTGAGCCATTTATCTTGTTTATTGATAAGGGTAAAGAATAAAAGGCCTGCTGTCTGCACTTGCTAATATCTAAAGTTGCTGCATCCTTCAAGAACCAACGATTCTTACCTCCCAATTTACCTAGAATTCTACCAACCAAAGTAGCGTGTTGAAATGCAATTGATTGTAAAGCATAAAATGACAAATTATTATTCTTATGGTACCTAGGAAAGTTATAAAATAAAACTTGAGCTGCAGGTAAAGGAATTGGGGGAGCTGGACGCAATAATTTGCAAAGTGTTACCAAAATACAAGGTCTAGTTTGAAATCTATGAGGTTGATGTAGAGAGTTCGTCAAAATAGGATAAAGGAAGTCATGGTGAAGATTATCTATCCATAAGTCAAGACTTCTCAAGGCAAGCAGAACAAGCTCCGGATCATTGCTTTCTAGAGCATTAAGCATAGGGTCTACAAGTTGACCCATGTATGGTAATAATGACTTCAATCTAGCAGGTACTGTCAAAGATATTTCTAACCAGACTTCTCTATAAGGTGATGATGTGATCTTTTGCATTCGAATTGTTGTATCTAGAAACCAAGGTAATATACTAAGGAACTCCTTATAAATACCAGATGCTTTTCCACCAGGTGTTATACTTCTAAAAAGGGAGCGCAATATTGATAAGTAAAATGTATTACTTGGATAGCTGGATGCTAAAGTTGTGCACTTTACACATAAATCTGCGACATAAGGCTGTAGAATAGTCTCAAATTGGGGACTTTGGCCTATAAATCTGAAGAGTTGTTTAAGTAGACGAGTTACAACCAGAATTGCAGCTATTCCTCCTGAATATGAACAATATGGGATAGAATTCAGTGTAAAATGTGTGTTGGAAAAGGTACTATTGCTTGTTTCTAAATCTTTGTTATGTGCAATCTCATCTTGTTTGGAAGGTAATAAATTATCACAGTTTTTTGTATATTCCCTGTTCTTTGATCGTGCTCCATAAATAAAAGTATCTGGAAGGGGTAGGTCGACAAGTTGTTTGTTGAGTTGCAAAAGTGATATATTTATATCCTGAGTCAGAATATCAAATGAAAAGGCATGATTTGGAGGATTACCATGGGGTGCTGCTGTGGGAGCAAATTGGATTACATTAAATGGATCATCTCTTGGATCTATAATTTGGAATTTCGATTGGCTATTATTAATACTACCAATATTGGATCCAAAGTATGATATACGTCCTCTAGAATACAGAATTTTGGAGTGCAAAGGGACATTATCAATATGCGGATCCACAGCAAAGCGTGATAGGCTTAACTGATGATGATCAGTAGGATACATAGATATAGAGGTACTCACAGTAGGAATTCCAGGCAAGGAAGAGGATTGAGAAGAATTTCCTGTGAGTGTACCACGAGATTTATCTACATCTGCTTGTTTAGAGAGAATTTGCAATGGAGAAATACCATCTTTACGGAGATTCTTGTATTCTGATTCGGGTTCCGCCATAAGTGAATCCATTTTTGTTATCAAATGTGGGAGAACAGCTTCATAAAATGTCTTTGCTACATGTTGTTGTAGTCCCCAATAGTGAAATATAAGAGCTACTTGAGGACTCATAGTGCTTGACCATTCAAAAAGAAGAGGGAATGTCGCTTGTATGATATCACCAAAAGATTGAGGATGGATATAACACATTGTAGATGCAAGAAGTTCAAGTAAATCCTTTTCTTCAGGCATAATTGATAAGGATGACGATGAATTTTGAATCCCCGATGTTGCTAATGTATTTGGAAGAACTGCACAAGTTGAGAGAATCTGACACTCATGGCCTCCCTCTTCAATATTAAAAAGACTTGTATTATTAGTTGTAGATTGAAAGCTCAAGCTATATTCGACGCTACAAATTATACCTTCGACAAAAATCTGTTGAACTAATCTACTTTCTGATTCATTTAAAGGTACTCCTTGAGCCAATTTACGAACATCGTACCGTGTAATATCAAGATTAGAAGATCCATGAGCTGTTCCTGATGCATTTGCTCCTAACCCTACACTTAAACCTACTCTGTTAAGCGTAGTAATATGAAAAATAGTTTGTCTAACACCAATAATTACAGCTCTTATAATTGGTCTTAGTTCTCTTAAAACATCGATAACCAATGGCCTAGAATTAGTGTATGTATTAGTTTTAGTCTCTTGATTTATACCATGCGGTAAAGTACTCGAACCTAAAAGAGAAATGCTACAATGTCCTAATTGTGTATTTGCATAAGAAAATGCTTTATCTAACCAATGGCCAACATTATATATATTTTCAAATTCACTTAATATATCATTTGGAGTAGGTTTCAAAGGAGTGCTAGAAATAATACTACTATTTAAGCATGAAAATGAAGAAATATCACCATTTAAAGCTACTATAACTAAGTTGTATATTTGTCTTCGAAGTTGATGAATCTTTAGTGAAAATGCCCATAAAATTACCAATAATATATCTCTTATCACAATATTTCGTTGGTTGTTGTTAGGTAAGAACCCTTCCTTTTTAAGAATATCTGGAAGAAAAGCAATAGAACGTATGCAGTAATGTTGAGCTGGTAGAGGAAGTTGTGTATCCAATATATTTCTAGTTAGAGAGTGTAGACATTTCATAATTATATCTAAGAACCCATCAGAATTTATGTTATTGTATGCACTAAAGGAATATTCTAGACGAAGATAAACCAGAAACTCATGAATAATAGCAGCAGATAAAACCTTGATTGTCTCATACCCAGTCCTGCCCTGTCCAATTAGGACAACTTCATCCAGTAAAACATCTGCTTTTGAGTAGAATCCCTGTCTAAAATCAGTACCTAATATATTCCTTAAACAAACTAAAATTTCGCGTCTTTGATGTAAGCAATGAGCTGGACATAATAGCAAAACTTCAATGAAACCCTGAATAAATGAAGCCTGTGTCTGTCTCAAAGTATCCACTATGTGATCCTCTTGAGTGAATCCTCTGAAAAAGTGGGTAAACCAAAAGATTATTTTGCTACAGGTAACTATGTAATCTTGTACCAAAGATCGGTAGTTTGCTGATTGCATTATATCTGGAACATAGTCTGGACTATATTGTTGCTGCAGTCTAGAATTGTACTGTTGTTGAGATACTGCTGAAATTCTGGGGATGAAATCACGAGGAAATAAGGTTGCAATATGCAAGCATGATACCAAATTTGGGGCAAAAATAGCAAAGTATCTCTCCATATAGTGAGGATATAATTGAAATATATGTAATAAAGTCAATGGGAGCTCCACCAAAATCCTTAAAGATCTGTGACATGGTAAAACCATAGTCGAACTCCAGCTAGTATGATGATGAGAACTTCCTCCAACTGTATTACGATGTACACTCGAGCGAACAGGGTTTGTTAAGTCACTTAAATCGGTTAAAGTATTTGAAGAAAAACTTCCTCGTAAGAATAAATTGTCTGTATCATCTCCCAAAGCAGAAGAGTTACTCTCTAGTCTAATAGGGAGTCCACCATACGAATCATTAGAGTCTGAGTTAAGATTATATACATTTTGCGTTGTACCAGCGAGCCCCTGAGAAGCCACTCCAGATTTATGGTCAGATACTACCTCCTGAATCAGTTGTGGTAAACTCTGTTGAATATCTGTACATAGTCTAGATGAAAATCCCAGTAAAGATTCCACCACACTATCTAATGCATTAGTATAGTTCCTGTATAGAAAAACCAAATTCCTAATTGCAAAAATACCTATATCATCAGTGTCTCGATCAAGCAGATGCAGACACAGTTGTGCTAAATCTAAACAGTAATTTGATAATACCTCATTTTGAGGTAACAAAGTCAATATTTCCATACACAATATTCTAGCCTTAGTATATTCAGAACTTTGGATTGAGTCCCTCAGCAGTAAAATAGATCTTATACTTCCTAAACATTCATTTAAAAAGGTAGAATAGACAGTAGGATCTAAAGTATATAGGTCTATATGGTCACGAATGCTTGTCAAAAAAATGATCTCCTCAGCTATATCTTTTTTGTCAAAGTTCCTTAGTCTCAGGCTAATCTCATTTATATCCATTGTATTTGTATAAAAACTTAAGGATCACGATTTCACAAAGTCCCAAATGTCCATGCCAAACCTGGTCTCCAAAGTCTAAGTATTTACCAAACTGATGCCGGATCTCTTACTAAAAATAGAAAACCCGATCTTTCAGCCCTTTAGTTAATTACTTATAATTATCTAGAATACTCTTACTTTTTAATGTTGGGTATCACTTCTTTTTGCAGTAGAAAACCTGGAACCGCCAATGCTGGCAATTGTGTCATCCTTTTATACCAAATATGGGACACTTATATTGGCGCCTATATATGAGACAAGAGTACAGTCCAGAAGTAAGAAAAGTGAATGGGAGCATGCATAAAGGTGAAATTACTTGCAGGATAAATAAGAAGTGTAAATATAGATAATAAAATCACACTAACAAAAGGTAATATAGCAATATTTCCTTTTATTACTGTATACAAATAAGTATTTAGGAAATATCGAAATAATACTAGTGAAAACTAAGATATACTTTTCATAACTTCCGAGTAAAGTACTAAATTTTAAATTAGTGTATTAGATATGATTACCTAAGGAAGAGAAGATTGCTTAAATTAACTAATATTTCTCTTTAACTTCGAATTATAGATATATTTAAGGAACTATTTATATTGGGTATATTTACCGTAATATCAGGTTCATATCCTAATAGAGGGGATCTTCAATAAATTCATCTTCTGATTCAATCCTTAAATAGGTTATATTCAGATTCTGAATGCAAACGGAGGGAATTGCAAAGATAGGATCAATTTTTTTAAGGTTTGCTTTTTTTTGTATAATGGATAGTGCTGATAGCCCGAAAAAAGTGTGAAAAACATCGGAAATATCCCCAGGTCTATCGGAAATACCACCTTCTTCAATATCTTGGGCATTTAAAATGTATTTTTCAAGAGCTAGCTTATTAATATAATGCGTCTTACCAATAATAAATAAGACTGAGTAGATCCACCAAGAGTAGCAAACATCCGGAGCCTTTTCGGGCCTACCATTAAAACCTCCACAAGCGAGTTGCCTTTCACAGAGCCAAAAAGCAAGCTTTTCAATATCTATGTAATGTAAAGCGTTTAATAAAGCCAAAGATGCAACACAGCAAAATGTGTATGCTGCATGAGACTCAGAACATGGTATTGAACCGAAGGCACCATCAAGGTTATAGCAACGTAAGAGGAAATTGAGACATCTTTCCAAATGGATCTTGTCAAGCTTATTTAAAATAGTTAAACTAGATAGTGCACAATAACTAAATCTAGTATCACATTCACCATACATATCTCCCCTAAAAGATCCGTCAGCATTTTGTAGTGAAGCAATCCACGTTGATACACTCTCACTGTCAATCAAATGTGTCTCTCCTAATATGCACAAACATAGTATTGCATAGTGCGTAGAGACAATAGTGGGTTCATATCCAATATTTGGGCTAAAACCAATCATACCATTGTAGTTACCTATTTCAACTTGACAGCTCATAATAAACTCTAATACCCCCCTTTTCTGCTTACAAAAAGCATCAAGATCATCCTCATCTAGAGTTTTAGAAATGATCTCCATACTTCCAAGTCCCCAGTAAATTGCACCCATTTTTTGGGGTTCACTCATAAATTCTTCAATAGTTCCCTTTTCGCCTTGTAACTTCCATAAAAAATGAAAGTGTTTGTTAACTATTAGATTAAGCATTCTAATACGTATCAAGTACCATTACATAGTACTTCCAAATATCCTTGTATAAGTTTATACAATACCCTAGATTTGTATATGTGCAAAAATTCAAGTTAATTATCAATTGACAATTCAGATTGAAAACTTCTTACATAATAGAAACATCTAAAACTATATAACTGCTCAGGTATAGAGCTATCTAGCGCTAAATTTTAATTTAGTAATATATAATACGTTGGAAATAAAATAGCTATCATAAATATTTAATTAGGAGTAAAATTAAGTAATTACAGTATGATTATAAGTTGCATGCACCCTATAAAGTAGCATTAAACCCTAGATAACCTTTTGTCATGCCCAATATAAGGCCCAATCATGTAGTGTGTCGACAACAGCAGGAAATAGAGCCTTTGACGAGCTAATTATGATCTCTCTAAGATAGTTCTCTGAGGTTATTTCTGACTTATTAAGTTGGAATTTTTCCTTTATTTTATCTAAGATTTGAATATAGGATGTAGTGGACCTTGGATTTAAATCTTTAATTCCACTATCTATCATCAATAATACAATATTAAAAATGAACCAAGAGTTTCGTCTAATATAACGATATAATTCACAACACTTATCTATGAATAGTTTGAACCCATAGGAATCTAATCCACCCATGGCTTCAATCATTTCTGTACATACTTTCATTGGGGGAGGAAATGGCTTAGGATCTTCACCAAAAATATATCCAAAATCTACATGGAAAAAGTGACCATATACATCAATAAGTAAATTATCAAGATGTCTATCTCCGATACCAAGTATAAATGTTACAACACTATAGAAAGCACAACTATTTATAAAGTTATTCATAACATTAAATGGAATGTCATCAGTTCTGGTGCGATACTTTGATGCCCAAAATTGTAAAATGCAATTTCTACCATATTTTTTCCTAAGATTTCCAATTGAATCTACACCATCTAAAAACTCAATAATACCATCATTCCAAGAAAATGGAAGGACTTTATAAAGAGTAATCAAGTTGTCAAAGTTCCAATCTTTCAGAAATATACTTGAAGCTTGGAGTAGTTGTAATACAAGACTATCTTGACGAAGATCATCTCCTACTTTGTACATGTATCGACCCTCAATAACTTGGTAAATTGAGTGAGATAGATTTGATTTATCTGTTTTGTTACTTAGATCTTTATAAACTGTACTATCACTTTCTCGTGGGCATAAATCACTTTTTATTGCCATTCTACATGACAAGACGAACGGACAGAGTGAAGACTTAAGAATAAAACTATCACTAGGAACAATGCAGATCAATGCCTTTTTAATATCTATTGGAAGTGGGAGTGGTTCTCCCAAGTTTGTTATATTCAAAATTGGAAATCCCAACTTTTCTATGTCATCGTGTAAAAGATTGGATATCTTGTCAAATTCACTTATTTCACTTCGCCATATAATATAAGAAGAGTGAAGGTTCTTATCAATCATGCAGCACTCGTTCATATTTGTGCAATAGGTTTTGTATTCCAATTCCTTTTCTAATAATTTCCTCATACATAGCACAAGTTTTACAGCAACTCTATTTACTGAGGGTGGATTTATATAAAGTAGATCAGGGAAATCTAGTTTTTGACCATTCTCAAAACTTTGTAAAACCCGTTGAAATTTTTGAGTTTTTTTGTCTACTTTATCTCTACGATTATCCTCTATACAAGTCCTTTGTATCCATAATATTGTGGTCCTAAATTGCATTTGATGAATCAATACATCCATTATCTCAAGACTATGATGGTATAAACAATAATTTTGAGATTTGGATTCTTCTGTTAAAGCCAACTTAGTTAGTTCATCTAGTAGCTTAAAGATAGTTGAGAGAAACACAGAACAACCCTCACCTGAAACTTCTGAGAATAAAAGCCAGAAAAACTCAATACAGAGCCTCATATCATTTAAAACTGATTTTATCAAATATGAGGCCAGTTGGTCCGAAGTTTCGTATCTCAAGGATTGTATCAGTTGGGGAAGAATAGTGTGCAACTCCTTACTCGAGCAGAAGTGGAGATTCTCTATTGAAAAGCTTCGTAAAAAATGAAATTTCTTAAAGTCCCGTGACAAAAGGTTCAAACAATCGCTAATACTGAGAATCATAGAACTGTTACAAGGGCTGTACAAAATCTGCAGTTTCCTATCTATAATATTCTTGAGTTCTTTTAAAATGGTTTCATCATGTAAATCCAAGCAACGAAGCCATAGGGGGAATGCACTTGTTATAGAGGGTAATAAATATCTATTATTCCACAAAAATTCTTTATCATATTCAGAAATATTTAAGGGCTTGTCAAAATATTCCAAATAAATACCTTTTAATATTAACTCTATTCTCTTTTTATTGATAGGATTAGGAGATAAATTCAAATAACATCGACTATTTAAATACATTATTCTTTTCATTCCATTCAAAAAAGGTAGTATATTCTCTATACCCAAATTTTTGTTGGGAGACTTGTATTTCCTAAATTTCCAAAGCGAATCCCAACTTGGGTTCCTTATCCCAAGTAGGAACAGCTTGTTTAGTGAGTTCAATAGTAGTGAAATATGGCATTCACTTGGATTATATACTGCATCTATCTTATTATATATCTCCTGACCATATAGTAGCCTTGGTTCATTTTTTGTATCAACTAGAGATATGTGCATTATGCCTACAATTTTTAAATTATCCAGCTCATATAAATCGATATTATTTTCTTTAAATTCCATCAACAATGAAGCACTATACAAAAGTTTCAAAATTGATTGAGAATTCATGTCTATATATTCTGTTATAGATCTGGAGTCCATTATAAGCAACCGTAAATATTCAGATACTAAAAATCCGTTCATATTCGTCAAGGGTAAAATTGAATGACCAATTTCAGGTTGCAGAGTATTATTTACGTCAAGTAATGTCAAGAAAGCCACACAGCAATAATTACTAAACACAGAAGAAGATAAACTTATATTATCAACAGGTATCTTAAGTTCCAATTCTAATGGAACAACATCTGCAGCCTCACCATCAACCTCATTTATTAAGTACACTTCAGGACCCATTTTAGTTGTATATTTAGTGGATATACCACCCATGTAGTCTAGTAAATAAATTTCGCACTTGATATTTACAGCTACAGGGAACTCATTATTAAATCTGCAATCAAACAGCCTTCTTGATAGTAAAGCAACACGATCAATACAAATATGCATAAATATGTACAAGTCACACCATGTAATATTTTATCCTGCATTCTAAATACTTAAATTATACCATTAAAGCTGTGGCCTGCGGCTTAGGCTTGTTGCTAAATGCTATATTTTTGCGGGTTATTATCAGACGCCGGTATCATTCATTATTTAAGTCTTGTCTAACGTCACTTATAAAGTGTCGAAATCCCTTCTTGTTTTCTTGGCTACTAAAAAGAGCTCTTTGTATATTTATTGGCAAGATCAAGTCATTAATTTGTAGATGAGGGAGGATTAGGGACAAAGGAAGGTAGACTATACATTAAACGAAAATTCAACAGGATGTATGATCGTAGTCGCCGAGGCTCAAGCCCTTCAGTAGGGCACCACTACCAAGATTATACGGGATCCTCGAATGGTTATCAAAACACATCTGCACTTTCTAGCCATTATCAGAGCCAAGTGGATAGTTCACACTATATACACAGTGATAACAATCCAGCTATGACATTTAAACAGTTTATGATGAACCAAAGTGACAACTTATCACCAAGTGAACTCTTGGATATGTATGATAAATATCGGACAAAACATGTGCAGAAATACCAGCAACAGTATTTAGAAAATCACAAGTCTTTTGTATTTATTTTGGAAAGATTCCATCCTATATGGTTAAGGAAAGTAATAGATGAACGGCAAACATTGGTAGAGAGACGTTTTAATATCTTTAAGGATAAACTAGTTTCAGGAGAATTGAATAATATTGACAGATCAGTAGACAAGTTAGAGTTCTCTTCAGTTCAGATAATTCATAATAATACATGTGCTGATGTAATATTCACGAATCCTCTAAAAGATCGAGAGACTTGGAATATTTTGGGGAAATGTCCGTTATTCTCTACAGATATAGGGATGTATCTTCTAGTTTTAAGTGATGTCCCCATAAATATATCATTACTGGACATTTTAAATTTCTTGAATAATGACTTTCCTCAAATTGGTGGTGGCACAGGTACGTGTCCTGGACTTATAGATGCAAGTCTATCTACTCCTCGTTATATTCGTGGAGTATTGAATAGATCTTGTTATTTGCTATTTGATAGTATGTGTAATCGGAACACTGCAATGGAATTGTTGAAAGGTAAGACAATTAAAGCTAGTGTAACTACTGAGAGTATTGGGAGACAGTATAATAAAGATATATACCCAGATAATAATAATGAGTTAAACGATGAAGAACAATTCTCCAACTTGAATAAATCTGCAATTTATGTTATTCAAATGAAGACTTGGGAGCTAAACACGACTTTAAGATATGGAATTCTACCCAAATTATTTTCTAGCAAAGAGCAACTAAATAGAGACTCCAAGTATTTGTGGAAAATAATAGATAAATTTGATTCAGACCAGAATCTATTCAATGGATTGAGGTGGGTACTTGAGAATTTATATAATGAAACAATATTCACAATTGAACAGACAGTTGATATTCAAACACTTTATCTACGATTTGTCCATGGTTTTGATTATTATTCTCTTATAACACCTAATGTTTTCCAATTTGGACCATTTACATATTCACAACCTGATCAAGATCTTTATTCCAATAAGCTAAACCAAAAAGATGACAATCTTGTAGATGGAGATATTTCTACACAATATGGAGTCTCCCATTCTACTTCTGACTTGAACACGAAGAACTGTCTCTCTGAATATATAAATTACCTGATATTTACAAGAAGCTATTTTGAACTAGCTGCAAGAAATAAATATCGTGGTGGCTGGATTAGATCTTCATCAGAAGGCAATGGAGTTGATATTAAACAAACAACAGATGACTTGGAGATATCCAAGATATTAAAGTACCTTGAATATAACGTTGACCGAATAGTTAGAGCTGCACCACTAATTAACATGATTGAAAAACCAATAATGGATGATGATGATCAGCTGAGTACACTGTGGTCTAGGTACTGTGAACAGCATACGTTAAGAAAAAAAGCTGATAGATGGCAATGTGGAAAGTGTCTTAAACAGTTTAAAGGTGAGCACTTTGTCCATAAACACTTAGCTAAGAAGCACCGTGATAGCTTAGAGACTATTCGTGAAGAGATAACATTTGATAGAATAATCAAGCCACTATATGAAAAATTTTCTTTTTTGATAAATCCAAGTAATTTAGATGACTTTAATGTAAATCACAGTAGCCACAGAAGGGTATACTATCACCACGGAGGCTCTGGACATAAACAAAGACACAATAGGTTTCAGAAATCCGCACCATATGAAAGACGACCTTACAGGGATTGGGACTTACCTAAACAAACTCTAACCCTAAACTTCAATACGTCGAGTCAGTCAAGTGATCTGAGAGCTTCTATTAAATATGATGATCTTTAGTCTTAATTACCTTAGATATATTACTAAGATTTAAAAAGCTACTTAAGTATTTCAGAGGAAATCCTTTTAACTATATATAGTTAAAACTCATGTTCTTGTTGCGACACTCTTAGGTCTCCAAATTGAGCTGTTAGTCTTCTACCCTCTTTAATATAATGAAAATTCTTTAATTCTCTACTTTGAAAGTGCAGTGGATCTTGTATTACTATCAAGTCTTTTGAGGAGAATTTCTCACCTGTAACCAAGTCATTCCAATTCCTAGCCTTTCTATTTAGTTCATCAACCGTATTGTAACTGTAAACATACCCACTTTTTGAGTTAACTACAATGTGAGAGCTATTTCCAAAAGCCTTCTTAGTTATTGGACAGCAGAACTTTCCCTCACTATTCAGATTATAATGTAGTTGTATAACATCATTCTTACTAAGTTGCTCTCCATTGAATGGATTCTGACCGTATATATCTATATATCTTTCTATATTATCCTTTTCATATACTATACCTTCCTTCGTACATACTGCATCTTTTATAGGCATTAAGGTTAACGCGCATTCATCAAATTTTGTATATTCCACAGGTTTATTATTGAACTTATAGCCACCCCAATCTAAGCAATATTCAGAAGGTAGTATATATAATTTATCTTTAGAATGTTGTTTTTTCCCCATTAATTGTTGTAATGGTGACAACTGTACGTTGTCTTCTACATTTTCTCCCCCACCTTGCCAGCCGCATATATTAGCAAGTTAACTATACCATATCATTTTATGAAGTTCCCATACAAATAATAAAGCTTTTTTACCTAGTAAATTCTCTGATTTAATTTTAGATATTATTTTGAAGTAGTCAGCTTCACTAGCTGCTACATTCTCTAAACTATAACAATTTGTACACATTCCAGTATATATTTGTGAAGTATCTTCGTCTATTTTGTGTATACAGCAATTATTACTAATTTCATGTTTGTCTAACTCTCTTATAGAAGATTTGCTACTAGCTATACTACTAAGCTCAGTTTCACCATTTCCTTGTTGAGTGCAGTCGTAAAGTATACTTGTTTGAAGGTCTTCTGACAAGTTTCCGGGGTAGTATCTTTTTGTATTTACTTTTAGTTGTTCATTATTGAATACTAAAAGTTCTTCTGTTTTATACTCTTTAAAGCTAATAAGATTGATACCTAGTTGGTTAGTTATGTACTGTAACATCTCAAAGTCATGCCTGTGTGATGGGATACATACAATGGTTCCGTTTTGGCCGTATCTTGCAGCTCTTCCAGTGCGATGAATAAATGTTTCTTTGTCAATTGGGATATCTGTATTGATTACTAAGTCAATTGATGAGATATCAATTCCTCTAGAAAATAAGTCGGAACAAACAACAACTCTACAATCATTTGATTTGAGAGCAAATAAGATCTCCTCTCTTTCAGTTTGCGATCTTCTACCACTTGTATATGAAGCAGGAATCCCATAATTTTTTAAAGAACCAGCAATACGATATCCAAGAGAGTTGTCATTGGCAAAGACAAATGCCTGTCTGTATGGTACTCTTAGTAGAACATCCAGAATAGAATTGATCTGGTAAGACCATATTTGGTAATCATTATCCTCATTGATATCTATGTCAAATATTATTGACATATATAAATCGTATATATAGAATTTTAAGCCTTTCAAAATTGGAGAATCTAATTTTTTAGATATAGACAAAAATGTTTCAGATATATCTTCTGTTTCATTTTCAAACTCTACTGTTTTGTAGTAGACTGCATCACAACTAGATTTTTCACCATTTTCTAGAGAGTGAGGATTATATCCAAATGAAGAACAAAGCTGTATTTGCTTGATTTGTCTTTTATTATTCAGACCATCAACTCTGCTTGTAGAGTTGTCTGCCTCATTTAATGCAGAAAGTAGGCACTGGAAAGTATCTGGTGGGAATGTAGCTGAAAATCCAAGAAATTGTACATTACATGATACTAGACAATTTTTTAAGATTTCTCTTGTTTGATTGTAAAAGCAGTCTTCAAATAATCGATCAGCTTCATCAAGTGTTAGACATAGAAGAGACTTTTCAAATATTTCTGGCTTCATGCAAATTAAGCTTTTATCTGCGATAAGTTGCAATAACCTTCCAGGACTAGCTGTTAGAATGACTGATCCATATTCAGAGAATTTTTTAAGATCTTCCAATATTCCTGTTCCACCTATGCAGCAAATAGCCCTTATCTTATACTTAGAATTGTATTCAGTATTTTGTCTATGTGGACTAATCATTGAATTTACCACTTGATTAATTTGTATACAAATCTCTCGTGTTGGAGCTATTGAAATAGAAAGTAGCTCACATAAATCTTTTTTTGGGGTACTATTTTCTAACTTGTTCAATATTCTATTAATCATGATAAGCGAAAAAGCCAGAGTTTTCCCAGTTCCAGATTTTGCCTGAACAAGCAAACTCTCACCATTTATACCTGGAATTAAGACCTGATACTGCACTGGAGATGGATGGTAATAACCATTATTTAATAGAGCCTCTAAAAGATCACTATGAAGATCGAAATCAGTAAATCGTATCTCTTCTTTAAATGGTAATAGTATATCCTCTGACATTGAAAATTTCTTTAAACCCTCTTTTTGGTTATCATGTTCCATGATTCAAAGAGTAGATATTTGGGGGTAGTTGATTTGAGTAGTCAAAGTGACTGAGTACTGCACTTGAAGTGTCCTAGGATCCCCTTATGATGAACACCGCGGAATATTTTGACATCCCCATACGGCGGTAAACTAACATGCAAGTAATTGCCATACTCTAGTGTTAGCTTACATACACCAAGTACTTTGGTACCTAATGCCAAGTAACAAGAGTCCTGTGCATGTACACATGGGAAATAATGGTTCTAGTTTAATTATATCATCAAAAAGATATCTTAGGATAGCTTAGAAAATAAGGTTAAATGTGAATTTAAACCATAACAGTTGGTTGATACATGATTGTATGATGGTTCGATATTGATCTATAATGGTTTTTCTCTTCTCTCATTAGTGAAATAGAAAGAGGAACTGCAGAGGCATATGGTCTCTTATAATGAGCATCTACACTATAAAAAGATGTGAGTCTAATTGTATTACTAGCAATAGGATATACATGGAATTGTCTAGTATGCATACTCCACGGAACAAATCTATGTATAATTGGCATCTCATTATCAATAATTACATTAGATTTCTTAAGACGTATATTATCATATGAGAATGAATAACCGGTAGATACTTTATCTTCATAAAAGTTTATAGTGGATGTTGTATGCTGAAACTTTGAGAAACCAAAAAGTGCTGGATTTATTCCTTTTAGGTTTTTCAGATATTGAGGATTTGTCTTAAATTTTTTGAAATAAAGTATTTGGAGCTCTTGTGTGTAAATAAACAAATTTAGTGGATCCCTATGAGTACAATGATCATGTTCCGATTTCTTTATATCAAAACTTATTTCAATTGGAATAGGTAAGCTAATTTTACATGGAAATTTGTAGATCGGAGTTTTATACCACTTTAAAATAGTTCTTTTGAAATCTTTAATGATGGTTTTCGATAGATAATCCACATCACTTTGTAGTATAGTCTCACAATGTATTGAAAATCGGCAAATTAAGCATTGACATAAAAGAGTTTCAACAGAACTTTGACTAGCTCCTTTATTTAAACAATATACTCTTGCTTTATTAGTATCATGAACTTCATTAATCTGAAGAGACTTTAGTCTTTCAGTATGAAAAGCATATGATCTTGAACCGCATGCATCAGGAGCTGATATAATAAATTCAGAAAATTGAAAGTAGTTGTCATTCAAAAGATAACATATTTCACGATGAAATCTACTATCTACGGACCATAGTGGCGAATATGGTAGTAATTTTTTAAAATAGTACACTTTTTCCATATTGAGACCATTTAGAAGTAGTTTAGAAAACTCCAAAATTTCATGAAAATCTCTTATACCTAAATATTGAAGGCAATATGAAATTTTTTTCCAAAAATAATAAAGATAGTAGCTCTTTATTTTAGGATATTGCATGTATTTAGAAATCTTGTATAATATATAAAACGAGTTCGTTAACTGCAGTCTCATTTCCATAGATTGATTACGAGACAGAATTTTCTTAAGTACACTCTCGATAATAATGTCTGGAGGAATCAATGAATATGTGAGGTTACCAAGTATAGTTTGATTGTTTATAAAATTAATCATAGTCCTATTTCCAATTTGCAGAAATACCTTAGGTTTTAAGTCTGTACTACTTACAACATTCAATTCATCCTCAATATAACTCGAGTGATATAAAGCAAATGCGTGATTCAAAATATTAGTATTATAGTGTTGTGGTAGTATTTGGAAAGAGTTCTTAAAGTTGTAGTAACTCAGTCTCAATCTTAAGTAAGGAACTTCTTTTGCAAAGTGTGACTTTATATAGGGATATAATAACAAAAAATCGAGGCTTATTTGTTCAGCTATTGAGGGAGTTTTCCATAGAGACCAAAATAAAAAGATTGAAATGTTTACATGATAGTAATCTTCTTTCCTATTACTATATTGCTGAAACAATGTAGGTACAAGTATTGGCGCCATTGTGGAGTGGTTTAAAGCAATGCAAGAGAATACATTATAGACAATATTCTTGTCTAGATATAATAAGGGAGAATCTAATAAAGCCATTAGAACAGTGTGAACAACATCAACATTGTGAAATCGGCTTAGTGCTAGTACTTTCAGTGCATTATATCTCGTATATATATTACTATCCTTCAAAACTGGTAAAAGTTTTGGTAAATCCTTCTCTTCTAAATAATATTTTGCAGAAAATAAAATAAGAATTTCAGCAACTAGTGATTGAATTGCTTGATGATCATCCAAAAAGCAGTCAAAAAGAGTATCGCGAAGATTTAATAAGAGCTTGTTCTTCATACCATTGCTTTCAATAATTAATATACGGTATATTAACATCAATACTTCAAATCTAACTGAAGCAGATTCATCGTCAAGACGACGTAATAGCCACCCCTTATCATAAAGTTCATTACTTTCTCCATTAAGTCTATCCAATCTTTTTTTAAAGAGGTTAGAAAATCCATGAGAAGCAATATATTTATCAAGGGAAGAATTCATTGAAAGTACTGATTTTTTGAATTCCATTGGATTTGTAGTGTCACCATTCATACTTAAATCAAAAAGTTTATTTTTTTTTATATAGTCAGTAGGTGATATTGGGGGTAAAAAAGCGTCATAGATAAACTCAAGTTTAAAGTGTCTTGTGCCCATCAATATATTAATGCTGTAAATACAAGCAACACGAATTTTAGTGTTGTTGTAAATACTTAAACATCCATATATCTGAAGTATTTGCCTAATAATAAAGTCAGTAGTAAACTTTTTATCCTCTAAATCTTTATTTCTATTCTCATTGACTTTACTATTGCTATCACAATTATAAATAATATCAGAAACTTCACAAAAAAATTTTATTGTATTTGGAATGCAGTTTAAAATAGATAAAAGTAGGCTTGGATCTGTTACAATTAGCCAAGATATCAATATATTGTATAAGGAGCGACACTTACATAATATCTCATTCCATACTCTCCTTGAGGCATTAGCTTCATCTTCTTGATAGTATCCACTAATATTTGTTATACTTTGAATTAGCATACAAACTTTTTGGAATTGGTCGATACAAAAGCTTATATCTAGCCCTCCAGATATTTTCCCACTACTAAAAGTTAGCTTTGGTATTATATCTAATATTTTTTCCAATATTAATAGTATCTTATCTCTGTCACTGATGAATCTATTATATGGGTAAATATTGTTTGGTTCCACATATTCCAAATCCTCTAATTTGCGCTTTCTCCTTACATTAGCATCAATATAATTCAAGCCCTTGAAATACATTAAAATTAAACAAATTGTGATTTTTTTCAAATGGCAGAATTGCCACTGCTTAATGTTCTCTTATGGTGTAGTCACCCAAATGCTATTGAATAATGCGCCAATCACAGCTAATCTATGTACTAACATGAGATTAAATAAGCATAAACTGGAACAACTCAAGGCAAAATCCAATCTAAATAAGAAACAATGTGACTATTTAAATGAACAGATTCAATTAGGTAATATATGCCTTGATAATTTGGTATTAACGAATATGGAAAGTTTCAAAATAAATTTACAAGGAGTAGAAGAAGTGATCCACTTTTGTATATTAACTAGAAAAGATGTTGATGAAAAGTTTTTATTAGATATATTAGAGCTAACACGTAGAAATATGAAGGATCTATATGATAATAATCCATGGGGGGAAGATTGGAAAGGTGGATGGAATGATGAACTTAAACTTAATGAACTGAGTCATAAGATGTGTTACTACATTGTAGCATATACCAAGGATAGTTTAAATAAGATATTGTATGATAATGAAGGCACATACATACAATCTAGTGATTCTTTATGTAATCATAGATATGGTCAGTTGGACAGCCCTATGAGTTTCCGAAATATTCTTGGTTTTCTTTCTTTTAAGATTGAGTTAGAATATAGTATAAATATCTGTACAAAATATTTAGTTGGCTATATGTATGAATTACAAGTTTTAGTGAAGGGGAAAGGTATTGGTAAACACCTTGTTGATATATTTTATTCTTTATGCAAGGCTTTAAAGTTGGAGAAGCTGATGTGCACAGTTTTAAATTGCAATATCAAAGCTATTGAATTTTATAAAAGATGTCAATTTACTATTGACGAGATATCTCCTAAAAATAAACCATATAGCATTTTGTCTAGAATAGCAATTGAATAGTAAAATATTATTGTAAGGCATCAGGATTTTCAAAGATAAGTAATTGACATGAAGTGTAAAAGCCTTTTGTAAAAACTTCATTATATACGGTGCTCTTCTAAAGTAATGTTTGAATACTAAACATATTAGTTAATTAAGGCTTTTTAGCTACAACCAGCTTGCATCAAAGGCGCTGGCTGTGTAGATACTATTAAGTTCAGTAGAGGTCTTAACTTAAGCTATTTTCAGTTACTTTTTAGGTAAAGTATACTATTTCCATTATGAGAAAGAGTCTTAAATTTCTTATTCGAATATAATGACACGCAATTTGAGGAATACTTTTGTTTTAGACTCTAATTCTAATAGCCTGGATATATCAAATACCTCTACAATAGATAAGTCAGGAGTATTAGGCCATTCATCTAACAAGACTTTACCTTCAATTTCTGCTATTTGTGAAACTTGTAGAAGATTGTCAAGACGCTCATATTCAGAATATAATTATTGTACAGCTGATATAATTGAATTGACGCAATTAATAATAATGAATAGTAAGACACCACACGACACAATCAAGGAACTACTAGATATTAATGAGATTTTTGACACTATGCAACGATTGTATAATTGTTGGCATAAAAATCCGATTGCATCAACTCAGGTAGACTACGATTTATTGGCACTATTATCCGTATTTAGAGCTTGTACGTGGTTTAGCAATCAGCAACACAAAATAATAGAAGAATATATAACTGACATTACTGATGGATATACAAACTGGGAAGTTTTATTTCCTGTCCAAAGTCTTCGTATAGCAGTAGAGAGAGCCCTTAAGGGGCAGGTTACTGGAATTGTTCAGGGTCGCTATGGCACCGAAATATGGTTTAGAGAATGTTATATTGGCTCAAGTCAAGTTTCTGGTATGGTTGTCTTAACTCCATGTTATATCCAAATAAAAGATGTCATTGATGGGAGTATGTATACATATAATGGATGTACATACCCTATGTCACCACTTGACCTAGAAGATATTTTAATGAGTTGTCCTAACCTATGGGTATATAGTGCAGCTATTGGGTCATCTAATTTAGAGAAAGATGAAAATATATGAACATTAAGTAGTAAATATGACTTTGATTATGGCTAATCACCTCTTTCTTTAGATCTTTGTAATAAATGGTAATTATATATATTTAACATATAAGGAATCTTACATAAGAGTTTGTATATAATTCAGTAGAGTTATGTGAAACATAATGTGGAGTCCTATATATTCATACCAAGGAGATATAATAAAATATTAGTGATACATTGTTTCCTCAAAGTCTAAATATATTAATGATATGAAAAGATGGACTCTTCTTTAATTCTTATGTCATATTACAGTGTATTTACAAATAAATATATATAGTACAACTATGTAACTTTAGCTGTAAGTCACGAGTTTAGGTTTGAAGTTAGGTATGAATTTGTGCATAATTCGAAGAAACTAGATAGTACCAATTATATACAGTACACTTCGGTAATGTACTTGAAATCTACACCATTATCACTACTATCCTTTATTGAATATAACCTTTGTTTAATTGTTCATCTTGGTCTATTTCATACTCAAGATTAACTTTTTTTTTGTCTTTCAAGAGTTTTTTTAATTCTCGCCCATGCACTTTGTCAAGCTCATCTTCAGATTCGTCTCCATCATCATCTTGAATAAATTCTACAAATTGAGATTCAAGAATGTCCAAATCTTCCTCTTCTTCATATACTTCTTCGGTGTCAACTTTCTTGAAGTTTCCACGTGGATAATTATATATACCATCGTATGCTCCCTCATGAAGTCTAAGTAACAATTCATTTTCAACAGCTTTCTCAATTTTTGCACTAATATGAGCCTTTTCCTCTCTTGTAGCTTCTCTTCTTTCTGTCTTCTTCTTTATAGGTACAAGCTTTGGCCTTGTCTGCAAAGCCATTTTTCTAGCTCTTACTAATGTTTGTCTAATCTTAGTTAATCTATGCTTACATCTCAATATTTGGTGGTCTGGATATACATTCTTTAAGTTGTTATTTATTTGTTGTATAGCAGTAAGAAAGTTGTTACTTAGTTTGATCTTTTCCCAAAGATATCTAGGTGTATGAGCTCTCTCTGCTGTTTTTATATACAGATAGCATTCGCCTTCATGTTCCATTATAGTCGCATAAGCTAGGTTAGCAAGCGGACAAGAAACACGATTACAAAGACCTGTAACATTATACTCATTTCTGCAAAATTCTGTGTCTCCACATCTAAACAATAGAGTTAAAATGAATCAGAGTATTGTATCAATGGTATTAAGAAAACTGTACACAAAAAGACTTACTTAACCTTAAAGGAGCAGAAGTGTTTGTTTAAGCTTTCCCATATTAGCTCCGGATTATTCATTATTAGATAATTACTCTCTCATCCAAGACTATTTTCGGTACACCCGACAGACTACTTTAGCTAGAAACTAAAAACCGCCAAGTCACCTCAAGACTTACTTTTAATAATTACCTATTGCAGCTAAAAGACCACTTTTAGTCAATATATTTGAACTGTGGTAAATACTCAGGATATTGCATACTTTTCTTGAGATATTTATTCTAAGTAGTATATTGGGTATTTTATATTGGTAATAACCCAAGTTAATGTGAAATTTATACAATAAAAACAATACAGCTAGTATATTAGTAGCTGCTTTTATAATAATAGTTAAGAGTCAAAGTAATAGGTGTAACAATTGCTATCACTGATACAAGTCTAAGTGTAATTAATTAAATGTAGCCAAAAAAAAAGATATACGCGCTATATACTTTGTGAAATTTTGAAGGTATCATGTATTCTTTGTATACTTTAATATTAGTGTCCTTCTAAGCCTATTATCAAGTTATTAATAATATCTGGTTATATACATTGTATTATACTTGAATCTAGATATAACTTGTATATCTCATTCGATGCCAGACAGTGAAAAGAGATATGCTAAGTTAATCATTGATTTACTATTAAGATATACCTTTCTTTTCGAAATATACTTGAATAAACATATCAAAGTTGATGAAGAGTATATACCTCCTTTTTTAAATAGAATAGGTGCAAGTCGTGTAGATATATTGGAAAATTCTGGCTTAAGTGAGGTGAATCGAAGGTTACCTGACATAGAAAATCAAGTAATCTTAATTCTATGTGAGGATATAGTGGTTGTAGTAAATATTAAAGTGTATCTGAAATTCAGAGTATCATTTTGGTATCCAGTAGAGGCAAAATCTCTATTATTAGTTCCTAACAAAGTAGATACTGTGAGATTAGTGAATGAAGCTGCAGTAGAAAACAAAGAAGCTGTTTCTAGTAGAGAGTTCTACTTTAATCTTATTAAATTACTTGCAGATCTAGGAACTCCAAGGGACGATATTGATATAAACAATTTTTTAATAGAATCCATCTTAAATTTTTTTATGAATATTTGGGGTCCTAATTTAGATGTCTATAATGGAAATGATTTTGGATGTATGAGCTGGTTTCCTATTGTTAACAGCCAAAAGAAAATGATAACTATTCCATCTAGTCTGATACCTATACCAAAATCTATAATTAATGAGTATATGAATATTGATGGAATATATAATATATCTAAATTGAATTTATCTAAAGAATCAAAGATATTTCTGGAAAGATTGAGTTTAGCTGTTAACAAATATTCTAAATCAGGATGCGTACCAAAATTTACATGGTCTACTCCTACTGATTCATGTTGGATTCTACCTAGTTCTACTATAAGATGTGAAAATTATTCAGATGTAATGATACTATTGAAAGCTTCAACTAAAGTTTCAGAAGATTTAGAGAGGAGTCAAAATCAAAAGGATTTCCAACATGCAATTCTTTTGCGAGAGTATATACCAACATGGGACTCATCCATGGAATTTCGCATTTTTTTGTCAAAAGCGTCTCAAAACGCTTCATTCCGTATAAATGGAATATCACAACGACATATATCTCTTTACTTCGAAGAATTAGTTAGCAACAAAGAATTACAGAACGGAATTTTATCATCAATAAATTCTATAGTTAAATGTGATGAAAGAGAACTCATTAATGAATTATTTGAAGCATTGAAGACAAAGAAATTGGCAATAGACGTTTATTTAATTAAAACAAGTACGAAATATAAATTTAGGTCTCTCATAGTTGATGTATCCTTAATGTATAATATAGACACTTTATTATTTTCATTTTCGGAGCTTAAATTTAATCAATTAAGACAGATTGACGAACTAAATTTGATAGATTTGTATAGAGTTGTAGAAGATCCACAGTCAACTATATATCAGATTAAGAATGATTTAAAAGGCAAAGTACCTAAAGAAATGCTTAATATGTGCGATGGAAATGACATTGAAGAGTTATTATCCCAGTTTAGCCTCAAGCTAGAAGGTGAACTTAAATGATTACATTTAATAGTATTGTTGTATTTTACTTCTGATACAATATATTAGATATCTAAGATGTGTAGAGTGTGTTCATATCTAGAACTTCTTAAGAACTTAGCTAAATAAAGCTGTAAGATTTATTTACTATAGTGGGATTTTGCGTTTCAAAGTGGTTTGCAAATAACTAGACAATATTTAAACCACTTTTTTATATTAAATTTAGTTTTACTACTTCAATAACATTAAGTCGAGTAGCTCCAATACAAATATCTATGTTCATTACCTTTGTAGTCTAATCTTAAAGGATAATAAAGCTCAGGAGTTGAGTAAAATTTTTCTTTATATCTGCAAAGTTTTTTATTCCCACAATCTTGTAATAATTTCAGAAGCATCTTTTTGTTTTGCACTGCAAATGAATGCATAGAATTACATTGCAGATCGTCTTGTTTACTGAATGTTGACTTCATATCAAATTCATCGACAATTTCTTCTTGGATAAGCTCTTCAATAATATCCTCCAATGTAGCAATCCCCAATATTTCACATTGGCTAGGCACAGAATTATTTGTCTGAGTAGCTAGTGTGTACTCTTCAACATAGTGAGTTAATATTGCTATGTGACAACGACCTTGTTGGAAAATGTTCAATGCATCATATGGATTTGCATATGGAGATGCAAATATAGGTTCAATAATATAACGTTTTGATAGTTTTGATTCAATAAGTGACTTTATAGTAACTTCATCCTCAGGATCAATTGTAATAAGAGATTTCACCAGTAGTAGACCCTTAATATTATGTCGGCTATTGCTGTATATAGGAATGCGTGAATGTCCAACGCGAAGTATATCCTCCATCAATAGTCGATCCAACTTAGCATCAATAGGCAACATATAAACTTCTTCCAAAGGAACTGATATATCTAGTAAATTTTTTGTTGCCATATCTAATGCTCCTTGGATAATTGTTACTTCATCATATGCTAAGCCTTTCTTCTCTATTGTAGAAGAGTGCATGTTTGGTCTTGGAGGTAAGGATGTAGTAATCCAATCATTTTCTGAATTCGAATCTTTTTTTTTAGTGTCATTTAAAGGTGTTAAAGATGTACTTATTTTAGGAAAATAAAAAAAGGTAGACTGTTTATTTTTATCATCACTAAATGGAGATTCAAGTACTGATTCTGAGTTTCCCCTTTTGGAATGTGCTGCTAAGCTTGTAGGAACTAGGGACAAGAGAGATATAGTTGTCGGCTTAGGATACTCACTCGTTCTTCTATGTAAAGCAATTAACGCTTTTAGCTGCCTTCTTGCGTAGAAATAGTCACTTTTTCCCTCTTTACCAAGAAAGTAGTCTAATAGCTTGCTCACTGGCCATGAAAATATAAATAATAAAATCATCAAGAATTTAACGAATGGTGAAAATGCTGCAGTGATTTGTAGCTGATGAGCACCTGTACAAATTGCTTGAGGTAATACTTCCCCAAATATTAGTATTGCTGTTACTGATATAAGGACAGCTCCCCAACTTGGAATTATTCTATCCAAAAAAAGAGGTAGAGTTTCCATACATAGTGCGTTAGTCAGTAACAATGTCACCAAAAGTAGATGATGTTTTTGTATCATATTATATGTAATAGAGGCCCACTTTCTTTCATCCTCAGTTCCTGCCTCTTTAAGAACACGCAGTTGCACATTGTCAAGTGCCATAAATCCTGTTGTTAAGCCTGACACAATGCCACCTAATATGACTAAAAATATACTACTTATAGTGCATATATAAAATGGAAAAGATCCAAATTCATATTTAGTTTTATCTTTTTTGTTGAATTCATGTATTTTATCTTCAGAACTTAACTTAGAAGTTGCTATGGCTAGATCTTTATTTACTCTGGTGCATTCCAAATCATTGTTAGGATTATAAATTAAAGATAGATCCTGATCCAAACTTTTACACAATCTCGGTATATTGCTTGTTAAAATATATATGACAAGTAATATAATCCTTAATTTTTTGTTGGTCATTCAATTTCGTTTGCTTGTTTGGTATCTACTTACAACCACACACCTCACTCGGTAAAAGCGCTTATTCTATATATGTATATATTTTTTTTTAAGCTTACTTCAAATGTCTAATTTTGAATACTTAGGGTCCATAGATCTAGCATTACATGAATCAAGCATTGGAATACCACAGTTAGAAAATGGTCCATTAGGTGATACTTTTCCAAGCTTGATTGAAATAGGGGACTTTGCATCTTGGACTTTGTCGTCTGCTAAGGTAATGAAGGACTACATTTTTCTTATAATTAATATATTCTTATTTACCTGTTAACTTTGGTAGCCTGGAAATGGAGTGAATCAGTTGAGAGATAATAATTCAAGCACTTTCTGGCAAAGCGATGGTCAAAGTCCTCATACTATTACCCTTAGGTTTCCATCCAAAACTAAAGTATCGATGATTGATCTTTATCTAGCATATAAAATAGATGAAAGCTATACTCCTCAAATAATATCAATTAGAGCTGGAAATCAGGAAAGTGATCTTGAAGAAATCAAGGAGATGCAACTAGCTGAACCTGATGGTTGGATTAGAATTCCAATATCACCACGGGATATTGCTGAGCACTTTTTAAAGGATATAATGTACGTATAATAAGTATAAAGGCAATTTTGTTTATTTATAATCCGGTATATCGTTTATTTTAGACCTTCGCAAATTAAAAGTATATGTGACTCTCAAAATTATATTTCTACTTTTTGTATCCAAGTAAGCTAATATTTAAATAAAAACTAAATTTAAAAGATTGATACTCAGAATTTACAATATTACTAAATCATTAGATTGCAATTTTGTCAAACCATCAGACTGGGCGAGATACACATGTTAGGTATGTTCTGCATATTCTATCTTGTGAACATTATGAGAATTATAGGTACTCCAATTTTTAGGCAAATGCGTATTTGGGGTCCGAGGGAGATCGATGAAAACGTTATCGGAAGGTATGTCTTGAATTATCTATCAACTGTGTCCGAGATTCTTCTATATTTATGTTGAAATATGAATATTTAAAAACTACAGAATTCCAATATCGCAACCATTGAAGATGGGTGTTACAGTTGAATCTAGTATGTATCAATTCCTTAGATAATTTGATATCCAGTATATCTCATTATATGTGATTAAAAAAGTATAAACAAAATCTATAATATATATTTAATAAAACTAAATATTTACCTCAAGTAATTAAAGCTAGAGATATCAAAAACTCATCTTTTTAGTTTCAGTTTTTTCACCATTTAAAATATTTTTATCATATAATTAGATTCTATTGCACTTGCTAATACAGTAAAGTTAAATTAGTTTTTCGGGAAATTTTCTACACAATTTATTTTATATTAATAGTTCATATATTTAAAGTGAAATGTATAAAGAGATAATCTTCATAACCAGAGTAATTGATGCTAAAGTGATAGTGTTGAAGCTAATTACCTAACTGAAAATTTTTCTTTATTCAAGTTAATCAAAAATATTGATTGTACTTAGTAATTAAAATTTAATAGTATCAGATATTGTTTTATTGTATTTATTCTAGTTTCTGATTGTGAGATTTGTTAAATGAATAACAATATTAATGTCTCACAAAAAAAAAAAACGGAATTAATCAAGTAATAAAGCAAAAATGTTACGTTTCAATATTTTCTTATTTGTTTTAAGCCGAATATTTAATAGAATTCATGCTAAATTATCAGTATATTACAGAGGAAATACTATTTACTTTTTTCCTGTTCTAGTTTGGCTATTAGCCCTTCTATTTGTTTCTTTACTTAATATTCCAAAAAAATCTACTATTAAAGTCTCAGAAACTAAGTTATCGTGAAATATACCAGTTTATACAAATCTTTAATATAAATATACTAAAAAAAATGTTAACTTTTAGCTATTCAATAAAAGTTGGTAAAAAATCTCCTTGACCTGTATTTAATTTATAGTAATTTATTATTCAAGTCGAAAGCTTTAGAAATTCCCTTTAAATTTAATAATACAATTTTCTACAATTAAATAACTTACCTATTTGGAATCAAAAAAATGGACTTGATCTTTTAAGTAAGGGATGTACCTTATATTACATGAATGCATGCATGCATGCATAGTAACAATATATTAGTTGTGTGATACCTAGAGACTTCTCTAGTTGTTAACTAAAGATTATTACAAGCCAATAAAATTCCAGGCTTAATTGATAATGATAAATAAGAGCTGTAGTACTAGAGCGGACGTCTATGGAGAGTGTAGAAGAGCTTTCTTGCTACTAGGTTTACTGTGCCAGGGGATCAAAGGCCAAGCTGAATCAGTACTTAATAAGATTACAAGGGCTATTTTAGTTCTAAGTAAAGTGTGTTTTTATACTATTGTATGGTTATGTATCGTAATTTGGGATGCCTATGAATATGGTATTTTATTATTTGCAGTTTTGTCATTATATTTATGCATTAAGCATATAGTAGGAGTATTAAAAGTAAACCTTCTTAATAAAGAGGAGTTAAAAGAAGATTAATACTATTGTAAAAAAGTAAAAGCGAATATTTGTACTCAAGGTTCTCTATAGAAGTTTGCAACTTCAGTTCCAGATATAGCATATTTTAAAGTATTAATTATGCTAACATTGATATACTAAAACTAATGAAATGTTATATGCTGAAATACTTATTTTATAAAGACAGTACTCATTTAAAATTTCAGTAAAGGGGTTCTTTAAGTATTTAATTAAATCATTTGAGAAGACATTTTATAAAATATTATACTCTCACATATGGAGATTCATTAAAGATCCTACTATTAGTTTTATTAAAGATTGAGAAACAGTTCTTATAATGTTAAAGTCCACAAAAACATATGCGTACAGCAAGGAGCTGCAGCATTGGATAATACTAACCTTATGCGCCATACACTACTCAGTTTTAGGGCGTGAACGAGAAAAATTAAAAGGTTGGAAGTTTATGTAGAGGATGGTAACTCCCTTATCAAGCGACGATACGGATGTATCTAGGTGGAAGGTGATATATCCAGCATACATTGACAAGAACAAAACTATTTCTAAGGGACGTCTAATTAGTACACGCCATTGCATTGAATGCCCAAATGTTGCAGAGATGGCAGAGATTTGTGTACAATTAGGTATCCCATATAAGATTGAATGTAAGCGCTATCCAAGAGATTTTATGGTGTTGGGCAGGCTTAGATATAAACTTTTTAATAAAGATGGTGATGCATTCAATGATGAAATTTTAACCAAAAAAATGCTGTTAATACATATGGGTCAAAATATACCAAAGCTTAAAAGCAGGCTATCTCAAATAAATAGTTCTTCTTCATCTAGCTCTTCGAGTAGTACTGGAAAGGGTACAGGTGTAGCAGGAAAGTGTAAGAACAAGCATAAGAAGAAGTAAATTTTTGAATATCCAAAAAAATTTTAATGAAATCAATATTCAGACTTGTGAAATAGATCTTAATTATTCTAAAAACTACCATTTAATACTAAAAAACTACTAAATTCATATAGAAAATTATGTTTTACAATGATATTCTTTTAAAACATTCAAAATCCAAAATTGCTAATACATATTCTTCATTCATCAATTTTGTCTCTCCTTTCTTTCCAGTTCCACACCATTGAGTTTTTTCACTTGGCCAAGTAATCATGCATCTTGAGTTTTGTACTATGAATTCTTCTTCATATTTTGGGTACATAGCAGATGTCTCATTGTTGTCTTTTTTTAATATGAAACGACGAGTAAATATTAAAATGAAGTCCCATACATAAAATTCACGTTCTCCTGTAGGTACTAAAGTACTTAGGTTATTATTTGTCCACTCAATATCTTCTAATAAACAATTTCTCAGCACAGGAACAACTTCGTCTGGTATATTTGCAAATCTTTCATTTATCATTAGACCAACATTTTTCTTATATACAATAGATTTAAATAGTTTTTCGAATTGGGGGTTACCATATTTTTTTATGATTTTGTCTTCCAAATATTTTAGAAGATGTTCCATTACTATCTTATATTGACGAATATTTAGTATTGTTGAAATGCCAATAAGGTTGTCTGAAATTTTTACTGTAGTTCCAATGTTACCTTGGTTACAGATAATATCTACAAATCTGTATAATTCAAAGTCTTTTATTTTGCCATATTCTGTATTAACAAGCAAATTCTTAATGCTATGGTAGTCTTGTTCATCTGGATTATGAAATGTAAATTCTCCACTTAGAGACTCGTTGTCAGTCTCGCTTTCGTTTTCTTCAGTACTACTTTCTGATGTATCAAATCCCTTCATAACTTCAATTTTTCTCTTCTTTCCGCTAGAATTGGTACTATAGCCTGTTAAAAATATCTCATCTTCATAGATCTCTTCATAGTTGTTATTTTTTCCCTCAACTTCTCTCATTTTTCTTAATTTACTTCAAAAATAAGGTACTAAAGTTTTTAAGCGCAAGCAACACCCGCTATAAATTGCATAGGTAGTGCATCTGGCAAACTCACTTTTCAGTATGTATTAAACTTCGAAGATTTTTTGAATATAGCCCAATTAAACTTCTAACTTCAATTTAAAATGGAAAATATTGTGTCAAACAGATGTATGTTTTACTATTCTTTCAATATTAATATTAATACTAGAATCGTTCCTAACTCAACTGTTTTTGCAAGGTACTATAACTGAGAAATTATATTTTCCATTTCTATTTATTTCATCCTGTTCCATATGGTGGAAAATGTGTACTATTAGTAGACGTAAAGAATGGTACGTTAAAAAAGTTCACTTTATATTGAATCCTTTCTAATGTTTGTGCTGTAATTTAAGGTATGATATCCTCCTGGACTATGTACATCATAAACGAAGTAGATACACAGTTACTCTGTGGACAAGAGCTACAAGGCTAATTGGAAGATAATATTTATGCTTTTAGATACATGTAACTAAATGGTAGATAACAATTGTAATATTAGTAAGCTTAGTGATTAATTGATATCTCCAAGAAATTCTAGTCATGACTTTTGAAATATTGTAATAATAGTCTCCTATTACTAAAAAGGCTGTGTTTAGGTACAGTATAGTTTAAAAAATTCATATAGGAAAGTTCTACAACTTAATACATGAGCCATAATCAAACTACAGATCTAGCGAGCTAATAATCTTAGGCGCTAAAAAGGGTGTAAGATTGTTACCTTTTTTGTAGCTTCTTAAACAGTACCTGATGCATAATAATCATATATTGACAAACAACTGAACATTAATGGTTAAGAACAAAGTTAATAGAAAATTAGGTAATTTCAGAGATAAGGTAGATAAGACAAAGCATCCGAATGTTCTGAAGAAGTCAGCTAAATCAGAAATTAATGAGATATTTCAAGTTATTTCGGATAAGAAGCTGGAAAGGCAGGGATTAGAATCACAGTTACAGAAAGCTACCAAATTTAAAACTTCAAAAGCTATTCATAATAAGGAAATTGGACAGATTTCATCGAAAATTAAACCTATAAGATATACTGAAGATGGATTACCAGTATATAAATTGGAAGACTTAAAGATAGGTAAGTCTAGTTAGGATTTTTGTAATTATTACTTAAATAATAATGTACTTTATTTAATTTTTTAATTTAATACTTTTAGGTCAAGGTGGAGGTACACCTGACTGTCCTTTTAATTGTGAGTGTTGCTACTAAGGTTTTAGTTCTAGTCTTTGTAGTGCTTAGTAAATATAAAACTTCGCAGACTTTATTTTTATAAACCATATATAGTCTACTGATAGTAATAAACTAGGACATAATAAAATTACTATTAAATTATTGTTGTATTTCACTAAACAAATGTTAGTTGGACTCGTTTTAGAATTTATACAATATTGCCACGTAGATAGTGCATGAATATACTAGCATTTACATGTGTTAATAATATTTAAATTCAAATTTTTGTACTAAGTAACTTAAATGTAGTATATATAACAGACCAAACTAAAATTAGAAATAGAAAATATTATTTAATTAATATTGTGAGTCAGGTAACATTTTGTCCTCTGAGCAGATTATCCACATAACATTTGTGAAATAATTTACAATGCGGCTGATTAAATTAGTACCCCCACAGGTAGGGGGAGAAAAAAAAGATGCCTCGGAAGAGTAGATAAAGAGAGGATTCTGACATTTAAAGATATAAATTAAGAAGTAAAGTAAATTATTGTTCTCGTAAGCATTGGTACTAGAATATGCTGATAAACGGCCGTCATGGAACTGGTGAGAACATACACTCTAATAATAAGACAGCATATAACCATACTAATATTTCTAATAAGTATCTGAAAAAAGAAATGACTAATTTAAACTCTAGAGAAAGTATGTCAGGTAACTTACTTCTACCAAATTCAAATAAAATTCATTTACTGAGGGAAAATGTACGTGTAGTAGTTCGTGTTCGTCCAATATTAAGTGATTCCGAATCTCCAGTATCTTGCATAGGTATTGATGATACTAATAAGAAACAGTTAATATTAGAGGATCCACGCCATCGTGGATTACCTAAGAAGTATGAATTTGACGAAATATACAATGTAGATGAAACAACAAACGACATTTATGAAAATGAAATCAAGAATTTTATAGCACCTTTACTCGTTGATTGCTCTTGTATAAATGTCTTTGCATTTGGTAGTTCTGGTACTGGTAAAACATACACTATGCATGGTGATAAAGATGAGTGTGGTATAGTTGGGCTGACTATAAAGGAATTACTAAGGAATAATGAGAAACTGGAGAATCCAGGGAAATTCTCATTTTCATTTTTCGAAATATATTGCGAGAAAGTAAGAGATTTACTAGTTTGTGAGAAATTAGTTAATAACACTAAAGGTAATAATCAAACTGTTTCAATAAGAACAGATATATGTGGTAGAGTACGTGTAGTTGGGGCTAGTACTGTAGAATTTAATTGCTGGGATGAATTTAACACAAAATACATAGAAGCATTAAGGCGTAGAGTATCTGGGAAAACAGCTGTAAATAGTAGTAGCAGCAGAAGTCATGCATGCATCCAAATAAATTTTATTCCTCATGTAATAATTGCAAATAAGGATAGAGATAAGCAAGGTATTGTTGAAGATGATACGGTTGAGAATCGACGAAGAAGAGGGAGTATATCCTTTCATGCTAAACCAAAGGTTTCAGTAAATACTCAACGTACAATTGTTAATTTAATTGATCTGTCTGGTTTTGAAAATAATCGTGTAACTAATAATACAGGGAGGAGAATGACTGAAAGTACATTTATTAATTCGTCATTGTTAGCCTTAAGTAAAGTGATTAATGCTTTAAAGAAAAATGATGGTACTCAAATGTCTCAGAGCTGTATACCATATAGAGAAAGTAAATTGACCAGATTACTTCAGGAATATTTAGGTGGTGGTGCAGATCCACCCTACTCTCCGTACTGTTTGAGATGTATCATGCTTTGTACTATTTCACCGTCAGTTACATACTTTCATCAAACATATGCAACATTAAATACTCCCAGTTATGGCAGCACAGCTTTAATGAGGAAATATATTGGGATTGCCAGTTCTAGGCTTATTGGGAGAGATAATTTGGGTGGAGTTGATTTACATGAGGTATCTAAATCTACAAAAATTGGTGTAAATTTGAATTCTAACCTATCAAATTCTAATATTAATGGTTCAATACTTAAAGGTAAAGTTCCAAATCTCTCAGTTCTATCTATTGCTGGTTCGAAAATATCAAAGTCAAAGGATTTAAGTACTAATAAATCTTTAGTGAAGGTTTCGAATAGCTCTTGTAATACTTATAGTAATGTTGAAAGTCGGGTTGCTCAGATCATTAGAGGTAACAAATCTAAGTTGTTGGCAAAATCTGGAACTATTAATCAATCATCTTCATTGATATCTAATAAGGAAGTAGTAGAAGTATCAGGATCGGTTAATAGTGTGAGTACTGTTGGACTTGATGGGAATATTTTATGTGGCAAGAGCACTAATGTGACAGTAGAGGATATAGATAGCAAAGAAAATAAGAAGTTGCCAGTTCAAAGTGATTTATGTTTAGCTGTAGAGCTTAAGCTGAATAAGATCTGTTTGGAGGATCTTGAAGCTATAGGAACTAATGCACCATACACTAAAAGTGATGGATCCGGACCTGAGGATGAGAAGATACATTCTAAGGAAAATATCGAAGCCGATACAGCTAAATTTTGGAAAAAGGATGATATGGGGGAATCTGAATCTGAAAGGCAAAGTCAAGAGGAAAATATTACCCATATTGAGAATAAGCGTCGTCGTGGGAAAGTGAGGAAGACTCGGAAAGGTGATAATGACGAAGAAAAGACTCTGGAAAGTGCAATTGTAACCAGACGTTCACGCAAAGCAAAAGTTACACTATTAAGCCCTAGTTTTCCAGCTACAAGGTCGGCTACAAAGAATAAATGATCAAGTATATCGTCAAAGGTAACTATTTAATATTAAAGAGCTCTCATTTTGAAGTTCTAGTTGTCAAGAGTATAATGTTGGTATGTTACATATTCATAATTAATGTAACGGTATTATAAATAAGTAGACCAACTTCTATCTAGATGCAATTTGCAGATATTTCATTGTTAAATAGCTGTGGCTTAAGAAATGAGTTTATTTGAAGGAGACATATTACTCGTTAATATTTTAAATGTGACATCTACTCTGATTAAATATATTGGACGGTGCTCAAAGTGACGCGCATAAACAAGTGAAGCACTTGTTTCACCTGCACTCATTGCCTGAAATTTGAATGTAAATGTGCCACCAACTCCGAGGAGATACTCTGTTGTATGGTCTTGGGTATATAGTGGGTCAATTAGCAGTGGCTTGATGATACTTGTATTTGGAAAGTCGATCATTCGATATGTATATCCAGTGGTTGGATTTCCTTTCAAATTAATCTCAATTATATCTCCAAAATGGGCATAGATAACCTCTTGAATAGTATTACTGGTGTTATTTGTATCAATATTGACCGATATGAGTTCTTTAACAGATGTCTGGTTATTATTCACTGAAGTAGTTGCACTTGTATCACTATTCAACATTATGATTATAACAAGGAAAGTTATATATGATAAAATATTTGTCTGAAATGGCATAATTTTCAGTCAAGTGATTTGTTATCTTTAAAGTGATCTTTATTAAATTCTCACTTGAACTTTTTTTATCATTTGTAGAGATAAACATTGTGGGGCGCCCAAACCGAATGGATAGGGGGGCATTTATGAACAATATAATCATTCTGATATATAATTTGAACGATGCCAACTAATATCACTGGATACTCAGTCTTTAGATAACAGGCAAGAGTTAGAATCTTTCACTCGTCATCACTTTTTGGATAATTCAACTCCTATGAACTTTTTTTTTTTTGCAAGGATAAATAAATCTTTAATTCTTGAACCTTATCCCCAAGAACTTTTTAATATCTGGTGTCTGTTACAATAACTTAGTGGAGATAGTGTCAAATAATATCTATTTATATATATAGAGTACTCTATTTTAGGAACTTTGAGAATGTGTAATCTGAATTAGGTTGGAGTTTATTGTGTACTACATTCACTTACTTCATTTCCACATTCATCCTTGCTCAGCTTGTTGGAAGGTTCTTCATCGTGTTTCATATTACTCTCTAAATTCTCTTTAAGAACTTTGTGTAGTTTTAAATGATCTTCATCTACACATACCGATTTCACTTGCTGGTTTTTATTTATAAGGATGGAATTTACACGGCTTGAATTTGTATATTCTAGTTGTTTAACTAGCTTATTTATAGTATTCTGTGCTTTATCTAGTTCAATCTTTTTGGAATCTAAGTCTTTAATTAACTGTTCTACTTCTTTACTACGTAATTGTATCGGTATAGGGTGATTCCTTGCTTCTACCAACTCACTCTGTAACTTGCTTAAATTGACCATCATTTCTTTATTAGAGGCTGATTTTTTTTGAAGTTCATCTTGCAAAAATTCATTTTCTGATTTGTATCTTTTAAGTTCATTTTGCAGTTTTACTTTTTCTATATCATAATGTTGATATTTTGCAACTTTTTCTTGAAGTTCCAACAATTCTTTATTTACATTACTTAGTGTTCGCTCTACTCTGTAAATATATGAGATTGAATGTGGTTTTGAAATAATAGTACTAAACTGCTGTTCTTCATCTGATTCATTCCCCTTCATTGCAGTATTTGTGATGATCTCCAATATATCCAATAACTCTTTGATTATAACTCCAAATTTTCCCTTTATTTCAAAGTTGATTTTTTCATCTAGATTCAGTATTAGAATTTCCTTACTATAAGTAAAGATATCTCTTTCTAATTCATTCATTTGTTCCAAATATTCTCTATATTCAAATATAGTATTTGAAAAACTAAAATAATCAGTTAATTGTGGTTCTATCTTCATGTAACATTCCATAAAATCTAAATATTTGCATATTTCTTGCCATATTTCAGTATTCTGAAAATCAAATTTAGTCTCATATTTTAACAATTTTTGTTTTAGAAGCTTATATCGATATTTGTGAAGATTTATTAGGCTGTGAATACGGCTGCTTACTAAATACTCTATATTTTCAATTGAACTATTTATTATTTGAATTAAGTGGTCCTTTTCATTAGTTAAATTTTTATTTTTAATATGAAGATTTTCATTCATCGCTTCATGTACCAATAAATTAGATTGAATACGCTGTAGTTCACCATTCCTATCAAGCAATTGATTGCTTAACTTATCAATTTGTTCACTCTGAGTCTTTATGCTAAGTTTCAGTTCCTTAACTTTTTTTTCCAAAACTACATTTTGTTCTTCATAATTTTTAAGTACATTGCTTTTAAAGTATGCTTTTTCCAAGTCATTCTGCAGAATCTTCACTTCCTCAGATTTATTATCTATTATTTCACCATATTTCAATAGCATTTGATCATAATCTTTTTTCAAAGTTGTGCAGGATGAGCAATTTTGTTTATATATGTTCTGTAAGTTCTCAGATTCATCAATATTGCCCAAAGTCCTGTTATTATTTAGTTGCAATTTTAAGTGTTCCATCTGACTTATTAATTCAATTTGCTGTTTCTTCAGTATCTCATTTTCTTGTTCTAAGATATTTAACAATGGTAAATTTGAGAGTTGTTTCTGAAGCAATACTATCTGGCTCTTTAATTTAAATATTTGAGAAGATTTATCATTAGATTTGAGAATATTAACCTTAATTTTATTTTTTATATTCTTTGCTCTTTCAGCAAATTCCAAAGTAGATATTGATTCATAATAATTAACTTTTGCAGGAGAGCAAGTGCATACAATAATTGTTCTCGAGTTACCACCCAAAGAATCAGATAATATTCTTGTAATCTTCGAATCACGATAATTAATATATTGCTTTTTTGGATTAGAGTCACCTATATTTTCATTATTTGCAATATCACTTAGTTGCGAAATAACTTGTGACAATGCCAAAAGACTTCTATTAATGCTTGCACCTTCTTTACGCCTATCTCCTTCTACTTGTGTTCTTCTAATGCTTTCACTTCCTGCTAAATCAACGAGATTTAGGATACCAATGCAAATATCAGATGAATTTGTGTATTGTGACTCTATTCTAACTCTCAATATTGTATGGCTTCTTGAAGATCTCTCATTTAAAGATGTCTCCGCAACATGCCTTAACCTAGAGCCAATGCTTATAATTTCATGAATATCACTTGGGGCTATTACACGCCTAGATGTCAGATTTCTAAATTCTACAGCCCCATCTATGCCATCAATTATTGTTATTTTGCTCATATTACTTTCATTTGATAAACTGGAGCTGCCACTATTTATTTGTAAAGATAGCAAATCAACTAATTTTTCATTATATACTTCTAAATAAGAAACAGAAACAACAAAGTCAGTCTGAGTATTATTTCTTGATCTTTCTTCTACTAGCTTGAATATTTCACTTATGCTTAATGGAATTATTCCATCATAGCTACCTTTACTATCTCCCATCATAGTATGAGTTTTACCAGATGAAGTTTGCCCATATGCAAATATTGTCGCATTAAATCCATCTAAACACGAGCCTACAACATCTCTTGCTAGTTCTTCAAATATTAAAGTATTAGTAGCTGATTCATCATATATATGATCAAATGTATATTGATTTCCCTTAATTAGATCTACTACTGATTTATTAGTTAAATGCCATATATTTGAATAGTTTACATCATCAATCTCTGATAAATTTGGAGGACGGAATCTAATAGCAATTCTGAAGGAAGATGAACAAGATGGAAGCATTTCATTTGGAGTATTAGAGTTGTAATTTAGCTGAGTAGTTTTGATAATAGGAGTCTCTCCGGGTACTTTTGTAACTATATCTTTTTTATGATCCAAATCATTAATGCTGAATTCCATGTCTTGTTTTATTCCTGAATTGGAGTTCTGGTTGAAATTCTGAACTTCAGTTTCCATTGTAATCCTTATGATAGTTTACTTCAGATTCCTCGCTACTAGGTGTCTAAGTTTTATTACTGAATTTGGAATTACACTACAAAAGCATTATAGTAGTAATAAAATTCAAAATTTTGCTAACAAGAAATGACTATTTTTATTTTTCTACATGGTAGTATCACCTAGTCGACATTTATAACTCATCCTCTATACCGGCATTTAGCATGCATGTGGGGTTTTCTTTTTAAAAATAGAAAAAGTAAAAGATTAAAATATCTCCTTGTAATATTATAAAGAGCTATCATTTTTTTTATTTCTTATAGATAATGTAGTTTTAATTCTAATTCTATATTGTCGCTTAGCTCTAATGAATGATATTTTGAGCTCAACAGAAGTAACTGTGAAATGTGTAGAATTATACAAAAGTTGCTTAAACAAAAATAAGGAAAATAATAAAGCAGCTGTAGATTTAAATTCTCTTAAAGCAGTTTTACTTGTTGATCTTAGCCACAGCTATGACTATATTATAAATCTAATTGATGAATATTGGCTAGATGTCAATAATATATCTTATCTAGAATTTTGGAAATTTGTTGAGTCAATATTTATATTTAAGGGGGTTATTAAATCAACTAAAGATAGCATTGATGAATGTATTTTGAGTGGAATGGTAAGTTTAAGGGATGGAATTTTGGAGATTTTAAAAAGTGAGACAAATATCTCAAAAAATAATATTAGTAAAAAAGAGCATTACATCACAGTAGGTGAAATTCACAATATAATATTGGAGATTATTTCAAATAATATTTTTAATGAGACTTCTTCTGAATACTGGCAAGATGTCTTAAATCAGATACCAAGCGATACAGATCCAAATATGCTCATTCATTTAAACGATATTAGTAATGCAATCTTGCAGTGGTTAATTGACTATTTAATAGGAAACAAGACTAATACAACTAGATTAAAAAGTGAAACAATTAGTAGAGTAGACACTAGTAAGGAAAGTTGGCTTAAAGAGGCAGCAAAGATTGTAACAAATCAAGATAATATAAGCTTGTTACAAAACGATGTAATAGATACTGAAAAGGTTAACCAAGTTATCAAAGACAATATTTCACTAAGTGAATCATTTGAAAGTCCACATTGGAGAGATCAAACGTTGTTCTCAAATTTTAGAGAATTACAGATGATATTACAATCAATGTTAGAGAGTATTATTATTACTTCTAGACCAGAGGACAAAAGCTCTTCACGTCGCAATGAGCTGTTTTTGAGAAAGATATCACATATGATAACTGAATTAGAAGATTATATTTACAATCAATTTGATTCAAGGCAACGTGAAATTGAAGAACTTGAACAATTCAAAAAAGAGAATAATAAACTCAAAAAAAACCTGCGATCTTTACAAGGTGAATTTGAAGAGCAAAGCAAGGATAGTCAAGAGGTATTACAATTACAAGAAAAGGCACAGCTGACTATTGAACAACTTCAAAGTCAAAAAGATAAGTTGATTGCAGATTTATTGGAATTTCATATGAAAATAAAGAAGAAAGAAGCAGATTATGATGAATTGCTGTCTAAATATAATGAGCTAATAGCAAAGCATGAAGCTCTAAAAGAAGAGTTTTATCAAAGAGGTATGGATAATCAGGCAATTTCACCCTCACCAGGCACTTCTAGGCCTTATAATAATAAAGAAGGTAGTTCTCAAAGTTCAATATTACAAATATCAAGACCACTATCACCATTAGAACTTTCCGATTCTATGAATAATACTTTATCTAGTGAAAATACTAAAGATATTTCACAAAATTTCGATGTAAATATCTTTGAATCTTGCCCTAATAGCTCCAGTATTATGGACAGAACTACTTGTTATTATAGCAAAGATAATCTTAAATATCCAAAAACATGCTCACCTGCTGCAACAGTTACTTGTGTACCAGATTTTTTAGATAATATAATTGAATCACCAATTAGCTGCCTCTCTTACAGATGGAAAAGTGGATATTTCCCGGAGAGGAGAAAAATTAATAATTCAAGACTTGTTAGTGTCGTTCCACTTATACAAGACAAACTTAACTCTGCTAAAATATTAAAAAGTTCTAGTCTTAATATAACGTCTACAATATCAAATAACTATGACATCAGTAAACCTTTAAGGTTAAAAGGGAAAAAAAAGAGTATCGAGCCAAGAATAAGGAGATACGATACACTATGCAGTATACAATAAACGAAATAATTACTTTTGTATCTATAATATTATTTGGAGTTGATAATAAACTGATTTAAGAAAGATTTACCTTGGGTGATTTTTCTTTATACATGAATTTTAATTTAGACATTATTTAACTACTAATTTACTTTATATCCAGCAAGATGAAATATTAAGGAATCATGGACATTTGTGCAATAAATTACTAACATTTTATCGTAACTATCACTTTATATTTTGTTTGACTTTCTAAAGTTGATCTAACTTTAGAATGTTCTCAAATAATGACTTCAGCTTAAAAGAAATGTTCAGAAATAGTTGATAAAGCTTTGAATGACACAATACTAAACATTTTTTTTAGAGTGAAAATTGAACTTTTAATACTATATTATTACATCCTACTTAATTTATAACTTAGCTGAAAAGATTATTAAAATAAGGACTTTCATTTTAATATTTAATTACAGTAAAAAGCCAGCTCTACAGTGGATTACTGTATCTTTAAGCAATAAGGTTTCTTTTTTATAGGAAGCTATCGGAAGCAATGAAAATAAATATCTAATATTATATGACCAGTAAAACTGAATTCTAAACTTAAACTACTATATACACTTTATCTTTCGGATATACAGTTCATTTTTGTAGTGTACTGTGGAAATATTTATATTAAAAAGTATTTTGAAATTTGACTTCCAATTACACTTTCTATAATTTATAGCCAGAATTAGTTCATCAAATTAATTAAAACTTGATTAAGATTTAAATGTGAATTTAGAAAAATTACTGTTAGAGAAATTCAAAATCTAGTTATTTGTCATTTTAATATGAATAAATTAAGTCCAGGATCATTATTTTGCTCATAAATTCAATATTAAACTTTATTTAACCAAATATCTTTTTTCTTTTTGATCTTTGTAGTATCTATACTACAAGTAAAGAGTCCAAGCTCTTTAAGTTAAACATTAGTAGCTGACTTAAATAACAATAACTCCATATAATATGTTTAATACAAGTAGTACTGATATCTGATATTTCAAATTATTTACTGCAATAAAGCATTATAGTTTCGTGTTAGCTATCAATATTTCATAAAATATAAAAAAAACTCTCGGAATAGTGAGCCTAGTTGAGTAATTGAGATGGATATTATCCCTAAAAAAGCAATATTTAGCAAATCCGTTAACTTTCAATATTGGCCTCTTCTTCTGGTTAATTTAGTGCTGTTAATAGCAAGCTTGTGTCTCTCTCTCCTTTTTAATTCGAGTTTCTTAATTTTTCCTTGATTAAGTTCTGCTGCTCTCCTCCTTAGCATAACTCGCGAAATTTTATGTTCATTATCTAAACATATGAGCTTTTTTGTTCTTTCGTTATACGTGTCTTTATGTGGTATGTCTACAATAATCTTTTCTTGGAAGTAACTATCTTCATCTTCCTGGCTTTCTAAATCCTGTAACTCTTTGTGACCTGATATATCATCCTTATATTCCTCATATTCTCTAACAAACCACACACGACCCCATTGAAGTTTGTGTGCATAGATTGCCCCGAAAAGTTTTTTAATAATGTTTGTTAACTTATTATTAAGCTTCTTATTTTCTAGTGAATCTAGTGTATCTAAAGTATCTAAATCACTAGAATTTATAAATTCACTTTTGTTGTTTACATTTGATCTGTTTGGAATTAGTATTAATCCAAGAAAGCAAATAGTTCCAATAGCTATTATAAAACGGTGCAATAAAAGTTGATATTGTATTGGTATTTCCTCAGTCTCGGTAATAGCAGATATACTCCATATTTTATCTTTTATCTCTAAATTTGTACTTTTTATATTGGTTTTGGGTTTATCTGATATTTTAACATCTAATTTTGAATAACTGTTCTTTGACATGACTTGTTCACAGAAAGCTATAAACCAATAAAACAAGTTGATCTTGTAACCAGGAGTTACTTCATACAATCTGTAAATTATTGCATTATCATCCAAATTAGAATTAGCTTGCCTATCATCACTGCAATTTGTTAACTTCTGTAATAAAGGTTTTACATATATAGGCGACATCAAGTTTTCCAGTTGAATATCAATTGGAGGAGCCGTAAAATTTACAGTAGATATAGTTTCTATTAGGGGATTATCAAATAAATAAATTTTCTCGGGTAAAAATAGTTCTAACAGTATATTTTCAATATTTCTAAATTTCTGCTCAAGGAGTTGTATTTTGGTTTCCTTTTGAAAAGTTAACTCAAAGAAAAAATTGAAAGTTTCAGTTAACTGCTTTATATGGCTGAGGGTAGCAGTTTCTGAGCACAAAGTTGTGCTAGTGTTGATATTTCGCTGTATCTCAATAGAGAATTCATTAATTTTTGCCTTTATCTTGACAATTTCGGCTGATTCCAAAAGGCTTAACCAGTTAAGAATATAATTGAATCTATCATTAGTATCTAGTATATTCATAAAATTCTGATAAAGTATGTCTAGTATTCTAAGTCCTATTTTCAGTTTGAGAAATGCAATTTTACCTAATCTATATTGTCTTAGCATTTCTGTCTTTAGTTCATGTTTGTCATGTACTTTGGTGCTTAATCTTTGTCCTCTCTTTTTTTCAGAGCATTTTTGCTGCACTTTAGCTAGAAAATTCAGCTTTTCCTTAAGGAATAGTTGGAATGACTCTTCACCAAATCTTTCCTCTAAAATATTAAATAGAAATCTATATTGACTTGTTGAAAAGAATCTTTGAAATACCAGATACACCATTTTCAATGCATTTATTAAACTATAGTGGTTTTGAAAAAATGAATCCTTCAAATATAATAAACTAGATGAGCATAGTATTGGATATGCAAAATTTTTATTAGACATTTCTATAAAGGAACTTCCTTTTATAGGGGATACCTCAGTAGAGTTGGTTTTCGTAGATATATAACCTGAATCATCAAAATACAGAGCCCTATTTTCATGAGTTGCATCTTCAATTTCTGGAAGAATTCCTTGCAGACCAAAAACAAGGGGTCTAAGTATTGAATTATAAAAGAGCTTTTTAGAGTTCAACAATTGAATAGCGACTAATTGTAGTTTAGGCATTATATTTGCACCAATAACGTGCTGTATAAATGTAATACTTGATGTAACTCCAATCGTTGCAACAAATGGTATCTTATAAGATTCACGTACATATGATAAAAGTTCCAGTAGTTGTCCTAATAAACCAGGTGCTAAACATTCACCTCTTGGTAATAAAATAGTTATTGGTAATATCTTTAAATTTTTCTTTCGCCGATTGCCATATAAATTTCCAATAATTTTAAATCCGTAGCTTGTGGAGGCTGTCAAGGTTAATTTTCGGTCTCTGATCTTAGAAAAAAGTCCTTGTCGAGAGGATAGCCATGAACAATGTTCATTTAGTGACTCTGTATCCCAATAATCTGTGTGGTCACTGCAAAGTTTTTTATCTTCTAGATATAAAGCACAAAGTTTTTTTTTAGAGCACTTCCTACTTGAGTTCTTCACAGTTTCTACAATACTGTCTGCTTTTACTCTTTTTTTGCAATTCATATCGAATCTGTCATTTTGGAAATCATTTATAAGTGTATTTTCAGTTCCATATATATTTGTTTCGTTCCAATTCAAGGATTCCGTAAGCGTATCCCAATATTTGTACTTAATTTGAGCCCATATAGAATCCAATATAGAAGATATCGTAAAATTTTCTAAACAAGTTTTATCTTGGTCTATCATAATTGAAATAGTCTTTTCTGAGCTGTTCAGAAAATCTTCAATTATACTGAAAGTGAGAGTGTGATCAGACACACTGGTTCCAGCTAGCACTGCAATAGTTTGTAGTCCAGAGAACAAACATGAATCATGAGCTTTAGACTCTATATTGTATAGTATATCTAATAGCCCAGATTTCATATGAGATTTCATATTCTCTAAAAAACTAAAAAAGAAGTTATCCCAAGATATCTTCAGATTCTTGCAAGGGGTGATGTAATTGTTTTCATATGCTGGCCTCACCACACCAAAAGGTGTATATGTAGCTGACTCTTCAAGCTCATTATCTTCAGTGGAGAAATTCAGGTTTTCATTGTTTGGGCAAATAATTTCATAAGAATCTTCAAATATGAGCATGTTCAAAAGATTCGGCACAGATCTAGTTTAAATAAAGACTGCTAATTAAAGAGAACTAAATAAAGTTGAACAACTTTACTTAATGAGAGGAGTAAGTTAGATACAATCTTTCCAAGCTTTATAACAATTAATACTTAATTTGCTATTTGCAATATATATTGTTGTTCGTAGCCCGGTACTCTATAACAGTAACTTTTGCTAAACTCCCACCGCTAAGGTATCCCTAAGTTGATATTACTAATGCATAATTTGTACTCTAGCGCTTTTTTTCCAAAATAAGGGAGTTAATAAATATCGATAAGTTTTTGAGATCACTATTATAACAGTGTTATCATGTGGAATTACTTACAAAACCTCTCACTAATAGAATCAAATATTGATCACAATAAGAGGATGATGAATTTTTGCCGTATATTAGGTGCAATATCTTGGGGTATTATTGCAGGGATTATTGGATGTGATGGAGTCTTAGGTAAGTTTATTTTTTTTCGAGACCTTAAATTATTTCCTTATAACTCAATATTTAATTTAACAATTTCTAGGCTTCATATGCTATATTTTTTCGATAGTATTTACAGCATTGGTTGTTATTATATACATGGGATATAATAATTTGCATTTATATTTCTCTACAAAGTGGATACTTTTGAATTTTGGAGATTCCTTTATGGTAAGTAAATCCTTGTTACATACTTTGATAGTTCTAAATTCAATATTTTGACTTCATATTACTGGTATATGCAGACATTTTTCTTATTCTGGACTTTATCTTATAGTATATCATACTTTTATAAATAAGATGTGCTATACATCTTCATCAATATTTTACATACCTATTTCTTGTAAGATTGGAGTTTAAAACCTTATGAGGATAATTAATTACAAATGAGAACTTACAAGAAATATCTTAAATCTTAAGAGATTTCACTTAATTAGCAACTCTAATTGTTCTAAATGACTTAATTAAGTATTTATTTGATAATTTTGTATAAAAAGTTGTGAGCTACAGGAAATTTGCTAAAAGTGAATATTGTAGTAGTGTCAGTATCGGTATTTATATGTAAGTATATGGTTACAATACTATATATATAGCATTCCTTATATATTTCTGCAAAATAATACAACATATATGCATTTTATATTGTTTTATACCATCATTGGAGCTATTAAGGTAAGAAAATCTCAAATACTTAAATATGCTACTCAATATTAGCGGTCTATTTTAACCCCACCCCATTCATAAGATGGTCCTTCCCCCCCTCTTCCTTTCAACCTATAATAATTTGTATTTACTCCCCACTGCAAATTTCTTACTAAATTGTTGGGTTTATATATAATAGTTTTCCCATCTATATTACCCATACGATATTTTTATAGATCAGTGTAAGGAGAAGAATTAATAGGTGTCAACTCATTACAAATTCTGTATTATGGCTGAGCGAATGTATGTTATAAATCGTAGGGGTAAAGAAGAGCCAGTCTCGTTTGATCAAATACTGAGTAGGATTTCGAAGTTATCATATGGACTACACCCATTGGTAGATCCTGCAAGAGTAGCCCAGGCCGTCATAAATGGGATGTATAGCGGTATTAAGACCTCTGAATTAGACGAACTAGCTTCTCAAACATGTGCATATATGGCAGCTAGTCATCCAGATTTTTCAAAGTTAGCAGCTCGTATATCTATATCTAATCTTCATAAGAATACTCATTCGGATATTTTTGAAGTTGCAAATCAATTGATATCATTTAAAGATGTACATGGGAATCCAGCTCCATTACTGTCTCAAACTGTGTATGAATTTATTATTGAGAATAAGGATAGATTAAACTCAGTTATTGATTTTAGCCGTGATTTTGAATATGACTATTTTGCTTTTAAGACTCTAGAAAGATCTTATTTACTGCGAGTCGATGATAAGATTGTGGAAAGGCCACAACACCTATTAATGAGAGTTTCCTGTGGTATCCATTATGGTAATATAGATGCAGCAATTGAAACTTATGAACTGCTCTCTCAGAAGTATTTTACTCATGCCACTCCGACATTATTCAATGCTGGTACTCTTCGCCCACAGATGTCCTCTTGTTTTATTCTCAAAATGTCAGATGACTCAATTGATGGCATTTTTGATACACTAAAGAAATGTGCAAATATAAGCAAGACTGCTGGTGGATTAGGGGTGGCCATTTCTAATATACGAGCTGCAGGATCATACATCCGTGGTACTAATGGTAGGTCTAATGGTTTAATTCCAATGCTGCGTGTGTATAATGACACAGCACGTTATGTTGACCAAGGTGGAGGAAAGAGGAAGGGTGCACTTGCTGTCTATTTGGAACCTTGGCATGCGGATATTTTGGAATTTATAGAGATAAGGAAGAACCATGGTAAAGAGGAGATGAGATGCCGTGATATATTTCCAGCACTATGGATACCTGATCTGTTTATGGAGAGAGTAGAGAAGGATGCAAACTGGACATTAATGTGTCCTGATGAATGCCCTGGGATGCAAGATGTCTGGGGTGACCAATTTAAGGAATTATATGAACACTATGAAAAAGAAGGTCGCGGTAGGAAAACAATTAAAGCACAAAGTTTGTGGTTTGCATTACTACAGTCACAAATTGAGACAGGTACTCCATTTATTTGCTATAAGGATGCAGCTAATCGTAAAAGCAATCAACAAAATCTAGGTACGATAAAATCTAGCAATCTATGTACAGAAATTATGGAGTATACTAGTTCAGATGAAGTCGCAGTTTGTAACTTGGCATCTATAGGGCTCCCTCGTTTTGTTGATAGGGAAAACAAGAAGTTCGATTTTAAAAAGCTATATGAAGTAGTAAAAGTGGCAATAAGAAATCTAAATAAAGTTATTGACCGTGGATATTATCCTATTCCAGAATGCAGGAGATCTAATCTGAGACATAGGCCACTTGGTTTAGGAGTACAAGGTCTTGCAGATTGTTTTATGATATTGAGATATCCATATGAATCTAAAGATGCCAGGAAGCTAAATATTGAGATATTTGAGACAATATACTATGCTGCTCTTGATGCAAGTTGTGAGCTAGCAGAGAAGTATGGTCCCTATGAAACATTTCAAGGCTCACCGGCTAGTAGAGGTCTGCTACAATTTGATCTCTGGAATGTGCAACCCTCCTCAGGACTTTGGAACTGGGATTTACTGAAGGAGAAAATAGCTAAGTATGGCCTTAGAAACTCGTTATTGGTAGCTCCAATGCCTACTGCATCTACATCTCAGCTACTAGGGAATAATGAAAGCTTTGAACCATTTACCTCAAATATATATCATAGGCGTGTATTATCTGGGGAGTTCTTTGTTGTGAATCCTCATTTGTTGAATGACTTACTTGAATTGGGACTATGGGATGAGAGGCTGAAACAGAATATCATTGCTAACAATGGAAGTGTTCAAAATATTGAGTCTATTCCGCGAGATATTCGCGACCTGTACAAAACCGTCTGGGAAATTAGACAAAAAGCAGTTATTGATATGGCAGCAGATAGAGGACCATACATTTGTCAATCTCAGTCTCTAAATATTTATATTGCAAATGCCAACTATGCAAAGCTATCTTCTATGCACTTCTATGGATGGAAGAAGGGTTTAAAAACTGGTTCTTACTACTTAAGAACACAAAGCGCTGCGAATCCTATACAATTCACTATAGATCAACAACTACTGAAGTCGACAGCAGATAAGAATAAGGAACAGGATGCAAAGAGACCTGCATTGCAGAATAGCTCTCAAGGCGATGGAAGGTCTGTTATGGCATGCCCTTTAAGACCAGCGAATCTTCAAGGTGAGGAGTGTTTGATGTGCTCAGGCTAACTTAAGTTTTTTTTTTTTTTGAAGGATCTAAGATATTGCAAGGTAATTGCAAATTTGGAATATCTTCTTATTTGATTTTAATATTATATTTCACTTAAAGCTACTCTAGCAATATGAACCACTATATGTGGATCGCAAAACTCCCAATCCCCCATGGAGGAGCTGGCGGTACTTTAATTTTTCATATTAATGAGGTCCTTAGATCCAAAAGGTATTTTTGCAAAGTAAATCACCTAATATAGATTGATCAATTTAATATAGATAAATGGCACACTAAATAAATTCTATATCATTTTCAGAACTTTAAACAACCAAAAATGTGTGATCTCTGCGTTTCTGTCTAGTAGATACAGTAAAGTGTAAAAGCCAAATATAAATAAATATCAATAATGAATATACCTATTAAAAATTCATATAGTTTTTTTCTAGCGTACTCAAGGCTCATTTGTCGCTTTTTAGCTTGCTCATTAGGTATAATTTTGGCATCTTTAAGTATAAGTAAACCGCTAGTTGGGGTATGTTTAGCTGCAGAAGTTGCAATATTTGACTATTTCACAAACTACCTAGGAATAACATCAAAAAAAAAATTATACCGAAATAGAGAGAAAAAAAAAAGGGATTCTGTTAGTGAAAATATTGGGGTTTATAAGTGGGTTGGGCTACTAGTTGTACTACTCTGTGAGCTTTCAACTTTTCTTGCTCTCAATACATTTTTTTTTTCACAAGTTAAAAGGAATAATGTACATGATATTATTCCCAAACAGTTATATAAGAATAGTACTACCTTTAATAAACTTTTAACTCTTAAATATGATAAAGTCCCATATTTAATGAGTCTATCACCTACTGGTGTTAATTCAGAGCTTATAGAATGGCTAAGTAGAAGTTGGAAACCAAGAACTATTGAGAATCTCCCCTACTGGGATTCTAGAGTGAGTTTAACACTTAGAGATCTAAATTCACAGTTGGAGGTCATCCATTACACTGAGATCAATTTTGATACATATGTAGATGCTAGTTCAATTGAACAGAATATAAATGGAGCTGTTACATCACGAGTAATAATAGGTGATGGAACTTGGAACAATCAGGGAATTGGCAGTAATTATAGCTTGAGGGACCATATTCTAAGCGAGTATAATAGTGAGTTTTTTGGAAAAGATGACCTAATTAGTATTGTAATACCTGTGTACAATGAAGAAGAATATATAGTTAAGACTATATGTTATACAATTGAGACTATGCCTATTGAATTACTTGGAGAAATAGTTGTTGTTGATGATGCAAGCAGAATACCAGTAGTTAAAATTTTAGAGGAACAGCTACCAAGTGAATACAAGAAATATGTTCGTGTAATAAGATTTAAAAAAAACGAAGGTCTTATAAGAGCTAAAATTGTAGGTGCAGATACATCATTTGGTCCAAACATATTTTTCTTAGATGGGCACTGTCGTCCAAAGCCAGGCTGGTCGCAAAGTCTCGTGAGATCCATAAGACAAAATTATAAAAGAATCGTATGTCCGATTGTACAAAATCTGTATGGTCATAATTGGAGTGATGTAGGTACTGCAGGAGCTAAAATGATGATTGAGTGGAGCTTTGCATTTCATTGGTATGACGATGGGCTAGATGAAGTTCCAATAGCCTCTGGAGGAATTCTAATGATAACAAAGCGTTGGTGGGAAGAAAGTGGGAAATATGACCCAGGAATGATGTACTGGGGAGGTGAAAATATAGAACAGAGTTTCCGTGTTTGGATGTGTGGTGGAGAGATCCATGTTATTAGGGACTCTTTAGTTGGACATATATTTAATAGAACAAATACTGATGAGAGAGACAATAATTTGGAATACAAAACACTTCTAATCAGAAATGTACACATGAATCACAAGAGAACTGCCTATGTATGGCTTGATTATTTTTATTATCAAACATATTTTAAGAACTTCCACATGCTAAGTTATGAGACTTCACTTATAGGCTCAGGCATAGATGAAAGACTAGCTATTAGACAGAACTTGCAATGCAAATCATTTGAATGGTATATTAAAAAATTCAAACCATCACTAGAAAGGCAAGGAGAAATGTATCTCGATTATCATCATATTCAGCATAGCAAAAGCAAATTATGCTTAACTACTAAACTTACGATGATTGAGCCACGCGATATGACAGTGAATAGCATACTAAGAGCTCTAATACCAAGAACTGTCGTTCCTGCAGATATATCCAAGTATGGAGACAAGTTTACTGATGAATACGATGATGTTACACTTGAAATATGTGATCCATTTAATTATAATCAACAATGGTTATTTATTTTAGGTAATAGGATGCTTTATAATAGGGGCACAAAGAGATGTCTTGATAGAGCCAATATTAATTTAGAAAGTCATGACAATAACGCTATAGTTAAGGAAGAGGATGTTAATAAGCAAGCAAATATGAAACAAATACCTCTTATAACTGTTGAGTGTGACTGGAACTTAGTTATGAGATCGAAAAATATGAATCAGTTTTGGGCATGGAAACCAGAAAAAATACTTAATCAAGAGAGTAGTGAATATGGGAGGATTGTCACTTGGGATGGTGATGAACATAGAACTAACCAGACTGGAGGAGCTGAAGAATTTGTTGTTCCACTAAATAAAGGTATAAATGAAAACTCGTTATGTGCCTTCAGTATTAAAAATATTGGATACTACAATCAATCTACTTTATATTACACCTATTGTACAGAAGTAAGTAAAAAAAAATTTCTTTTTAGAAAAATGTGGCTTCAGAAAGATCTTTTGGAGTATAGTTAGATAAGTTCTTAAAATACACTCTTCAGAACATTATAGCTCTCTATTATTAAATTTGCGAATTTAAGTGTAAACTAAAAGATACAATTTTTTATAAAATATCAGGCTGATGTATTTACTTTTCGATTAATTATAGCTTATTTTGACTTGATTATTGTATTTAGGATTTATAAATCTATGCATAAACCTTTAGTTGGTTAATATATTTCCTTCTACATCATTAATTAAACTATTATTTCCAATTAATAATTAAAGAGGTTAAATATTCTCATTTTAAATGAGTTATTATTTAGTATCACGAGTAAATTACTGGGGATTAACTGGAATTCCCAGTACTGTTACTACAATAGTAAAGATAGAAGATGAGTTGTTGCAAATTTTAAGTTCCTATACTATTAATAGCTAATTATAGAATGCTTAGTTAAACAATATATTTGGCCTATAATAAGATTTTGTAACATTATAATTTATATGATCTTTATAGTAACGTAAATAATTCATTGTTGTTATTAAGGTATATTTTATTTATGTAATCAATGTTGTACTTTGTTGCAAGGAATGGTGGAACGAATCTTCCTGCAATATAATGTTTTCCTTTAAATGACAAGGTACATACTTTTGGAGCAGTTAGCGAAATGATAATATCTGGGTATAAAAGTGTATCGTTTTCGTTGTATCTGTTGTCTACATTCCAACCGGAAGGTATATCAATAGATACAATTGGAATTGCTGAAATATTTGAGCACTTCTTCATATAATCAATAATTGAATTAAATGGTGGCCTTATATAATCTCCAGAAAAGCTGAATCCAAAAACCGAATCGATAATTAATGCAGGTGTAGGACCTATTTCATCTATTGTAGGAATAATTGGGATTGATAAAGATTTCAGTAAAGTGACCAAATCGTCATAAAATGGGTGGCTCCCTTTTCTTGGATATACTACTATTGGATTACCACCAAATAACTTAAGGTAACGTGCTATTACTAGTCCATCTCCACCATTATTACCTGGACCACAAATGACCATAATTTGCGATGGTGTTGTTTGTGAAGAAGAAAACTGGCTTGAATAACCGTCCGAATACTGACAAAATAGATGGAGATAGCAGTGGCGGATACAAATCGCACAGCTTAATCCAGCAATTTCCATTAGCTGTTCAAGTTTGTACCCAATAGTATCACTCATTAGCTCGTTATCTAATTCCTGGGCCTCCTTCTGAGTTAAGTAATGATATTCTAAAACCATTTCTTGTATACCCTTTTAGTCAAAAATATCTTGATAGAAAAAGTTTTATACAGTATTTTACATAAGATTATGCGAGATAGTGTAAAATAAACTGAAGAAATCTGATCTAAATATATGAAGTTTGGAAAAAGCGCGATTTAAGATAGCACACACTTGCATGGGTATGCTGAAGATGAAATACTGTCAATTTTCTTTAAGATCGTATAAAAAGAAGAAATAGATCAATTAGATTATTTACTAAGCTATAAAAAGTCTAGAAGTTTGAGAAGTTACCTTTTAAACCCCATTCTTTCTAGATTCCAAATACATCTAATTCTATTACTAACATTAAGCTATTTATCAAATATATTTGAAGTTTTCTATAAATATTCAAGTCCTAGATTAGTTTGAAAAAATAATACATTAATATTACCTAATAACACAACCCTTTTTAGAATAAATGATTTCTTCATCATTAAATAAAGAAACTGGTGAGTAGACAATATTTTCTGAAATTTTTTGAGTCTTCATAATATCTTCTCCTACACTATTTGTCGTATATTCTTTTGCTTGAGTCTGTCTCTGTCTTTTAGTATTCTTCTTAGCATTTGTAATTCCAAGGTATTCTCTTAGAGTATAAATTATTGAAATTATATCATGACCAATCACATCTTTATTTGGGTTAGTACTTGTTCTATTACCAACAAATGATCTGCAAAACATTTCATAAAAACAATTCTCTAGTAATTTTTGATATTTTTGTAAAGTAGAATTTATACAAGAAGGTATTATTAAACTAACAATATTCCCACACAATTTCTCTAGTATTCTTGTCATTGAATTTGATAGTGAATTCACTGAAGAACTAGTAACAAAATATGATGAATTTTCGAGTGACAAATTTGTATTTGTGATATTGTTTTCAATGTCTCCCACTTTATTTTTGTAAAATACTTCCATAATACCGTATATTTTTAGAATTGTACGACCATCAAGATCTAAATTTAGATCAATTAGGGCTTGACACATCTTGGTAATTGTATCAAAGTATATACATACAAGTCTACATGATAAATTTAGTTGTCCAATTTCAGTGTTATCTGACCACTGAGACATATAAATACTTTTATTTAGAATTAAATTTGATAAATTATGTTCATTCTCCTTGCGTATGTTACTAATAAAGTTTTGCAAATAGTCAGTTTTAGAAAAAGAATATTCGTAAGTTCCTGATACTTCTAGTTGTTTAATAAGCTTTACTTCATGTATAATTAGATCACAAAGAATATCAAGTGATGAATTAATATTTTCCAAATGTGTGTAGACTACTTGCTGCAAAAAGTGCTGATCTTTATTATATTCATTTGAAAGTAGGGACATATTGTTTGAAGTCACTTGATATAAATTTCTGTTATTTACTTCATATAAAAATATATCCAAAACTTCTGGGTTTAATAACTTATGAAGTGCAACGAATGAATAATTTTGAGAAGTATTTGTATTAAGTAGAAAGTACTCTGAGTTATATCTTATGCTTTTATATTCTCTAATGTTATTTATTAAATTTCCAACTGAAATCTCTGATAAAATTACGGGTATTGTTAAATATTTAAATTTACTACTCAAATACTTGCGATTTCTTCTATAGTATAAACCAGTGTAGTGGTCTAAACATAATTTTGCATTATCAATCTTCCAAATGTTCAATATGCGCCGACCATGCATAAATACTTTTTGAAAGTATGAATGACAATCTTCACTACTATAACCAGATATTATGAAGTGCAATAATGAATGGTATGAGTACCCAATATGGCTTAGTGAAGATGTACTTGGTGTTGGCTTTGCTCTCTTATGTGATGGTAATGCAGGGGTTATATCACTGATATCATCGCAAAGCGCGTTTGAGAAGTCAGAAAATATATCCTTTTTTGCATCTTTTAAGCTAATTTCATTCTTCAAAATTGAATAAAAGTCTGACAACTGTTCTAAATGTATCAAGAAACATTCATTTTCAAATATACTGCATTTCCTAGTCAAGTACACAAAATGTTGTACAGACTGTAGGAGATAAAATATCCTCAAAAAATTATGAACTTGTGGAGTGCAAGATGAAGAATTCTGAGAATTTAAATTACTTAGTACGCGTTCTAGTAATTTTGAGCGATATTTCTCATACATGTCATTTACTGCTTTGCTAATTTCAAAATGGGAACAATAAATACAGTTTTCTAGTAGTTTCTTTGAGAATTCTCCAGCATTAGGATCTCCAGATAGTTGGAAAAAGGTAATCAATAAGGCTTCAGTTATATAAACATACAGGCTTCTAAATCCGTCAATAAGCACTTTGAAAAATTGCTGTAAATCACTTTGCCTTTGATTATTTGTAATGTATCTGATAATACTCAGCTTCAAAAGCTTCCATTTAAGCTTTGCATGAATATAAGGAATAAACCAGAAGCAATTTTGTATTTTCGGAGATACTCCATTGTTATAGTCAAACCAGTTAGATACTCGGGAAATATTTGGCAAATATATTAAAATGAAATGTTTGTGCATTTCCATAACTTTCCATAGGACATGATAAATAAAGGTTTCAAGTTTGTCAAAACATGTTGTATCATTCATTGGTATAATAGATGGTGAATGAGAGTACCAAGTAAGTTTGGTATTTAAACTAGAATACCTTCTTCTTATTAAACAGCGTATTAAGTGTATTCTTAAACATAATGTAGGATATAATGCTTTTAACTTTATCATATTCATGCAAATTAAATCAAAACTAATGGAATAGATGTTATCAGTAATACTTAAATAATGATCTAAATTGTTCTGCTCCATTGTAAATTCTGGATTTTCTTTACTTTTCCTTTTTGAACAAAAATCATAATTTTCAACAACCTTTGAATCAATATCAAAATGAAAATATTTCACTTTGTTACCAAAGTTGCAAATAAATTCTGAGCTCTTATTGGTAGGGTTAAGCTTACTGAATTTTGTTTGGAGATTCCACCATTCCAATTCCATATTCAACAAAGATGTAGCTTGTATAAATAATCTTTCAAAGGAATTAGGGTAATAATATGAATATTGACCATCATAACAAAAGCCTAGTGCTAAATGTAGTGAATACGAAGCATTTATATCATCTAATTCGCATAAAATTATCTTTATGGAATTTGAAGCTGAAGTCAAATTGCCTATTTTTATGTCTGGTCTAACACTTAAACTGTAGCTAACCAATTTCAAATTATCGAGTGCTTCAAGTACTACCTCCTTATTTGAAGGCAAAGATGAGCCACTATTTACTGTATGGGAAGTAATGCCGAATCTACCAGGGTACCATAACGTAGAATCTCTGTTTGAGTATATCAATGGAATAGCAGATTCAAAGCTAGAAGCTATCGATTTAAATGGAATATATACACACTTCTCAACTCTGGATAGTACAGAATTAACTACTTCAGATAAGCTACTTTTGAATAATTCCTGGGAATTATCTTCACTATAAGCAAATAATTCATCAAATTTTTTTGCAAAAAAAACTTTGGAACTGTATGAAAAATGTTTAATAGGAATCAAGTCTACTTTTTTTTCCAAGTAATCCCATTGAAGTATAGAAATTGGAGTAAACTCTAATATGTCCTTTTTTTTAAAATCTGCTTTATAATATACCTCACTAGTATTTCCTTCATCCAAATACTCGGATATATATGAAGTATCAAATGGATCGCAAATATATGTATCAAGTAATCGCTTTAAGTTTGATATAGAAAGAGCGTATTTATGGCTATTTTCAGTCTCATATTTTCTAGTTGAATATAATTCAAAATAATAGTGAAGTAATTCCATATAAGATGGATATATAAATGGTAAACTTAAATGTCTTAATATTAAAGGTATATTATCATTCATCGACTTTAAATCCATTATTACCTCCTTATCACTCCTCTTAATATTCTCTTTAGGGAATACTAATGATTGAATTGCACCTATAATGGAATCATAGAATGATCTCCTTGCATATGAATATTGTTTGTCAGTTAATGAAGTGCAACTTAATAAAGATGAAAATACATTGCAAGATAACAATAAAATTGGGCAAGGTAGTCGTATTGCTAATTCAGAGTTCAAAATAACATCATTTTCCATATTATTAATACCCCTGTAATGATTTTTAAATAAGTTATTATAATTTCTTATAATAATCTTGTTAAAAGGTTTACATGGAAGTGGACAAACAGGAATACCATATATACATTGTAATAGTAATCCTAAAACTTCCAAATATTCTGTTTCTATTTCTGGATCAATTACAACATCATGTAAGGGCCAATGAGTAAAGGAAAATCTTGTGTATTTATCTATATACTCAGAGCATTCATCATAAAAGTTACTCCAGTTGTTCAAATATAATGAATCCTTAAATAGTTCGCTTGGGATATCCCCACTATTTATATTAGCATAAAAAAATTCTTTGCAAGATTTCATCTCACTTATCCATGTAGGAATACATGGTGAGAATCGATATATTATACCATATAATATAATAAAATCTAATATTAAATTATAGGTGCTAGATAAAGCAGTCAATTTTTTATCTACAGAGCTATTTATAGAAATTGGATCTTCATTCTCATCTTTTCTAACAATTTGATCAGTTTTATTTGAATTAGATGATTCTAAATTTGGGGTTGATAACTTCAGTGAACCATTTTGCTCATTTAACTGTTCAAAATTTATTGAAAAGTCGAGATAGAATAAATATCGAATAAAATACATTATACATCGTGGTTGTAAAGAGTATGATGTTACTTCCTGATAAATATCTACTAAGTGTATAACAATTTGCATCATGACTTTTAAAAGATTTACCATACCCTTGTAAGTCTGTATAAGATGCATAAACAACCTATGTAAACCAGTCACAACTGTGATAATAAGATAGTGTAATATATCTTTCAAGGATTTGATTCCATTATAAATGGTTTTATAATTTGAAATATCATTTGAAAATGCACGATCTTTTAGTGTTTCAAATAACAGTAAGATTTCCCATAAAAAATCAATAAATACAGCTGGGATGACACCATTAAAATTTTCTTTATCAATAATATGATCATATATACATTTATTTGTTAGCTTTATTAGAATCTCAAAAGCTATTACTAACTCTTCACCTTGTATATTGCACATTTCCTCTTCTTGCAAGTAACTGTTAAATTTAGTTAGTAGCCTGTTGATTCTATCGAAAGAACTGAGTGTTTTAGAAGTAGTGCTGCAATCATATAAAGTTATTAAATCTGTTTCGTTAAGTATGTGTAGAATAGAACACAAATACGAAGTAGGAGAGGCAAATAAATTACTAGATGGTCTTCTAAAGCTGAGCTCACGTTCAATAACGCCAATAATTATATTTGAATTATTAATAGAGAATGCATTGACATATTTCTTACAACCTAATCTATTGTAAATTACTTCTTCATTTTCCATAAGTTCATTTTTTATTATTAAATTATGAACTATTCTTGAAATATGCAATGCTGCACATAAGAAGTTTTCCTGTTTTTGAGTTAGTTCTTGAATTGTCGGAATATTTACAGATATTGAAAATGTCTTTTTAAATGAGACATTTACTATTTCGGACTCAAAGAGATAATATAACGATAGTAACCAAAGTACTTTAGCTTTGAGACTACTGGTATTTGTCAACTGGGTAATCATCATCAAATGACCGGCAATATTTTCAAATTCCAATTTCCAAAACTGTTGGCTAAATATGTTTGCTGTATTTGCTGAAAAATTATTATCGTCTTTTATATTTAGATTGAAGATTTTCGAAATTTGCATAAGCATTAGAGAACTCTCACAGATTCCATAAATGACACTAATATAATCGAATCCAATCGTTGATTTAGATAATAATAAGTTTGTAATTTCAGGGTATTTAACCCACAAATCATTGAGAGAAATTATCAATCTAGGTTCTGATTTATTTTTCTCTCTTAATGATTCTTTAATATAGTGATTAAAATTCAAAGTTAATCCTCCATTAGTGTAGTAGTAGGCTGAGCCATCATTTAAACCTGTAAATTTCTGTGAGTGGTCATCTAGTTTATGTAAGAATTCCAGCTCTTCTTCAATACTCTTAAGTAAATAATTGTATATATTAGTATATTCAATCAATAAATAGGCTACTTCACTTATCTCATGCTTAATATTTGTAATGTTAGATTTAGTTACTGGGTATACATTTAAAATATACAAAAATTTTTCCATTATACTTGGTTGAATATAATTATTAAAAAGATATACTAAATTAATTTCGTCTAAATTTGATTTTAAAATTATGTTGATGAGATCTAATTCACTACTATAGCTTATGTCTAAATAGTTATCTTGATTTTTTGAATAGTCCGCTACTGAAAGATCAATTCCATATTTATTTGCATAATCTATAACTTTCTCACTTATAGTAGTTAGTTTACTTAATCCAGAAGCAGGTATATCGAGGAAATTACTATAATTCAACATTATTAATTTATCAAAAGTCTCCAGTGATTGATAGTTACTGTTAGCTACATTTGGTCCCGGTATACCAGCTATTTGAGATAAAAAATAATTACAATAATAAGGAATAAAATATAACCACTGTCTGTATTGTTTATTAGCAAATATAGGAACTAAAGTAGTTAAATTATCACTTGATAGTTCTGAATAACTTTCATTGACTTCATCCTTTTGCTTAAAGTGAGTTGCATTCACACCACTACTACTCCTAGTACGTCTTCTATCTTGTTCTTTAATATTGGAGTAAGTATGTTCCAATATTCTATTATCCCAAATTCCATCGTTGCTAATTGAGGTACCATCACAAAGTAGACTTCCAACAGAGATATATTCAGAACACTCATGAGAATTTCTATCTACAGTTTGCAAGCCGTTGAATATTTCACATATATTCTTTAAAATTCTTCTTAATGTTGAGCACTTTTTACAAAGAGATAAATTTAGCTTCTTATGTAATTCTGCAATATCTATATTGATCTTATAACGTCGGTTCAGAAATAAGGTATCATCTGAGTCACTATATCTGTAAATAATACGTCTAACTTGTTCCTTTTCTTCTAATCTCCTAATTGTGCATATTGTCTGTATTTTATTATAAGAGTTAATATATTCACTTTTCTCTTGCCACTCAAAGTCTTTTAATAATAATATATTATTATTTAAAATTTCAGCAGCTGAATCGTATAAATAGTTTAGTAATACATTGTATTGTATATCAAATGAAATTTTGTTGCAGTTACTAACTTGAAAACTTAAGTAATTATTTAATTTCCCGAGGATATATCGTTTTCTAAACTGCTCTTCAATATATGATATAGTACAAACTCTTGAGTTTATACAATAATCTGGAAGTTGCAAATAATTATCTATATACTCGGATCTAGTCCATTGTTTAAGATATAGCAGGAGCCACTTTATTCTTAAGGAGATTTCGTCTATACCAGCTTCCTTATTTCTATTATACTTTGCTAATTTTTCTAGTGTATTAAAACATTCCCAAAAATCTCCTTGTAGTAGCAAAACTCTACTTAGATTACCTAATAGAAGGTAAATATCTGACCATTTCTCAGAGTAAGAGATAGTAGACTCTTGGGTCTGGTTATCTTCAACATACCAAATAAGATACTCTAAACAAAATCTGCATACTCTAAGAACATCTGAAATATATGCTCCATTGTAATCTTCACTAAACTCTGGCTTATTATTTAATTCCTCAATAGAAGTATTGATTCCTTTCAAACCATTTGAAATAATATTGTAAAATAAATTATTTAAAGTCGTGTTCTCATCTCGAGTATTTCTAGTTTGTCTATTTTCCAAAAAATAAGTAAGTTTTACTTTATCAGATTCATAAGCTTCCCAAAATTCCTTCTGAATTAGCTGAATATCTTTCATATGTGCACTTATGATTTCATTGGCTATATATTCTTAAGAATGTGACATAATACCCTAAATTCCATATATGCTAGTCAATTATTACTGGCGCACAGAAATCTACCTTAAACTAATTTCTCAGTAAGACACTAGATATAAATGAACTTCATTAAAATAATATCTGATCCTAGTATTTCGAAAATATCACTATAATAAGCACATAAATTACTTCATTTTCATGATATTTCACAATAGTGTATGCCTGATCTTTTCAAGTCAAATACTTAGGAACTACAAAAGTTGAGTGAAGAATTTCCTGCAAATTAAATACTGCAATGTATCTACCTGATAAAAATATCTCTAATTTATATATAAGATTCACAAAATTCACTTTCTTCAATAGTAAAGCTATCAGGTGTGGAGAATTTATTAGTACTTCTATCTTCACCCCCTTTTTCCCCCTCCCCCCTTTCCTCCTCCCTTTTGCCCCCCTTTTCGTATTATTTGGTTTTTCTTCCTAAGTACAGAAGTTTTTACTAGCAAAAGCTTCTCTAAAAAGAACTAGCTTTTAATATATACTTAAGTAATACACTTGGGGATGTATAAGATATTTAAATATTTCTTATTACTTGTAGCTGCTCACGCTTTAAATCTAGCAGTGGGACAAGAGATGGATTTTACTCCAGCTGAAGAGGTTCAGTTAGATTTGTTGGATAAATATTTTACAAAGGAAGAGAAGCAAAAGAAAATGCTTATCTGCTTTGATTTGAGTCAAAAGGAGTTTGTGGAGAAACGCAATACATATCAAAAACTAGCTAATACTTTGGCTGGAGAAAAGGGTTTAAATGTAAACGATGCACTTCGAGCACTATTTCATGAAACTCTTGTAGCATGCTATTTCAATGCTCAAAAGAACGATATTGAAGCTGGGATATTAGGCAAACTTGTTGATGAGGACAAAACAAGACTATTTACACTAACAAATAGCACTCCCAAACGTTTTTCCAATACTCAACTTCAAATATTAGAAAGCATAATAACAGCTACTAATAAGAAAACATCAAATATCCTTTCTGGAAGTTTCCTTAGCTACTTTACTGGTCTCTACGGATATATATACTTTTTTTGCACAATACTACTCATTAGTCTTGGATTCTACTATGCAATCACTTCTCTAAGGAAGCTGCAGGAAAGAGAAACTAAGACAAACAAGAAGAAACAGAAGTAGCGCACTTGATACTTTAGAAAAGATAGAACGGAAGAAAGATATCTGGCAAGTGAATTTACTCTTTAATTATTGCCACTGAATAGGCTTAAACTCTACACCTTTAGTATTTTGATTTCTATTCCATACTCTACCACTACGTATTTGTTCACCTTTATTTTTGATTATTTGTTTATCTTGCTGTATATTATTTGTATAAGTTGCATTTCTTCTGGCAACAAATGCTATTGGATCTACAACATCAGACTCAAGTTGGTTTTTACTATCGAGATGCTGAACAAATAGTTTAATAGGTATATTCCATGGTTTACTTTCTCCAATATATAAAGTAGATTCCCTTGTTCGTATCCCATGTAAACGCTTAATACAATCGTTGTATCTACAGCTGTAGGAAGACCGATGAATATATATAGATGCACCATTTTCAGCTACAAATATAGTTTTTTTTGGTAATACTTTTGTCCCATTAACTTCTTTTATTAAATTATAAGCAGTTACTTCATCGAAATGAACATTTATCTGCTGTAGGTATACACGTGCAGAATCTTGGCAGGCAATAGTACTATATCCAACCAATTCTAGTAGCTTTCCTGAAAAAATAGCCCCATCATCAACAAAAATATCACCTTTAATTTGCATATAATCACAGTATAAAATAGAGAACTCATCTATCATGACACCTAATTCTACTAGCAACTTGTAATTTTTCTTCAATAATTGCAAATTCGAATAACCTTGTAATAAAAGAACATTTATAAATATACTGTATTCTTGCTCATCTTTAAAATTTCCAAGTTCTGCTGTATCTTGACTTTGAATTACAGTAAATTGTGAATTAGTTGTGAGAATTAAACTGTCAACTGAAACATTCCCATTACCAATATAAAGATTAGAAGAATTTAAAGTTACATTACCATTAACAACTATAGTAAAATTTCCAAATTTTGAGTTTTGTGGTGATACTAGGCCTTCATTAGTAAAAATCAAAGATTTTGAATTATTTATACCTTTAATCCAAATTGCTGAACTCAATGAAATTCCCAGATTTCCTGAAGATACAATTAATCTACATTCAACCTGTAGGTATCCCCTAGTATTTACATCAACATTACCATTATAAATGACTATACTACCTCCAACAAGAACTTGACTATCTGATACAAAGAAACTAGGAAGCTTCTCATTTGGTGTTTGATTTTCGCTCTTTAATGAACCTATCACGATATTTCCTAAGCTTATTTTCAGAGTGCCTCTCTTACTAGCTATAACACTTTCTTTAACGGTTAAACTTCCATTACTTATATATAATTCTCCATTAATAATATCAAGATATTCATTTACAAGTAACCCACCATTTAAAATTGCTAATTTACTTGAATTAGTAACTAGCATTGATCCATTTATTCTGTGTACTAAGTTTTCATGTATATCCTTAGTTAGCTCAAAATTTGGATAATCTAATCTAACTTTATCTGAATTTCCCTGAATAAATAAACTGGAACTTTCACTTATTATTGAATTATTATCTATTGATATTTTACCTTGAACAAGTACTTCTGATGCCTGACTAATTTCTAAACTTCCATGAACTATTAACTCATTACTAATATGTATTGATGAAGTAGCAAGTATTTGAAAATAACCAAGTATACTATTTGTTTTATTTCCAATATTTGACACTACTTTATTGTAATTACTTCTAATTAAATCACTACTATTATAAAATGTATTATTTAAGATGGTCTGTTCTTCAAAGTAGTTAACAAGAATTGAGCCAGCAAAGACAGTTGAAGAGTCTCTAGCTAAGCCAAAAGAGAATTTCAATTTGTCAGAAACACTCAAACTAGAACCGGTATGTAAAACAAGAACTTTTTCTACCCATATACTACCTTTTAATATATTCATTTTTGAAGACCTGACTATTGACAAACGACTTGTTTCCACTGATGCATTTAGCATATGAAGTTTACCGGAGTCCCGAATGTGGATTCCTAGTCCATCTGTTACATTAGTTTTCAAATTTCCACAGGTCCCATAAACAAATCCCCCATCAGCAATAGAAATCTCACCAGCAATGATATCACCACGAGCCCAAAGTCTTCCTCTATTCCCTACAAAAAGTTTACTTCCAGACCATATAGACCCTTTAGACGATGGAGTCTCCAATTCAGGCAAAGTGGAATTATTCAGTTTCACTCCAATATTATCAATCAATTCTTTTAAAAATTTACTTGGACAAAATTGAGACTGGAGCTGAAGCAACATAGGAGTTAGTACAAATGGATCCCAATTTGTATTATTCTTCTCTAATTCATAAATTGTTGAATATAAATATAAAAGTCCAGTGTATACAGTAGATGATAGATCTATTTGGATATCCATTCCGTATATGTTTTTACCTACTGATACATTACCAATTATATATAAGTTTGAAAATGGAACTATTAGAGATCCACGTATAGTTAGACCTTTCCTGATAATACATTGCTTCAATGTGTGCTTTGGATGTTTATGACTAGATGACATTTCAAATACTTGATTTGCATCAAATGAAGTTAAAACGTTGAGTTGCCCATTTGCAACTGTAAGATCTCCACATATTGTTACATCACCATCAACAACCACTATACCACAGTTAGGATTGTCAATAATTATGTCCTCATTCTCCATTGTGACTAAAACATCGCCGGAATCAGTATATGATGGTTCAGTTGAAGAGTGTGAATAAGCTGTAAGTGAAGGTGAATACTCATCGCACAGTTTATCATGATAGAAAAAGTTGGCCACCCCATCATTTTTATTGCCGTTGTTATACTTCTTACAAATTTCATTTTTTAGAAAAACTACAGATGGGCATGAAGAAACTATTACTCTAACTTGCTGAGCTAATGAGTCATATAGGCTATTAATTTCATACTTATCAAGACTACTAGTTGGTCGAGGTTTTATCACTTCAAAAGTCTCGTCATCTAATTCCTCTTTCACATCCGACTGCAGATATTTTTTAAATTGTGCATTATTTATTCTGAATGGTTCACTTACTAAATCTTTGATATTATTGTCTGTAATCCAAGAAGTGCAGTAAACTTTATAGCTATATAGTAGCCAAGGTACTGAAAATATGAAAATTCTTTTTGGGAGCAGACTAGCTCCTCTAAAGCTCATCACTCATAAATATATCATAAATTGCATTATAGTCCTAAAAATTTCTGATAATCAGGTATAATAGTAGCATCCCGTGTAATTTTACTGAAGATAGAATATTCTAAAAATTATCATGCATTTTCTAGTGGCGGCTAGGGGAGAAGAGTAGATGCACACTCGGACCACTTGAAATAAAGTTAAGTCCTGCAATTACGATAAATAAGGGGAATAACACATTTAATGATTAATTCTCATCTTTAGCTAATAAGTTTTTTAGATAAATCTCCCATTTTGGAAACCTTTTTCCAGTAATAAGTCCAACATTGCAATTGACTCCTTTAAATCAACTGACTTAGGTATAATATTCTTGAGTCTATAAACAACCAATATAGAGAATATACAATCGTGATGCTCGATAAGCCTACATAACAACTTCGTGACTTCTCCGTAGCACTCTAAATATATTAAATTGTCCATAAGATTATTAAGGGATTGTAAAAAAAGTGCGTCATTTAATACAAAAGATTTGTTAAATAGTATTTGATTTTCAGGTTTATCTAGTAATTGTTTCAAAGGTTCAGGAAACTCAACTCCCCCTAGTAACTTGACCTTAGCAATATTGTTAAGTAGTAAACAGCCAATATATACTCCTAAAGAATAATCTTGTGACGAGTTTAAATGATCTACGACTAAATGCCATATATCAGAGAAGTTACAAAAAATTTCATTTTCATTTTCTCTGATGCCACTTTGCCAAATTATTTCAGTTATACTTGAGGGCATAAATAATGAGAATTCTGAAGCATGTCTTTTAACAAGTGAGAATTCACCAATTTCATTTGTTACCTTGGGGTGGCTTAGCAATTTATTAAAAATTTTGGGATTGTTATGCGTAATGAAGCAACAAGATAATGTCCAATACCCAAGAGTTCTTCTTATTTTGGGATATAAATAAGGGGGTACAAAATCTCGGATCCTGTGATTAACATAATTAATATTTCTAATGTATGCTTTGTAGTTCACACTTTGTTTGCTCTGTTCAAGTAAACAGACAAGTCGAAATGCTGTCTTACAGAATCCATTGATTGCTAAATTCTGTACAAGTTCTATTGGAGATAAGAAAAAAAAATCATCTGTTTTACTAGACTCTATAAAAAAGTAAGGCTCTGTATATATTCCATTAAAATTAAGAAGTTCTTTGTATTCAGCCATATGTGTGCCATATAAAAGATGGTAAGAATAGGGGATATGGAGTGGTTCAGATATGTAAGCTGCTTTCAGTTTATATATTCCATAGATATGCCATTGTAAATATAGTAGATATTCCTTTGAGGGAATATATGTAACAAACTGAGATTGTGAGAATTGCGTTTCTGGAAGAATTAGAGAATAAAATACAGATGGAATGCAAATAGGTTCGTCATATGAAGCTAAATCATCTTTATTTGCTTTTCTTAGTTCATTATAGCATATATTTAAGCATGTCAAAATAGAAGTTACTTGGTGCAACATATTTTCATCTTTATTTTGGACTTCATACGAGAGATTCCCTATAGAAGTTAAATCAATTAAACTTTTAGATATATCATCAAGTACTGAGTTGATATCTATAGTCAAACTAATTGTAGATTCACGGCTGAATTTAAGCCAGTTTTGAGGAAATAACAAATGTTTAAAGTCAATATCCTTAATTATTTCTGAGTATAACTTCAATGAATAAAGATATGATAAGACAGCGATATCTAAAGGATTTTCCAATGATGAAATGAGATAGTGAAAAATTAAAGCTCTAAAATTCTTATTTTTTGAAATGGTACAGATTGATGAAAATAGTGACTGGTTGTACCAAAAAATATTTACCAATAAAGAGTATAAATGAAATAATTCATCATATGAGAATGCTTTAGAAAGAATCTTATTGGTTTTTTTAATACATTCTTCATCTAAGTAATTATTATTGTAAGTATTAGCTAACCATATTGTCATACTTAGAACAAGGCGTTGGTTAGGTGAAGAGAGTATACTGGAGGAGGATTGAACAAACTCAACAATTTCAGAGTATGTGCTACTTTTTTGTAGTAAAAAAGTATATTGTATAGCACTAGTCTTATATATGTTATACAGGTTGTTTGACTCTTGAAAAGGATATGAGTATTCCATTAGCTCATTACGAATCATATAAGTGGTTTTTTTCATTATAAAAAGGTAAGATGGATATTGAGATATTACTTTGATCATTGAGCTGTTATATCGAATAATTAAAAATAATAATTTTAAACTTGGTTTACTAAATACAATTGCATTTAAAGGATGTGACATACTAATTTGATTAAACACTTTAAGGTATATATCTATAATAGCATAACATAAATCTTCATCTGAACAAATTGAATCAAAAATTTCCTGAGTTTTTTTATCTAATGCTCTATCATACATAATTAGCCATGTAAAATGAAATTTCACTGTGATAGGATCAATTAATTGTTTATTATCTCCAAATAATGGGGAGTTGTTAATATCAAATTTTTTTATTATTATTAGAATATCCATTGTAGCATTTAATAGTAAAGGAAGAATTTCAATATATTGTGTATTATATATATTGTCACTGTAAGGTGTAAATAATTCACATAATCTCAGTATTAAAGCATCCCATGAACAAAGAGAAATCTCCACTGTACTCAAAAAAACATAATTGAGAAGTATGCTTTGTGATTTATTTCTACTTGAGAAAATTCTACATAGGCTACTGATAATCAAATAGATATAATCAAAATTCGTTATTTCCTCTAATATCAAAGATAAGTTCCGATCTGTCACATGGCAATTCTTCTGGCCATGCAATAAAATTATTGGTCCAGAACCATTGAAGAGAATACTATTTTGAAATGATATTATATGTCTATCTAAAATCAAAGATTCATCATCAATAAAATCTTCACTTGAATATGATTCTAATTTAGAAATTTCATTTATACTATATGCTTGATAATGAGTTGTATTATTTTGATGGTTAAATATTAAATAATTAGTAAGATGATGAACACTATTTAAAATAAATTTATGCCATCTAGCAATATATACAAATTGATTTTGTCTTAAAGATGCCTTCATTGATAGTTCCATTGAATTAATAGATGAGATGTTAATTTCCAGAGATTTATGACTCCCTAAACAGTATAGCTTTCTTGCACTTACGATTAATTCTGGGAATGTTGGACCATTTATTATATTGTAACTTGATAGAATTTTGGAGAATATATTTCCACTTAATTTGCAAATATCTGATATATTAGTAAATAAATTTTCAAAATCACATACTCCATCCAATAATGTGGTAAACCTGTTATTATCTAATTTGCTAAGGTCATGATATGACTTTAAATTAGTAGTTGATATATCATCTTTAATTTTGTCGCAATTTTCATTTGAGTAAAAGTGCAATTTCCTTTTATGTATAAGTGCTAGTATTGAAAGTAAGTATAGTAAAGTAGAGTTCGGAACACTTATATCCTGAAGATAGTGTTTGCTTAAATTAGAGCTAATTTCTTCACTATTCGAAGCTGAAATAATACTTGTAATTATCTGGTAAAGCATATATAGAGTTGTAGATAATGGCTTTGATGGTATATTTATATAGGGACTAATTTTGTTCCGACTATATTTATCAGTTATATCAACCAATATTGAAAATGAAGATACTGTCGTAATAACAATAGTATCATCTTCTAGCTTATTTAAATTCAAATATAAATTATTTGATCGTTGGAAATAGCGGACTATCTGCAGAGCTTTTTCAAAATTATTAATTAGAATATTACAAAAAGTAACGTTATCGTTCATATTTTTAACTACTAAAGTTGATAAGTAGGAGGAGTTAAAGTCACAAAAGTATTTCTCAGTAATAAGACTATGTATTTCAACTTTGTGACATTTGCTATATTGATATAAAGATGAAAGTATACACAAATCCAAAATATCGAAAATGTGTGCATTATGAGTTGAGTCATAATCTTTGTAAAACAAATTAAGAGATCCACTAGTTATCTCCATTATATAAGTTGAAATGATCTTAATTACTGTCTTTATTATAACTGGATTTAAATTCACTTTCAAAAGTATTGATTTAAAATCTTTTATTATATCACTTGTTGTCTTAATTTTGTTAGCTATATAACTAGAAGCCTTAGTGGTTAAACTACTTCTCTCACTATCGGTCCATTCAGCTAGCAAAAGTTCCATACATTGTGACCATACATATGTTCTTTTGTATTTGTGATGGTCTAGATGAATTTTATGAATTTCATATATTGGGTAAAAGTCAAAGGATTGCAAATGAGTCTCACCAGGATAAACCCAACGAACAGTTGTTAGATATATATCGGAATTTGTTAATTCAATATGTCTAGGGTACATTATATTTGGAAAATCTGACTGAAAACAATTAAATTCAGTACAAGTCATCATGTTTGTCAACTTCAAACCTATGTTTCTTTTAGATGTCCATAAATAAGATTTTTCCACTGTTATCTCAAAAATATAAATTCTATTTCTATAAAGTAATATACAAAATTTACCGTCATTAGAAACTACTAGCTTTGAATCTAATGAAGTCTTTTCAAAGGGAAAATTTGTAAATTGACAGCTAAGTGAATATTTAAGTTGTTTATCTGTAGGATCTTCATACATATTATATATTAATAAGGAAGGTAACTCTTCACAAAAAGTAATAACACCTTGTATTATATGATCGTCTTGTATACTGATGTTTAAAACATTGGTCGTGGCCCTATTTTGGTTTAGAGTATTTATTGAAACTAAAGAAGTGTCATTCTCTGTATTTGACGTTTTATTAAAAATTAACTCAAATGTACCCAGAGTACTTCCAAAAATAAATCTTTCAGCCGAAATTCTACATATACATGTAATATTAGTAAGTTTTGTAATACTACTGAATGTACGAAGTTCACATAGCAAATATATTGAAGCTGATTCTTTTCTTGTTATTTTTATATCTGTAGTATAAAAAAGGCCATCCTGAAGTATAAAAGAAATAGATAAAATTGATTCTTCTGTGTTGAAGTACAAATTGGGAGTGCAAGTAATGTTGCAAGGTAGCTCAATACTATATAGGGGCTTTATGCAAGGTACCAAAGTTTCCTCTTGATGTTGTATATCAATCCTTAACCCTGAAAAGGATGTATTGTAAATAGCCAAGCACTTTCCATCTACTATAGTTGAAATAGTTAGATCTTCAAAAATTACTAAAACTTGAGCAAAAGAATTTGATAAATATTTAATCTCGTTATCGGCTGAACTCAGACCACTACTATTTGAAAGATCGAGATCAAAGTACTCTGGTGGACTGAAGTGACCAATAAGATGTTCTATTGCAGATATCATATATGCCTTTCTTTAATTCCTTTACAGGTAAATTGGTGTTAGATTTAACTCTTCTTTATCTGTGGGCGTAAATAAATAGCAATAGCGCCAGTGGCTTGATTTGCCTTCCTGTGTAGGTTCTATCATAGTACAATAATGCCCATCAATAATAGACAATGTCACTTTATCAGTATTTTGGTATGACAAATATAAATAGTCAGATACTTCTAGCTATTCAAAGAACTTATAAAGATAACGCATTCTTTCTTATTCTGTACATTACAATCTTTATTATTACAACAGTCATAACTATATTGTTAATTAGATCTCTCATATTTGAATGGTGAAGCAATTTTCCAAATGAAATATAGTCAAGACCCTGTATATGGAATACGCTTAGGCCTAAGTAGGCTTCATCCAAGAAATCCACATCGCTATGATGACTTTCTCGAACTTATGAGCTTGTTTCCACCTCTAAAGAAGTATATACAAATTAAGGGCACAAAAGTTATAGCTGATTATAGTAATAAAGAATTCCTTTATGAATTGACCCGTACTCTTATGAATTTCAGGTACAATATTGACTGGAGTATATCCAGGGGATTTTTGATCCCAACAGTACCTTCACGCGCCAACTACGTTCACTATATTGCAGATTTACTAACTCCTGAACATTTCTATAACACAGAAATAATTTTAAGAGAAAGTAATAGAGATGTCAATACTATTGAAGGTGAATATTCTGAGGTATCTAAATCTATAATCCCATTAGGGCTAAAAGTTATTGGGATTGATATTGGATGCGGAGCTAATTGCATTTATCCGCTCATTTGTCATAAAACTTTTGGATGGAAAATGTTTGGGAGTGATCTTTCAAATGAAAGCATCAATATAGCATCTTCCATTGTAAAACGTAATGGATTAAGTAAGAATATTAACTTTCTATATCAAGATGACCCCACAAATATACTGTGCGGAATTCTAGATAGCTCTAGCTTACTGGATATAAATTTTACCTTTTCTATGTGCAACCCACCATTTTATTCTTCATTTAATGATTATACACATTCTACACATCCTAGTCGTCAGGGTGAAGGGAAACTATTTGAAATAATTACGACAGGTGGAGAAGGGGTTTTTATTGAAAATATGATACATCAGAGCTTGAAATTCCCTAAAAGGGTTATTTGGTATACAACACTAGTCTCGAAACTTAATAACTTAAAAAGGTGTAGAAAATTGTTGTTAGATATATCTAGACAAGGTGGTAACGAAAAGAAGCTAGAAGCTATTAGAACTATTACAATGGAACAAGGTAACCACGTTAGATGGATATTAGCATGGAGCTTTTATTCAAAGATAGATCGCATAGCTCTTCTATCCTTTATTAGGTCATAATATAAGCTTTTGTTTGTAATTTATTAAATCATTATTGCCATTACTTAGTGTATACCGCTGATAAAAGTATGTTTGCATGCATGTAATTATGCATATACGTCATTTGAAGAGCTCTTAAGATTTTTGAGAGATTTAGGTCAAATGGCGTCTATTAGTCACCAAAATGAAATTTTATCTTTACTAGATGAGGGGAGATCTCTAAAGAGCAAACTCACATTTAGCACATTATTGGAATCCCTAACTATGGCTAAATTTGTTATTTTTCTTGTTGGGTTCTCTGAGGGTCTTACTCATTTAGCTGCACTGGCTATTTATTATTTATTCAAAGATGATTTATATCTGTCACCAGCAGGAGTTTCCGCAATTTTTGCAATACCTGCACTTCCTTGGTTCTTAAAACCACTATTTGGTATGTAGTTATTGAGTTAAGGCAGGACCAGATTTAAAATTAATTTGTCTATATTTAATATCTATAGCATTTTGCAGTGATTCAGTACCTATTAAAGGTAAGTCTCAGTTATACAAAAAATAATTCCAAAAAATCTTAGATATGAAAAATTCTATTTTTAATTCTAGGTATGAGACGAAAGCCGTATCTATTAATTTTCTCAACATTGGAAATTATTGGTTTTATCATGCTTGCAACTATGGTATGTAGGTGAAAGCTCTACTAATATGAAAGCTTTGAGCATCTAATTAACTAAAATCTTTGATTTTGGTATTTTAGCCCAACACAGTCCTTGCAGCTGCTACAAGTCTATTTCTTATTTCTCTAAGTGCAGCTTTTTGCAGTAGTATAGCTGAAGTAAGTCTTGAGAGAAATGAGAAATTTTCCATACATAAAGTGTAAAAACTTTATACTGATTTCAGGCACTCGTAGTACAAACTTCAGACTCAAGTAATGGAGTTGAAACTGTCTCAGATTATTTCGGGTCTAAAGCTTTTGGTGCACTAGCTACAGCCTATTTTTCAGGATCTCTATTGGAAAGATATAGCAAACAGGATATTTTTCTCATAACATCATTTTTCCCTTTGCTAGTATTTTTTGCTAGTTTAATAATGTATGAGGAAGTTCACCCTAGAGCTACATCAGTAAAACAAAAATTACAATCTTTGATCGAATTTCTCAGGAAACCAATAATTTGGGGTCCGGCATTGTATATTATGATTTATACATCTGGTCCTGACTATGATGATGCTATGTTCTTTTATTTTACCAATAGATTGGGTTTTTCACCAACTTTCATGGGAAGCTTACGTTTGACTTATGGAATAGCTGGCATTATTGGCATTATACTATATCGTATACTTTTGAGGAAAACTCCATTCAGAGATATACTTCTATGGACTACTCTCATCTCATTACCTATATATGTAACTCCATTCCTATTGGTAACTGGGGTTAACCTAGATTTAGGTATTTCCAATAGAATATTTGCTCTCTCTGGAGGATTTCTTATAGAAGCCATTTCAGAAGTTCAGCTTCTGCCTTTATTAGTTATGACAACACAGTTATGTCCCAAAGGTCTTGAAGGATCTGTATATGCTGTTATGATGTCAATAAGGAACCTTGGTACTGGAGTTTCCAAAGTACTCTCAGCTGGATTGACATACTCACTTGGTATTACGTCTTATAACTTTTCTAATCTGGGACTATTGATATGGTTATGCGCAGTGTTCCTCCTTCTACCTTTGCTATTTCTTCACTTGGTAAGTCTTACAATCTCCCTTCTGAATATTACTTCATCAAATTGTAAATATATATAGGTGATAAATGAAGAAGAATATAAGAACCAGGAAATCGAATCACAAGCATAGCTCTATTTATAAAGGAAGTAGTCAAATTATAAAAGAAGTGTCAAATAAAAAAAAATTAATGAGAGTGATCAGAAAATATTAGCACAAGATAATAAGTGATTACTATATGATTAGTTGCATAGTCGGCTTAATTAAAGTCAGATTTTTATATTGCACGTAGTATTTATATTCTATTTGGTCTCTTCTTAACTTTATAAATACGAACAATCCAATTATCAGTAGTATAAACTTCTTCAAAATGAGATAAAGTAAAATGAGTCTTCCCAATGTTGTAGTTCCTTGCCATGTCAAATCCATCTTTCTGAACCTCAGCAAATCTGTAGTATGACAGCTTGTAGATTAATGAGTTCAGCATAGCTTTTGGAGCCTCATTACCTACAGTATAGTAACCAGACTCAGAAATATAGTCATTTTGCTGTATTTGTGGATAAACACCAGAGGCAATTCGAACCATCCACAAAAACTTGTTGATATCATCGGAAGTATACCTTGCAAATCCACCAAAGACTACAAATATATAGTCAACATCTAACTTTTCCACAATTTTGAATGCTTCTTCTTCTGGGGAAGCAAGAGCAAGTCCAACTGTCGCAATATGAGTTGTATTCCAAGTATTGTTATCTACAATAACAGTTCTATCAGCAAGTTCAGTACATTGATAACCGTAATCCCACCATGACATTATTCTCGCGTTGTATGGAGTATTTTTTCTCAGCCAATAGTAGGCTTCTCTAAAGTCATCTTGAATTAATCTAGTTCCATCCTTCAAACGATTTGAAGTAATTACAGATGGATGTGAATAGGCAACTGCAGAGCTCCAAATACTGTGGGTAACATACTTTATGCATAGTACAAAGAGAATAAAAGCAACTAAATACTTTCCAAGCCAATTACTTGATTCATTAGCACAATCTTCTTTCTGAGACTTTGAGTATTGGTTCAAAGCTAAATTTTGAACAAGAGGTGTCTCCTCTATAAGACTTGTCTTAGGTCTACCTAAGATAGCTGATAGAACAAACGACAAGCCAACAGCAGATAAACAGCAAGATGCAGGTCCTAATACAAGCATGAGGCGGATCATAACTGAAGAGAAATATACAGCAAGAACTCCATATACAGCCAGAAACATTGCTGTATCTGGGATGCAAGTTGAAAATGATCGACTGAGAGACTTATCTAAAGGGGTGTTTTTTTGACTAATATAAACAGAATATGCACATACCAGAACTCCTAAAGGAAAAAATATAGCTGTTATATGCAGGTCAAATATATATTGTGACCATGTTGTTGCTTGATGCTCTGAAACAGATGCAACAATTGGAACATGCTTAGATGCGTATGTAGGGTCAAGTAGAGTCATACTTCTTGCAGCCCAACGAGTTTTGCCAGATATTGTAAGCAAAATAAAGATGAAGCAAACAAATATAAAACTAACAATAGTTAATATTTTAATCAGGAAGTGAGTTGTTGATCTGCTCAGAAGCGCCTTGATAGAGTTGAGTAGAATAATACATGTAACTAAAAATGCCAAGCAGTGAGAAGAAAGATGTTCTGAAGACTTAATAGCACCAATGCCTACAAAAGGGATATTTAGATTCAAAATTGTACCAACCAAATAGAAAACAGTATAGACTACATAATGTTTGAAAGTAAATCTGTTGAGGAGTACCAATATTAGATTATATATTGCTATAGTATTTATTATAAAAACATAGCCTCCCCAGCTCATAGTCATATAATTATATGCAAGGGATGCTAGGAGCGAACTTAAAATACGACCATCATTAATAGCTCGCAGATATAATGCAAAGCTTATAATTAAAGCAAATATAGCAACAGCTTCATTGTCATAACTTCCAGCGACACTTCTACTCAAATATGTTGGTGATATACCAGTAAATAGTGCTGCTAACATTCCGGTTTCATTCCTTCCGTTAACCTGGTAGACCAGTAAATAGGAAGCTAAAGCAGATAGACTCGACATAATAGGTCCAGTAAATACACACACATGTCGTATACTAACTAAAATACCAAATTGGTGGGCTAAACGCCTCATAAAATCTGCTGTTAACATTAATCCTGGAAATAAGGTCTGGCCTACAGGGCGACCTAGTGGATACCAACTCCTGCTATCAAACCAATTCCAGAAGGCATAAAAACCATTGTTTGATAGATACTGGGAAGTTCTGTAATTAAAGTGGGGATCAAATTCATGTATAATAGCTTCATATCTCACTACTGCAAATAAACGCACAGCAATACAAAGACCCATTGTAAATATTACTGATAAAAATAAGAGTACTGGAGACAGACGTTTAAAGAAGTTGAAGACTGATTCATGTGTAAAGTAGTAGTCTTTTTTATTACAATCTATGTTATTTCCTTTCATTTCTTACAAGTCAAATGATAAATTTTATTATTAATTTTTTTATAAAGATTTGAAAAAAAAAAATTTCACACCTCATTTTAGTAACCATATGTCAGGTAACAGCTTAAGTAAGCGCTAAGTTTTAGTCGAAGGCTTTTTGAAAAATATTATGTGAAGCAGAACCATTCTTATGGGGACAACTTCTTCATCTCCTTCTTCTTCCTCCCTAAATCAGTCTTCATCTTCTTCACTTATAATAGCTGAAAAGGTGCAGACTCAACCTGAATCTGATAATGATAAGATACAATGTTTGCTAAAGTGGACTCATGGAGGGAATGAAGTATTTGTAGTTGGAAGCTTTAACAAATGGAATATAGATGAAAAAATAAAACTATGCCGGAATGGCCATGACCATATAATTGTTGTCGAACTTTCCAAAGATATTCATTGCTACAAATACATTGTAGATGGGGAATGGCGTTACTCATTTGATGACTGTATTGAGACCGATGATAATGGCAATGTTAACAATATAATTGACTTAAGGAATTATAGAGCACCACAATATTTTATACCAAATGAATATTATCAAATAAAGTATGCACACTATCACCAAAATATGCCTTTAGAGTATCCTGCTGATGCTCCAGCTTTACCTTTGCTACTTAAAAAGAGTAAGTGCCCTCTGGAGGTATGTAACAACCTCCATACACCATTTCACTGTATAAGCAATCACATATACTATGATTCGATGATTCAAGATATATTTGGACCATATATGGTAACTTTTTGCGTTACAAGAAGGTGGCAAGGTGCTGATAATATTCCCCATGAGACAAAGTGCTACCAAAGATATACTACTTTGCTCTATGCAACTATTCGGAATTCAGAAGCTGATTTTGATTATATTTCGACTAGTAGAAGCTATAATAGATATGATGACTACAAGGAACATATCCAACAGATAGATGGAGAAGATAAATATTATTCTGTACGAATGCGAGTTCTAACTGAGTTATTTGCATCAATTTTTTTATAGATAATAAATACTAAAATTTCGTAATAAATGAATAGATGAATATAGTTTAATTATTTTAAATAAGCATCTTTTTTAGTGCGAGACTTGGGACTTCCAAAACTTTAATTGTAACCAATAAGATACACACTTTTTCAACTAACTTGATTAAGGAAAACTTGATGTTATGTAAAGTATTTACTAATACAATGTCACAAATATCATGTGAAGTGTTTGTCAATATTCTCAAGACAAATAGTTCATTTGTTTACTACTAATCATTACATATAAAGGTGATATATATTATCAAAGGTAGCTAGTACAATTATGTGATATTAATTGTTTGTGACTAGATTGAGAATTGAGTCGTACAAATCTAGTTTAAAAATAAAGGAGGCAAAGTGCGTATTGGTACCCCCTTGAGGGGGAGACACGGGACATTTCCGAATAATGGGCTGCAGGAATATGTACAGCAAGAGGTAAAATTTTTAATGGCTACGTATATTAGTAAATTAATAAGAAATTAGTGGGGGATTTACAATATTTTTTTTTCTTCTAGTAATTGGCTGAAATTAATGCATTATGGTAGATCAAGTATCTACTGGAGGAGAGAGTGGAAGAGACAAACGTATCTGTCATATTTTAAGGGATTTGGGACCATCATGCACATACAGTATTGAATCTTTTGGAGAAGTAATACAGAGTTGGAAATTTGACACTGGAAATATAGTGAGAGAAATAGTAGATGCCATGATATATATGCTAGGACATACATCAAGTGACGGTATTGGAGACAGGAGACTATTAGATAATGAGTCAAGTAATTTTACAGCAGTTTTGCGAGCTCGATGGAATGAATTGAGTAATACTGTAGCTGATGCACAGTTTAATAATAACAGTACTTATGAATATATGAAATCAGGTTGGAATCCAAGTGTGTTTGTAGCAGGTACAAATAAGGCTGTTTCGTTATATGAGAAGAATTCCGTTGTCCCGTGGGATATTGTATTCACAGAATTTATAAAATCAGATAATAACCTACTTATAGAAGAGAATGATGGATCTTTCGAGTTATTCTGTGGTCTATATGGTTGCAGTATCAAGCATGATAGCAATAACAATAATATACAACATCACGGTTTGAATTGTATCGTCCCTTTGCGAATATTCATAAAAGAAGAATGGAAAAATATTAATGTGTTGTCAGTTTTTCTCCTCAAAATATGCAGAATGTGTTTTGAAGTAAATGATGATATGAATCATGCTAAATATCAGGATAACCCACCAAGTCAAAATTTAGATATTTCTGGAGTAAATGGTGAGCCAATATTGGACTCTAGAGATGATATCATTGTAACTTTGGATGAATCTCTTATTCATCCCTCTATTGTTGAAATATGCAACACAACCCTTTCAGAATTGATAAATGAAGGTATAGTGGGTAAACCTGATGATACTTTACAGAAATATGGTTTGTCAAAACTAGGAAATCGCTCATCTAATGGATCTTGTGGAATATGGATGTGCTTACATCTAGTTCAACTACTTATTTCTTTATGTAAAAAGCTGGAAAATGATGAGATACGTGATAAGGTGCATTATCTACTGTTTTACGAAGCACCTAAATATGCCCCTGTTGGTATTTTAGTCTCAATATCTCAAATTTATGATTGTAGTATGGAATATGCAAATATATCCGAAGAGCTGAGAATTAAGATTCAGGAACTAAATAATATTGTAATTCCAAATAGAAAGATTTCCTCATTAAGCCTAATTAGGCTTTGCCTTCCAAACATCCGCAATTTTATATTAGCACCTTTAAATAGCAATATTGCCTCAACCAATCCTTTATCTTCATCATATGACAAGGAATTCCACCTTGGTAGATATTTTGATCCAGTATTACTACTGTTATTTACTGCTGTTAATGCAAATCCTTCAAAGCATGGAAAGTGTCAATTTGTACACGATTTACTAGGGCAGATATCTTTATGTTACTGTATTGCATCAATAACTATTATGTCGAGTATATCTAAGCTTACTAGAGATACATTTTGGTCATATTGTTATGACGAATGGAGCTATCAAATCCCATTTTCGTTAAATGACGATGAGAAATGTATTGAAACTGATGAACATACAAGTAACAGTGAAAAATACCAAGCCTTTATGAAAGATTATTCTGCAGAATGTATAGACTACTTCCACTGGTGGTTTCTTACTTTAGATCTAATATTTGCAGCACTTAGTTTAGGTTCTCTTGGATCACCAGAACTATGCAAGAGTGAATGTAGTGATTCTCGCCAATCTGCTTCAGAAGTACTTTCTTACTTATTTAAATTGAGACTGAATAGCGCCCCTGATAATAGTGATACAGTTATATTTGTGGCCTGTATACTTGACTATCTACGTGCTCGTTTAGTTTATATGACATATGCATCTGCAGATTTACAGATGGTCCTGGTTAATAGACGTGCATTTCTACCAACACTACCCACTAAGTCTCCTTCTAATTTAAAAATATATGCTGCAAGAATTGTTAGGAGAAATTTGTCTCTTGGGAAACCTCAGCTACCATCTCCAACAGATTCATGGAAGTCATCCTGTGAGACTTCATCATTTGCTTATTCTTGCTGGTGCTTAAGCTCATTCTCAGTTGAAATTGCCAGAAATTCTCTTGAAGCTGAGGGTGCTGATATATTTGGATATGAGAAGGGTTCAATAGATGGGTTAATTAATGCTCTTAAAGAATTTGAAAGAATTACTGATACTCAGATAGATAGTGAATTAGCTTTAGTTTCAGCACTCCCTGCTAGAGATATAGATAAGATAAATATAAATATAAATATAAAAGATACCTCTTCAGATTATAGTGAAGATCAGGTACCTAAACAATTGTCTGGGGGCTACTTGAAAAATATTGAAGAAGTTAGCCAGATAGAGAAGTCACCAAGCTATATTTCAGAGCCATTGTCTCCAATCCCTTGCGAGGTTAATATAAATAGCTCTACTAAAGAGTTTGCTGATTGTAATTCAAGTATTGATATTGGGAGTGAAGTAAAGGAATATTTTACGAAGTGTTATACTAGACAGGTTACTGTCAATGATTTTATTACTACTATGAAGACACTTCATTTGACAGCAATCAATAGTCCTAATGAAGCTACAAAGGAGAGTAAATTGTTCAACGCAATATTACATACACTATTTGATGAGTGCAGGTCATTTCCTAAATATCCACCTATGGAATTAAGTATCACTGCTCACTTATTAGGTCGGTTGGTACATGAAGACTTGTTGATTTCTTATGGTAATGCTTTAGTATTTGTCTTAAGATGTATATTAGAGGCACTTCGAAAGGTCCCATGGACAAAAATGTTTTGCTTTGGTATCATTGCAATGGAGCAATTCATTGATCGTTTCATCCACTTCCCCCAATTTTTGTCAGCTATTTGTAATATCTCATCCTCCTTGAAACCTGTTATTGGTGAGTACATTGAATACTGTGAGGAATGTTACTTTATTTTGCCTGAAAATTTGCGCAATATACTTTATGTTGACAATGATACTCTTGAGCATTTAGGAATAAAAGAACCCACACCTCCTTCGACTATTATATCACTGTTACATCCAGAAGTGATCGCACTTGGGTTTAATAGTCCTAATACTAACTTGAATATTGACACAAGATCTAATTTCAGTTCAATAATGGATCGCAAGTTTGGGAGTCTTATTACACTAAATTTGAAGGGGAGAACTCAGCTCCCAAGTAATGTAACAATGGAACAGTTACAAGGCTTTGGGTTGGGTAGCTTGGAGAAATTAATTAATGACCCTTCTATAATTCAGACATTACAAATTCCACCTGAGCAAACTATAGAGCATATTTTTACTGTATGTAATACTTTGGCAAGCACAAATATTGATATGAAGGTTGCAGAGATAGCAGATATATTGAAGAATAATCCGCAGTATGGTCCTTGGTTTGCATTCTATTTGGTAAAAAGTAGAGCTTCTAAAGAGAAGAATAATCACTCTATATATATTAGCTTTTTACTTCGCCTAGATGCTGCTTTGCAGAAGAATGGCACTATTATTGACTCTAATTCATGCTCAAGACTTAAGATACTGCCTTCCTTAGACAATAATTCCATACAGCCAATCGTGCATAAAGGGCAAATTGGAAAGAGTGAAGGTTATATCATTGAAACGGTAACCTTGGCAAGCTATGACTGTATTAAGGCACTGCTTTGTTTTGCGAGTTTACTTAATGATGTGTCGTCGTATGTAAATGTTTTGCGAAATTTAGGATTCTGGCTAGGCCAAATAACAATTGGTCGTAATCAACCAATTATTCACAAGTATTTGAATCCAAGACAACTTGTTATAGATAGTTATTCATGTGGTTGTATTGCTTCAGTTTTACCATTTATTTGTAAAATACTGGAAAATGTCAAGAGTAGTTGTTTCAAACCTCCAAATCCTTGGACTAACAACCTGTTATATTTACTCGCTGAAGTTCATTCAGTATCTAATGCAAAATCAAATATGTTTGAGGTAGAACTACTATTTAAGCAACTTGATCTGAGCCTAATGGACTACATTGGGAAGACTGACTTTTTGAATCTTAATATTCAGAAGATACGTACTGGTGGTACTACATCTTCTACTAACGAAGATAGACCAAGAGCGGTATCAAGTAATAGTACATATCTTATCAATGGCAATCATGGAGATACAAGTTCTAATGTACATGTAAATTCTGGAAATATAAGCAATGTAACTACACAGTCTCAGATATTTCAAAGTGGAACTGCAGATTCTCAACTTGCATCAACATTCTTACCACCTGGATATTCAGGCTCACAAATGATATTACAACAGTCACAAGCCCAACATATTCCTTCATCTTCATCTGATATCCAATATTGGGCCAATAAAGTATTAATATCACCCTCAGTAGCTCTTTTCCAAATACAACCTTCTTTACGTCCTCTTGTTCCTCTAGCTTTAGATAGATCAATAAGAGAGATACTTCAAGTTGTTATACCAAGGTCAGTAAGAATTGCAGCCTTGACAACCCGTGAAGTAGTGGGTAAAGAATTTGCGTTTGAACAAGATGAAAATATATATAAGAGAGCAGCTCATTTGATGGTTGCTGCACTTTCAGGTTCTATGGCTGTTGCTGCATGCCGTGAGCCACTTAGAGTGGCTTTCACAGGTCAGTTAAGACAGGTTTTACATCCAAACCCAACTAGAGAGGGCGAGGATCATGTCTTGATTGAACAGGTAATTCAAGTCATTTGTAGTGACAATATCGATTTGGGTTGCCAAGTTGTTGAGCAGGCAGTTATAGAACGTGCTATTGAAGAAGTAGATGACATAATCTCTCCCGGAATTATAGCTAGGAGGAAAGCTCGTGAAGCAGGGCATCCATTCGTTGATATAAACTATTATGGAGGTCCTAACACACAGAATGCAGCAACTTTTTGGGCTTCTTTACCTGATTCCTTGAAGTATCGTTCGGGATCTCTAAGGCATTTACAATTATATAAGGACTTTTTACAATATACAGCCATGAGGAATATAGAACGTCGCGATAATAGTGGACTATTGCTTGATACTACAGGGAACCAGCAGCCAACTCAATCTGTAAACAATGTCTCAATATCTACTGTAGGTACAAATTCAAATGTAAGTGACTTGTATAGTCAACATCAGTCACAGCAAATGAACTCATCTTCAGTTGTGAGCAGTGCACATGGTAATCAATATTTGCAGCATGAATCATTAAGTGGAACTAATTCAAACAATTCTTTATCATCTCCGATAGTTCAACCACCAGAACCGGTGAGAGTTCCTTTAGTTTATGAATTAGCATATCAACCTTTGATGATGAGGATAGAAGAATGCCTTGGTCAGATTAAAGATATAATTCGTGAAATTGCACTATATCCTCCTATAATAGCGAAGCAAAATTCAACTGTGCCAGTTTCGAATACTTTGAGTGCCAGTGGTATTTCAGTAAACATTACAGAACCTATAAAGTACTCACTTCCACTTGGTTCAAATATAGTTTCAGTTCATTTACCAACTACAGCTCATATAGTACTCTCTATCCTGGTTTCTTTACCTTCTGATCATAATATCTTCTATTTATGCCGGATCTTATTTGTTATAGGCTCATCAATTTCTCATAGAGAAGATGCACTTATTGGAATGGCTCAGAAGTTATTTAAAACTTTATTTGATGCTGGAGCAGCTTTTCAACAGAGTATTACTGGTGTAGTACCATCTAGTCGTTATATAACTGCATCTTTAGGATGTGATGCAGCACTTATACATATTGAAGTATTTCTTACATTATGTCACCAATTGTCACTTTACAATCATGAATTTTGGCTCAAGCTCCGAAAGGAAGCCACGGGTTGGTTTATTTATACTATTGAAGATCCTAAGTATTCTATTGACATAGTTGTTGGTGCATTAAGATATGATCTCGTACCACTTGATGAATTTGACATTTCACTTTCTAGTTTATTGGATAATGCACTCACTTCATTGTCTGACTCTAACTCAGCCCCTGGCTATCACAGTCATAGAGGAATGCGCGTTGTTGAATTTGTATTAAAGCTTTTCTATAGAAGTCTAGAGGATTGGCATTTTCCAATATTCCAGAAACTACCTATTACAACTCAGATAGTAATAAATCGCCTTGCTGCAAATAGCAATACTATTTTGCAAAGTAGTAATATTTCATCGATTCCTGTTATATTACCAGGATCTTCTCTCAAGCCACATCCTATAACTGTAACCTTAGGAGATCTCAGGCTTCGAGTTGAGTCATCATTATTGGCATTTACTGCCAGCAAACATAATAAGTGTATTAATGATTATTGGATAGGTGGTGTAGTTCCTACAATCTTAACTTTTCAGAATATTATTCAGAGAAATACTGACCTAATATTGACACCGCACTATGCGGCTATTCCATATCCTATTTCACCCTCTTTTGACGTTATAAAAGGAGTAAATACTATTTTTGATGAATGGATTTTGCTATTAAGAATTACTGTTTTCAATGGATGTGGTGCAACTGAACGTAATAATCCTTATCGAAATCTATTTTTGCAGCGACTTTCTAGGCAAGGATTATTAAGAATGGATGATACTACTGAGAAGTTTTTCACAGTATGTACTGAGAGAGCTATTACTTTAAGTTTAAATAGTGGGTTACAAAAAGGAAATTCTGATGACTTACCTTTAGCAGAATTGACTGTGAAACCGAATATGGATCCTTTTCCGCTAGATGCACTTGTAAGGCTAATAACAACTATGGCTAGATATATTGATCCACAACAAATGACAGCTGTTGTAATAACACACAAATTTTTATCGATATTAGTAAGAATAATACATCGTGATGCTGAAAACACCAACTTTAATCAGCGACCATATTATCGTATTTTTTATTCACTCCTTGAAGAGTATGATACTATTGGTTTTAATACTGAATTGATCCATTTCACTTGTATGCTGAGTATTATTCATAATTTGCAATATCTCAATCCTAATAGAGTTCCAAGTTTTGTATACGCTTGGGTACAGATCATATCAAATAATCGTTTGTTCCCTTACTTACTGCGTCACATTAAAGGTTGGCAACCATACCATGCACTACTACTTCAATTATTTATTTTTATTTCTCCATATTTACGTAATGTTCAGTTGGAAACCAGTATTAAAAGCATATATGGTGCTCTTTTAAGAATTCTTCTTGTACTATTACATGACTTTCCTGAATTCCTTTGCGACTACAGTTGTAGTTTTTGTGATACTCTTCCAAGTAATTGTATCCAAATCCGTAATTTAATTCTGTCATCATTCCCACGAAATATGAAGCTACCTGACCCATTTTTACCTACTCTCAAGATAGAAAATTTACCTGAAATGAAGATGGTACCAAGGATGATGGCTAATTATGGAGTATATATTTTGTACAAAGGTATTAAATTTGACATAGACAAATACTGGATTTCTAGAGATATTACAATACTATCTGTTATATTGAGTAAGTTGAAGTTACTGAAGGAGGATGCGCTTAGATTTGGAAGTAAATATTCCTTACCAGTGATAACGGGTTTGTTACTTTATGTTGGGATATATCTCCCAAATGGAGTCACCACAAACAGCAACAGTGATAACAATAGCACTATTTCTAGTAACAATGTGAATAATATCAATAGAAAGGTCAATGAATCTATTGAGCAAACAACTAGTAATGTAGGAGCTTCAATTATAGAGGATCAAACTCAACAATCTCTAGAAATATTTGAGACAGTAAGCAACCCATCTCTGAGTATTTTTCTATTTTTATGTAAAACTCTCGATATGGAAGGTAGATTTGTCTTTGTATCAGCTATCGCAAACTTCCTGGGATATCCAAACTCACATACATACTACTTTAGTAGCTTGCTATTATGGCTATTTGCTAAGTGCAATGATTCCATATTACAGGAACAAATTACCCGTGTGTTACTGGAAAGGTTGATTGTTCATCGTCCTCATCCTTGGGGGTTACTAATAACATTCATTGAATTAATTAAAAATCCTAAATATTCTTTTTGGAGCTGTTCATTTGTACATCTGGCACCAGAGGTTGAGAAGTTATTTCAATCTGTGGCTCAGACCTGCCTTGGACAAAATCCTATGAAATTTAACTCAACTAACTCTCCAAATGCTTCATAATTCCTTAAAAACTCCTCATTATTGGAACTTAAGTCTTTTGTGTTTTATTAAAAGTTATATATTAAATCGAAATTGAATATGATATCTACATAAACTAAGTAGGTTACTAACTTTCTAACTTTCAGCTAGACTTAGTTAGAATTAACTAGAATATATGATACTAAGATATATTTGATAACTTTAGCTACAGCAATAGAGCTTGATCTTACATTGATATCTACAGAATGTTTATTCAGTTTTAAGCTATCTACTTTTTGTTCAGGTATTTGATTGGAGTTCTGAGTAATCCTCACTTTAACCATGCATGGAATTCTTTTATAGTTCTCTAAGCATAATGTTGATGTACTGAGATGTGTCCTCGAATATTCCTGGATTAGCAACTTGTTAGAATTGAAATTTAATAGAGATAAATATAAAGGTACTTCCATTAAGGGTATAGATAAAGTGCCATTTGCTGATACTTCGCCAAATTTACTCCAGAAATATTCAAATTCCTTATCAGACATATCTTTTGTTGGTAGCATAAACTGAGTAAGTATTATAGGTAATCTTAACGGTATCTTTACTCGCTGATTTAAGTTATTATCCAAGTGTTCATTTTCTAAATATCCATTTTCAGACTTCAAGACTTCTGTAGTTTCATCACTTAATTTTGCAATTGATAATGTTATTATATAAAAAGGTGGATTTAAATAAGATTTTCCACATCTTGTAACCAAAGTTTGCTCTATAACTTTATCATCATTAATGTAAGTACCACATATATTGTTTACTATGGTTGTTTGAAAAGCATTAACTTTATTTGTAGTATTAGCTTGAGTATTTCTAATAACATTTAATTTTATATCAGTACTAATGATCCTAATTGCCATGCAGTTACTTTTTACTTTGTGGAATTTTAGATTAATATAACACTCCCCAGTTCCATTAGAGTATCTTCCATGCTTGAAATATACCGTTAGATATGTATTGCTATATAAATTGCCTTCCTTTAATAGGCACAGAATATGCCATAATTGTTTTATTGGGCATCTAGTAATATTTAGCTGTCTAAATGCAATTGGTATATCTAATGTTGGCATCCCCTGAGCTAAATGATCAAACAGTTTAGAGGAGTGTTGCAAATCACTGTGCTTATTCCTATTTAAAGAGCTTTGTAGTAAATTACGGATAATAGGTGAATCTGTATAATTTGATGGGGTATTGCAGTTAGTAGTACTCATTATTATGGTATCCAGGAATTCATTAGTTCCTTGCGACAAACTACAGCTATTGTAATCTAATTTGATCTTTTCAAGCATATGATTCTGAGTAACAGTATCTGCATGACAGTATAGTTTTGTAAAAGCAAGTAGTATCATATTTTTAATGGAGACTAGATTTTCCTGCTCATTGCTAATAGTAATAACATCATGAAGTTGCAATAACACCCCAACCTGATGAGTTATAGGTACTTTATTTGTTATTAAGTTACCATATTCCCCAATTAAGAAACAAATCCATCTAATTCCTTGACAAAATACAGTCAAAATACAAGAGCTCCTTATTATTCTTGTTAGTGTCTTATATCCTTTATATGTTGCATAACTTTTTATTATATCAGGAGCTATATACTCCAATGATTTAGTTGGATCCTCTACCAATTCCTTTCTTCCATTGGGTAAATTATTTAAGTCAGTCTCACCACTTTCCACACCACATAGAATATCCATAATCTGAAACAGTGAACTATCTGACAAGGCGAAAGTTGAATTTTCGCCAATAGATTGATTATTCTGTATATGTTGGAAAATAGTACTGATGATTTTTAGTGAAATGTCATAGGATTTTGCAAATTTGCGTACCAGACAGCATATGTGGATGAGAACTTCTTCCAGATAACTTTGATCTCGATCATATCCATAACCATCAAAACCACCTTCTCCAAGTCCAAAATTACTCTTCATATTAGTATTCTCATTTCCATTTAGGTTTATTATTTTATGTGTAATATTATTCAAAAGCTCCTTAGCAATAAACTTCCAATTTCTGCTATTACAGATTTGCACAGATATTCTCAAAGCATATATACTTATAAAGAGATCATTCATATTTGAATAATGCAGAATGATTGCAATATTCTTTCTACACATATCTGTCACTGCACTAATAGAGAGACATTCGAATATTAGCGACAAAGAAAGAGATATATAATCTATGCTTTCCATATAAAGTAAATTGATCAAAAATATCCCCAGAAGATAAACTATGTTTTGAGGAAATTCCTCGTCATAAATTTTAGCTATATATCGTGAGATTTCATATGCAATTCCAATGGTGCATGACACTGCAACACTATCATAATCCTTGTCTCCTGACACTTTACATAAATTTTGTTTAGTTACATGAATAGCATTTAAATATATATCTTCCATTAATTCATATATGCGCCTCATTACAATAAGATCACTTTTTGGAAGTTCAAAATATTGCAATATTTCTATGAGTTTTATTTGAAGCCAAAATGATGGTACTTTGTGAAAGATATATCCACTAGGACAATCTCCTGAACGAATCCTAGCCAATGTAGATATAACTTGTGGAACTATATCTTTCCACCCCTCAAGTGGGAGTTTACCAGTGTTATAGTCTTCATTAAGTGCATCATCTCCCTTTTCTTCTCTAAAGGTTTGGTGAGCTTTATTTACAATTGTGGTTGGATTCTCCAAAAAATTAGATGCATAGCTTTCTTTTTTGTAGTCAAATTTTATTGAAATTGTTTGTGATATATCTCTCTGCCTTTCTAAACAGCCTTGAATTAAAGAGCATAGACAAAGCAAGCATCCAATATTTCTCTCATACTGAAAGTCAGTAATCAACTTCTCCGTCCATTCAATTGCTGGTAATATATCAGGACAACATTGATATAATTTTAGGAGACAAGTAATTGCTTTCGAACGGATATAATGACACCTGACAGTTTGATTTTCTCTTGGTATCTCTGCTATCTTCTTTACATCCAAAAATAAATTTACTGCAATATCAACTGTTGCTGAGTTACTTATACAGTTCAAAGCAATTGATCCTATAGCCTCTTTTAAGTGCTGAATTGGTTCAAACTTCCTTTTATTGTACAGTTTACGTATTTCATTAATAATAGACATAGATTCTACATTTACATTTGAACTATGTGTAAACTTTGTAGATATACGTAAAGCTTCATAGCAGTTATTCAAATCATTCTTTAATGTGTTAATTATTAATCTTAATAAATCAGGTTGATCACGAAATATTACTGAGGCAGCTGTGTAACCACAAAATTTATCAGAGTATGAGTGAGATCCTATCAATTCAATTATTTCCATATGCCCAAAGTCAATGTCATATCCAAGCATATATACATATACTAATTTCCAGATTACCTTACGTTTCTCTTTTAAGTTAAATTGAATATAATCACTTCTTGCTAGGTCACTTTGATGATGTATTGCATTTCTCAAATTAGACAATTCCATTCTGACTCTTTCCAACTCTAGCTCCTTGCTAGATGCCCTAACAATGTCACTAAACAAACCATTCCCAATAAATAGCATCATTATTCAGTGCCCATTTCTACTTTGTAATTTCTTCCACTACATGTCCTACTGGGCTTATACTTTAAGGTAATTCCTCCAGTAATGGTGGGGCACATTATAAAGAATTTCTGTTTGGCGGTAATAACCTGTACTCAAATATTACCGCTATATAGGTTTTAGAGTATTAGGATAGTTTGAATTCCCCCCCCCTCAGTTTGAGAAATGTACAGTAAATTAATATTTAGTCTTGCATATTATATAACTCCTTCTAAAAGGTGAAATAAGTCATCATAGTGAACTTCTTATACTATCAATAGGTAATTAAATTCTTAATATATTAGATTTTCAGGGCTGGCTGTGGTATATATATTAACAGCATCAAAAGGCATACCTACTGAAGATATATACCAATGTAGACTGGGAACTTAAAGAGAGTATGACCAACTCCAAAAAGTAGCAAACTTTTCTCGTGACTTTCATCTTAAGATTGTAGTAATTTCAATACTTTGTTTTAAATATCATAAAGTTGTTAAGTGTGATATCAATATTCTATGTCCTAAAATACACTGTGCACTATCAGCAAGATATATATATTTACCTTCTAGTTTTAAAATTGTTTACAATACTACTGTTAATTAATAATACTCCTTTAGTAGTCTTAGGTTGAGTGAAAAGACATACACTGAGAAACTAGCTAATAAGAAATCCAGTGATATACTTAACACTAGTTTTATCAATACAGTTCCTGTATATTTCATTTACTACTGGTATGTTTTTAATGTAATTTTGTAACTTTATATCTTTTTTCAAGTTTTAAAGTGTTAACTTTGTTATTTGATTTTTAAAATTTCGCTATATAAAGTCTATCTCACTCATAATTATCTATCTTATTTATCTTATAAATATAAGGGTATCATTATTGGAAATAGCATAGGTTCTGTTATATAAAATTCAAAAACGTATTCAGAATACTTGCATCATATAATTCCAAATGATTAAACAATTTATGTGATCCAATGTTGTAAGCCATTAAAGGCTTTACTACGATGCAATATTTATTTAATAAAAAATTATAATTTATACAAAATATACTATATGTCAAAACTTTATTTGCAGCTATGGTCATGAACCAGATTGTTAGTTAAGCCTGTGTGTTATTAGCTCCAAAGATGTTATTAGCTTCTAATATTACCTTCATACCTTACAATAGTGATAAATTTATCTACTTTTTTTATTACTAGAGGATATTTCAACTACTCTTTTTACAAATATTAGGTATTGAACAAATAATTTTGATAATCTTAATAAAGTGTTTTAAAACATTTTTTTAAAGTTGTTTTGTACTCTTCCTTAACATTATACAGATGTTTGTTTTCTATAACATTAAATTTATAGTAATTAGGAAGAGTGAAAATAGATCATAGAACTCAGCATGAAAAATATTTGATAGTGGGCTTTATCTAAAATAATAGTAACATTTGAAACAGGAATAAATCATAAAATCCACATTATTCAAGAAGTCTATTTTAAAAAAAGTTCCAGAGTATTTATTTATGGGATTGGTTAGAAAATATGTTATTAGAACTACTTGTGAAAGTAGTATTAGTACTTACTGTAATTTGGTACAGTGATTAATCCAAAGTATACAATAATTTCGAAGTATATTACATTACTAATATTATTTATACAGAAGGAATAACAAGTAGTGAAACAGAATCATAAAGAAAAAAAAAAGACGAAATTGGTTAAATTATCTCAAAGTAGGAAATACTTTAAATGCCTAAAAAAAAGAAATATTTAATTAGTGCAAGTTCTACAAATTTTAAGATTAAATATCACCTCTTTTTTTTATTGGAAATATTCAGTAATTTTTTTAACTTTACACTCATAGCCTCATCAATATTTGAATTATGTCCAAAATTACTTCCCTTCCCAAATATTGGAATACCTATAGACTCAGGTGAGGGGGAAAAGTTGGATGTTTCTAGTTCAAATTCCTCCACCAATTCCCCCTTTAATACCTTCATTTTAGTAATATACTGCTTTCTTTGTTGTTCTTCTTTGATATTTCCGATTTTAAGCTTTTGTATTGAGTTGCATTGCTCCATTATATTTAAACTATATTTATTGTTACATTTACTTTCCATATTTTGAGTTACCTTATTCCAATAATTTCTATGACCTGAAGAATTTCTTTTACTAGCCTGCTGTAAATACTTATCCTTATCCTTTGAATCTTCATTATTGATTAAATCTAAACATTCTGATATTGAAGATATATGATCTTTTGTATTGATTGATGAAAGAAATGGAAATAGTGGAATACATTCACAAGCTGGGACTATTATTCCACGCAAGTTGGAGCATTTACCTCCTAAATTGGTTGCATTAATACAGCATCTATCTAAAAGAACTTCTACCATAGATGTTTTAAATGAATTTCTCCCTGATCTAATGCCACTACATGTTGCAACAATGATTCCTGTTGATCCAAATGGCACTACTCCACCATTACCACGGATATAAACAATTCTAAGACCTAATGTAAGACCATTATGGTTAATAAATCTATTTAATAAAGATGAAAAGCAATGACTTAATTCATGTAGTAAAAATCTTGTACCTTTCTCTATTATATATTTAGAATCTTCCTTATTATCTCCAAAGTTTAGTGAATTAGTAAGTTTCTCTAATCTTTGGATAGTTGATGGTAGAATTGAGACACTATTACTATGTTTATGTACAAATGCAACTTTTCTATAGATCTGTTTTTTCAGTATTCCTATTGCCTGATTAAATGCAAAATCTTGGTCCTTTGGCTCTGCAATATCTGTAAATATCTCCTTGACATGAATGCGCCTTTCAGAAGTGACTTTCTCATTTTCATTTAAAGTATCTTCATTGTAATGTTCACTAGACTCAACTTCAGTAATTACACTCCTCTCTATATCGGAAGATAGATCATATGGACTATCTAATGATTTTTCAATATTAACTGTAGACAAATTTACAAAGCATTTGAATATTGCAAAAACAAATAGTTGAAATGTCTCAATATACTCCTTTATATATTTGATAGATTCATTGCTTATAATTGGAGTTCCTTTATGAATAATAGTATTTGCAGCTGTTCTATATGAATCCCTGTTTGTGTATTGACTATAAAGAGGAAGGCATAATTTAATCCTTTGCCGTTTGTCCTCACTGAATAATATCATAGAAATGTCATGAAGAGACCTGTCATGACATTTAACGAAAATAGGACCCATAATAAGTCTACTTAATATATCTGTTGAATAGTACATATACTTAATAGCTAAGGTGTCGCTCATACCACCTTTCTTTAGACATGCAATTAATGGCTTATACAAGATCTTTGCAGCATCTTGTATTGAAAACCATTGAATTGACTTTAAGTCTCTTAGTGCATACTCAAATATTTTCTTTTGAAACAACTTTGTGTCAAAGGACTTTTTATTTATTTGAAATCTAGATAATACATCGTTCATACTTGAATTTTCTTCCAAAATATACCCTATATGTCCAAAACATTCACTAGATTTATTTAGGCACAAAACCCTGGCACCCGCATAAAATCCTACTTTCTGTTCATATCTACGAGAACTACCTATAAATCTTTTATTCATAATTAAGGGGAGTAAAAAGTATCTTGTCCTATTAGAAAATTTATAATGGACTATTCCATTTTCATCTTCGTTATATTCCTCTGCAAGTCTGACTTCAACTAAACAGTTTTCAGGTATAGGATCTAAAATCACTTTGTTTTCAACATCTATTTTCGTTTTCCTGCCATCTTTATAGGAGCCTAGCTTAAAAAAAATTTCATCTAAGTTGAAATCACAAGGGCTATCATGTTGTAGGGTAATCCCACGTCTTTTCAGTTGACTATGTTCATTTAATAAAGTACGGTGTAATTCATCAGGCTCTTCATTTAATGTAATTATTGGCGGCAGTAGCAATCTTGGTTTTACTATATATTTTTGAGTTTTTAAAGAAACTATCTCGGCTGTGTGAACTCTCGGATAATCTGCTAATATGCAAACATTGGATGATCTATTTAGTAGCATATTAGGAGGGGTTTCTAGTAATTCTCTTATCCACTCTTTAGATATATGTTTTGATGATATTGAAAAGTACAAAGATTCGTTCTTACTTTCACTTCCAAATATATTAACTCCCAGACCAAAAAATGATTCGAAGTCTAATCTCTTAAAGCTAGGGAATCCATCAAAAGGTATTATTGTACCCTCAAGTAGCTTGTTGGGGAAGTGAATAGTACCTTGCGGAAATTTTGGGTGCAAGTATATCTTAGATGCAACTTTGCAGTCAAGTAGTGATGGTATATAAGATGGAACTGTACTTTCAATATATGCACCTGGGATATATTCATCATAAAAGTATATTCTAAGCTCACCAGTCATATTTCTGTTCTTTTCATCTAAAGTTAAATATTCAGACTCATTTATCTTGCTAATATCAGCTTGAAATTCCAGATCAACATATTTCGTTGGTATTGATGATCCCTCTAATACAAACATACATCTTTTATGTATAGATAAGTCGTTAGTTACAGCTTCACACTTACTAATAAAATTTAAAAAATCTGGATCTTTAAATCCACTATTAGATAAAACGTAACTAATGGACTTTAAAAGAAGTTCCTCATCAATAAATGGAATCAGTGTAACTCCACCCCATGGAACTTTAATACCTTCCATATCAATATCAAACTGAGAGGGGTAGTAATCAATTATTGGCGACTTTTTATTCATAAACAGTCTTCTAAATGGTTCAGGTAGTAAATTTGAACTACGCGAAGGTAAAACTCCCATTAATTGTTCGAATGGTTGTAAAGGAGTTCCCAGTATATATTGGAATACCATATTATTTAGGTGTATCCCGTCTTTATACATCTTTTCTATATTAAGTATATCGGATTCCATCGAAAGATTCATTTCTGATTTGTTAACACGAGTAATTTTGCCTAACCTCAACCAGTGGTTCAGTATAGCTGCAATGTCACAAGCATAAGGAGCATATCTATAAGAATAAAACCAACGCCAAGAAGGTGTTCCACGGAAGTAGTAGTAACTAATCCACTGTAATCCTTCTAAATAGCAGAAAACTAGATCTTCTAAAGTTTCAAATACAAGTTCATCTCGTTTTGACTCAGATATGCTAGTATGGCCTAGTAAATCTATATTATTATCTCTAATCTGATTTGCATCAATGCCCATTTTAACAAAATAGTATCTCCAGCGCATTTCTTCAAGAGTACTTGGTCTTTTAGACTGCCACTGAAAACGCAAATTATCTTTATCTATTGAAAGAGACTTTGAAAACTTTGGTAACCCAAGAATATCGTTAGATTTTGAGTTATTAGGAATTACAGATACCCAGTAATCAGAACTATTTAGGAGTTTCTTAGCCTCTTCATGTTCAGATCTTGTGTGCCAAACTAGAAAACGTAAAAAATTGCAAAAATTGATCCTACCACAATCTTCAAGTAACCATGGTGCTTTGCAGAAATTAGTTTGTTGAAATGAAGCCAAATAATTTCTGTAACTACAAAGAATGCGATCTAGTCCATTATCTACTGTGTGGAATGGAATATGTGGTAAGAAGTCATTTCCAACAATGTATCCTAAGAAAATAAAGTCGTCAATCAGACGCTCTTCATCCATCTTAAAATCTAAATTAATATTGAAAGAACTTTGAACTAATTTAGGAGTAGTCACAGTTATACTTTCATCTTTACACCCAGAAACTATATCCTGAACACCCATTTCTTCCATATATCTTACATTCAGATCCAATTTAGATACAGAATATATAGGATTTAGCTCTCTCACTAAATATTCTCGTAAAATAGATATATGTAGAAATTGGAATTTATCCTTTGTAAATATAATGCGATTATCCAAAACCTTTGAAGGAACAAATTTGATCTCCTCACGAAGTAAAGAAAAGTGAGGTTCATGTGATGCAAGTGACAACATTATCAAGTCAGCATCTAAACCATATAGACAGTGTCTAGTGTTATTATTATAATCTGGTTGTGACTTTATACATCTAATGTAATCCATTATTTTATGTTCACCTTCCCCAGGTATATCAGAGCCACTTAATATCACTTCTAAATTCCTCCATATTGGGTCATTTTGTATTTGGTAGTGAACAAAAAACTTTAATTGACGATTTAATTCATACATGAAACTTGTTCCAGGAGTTATACAGTTTGAGTCGAATGTATTAGTTTTGTTTGCAAATTCAGAGTTTCTGACAGCTAATTCCTCCATTAAAGCAGCATCTCTTGCAGACCTAAACCTTCTACTTCTCTGCTGATTCATCTTCGCTCTAGGTGCAACACCATCCACTGCAATATATACGACTTTCTTCGGTTTCACTGTATTAACTAGCCTACTTATGTATTTGAAAATTCCTGTCCATATTTCAGGGGATCCACCAAAGCTTAAATTCAGCCCTGAGTATGACACAGTCATCTCATTGTTATAAATGCTATTATGAGCAATACCATTAACATCTAAATACAAGTTGTCAAATATCGGAGTATCACCATTCCCAATAACTTCATTAATTTGAGGATACCTTTCAGAAATCCAGCGATAAAACCTGGAAATTCCCATGAAAAAAACTTGTTAGTAATAAGATTCTCTACCCTCTACATATAATTTAAAATTGATTTTATAAAACCAGAAAAAATACCAGCAATGGGAGACCACTTTTATTTACCTATCCGACTTAGAGTATCTGAAAGCGCCCAATTATGTCCCACACACAACAAACTCACAAAGTCTGTATACCTCGTCATTTTTAATGAAATAGTATTGTAAGTCCTAAATATGTGTCTTATATAATATGAAACCCTGGAAATATATAAAAGAATAAAATATTTGGCAACTTAAAATTTGAATCTAAATATCTAACCAGGATATTTATCTCAAATTCTAAGATCTATCCTGAAGATGAATACACTTCTACAAAAAGGAAATTAAACAGAATAAGGACTTCAAAATACAACTTAATTAACTTTTTGCCTCTCAATCTGTTTTTATATGCTACAAGGTTTTGTAGTCTCTATATTCTTGCAATTGGTTATTATGCAGCTTATTCCTGATATTTCGGACTCTAGTGGGAAACTATCATTGCTTATCTTATTAATAATAATTCTGTATGTTTCCTCTACTGAAGATGCTTTAAATAATATAAATAGACACAAAAGTCATTGGGAAGAAAAAATAGAGCTGCTATTTATTTTGCCAAGGGTGAATTTTTTAAAAAAAAAAAAAGATGTAGAGATAGATGATATCGTGAAAATCTATGACGTCGAATACTTTCTTGCTGATCTCATTCTTTTCCACTCTTCTGACTATTGTGGAGCTATATTTATTGAAACAAAGAATTTGGATAGAGAAACTAATCTTAAAGGTAAAGCATGTATGCTAATATCTCGAAATTATCTATAGACGAGTCTTTTGTTGGAAAAATTAGAATAAAATTTGAATGTGAAATTCCTTTTGAAAAACTATACTTTGGTTCTTGCCATATTACATCGCCAAATAACCCCAAGGAATTTGAAGAGATCATTGATATTGGATATGATCAGTTTTTACCTAGAAGTACTTCATTAGATAATACTGAGTGGTACTATGGCTGCGTAGTTTATACCGGTCACCAAACTATAATATTCCGTATTTCATGTTTGTCTAAATATAAATGGAGTCACTTAGAATCAACTATACAAAAACATGTAGGCATATTAGTATTTCTTCAAATAAATTTCTGCTTATTCATCGCATTTATAAGTTTAAGCTCACGATTTTTTGATTATTTTATATATCAAATCATTAACCACCACATTATATCTGAAATAGAGACTTGTCTTTAAATTTAACTTCAGGTGTTTAGAATTCTATAAAAATCTTTTTTATATTGCTTGGGAGCGTAGTGGTTATTTTTACACTATATATACCTATTGATTTGATAATACTTCTTGAAATTGTCAGGACAATTCAGGTTTACTTTTTAACAAGCGACAAATGAATGTGTGATCCAATTAGCGGGACATATGCTACATTGTTAATCTACTAACCTGCTTGAAGAACTAGACAATATCACATATTTGTAGATAAAACAGATACTACTATAACTTAGAATGATATGAAAGCAAAGTGCATTTATTTTGGTATAGATAACTCCAAATTTTTTAATATGTTATTTTGAAGATAAAAACATGTTCTTACAACAAAATGACTATGTGTCATTGTTGTGGAAACCTTTGCTATGTTCTGAAGAAAACTATAATTCACTAAAAATTGCACTTTTAATTTTAAGTACCTACCATACATGTCTTGCAATAGTGGATCCCATAAATTTATTCAATAACTCCAGCCAAGATGTTATACGAGTCAAATATTAATTTTACTATCCGTGTAGCATATCCCCTTCGATATAGATCTGATGGAACTCAATTACTAATCATGAAAAAAGTTAATTACCAATCTACAAGTCCTGATGAGCTGGCAATTTTAGAAGCTACAAGACTTTTGGGAATTGAATTTTGGAAGCATCATCTAGATAAACTTGAAATAATTTTAACAACTCATCAAGCTAGACTAGCTGGGTTGGGTCAAAAACTATATAATGAGTATTACCAAACTTTATTGGACATGTAAATTTGTATGTAACTCTGATTATATGGGGAAATTTTCATCAGAATCAAGGTCTTTTATCGTGGATACTTGATATTTATCAACTCTTACAAGACAAAATTCAGAATGGTCCAATTTTACTTTTCAACTACGCCAAATATTATATTGCCCCATTATTTCAATTGATGTTCTTGATTCTTTGCAATTCGATCATGAACGTAGAAGGATGAGTCTGACAATACAAGAAATGTACATGAAATTGAAGACTTCCTGTATAATTCACTAAACATTACTATTTTGCCTTCTGAATATCTTCATTCCAAGAAATTATTGTTAAAGGTGCAGATACTAGTATCTTTAAAATTACATTGCTTGACAATAAATCTGGAGATTTAACTGAATCTATAATCTACAAACTTTCTTCACTTTCTTCAAATGGTCTAAGAACTTTAGTACTAAGTTACAGATATTTAGAGGAAGATGAGTATAGAACATACTCAGAATAAATTCACAACTTGAGTGATTCTTTAGTAAATACTGTCTCTAATTTAGAAGAATTAACTGAAGAATCCTAAATATTCAAACTACAATTCAGTTAAGACTAGGGATATTTCTACATTTATTGAGCAGAAAATAAACATAGGAATTATTGGAATTGAAGATAAACATCAAGGAGTCCCGGAACTTATTAGTGATATAAAAGATACAGATATAAGACTTTGGGTGTTAACAGGGGAAAAGCTTGAAACAGCAGTGAATATAGGCTATAGTTGCAATTTATCAGAACAAATGGCACATAATGCAATTATTGATGGAAAAAGTTCCGAAGCTATAACTTCACAGTTAAAATTTTGCTCTATGTATTCGGGAAGAAAAGTAATCCTTTGGAAGTATAACTTGAAAGCCTAAACTCATTTATGCTTTATTTAAACTTTCCAACTTAATACAAAATAAATAATCATGAAGGTCTACCATTTAAAAAAAAATATTATTCTAAACATAGTAATAAACAGACCAAATATTTTGGATATATTGAACAAATCTCTATCCAACTTAAAGGAGACCATATACTTCCCAAAAGCCCCATATATGAAAATATCTATTCTGTTCCTCTATACTTAAGAGAAGATTTTTCTGATATTGATAAATCTGGAAATAATGAATATCTATCAAAGTTGACAATCCAAGAAATAGAAGTGGCATGGATAATATTTCATCTACTAATGAAATCGATACTATCATAAATCTAGTAAATCTAGTATTACTATTGTTCAGCATTGTATATAATATTAATTCGAAATTGATGAATAAATATTTCACCTTAGCTTCAAAGCATCTACAATTCTAGTATACAGAGTTTCTCCAAGACAACAGTTTGTACTTTTGCAGTTGTGTACAAAACTTAATCTGAAGTTGCACTCTCTTGCTGAGTGATGGAGCAAATGATGCTGGGATGATAATATCAGTAAAAGTAGGTATTGAGATCTTTGGCAGAGAAGGGACACAGGCAACAGAACCTGCAGATTTTGGAATATTAAATTCTCCCATCTCGATTCATTATTATTTTTTCATGGTAAAGAGGGTCTGAGGAAGAATTTAACACCAATATATTTCAATATTTTTAACAATATATCATCCTGTATGACAGCATTTTCATTTTGTTATTATAATGGATTTTTAGGTCTAGATATATATAATCCATAGGCTAAACAATTCTATGGGCTAATATTTATTACACTACCTATGATTGCACTTGTACTAGATAAGAACTTACCACACTATGTACTTAAAAAATCATAGCTATTGAATAAGACTCTACTATGTCATATATGGTCCTTTGTATATTTTTATGAGCTAAAAGATATTATTTCAAAATGTCTCAACTTAAGAAACAAATTAATTTCTGATCCAAAAGAACAACTATTTAAGAAGTCTTCACATTGTGAATCTTATTACAAAACAAAGAGCAAATATATATATATATATCCATATACCTACATAAAGTATCAAATAGTCAAAGCTGCTTTATTTGTAAAATATATAATGCTACCTAATATTAATAAAAGGAAATATTTGAAGATAGATACCAAAGAGTTGCATACTTATATAGCAAAAATCTACAATTCAATAGATGATGCACCACAGAAAGTTCGTGAGTATGGTACCGGCATACTTGTTATCTGAATTTTGTATGCAATATTGTTTGGCTGCTACATTAGTTATTGTGCCACTAGTACTATTACAATATGGAACAAGCTTACATTGGAATAATGGGTAACTCAACAGTAACGGCCAAACAAATATGGATATTAAATCTGTAAAGATGTGTGTTTATAGGACAACGATCTTCACTGTAAATGCCCTACTATGCTGTCTTATTAATTCATGGTTCATATTTAATTTGCTAGCACTAGTATTTGTGGGCTGCTCTTACTAATATGGTTAATTGCATCATCTGTTCCTTGCTCCCTGAATTCCCCAAGGCCTTCAACAGATATATGGTAGCTTTATATTTCTGCATACAACCCCAATATACTATATTGCTTACATTGTAATATGCAAACCAGCATTATTTCCATTCTTGTTTTTATGGGTATACATTGTTATAGCACCAAGTTAATATATTATTAAGGAAAGGCTAGTGATGGGTGTTTTGGATATTGTTATATGCAAAAAAGTATTTACAATAAGTTTACTGTTTTAGTATTTAGAATGTCAAATGATATATATAAAGATCTTATATCTCAGATCGATGAGACTAAAGTAGATAGACAATATACTCTCTAAAAATTGTTTAGCTACCCTAGAAGAGAATAACAGGTTAAATATGAAGATATTAAGTATAAGTAAGACTCTCTCGAATATTCTTTATACTCATATATACCTGTTCTAGAATATTGTGCTTTTTCTAGAATATTATAATAAGCTTTAACACTTTAATTAGTTTGAGACACCCAGAGATGAGGTGGGATGGCCGAGCGGTCTAAGGCGCTAGTTCGAGGTGCTAGTTTTCGCGGGTTCGAATCCCGTTCCCATCACTTTTTCCGTCGACCTATATAGATGGCATTACCGTGCTTAACCGGCACACTGCTAACATAATACACTATTCGTTTGAAATGTGCAACTATAGAAGTCAGCTGACTAAACAAAAAGCGAAAGCAAGCTCAGAAGTCAATGTGGTAAAATTAAAGTAGCAAATAACTGAAAGTACATGTTTTCTACAAAAGAAACCTTTACCATAAAGGATGTTGATATGGTCTTAAAGAAGAGACCTTAAGCTGCTGCATCACAGCTTGGCCCTATACAGGTAGTTTCATACGAAACAATTGGAGTAGTAATAACTTTCTTGATACAACCTGTTGGTGTCTTTTCTGTATTTTCAGGGCATTTGCTATCAGGTTTTGTAACAAGAACGCATTCCTTATTGTCAAATAGTGTGTATGGTTCAGCACAAGTAAGTGCAAAAGGAGCATATTCAACAATATAACACGTTCCATCGCGATCTGTAACATAGCCTGCTGGACAACTTGACATTAAAGGTGTAGTGTCGATCTTTTCACATCCACCAGATGGACACACCTTAGGTGCATACCTGGCGCATCTATCTCCCAATAATTGACTATCAGACGTGCAACTCAAAGAGTAAGGTGCAAACACTTCTCTTATGCAGACTGTTGTCCTCACAATATTTGTTGGTGCCATGACCGAACGTTGATGATGTCCTAATGAATGATGGTGACCTGAATGAGATGAGACCGCTATATTCTTAGGATTTCCAGCAGCTACTCCAGATTCCATTGTATATCCTGGGGGACAGACAAGTTCAGGTGGGAATGTTTTCACACGATCACAATCTCCATTTGGACAAACTTTATCTGTGTATTTGGCGCACTTGTCACTAACAACTACTAAGCCTGGAGGACAGGCGAGTTCATAATCAGCATACTCATTAGTTATACATCTTTGGCCACTTCGTTCAAAGCCTGGTGGGCAAGATAATATTGGTGTTATAAAGTTAACTCTTTCACAGTTGTTGTTTGGACAAACCTTTGCTGCAGATTGTTGACACATATCTCCCAGTAAGCGGAAACCATTGGGACACTGTAATGAATAAGGTTCATATATATTTCTCAAACACTGACTAACACCACTCGCCTTATGACCATGTGATCTTACAGTAATACCTGCCTGAGGTCTATAAAATCCTGGTGGACACTCCATAGTTGGTGGAGATCTAACTAGTTGTTCACAATTGCCATCAGGGCATACCTTGGCAGTATGAATAGCACACTTATCTCCAATAATTTCGTACCCTGCCGGACAAGAAAGGTCATATGGAGAGTATATCTGCTTTGTACACTCTTGGGATGATAAGTGGTGGTGACCATGACCACTATTTCCATGTGAGTTCCCTTGTACAGAAATACCAGCTTGAGGTTTTGAATACCCAGGTGGGCATACTACAGCAGCAGGCTGAGTAATAAGACGTTCACAGTTTCCATTAGGACATATCTTATTAGTAAACTGGGCACATCTATCTCCAAGTAATACAAAACCTGGAGCACAAACAAGTAGGTATTCATCAAATGTAGTCTTGACGCACTCAGCTGATGGGACGATTGTATGATGACCTCCATGTTTACTCGAAGTAATTGCTGTTTGGATACCATGAGCATTTCTAAATCCTGGAGGACATGTGTATGTTGGATTTACTACAACATTACGTTTGCAATCCCCTTGCAAACAAACTTTTTCTGTTTTTTGAGCGCATTTATCACCTTCCAGAACAAATGGTAATTGGCAACTCAACAAATATGGTGCAAATATTGTTTTTATACATTCAGCAGATGGTCTTTGGTGATGACTATGGTGATGACTAAGTCCACTTAATGAAGACTGTGACTTTGTTGATGTAAATCCTGGAGGACAGACTAAAGCAGCTGGTTCATTGTATACACGTTCACAATTCCCATTTGGACATATCTTATCTGCATAAGTTGCGCACTTATCAGCAATGAGACGTGCTCCAGTTGGACACTGAAGTGTGTATGGTGCATGGTCAGCATGAATACACCTCATTTGTGTCTGTACTTGAACTGGTGTTGGTACTTGAACTGGTGTTGGTACTTGAACTGGTACTGGTACTTGAACTGGTGTTGGTACTTGAACTGGTGTTGGTACTTGAACTGGTACTGGTACTTGAACTGGTGTTGGTACTTGAACTGGTACTGGTACTTGAACTGGAGCTGCAGCGGGGTAAGCATGATGGTGACCATGACTATGATGATGATTATTATAGCCATGACCAGTTGATTGAGCAGCCGCAAGATGACGATGATGGTGACTATAATTTGTCTCAACTACACCATCTATCTGATGGTAACCTGGAGGACAAGTTAGAGATGGAGCTGCAGTAACCACCTTTTCACAGTTGTCATTTGGACAAATTCTATCTCTTGTTGTTGCACACTTATCTCCAACAAGGGAAAATCCAGCCGGGCAGGCAAGATCATAAGGTGCGTATTGGCTCTTTTGACATTGATTCCCTACATCAGTAGTACCAGATGGGCACTTTAATGTAGGAGGTATTTTCACAAACTTAGCACAATCTTTAGATCGAGTTCCATCTTGACATATTGCCTCTAGAGGATAATAAGTTGTCAAAACACACTCCTTTCCAACTAATTCAGAATTATCTTCACAAATAGGGACAGCAGGTAATGAGTCGGCTTTTGTACATGTCTTTGGTGTAATCTTAGGTACATCCTCACAAATTGGACGAGGCGCCTCCTTGTGATGTTGTGTATGAATAGTTGGTGCAGGTCCATGTACATGATGTGTGTGACCATGTACATGATGTGTATGACCATGGTTGTGACTGTGGGAATCTACCCCTTCTTGTACAGATGCAAATGATGTTGAATCCTTAGCAGCAAGACGTCTTAGAGCCTTTACATCTGGTGTACGACACTCTGTAACATATGTTGTTATTGAACAATCATATTGACTTCTTCTAACACACTGCTTGCCGCTTTCTATAGAATAACCAGGTGGGCATTCAAACAAAGGAGAACTAGTTTTTCTCTCAACACAAACATCACCTTCTCTCACACCAGCTGGGCAAACATATTGAAGAGAACCTGGTACAAGCCTGACACAAGAATCTCCATCCAAAACTGAGCCAGGAGGGCATTCTGGAGACTTGGGTGAGAGTGTGGACTGTACACATTGTTGTCCTTGAAATGAGAATCCAGTAGGACAGACAGTTGAAGCTGGAGAAAATTGTATGCAATTATCTCCATTAGGTAAGAATCCATCTGGACAAATTGCATCAATCATTTTTACAGCTGTACATTGTGATCCTTGTAGTGTATACCCAGGTGGGCACTCAGGAACTAAAGGTACTTCACGTATTTGCTCACATTGATTCCCGTTAAGTACATATCCATGAGGGCATTCTTTACTTGGAGCTGAAAAGGAAACACAATTTGCACCATTGTCTAAGAATCCTGTAGGACAAACTAAATTGATCTTTTCAACTCTTTGGCATTGTCCATTTACGAGAGTTGTACCAGGTGGACACTCAGGTTGTGGTGAAGCTTGAGTGGATTGACTGCATTGTTTACCAGTTAAAACAAAACCAGCTGGGCACTCTTTTTCGGGCTGGGCAAATTGAATACAATCAGATCCATTATCAAGGAATCCTGGTGGACAAACTGCATCAATAAGCTCAACTGCAACACAGGTATTACCTTCCATAGTTGTTCCTGGAGGACACAAAGGATTTCTTGGAGAAGTTTCAGTCTGAATACATTGTTTTCCTGATAAAGAAAATCCAGGTGGACACGACTTTTCTGGGGCCGCAAATTGAACACAGTCTTGACCATTATCTAAGAAACCAGGAGGACATATTGTATCAACTCTTTCAGTAGACTGACACTCATTATTTTTCAGTACAGTTCCAGGTGGACATTCCAACTCTGTTGGAGCTGTTTGTAACTGTACACATCGATTTCCAGATAATAGGAATCCAGGTGGACAATCTTTGGTAACAGGTGAGTACTTTACACAATCTTTACCATTATCTAAGTACTCTGGAGGACAAATTGCATCAATAGACTGTACTGATACACATGCATTATCTTGTAACACAGTTCCTGGTGGACATACTGGTTGTGTTGATGCGGTGTTCGTTTGAACACATTGCAACCCTTGCAGTGTGAAATTTGGAGGGCACTCCTTAGCTGGAGCCACATAAAGTACACATTCATCTCCAGAATCTGTATAACCTGGGGGACATACCATATCTACATTTTTAATGACTTTACACTTTCCATTCTCCAATATGGTATTTGGAGGACAAGTTGATTCTAATTCTGCTGATTCAGGTGCCATACATTGCTGCCCAGATAGATTAAAACCTGGTGGACATATTTTGTTTGCTGGCAAATACTGAACACATCTATTTCCCTCCTCAACAAACCCAGGTGGGCATATAGTATCTACTTGCTGAATGAGTTTGCATGTTCCATTCTCCAATACAGTCCCAGGAGGACATTCAGGGTTGGGAGGTGCAGTATCAGACTGTACACACTGCTTTCCTGAAAATGTAAAACCTGGAGGACAAGATTTATCAGGTGGAGAAAATGCTACACAATCACGTCCATTATCAACAAACCCTGGTGGGCATACAGTATCAATAACATGCTTTGATATACATTCATTGCCTTGCAAAGTCGTCCCAGGTGGACAAGATGGCTGTTGAGGTGCTGTTTTAGTTCTTGTGCACTGTTTTCCTGATATCTCATACCCTGGAGGACATTGCTTCAATGGAGCTGTAACAATTAAACAGTGACCTTCATGATAGATTGCAGGTTCTTGGCAGAATGGGATTTGAGGCACTTGGATTCTTTGAACACAAACTCCATGTTCCATAACGTAGCCTGGAGGACAGCTTTCAACGGGAGTTTCAACAAATGCTGGGATTTGACCCTTGTTATGTGGTAATGGGGACGCTACACCTGGTACAGCTGGCTTTTGAGGAGCTGCAAGTGTACCAGTCAGTAATAAAAATAATAAAAAATACTGCTTCATTCTACAAATATAAAGATATATTTCAAAAATAGTACACCTCTAAATAGTATACTTTAGGGTGAATACTGAATTTCTGATGGGGATCTTTTGAGTGTTTGCTAGCAATCTGAGTGATCATCTTCCCTAATACGAGCATCTATGTTTAATACGTAGATTCATGTATCAAAAAATTCGTATCCGCGAACTGTCTATTTGTCACGAGGTCAATCTATTAAGTTAGTGGAATATAAACTTCTAATTAATCATTGTCTCCAAGACTTTACTTCTAAAAAACACTTGCTTACTTCAAAGCGGTACAAGAAGCTAAATTATATATATTGCTTTACTAACAATTTTAAAGAGTTTATTTTGGTATTACCAATTACTATCTTAAGTTATCTGAATTTATTTACATTAGCCTTCTCAAATGTATTAGTCACCATAAAAATATACACTTTCAAGCAACTGCTAAGATGCATAGAAATTAGAATTATATTTAAATAGGATTTATTCAAGAAGAAATACTACCTTGTTATTTTTAGACAAATACACAGCTATAAAAGAGACAGATATAAAACTCTTATGTTATTTTACTACTCAGCACTTTTCTATATTAGGAAGAATCAATTATACTCATACAAATGACATTGATTTTTAATAATACTGTACCTGAATATATTACCATTGTGAGTTACTACTTTAAAGATATACGTTGATTTACTTGCAATGGAAATAGATAAGCAAATGTATTAGTTCTATGCAAACGCGGTTAAACTACAGGCACATTCTAGCTGAAGGCAAGATGTTAAGGGAACTAACAAGTCTGTAGTTACATTATAAGCTATAATTATTTTTGTGATGCTAAGTCATAGAGAATGGAATCTTAATGACTCTAGTTCTTATAATTTATTTTCATTTTTAGAAGACAATCAAGATAGCTTACTCTTCACGCTAGCATGTAACTATCTTTCAATAGGACAATTTGAACTAGCTCGTGCAATTATAAAGCATCTCGCTTTATCTAATCCAAAAAAAGCATCTGATCTAATAAAGTGTATAATACTCTATGGTCCCCCACCAGACTGGCAATTATCGGTCTCAGTACCTTCGTCGGCTCACTTAGGATTACTATGCTTGACAGAGTTCTACAATATTTCTACCTGCAAGAATAGCTTCCCTGAATGGATATTCAGGCAGCTTGAATTCAATGTTATATTGGCCCAAATACTACTTGATTGCCCTAATGAAAATATATTACCTAATAGCATAAAGGAAATCCGGCTGTTATATAGTCTCATAAATATTACCGAAGATTTCCATGAATTACCTAGTACTATATACATACCAACTTTAAGTGTATTACCTAGAAATAAATCCCTTCCCCTATTATTAAACCGTTACCCATCGTATATAATTGACTTAAAATCTGAGATTTCGGAATATAACAAAAAACTTTCGGAATATGATTCTGGATACTTCCAAATATTAAGCAAAGACACAGTTAATCAATTAGTATCAATTACTTATTTGTTACCTAGATTGGGGTGTTCTCTATTAAACTGTTTAAAATTCAAGTTTTATAATATTGGAACAAAATATCTAGAAAATTCCAATTTATACTTTACTATAGAAAGAATTACAAAAATTTGTAGAATCAAAATGCAATGGATTTTTATATCATGCTGCTTAAAAGCAATATTGTCAATGGATACAGTATGTAACAATCTTGAATCCCACTTTTATAATACCATCTTTCTGTATTTGAAAAATTTAGAATTGCAATACTTGGAATACTTTACTGATTTTCTATTGTTGCAGACTTTTAATGAATTCAGCTTTAAACATGATATAGATATTACAGCTTTAAAATCAGAGGAACATCCTGCAATAAATATAGTAATTCTACTCGTAATATGTTGCATAATCAGTAATTTTTGCCAGATTGAATTTGGTGATTTGATTTTTAAACTATTTTTAAGTGAAAATAAAGATTTAATTGTAAATTGTATGGAAGATGCTGTCAGATTTTCAGAAAAGATGAGATATTACAAGAAAATTACTTCATTAGAACTAATAAAATACATTGTTACTATTTGCAAATATTTTCAGTCTTCAATACACAAGTGTATTGAGTCAATTGACTCAAGTAACGGTGAATTTTACAGAAAGTTTATGCAAAGTTTTGAGAATGGTAAACAAAATTGCATTTCAAATATTTTAAACAATGTACAATCGGAAATACTTATGGAAATTTTGGTCATATGTGAAAATGTATGGTTTTTTCATTGTACTGAAAATACAAAAGTGGGAATTTTCGATTATTCGAAGTTTCTCTCCTCTACTTTTATTAATCCTCTTTTAAATGGGGAAAACTCAGATACTTTTACTATATTAAGTCTCTCTAAAGATGATTATTACTTTTGGGTCAAATACTGGAATTGGATTAATATCTCTCAAAGACACGCTCTTGAAGTACCTTTGGAAATTATTCTTGAGAGCAACAAAATATATGAATATACAGACTTCAATAGTATTTTTACTAGACTAAACATAACAAATAAAGTATTAGCTTGTTTTCCTCACTTCCGTTCCCTAGCAATACACTTAATATGGAGCGATAACTTACAAGTAAACTGGGAAATACTAAAAAAATTATGGATACCCTATAGGCTTAATGAAAGTATGTATTCTTGTGGAGATATGAAATTAAATACTGAATTAGATGCAAGATATACACGATTAGCTGTTGCATTATGGATAGCAGAGAATTCTTTAGAAGTAAATTCGGCACTACTTGATAAAGCAGATGAAATATACACCTATTTATCCAAAGAACACTGTGTTATAGAATATCTCATGCAAATTAATATTCAAAATAATTCAATGAGATCATTCAAAAAGTGGAAAGAGTTTGAACATCTTATTTCAAGGTTTATTGATGTAGGCCTTTTAAATGAAGAGTATGACAAAAATTGGTTTGATATCAGGGACCTATTGCGATGTTATATATTAATTTACCAAATTAGTCTTGATCTAAGCAACAAATGTAGTAACAGAAAAATTGTATCTACATTAGAGGAGGCCTCATTAAAAATAGACAGCTTGAAATCAAGCAAATACCTAGCACAGTTCCTATGGTGTTTTATTATATTGCCCTTTTATAAAGTAGATCAGAACAATACTAATGATATATTGATGGATCCCTTTCTTAATCTGGATACTGTAAGTTGTATAATATATTACTTAACTACTTGGACACAAAACTTTAATGGCTTATCAATAATATTACACGTAAATAATGAAATAATGTGCAGACTTTCCTATCTTTTAGAGTTTAAACTATTTACGAGTTTTGTAGACTTGAGTCCTAATTTTGCAAGTCAGGATATTTCAAGTCATATTTTTAGTTGGTGGTTTAGAGAAGTATTGGATATAAATTTCAAAATAGATGCAATTGATATTTATCCTACAACTAAGATTGGATCATTTGTTGAACTAGAAAGAAAAAGAGTGAAGAATAGGAAGGTATACTACAACTCTCCATGGTTCTGTAGAGCTATGAACTATGAAGTTACTTTGGGGATTTTGGACTTATCAACAGAGGAATGTGAAGACAATATTACATCTTGGAATATGGAAGATTTGTTAAATAACCACTCTTTAGCATTGAAACTAATATTTATTAATGATTATGAAGGTGCCATTCATAAAATTCAATTTCTTTCAAATGATGGATATACCTTTTTACCACTACTCTTTGATAGCATTATTTTCCAGAAATTACTAGAGACTGATTTTTCATTTCCCAGTTTTTACACATTCCACTCAATACTTGAATACTTAAATTTAGGTCATGAGTTTAGTGAAAGTGAGTTCGTTTCCGTAGATATAACTCAACCAATGGAACAAATGGATGCTTGGTTAAAACAGTTCCAAAAGATCTGTTATGTAGATGATATGGAGATAGGATGGTTAATGAGATACCATCCAAACATATATAAGCTTTATATATTGATGGACTATGTAATATCCAATGCCAATACAAATTCTTATGAGACCTCAAATAATTTATTACAACTCTCAAAAAATATAGTACAAAAGTACTGCGAAGTATTGGATAATGAGTACTTAAGTACTATATCAGTAACCCTAGATCGTCTACTTATATTTCTGGAATCACCAACTATTGATTCACTAACTATGTATATGATGGAAATTCATACATTACCACTTCAACCATCTATGATTCGCACACACTTGGATAGAATGCTAAGTAAACGTGAAATAACATCAACTTTAGTTCAATCTCTTGGAAAAATAACTAAGAAAAATTCTGATGACATAAGCCAGTTACCTACTGAACACTTTACATCAATTATTGAACTACTAAAACAGAGTATTAATGCACTTAAAGATGATAATACTTCATCTAATTTCTTGCTCACTGTATTAGATTATATTTATAATATCTTGAAGATCATTTTTGGGCCAAATGAACACAATAAAATATGGCCAATATTAGCAATTTCTCCTGAAGATATTATTTATCACACATTCTTTGAATTAAAACTATATGATGAAAGTAGAGAATTGGCTAAAATTATGAATTTAGATTTATTTACCACTATACTATCTTTTACCCCAAGTGTAAGTGACTATCTAAAATATTATTCTTTAAGTCAAAATGCAAGTATAGCAGAGAAGGAATTTAACTACATATTTAAAGACCTTTATTCATCTAATTTATCAATATTTTTAACAGCCTATGAAATATTCTTTTTTGATATTGATGAAGGCTATACCATATGGAAATGTGCTCTAAATATTATTTCTAGCTCACTACCTATTTGTTTCGAAATAATTAGAGAACTACTTGAATTTAGAATAGAAAAATTAGATATATTGAAGAAGATCAATTGTAATGCTACAATTAACAAACAAGAAATATTTTCAAATAGTAAAATTCCTCTATCTATAATTTATGACAATAGAAATCTTGAATATCGATTTCTAATAATTTTGGCTATTGATTATCTATTAAGGAATTCTGAATACTCTGAAGCCATAAAATATATTCAGGAGTTTATCTCTAATAATTTTGCATATGATGCTCAAATGAAAAAGCATTTTAATCTAAATTTTCTTGAACAAGTCATAATACAGAATTTTATAATATTTGTTCTGGATAGAGACATTAGTATTCCTAGTTTAAGTTCTGATACTTTGCATAAATTTGTGGCATCAATAAAGGATTCTAAAAAAATGTTTTTTTATATAACAAAGTTATGGAAGAAATGGGATATAGAACTATTAATGGATTTGATTGAACTTTGTTCAAGAAATATTAAAAGCGAACTACTTCAAAAATCACTTGGCGAATTTACTGATATAGATGTTAACCCAAACTCGACTTTATTGTCAAAGCTAGAGTACACTAAGATATGCATAAATGCCTATCATGAAATTTCAATAAATAGCAATGGCCAGTGGGAATCCTGGAAATCTGTACTAATGGAATGTGAAACAATAAATGGTATTTTTAACATTCTTAATTTCGCTATGAAAAAAAACTTATTTCACTCTGCTTCTGTAATAATTGATACTATTTTGTCTATAAATCACGAGAATAAAGTACAATACAATGAGATTAATGGGATAATAAAGGATTTGTTAGAAAACTATCTACTATTCTTTCAAGAAAAAGAAGATATATTCAATTCAATGGAAATATCGGAGTTAATTGAGATTTTTAAAGGTGCAATTCACTTAGGTCAGGATATATATGAAATAAGTGAGATAAGAAATTACAGTATTTACAAGATATCAACTAGTCGTTCACTTCCAGGATGGAAATATAGCGTAATATTATTTAATTCTCTCAGAAGTATTGAGGACAAGTCACTTATTATAAACTCCTTGATAAGTACACACGAAAGTTTAAACTTAAATCAAAAACAATTAGATGTACTTAAGACAATATCACTTTCATTAAATTTACTTCAAGGTTTAAGTGAGGAAGATAATAACAAAGAGATTTACTGTCCATTTTATGTTTTAATAAAGGTACTAAAATATAAAAGAATTGATCTTATTGAACTAGTTATAAGAGAAGCAGGCCATGCATCAAGTGTACAAAAATTATTTTTTGACTATATAAAGAGTTCTTTTGGACTTATTGGAAGATTAGATACGGATTATATGAAAACTTTCGAAGCTTTTGCAATTTTTGGGAGTGCCAACGTAGAAATTTGTAGTGAGATATTTCCAATAAATTTTAAAAATAATTCTGCAGATTCAAAGCTATGTGTTGCAGGTATTGAAGATTATGACACTCAATTTGCATTGAATATTCTATCTAAGTCACCAAAGACTGAGGTATTTAACTTTTTATTTGAAGTAGCGGATCAAATATCAATTAAACTATATAATATAGTTAAAAGAGGGCATTTTAATAGGTGTTTTACTCACTTTTGCTGTCAACATTCAAACCCATTTGAAATGAGTATATGTAGTGGAGGTACTGATCAAAATTTCCCAGAACCACTTTCTCCATACTCCAAATTTAAATGGACAAAGATGAACTTGTTCAGCAAAAATAAAGATATAGATCTTCATAAAGACTTCTTAGCTTATTCTTTTCCAAAAAAGATTATCAGCTTTGAGATAAAACAAAATACACTTAACAATGATAACTTTGCAATTTTCAGAATATTATGGAATTCTCTAAAACTACTCTTACAATGGGGTCTTGTAAATATAGGAGCAAAAAGATTCCAAATCGCTTTAAATGGATTACCTTTTCTATATGATTTATGGGCAATGTTCCCTGAAATCCCATTTTCTATTGATGATATTACTAGTTTCAAAAGAAATAACCTTGTAGAATACCTTTTATCTATGGATCAACTCGATTTTGCAGATATCTTTGTCAGGGAATTAACAAAAGCTGAAGCTTATAGGATTTGTGATCTACCAAAAAAACACTTGATTAAAAATGATAATGCAACAATTGATATAGATGAATCTGAAAAAATGAGCTCAGCTAGAAATACATATAATTTAGTGGATGTTAGAAAAGCTATTTCTACTTTACTTTCTCAATTTGAAGGTGATAGATTTAATAACTCTAAAAGTTTAATTAATAAAAGCATTAATACATCACTGCAATCACGCAACGATATAATAATAAATATATATCAGAAATATTGGGAAGTATTCTGTTCTGTAGAGGTACCAAAAGTTAGTTGGGAAAGGGATGGATTAAACTTTTTAGAAATCAGTCTTCTTACTACACCAAGTTTATTGAATATCTCAATATTGAATTTATTCATTGGGTTAGCTTCATCAAATATTATTCAAAAAAAAGATAGTATAAAACACACTCAAGATCACTTTCTACCTTTGAAATTTATTATTTATAGTTTTGATGATGTAATTGGATCTCGTATAACAGAATTATTTGGCCAAGTACTATTACAACAAAAGATTATACCCAAAAAATTAATGAATACTACACCTATTAAGTTGCCTCATTGGATAAATAACATAGTAAGAAGTAAGGATATTATTATTAATAATGAACACTATGCACATTTTAATCCTCATACAACTTTTTTATTGGAGCATGTAATGAAATTAGTTAAAGAAAAGGCTCTGTCAGTATTTCCCTCAAACAAAAATCATTCTAGTAAAGTATGCTGTTTCCCACAGTCAATTATGGGATCCTTTTGTTTACAAACAAATGTTCACTTAGTCAATAGGTACAATTTCATCAGTACAATTGTTTTATATGGGAATACACATCACGAATTTGTAATAAAATCGTTAGCTAGATTAAGTTGTTGGTGGGAAGTCATGGTTTATATTTTACGTTGGTGCTTTGATTTGTGTCATAAGTCTAGATCAGTGCTAAGTGAGAATCAAAATAGTAAACTTAGAATGGGACCAAATTATGCAATTTTATCATTTGATGAGATATTTTGCAATTTAGTAGTAAGGAAAGCACATGAAACCAATCAATTGATGGTTCTCAGATCTAGTATTAGTGACGCTATACCTTTCGGTGGGTCTCGTGCTGCAACTATTGCAAGGCGTTGCAATCAAATAATTCAAAAATACTTAGCAAAACATGGGGCATTAGAAACTTTGTATCAAATACTTGTTTCAAATGATAATTTAGGTGATCAGCCTCATGCACTAGCAGGAGCACTAGCAGTTCATCTATCTCAAGTTAACCATATTGAATTAGATGCAAGAATTGGTTATCTTGAAGCTGCAACAGATCACTTCTCTTCAGCACTATGTTCATTGAGACGCAGGTCAAAGAGTATAATAACAACAAAAAATAAAAAAAATAACTCTCTTTTTTTAAAAAAAGAGTCTGACTTAAGCACCAAAAACAGACCCAATATTAACAATATTTTCATCTCAAAAATCATGATAACATCAATTTGTGATATCAATGTTTCAAAAATAAATCTAACATCATGGGGTGGTTTGTCTTCAAGCTGTATATCACGTATTTTAGGACTTATTGGTTTACAAACATCTATTATAAAAACTCTTCCTAGAATCAGTGCTAAGAGCTCTATTTTAAGTCCATTTTATGATCATAGAAAAGATACAATAGTGGAAATATTTTTAAATGGTGAATTTGGACTTGGGTTTAGAAGTATAAGAATGCTTGAGCTTCCACCTTTGGAACTACTAACCCTGGTTACTAAATATCATATTAGTAACAAGGATAGACACATGGATTTGCTTGAATTTATAGATAAAATGAAGAATTGGATACCAGAAAGTGATTTAGATACCCTGATAGTCGATACAATCAATAATTGGATTTTTGAAAAGGAAACAACCAATAGAAGAAAAGTAGAAGAGATGCCATATATGGCATTAATAGACAGAATTTGTAATTCTACATGCAAAGAACAAATTAAGATATTTATCCAAAAAATTAAAGATGATACATTTGAGTAATTGAGATATCGCAATTATCTATCAAACTAAAATTTTATTGTTTGGAAAGCAACAGGAAAGCGATGCTGTATAAAATTAGTGAAATTGGGAGCTCGTACAAAAAAAACTCTTTGAACAAATGAGTTATGTTGACAACTGATATCCATATTAAACTTGAAATATTTATATGTGTCTTTCTTTTACTAGGTATACTGTGAATAGGGTGATAATCTTGGTTGTCTGAACTGCTACATGAGATTTTATCTCTTAAATTTACTTGATTGCAGTTTTGTAGACATACAACAGGAAAATATTTGGAATAACCACTTTTAATAGTAGGCAAGTTAGGTATAAAGTGATTATCATGCTTTTTCTTATTTTTCTTTGTAATATCCGGTGAGTAATATCTAACATCACTATCTGGGACAAATTCCTCAGGAAATTCCGAATTACAAACAAAACAGTTATTTTTACTTTTCAATATATCTTTATTAATAAGCGATGATCTTTTAATTAGTACTGAATCTGTCCTGTTTGGTGTCTGCTCACTAAATAAGGTGTTTGATTTATAATTTTCTTTTGTTTCATCTTTATATAACTCTTCTTGTAAGACTGAAATATCTCGTTCTTCAGTTCTCTGGAGCTTTAGTAATAAATCAGTACATATATCTCGATCCCCATATTGATCACCTAATCCACTATTGTTTCGTCCATCTATATCAGCTAGATTTCGGGGAGTATCAGGTAGAAATGTATTATCAAGTTGTGACATATAGTGAAAAGTCGATATAACATAAATGTTGTATAATATAAAAAAGTAAGAATATTTGGGATATTTTGGCGGACATAGTGTGATATTTGCTTTTGTTATAACTAATCAATAAAAAAAAAAATCACTATAATGTACAGACTGCCTACTAATTATATTTCAACAACTTTAGTACGCACAGTTTCACTTTTTACTGCGAGTTGGCAATATTAAAAGTCCTGAAAAAAGAATTGATAAATAAGGAAAATAAGTAACAATGAGGAAACCATCTTAAATTACCCGGCTTGTTTTGGAATTTAGGCCAACACGAGGACCTACTTGCAGATTCAATCCCATTACGAATAGTTTTATCTCTTAAAAGTAGCTCGACCTAAAATGTGATTTATTTGTAATGTAAGAAACAAAGGTACTTACTAGCAATTACATACCTGAGAACACAAAGCAATCATTGCAGCCTCAACTTTCAACACACGTGACCCAATACTGCAAGATTTGAAACCTAAACCAATTAAGTCGCCAATTTCACTTTGACTCCATCCACCTTCTGGCCCTACTGCAATAATTGCAGAACCAGTATGTCTTTGAAGTCCTACATCCGATATAATTGTACTACTTTTGTTATCAGCAATAATGCCTAACATTGTATTTTTATCAAGAAAATCATCCCTTAAACAAAAATTCAATAATCTTGTCGCTTCATAATGAACTTTCTTTATCTTACCTTAGATATTTTAGACAAGAGTTCCATGATGCATAAAGATAAACTTCAGGGAAGAGTGTATTACATGCTTGTTCTAATCCAAGTTGAATACTATGATGAATAGATTCTCTATGAAGCTTTGATGAATTCAAATACGATTTCTCAGATTTGTTTGTGCAAACAAAAATTATTCTACCAACTCCAATAGATGCTGCATACTGCAAGACTTTATCAAACACTTTTGGCCTTGGAAGCGCTACAAGTAGGTCAATAACAGGAAAATCACCTGTATACTCATCTTTGTGAAATGGGCTATCAAGACGAACTACTACGCTGTATGAAATATGTTTATTGCTATTTATCTGAAATATATTTCTTCTCTTAGGTTTCATAATAGGTTTATTTAAATAGTTATCTTTAGCTGACACATTATCTCTATATATAATTTCATCTGTAACCATAAATATTTCGGTTTTATCGTCATTATCTTTATAGTTAAATTCTTTAGAATACTTATTTACTTCAGTTAACTTTCTATTTGTACTTGTATTATTGCAAAACTCTTCACTTACTTTTATAACAGTCGCAGTTCCACGTCCAGAATTTTTTACCCCTACAAACACCTTTGAACCTAAAGAAACTCCTAATACAATTACACAATGGCTAGATTGTCTCTTTGAAAGTAATACTTCCATATCTTCATTAATATCTTCGGGATTAATTATAATTAGGTTCATCTTCTTAGTCAAGATTTACTAAACTTCTAGTACTTGGCTCCAGTAATATTATTGCATATGAGCGCTCTAAATAGTATGCATATTTGCCATCTGAAAATTATTGTAGCACTAGTTTTATTAAAGTTATAATAAGTTAAAACTAAATATAAATCTACATGATACTTTATTTTTCTCAAGTTATTTCATTTATAATAAATATACTTTGTGAGCTATATATTTTAGAACTGTCCATAATTACCTCTCACTTGTACCAAAATTACCACCAACTTCTATTATGGGAGAAAAACATTTCTATAATGAAACTTTCACAATTACAAAGGATGGTGATTATAGGATCATTAATATCAAAAGGTAAGTCAAGTCTATAAGTGAAGAGATCTAATATTTATTTGCGTATTATCAGATTACTAGGAACAACTTTCACACTAGGCTATAGTGTTTTTATTTTATCAACTGCAGTGATTGTATTGAATCAATCATACTCACTACCGGGAATTGTTGCAATAGGTATGTATGGTATGCTTATCTTTAAATTGTAAACTATTTGTTAGCTTTATTTACAGGTATTAATAGTGGATTATTTATTCTGCTATATTTTGCTGTCGAACAGTTTGTCACGCCAACAAGCTATAGTTGGAAAGTTTTATTTTCCTCATTAAAAAGAACATTATATAAATTAAAAAAAAAAATTTCTTGTATAAATAAAATATCCAAGTAAGTTTAATAATGAAACTTTACCCAAAATGAATAACTTCAATTTATTTTTATTTTTTAAAAGTGAACATTCCAATGAATTGGTATCTACATCTGATATATTTAATGCAGCTAAAAGCAGTCTCTCTGGAAATGAATGGAGGTCTAGTGTTTTCGATTATGCATTAGAGCATTGTCCTAGTATTCCTAAAGCAGCTTCTGATGACTGGGTTGCAGCAATACCTAAAGTTCAGAAGCAAGTAAGTTTAGATATAATTCGGTTGACAAAGTTCTATAGATAAATATATTATTGCCTTATTGTAGAAAATGGCATCAAAGTATTATATGGGTCAATTTTCATCAATTAAGAACAGTGATATACAATGCAATGAGAAGTCGAAATATCCAAGTATAAATCAGATCATCAATAATAGTACAAAATTTATTAAAAGTGCAATTGATTTCTGTTTGTACCAAACTCAGACTCCTGCATATCAGACAGGTATGATTTTTTAAAGAATCTTGATAAGAGTATTGTTTCTATCTTGTTCTTTTTCAGGTTTAATTGTTAAATCAATGTTATGGTCAAGCGTCTACATTTGGGCTACAACAAGAATGTATAGAGCAAAAAATATAGACTCTTGGAATTTTCAGAATGTACCTGAATTTTATTACTTTTTTGAGTCAACATTCTTGTGGATGCTTTCCTATGATTATATAATAGGTAACTTACTTCAAAAAGTTCACTAATACATAATTAAAAGTATCAGATATTTACTTTTACTTTTTAGGGTTAGTAGCAACATGGTATAAAAAGGAGAGCACAATCCGATATATTTTCAGTTTCTATCAAATAATAGACTTTTTATCATTGCCTCCATTTTTGTTATTAATCATAAATATTAGCCCTTTATATGAGTCTAGTCAAAGTTGGCTATTATTGTAAGTTTCAACCTAAGAAATTTCCAAAAGGGAATAAGATACTATTTTTTTAGTAGATTTGGATGGCTAAGATTTCTTCGTCTATTTAGAACTGAGACAGTGTTAGATACAATTTTTCCAAGAATATCTGCAGTTAAAAGACGTATAATAGGTAAATTTATAATGTAATATTAGCTTAAATAGTTGGCTATCTCTCATAAAATATAGGTATTTTTGCAGGTGCTTCAACAATTCTTCTAACTTATGCTGGGGCTATATTTACAATTGAGTCTCCAGCACCGAAAAATTACTCTACACTATTTGATTTCTTCTATTATTCGGTTGTTACAATTGGTACTGTTGGATATGGTGACTTTGCACCTCAGACAAGAGAGGGAAGATTAGTTACTATTGTAATGATTACACTTACATTGGTTTTACTACCTCAAGAATTTCAACGTTTGAAAGAGGCATTGAATGCTCCATCACTTTCAGTTGGTTCATTTATTAAGAAGAATGATAGATTTCTATGTATTATAGGACCTATACCACCGAAAGTAAGTCCTTTATCTTTTATTTTATTTCCATGAAAAGAGATAAATACACAACTTTTCCTTTTTTTAGCAATTATTATATACCAGTATATATCTCTCACAACAAAAAAAAAGAAAATTTCGTTCAATTATGGTCATTACTCCTAGAAGTGTCAGTGAATATCAAATGGTTGTTAAAATATCACAACAGAGGCGTTATATAAGAATATTTATCAAACATGGAACTTTTAATTCTACTATAAGTTCAGTACTATTCCGTTGTTCAATGGTGATCCTTTATGGTGAAGGTATAGAAAATATCTACAGCTTAAAGAATAAGACTGAAAAACAAAATGGAGATTTCGATGCACTTATTTCTACCTTATGTAAGTTTTTAAAAAATTACTATATACAGGAAACTCATTTGAACTTTATCAGGTTTGCTAAAACTTTCAGGAATAAAAGAGAAGTTATTTTTAGTATTTAGATCTTCTCAGCTAGCACTAATGACATTTAACATTGGTGGTCTAGGTGTTATTTCTACTGAAGCAATGAAGATGAGATTTCTTGGAAAATCACTTGGAAATTGTCCTGGATTTCTATCTTTATTGGTGCATTTATTAATTCCAAGAAATGAGCCTATGTTAAAAAAAATACAAGACCCCCCACAATATACACAGTTATTAAGCAAGCCTGATAGGTCAGCAATTAGTCCACTGGATTGGCAATGTAGATGGAGAGGTTTGCATTTCAAAGTTTATACATTGCAATTCCCTGTATCTTTCCATGGTTATCCTATAAGTGTATTTATTAGACATATATATAAGTATTTTGGGATTATTTTAATTGGTATATATTGTCCAAATATGAGCCAAGTATATTTGAATCCTCATTTATATATAATTGGTGAGAATTCCAATAGTCTAGGTGATAGATCTAATTATTTAGGGCTAGTTCTTTCCTCAAGTGATAAATTAGTCAAAAAAGCTGAAAAACTAGAACCTTTCAAAAAATATGATAGAACTTCAAACAGTACTCTAGGAAGACGTAGCCAATCACCTATCAGAGAACTTTTTGGACATGGAAATAGTGATAGCTTGAACAAATTTAAAGGAAATATAATGGGTTCAACTAGCTGTGAGGGAAATGTCTCTGTAACGGGGTCATCTATAGAATTACCAACTGGCAATAGTTTGCGATATAATTATGCAATCAATGCTAAAGAACTTAGCACAAATATTGAAGCTTTTAAAAGTACTAATATATTAGAACGTATGAATAGAGTTTTTAAAGAACAGGATGAACTTACGAAATTTAATACCGTAGATAAACAGTATTTTGATATTAAACCATCGTTATGTTCTTCGCCTTTACAACTTTCGGGGAATTTGGATTATCAAGTACAAGGGAATCATGACTCTGTAACTATGAACAAATTATATTCGTTGTACTCTTACCAAGATATAGATAAGAAATGGACTGAATTTGGTACAGAGAGAAATTTTGTTAATGAAGAGTATAAAAATAATAATACTTTAAGATATGATATTTGTACTCAGCAGACTAATTTTTGCAATGATAGCTCTGGAAAGAGTAATAGATCAATCCCAATTGTTTCTAGCTATTCAGATGCTCTATTGAATGTATTTATACATAAAGAGTATCCTCTTGTAGTAATAATTGGTTGGTGCACAGGAATTGATATTCTTATAAAAACAATACTTAATTTGAGATCATCTAATTTCATTGTACTAGCATCAGATGAAATAAGTGTATCTTCATTTCTTGAAGATTTTAAAGGGAGTATAGCTCATATTATTGGTTATGGGACAAATGCAGATGATCAAAGAAGGGCTGGTATCCTTAATGCTTCTAGGATTATTATATTCGATTCTATAGCATCGAAATATGAACAAGAAAACTGTAAACAGATGATTGATATACAATATGGCAAGTTTGCCATTGCTGCTTGGGCCACTGTTTGTTATGTGTATTCAGAAAGCTGCAAAAGAAGTATAAATTCGCCACTTATGATACGTCAAAGATTACCACCTATAATCTTAGATATCCAAGAAACAGACATTGGACTTTTGATATATCAATTTACAGATTCTAAAGTACCAAGTGCATATAATGTTGCTAGTAATGTCTCGATAAATAGTGAGCAAAGTTCATTGGAATTTCTCTATACTCCACAATTCCTAAGTGGTCAATTTTTTGTAGAAGATATTATACACTCAATAGTAACTTTTACAATACCTCTTTTGGAATTAAGTCCAATAAGTATTAGGTTGATTGATCATCTAATAGATGGTCAGCCCTCTTGGCAACCATTCAATAACTCTAAGTACTCTACAGAAAGATCAAGGGATTTACGATTAGAAGAAGTACCTCTAATGTTTATCCATTCAACTTTTAACACTCTTTTTTCGGTAAGTTTTATATTTAATTTTTATTCAATAATATATTGTAATTTCTCCCTTTAATACTAGCAATTATTACGACACGGAAAGTTAGCTATTGCAATATACCGTCCTTTAACTAGTGAAACAAGAAGTTATGAAGGTATTTACCAAGAGCATATACCTACTCAAGTCCAGTGCACTGGAAATGACTACAATATGCGCAAAAGTCCAGTTATTGACTTGCTGAGTTGTGAAACACATATAATAATTCCATGCCCTCCACCAAATTTTAAAATTAGCTTAGGTGATTGCGTCTATATTTTGTAAAGTTACTAGAAAAGTATGTAAAAGTGTAATTATTAGTAATATAAAATAATTTAGAGTTGTATGAATCTACTTGAAAACAAAATACTTTTTTTCTCTTTTTCATTATAAAGTATGTGTGCGTGTACAGATGTGTAATGCAATATTAAGCAATTAAAACTTACATAAAAGGCATTAGATATTTCTAATTAATTAGAGAACATATCAGTGCTAATTGCTCTGATGTGGAGTCTCATTAATCCATTCAGATATAAGTCAACTACTGTGTTTGAAGATGCAGCTGAAGGATTAGTGTGTTGTGCAGCATTAGGTGGAACACTCTACTTTTTTAGAAAACATATTCCACATCCAACAGAATTTCCACCCATTGGTTGGCTAGCATTGAAATTTGGTTGCCATCATCATGAAAAATTCAATTTGTTGTTAGATATCCATGAATGCACAGATCTTCCCCAACCTGGGAAATATCTAATTAAGCTAACTTGTGGACGTAGTGAAGCACAAACAAAGACAGCTGTCACGAAGGATTTACAGAATTCATGGATATTACGTTCTACAACAAATAGTTCCGAAATTTGTATATTTTCTCAGAAGGTTCTTGTACATGTTAGACAAAGAGATGAGTTTCTGTTACTTGAGTTAGTTAACAGTGGGAGAATTTCAAACTCCTTAATTGGAACATGTAAAATAAGAATTGGTGACTTAATTGATACAAAATTTCCAAAAAAAGTTACTTATTCGTTTCAGAAAGAATATAAAAATGTTGCTAAAATAAGTGTCTCATTTTACAAACTCTCACCTAACATGATCATAGAGGAGACAACCCCTCTTTTATTTCAAGCCATGATAAATATGCAAACAGATGCTGATATCAAAGGTCATTCCATATCAATTGACTTTGCTAACATGTCTGAGAAGGATCAGTTGACTTTTTTTTCAAAGGTATTGCAGGGTAATCTTTATTGCTTCGAGTCAGAAGATATAGGTATGTTTATTTATCCAGATTAAAATTGAGTGTACATTATCAATAATTATAGATAAAGCTCAAATGTATTATTTCCGTGCAGTCGAATCACTTCCGAATAGGTAAGCTAATCATTACATTTGAAATAACTAAAATTACTGAATAGGTTGTTTTATTGATAGATGGGAGTGGGATTACTGGATAAGTGAAGGAGAGTACCTGAAGGGTGGAAGTAAACTTGGTGGGTACTTATTTTTAGCAATAAGTATCGTCCTTCCCGATAAATCTGATAGAAATAAGTTTTATATAAAATATCATGATCTATCAGGAGCCCATGACCTTTTTTTCCATACTGTTGATCGTGATCGCGATATATGGTCTGAAGGTTTATATGAATTTATAGATAGAGTAAGTTTATTAACAAAATGAAACTTGTCATAATATAGCTAGAGACTCTCTAATATTAACTACAGCTAAGGTCATATTTAAACCATACTAAGGAAGACAATGCACTCATTAATTTAGATATACAGAATACTTCGTTTACCGAAGCTAAAGAGCCAAGTGTATATAGAGACCCCTCCAAGGTAAATCTGGAAAATGAGGCTATATATTCAGCAAATGATCAGACTAATGAGAGCCCACACAAAGACCCAAGATCTCCAACCCGCACTAGAGGAAGAACTATAAAGCCTACTTTACAGAAGGTTCCATATGATAACTATATTAGTGAACTAAATCTGACCCCAAGTTCAATTAAAAGAATGATGAGGGAGGTATCTCCCCCACGCAAAGAATTAGATGAAGTACAGCCTCTACTAAGTAGTAACAAATTTTAGATCATACATACACTTCAAGAAATAAAGTGGAAGACTCATACAGACAGACAAATCATGGTTGAAGCAGTTAAAACTGCATCTCAGATACTATCTAGCAATATAAATTATAGTCATAGTCTTTTACATAACATGCCAAATATTGTTCAGACAGGGATAACCGCTTTGAACTCAAGCATAGCTACAATAAGCCATGTCCGTAGGTGTCCTAAGAATATCATCATGACAATATGTGGACTTAATTAAGTTTAGGTAAACTTTTCAAATTTATAGGGGTAACTTGCCACTTTTATATTGGAGGGCTAGTAGACTTCGCCAATATAGTTCGACACTTAATACCCCCCTTTATAAATATTGGCAACTATCACTTCAATATTGAACAGTTAGTTTAATATCCATTATTGTACACACATGTTGCCTCAAAATCACCTTTTTAATACTTTAGAAAGTGGGAAATAGATAATACAATAAAGTGACTTCCCACTTTGCTAGTCGGCAAAGACGGTAGTGGCATGAGACAGGACGTAATTTGAGGTGATGTTCAAGACAAGCTAGTTCTTTTCTTGGAAAAAGATAGCCTTATAGCTTTTGAAAGTATAGAAAGGCCAGTTAGCTTTGTTATTGTTTTTGCAGCATGATATTCACTAGCAAAATCTACAAAGGCAACATTATGATTCTATAAACAAATAAAATGTAAAAATAATTAGGAGTAGAGGCTGTTTTACCTTATGTTATAATAACTTACTGGTATAAAGCGTAGTTCAACAAAACCATCTTCTAGTTTAAATATGTCCATAAGCATCTCTTCTGTGCATGAGTCATGAATATCCTCTACAAATACTGTGCTATTTTGTTTACATAGTGTAGTATTCTCATGATCGAGTCTAAGCAACTGCCCTGGAGGTGAGCCGACAATAATACCATCAGACTTCCGTTTTGCAGAAACTGCAGCAGCAGCAGCTTTTGCAGCAGCAGCAACTACAGCTGCTTTATTTACACCACTCCGCAATCTGGACTCAGCAGATCCTCCAAAAGCACTTGCATCCCACTTTGTTTGTATTGGTGAAGCTACTGATAGTTGTGGTAATGGTGGTGGTGGTGGTGGTGGTGGAGGTAATGGTAATGGTAATGGTAATGGCGGAGGCAATATTTGTGATGCAGGAGAGTTTTTCTCATTATCTTGTGAACCAGCTATATTATGTGCCAGAGTACCATTAAATTTTACATGTTTTAACCATTGGCATAAATATAGCTTGTATCCGTCACATTTCAACTGAACTGCTTTAGGTATTAGTGGTCTACCATTGTTTCTTTTTGCTGGTACTGAGGAACCATAACTAGTTGTATGAGCAAAAGCAGCTCTGATAGGTTTATTGAACATATTTACACCCTGAATAGCAGTTAATGCTTTCGAAGCAGTTTCTATATCTTTGAATGTTATCCACGCTTGTCCTCGTCTATAGAAAGATTTCATACAAGTAATATTTACAATCTCCCCAAAATTCCCAAATTTTTGCAATAGGTTCTTTTCTAATTCAGTAGTCGGTACACGGTCATTCAGGTTATTTACATATAATGTACAGTTGGGGGTTGTAGCTAAAACAGTGTATTCACTTTTAGCAGTAGAACTATTCATCTTAATAACTGATATTAACCCTTAGCTAATATTTATCACTGGAAAGTTAAGAGTACTTAATGTAGCTTAGAGAACTAATTTGCAAAAAATTTTCTTGGTAATGCTAAATAAACATACATAAGTCCTAATCAGCTAACTGCATCAGAATTTACCGGTTATTTCAAGGTAGTAGAATACAATTGTAAATTATAATAGTGAACCATATTTAGATAAAGAAATATGAATAAACAGACATTATACTTAAAACTATGAAATAATAAAATAAATTTAACGGTAGAAGTTATTGATTTCTTAAGAGATACTTTGAATTAAATCTTGACTTAATAACACATTTTGAGAAGTCAGAAAATAATCACTTTTGATTTTCTACTAGGTAAATTGACAAATTATATGATATTTACAATATAAGCTAGCTGTTTAAATAGAATTAATCAGTAATAATTTAGATTTAGACAACTTATAGATAAGAGTGTAACTACGGATCTTTCTACTGGTGTTTATTTTCATAGGAACAAAAAGTCCCACTTATTATAAATTGAATCATATTTTATATAGAGAAAGATAACAAACTACTTGATCTTATCTGGTAAGGATATACAATATTATAAATACAGAGGAATTTGTAATATTTGTATAGCTCAATTCTATTTCATTGTGACACCTTTAGATATTTTTATTATTTTAACGTCTTGTTTAGTAACTTCACTACTAAGAAAAAGGTGCAACTTATTGAATTTCTATATAACTTTTACAAATACTCTACTGAGAGGTTTTGTAGTAAATAATTTTCCTAATGAGTATGATAGCACTATCAAGCAGAGTATAGTGAGCATTTCGAAGAGAAAGTCAAAGTAAAAAAAGAAGTACTAACAACTTTATAGTATATATCATAGGATATATATATACCTAACTAATCCTAGATGTTGAAGTAGATTTCATGGCATCTTAATAATCGTTAATATGTGAATGTAGGCTAATAAGTAAGGTATGTCTTTGTAAAAGGTACCAACAATAGCTATATTCAAATTACTCTGGCACCAGATTACTCATTAATTTAATTTAAAATAATACCATCATATTTAGTTTGGAACCATCTCATTGCTTCATCCTTTGTAACACGTCCATGTTTACCGATATGAGTACGACACTTTCTTCTTAGGCTAACACGGTTTCCTGGACGTGCTAATTGAACGAAAAAATCCATCCCATAAATACCAGTGCTAGGGTCATATTTAATACCTAAATCTATGTGCTCATCAATACCAAATCCAAAATTGCCAGTGGCTGAAAAATTCCTTCGTCTCAATTCATATTCTTTAACTTTCAGACCCTTCTCCAATATTTCCTCTGCTTTCTCTCCGCGTACAGTAACATAACATGAAATCTTTTCAGCTCTACGGATTGAAAAAGAACGCACAGTAAATCTAGCTTGTCCAAATACTGGTTTCTGATTAGTTAGTTGTTCCAAAACTTTAGCAGCACGTGTCAATCTATCACCTGACTGCCCTACACTAATATTAATAACCAGTTTCTCAATCTTAATATTTCTCATAGGATTTGTTTCGTTTGACATTTTACTATGGGAAGTATGGATTTCAAGAAAATATTGTCCAGATTTATTGTAAAGTGTTCTAAAACAAACCTTAAAAAAGTAGGTTATAGTTTGTACGTTAAGAAGTTATAAAAGCCATTCAACAATAATGCTGTTGGAGACACGTGCATATTAGACAGTGCTATTGAAACTTGTGCTAGTCCGGCCACTAAAATTTCATTATTTGAGACAAGTTGTCTCCAGGAAAATGCGCCTTGAATACTTGCCGCAAGTTTTCTTCCATAATTGAATTGCTTTTTTTATGAGGTTTGTGGGAATCATTATATTTATGAATTCATAATGAATAGTAAAAAGAAATCTGTTAACAAGGTATGAATAAAGTAGCTGGTTTTTTTTTAATTTGAAGATAGTTCTTGTAAATTTCTAAATCTATTTTTTCTTTTTAAATAGGTTGTAAGCAATACAGAAATTGGTGATTTAGATGAATTGGACTCTTTATTAGCTGAGTTAAACACTGGGAACCAACAAGATGAGTGCAGTGCAACTTTGAAGCAGGTTGAAGTGAATCAACAAGCTGAAGAGGTCTCTTTACAAACTCTGAAGAATAGACTTAAGAAGCAGAAGAAGAAGCAAGCCAAGGCACAAGGTGCATCAGAAGAGAGCAATGTAGGAACCACTTCTAAAAATAAGTCTATGAGCATTGCTGCCCGCGCAGCTGCAGAAAGGTTAAGATTAATTCAGGAGGCAGAGGAGGAAACCAAAAGACGAGAAGAGGAAGAGAGGAGATTAGAGGAAGATAGAAAAAGGCAGGAGGAAGAGGCCATTCGAAAGAGAAATGAGGAGAGAGAACTTAAACTGAAACTTAAGAAGGAACGTCGTGAACAATTGAAAGCTGAGGGGAAGCTACTTACAGCTAAGGAGCGTCATGAACGGTTGAAACGTCAACAATATCTACATTACTTACAATCACATGGGGTATTGTTGAATTCAAGCCAAAAGGTGGACTCCTCTTTACTGAAGGAGCAGGAAACTACAAGAACATTGGCAAGCCGCAAAAAGAAGGTATACAGAAGGCTACCAGAAACTCAAGAGTTTATAAATGAAACCACAAGTGTTACTAGTATTATTGATGGAACTGGACTAGCTGATGATGAATTGATTTCTAAACACATTCCTGAAACATGGGAGGAATTCCTTCAAGATGAAGGCACAGATTCATTGGATGTTAAGTACACTACATCATATTCTACTAATGTTGAGTATGAGGGCAATAGTAGATTAGCTGTGGATTTTACGACATGTACCAATGAACAGGTGCATGGGGATGTATCTGAAAGGAGCGAGTTCCGTTCTCCAATTTGCTGTATTCTAGGACATGTTGATACAGGAAAGACGAAAATACTTGATAAAATGCGAAAAACAAATATACAAGACAATGAGGCAGGTGGAATAACGCAACAAATAGGTGCTACTTTTTTTCCTCCAGAGATGCTATCTGAACAGATCAAGAGAGTAGATAGAGAATTTGAGTTGCAGATTCCTGGTTTATTATTTATTGACACACCAGGTCATGAAAGTTTTAATAACCTACGTTCACGTGGCTCCTCTCTCTGTGATATTGCTGTATTAGTAGTAGATATTATGCATGGTTTGGAACCTCAGACGAAAGAAAGTATTGGTTTACTACGTAATAGAAAATGTCCTTTTATTATTGCACTGAACAAGATAGATAGACTTTATGGATGGACTGGATGCTCATGGTTACCAATACGTGATACATTAGATAAGCAAAAGTCTTATGTAAACGATGAATTTGGGACGAGATTAAGTCAAACTTTACTACAACTTTCTGAAGAAGGATTAAATTGTTGTCCTTATTGGGAAAATGATGATTTACGTAGTACTGTTTCTATAGTTCCAACCAGTGCGATAACTGGAGAGGGAGTTCCGGATTTAATATATTTGATTGCTAAACTAACGCAAAAAATAATGGGTCTGAATTTTTTGAAATTAAATAAAACTGAACTTAGCTGTACAATTTTAGAAGTTAAAGCTATTGATGGACTTGGGGTAACAATTGATGTAATACTAGTATCAGGTACACTACATGAGGGAGATACAATAGTTGTATGTGGTTTATCAGCTCCTATAGTGACTACAATTAGAGCATTACTAACACCACAACCAATGCGCGAATTGCGCGTGAAGTCAGATTATGTTCATCATCATAGTATCACTGCATCAATGGGAGTCAAGATATGTGCAAACGGCCTTGATGATGCTGTGGCAGGAACTCAACTAATGATTGTGCCTAAAAATGCTACTGAAGAAGATATAGAATTATTAAGAGAACAGGTTATGGAAGACATGGGTGAGGTTTTTCGCTCTGTAGATAAGAGTGGAAATGGTGTTTATGTGATGGCTTCAACACTTGGTTCTCTAGAGGCTTTACTAGTATATTTAAAATCGTGTAATATCCCGGTAGTTGCTCTCAATATAGGAACTGTACATAAATTAGATGTTAGGAGAGCATCAATTATGCATGAAAGAGGCCATCCAGAAATGGCTGTGATCTTAGCATTTGATATTAAAGTAGAAGCCGAGGCCGAACTAGAGGCAAAGAAACTTGGTGTGAAGATTATGAAAGCCAATATTATATATCATTTATGTGATATGTTTACAAAGTATTATACTGATGTCCAAGAAGAGAAAAGAAAAGAGAAATCTCTAAGGGTTGTTTTTCCTTGTGTTTTGAAAATTATACCTCAATATATTTTTAATGTAAGAGATCCCATTATATGTGGAGTATATGTAGAAGAAGGTATTCTCAAACCTGGAACACCTTTGTGCATACCTGATAAAGATAACCTTATGATAGGCAAAGTTGCTAGTGTGGAATTTAACAAGAAAACTGTAAATGAGGCCAAGAAAGGCCAAGAAGTTGCTATAAAAATACAGCCACTTGGTTCAGATACCAATATAATTTATGGCAGACACTTTGATCATAACGATAAACTAGTAAGCCGTATAACTAGAGAGTCCATTGATATTTTGAAAAATCACTTTAGAGATGATCTTTCAAAAGAGGACTGGAAATTAGTAATTCAACTTAAGCGTGTGTTTGGAATATCATGAACTTTATACAGGGTATATTAAACTTTACAAAGTTCGGAATTGCAAGTCAGTCTGCTTTGGAATATAAATTTAGTCAAACTAAGAATTGCAATTTTTTTATTTTTTATCTTTTCTCTCTTCCTTCTCTTTCTTCTTTTCTTTTGAAGAAAGGATGTAAATGTTTTATCTCTTGGACACCTCTTTAATGTTTTCTTTATAAATTAATTGAGATTTTTAAGTTTAAATAGTAATATATGAATGTTACAAGTGACGTATACCTCAATAAGGTAAGGCTATTGTTTAGACCTAAGTCTTGTGGCGCATTGTAATGATAGTAATGAAATGCTGGAATAACCTGGTATTTCTGTATATTTGTTGAACTCAGTTATTTTAATATTAAACACTAGTATTTTCCTTTTAGACTGGATTTGAATATCACATTAATTATTATAGGCTTATTTCTTCGGGAGTAATTAGACTGCTCACTTGAAATTTACTATTTACTATCCTTTGTTTAGCTAATACAATATTTAGTACTAAATACAGTGGGGATTGCGAATATTCTTAAATAAATAAACAGGTAATTAGGTATAATTTTGGATCTAAGATAATAAATATTCGTAATGCAAGTAGTTTTTACAAAATCTCTTGACGCCATCTAAGTCCCACAGGGTAACAGGTAAGATGACACTTTCATTACAATTTGAATACAATATAAAATGATTTTTTGGTTTTGAATTTTATTATGATTATATCTATATTTAAACAGTGCAGAATCTGCGATGAATTTACTAAAGCATATTGCAATGAGGATAGTGAATTTGACAGTTTTAATATTTATATGGGTAAACTTAATGTTGAAACTGAAGTAGATATCATTAAATATCAATTTACAGACTTTCCTGATATATCCAATAATAATGACAAATATCTTAAATATCCTATTTTTCTTATTGATATATTTCCACTAGATTTTACTTCGAAGCAGTTTATAGCAGAACAAACTCTGCTGCAGCTTGGATATTTTGGTGGTGTTGGATGGACTTTGTCCAAAACAAGAATAAGAAAACTGGGTTGTAACTCAATTTTTAAATATATAAAAAACTTAATAAAATATTCTATGAATAATCTAAGAATAAGGCTAGCAATATCTCATAGGCAGCTATCTAACTGGTTAAACTACAAGTGTATTGATAGATTTCAATTAAAAAAATTATGCAGGTTAGGAATTCCTAATAGTTTACGTGGTGAAGTATGGAGTTACTTATTAGGTAGTGATGAATTATTATCAAAAAACTCAGCAATTTACACAAGTAAATTAAAAGAGAATATCTCAAAAGAATTTGAGGAGCAAATTAATGTAGATTTATGTAGAACATTTCCAAATTGTGCACTATTTAATGAGTCTTATGAAAGAAATGGAATAAATAGTTTAAGAAGAGTACTATATGCATTTGCTGCATATGATAGAGATATTGGCTACTGTCAAGGTATAAATTTTATTGCAGCCATCTTCTTATTACACATGAAGGAAGAGTTAGCATTTTGGTCACTTGTTAAGTTTATTGGTGCAAATAATAGTAAGCAAATAAAAATAAACTTAGAAAGTCCGAGAAGCTATTATACAAAAGGAATGGTAGGAGTAAAACGCGACATAATAGTGTTAAAACAACTCTGCGATATGTATCTTCCAGACATATCTACGAAGTTTGAATACCTAGGTATTGATATCCAGTGGTTTGCAATTGAGTGGTTTCTTTGCTTTTTTATCACTTCATTTCCTATTTTAACTCTCATGCGCATATTAGATGTCATAATTAGTCATGGATCTTCATCACTATTTCATATTTCTCTTGCGTTATTATATTTAAATAAGACCAAAATTATTCAATGTAATGATATGGATACTTGTATGAGCATACTTAAGGCTACTACAAAGTATTCTGACAATCCTTCACTAGTTATTAAAACTGCCTTCAGATATAAAATACATAAATACTTTCTTCATGAGCTTCAGCTAATAATTCAGAATCAATTGAATAGTGAACAGAAAAGATTACCATATAGTTTTAATTAAATCTTCATAAATTGTTCAATTTTTAAATATATTCAGATACAAAAAAACGTTTATGTTTTTATGAAATCCATATTGGCCTTTGATTTCTAATTAAACTCTCGTAATCTCGGTTTAGATAATTGGTAAAATAGGAAGTTGGCATTTCCATACTATCTATAATATCAAGAACTTTGTTTGTTCTGGGATCTATCATTTTCTGTATACTTCTGAACCAGGCATACACTTTTTTTTTACTAATGGATAATCTAAATATACCAAACTTATTCAGATTCATGGGAATAGTATCATTAGAAGAAATTTCAAATAAATCATCTGTTATTTTCCAGCAGTTGCTAGTATCAATGACTTCAAGATTGGTACAATTTCGCAATATAGCTCTTAGTGCACTATTATCTAGATTTTCACATCTTGATAACTTCAGTGATATTAAATTTTTCCATGAAATCCCAATCTTACATAATGTATTTCTTGTTAATTTATTGCAGCCAGATAAGTCCAGTACTTTTATATTTGGGCAGTACTCCATACAGGTAAGGAGAGTACTGTCGTTAAAATTCTTAACATCAACAGCAATTAAAGTTTCTAATCTCTCTAAAGACCCAAAAGTTTTTTTTAATTCGCTCTCTTCTATATTTGCACAGCCTTGCAGATTTAAGTATTGAAGCGTATTATGAAAAGCTATTAAAGGTGAGATTTTTGTAACTAGTAAACAGTTGAGTAATTCCAGGTATTTTATTGGAGTTGAGCAGTTTTTATTAGTTTTGTGATTATTTACAATGATCGCTTCATTGTTGATAGCCTTATCTTGATTAAATTTCGCTACTTTGATTTCATTGTACACTGTTTCAATATCAAGTCCTGTTAAACTAATTAATGATGAATTATTTATTGTACATGTAGTTTTCTCTAGTTTTCTTACACCACAGCTTAAATATTCAAGAGTTCCTACTGTTCTTATAATAGGAAATGATGTGATTCCACTGATTAAAAAGCAGTCAGTAATATCGAGAATTTTTAGATTACTTAGTCTTAAAAGCACATTTCTTAGAGTTCTATCTGTAATTCTACAACCCTGAATATTTAGCTTGAAAATCATTGAAGGAAAATTGCGAGTGAAGTATAGTTCTCTAAATTCCTTATCGGATAATTTTGCAAAGGTCATATTTAGTATACCAAGATTTTTATAGCTGCTTATTACTCTTTTAAGTATGTAATCAGACAGATGACAGTTCTTTTGTAAAGAAATTTCCCAAATATTTTCTTTGACAAAGTTAGATAACTTTTTATTTACTGAAAGTAAATCTACTGATTTTACTAGCTGATCTTTGTAAAATATGGTAGTTGTGAAGGGAAACACTTTAAAGTCATCGCTGCTCAAGCATATAGGCTTGGTTAACCATGATAAAATTTTAAAAATGAGGTCTTCTGGGAGATTGCTGAAGTAATCATGTTGTACTATAGTGTTATTTTCTACATTAGCTGAATCCTGCTTAGTATACTCATATCTTGATATCTTAAAGGGTTTGATATTATTGAAGATCTCCAGATGGAGCTGTTGCTTTTTTTTTAGAGGCTGTTTTACTGATTCAATTTTCTGTGGAACCTTTATATCTTCACAAATTTTTTGAGTTTTGGAATTACAAGGTATACATGTTAAAGGGGGGAATAAACAACATGAAGAAATATCAGATATGCACTGAACAAAAATTCGTAAAGAGTATTCATTCCCATTGGATAGATAAACTATTATTCTTTTTTTCGTGACTATAGTTAGTTTGCCCTCTTTTATAAATTTCCATACTACTTTTGTCACGTCATTTTTTAGTGAGACCTTAAGCTCACGACAACACCCAACAATCATTATTTCAAGATCACTATCTTGTATCACTCTATAGTGTACTCCATAATTAGATACATCTTGACGTTGTCTAATTATCCTTCCATTTACTTCTATTTCAGGGCGAGCACGAATAAATATATACTTACTCAAGATAAGATTGCTTACCTTTTCCATGTTTCATAGGTGCATATTATGTAAGTATTTTCTTTAGTTAGTAATAAAATAATCTAACTTCATATTTTGCAGACAAAATCAGTACTAAAAGCACAATGTTATATCCCTAAGTGAAAGCAGTATAAGAAATAAAAAAAAAGAAAAGTGAGCTAGACCGCTTACTAGAGTAACTACAGATTAACTTCAAATATTGCTATACACTACTCTGGAGAAGATATGATGATTTTATTATTATACATGTGGTTACTAACAGCATACACTTATATTATTATTTAGAAATGGCGCAACAACAAATAAGTAGATGTTACAAATATAATATTCCACTGAATTTATAGTGCTACTTGAGTTAATACCTTGAATAAATTCTGTATCAAAGAAGAATATTTTATAAAAGGTTACTTCTAAAGTTTTGTTCTCCAGTACAAATATTTTAAGAGTTTTGAGGAATGGAGCTAGGAATTCTAAAGCCTTAATCCCTACTTTATGCTATTATGAAAGCAGGTAAATATACTATTTTTGTAATGATAAGCCTTTTCGTAGGTTTTAGATTTAAATAATTGCGTGAGTATATTCTAACAAAGTATTGGGAAAGTGATTTCTAGCTGTGCAAATAGAATAATTTAAGCAGTTTAACAATTAAAAGTGTTCCAAAATATAATTTTATTTATTTGATACAGTATAAATATTGGATTATAATTCTTAAGAATAATTAAATATATATACCTACTATTTAATAGATATAATAACTTGTTCACATTTATAGCTGAATACTAGGTTTGCAATAGTTCATTAGTCTCAGGTTAAGGAAATTTTTGTTATTCAGAATTAAAAGTAAACTATTTAACCTTTCATAACATTTGAGATATTTTTTTACTTTTTGTTTGATTACTTTAGATAAGTCTACTTTGTAGATTTAGAAGATGATGCTAATAATATTATAATGAAAGAAATGCAATACACTAGTTCAGTATATTAACAAGCCTCACAAAAACTACCATAGTTTCTTTTTTTAAGATAAATTCTTTTTAAACTGTTCAAAGGATATGATCTAAACTATCAAAAATATTTATTAAACAAAGTTCAATTGAGATTACTAGTAAAAAGCTACTGTTCATTGTACTAATATCTAGTAATAGGTTGATGTAAAGTTGTAATACAAACAACCGAGTATTAAACTAAAATGATTATATATAAATGGATTTTGAAATATAAGCTGAGTGTATACAGTTTGAAGAGAAAGTTACACTAATATAGAATTGCTAGAATATGGAGTTGAAAATATTTTGTAGTAAAGCTCATGATTATAGTGGTATAGAGACAATTCCTACATGATCCAACGAACATACATTAGTATTAAAAACTTTACTACAGCTAAGATGTACGCTAATAAATATGTATGGCATTTGGAAAATTGAGGAAATACTATTTAAAGTAAATAATATTTAATTAGGAGGGAAGGGGAGGAGTTTTCTTTTTTTTTTTTTACTAAGGGAGTCAGTCAGCAAGGTACTAAAAGGTAAATTCACTATTTATTACATTGTACCTTGTTGAGCATAGGAACCTTCTGCTACTACAGGTGGGCCAAAATAGGCCAAAGCATTTCTACTCTTGTAATATTCATTTCTAACAGCAGATTGAGTCATTTTAATATTACTCTTCATCGCAATAGTTTCAAAAACACTTGCCCAGGCGGTGATGTGGCTAAATGTTAAAACAACAACAATAGAGAATAGTGTATCTAAAAATTTAAATGAAGGAAATATTAGAGCAGCAATCATCAAGAGTCCAGAAAGTTTACACAGTCCCAAACTAGCAAATCCCATCATCTCCCTCGTTCCATCATTGGAGTACACCTCGATTAAAAATACTGCCAACCCAAGTAAAGTGATACCAATACTAGTTAGCCCAATTCCCGAATAAAACAAACATTCAATAATACTGTTAAGATTAATACCTTTAAGTGCATTCCCTTCGTAATAGCTAATATTTGAATAAATAGTTACTATTAATAAAATTAACCCTAGCAAAGTAACCAAGGTTCCTTGGCCAAGTGCCTTACATCCTGCCCTATATCCTCTTGTCTGACTAATGCTACCATCATCATCCATTAATACTGTCGATACATTCAAACATAGAACTCCAATAATTAAGATCATAATAAACACAAAACTAACACTTGTAGGAATTGTTGCATCATTAAATGGACTTAAAAATTTTATTACTTGGAGTCCATACCCTGCTGATATAGAGCATAAAAGAGTTCCAATGAATCCAAGAAGTATTAAACCAAAACCCAATTTTAAATTATTAGCTAAAAATTTCTCAAAAAATAAGGGATGCGATGGACCTCTCCCTTCAGGTGCATCCCCTGGTCGGACAACATAAGTAAAATACATCATCTTCAAACAAGTAATAGCAAAGGTATAGTATGTAGCTTGATTTTCTGTATATTAGTCCCAATTTTTTTTATATATTAGTGATTATGTATGCATATATTTATTGGAAATATTGCAAGAGGAAAAAGCATGCCTCTATACAAGGTTGTATACATCCTACGTATAGTTCGCTGTGCGCAAATACACATCCACAAGGTCTCTGATAAAACTTGCACTATACAATATGCAAATGTAATTAATTTTATTGAGATCTTTTAATTAGAGATTGAGCTAGGTTTTTTCGCATAATTCAAAGCAGATTATTTATTGTTATTAATATTTACCTTCATTGTTTGGTAATAAAAAATTCTACCTCTTAGAAGGAAATCCAAATATTGCGGGGAAAAAAGTCTAATATAACTGGATTTTTTTCAATAAAGCAGAAAGTGTATATTGTGAATCTAATCTGTACCCCACTTTAAACAAAATGTTGATATCTCTTCAGTACTAGATACCACTTTGTGATATTTAATATTACATAGGCAGGTAATAAATTTCAGAATTTAGGATAAAGATTTATTAGTAATGAAATAGGATATTTAAATAGTTCAGACTATTCTAAGTTCCCACAATATTGCGTTATTTTAGATTTCAGAGTACTAAGTTTGTGTCTAACTTAATGACATCTAATAGGATTTCAGCCTATATATTGTAAAGTATAAAGCAATTAGCACTTTATCTGAGTATGTAGTCTGAAAATACTGCAGTTGATAAAGTAATGCTTTTATTTAAGCTTGTGAATTATTAAACATCGCTTACTAAAGTTGATATTGTGCCGCCTAGTATTGAGGAACGCATGTCTATTATACTGAGGTTTTTGATTAGAAGGTAGCTATCTGTAGACGACATTGCGGATTTGTGTGGCATGTGTACGTAATATATTGTAATATATATACGTAAGTAGACAAGTTGCCTAACGTAGTGTTTTGTCCATATTCTTCAAATACATGGCAGCTATCATAGACATGTGTACCAAAAATCTAGATATACTTTGGTAAGAGGAAGTAATTAAAATATATTAGATAGGTATTTTTAGTTTCCAGAAGTAATAATATAGGACAACTGTATTCAGAAATCTCGATCATTTCATTTAAAGAAATTTCGGGTGTTACTTTATATTTTCGATTTTAGTCAAATAGGAAAGGGAGAATGTATACAAAAGGGTATTCTGGTGAAGAGCCTATGCTCTACCATCAAGGAACCGGAATAAGTAAGGCTTCATCAAACCACTTCAATATGGCTGCTTCACAAGGAATGCAAGCAATGAATGATGGCATTATGGATGATGAGCTCATAAATGAAAGAGGTGAGGAGATTACTCCAATAATTACTAATTTCTCCTGTATTATGCTAAGATCTGGTACTTTCTTGCAATGTATTAGTTTAATATTATTATGTATTATGTATACTATCTTTGGAAATAGTGGATTTTTTACTTTTGATTTATATGGAAATGGTGGAACACTAGCAGAAGATTTGAGCTACTATGCAAGTGTTGCTTGTATACTATGTATGTACCTTGTGGGGGTTTTATTGTTGGCAGGGTTTCAAGAATTCATTGCTGATAATTCAAAGGCACCTCTTGGTTTCCGTGCAGGCTCCAGATTACTGAATACTGCCAATATTATTCAAGTCATTGTAATTGCACTTCGAATTACACAATTTTCATTTGCTTACTATTACTTCAATCAGAAATGGTATGGCAAGTTTAGTCAAACAAAAGGTGATTGGTGTTTATACAACTTTGGAATAGTTTGTGAGGCATTGAGTTTAATGATGTATGGGATAGGATTCTTTTATGTTGAATCTTATTCAGATTTTGGGGTTGGAGAACATTATGCTTATGCGATGCTAGGATTATTTTGTTGTGCAGGGATTACAGAGTTACTAATGCTGTTTACAGGATTTGGAAGCTTTTTTACCTTGATTCTTGTTCTTGCGTTGATAGCTACAAGTATTTGGGCATTTTATTTTGAGCCCCTATTAGAAACCTACTCTCCATTGCTATTTTCTAGAGATGTAAATGCTGATGTACTACCAAAAGAAACTTTGGCCGATGATGATATGAGCATTGAAAAAAGTCGTGGTGTAAATAATTTCCAACCAAACTTCACCTACCAGCTTTATGCAGGAGCTAATGGTGGTAACTCCTATGGAGTTGAAATGCAATAAATTAATGAATTTAATATTTACATTATTGATTAATCCAACTTTGTCAATTACCGAGAACTCATGGATATTACAGAAACACTGAATAAAGTGGTGTTTCTTAGGAAGTAGTGTGCTTTTATGCTTTTTAAAGGGGAATAAATAGATAAGGTCAGGGATGCCCAAGGGAATTTTACTAAGCAAAGGCTTCCCTTATTCGGTTTTTCACTGGGGAGTTGGATTGAAGTGTTTTTTTTAAATTTTGAAAGTGGCACAAGCTTGCATTGAAAATGATTAAGATCTCATTCAAATAGAAAGAACATTTTAGTGTAGTTCCCAAAATAGCTACTCTAGTTTTCTAATGAGTTTTCTAGCGCAAAGAATTGAGTTTGTATAAAACTAGTGTAAAATTTAGTTTTTATTGCATTTAATTGATTCTTAATGGTATACATTTTTAAAACTGAATCTATATAATTGGAGAAATTGATATGTTTTTTGTAGTGTCTTACTATTGTAAATTTCGCTATTTTTATTATTAGTAATATAACTTTATTAATAGGGTGTTGCGAGACAAATATTAGCATATACTCTATTAAAAACTAGTTATTCTATCAATTTGGACAGTTTTAAGAGATTAAAATATATTTCAAACTACAAATTAAAAAAGAAATTATATTGAACTTCGTCATATCTCTTTATAAGGAACATATTATAGCTTAGCTCATATTGTAGAAATTATCGAATAAAAGTTATATGAAGTACTTAAATAAATTTTTAATTGTCTTATTAATGATCACAATATATGGGATATTTAATAGTAAACTTTGATCTTAATCTACTTCTTTTTAAGAGGCTGTTTAATGAGACTGAGTGAATGTTTCAAGAATTACCTGAAAATTCCAATAAGCTATCTGTAAAAAATAATGTTTCAATTTAACTAGAATTTCGTGCTAGTCTATTTGTTAAAATGTAAATATTTAGAGAAAGTTAATCTTTTTGGTATAAAGTGAGGAAGATCGACTACTGTGGAGCATCATACTTTTTCCTTTACCAAAATAAAAAGTCCAATTCTATTTAGTAGTATAGTACATTTGTAGTTTTAATAAACTATGAACTAACTTAATATTCACACTTTATAGGCTGATATTTAATCATCTAATTTTGAATTATAATATTGCAATACTAAAGTTAGAGAATAAATATATTTAAAATGCTAACTCCAAAATCCGATATTAAACAAAGTTGGATTTTTATTTAAAGAGTATAGAGAATCAATATCTATACATAATCTTATTTTAAACATGTGAAATTTATAAGATTCCAGCAAACACTCCAAAGATTTTATAGTCTAAGTTTACTGCTGGAGTTTTTATAGTAGCTTTATATAAGTTCACTAATAATATTAATTACTTAATATATTGTAATTACAAATAGCCTAACAGCTAAAAAAAAGTGGTTTTGTTTAAAAAATTGGATTTATTATTATATTTATTTAATTTTGCATAAGTTGAAGAACATATCGCAAATTTAAAATATCTCTCTTCTCTACAGGTACTGACCTTTAAAACTTGCACTTAAAGGGTAATTTTCAAATATAATGCAGAACTTGATAGCAATTCATAACATTACTTTAGATATTTGCTAGATTTCGTATCCCAGTGTAAAAGATAAGTTGGCAATAAATTGGCAAATTTGTATTCAGCGGTAAGTACAGGTTGACAATAGTATGTACTAATACTTTTTTTTTCTTTCTCTACTTCTAGTTTCCCCCTCCAATTCAAAGTTAAGATATACAATGAGTCATGTTATACCAAAAGATTCTCAAATATATTTAGAATCGAAAAAGGCAAATAATATCCTTAAATATTCAAAAAATTGGGTAGAGGATGAAATGCTACGTACTTGCATAAGTGCTGGATTACCTGAAAACTATGATTTCGAAATAGGGAAAACAATAAATCGAATAGTAGAGCTTAAAGCAAGTAGACCAGAGGAAGATTTAGAGAAAGAGTTTACTGTATATCTTCAAATGCCTGAGGGGTTACTTATATTTTCTGATGCCTTATCTTCTATTATTGAGCATTTTGCTAAGGTTAATGTGGTTATTTTAGGTGATATTACTTATGGAGGATGCTGTATAGAGGATCAACTGATGAGATGTATAGAAATGGCACACTGTAGTGATATGAATTCTTCACTACTTGTCCATTATGCACATTCCTGTTTAATTCCAATGGATGAGCTAACAACCTATCAATGCCCAGATATACCAAATATACTATATGTTTTTGTAGAAATTCATCTTTCCATACAACATTTTGTAAATACTGTTAAACAAAACTTTCATAAAAAAACTAAATTATCCCTTTTATCAACTATCCAGTTTCACAGTACCATAATTAACGGTACTACAGAATTGAATGAACACTTTTCCAGTCCTGTTGAAATTTTATCATGTGATCCATTAGCATTAGGAGAGACTCTTGGTTGTACTAGTGCAATTCTTCCTGATTATATTGATGTGTGCATTTTTGTATCTGATGGAAGATTTCATCTTGAAAGTGCAATGATGCAAAATCCGCATGTAGAATTCTATAGATATGACCCTTTTTCTAAGAAGATTACATTGGAGAAATTTAACCACATATTACTTCATGAGAATAGAAAAAGTGCGATAAAATCATCATTTAATATAATTAAGGAAAAATCTAAATCAGTTGGACACAATTTTGTAAATATCGCCTTACTATTTAGTACTTTAGGGCGACAAGGAAGCTTCGCTATAAAGGAAAGACTCCAGGTATTAGTAGATGAACACAACAACAAGACTGTTGAACTCTTACCACTTCATTTAAGCACTATGATGCTCTCTGACCTTTCCACTGAATATATTAATGGTAAAGTTTTAAGTGGAGTCGATTTAGCTATACAATTGGGATGTCCACGCTTGTCTACAGATTGGGGATTATACTATGATAAACCAATTTTAAACTCATATGAAGGCTTTATTTTACTTGGAAACTTATCTAAAGGGAATTATGAATATCTTTTGACATTCCAAAGTTTGTCTAGCAAGGAAAATCCTAAATTTTTATATCGTGAGATTTATCCAATGAATTACTGGGCTATGAAGGGTGATATCTGGTGCAACTATTATGCTGGGGAGTCACGTAATGGTACATACACCTCAACTACTGAGCAAAAGCAGATAAATAGAGAGAAGATGAGGAGGCAAAAGTTGAAACTACTAAATCTAAAGAAAATAGACGTCAAATATGACTCCTAAATAAAAAGTGTGATTCAATACACTAAATATTTGTTAAAACCTAATAATTAAAAGATGTACCATAAAGTTGTTATATTTTAAGTAATACGGAGAAACTGGAGTGTATTTAATGTGTTTTAATGGCACAAATGCTTCTAATTTAATGTAATTATGGTCCAAACTTCTGAACTTCAATAGATTCAGAGAAAATTACACATTAATATCTGTATGTTTCTAAGTTACTATGTTTGATGAGTCACATGTATTCAAAATTATTTTTCATTGTCCAACTATTTATATCCTATGTGAATTTTTTATTATTATAGTAACTTTTCCCAGCATCTTTTGATGTATTACTTCACACTTTAATAAGCTGAATTACAACTATCAAAGTCATAAAATTTAGTATGATACTAATATCTTTGTTAGCATCTATTTAGAATCAGTGGTCAATAGAATAAGTCTTTTCTTTCGAGGTAACTTACATAAACACATGAATAATGTTAAGTAATGGAGATGATCTCCTACATGCAAGCTATTTGCTCATGATCTTCCTAACTATATATACTTACAGGCGCTTATGTATAATTAGTAACAGGTAAACAGACTTTCCTCTAAATTCCAATTTCTACTTAAATGTCTACTTTATTATAAGCTCAATAGCACTTACTAGGAAGTGTTTGGGTACAATATAATTGTGCTACAGATCTACTAGTACTATATATTTTCTATTTTCTCTCTTGTCTGAGTGCCATATATATCAGCTCACGGATACATAGAGACAAATAATGCTGTGATGGAATGGGTAACTCTGGAAAATGTATTACAAGATAGAGGTATTCAATATGCTAAGCATCAAATTCTAGATAAAAGCGCAAGCAAGCTAAAAAAAGAGATCAATCTTTTTTGCAAGAACATTAATTCTATAGATGATTTAATAGATATGAATCATTCACAATACAATAAAAATAAGCTAAGCAAGAGAGATAGAATTAAGAATTTTGAAGGTAATATATCCCCACATATATTTTCCTCAACACTAGGATCAATTGAAGGAGTTGTTGATATTAACAGTCAGCGAAAGTTACACACTTCAATACTGGATTGTATTGAAAAAGGGTATGTATCAGACAACATACAAATAGTGAATATAATTGATAACTCTCATCCTGTAAGATTGGCCACTAAAGCTAGTTCAAATTGTTATAGTTTAATATGGAAAGGGCGTAGTTTACCAGATTCTCATGATGTTCCAATGGTCCTAGGCGAGTATACTGGCAATGTGGTATATGTTGGTGAGGACGATATAAGTGATGAATCATACTCATTTCAGCTTACTTTCAAAGATACAGCATTTAAATATCCCAACTCTGTAGTTACTGGAAGCATACCATTACTTAATGAAAGGATAATATCTGAACTCAATTTAACTTATAAAAATAACAAATATCAGCCTGAAACTTGTGAAAATTCAAATATATTAAATGCTAGCGGCGATGTTTTATGCTATTCAAAACCATACTCAAAGGTTGAAGAGATAAAGAGGACAAATGGGTTAGTTAAAAAGTTAGGTGCGCGACTACTTCTTCCTCATGATAATGAATATATAATTACAGCTGATAATAAATGTAATGAAATGGCATTTCTTAATCATTATGAATGTATAATAAGTAATAATTGCAATCTCAGAATTAATACACAGTGGCACTCTGTATATATTGATGGTTGGCCTCACATCTTATTGACAACTATTCCAGGGATTGGTATAAAGAATGGAGATGAGCTTTCTGCTGACTTTGGCAGTTGTTGGTTTTCTAAAATTAAAAGAATATGTAAAAGAAACATTATAGAAGAGTTTATACTTTATCGGAACAAATATTTTAATTATTCTCAAAGTATAGAGAGGGGATGTATGAATAAATATCAGCATAAAAAAGATACAAATTTAGACTTTATAGAAAAGACAGCACTTAAGGATATAAGTGACAGTAGCAATAAGAAGTGTCCTACACTAGATACTAAAACTATAATAGAAAAGTATGATACTTATTGTAAACCAGAACTTCCCTATGAATTTTGCAAGGAAAGTGGAAAAGATATTTGTGAAATATGTCAGCATATTGTTCTCCCAAAAACATCCAAATATAATTTAAAAAAATTCGTTCCAAAGAGCATATCATATCAATGCTTTCCAGATATTCCTGATAATATTCAGTCATATGTGGTATGTAGTGGCTGTAATAGAGCTTATCATTGGCAATGTATTCAACGTCCAGAATTAACAAAATTATCAATGATGTTTAACCGATGGTATTGCTTTCAATGTATACAGCTTGCATTAGATATTCTACCTTTATTAATTAAATGCATCCCTGGAATAGACTTAAATATAATTAAAATTATAAATGACTTCTTTAGTGGAAATATATTCTACTCTGGAGTTGTAGATGTTAACAATAGACTAATTTTGCGCTCTAGTGAACAAGTTTTAAGAGAAAATCCAGGAACAATTAGTTTTAGACCATCTGAAAATTATATTGTAAATCAACGTTTTATAGAAGAAGATACTGGTCTTAAAAGTCTATCTTACCTAAAACCATGTTATATATGCTATTCAACAATTCAATTTTCTCGTATATGTAGTACTGGCATTGCACTACTGTGTAGGATATACAGGATGCACTTAGCACCAGATTACGATGAACTATTTAATACACTTCAATTCAATCAAGTAACAGATTCAAAAAGTAAAAGGAACTTGGCTTCAATATCATTTATTAATGGGAGCTCTGTATTCCAACCTCATTGTGAATTTTCTAATAATAGTAAAAAAAGTTTACTAAATACAAATACTGGGGACCAGTTTAGAGTAAAGTGTATAACAGAACGAAGCCGCAAGGTTATAAACTCTTTGAGGTTATCCTTATATCAGTCAGAAAATCACCGTTCTGAACTATTACTAAAATTAGAATCTTTAAGGAGTATACAAGACAAATACTTTTACACAATAACAGCAGGTAATGGACTAATTCCAGTAATATGTATAAAGCTTGGTGAGACGGTAATCAATAAGATATTTAATGGAGTGCTCTACGAAGGAGTAGTCACAAGATATTATCCTAAGGAACGATTATTTCATATAGAATACTCTGATGGTGATGCTGAAGATATGGAATATTCTGACTTTTTGTACACTTTTTATAATGATATTAAGTCTGGTAGAATTCCATTTGAGAAAATTTTAGTCCCCACTGAAGTGAACAAAAATAGTAACTTTCAAGTGACTGAGTATAATTTTGATGAAATTAATATAGGTGGAACTTTAAGGAATAATTCAGAATTTTTTGGAGATCGACTAAAAATTGATAGAGGCATATCAAAATACAATAAGTCTAGCCAAAATACGGAATCTCACATATTGAATGTGTCTGTTGATAATACCAGTGATAAACACACTATTTCAAAGTGCTCAATATTAGATATTATAGATTTCTTCCATAAAGTTTTTACCAAGATCTGCAAACTTCAATTTTTAATGAAAGGAGCAGTTAGACTTTTCGAAAAACCATGTTATAGATACATAAATGAGCCTATATGGTGTTGCATGGAGGGAAAATACAATGTCAAGAATATTACTGCGACTTATTCAATTGAAATAATCACTTCTGAAATTGAAAGAGTTAACTTAAACTTGTCTTTGCGCTCTAAAATATCTTTTGGGTCTATTATATTGAAGCGTGATATTCCTCTAAAGTTGGCCTTCGAAGATCTTGGAAATCCTTATAACTGTACTATAGACTTGAATAATGGATATACTTGTGTATCTTCTCGAACAAGAAGCAATAAAATAAATAATTTGGGGAATATTATGGAATGTACATCTGAAAGTGCACTTAAATGGATAAATGAGCGTATAGAAGAAATTTGTGATGCTGATGAACTAATTGGGGCAAACACTGAAATAAATAAGTATGAAAGTACTCATGAAACAAGTCGAAATTGCAAAGGAGACCTTAAATCAAGTACAGTAGGTACTTCTGATCTAATGACAAGTATTAATAATCTTATATCAGAAGAATGGATTAAACGTTGTAATGAACTGGCACAGATACTTGAACCTTATCCACCTGGTATAAAGTGGTTATCAAAAAAATGTGCATGGAAAATCACATATAAAAGTGAGGATGGAGAAAGAAGAAATTCAAAGCTGCAAGTTTACCCTAGTTCAGACACTAATACTGTGGAAGGATTGTATATTAAAGCATGTAATATTTTATTAGTGCAATCTATGCCGTTTGATTCTTTTAATTATATTAATTTAGAAGAGGGAAGTAAAGAAAACACATATACTGCTATTGAGCATACCCATAAGGACTTTATGAGTAGTACTAAAGATCTGAAACATTCTCAAACAATTTTTAGATCTTACAATTTTAGTGAAAATAAGAGGTTACTAGAACTAATAAGGGAAGAAGTGGATTCGATCAATCCAATGCCGAAATTTATCATTTGGGATGAAGAAAAATTGGCATTTAAAATTAAGTTTTCTGGGCATAGTGAACAACTTTTATTCCTAAGTGACTTTGATTTCCAAGTTGACAAATGCATAAACTTTGCAGTTAAACATTTGAAGTATATAAGTGCAATTAAGAGTAGTAAAGATGAAATTGGTGGGAATGAAGATTTACGCCCTATAAATACAGTTTCTGATATAGAAATAGAACACTACAAGAAGGGAATTAGTTACTATTCAAGTTTTTTAGACAAATCAGGTGTATTATCAAAAGATATTGACAATGTATGTGATAAACTTATAGAGGATACAGATAAATGCAACGACCTCGCTAAAAACTCATATAATTTGTTAGAAAAGAAAACAAAACTTAGAAGAACTAATTTAAAGGAAAACATACCCAATACACAGATAAACGGTGAAGTGGTAAGTCTGAAGTGTGATAAATCTGAATATAATGACATGAAACCTATAGTTAGGGCATCACCAACTCCATTGGATCCAGAGAGTCGTGCAAGAATTATTGAATATAGTAAGGAAGCTGATCTGTTGAGACCATTCCCACATGGTATTACTTGGTGTTATAGATCTGCAAGATTTAAGGTTCGTTATCGTAGAAGCACAGATGGAGGTTGGACTGCCACATCATTTCCTCCGTCAAAGTTTGATTCTGTGAAGACTGCACTAAACTTTGCAATGCGCAAATTAGCAATGCACATTGATGATTATAAAAACAGTATTACTATTCCAAAATTACCTGACCACCTAGTTTAGATTTCCTTTTCAGCTGAGATATAAAATAAGTTAGTTTAATGTAATTGCCAACATTCCTTAGATTGGGATATTTTAACCTAAATAATAATGTGGTCATTTTCCTAGAATATCTCATCAACTTTTTTTAAAATTTGAAATATAATTATTATTTTTGACTAATGAAAATATTAATTAACAATTTAGCAAAATAATTCCTTTTTTATAATCAAGTTTGGGATATTTTTATTTTAATTGAGGTTTACTTATGAAAATATTGGTAAAAAGGTATCATTTACCAGTAAAAATATCTAAGCTATTGAGTATCACTAAAACAGTGAAAGTATTGATCAATTCCCCCCCCAGTATCTAAAAGTCGTTGAGCTGCATTTGAGTCCCAAACACTTGAATAGTCACTCCATGGATACCAATTTGCTTCACAGAAGCTCATATCAGGATATAACTGATTATCATCAAGCAGAGAGCTTATTACTTGTGTTAATTGCGGTGTGATATTATTGACTGATGGAGCTGGAGACTGATATTCCACTTTAGAAGTAAAGTCATGACCACTATTGGAGTCGCAGGTTGAGGACTCAATAACACTAAGAGTTTTTCCTTGTTCTTCTATAATAGCTGTCAAAGGTGGAGTAACTGGATATACTCCAATGCTATTAACTAGTAACTCAGTTGCCGACATTTCTTGAAGCAATAAACAGGAACGATTCTTCTGATTTGGTGAGAGATTTGTGGAACATATATCTAAAGAGTCGTTAGATTTGTTAATTTTATCTTTTTCACAACTCTTATCAGGTTCATCTGTTTCTAATTTAGCCGTTAAAAACTGTGAATTTTGCTTTATTGAAAAGATATCATTTCTCTCTCCAGAATTGTTTGTGAAGCTGAGCTGTAATTCTCTCAGCTCATTTTGTAACAAATTTGGTTGTATTGGACTAGAGTAAATATAGTCACTTAAATATTCTTGGTTAATACTAGCACTGTTCCAATGATCTTCACTATATATATTCTTTCTTTTTTTGTTTACACGTTTTGACCTTGTAATTAAAGTAGACGTATTCTTTCTATTCTCTTGTTTCAAATTACTTGAACTTTGAAGGTAGTGAGGCACTACACTTATAAGAGGAGCATTAAAGATGTCTTCTATTTTGGTTTTGCCTTGGCTGATTAATCTTTGTAACTGATGATAGCGATTTTTAACTGCATGCGTCGTCCTACCAGGCAAATGTCTGGCGATATCTGCCCAACGGTTCCCCCACAAGTTCTGCTGATACAATATAAAGTGATCTTCTGATAGTGACCAATCACCCCTTCTAATTCGTGGATCAACATGTGATATCCAACGTTCACGGCATTGCTTTGCCAGTCTACTCACGTTCAATGTTGAATTAAGTAGCCTAGCTATTTCAGACCAACTCGATGATCCTAGTCGTTGCACCAATTGATACAATAACTCATCTTCTTCTGGACTCCATGGCTCTTGGGGCATTTAGCCAATATTCATTGACTTAAACCATCCAATTTTCAAAGGAAAAAGAGCTTTAATTTATATTTATTAAAATTATTATATGAAATCTCTGGTGGGGTGGGACATGTTAATCTACAACACGACATCTTATATACATAGCAAAATAACGACAGTACTTCTAAAGCTATCATGAGTAATTACAAGAGTTAGTTATATGGACTATCATTGCAACACCGCCATTACTATACCTGGAGAGTTCGTGATAGTTTCGTTTTAATAACCACAATTTGGCGGCTATGTGGGGAGTATATATAGTACTTAACTACTCCATATTTGTTAAGATATTGAAAAATATTAGAATATAAAACATTAAAATAAGGTACTTCGGAAAAGGTGACTGATCATAAACACATATTAAAGCTTCAAAATAAAAATAACGAATTATATTGATATATGTACTGGGAATATATTAATAATTAGTTCAGTAAAATATCAAATTATCTACTTAAACTAATATATTCCTAATAATCACACTAAGATTTCCTGGAATTGAATGAATTTACTACCAAGGGGTTAGATTATCTCCAAGATTAAGAAATCTGATAGTTTGTGGCGCCAAAATGGCGCCATAGTTTCCGTCAGTTATTGACAGAGTGAAATGTTAGAATTAAAATCTTTAGCTTATTGACATGGTAAAGAGCAAAACTAAAGTTGCTAAAAGAAAACTTCTGTACAATGATGATGTTGAGATAAAGATATTAAAGAGCAGAATTGTAATTGAGTTACCAAAACATGCTGAGAACTGGTCAAATCCTAACAGAAGTGATGACTCTCATAATGTAAAGAACCTTAACTTAGTAAAACATGAAGTTTCTAATCTAGCTAGTAAAATTAATGAGGTGCATGGACTAGATTTATTTTCAGATTTACCTATAAGTCGTCGTACACTCGAAGGTTTGAAGCATAATTCCTTCTGCCAAATGACGAAAATTCAGAAATACGCTATTCCTCATGCTCTGGCTGGCAGAGATATACTGGGACAAGCACGGACTGGGAGTGGAAAGACACTAGCCTATATTATTCCAATATTAGAAAACCTCTATAGAAGCAGTGCTTGTTCATTAGATGGCCTCCTGGCTCTAATCATCACTCCAACAAGGGAGTTGGCTAGCCAAGTTTTTGATGTTACTAGGGAGGTAGGAAAGTTTCACTCATCTTTATCAGCAGGGTGCATAGTAGGTGGTAAGAGTGTTGATTCAGAAGCTACGAGAATTAACATGTTAAATATTTTAGTAGCAACTCCTGGAAGACTTATTCAGCACATGGAAGAGTCTCCACTATGGAATTCAAGTAATTTGAAGATGCTTGTGATTGACGAAGCAGATAAAATGTTAGATATGGGATTTTCAAGAGATATTGAGTTAATATTAGATTATTTACCTTCTTCTAGTAAAGGAAGGCAAACATTACTTTTCTCAGCAACTCTAGATAACAATTTAACGGCGGACTTCATAAAAAAAAGTTTATCCAATGAAATAAATAAATTGGAGAGGATATGTATTGATCAAATTAGCGAAATACCAGAGTCACTACAACAATTGTATATTTCAGTTCCATTGGAAGAAAAAATAGACACTTTATTTAATTTTGTCAGAACCCATTTATCTTGTAAAATACTTGTATTTGTTTCTACCTGTAAACAAGTACGCTTTTTATTTCATATTTTCTCAGCTCTAAGGGTTGGTTGTAAAGTTTTAGAGTTATATGGCCGTCAGTCATTGCAGAAAAGACTAGAGATCTGTCATCAGTTTCATAATCACAATCAAGAGGAAAATAAAATGAAGAATACAAAAAAGATCGCAAAATTAAATATGCAAAGTGGTAATTTTAAAAGGAAGCTAAATTTCATTAATAACGGAGTAGTACTTTTTTGTACTGATATTGCATCTAGAGGTTTAGATTTTCCATATGTTGATTGGGTAGTACAGTTTGACATCCCAGATTCTACGGATACATATGTACACAGAATTGGTAGAACAGCACGATACTTATCAAAGGGAAAATCACTACTATTTGTAATACCTAGTGAGAAATACTTTTTGGATCAAATGTTATCAAGGCGAATAGGACCAATAAAACAGGTAGTAACAAATCCAAGGCAAATGCGTTTTACTCTTCATGGAGCCTTGCAAAGCTTATGTGCAGCTGACTGCAAAGTAAAAGATTTAGCTGAAAAGGCATTTATATCATATATAAGGAGTTTATTTATTCTTAAACAAATTGATCAGAACAATCTCTTGAATAACTTACCACTTAAACTACTTGCATCTTCAATGGGATTAGCAAGTGCTCCTATAGTAAAAGTAAGGTCTGGAGAGAGTGTGCCGAACATAGATAGTACAAAATCTATGACTAAACTACAAAAGTTTAAAGAGAAGCTAAAGCTAAAGAGGAACTTAAAAGCTGAAAACTGCAAGAATGAATTCTCTTTAAAAACCTTGAAGAGTCCTGAAACTGCAGAAAATGATATAGACATTCTTGTTTTAAGAAATGCTAACTCAGAGAGTAATAGTGACTTAAATACCAATACAACATCAATAATAGATATAAATAAGGCACTCAAAAAGCTGAGATTTCGTTCAGATGGAACAGCTAAATTATGTGGCTTGAGTAATACTATTAAAGAAGAAGTATCACACAAATTCTTTGATGAAAGTGATGATGAGCAATTGGGTATAAATAAAGTTACTTGCCACGATTCCACTTTTATTGATGACCAATATTCCCAGGAATGTAATTTAGATAAGTATAACCAGTACCTAAAGTCAATAAAGTCTCGTCTTAGTTCAAACATGCAGGTTGATACACTGCGAGATCGGCAAAGGATCCATGAGCTACATGTAAAGCGTCGAAGGAAGTCAAGGGAAAATACAAAAGGTACTGATGGGGGTAAAATATATCATTTTGATTATGAAGAGGATTACTCTGAAAATGATATATCTATGGATGTAAAAGAACTAGCTTTAGCGGCACTGGAGAAGTTGGGAGTTAACAAAGATGCTACTAGCGCATAACTTCATAAAGCAAACTAATTAGCTCCTAATATATTCTGCACTTTTATCAAAATTTGATAGATAGTTCACTTAACTCAAATATTCAAATTTTGTGAAGAATCAGTTTGGTGAGCTCTACATATATTAAATTACACTCCTTTTGGCGTAATATTAAATTAGTGGTACTCTTTAAAATTTTCTTGAGCTACCCCTATATGCGCTTGTAAATTTGCAGAGATATATAAATGTATTATTTTTAAATTGGATTCTTCTAAGATGAAATATAGGCTAAATAGTAATCTACAACTAGGTCTTCTATCTGATGCTTCAATTGACTGCAAAGGTTTTAAAAGGTCTAGATCAATAATAGTTCATGCATTTATTCGAGAATCATATGAGGTAGTTTTATTTTTATCAGCAATATCTGTCGTTTTTTTTGTTTTAAGTGGTTATGATGGTAACAAAAATTTGATTATTGCTAATTCAGTGAGATTAGTAATTACAATAGCTTGCTATTTAGTTTGTCATCGCCTACGCCACGGCAAACTATCTCTGGTTTTGTTATGGTTTGTTTTAATAATGAATTTGTGTATTTTACCTGATTTCAACATGAATATCTTTTATTTTCGTCTAATTGACTTATTAAGCTTTTTTTCTTTATTTTGGCTAACTGGATTTCACCCATTAACACTCATAATTACATCCATTGCAAGTGCAAGTGTCATGATATGGACAAATTTTAAGTTAACACACGCAGTTGACAGAAGTTTATATAATCCGACAGTCCTGTTTTCATTATGCGGAATTTTGTCAGTATTACGTCTATTTATTGGACTCTTGATATTATCAAATATATTTGTGAATTGTACAATTATCAGGGATATAATTGTAGAACCAAAGAGGTCACTATATAATACATTTGCATTAATTGAAAATGAAAAGAAACTAATATCACTTGCAAATGAACTAGATATATCATTGAACTATCTCTCTAAATTTAAAAGAAATGAAAATACAAGAGTTCAAGAGGACTTAAATAAGCAAAAAGCATGTTCAATTCAATCTACTTCATCTTTATTTCCACCTGTATCTGCACCGTCCATTACTATGTCATTAAATTCATCCCCTGTTGTGCAATCAGTGGCTTCTTCTTCAATGGCATCATCTTTATCAATGGAATCATCACTATCTTCTTTTATAACTTCATCTGAAGTATTACCCCACAGTAATACTTTGCAAGGTTTATACAGCAGACTCGTACAACGTGAAAGGAAAGAACTCTTTAAGGGGGTTTCATCCTCGCTATTTTTTACAAAAAAGTACAAATTTATATTACAGAGACTACTAAGGATTATTTGGTACAAGTATCAACATTTTATATTGTCGATTAGATTAGCAGAATTTATTGATTCAGCATTACCTCTTTCAACAAGAACTTTAACGCAGGTCTTTTGGAACCAGGAAATTGAGGGTCTATATTTGCAATGGGTACAATTTTATGCTTATGAAACATTTAGCTCATCTATTATATATATGATACTATCAAATTTTGTTTTAACTTGCATTTCCTTATTTGAGTGGTCACTTCTACTTGCTGTAGAGAAAAAGGAGGTCATATGTTACTATTCACGTTTTTCCTGTAGTATCCACGGCAAAAAAAATATGATTATTCTATTTTTTATTTTACGAGGAGTTATTCAGCTCACTGTATCATTTACTATTATTGGTATCATATATAAATTATGTAAAAAATACTCTGTACATTCTACAAAGCTAGGTGAAAGTATCTTGAGAAGTAGTGACTATGATCACTATAGTTATGATACACGTACAAAAGACAACTCTTTGGAAAATCTAAAGTCAAGAGGTGACTTACGTTTAATTTCTTCAGCACCAGTTCATGTTTGGGTACAATTACTATCTGTTATATTGGGTTCTTGGCTTATTATCTGCAGTATTGTTGATGCGGCACTTATGGGTAATGTATTAACAAGGTTCACAGGGTTATCATCAAGTATGGTTATTGGAGGTACATATCTAAACTTGCGTATACCAGGAACTATAATAGTATACACTATTTGGGGAATATCCTCATTTATAACTACGATTGCAATTTCTGGCAACACGGAGAAATATATTGCATGTATTTTGTCAGTTATAATCCCTGCTGCTACAATTATATTTTTACATACGATCCCATTAGATAGAGTTAGGCGTATCTTGTTCTGTCGCTATACTTTGCCCTATTTGCTATATATTCAGCATATTTATTTTGTACTGAAGGAATCAGGTAAAGATATAAAACAAAAATTTCAAAACACTAGAAATATACAGCAACTTTGCAGAAAGTTTTGGAAATAGGAATAATACCGATGAATCTAGTGTACTTGTTCTTAAAACAAAACTTAACAATGTAAATAGTTTATAGTAATATAATTTAGGGATTATTAAGAAACATAATGTTTGTTAGCGGTTCTTTTACACTTTATTACCAAATATTGAAGTGATGAATGAATTCCAGTACTCTCTACTTTTTCATACTTTATACCTTACTCTTTATATATATACAACAAGTCTCTGCATATATTAATAATGAAAATGGAGTCCATAATAAGGTATCATATGTAGGTAATATGATTATATATGAGACAACTTTTGAAGTCAAATATGAATTACTATTTACTTTATTAAATAATATACATAGTGAAGTCTTAAATGGATATTCTGTGTATATTTCATGTCCTAATATTGTATCAATCAAAACTACTCATCTTCCCAGAGGATTATACATATTTTTATTCTTTAAACTTGGAAAGATAAACTCTAAAGTAGCAAATGAAATATTATCTAGTGTACTCCTTAAGTTCTATAATCTTAGACATATATTTAATTTCTCGTCAAGTAGAGAATTCCAGACATTGGCTTCCTTAGATATTTCTGGGTTTAATACAAATTTAGTAAAACAAATCAATTGGTATTCTTTAAAAGACAACCTATTCTGGTTTATCCCAAACATAAAGCCTTTCCACATAAACAATAGTTCACTACAGTATATATACTTACCCTTAATTAATGAGTGTTCAGGTATTAACTTCTACTTAAAAAGTAACATAGTGAATATACCTATTGTTGATTCAAGGTTTGCATCTGTACAATGGACAACATATATTGATCAAATAAATCAAGAATGGAAGACAAATACAACTTGGACAACTTTTGGAACTAAAATTAATACAGACTTAATTTCGGGTCATAGCCAAGGTTCTTTCTGTAATTTCAAGAAATTACGAGTAATTAGAACTCTATATGGAAAAGGGTTACACAGAAATTTGGAAACAGAAGTTGAATTAATAGACTCACCTTTAATTGAAGACAAAATTTTAGTACTAGATATCTTTCCCAAAGAATACTTTATTAATTTATATGAGATTTTGGATTCTCTAAGAAACACAAATGCTTCATGTAATTTAATATTCCCATATCACAGAGTTGACACTGAGATATCGAGTGAGAAATCTGGAGCAATAATTATAACAAGCTTTTGTAAAAAATCATTACTACCAATACATTTTAGATATCAACCACCATGTAAAGGCTGTAGCTATAAAGAAACAACTTTTTTTAACCCTACAGTGGTACTATTTAAATATAACCCCAACGATAATAAGCTACTACACTGTATAGTTCCTGAGTACAGTTATTCATTTATTCTTAATGGAATTTTTAAATTTCAAGATGAGGTTTCAGTTATAAAGTTGAATATTCCTGTAGGGAATACTATGCATTTAAATTATGTTTACTTTTCAACTACATTTATGATATTATTAACATCTGTGATATCTGTTATTTCAATAGAAAGATATAAATCGGAATTTAGTTCTTAAATACGAGAGGTTTCTATTCAGAATATACTAAATAAAAGTAGTAACACTATAGAGATTTTATTTTTTTGAGTTCCACATAAAAACCATAATGATCGCTAAGTGTAACCAGCACATTAGATCCTACACATCCAAAACACCATCCATCAACTAGGACTCTAGGTTCTTTCAGTATAATTCGTGATCTATAAGGTTTATATAATGAGAATAGCTTCGCAAAATGTATAGGGGGTAAAAAGATGTGATCACATCTTTGCCCATGACAACTGCTGTGGGGTCCAATCGTATTCAATGGATTATTTGGATCCCATGTGAAGTCACTTGGCTCAGTAGCCTCTAAATTGTGCTTATTACTGTTTAAAATGTATGGTTGTACAGAATATGAGTCAGGTGAATTTACAAATGAATCATCACCATCTACTCCTACATTGGGTGTTGCAGAGACAACTTCAATATTAGATGAATTCGGTGAACAAGATGTTGTAAAGCCTCTCTTTGCAGCCTCAACAGCAGCCCTTGCAACTGCAAATGATGATACAAGTTTGTTTACAACTGCTACATCATTTGTTTCCTCCTGTAATATTGAAGGACTAGAGGCATCTTGTGTTACTACTGGTGTTAAATCAATATCTAATTTTATATAATTCCCATAATCACTATTTGAGTGTTTTATATTATTTTTAGAGTTCCCAATTCCTTCATTAGTATTAGTATTAGCATTATTGTCTTTTTCTATGTCATCATATAAGTCATTATTTAACAAAGTACTAGAGTCTCTGATAGTGCTATTATCTGAATTAAATGACACGACATAATGTGGATGACTCTTTGTAGGGAAGTGACTTTCTTTATCTATTACATTAAAACAGTCTCTCCAACCTCTATCAGTGAAACACTGATAATTACTACCACAACAAGTAGGTGCAGCATTAAGATCTCCAATTATCATAGGTATTTCACCTCTTCGAATAGCACGATCACATGCATCTAGTAGTTGTTCAATTTCTTTGTTTCTTAAATGTTCAATAATTTCTGATTCAGGATTAACAGCACCACTAGCCATATGAATATTAAAAAGTGTCAAAGGTGAGTTTTTCATACCTGGTAAATCAATTGAAACTTCCAACATTCCTTTATTCACAAGCCACTTTTCAATAAGTGTCACATCATTGAAGCAGGTAAACTTTGCATGTAAAATTGGATATTTACTTAGTACCAAAAGGCCATTGTGTAGTGCCAATTTATTTTGAATAATAGATAGTGGTCGCCACCTAAGTATTCCTCTAGACTTATTTCTATTATGCTTGGTTTCACGGGCATAAAATGGGTACATAGGTAAAAGTGACTCAATTAAATAATCTGAGTGTTTAGAATCAAAAACTTCTTGTAAAGCAACTATATCAGCATTAATATTCCTAATCGCTGATGGTATCTGTAACAATCTATGGGCTGTATAAGGAGGGTTCTGATATAATTTAATACCACATAAACGGTATTCAAGTAGGCCTGCATTAAATGTTAAAAAACTCAAACTTTCTGGAAGTTCATCAGGCTCCATCCACATCACTAACTTAATCTTCAAGTGAAATATATATAGCTAGTAAAGGCTAGTTATACATTATTTTAAATGATCTAAGGGGGTAGAGTAACCAAGAGATATAATTTTTAAGCTTATACGGGACAAAATTTACTTAATGTGCAAAGAGGAAGCCGGAAGGCCGGAAAAGCAAGCCGCAACAAGAATTATACGTAATTTTTTTTTTCTTTGACCTGATCATTACACTACTTTTCTCATCTTTTTTCTTTGTTTTCTAAATGAGAGATTATGATTAGGTCTATATACTACCTTATAATATCAATGGCTCTATAAATACAATTTCTTACTTTACATTATTACTAAACTGCCATATTATACTTCAAGTAAGAATTCTATTATATAACTGAATGAGATTATTAAGTCTTTTTAAATTCGCTATTCGGTTGTAATATTTTATAATTTTTAAATTAGTAGGGTTGCAACTAAATGATAACTACTATTAGGGAAGGGCGAAATATATTAAATTTCCCGCATGCAAGCAGTACTCAGTACTCATTTATAAATTTCGTCTTGAAAGTTATTTCTTTTTATCTTTAAAAAGGATATATACTTCAAACTATAATACATGGCAGAGTAATTTATTTGTCTATATTTATATTGCAAATGTTACGAGCTAAACTATTGGACCAAAACTTAACTAAAGGGATCTCCCAATGTAAAGATAACCCACTTCATATAGGAAAAAATCCAAATTTCAACATTATAAGGCCTAAAGAAGAAGTTATATGCTGTAATTTAGGTAGTTCTATTTGTAATACTTACCCCACACTTTATGAAAAAAAAGGATTAATATGTGAAACTAGAATTGAATGCAACTTTAACCATAATTGTATACATATATCAGGCGTAGGCTATGGAGAGACAGTAGATAAAGAATATCCCAAATCTGTTTCTAATGATACTTTACTATTTTCTAAGACATATTATACGGAGGATAGGCCTATTAGGTCGTGCATATCAAATTTTTCTGTATTTGGCAAATGTATAGTTTATTTAACCGATAAGTACAGAGTTTATGCTATAAGTGATAGTGAAACTGTACAGATCTACATGCCTAATGGTTTTGAACCAGAAAGATTAGCTCCAACTATTGATGGAATAATGATCATCGGTAAATATAAGAAAGGGATTGATAAATATAACTTTTTACCTATTACTAGACACCCAAGACAGCCATTCTGCTCAATAGAGGTGAATATTTCTGATGGCATATTAGAAACCTCAGGGGAATATTTTCTAGCGAAGTCATCGCTTGATATTAGATGGATATCTTCCACTTTACCATTATTAATGGCTTATAGTTACTTCTACAAATGTCATATTCTAATTTTGTACAAATTAACTAAATTCAATACTTTAGGTGATATAGTCTTTTTTGGGAGTGAGGTTTGGAGGGAAAATTCTGAATGTGCCAGCGAAAATCCATGTCTGGCTGATACTGTATATATTATTGAACCTTGGATTGGTCCTAATAGCTTCCTCGTATATATCATACCTCAACTAAAAGAAGCCCGTTTTATAGAATTCAACATAGAAAAGATGAATGGTTTCACTAATTTATGCAATTGCCTACATGAAAATTGCAATTCATGCAATTCTAGTTTGGGTATCCTGAAGGATGTGCATGGAGCTGTAGCTTTAACTTCAACTAGTGATCTGACACAACTTATGCCTTTCAATTCACCAATTTTTAATGGCTTGATATATAAACGGAAAGCCTACCCTTTGTTCAATGCTGAAAAAATATTACCTACTCCAAATTTTCTTCTTGTTCTGAAGGGAAATAACAAATTGGCACTTTATTGTGGGATAACATTCATATGTTATGTAGATATAAGTAACTTCAACAATGGAATATTTAATATTATCCATATTGGAAATGCAGTTGCAGACAGGTTTAGTGTTCTTTTCGAGATACCTAATCATAATATTGCTAATGGGACTTCAGAATTTAAGTCTAATAGGTATCAATTATCAACACTACCACACGATCTTTTGGTAAGGAGTACTCTTTCAATTATATTTGAAGTGGCCAAAGCTTGTTTTTCTACTGAAATCTTAAGAATAATATTATTATGTGACAGCTCACTACAATGGGAAAAGATTTGTTTTACGATACTTGGTGAGCATGTACTCTCTTCTATTAACACATCACTATCAATAAGCCCCCAAGAATCAATAGAATCACCTTCATTTAGTGGTTTGCAGAAAAAGTTAAAATTAGGTAGCAAAATTACTGATAGTTCAACTATGAATGAAGGTAGTGGATGGAAACAAATGATGTCATTTTGGAGAAATTGGATACAAAAAAACTCAATATCCCCATTTCATCGTTCAGAGTTTTCTTCAATGATAGTTAAAAATACAATTCCTCATATGCTTGTTCTACCAAACAATAGTGAATTAAGTGAAAATAATTTGCATGCAGACAGTAGTAATGTCATGTTAATATATTTAATGCATGGATTACTTGAAGAATTTTCTCTATGTCCTGTTGTAGGAATTTTTGAGAATACAGTTCATAGGCTTAGAAATGATCTCCTATTACCAATGTCAATCTCTCTCAGTTTACCAATTTATACAGAATACTATCAGCTAATGGGAAATGGGCTATCAAAAAGAACATGTTCTCAATTAAATAATACAGATAGACTTTATTCTCCCCCAGTTCTAGTGGAAAAAATATATTTAATTTTACATGGGCAAAGGGATTTTCAACATGATGAAGTAGTAGATTTTCTACTTGATATATTTCCCCTCCAAAAGTTCGCAATTAATGTCTATAATCTGGTATTACATAAAAATTCACCTTTAGCGTTGGTTGATTACTTAGTTGCAGAGAATTTCACACCTCGAAATTTCCCACTACTGCACCCACTAATAACATTTCCTATACATCAAACTATAACAAAAATGTCAAAGTCACCTTTACCTTTGAATTTATCAAAAAAAGCATATATTCTACTTGAAAGATATGACTTGATTGTATTGGAACAAAAAAATATGTGCTATAGAGATTATTCTGGAATAGAAAGTGACAGTTATTTAGAATATGATTATGAAATGAAAAGTCTTAATTTGTCAACTGTTGTTCTCCCACATGGTAGAAATACTGTTGATGATCAAAAAAATATGCTAGAGAATCTGCAAAATTATTATGATAATAAATTGGATATAAGGAATAATTCAGTTCTCCAGAAACGTAGTATTAAGGAAATTTGGTTAAATAATCTAAAAGAGTATTGGATGGAAGGGCCCTTTTTATCTATGGAATGGTGTTTTCAGCTATTTTCAAATAATGTTGAATTTTGCAATGTCTTGCAAACTCTCTCATTACAAACAGCACTACCTATCATATTACAACGGTCATCTGGAGCATATCCTATTGATGAAGAATCATGGGATGAATTTCAAAGACAAAGAATAACTGATGCTATCCAGCTAGTATTAACTAATATTTTAGGAAGAAGTTCATGTATCTTTAATGGATCTCCCTGGGATTTTCTTTCTGATCATTTTCGTCGCCAGAGAATAACAAATAAGGTGCATGAAGTTGCATCTAATTCATACTTATATATAGATAATGAAAGATTTAAAGATCTCTGTTCCGATAGTTTATTATGGAATGATTTTCATATCGGCATATCAGACGTTCTTCAAATTAACTCAAGTGGTTTTTCTTCTTGGTACAAACTATCTGTAAATGCTCGCAGAAATTGGATATTGGAACAATTAAAAAATTTAGAAGCTCAATATAGTGTTGCATATTTATCAGGTATATTCTTTGGACTTGGTTTAAGAGGTCTTTTAAATACAGAGAAGTTGAACCTGCAAGTCAAATTTCCACTAATACTTGATAGTAGTGATATCTTCAATTTGTTAGCTAATGATGGTCAAACAATAAGAACATGCTCAATATTACTGGGATCTGCTGTAGCAGCATTAAGAACACAAGATAGAACTCTAACAAGACTTTCACTAATGCATATACCCAGCATACTACCTACTCCTTATACTAAATCATTGCAAATATCAAATATAAACCAGTATGCAGCACTTTTATCACTAGGACTTCTACATGCCCAAAGCAACAATTCCAAGATTATTCAAATATTATATTGTGAACTATTTAGATCAATGTCCGAACTTGATGATCAGTCTTCTATACAACACACAGTATATGCCACATCAGCTGCTATTTCATTAGGTCTGGTAGCCCAAATCGGAAATCAACCATTAGGTCATGGAAATACCTCTAGTACCGTATTAGGAATTACAAAGAAGTTGATACAAGCAATCACAAACTGTGGAGAATATACAAAGTGTCTAAATAACTTTGATACTGGGTTAAAGTCAAAGTACATTGAATATTTACCATATAATTTGCAATCGGAGACTCCAATGGAATTTTTAAACATAGAAATGCCACCAATACTTAAAGATGAAACAAATTCTGCAGTTAATTTTTGCTTCAATGACCTTCAGCAAATCCCTTGCTCAAGTAAAAGCTACTTTAAAGAAAATGTAGATTTCACATGTGTTAATATTCCTGCAATCTTGTCACTTGCAGTGATGCACATTAAAAGTGCTAACCAAATGATTTCGTCAGAACTTCCAATCCCATATGATAAACCTGATTATTTAACTAATTTTAGACCTGAAATACTGATATTTTTGATGATGGCTAAAATTGTAATTGAGTGGGATACATCTGATAATCCAGATTTTGAATATATAAGGAAATTTATACCGCGCTATTTATGGTTTCTTCCCCCAGATAAGATGTATCCCTGTCCAATTTTCCATAAAAACAGAGAATATAACAGAGATATAGTTAATCCAAGTTTGATTAATTGTGTTTCTAGAGGTTCTCTTGATTGGATACATTGCATACAATGTCGATCAGCAATGCTTGCGGGTGTTATATGGGGGTTAGGGATAGTATATTCGGGTACCAGGAATCAATACATTAAATCTTCAATGAAATTAATACTTGGATACCTGGAAAATATACCAATGCTGCAGATACCCTTAAATATAGCATCAACAATACGTGATGAATATACATGTAGTCTACATGTTACAATTGACCGCTGGTCACGTGACTTATGCATCAGGACATCACTTACTAGCTTGTCTCTTTGTTTTTCTGGGAGTGGTGATAGTTATGTGTATAGCCAAATCGAATTTTTCCGTACAGAACTCTTGCAGTCCGCTCAACTTTTATGGACTAGCTCAACTGCAATATCTGCACATAGTATTTATACAATACCTTCAATGGAACATGTTTATAGTCAACTAACAGCATATAATAATGCACTGGGATTTCTGTATTTGTCTGCTGGACACCTCTCATTTAAAAATAGTGATGCACTAAATTCATCATTTTTACTTCTTGCTTCGTATCCTATCTACGCTAGAGACCCATCTGATATATCAACACCTGGAACTATTTTTCAACCTCTAAGGTTCCTATATGCAATTGCAGCACAAGATGGTAATTGTGCTATTATTCCCAAATGTTTTGAAGAATCTTCAGAGCTACTAGATTTACCCCTGTATTGTAGCTCAAATTTTAAAAATAAACAATTACAGCACTTCATCCCAATTCAAGTTGAAGCATCAAAGATGAATTCCAAGAGCTACTGGATTTTACCCGATATTTTGCCTTCTATAGATACTATCAAAAAAGTAACTATTTTAGGGACCAATTATTACTCTTTAGAAATAGATTTTGAGAAGATTGAATGTAATAACAAATTTATTCATTTATTGAAGAATGGAGTATTACCAGTACAACTTAGACCTGGGAGCCAACCTTATACATGGTATGATGCAAACTATATTATTTTGCAAACTAAGAATTATGAAATACCATCTACATTATGGTATTCAAGAGGAGTATCTGCACCTGGGAAGCTTGATATTGAAATATTCACTAATAAACACTTGGAAAAATTTGCAAAAAATATTAGATTAGATGGATATATCTTTAAACTGAAAAAAGTAGACAGTAGACTAAATTATTTGGAATCTGCAAATGAGGATGGCAATCTAAACTACAAACATATCTTACCAATTAATGAAACATTTACAATGGACTCAGTTTTAGATATGTATATAAATAATTTATTAGAAAATTTAAAATTCCAGCTATCTGAATGTGGAATTAAGAGCTCACTTTTTTCACCTCATACTGTAAAACTACTCAGAATAATACTCTTACTTGAGAAGAGGGTCAAATATGTTCTTTTAGTTTCATTATATATATCTGAGTTCTTTAAGTCGCAAGCTAAGACATTGGTACGCTGTATTCGCCATTATTACAACCTTGTTAATTCTGTAATTGCTCCCTCTTACGAAGAGAGGAATATATTTAGGCTATTTCTCTTATTTCATAGCTTACCAGTACCTTCTTATTTCATGAATATTGCTAATATTATTCTTTGCAACTTAGAAACTGCAGATTCTCCGCAAGATAGTTCAAAGGAAGAATTTGATTTTCTGATACCTTCGCTAATGCTATCATTTCCTACAACTTCTTCTCTAGGGATTCAAATTTTAAGGACTATAATTGTCGACATGTATTATACAAGATCGAGAATTCAAACGGGAGTATCGACTGCAAGGAAGTTCCATACAAAATCAGAGTTATATGCTTTACTAAGCGCATAAAGTGAAGCATATCTATGAAAAGTATTGGAATTACTTAGAATGAAGTTTTATATTCCATTACCTAAAGTATTTTGGCTCCTTAAACATGTATTAATATATTATTATATTAATAACTTAAATACATAACTCATTAGTCATTAGAAAAAAGAAAAGTTTAGTGTCCTCTTTTTATGCATGATATGGCGCCCACTTTCTCGAAGTGGGCTTAGGGATCTCTAGACAAACATTTTAAAACTAAACAATTGAGGTGTATTACTATACAAGGAAGTAAAATGCAATCTAATATAAAGATACCCTATTTGATTTTAACTGCAATACTATGTACATTATCAAAGGCTTCAACTATAAAATCTTTAATAGACTCTGATAGTAATATACTAATGGTGAAACATAATGGATTATTGAATCTGAATGTACAAGATCCAGTTGATTGTGAATATACGGATTTCAAGTGGTCAAACTGTATTTGTGATAAATTAGTAATAATTGGAACTAGAGAGTTAGTAGGAAACTCGTCTATAGGCTGCAGGGAACATGTAACTACAATAGAATTACCATGTGATGAAGTAGCATGTGGGCAGAAGCTTCTACACACCTCCAATGGTATTGCCTGTCCATCACTAGCAAATGTTGATGGTTCTTGTGATGAAAGTCAGGATTATATAACTCAAGTAAAGGCTAAGTCATATGAAGCTTGTAATTCGTTCTGTAATACGATAATAAATTGTTCTTACTTTGTCCTTGATTTAGATAACTCCATTTGCAAATTATATACTGGATCGAGAGTTTGTGGTTCTACAAATACAGGACGTGTAACTGGTCTTTATGGTTTTGACAAAATGTCATGTACACAGTGTTTAGTTGGAACTTGGTCCTCCTTCTCACCTTGTGTAGAGTCACAATATTCCATCTCTAAAACTGGTATTTGTGGAGAGATGAATAGGACAAGACTTGTAGCAGGAGGTAATGTTATGGAGTGCCCATATAGTAGTGAAACATGGACTTGCTCACTAGTGAACTCTTCACCTTGTAAACCAACAAATTCAGAAATAAATGATACTGTCATACTCAAGTCTCTAGGTGAAAGTAGTCAATATACCGGGGAGTCTAAAGTTAATGAGGGATTATCTAATAGATTATTTAAAATAATAGAAATTTCGTTAATCTTTGCGGGTGCTATAACTGCTCTTATTATATTCTTACCATTATCACTAGTTTTCCCTAAAATTGGAGTTTTCTTTTATGGAAAAAAACTTTACTGTATTCTTTCAGGCAAACAACTTGAGACTATACATTCAGCAGATGGTTCTGAAACTACTAATCAAGATGTTAATGAAGAAAAGTGGGAAGAAGATGATGATTTAGACGTTGAGTATGAAACAGAGTTCACAATTGATGAAGACAGGCACTGAGTTCACTTTTTTTAAAAAAAAAATTACTTTTACTTTATAGTACACTAGTAATATACACATGAAGTTTATAATATATAAGTATTAATTTAAGGCTGCGAATATAACTATTGCAGTGTCATAATTATCGCTTTAATCTTTTCTTAAAAGCTCTTTTTTTTGAACTAAGACGGGTTACTATCCTTGATGATTGAGATGAGTCGGAATAATTAGAATTTGATTTGCAGGAGTTTCCACTTTCTTCTGAAAAGTATTCAGGGCTTCTTTTCTGCTGTCTTCTCTTTATGACATATTTACAAGTATTTGCTTCACTATATTTATCCTCTTCTATTTTATTTGAAAAAAGCCCAATGTAAGAAGTCGATTGTGCACAGATCTTTGATTTTTGATATGAGCTTTCATTGGAAGTATTACAAGCACTTTGACTAAACAAAAGTGTAGACTCTGTAGAATTTACAATTTCACCCATAATTTTGTCAATTTGAGTCTGTAAAATATAACGAGGTAATCTCTTTGCTAGAATGAGACGAAGTAGTTCTAGTTCAATATATCTTATTGCTCTAGTTAAAACATTATTATCTTGGTTAAAGTGTTCACAGTTTACTCTTAAAAGTCTTACATCAAATATTAGACTAAGGTCAGATCTGTAATAACTAACTTTAATCCTTTCTATTATATCTTCAATACAAAGAGGTAAGGGTATTTCTCTCCAGTAATAAAGGACCCATTTATCGCTAGAATAGCCTGAAGATGCCTTATCTTGTCGCTTCATAGAATATATTGGTACTGGTTTCATGAATAAATCAACAAGTGAAAATGATGAGCAGTGAGATCCTTGAGAGGCTATCCATGTAAAAATCTTCAGTAGTTCCTTTCTTCGGTCATCTTTATTTTCTATACTTAGTAGTGGATCCTTAAAGTATAGCTCCCATGGATTAACCCATTCATCACTTTCTTCAGTAATATTCATTGGATCAGTAGATAACCATGATATTTTGACCATTTCCCATATAAAATTCTTTTCAATTTGCTTAACAATAGCTTCATGCCAAGAACCATCCACATATAGCCAGCAGGGTGACCCAACCATATTGGTTGTTCTAAATATATCCAAGCTCTTATTTACGCACTGTTCCAGGATTAAATAATCAGGTCCCTGTACAGGTAAGTACCTTATTTGCCAGCTACAATCTTCTGCCAACTCTGTATCTGAATAATTTTGTCTAATTAAGCCAAGCGTTAATATTACTTGAATTTCAGGATCAACAACGTTATAGAATGCATATGATATATTAATAACTTTGCACTTCAAATATGTATTTTTATCAAGAATTAATCTACTTCTCTTGTTATCTTCAATGCAGCTACTCACTTTATTTGTAATAAATTGTTTATAGAAGCTGTCATCCGAAAATAAAGCTGAGTGTCCTATAGGGAAATAGTATATTACATCATTAATTTGCGGTACATAGCACGACCATTTGCAACTATTCAATAACCATGCTCTTCTGCAAATTGACAAGTCATCATTGTTTGCAAAACAGTCCCTTTTTGAGTACCCCTTCTGTTCTTCATCTGCTTTTGATATAATGCACTTTGGACAATAAAATGAATTATATAGACAAATATCAGCCCAATAATGACTTGATTCCCTTGGTGATTGAAAAACAGATGATAAAGAGGGAAAAGAGTGATAGATCATACTGGTGCAGATATAATGATATCGTCTGCTACAACGTTTGTTATTACATTTTATGGATGCTCCATAAGTATGACAAAAATCACAATTAGTTAACAGAATATTATTTTTAAATTGGAGAGAGTTAGTTGCTAAACGAGGTACTGAATTTGGTTCAGTATCTGGCTTGTACAGCTTATATATAATATCAAACATATTTGTATAAATGTACTCTTTATTAGCGAATTCCCAATGTAAGTTAGGCAAGGTAATTAAACATCGGGAATGAATGTAAAAGGGTTTCTGCACTTTATTATTGCTTAATTGATTACTTGAAGTATCAACAAGCTTAATATCTTTTGAATAAATACTGCTCTCAGCAAAAGAGTAATCAAATGGACCTAATATTGAACCCATATCAATGGATCCATTTACACCATGCAATATAGGAGCTGGTATATTAGCTGTAAAGTCTTTACTATATTTGTCCGTTAGATCAAACCCCAAAATACAAGATGTAGATCTTGTGCATAAAATACAAGTGAAATCAGCAGAATGATTAAGTTTAGTACTCTCATAAGGAATCCAGTATGAGTTAATAAGTTCAAGCTTGTAATAGTGGCAGTGGAAAGTATTAGAATTGTCTTCATCAAGTTTAAGGTCTAATCCCAAAGCCTCATCACTTCCAGTTGGTTCTTCAATATTTCTTCTACTTCTTGTTATTCTATATCGTGTTCTTGTCCTTGTTCTTTGCCTTATTTCGTCAAATAAGGAATCTTGCGATGTTATATCTCCCGATCCATATTCATCACTTGATAAAGAAGGTGATGTAGATATTGCCCTATTGTTTGATCTGGTCACATTCCTTATACGACGTCTTCGTGAATATTGTTGAGATAATTCTCTAGTTGTACCACCACTATTCGGTGCAAAATCCTCATCATTAGTATATTGAGACGTTCTACTACTTTCATTTCCTTCACTTTCATAACTTATACTAAAAGTTTCAGCTGCTATTGAATTGTTACTAGGTGACAAGATAGGTAAAACATTGTTGTGCTGATTAAGATTAAGACTTTGGCTTCTGTTTGGCTGAGGAAGTGCCGACCATATATTTCCTGACTGATTTACAATATTTTGCTTCTCTTTTTTTTTGTATGAAATTCTATATTTACATCTCTCTACATAGATATTGGACTCACTAGCCACAGAATCTGAATTTGCCCCTACTAATGGTAAGTTTATAATCATAGGTAATCTATCTGAAATTCTGCTTATTATATTTGGATATTTAAGATCTTCCTTTGTAAAAAGACTTCCTAAAGGAGAAGCTTGAGGTATAGGAGGTTGAATTAGTTCAGGATACATCCTCTTTTTTGCATCAACTATAACTGATCGTTGTAGTAAATAAATTGGTTTTCTAAGATTCGGATCAATAAAACCCCATGTATCATGTTTGTGTACCTCGGAAAAGTCGCTTAAAAAAAATTGTTCGTATAGTGAATATTTGTAAGATTGAAAGATACTTTTAGTACTGGTCTGGTAGTTATTTCCTAAGTAAAAAATTGTATAACAACCATATTTTTGTGAAGCAACAAATCCAATTCCACTAGGAAACCAGCAAGCATTTAAATATGGATTTTTAATATTTAAGTAGTGGTAAACTATATTTGGAGATGATGTAAAAGGCTCTGAGCAACTACTTTTTTCTTCATATGAAGTTTTACTTGTAGTTCTGTTGCGATTCTTAGTATTTTTTGAAATAAAAATTTTGGCATAGTTCATAGCATTGCATATTTTTCTTTGAGATATTATAAATATACTTCCATTGTATGTTATTGCCAAAATAATATGAGGTAGTTTAGGATGAGCTTTGAGACATGCAAAACGAGAATGAGTAGCTGGAAGTACAACATCAACTATTCTACGTCCATTCAGTACTCTTGAGAAAAAAGAAACACAACACTCAACACAGTATACCGAATTCAAATTACGTTGACGTTCTAAGGAACTCTTAGACACAGCCACGTGGGCAATACAAACCATAGAGTCATTACAAACCCACTCAATGCTATCAATTAATTGAGCAACATTTTGCTCACTAGTTTTCTCATTTTCAAAGTTTTGTATAGCCTGTTTCATAGTATTACGTGAGTTACGGAATGGGTTACGCCTATTTACCTCACTATTAGAGTAGTCGGTATTATTGAGCAAATTAGTATAGTCAGAATCATCTTCTGACAACGAACAGTCAGGAGTTGCATTTCTATTGACATTTAAATTAGCTAATCCACTATTTTTGCGTCTAGAATAGGCATTATTTTCTATTCGCTCAGATATATAGGTTTTTAGATTTAGTGATTTAAGAATATTGTATGAAGAGAGAATCCACATAATCACTACTCCATCATCAGAAGCTGTAATTAAGTCGTTAGAATTATTTGCAAATGAAACATCAGGGTGGTCACAATGAATTTGTGGCATATCTTGGATCATATAAATTGATGTTTGATTACTTTCTTCATATGATAAGGATATGCAAAATACTAAGGCATATCCATTTGAATTGTTTATACCTTTAATCTCATAAGTTAATGTAATTGATTCCGAATTTGTGACTTTAATCGATATATTCTTGTGTGTATAATTCGGCAATAAATATGCTCCTACTGAAAAATATATAGAGTTACACCATTCATGTTGTTCAAAATGTGCATAATGATGCATTGGGGTGAGACAAATGTCAAAGGCTCTTGGTATCAAAGGATGGAGATCTATTTTGTATAGAGGGGAAGCCTTATAAAATATTGATGAATTTTGCAAGGGTGCTGAACTACTTAGTAGACAATCTTCCATTTTTATATTAGAAATTAGTTTCGAGATTACTTGTTTTGTCCAATTAGATTGAGATTTATAGTATCTCCAGTGTTGCAAACCATGCTTTATTAAATCAATTACTTTATAGATCGATACAATTGCATTATCTCCCGCAGTTAGAAGTAGTTCTGAGTTGCAGAACGACAAATTATCATTATTTGTTTGATTTCTTGAACAAGCAAATTTTGAAAATGTCATACGATCAGGGTTTTCAATTATAGCTAAGGGTATCCAGTTATTTCCACAAACAAATGTAAGCCAAACATATCCTTTCCCACAGCATGATACTATTAAAGTATTATTTGAGTTAATATCTAAGTCAGTGATGTCTCCCATATGCCTTCTGATAGACAATATTAAATTTCCAGTATTAGTATTCCACAATCTAATTATACCATCGTCACCAGCTGTAATAATACTATTGCCTGTTTTGTCTATTTTGACAATATAGATACTAGCAGACTCTCCACATGTCCCAAATTCCGTATCTTCAATATGTTGATGCCCATATACTGAAAGTAGGGGATAAAAAGATTTCCCAAAATTCTCAAAAAACAAATGAAAATCTTCATGGGATGTCAAATTGTTAATTCCAATCTTTTGTTTATAAAAGTTTGAAGTTGGAAGATCAAATACCTCAGCATTATTTACACTTAAGTACCCATTCAATTTCCTACAAAACTTCCTAAATAAATTGGAGAACTTATCTTTTATACTAATAATACTCTCTAAAGTTACAAAGCCATTATGGTTTGAAGTACAAGCAATTAGAGAAAAGAATTCATCAAGAATTTTTAAGACAACATTTGGACATCTTAAATAAAGCTCCTCTTCTATAGCTACAGTTTCACTGCAATCATAATTTATGTTTATTGGCAATGCAGATTTCTTTAGTAATTCATTATATAATACTGTTGAGGCTTCTTCTAAACCATAATTTTTAAGGATACTACACAGAATGTAGAGTGATTTCAAATACATATTTGCTTACAAGCCCTGTAGGAAAGGGTTTTTGTATTCATCCATTACTATGTTTCTTATTTATTAAAAAATAAATAAATAAAAAGAAAAAAAGCAAAGAAAGAAAGTGATCTTTGGCCTGTATTAAGGCAGGCGGCGGCCATTTTAATAACTTAGACTGCCTGCAAAATAAGCGTGATCAGGCTACTAATACTCTGCTGAAATGAAACTCCATAAATAAACAATGGCTATCTATTAACATAACTCTAACTCTAAAGATATACTCATTGTTTTGAACTAACTATTATGTATATTATACTTTCCATATTATCATATTGACCCCCCTTCCTATAACAATCAAATATTCATTGTATAGAAACCATCTAACATAAGCCTAAATAGGATTAAATATTGATATAATAGCCTCTTTACTTTTTGTTTATATATTTATTAACTCAAAACATTTATTTAATATATTTAGAGAGTACTATATACAAATATATATTTGTAAGAGAATACTTAGCTATACTTTTTAGCCTGCATATCTTTAGTTTTCAAATAGAAAGGAAATAACAAATAGAGATATAATCATCTGTAGTGTGAACCTAACTGAATCTCGAGTGTGGCTATTGTTACATTTTATAGAAAAAGTGTTAGTGTAAAGGATGCATTGTGGGTCCAATTTATAAAGTTTAAGTTTTCTAGGTTTAGTAGTATTATATTGACAAATAACAACACTTATTCAATAATTTAGCTTTTTTCAAATTAAAATTTCAATTTTATAACAATATTTTTATTTTGTTATAGTTTAGATTTTGTTCCTTTTTAACAGCTTAAATTTTTCGAAATAATTAGCAAAATTAGTACATAAATGGATTCGGACTAAGACACCACTCTAAGTTATTTTAAACTATAATAAACCCAAATTTTCAAGAATAAAAATATTCTTCTAACATATTATCACCTATTATATTAATATAGGAGACTTTTACTAAAAATTGAGCACTACGATAAGATTGGAAATTTATAGATGCATACAAAAGTATTAGTTATCCCCTAAGTTATAGTTAATTACATAACTTTATACTTCTGAATATATATTTTGTTTACTTTAAAAGTTCAAAGTCACTTGTTTTTCTTATAAATTGTATTATTAGTGAATTTATATAGCCCAAAAATATTTAACATGACAATTTTTTATAAATGTGAATTCACAGTACCGTTTGTGTAGTAATAGCTTGTACTATGAGAAGTTTGTCTCATTTGTGCAACAATGTTTTTGATTATATACAGGTAAATTGGTATCTAAAGAATTTACATACATCAAGCTCTGTGAGAGGAGAAGAATAATAATTTATTTATTTAAAGTTAACGTCAAGGTTATACTTGATTGGATTAATTTTTATATAGCGATATACAAAGCTTAATATTTCTGATTTTTTTTAAAATCATATCCAAAATAAAGTTTTAAAGAAGTTACTTGCTTTTCATTCAAAGAAAAAATTCAGTTTGTGATCATATATTCAACTCATTTTTGCTTGTTAATTACCGATAATAATATTTTCCTTAATTTAGAAATGGAATCTTAATATTGGTATATTTTTATTTTTTAAGTGTAATTCTTTTCTTTTAATACCCCCGAAGTATATATAAACCTTATTGATATTGTACTGATTCTTTTGAGCATTTCATGAGTATACTTACTATCAAATATTTCAAAATATAGCTTGTATAATAATAAACAATTTATTTGTAAAGCAGTGCTTTCTTATTTTTTGATATCTAATTTAATAAATATCAAGTAAACAATTGTCAATTTCATATCAGCTCTAATATTGCAAAATACTAGAAATTGATTATCCGAACTTCAAAAAATCTGATACTTAAACCTTAAATTCAAATCTTACAGAAAATCTTGAAATTAAATAAAATAGTTTACTATACTTGATTGAACTATACTCTTGTGGGTTTTATTGCCTTATTTTTCATACTATTCTCAATATATTAACTGATAAAAAAAGTATTTAGATTACTTGGATTTTTACAACTATATCAGCTGTAAATATTCTTTTGTGAGAATATTCCTTTGAAGGTATTCTATAAATAATATTAATTTATAGAAGTAGCTAATTTGTAACATGAACAACTATTGAATGAATATTTAATAAATCCATCTATTGATAACTATATACCTTTTTACTAGTAGATTTAAGAATAATGGGAAGTTTGAATTTTTATAAATACTAAGCTGAGTAAAATTTGGCTAATTTTGCTATTTCAGTTTTTTAAACTAACACTAATAGTTGCAAATAAACATGGTTTAGCTGTTCACATAATAAAGTATTAAATATTTCAATTATTAAGATTTTGTGCTCAGCTCCTAATAAATTATTAGAGATGTTATCAAATATCCCCATATTTCACTTCTATATTCTCACTTATTAATTATCTGTACGAAGATACAATCAGTAATCGTTTCAAATTCCAGTACATTACAACCTTCAATATGATGTGAACTATTAATAACAAATACTATCAGCATTAACTTTACACAAAGTAATAATTTAGACAAGTTGAAACCGATATAAAGCTTAATATTTAACTAAGTGAAACTACTTTATAATTTAAGATAACAAGTCCTAATATATTCAATATTTATGGTTTATAATATTCAGTAAGCTTCTAATATTACTTTTTTGAAGTGCTCTATATATGTATCCTATACCCGAACTACTTACTGACTTCGATAAAATCTCTTTTTTCATTTATAGGTATGTAGATTTAATATATGAAAATTTAATCCTTAGAATTTCCTGAAATCTACTTTACATATTAGGACTTGGTGCGTTAGTATTACTGGGAATTTTAGTAAAGAATAGAATTTGAAGATTCTGGTTAAATATAAGACAAAATTTGTAAATTTAAAGTCCTAACAAGCGATGAAAAGCTACTTTTATTTCATATTAGCTCACATCACACTTGATATACCTTTATCTTCTATTATACATCTTTTAATAGTAATAAATGTTTATTTTACAATTACACATTGTTAAAACAAAAATATATAGATTTACATAAAAAAATTAGTTCGGAAATTATACTATACATTCTAAATCTCTCGGTAATCTTAGCAATCAGCAAAAGTACTCTGAAAAATAAATATGCTGATTGTACTTATTAAGTTCTGTACAAATTTCTCGAACTAACTCCCTAGTAAAAAAAATATTCACAATTTTCATTGTGATAATAATTCATAGCATTACATAGTTATCTTCTACATCTTTGCATAGATGAAACTTGTACCTACTTGCTGAAGTACAAATTTTACATCGGAAATTAGTAATATGAAGTTTATTTAGCAGTAACAGACATTGTCCCTTGAGAAACTCCTTGGAAGATGAAGTAGATTTTTTTAGTTAAGGTAAGTTCACTTATTACTACAGAGTTTAGCATTATTTGATAAGTGTCAGTCCCGGTTACCTTCTTCATCTGAGTTATTAATTCATTTCCTAATTTTACAGAAGATGGGAGATCACCAGTTGTTTTCATAACTCCATTGACTGCAACGTAGAATTTATTTGATGTTGTAGCTAGCTGGAATTCTGGTGCATCATACATATTTGAGTATCCGGATATACTGAAGGAGAAAAAATCCTCAGGGACAGTTGATGGAAGGTTAGTAGTTATTGTTAGGTTGTCACTAGCACCTTCCTTAAAACTAACCATACTGCTCTGTGAGCAACTTTTCGAGTCACTTTTAATAACACAAAATGAACTCTTTGTAGCTTTGTAGTTAACTAGCTCAAATGTTGGTATTGGTTGACTTATAGGATTAGCCACCATATATGGTCCAGCTATCAATAGGGGAATTTCTGCAAGTTTTGAATCCTCAAAATAAATAGCAATGCTATTCTCTAGAGCAACTAAATAGAAAGAAATGACTGAACCAACACTCACAGCCCCATTAGGGTATGAGGCATATGTACGAATTGGGCTGACACCACTTTCCAATGAAAAGGAATCACTGCCAAAACGTACATAAGCAATAGATTGGAACCCAGAATTGGAAATTTCAAATGTAGCACTAGGAGATAATACTGCAGAAATTTTGATAGCTTGTCCAACTTGCAATCCACCTTCTATAAATGCAAACTGACTTGAATTACACTGAGTTAGATTATCAAAACTCAAACCGCATACTTCAAATGATAGTACTGAAGTTGTAAATCCTAATACGTATATCAGAAAAAGCAAAAAGTATAAATTTTTCATTTTTGCAACTACTTCTCACTTCAATCTATCACTTCAAATATTCACAAAAATAACTATAAATAACTATAGTAAAGCTATAATTGAGTAATGTCACGCCTTGATTATCATAATCTTCTCTCTGCCTGCATGTTTGTGGTATACGTCTTGTCCGACTTTCATGCACCCTTTACGTAGGTAGTACTAAATATACCGCCCCGTGTACAATATATACTTCTAACTTTCTTTTTATCTTTCTCTTTTCCTTTTTATTGATCTCTTATTTACAAGACAGGTTTAAAAGGTTTATATGTAAGTCTTACATCTTGTAAGTATCTTTTTGTAAAAATAAAACTACTAGTTTATATTACACCTATAGTAATACTCTATAATATAATTATGTTGTATAATATTCAGGTTTTATAATTTTAAGTAATATATTTAGTAGATTTCTCGAAATCACTTTTTTTTAATCCCGATATCTTTCTTTTATTTGCGGTATAAATGCCCATACAATCTCACGAAATATCCTTTTATATTGACACTACCGCCTCTTCATATACACTGTCTTGCAAGTATCGTAGTAAAACACTACATACTTCAATAATGAAATCTAGGAATAGAATCATATGTAATAGGTGGATTCTGTTGTGCTTATATTTGTTTATTTCAATTGGTGTATGTGGAATTGTTGCATCATATACCGCTATACTACCACTACTCCGAAAGGCGTGTATTCTAACCAATTTCTGTCGATGTGATCCTTCATCAACCCAGTACTCAACTAATTGTGAAGATCCAGAAAATTTTGATGCGATTGTATTTGGTACACTGCAAAACTTGAGTAGTTGTAACCCTTTAGGATGCAATATTCAAAACCTGTACCACAATTCAGCGTGGAAGGTAGGACTTAGTACACCACTAATAATTAGTCCAATAGCTGGTACTATTGCAGATATTGTAGGTCCCAGAACACTTGGAGTTCTAGGCTCAATAGTAATTTGTGCCGGCTTGTTAATTTGGATGTTATTAGCAAGTTCTCTATCGGTACATCCACTAGGACCACATCTCCTCAGTACAAGTTGGTTTTTTCTAGGAATTGGGCGTGTTTGTATCTCATATAGCATTGTTTCAATATCTTCTTTGTTCAGTATGCAGTCACTTGTAATTTCTATAATTGGGGGGTTGATCGATGCAGCTATCTTATTACCATTACTTATTGGTCATATCCAAATAAAACTCTCTTCTATAGTTGATGAATACACTGTAACTAGATTGTTTATCTATATATATATAGCAGCTGGTATTCTTTCTTTTATCATCTTACTTTTAACCCTACCAACTGTGACATTTGATAAAATAAAATTTCTGATAAACGAGGAAGAAAGTGACACAGTTGAAAATAAGCTAATTGGTAGTAAGAACATTCTCCAAATAATATATGATAAAGCTCATCTTAAAAAAGAGTGCTGTCACTTAGCTATTAAAGATTTTGAGGCTGGAAAATCTAAATCTGTTGACTTAACACCTAGGCTGAAAATGAACTCCATAAGATCTAAGACAGCTTTCGACATTCCTATTGACTGTTATCTGCAAAATTCATCAGCTATAATGGGTGGCTATAGTGTAGTATGCTCTCTAGCTAATTGCTCAAAAAACATTAATTATATGAGTTGTAATAAAACTTTGCCAACTTTGGGATTACAACCAAAAATTAAGAAAACAAAATTTAGAGAAATATACAATGTTGATCTATATGAGCAGATTTTCAGCTGTGAATATTTCGTCTTCTTAGCATTATTTGTTTTTAATTTTTGGAGAAGTTCAATATTAGTCTCTAAGAGTGAGTATATAGTTTCTTTAGTACTAAGTAGCAATCAGTCAGATGTTTCACTGATTGAAACTTTACCTAGAGTGATGAATATCTATAATAGTATAATGAGTATGGGAAGTATATTTAGTATCTTTTGGGGAGCAGTAGCAACTAGATATGGTGTTAGTTTTATGATTGGTATTCTAACACTGTTGGGATGTTTTGTCCATATAATACTACTTTTCCTCTCACAACTCCCATTTTTCTTTCTTTATATATATTTTGGTACATTTGCAGCTTTAAGATCTTTCATCTTTGGGGCACTTAATTGTTTTATTGGGGATACATTTGGGTTTAAAAATTTCGCTAGACTTGCTGGTACACAAGCTTTTGTTTGTTTTGTCTTTTTCCAAATAATGAACATTACTACATCTAAATATATTGATACGCTTTCATGGGAAAAGATTAATCAACTATTGATAATCATAAATATAATCTTATTGCCTGCACCATTAATATTAAATGCAATGCATAATCTTCGAAGTTAAATATTTCAATGTTTAATCTACTTGTTCAAATAATGTAATCTCAGTTATTTTGCAACCGCGCTGTATTACTGTGACACATTTGTAAGGCATTGATTTTTTTGTTGATATGCAAGAGGCTATTAGTGAAATTAGAGATGATAAAAAAGATGATATAATTAAGCACTGTATATCTGGTGGATTAGCAGGAATATTTGTCGATATGGTATTTTATCCACTAGATACTCTTAAAACAAGAAGACAATCTTATTTTACTTCAAATCATTACCTTCCTTTATATAGATTGAATAGAATTAGAACACTTTACTGTGGGTTTATAACAGCAGTAATTGGTTCATTTTCAGCTTCTGCAACTTTTTTTGGGATATATGAATATATAAACCGATTGATGGGTGGTAAGGAAAGAAGAACTCGAGATATTATCCTTGCATCAGTTATAAGTGAAATATGTTCATCAATTATTAGATACCCCTTTGAAACAATTAAACAAAATGCTCAAGTTATATCTGATACATACTCTCTTCGTCATTTATATAAATTTAAACAAATATTTTTAGGTATACCTAAAGATCTGCTTAGCATATGGCATCTTAGGTCTAAAAGTTATATGATACAATATGGAATATTTGCACTATACATCAGGGATATACCATTTATAGCAATTGAATTAAGTTTATGGGAATATATTAAAGCCTACAGCTTACATCGGGAATTCTATAGTTTGAGTACAATGGCAGGAGCTCTATCAGGTGGGATAGCAGCAGCACTAACAATGCCAATGGATACTTTGAAAACTAGAATATTGACGTCTAAATATCCAATAAATAGGAGTGATCAAGTAATATCTATAATAAAAAGTATATGGAAAGTACATGGAATTAAAGGTTTTTTTAATGGAATGAGCTATAGAATTACTTTGACTTCACTAGGTGGATACTTATATTTAGGTGCATTTGAGACATTCTTAAATAAAATGAGTGTTTAAATTAAGAAGTTATGCTATAAACTAATTAAGACTGTTTATGTTAAGAGCAATATTTGTTAATATTTGCAATTTAAAAGTGCTTACTTAAATACTTATTTTACTCTGTAATATCTGGTATAGCTAGTATATTGTGAAACTGATTTTCACCAAGCATGGCTATAAATATCAGTGAATACATTGCTAAGTTACTAAAATATGATTTCCAGTTTATATTGCTAAGGATTTGTTTTACATCTATATCAGTTCTACATAGTCCACAATGAGTATCAGTTTGACATCTCTGAATTATTGATATGAATGTAATAGGTGAAACTAAGGAAGCTGAAAAGTGGCATATCACAAATTTCAAACTTTGAAGTGCATTACTGGTTTCATTATTTGACTTTTCTAATTTATTTGTTTCATTTTCTGTTATTTTATAACCTTTCTCATCAAAAAGTTTATATTTAACCTTTGAAAGCAATTTCATGGATAACAAATTGACTGTATCTTCAATAAATTTTGAAGCAAGATGTGTTGAAATTCCATTCCATAGTGAAAGTAAACCATGTTCTGATTTAGTAGAAAGGCATATCAGTGAAAGGATGCTTTTAGTAGGTGTAGATAGATAATTAGTAATATTACCAGGTATAACTTGGCAATCTTCCATCTTACTTAAGCTACCTCCAAGTACTTTAAGACTTGGTTCATCAAATATAGTTTGTTGTGAAGCTATAGTGAGGCAAGGGTATGCTAGTATTTCAGCAATATATTTTGGAAAATAATATATAGAGTATGTCCCAATTATTTTAGATATTTTACTACTATTTGAATATTCCTCTAAGTATACCATGTGCTTTTTAATCCAATCCCTTAGAAATACATAAATGAGTGAGGGAATATAGCCCCTGTATAAACCCCAGAATCCTTCATGGTTATATATTGCCTTCAATAATTTATAACTAGAAATTACATTAGCTGGGTTGAGGGAAAGTGCCAATTTTTCATTTGAAAGTATATCATTAATTTCTGAATTATAAGAGTCCTTCCTAAACTTGTTTCCTTTATTCATATAAGGCCGACATGCCACACGAAGTTGAGCAGCATAAAGTGGATAAGATATGAAATATGATGGTGGAGAGTACTTGCATATTTTATTCTTAAAGTCGCACCACTTTTCAGGCAGCTCGGTAGATAAGATATTCATTGATTTGAATATCTAAATCATAGCTTTAAAGGCGGTTGTATCTACAGAATATTAAAACCTTAATATTGTAAAGCGTGACTTTTTATTTCGATATATTCTAACTTTAATCTGAAATATCGAAGTTAAATGCCAGTACTCACTTTAGTACATAAAGACATATATTGTCTATTGACTTAAATATTTTAATGCTACTTTTTTTTTATATTCACAACAAATTTTCTACTTTCAAAAAGTACTTTCAAATTATTTTTTTTTTTATCTTAAATAATCTACTACATATATAGTAATTAGACTATTTTATTTTAAGGGATTTAATTATTTTTTTTTAAATAGTGGAACTCTTTTTTTTAATACTAAATATATGTATATAACATGAATGTGCAGATTAGCTATTGTTTAAAGAAAGAAAACTAGCAAGTGATTTTTATTGGAGATACTGGTCAAAGAAAATTACTTATTTGAATTCTGTATTAATTCAATTATATAAACAATCCCAATATATACTTTCATATTTCTTTAATTAATTCTGAATAAATTGGATATTTTTAATTATAACCTCTAATAATATATCTAATGAAAAAAAAAAAATACATTATATTGTATCAGTTTGTAGCAGTTTTTTTTTTTTTTAAATCAGAATTATTAAATAATTTTTTTTAGATATATATATTACTATTTATAGTAAATAATATACTACAAGATAACTTTGAAAGTATAAATAGTAGACATATGCAATGAAATATTGATTTTTCGTGTTTATAATAAAGTAAATTTAGAAGATCTAATCATTCCTTTGAAGGTAAATTGGCAGCAAACAAGAAGTATTAATGAAGTATCAAAGTAATATCTCTGCAATGAAATATTTAATTTGAAAGCATAGTATTCACAAATATAAAGTTGTCTTCTAGTAGACTATTTGATTAAGTTACCTTAAATATTAAAACTATCTTCTGACTCTAATTTTCCTCAAAATAGACATATTTCTAGATCATAAGGTCATCTCTTCCGAGTCTTATTCTACTAAATTTCTGATCCAGTGATATTCCAATATTTTATTTATTTTGCAGTATCAATAACACATAATAGATACTATTGCAATTCAGGGAAATACTCCTTAAAGTAAAACTTTAACCGCTGTATATTACAAATTGAAGTCTAAATATATTGAAATATTTCTGTTTATACTTTTTTTTTGTGATACTGATCTACTTATGGATTTAATTAGACTCCATGGTAGAAAAACTTTGTTATATTTTCTAAAGAGTGTGTATGAATCATGCAATGGGGATAGCCTACCTTGCCATATATTTGTGGAGCCATCTATTTCATCACTCCTGAGTTTTACCATAGATACTGCAGATTTAAATGATCTTGGATTTAAAAATATACATACACTGAGTAATGGATTGAACTTTACGGATCTAATATATTCAATTATTTGTGATATACCTTTTGAATCTCAAAATAATGATTCTAAAATACAAACAATAGTTTGCATATATATATGTCGTCCATCTTTTGAATATGTAAAGATTTTATCTAACTATCTTATAACATTTCAAAATTCCATTCAACGTATTCATTTAAATTTAACTATTTCAATTAGAAATATTATAGGTTTTATTCCATCTTATACAATTTCAGCTCTTCAAATGCTCCATAAACTTATTACACCATATCATATCATACCAGAATGCTATTCCATACACGTATACTGGGTACCAATAGATGAAAATACACTGTCTATGGAGTATAGAAATATTTTTGTTGATTATCACCTTTACAAAGAAGAGACGTCACTTCAATTAGCTGCAAACAGCTTATATTGGTTGCTTAATTATACAAATTCTTTAACAGCTCGTATATATGCCATAGGATCTGCTGCTGCTTCTCTTTTAAATTATTTTTATGAAGTTAATGAAGCAAAAACAACAATTAGAAATGATTATAAACCATTTACTTGGTCTAACTTATTTGATGTTTCGAATGTTGACTCTACACAAAAAGTAGTCTTGCCAAAAAAAAATGTTCTTGAGACTGCTATTCCAATAAAATATTCATTTTGTACTAAATCAGTAGTGCCTGTTACTAGCTATGAAAGTGGATATAACAATAAGCTGGATGAATGCCCATTAAGTTTTGATCAAGTAATCATATTAGATAGAAGATGTGACATGTATACTCTTATGGCAACTCCTTTTGCCTATCATGCACTTTTAGACTTCACATTTGGTGTTCAAAAAACTTATGTAGAAATCCCTACAAATAAGGTAGCTCATGAAAATATTAGATCGAATTCATGGAAATTAGCTTTAGCTGGGGATACTCTCTTTCCTTCTCTCAAAGATCTGCGCTTAAAGGAAGTTGGAATATATTTACACAAAAAAGCACATGAATTACAATCTCTTTATCAAGAAAAGGATGGTCTAAGAGATATTGCAGAAATAGGGGAATTTGTGCGCAAACTAAAAGGAAAACAGAGTGAGCAAGGGACTCTAGCAAATCATGTAAATGTTGCAACATTCCTCAATGATTACTATACAAAAAACTATCTATCAGTAAAACGTCTTGAACTTGAAGACTCAATAATGGCCAATTCACTCATTAATTCTTCAGTTCCTGGTGTTGTAAGGGATATCAGTAATCGCCTTGGTGAAGCTCTTTCAGTTGGGTCCCAAGTAGAAGGTCCTTTAGAATCATTGATAGATCAAAAGGGAATTGAAATAAATGAGGTATATAGAATTTTATGTTTAGCATGTTTAGTTGAAGGTGGTTTCAAAAACAAGATGCAATTTGAAAGAATAAAAAAGCAAATTATTCGAGTTTTCGGTTTCCAAGAGCTGAGTCGACTCAACTTTTTGGCTACTCTAGGACTTTTAAAATATGAGGCAAATAAATTTTATTCATGGTCTATATTGAAAAAGAATCTCCGATTACTTATGAATGAGAAAGAGTCAGAAAACGATATTAGCTGTGTATATAGTGGTTATGCACCAGCAAGTGTAAGGCTTGTTGAGCTATTATGTAGTGAGTCTAATAAACCAGTAAGTGTAATGGAAGATAGTATTAAGGAAATTTTAGATAATATATGGGGGCCTTGTGTGGAAGTTAGATGTAATGAAGTTAATTTTAAACCACAATCATGTCTTGTAATTTTTGTTGGTGGTGTTACTCTTGGGGAAGTTACATGTCTAAGAAAATTACAATTTCTTATAGGGAAAGAGATATATATTGGAGCAACAGAAATATTTAATCATAAAATATTATTTGATTCTTTGAAAGCATATAGAACATGTTGAAGTGAGCCTCCAATAATACAAAATATTCCCTATTACACTGGCGGGCTTTTACTTTTAAATGCAAAGGCTGAATTTTTTAGGCAATTCCTTGCGACTATTAATTACTTATAAATAACCCTACACTAATGGATGAAACCTTAAATATATCTATTCCAGGTTTTGTGTTAGATGAAGGTAAGTTACAAAAAAATACCCGAATATTTATAACTAATTAAAATTGTATATTACAGGTATCCAAAAAAATGAAATATTAAAAAAGGTTCGAAACTATTGTGGTTGGAGACAAGATACTTTCCCAGGTTCCCAACCAGTTTCACTGAACCAACAAAAGCTTGAATCTTGTATTGGTAGAAATACATATGTTGCTTGTGAAAAAACTGATGGTATTCGCCTATTACTTTATGCAGCTAGTCGACGGGTTTTCTTAATTGATCGTAATCAACAAGTAAATGTTGTTAATATGACTTTGCCAAGTACCTATTGGTTTACAATAGTAAGTATCCAAGAGCACTTCATAAATAATAATGAGACTTCTGTAACAGAAAATGATAATACAAAAGATCTTAACTTTTCTTCTTTAAATAAAGAATTGGTTAATTTAAATCCAAATAATGAGCAACATATGACATATTTTCAACAGAATACCTTATTGGATGGAGAATTAGTTAAGGATACATTTTCTATTGACGACCAAAAATTAACAATTTTAAGATATTTGGTATATGATTGCATTTCAATTGAAAGAGATGAGACTATAAAATTACTACCACTTTTGGAAAGGTTAAAAAATGCTTATTTAAAGGTGATTAAACCAAAAATATTATATGACAGAATAATAAAAAAATTTTTTGGTGAAATGAAACAAATTAAAAGTGACCCATTTGAAATATATATTAAGGATTTTTTTGAAGTTACCGATGTGCCTGCTATTTTAAACTTCTCAAAACGTCTACCTCATTTATCAGATGGAATTATATTTACCCCTCTTCACCTGCCTTACATTCCTGGAACCTGTCCACAACTACTAAAATGGAAACCACCACACTTGAATACTGCTGATTTTGCTGCTATGTTTTACTCTGAATCAGATGAATATGATTCCCCTATATTTTTGGAATTGTTAGTTGGAATACGTGGTGTTAGAGCTAGTGTTAATTGCTTTTGTGCTCCAGTGGGTCCTTTGTATCAATATCTAATAGATGAATTTAGAGTTTATAGAACATCTGGTCAAATACTTGAATGCTTCTATGATCCAAATGTTGTCTATTACAAACCTACAAAGACTCACAATGGTGCAATTGCTTGGGGTGAACCATTAATTGCAGTACAAGGTGGATGGGTAGTAGAGAGAATTAGAACGGATAAAAATACTCCAAATGATATAAATACAGTAAATAGAGTTTTTGAATCTATAAGAGATGGAATTAGCAGTGATGTTCTTATTAATACAATAAATTTGTATCACAAGAGTGGGAAGAAGTCTGTTGCAGAATACTGTAATCTACCAGATTTCGTCAAAAAGTTTCAATCGAGTTTATTAAGAGAGAATTAGGAGATTATTTTACTTTATAAATGTTATATTTCGTTCAATTTATATACTATAAATCAAGAACCAAATATTTTACTTTCTTAGCTTTTCCTTATGTTTTTTTTACTCCCTCTAAATTTAGGACGTATTGATATTCTTCTAGATACTGAGTTTTCTTCAGCTTCAATAAGTTCATTTATTCTTTCAAGGCAAATTGGACAACCTATTATTGATTCTTTAGGACTGTTCAAATTTATTAATAAGATTCTAGCTCCACAGTTATTACAATAATCATTGGTTGTTGAAACTTTATGACAATGTTTCTCTCTAAATTTTAGTACAAAATTGCAGTTGGAGCAATCGATTCTCCAATTAGGTGCTGAACTCAAATCCAAGGTCAATACTCCATCTTTACACTTTTCTACTGGGCAGTACATTATAAAAGATGAATTATAGGAGTGTGGACAAGTTGGGTGAGGACACTCTTTACAAAGAATGTTTTGAATAGCACTGTCAAAGGGTGGATCATTATAACATCTTGGGCATAGTATCATATTCTTCTTGGTTCTTAAGCTATTAAATACTAGGAGTTCGTAGTCGTCTAGAGGACATTTGAGCTCTTTATAAAGTTTTAAGCTACCACCACTTGGCAATTTTAAATTTATCTCACAAAAAGAGCAATATAATTTTGGAGGATTAGTATTAGAAATATAAGTCATGTATCGTTTACACTGTCCACATTTACTTAGACGTGTACCACTACTTGACAAATTAGTGAAACTGAGTTGAAACAATGATTCAAAAGAAGTAATATTCTTTACAAAAAATAAAAACTTTAGTTTAAAAATTGCAAGAGTATGTTTAAGTACATTTCCTGCATTAGCCTTTCCTTGTGAAATTAGACTGATGTATCTTTCCATTTCACTTCTTATCATTGGATAAACTAGTTCTATATCTATATTCATATAACCATGAATTAGCGCATTTCCAAGCCTTGTAGGCTCTAATTTTCTTCCATCAATAATATTTACATACTTTCTTTCAATTAATTTTTGAATATGTACAGGCATTGATGCATCTGTCCCAATACCATTCTTTTCCATAAGTGAAAGTAAATTACCTTCACTAAGTAATGGAGGAGGTTTAGTTTCACCATTACATATCTCAATAGACTTTAAATTCAACTTCATACCTAAATCTAATTGTGGGATAGATATCGAATTTATACTCTTGCTCTTATATATTATAGAAAATCCATATTCATTAATTCTCCTTCCTTGAAGAGTAAATTTCTCACCATTTATATCAAATATGACAAATTCATTTGTAAATTTAATATCAGGAGATATAGTTGCTAAAAAGTGGCGAGTTATCAATTCATATAAACGCCAATTATCACCTGCTAAGTCATTAGATATAACACTGCGTATTGGTACTATAGGTGGGTGATCACCTACATCTATGCCATCTTGACGTGGATTAGTGTAATTTCGAGCTAGGATATCACATGTATATTGACCCCATAATGGATGATCCTTATGAATCTAAAAAGTAATCCACAATAATATTTCACAATAAAAATTTAATGTTATAAAAAATTACTTACCGAAGCAGCTTCTTTCGTATCAAATGATTTTGGATATTTCGTTGTTTCTGTTCTAGGATAGGTTATGAACCCCGACAAATACAACTTTTCTGCAATATTCATTGCTTGAAAAGGACTAATACCAAGTATATTTGAGGCTAGTTTGAGCATTTGAACAGTGTTTAGTGGCAGTGGTCTGCTAATTCTATCAGCTTTCTTCTTGATATCAATAACCTTAGCAATTATAGGATAGGTAGAATTGACAGTGTTATAAAGGCATTGTATACTCTGTAAATCAAATATTTTCTTCCTCTCCCAAGTTGGAGAAAGAATTATATCTTTATATTCAATTGTTACATTTAGGTAATAGAACTTCTCAGGAGAAAAACCTAAAATTTTGTCCCTTCTTTGAACAACAAAGAATAATGTTGGAGTTTGACATGGTCCATAAGATAGAATTGAATTATTAAAATCTCCATATTTCGTCTTTAAATAAGTTGTCTGAAACCTCGAAAATGCAACACCAATTTTTAAATCTAATTCTTGGCGTACATCTACAGCATCAGCTTCATCCCTATTTGGTGACTTAAGGTTGTTCATAGCTTCAATCACATCTTTGGGTGCAACAGATGAAAATCTAGCTCTAAATATCCAAAGAGATTCATTTCTTCCTTTAGCCATAACATCTTTAACAACACTAATTACTTCAAAACATATGTTTTCTCCTTCCCTATCACAATCTAGCCAAAGAACTAAGAAATCACAGTTCTTCGCTTCCCTTAAGAGGTGTGCTATCATTTTAGAAGATGATTCATTTTTTACAGTAGGGAGATCAAAGAGATCAACTGGATCAATTGATTCCCAATTACTGTATTTTGAAGGGAAATCTGTTTCAAATACATGCCCAGAAACTGAAGTAACTTTAAAAAGTGCTCTTTTATGCTGAAAGTAGGCCGTATATTCATGCACAGGAGTTTTACATTGTCTTGTATTTAAATTACCATTTGACAGTACTTTTGCAACTGTCTCAGCAATAGAGGGCTTTTCAGCCACCATCAAGACTGTCGGTACCCTCATTGGAATACTTCTCGAAGTTACAACTAAAAACAGGATTATATTGTAAAGGTGAAATTCAGTAAAGAGACAAGACATTTTTCCCAATTTTTAAATAATTCAATTAGATAGAGATTATTATATACTAAGTAACTAATTTTCTTTTCATTATCAAAGTATATTATCTACTTGTTAACACTTTTTCTTTGTTGATAAATTAAGTCTGTCTTTGTAGTCCCTAAATTTACAATCTTAGGACAACCATCTCTATCTTTTTCGCACATTGTACATTCTTTGCAATAATAGGCATCTGACATCCCGATAGATCCACATATTATACATCTCCCCTAAATAAAATATTCAAAAAGGAAGTGGATTTTAGATTGATCTTCGCACATCTTGATCTAGCCTACCTGTAGTGAGCCGTAGTTGCATTCATCACATATTCTAACAATTGTAGAAGGATTAACAAGTGAATCACAAATAGGACATCTGCCATCACATTTTTCACATAAGCGACCAATGTGTATTCCAGGTTGCTTTCTGCACATAACCAAGTCAGGATCTAGAAAGAAAAGTAAAAAAGGTATATACAGATATAATTAACACAAATAAAATAACATACGATGACGAGACATTTGACTGCTAATATTCCCCTTTTTGAGTAGGAAATATTAATCTAATTAGTTACAATAGTTAAAAGGGATATGGAATACTAAATAAAGTTTGTCTAGCTGCGCCAATTATTGGAATTTAAATCCTGTACAAGCACTGAAATTAGTAGCAATTTCTTATTTTCATAAAAATTTGTAGTAATATTATAATTATGCAGGAGTCATCCATAGAAGTAAATAAAGTCATAATTGTTTTAGTATCAGCTAAATCGAATGAAGAGGCTGAATCAATATCTTCAAAGTTGGTTGCAGAGGAGTTGTGTGCTTGTGCATCAATAATTCAACCAGTGAAAAGTATATATAGATGGAAAGGAGAAGTTTTAAAGAGTGATGAAGTGATAATAATTATAAAAACTTCTAAAGACTTAATTTCAACACTTACAGAAAGAATAAAGGAGCTGCATTCTTATAATGTACCAGAAATTATAGCTACAGTTATCACAGATGGTAATAAGGATTATTTAGAATGGGTTCTTGATTCCGTTACAAATAAAAAACATAAATATACTATCACTTAAAAAAATTATCCTTAAAATTAAGAAATCCAAATATACCTAAGTCATGGAAAGCATAATTAAAGTTTTCAAAATGATCAGGAATATTGCTATAATTAATAATATCTATTTTATTAAGGACTAATTTGAGGACATTACAAAACTCACAGTTTGTGTTTGAACTTCTTTGCGTATCTACTAAAAATGAGAAGAGATTATTACCCCATAACATTATTTGATCAATACTAATGTTTCCATTTAAACCATCTCCATAAAGAAAGTAGTAGAAAACCATTCCAAATACACACCTATCACAATGTGGCATAAAGAGGAAAACTCGCGTTGAAAAATTCCCAGGCAATTTGTAGCTAATAGAAAATTGTGATATTTTATTCAGTGGAATACTAATATCTGATCCACTAAATACTTCAACATGAACTTTTTCATTTGCAAATATTTCAGAAATTAATTCACAATCAAGAAATGTAAATGCTGGATCACAAATATAGATACTTTCAAATTGGAAGTGATTATGAAGAGCAATAATTGCTGATAATTGATATATTGATGGTGAATTACTAGAATACATACCTTCAAAGCTACCAATACCAATTGCACATAATACATATCTATATATAGATGATGGATAATTTATATCACCTTGTGGTAATTGGTTCCATAGATTTTCCTTCATAGTATCAATATTTTTTGAAACATATTTCCAGTAATTACTCTCTTTAAATTTATGAGCATTATTATAAACTCCAAACTTAAGAGAGCTCAGTAATTCTAATTCATCAACATCACTGTACTTGCAATCATACATTAATGCCAGATTGTACCAATTTTGCTTACCCTTAGGTAAAATAACCTTGACTTACCGCTACTCACTTTCTTAGCTTTAAACAATCTCAAAATGACTCAAGGACAAATAAAAAAAAAAGTCTCAGCATCGAAATGTACTAAGAGACATAACAAGCCAGTTTTTTCAAAAAAGTCATACTTGAAAAGTAGTAATAAGAAAGTTAGGAAGGTAAGGCGTCATTTATTTATTTATTTCTTTAGATAATCAAACTACTTATTTTCAGGGTAAAGAAGTGGTTAGCATTAAACAAATTGAGTCTTTAATAGCTGGAACTGCTATATCTGGAAGTGAGCACATAAAACTTTTATCAAGAAGTATAGGGAGTAAGGGAAATAAATAAATGGTATATACACCCAAACTACTACCCTATTTTAAGGAAGTTATTATTGCAGGATATATATAGCAATTCATACAATTACTAATAAGTGAATTAGTATATAGGTCAAATAGATAATAATAATATACTAGTGATTGCTACATATCAACACATTCTAAGCTAAGAACTAGTAATTATGACGCTATTCTTAATATCATATTAGAGGATAATGATTGCCTCAAGCTATTCTATTCAATTTCTTCGAAATTCTCTACAAGATCAGGAATATCATCCTCTTCGTTAGATTGTAAATTCGGTGCATTACCAGATTGTGAATCTTGGAATAATCTTCGGAATTTAGGATCATTTAGGAATGCACTTAAATCCATCTGATTTACTTGCCTTGGTAAATCTTTAATTTTCCTTTCTTGTCCATTTCCACTAATAATGTATGTATTTGATGTAACAGATGCTTGCAACTTCGGATTTATGAAGTGTAGGCAAGTGCCATCACTTCTCATCATAGTTATATCACCAATAGCTGGAAATGTCTGGCATCTAAAACGATTAGTTATTGTTTGTAATTTCTTCAAATCCATACCACCTGCCGGCTTTTGAGTACGCTTTTTCCTCCTAGCAGTACCTTTGCCTCCTACTTGAGTAGCAGCACCAAATCTTTCACGCAACTTCTGACGAGCAACTTCAATAGCGTCCTCATTGAGATTCAAACCACTCATTTTCTGCACTTGCCTATATGCCTTCTTAATACTCAAAATGTATTAGTGAATTGTCTGTCTCGACTATTCTATAATTCACTTATAAGCGTCTCTGTTCCAATAACAAAAACCGCTCATATAGAAAACCGCTATAAACAAGCATTAATAGTTTGTTTCCAGAGGGTATTGTTGAAATCTGATTATCCCTTTGCTTTAGAAAATAAATTAGTCCAATGTAATTATATGGAACTGTTCAACTATTTGCAGTAGTCTTCTCTAGAATCTCCCTTATTTAGGTTATCTTCACTATATATAAGAATTGAACCAAATCTTCGCCTCAAGACTTCTTTCTTGCGAAGTTCATTTGCTTTCTGAAACAATCGAGTACATTTCATTACTAAGGGAGCTTCTTCGTGTGACTTGAAAATACTATTCTTGATGAGCACACATATAGTAACTAGTGAAGCTACTTGATGAGCTACTAAAACGAGAATTGTAGCTATACTCACGACAATCCACGATCCCCAAGTATTATATGTAATTCCGGGGTATATTGTTACTCCTAATTTAACGACAACATAACAATTCATCAGAATATACAGAATTGATACAATGAAGAGATTTTTTTTTGATAATGAGGAAAATATTGATATTCTTATTGTATAGTCAAAACATAGATACACTAGACCTACACCATGCATCTGAATCTCCCATAATATAGATCTCCATGGTTCTTTTGGATAAACAATTATCCAGAAGAATGGAACTATTACGCTTTCTAGTGAAATCCCTAATTCACGTACAAGTAAACATACATTTATCAACAGAAGAGGCACATGCTGTTCTTTAAATCTTAAGAGGTCAATTGCAGTTGCACTGATAAAAAATATTAGTACTAAAGTCCATCCCCAATTTGTAAGGTAGTAGAAGAAACTAATATAATTTGGTCCACAATCAAAAAACATCCACAACCATAAAGTTGCAAAGTAAAGGGCAGAAATGATATCATAATAAATCCTCCGGTTATATTTTAGACTAGTTACCTTTTTATAAGTGTTTTTGTATAAAGGTTTTTCCATTCGAAGCTTCTGTCAAATACTAGGAAATACTATCATACTACATGTGAAAAAGAGAGGCGGGACAGAGTGGTCGGGGAAAAGGCGCGTAAGTCACGTAGGAGGCTCATAATTAAATCTAAATAAATCCGTTGACAATTAAAAGTTTCAATAATCAAAAAGAACTTAGTATTCTATTTTTATCAAAACTTTATCTATTAAGTGTGAACATAATAGAATTCAATGTAAAGCTGGTTCTTAAAATGAAATTATTTTTTAGTCGCAGTTCGATCTGATGACTGAGAACAGATAGATAACCTATGACATGATTCTGGAGCTGGCCTTTCACATGGCTCTAGCCCCCATATTAAAGTTGCATATTCCTCAATTGTTCTGTCAGTAGAGAACTTTCCCATAGATGATGTAGCTTTTATACAGGTCTTTACCCATTCCTTTTTGTTCTTGTAGGCTTCATCAACTTTCTCTTGTGCTTTACAATATAACGGGAAATCATAGCACAATAAATAGTGATCTCCAACATATCCATTGCCATTAGAGGATATTCTATCAATTATATCGCAAAATTCACCTTGAGCTTTCCCATCTCCAAGCATTATCCCCCCAGTTCGTATGAAGTTAAAAACTTCTTGCAATCTCTCATCAATGTGGTAGTTACCATTTGCTGCCTGTGCTCTGATTTCAGATACTTGATGCTCTAGTGCACCAAATATAAATATAGTATCATCTCCACATTCCTCTTTAATTTCCACATTTGCACCATCCAAAGTCCCTAGTATTAAACCTCCATTCATGACAAACTTCATATTACTTGTACCAGAGGCTTCTGTTCCGGCAGTTGATATGTGTTGAGAAATATCAGAGGCTGGAATAATAACTTGAGCATTACTCACATTATAATTCGGTAGAAATATGCACATTAGGTATTCCTTGGTGTCAGGATCATTGTTGATCACAACTGAAAGGTTATTTATCATTTTAATTGCTGATTTTGCGACTGCATATCCAGGTGCAGCTTTTCCACCAAAAAAGCAGCACCTAGGAACTACTTTTTTCCTTTCATTAGTAGAAAGTTTCTTTAGCATTAAGTATCTATGAATAATATAAAATACATTAAGTAATTGCCGTTTGTATTCATGAATCCTTTTAACTTGTATATCAAATAGCATATTCGTATCTACTTTATATCCAGTATTAACCTCAACCCATCTTGCAAGTCTCTGTTTGTTATGTAACTTTACTTCAGCCCACTCTTTCTGTAACCCTTCATCATCAATATTGTTTTGTAAACTCTGTATCATATCGAAATTTGTTAACCAGCTATCAGATCCAAGCCAACTTGATATTAAGTGCGATAATTCAGGATTTGAACAATTAATCCATCTTCTAGGTGTTACTCCATTAGTAATATTGACAAATTTGTCTGAAATACCTTTCCTAGAATAATATTCTACGAAATCAGAAAAAAGGTCTTTTTTAACAATCTCAGTATGCAGAACGGCAACTCCATTAACTTTAGCGCTTCCTATTACAGCTAAATTTGCCATACGGATTTTCTTATCCCAACCTTCCTCATAGATGGACATCTTTGATATCCATGGACCATCACCCATAACATTACGTACGTCATTCAAAAATCTATGATTTATTTCATTAATAATCATCAAATGTCTAGGTAATAGACGATTTATTAACGCAGCACTCCACTTTTCTAGAGCTTCAGGTAAAACTGTATGATTTGTATAATTAAAGCATTGACATGTAATATCCCATGCAAAATCCCATTCTAAATCCTCAACATCTATCAGTATGCGCATCATCTCTGCAATTGCTATTGTTGGATGAGTATCATTTAATTGACAAGATACCTTTTTTGGTAGGTCTTTCCAGTTAACCGATCCAGTCTTCTTAAATCTGCGTAATATATCTTGCATAGTCGCACATACAAAAAAGTATTGTTGCTTTAGTCGTAGTTCTTTACCCTGGTCTGTATTGTCATTTGGGTATAACACAGCTGTAATATAATCTGCTCTTTGACGTCCACATACTGCATCGACATATTTACCTTCATTAAAAGCTGAAAAATCAAACTCTTTTGAAGGTGTTGCTTTCCAAAGACGCAGATTTATGCAATTATATGTATCGAACCCTGGTATTGGATTATCATATGCGACTGCTTGAATCACTTCACCATCTACCCATCGATACTTCTTCTTTCCATACTCTTCAAATTCACGAACTTTTCCATAAAATCTCACCCCATATGTCACATCTTGTCTCTCTATCTCCCATGGATTTGATTGTACTAACCAATAATCAGGATATTCAAATTGGCGACCTTGTACAATTTTTTGTTCAAATATTCCATATGTATAACGGATTCCATAACCCCACCCAGGAAAATTCTTTGTTGCAAGAGAATCAAGAAAACAGGCTGCTAAGCGACCTAATCCACCATTTCCCAATGCAGCATCATGTTCGTTTTCATATAAATTCTCCAAACTATACCCTAAACCAAATAATGACTTTTTATAGTTATCCTCAATATCTAAGTTTACTAATGCATTCTGCATCGCTCGTCCCAGCAAAAATTCTAAGCTGAGGTAATAACATCGTTTGCAGTCTGTTTCAGTAAAATATTCATTAGTATCATTTAAATTTTCAATGAGCCTATCTCTAATGCTGAATGCTGTCGCTCTATAGGCAGCATTATCATCAAAATTAAATCTTGTACATGCTAATGTATACTCAACATGATTAACAATTGATTTTTGGATAGACTCACTATCAGTTGGTAAATAGATCTGCATTAAACGCCACAATTTTTCTCTCCTTGAATCAGCAGTGGGATCAAAATCATCTTGATACATACCAACCATTCCTCTAGGAACAGCACCAGTTAGCTTTGAGAATGAGGCCTTTCTCCTCATCTCGAAATTGTAACCTTCATGAACAAAGACGCTATCACCCATATTATTTGTTATTATTTAGTATCTCTTAGTTATGAAACCAGGTTAAATCTAAAGTAATTGCATGTAGTATTAATACTCAGTAATGCATACAAAAAGAAATAGATCTCGAATTAGCGCTCAACTCCCCGAGTTATCGCGATATTAAGTAATAATAATAATTGAGTATTTATATTTAAATATAAGTAATATATTAGACCTAGACAGCAATATTAGATCTCCTGTCGCATACTTTCAATTAGACATGTGGGGCGGTAAAAATGGCTTATTTGACACCGCTTATGGAACAAAGTAGCGGAAGTACTAACTGTATAATTTTTGTGCGCCTTTATACTATTTTCTACTACTTTAGATGTCTCAGTGTCTCTATTAGGTGGGTTTTTACTAGATAAGACTTTGAAGTATAATACTACCTAAAGTTATTTTGTGAATTGAGAAACAACAAGTTATGCCTCATTCTTTCGGCTATCGTGCAAGAACTCGTTCAAAATTCTCTAAGGGGTTTCGCCAAAAGGGTGTTCCTTTACTCTCTAGATATTTAAGCTCAGTACGTGTTGGTGACTATGTAGACATCGTTGTTGATTCATCTATTCACAAAGGTATGCCATATCATTTTTACCATGGAAGGACTGGGATTGTTTACAATGTGACTCCTCGTGCAGTCGGTGTCATTATCAATAAAGTAGTCGGAAATCGCAAGATTGCAAAGAGAATAAATGTGCGCATTGAACATATTAGGAAGAGTCGTTGTAATGAGGACTTCTTAAAGAGAGTCCAGGAAAATGATAACTCTAGGCATGAAGCTCATTTAGCAGGCTTGCCTTCTCCAGTTACAAAGAGACAACCTGCTCTCCCACTACCTGGAGGTTTTGTTGATTGTTCAAGTATGGAAGTTCTAACTCCTCATGTCACTATACCTATATGTTAATTTGGGGGTGAATTATACAGAGAAGTTATAACTTTAATATCACTTTTGAGGAGATCCCTAGTCTCTAAATAAGTCACTATGTTCTAAATCTTACATTTTCTAAATCTTGTGTATTTCGACATAAATATTGAAGTCTTATTTATGGATTCCTTGTTAGAAATAATGTAATTTGATATGGTAGGTATTAATATACAGTAGTAATATTCAAACAATGCTCTGCTCTATCCTATCTACAATATTCTTGCTATATCGGCGTCTTGCATACCTTGATGAAACCTTCTTGTTTAAGCTAGTACTTTGAACTGCATCTAAAACAGCTTCTTTAACAAACGATTGGTCAATAGGTTGTTGATACCCAGGATTTTCTTTATCAAGTGCGAAGGTGCTTAGTGTTATTTCAATACATGCCACAGATCTATTGATGATCTTGGTTGTAACATCATCTAGGGAGTCACCAGTCTTCTGAATCAATTCATGTGGAATACTTTGCAAAGATATATCTGTCTGTTGATGTAAGTTTGGAATCCTCCTTTTAACAATTTCACAGACAGCTATTGCATTTGGAATTGCTCTTCCACTTGCTCTTACTCGTATACTCTTGAATCCATCTTTACGGAACTTTTCTGATGCTATTTCTACTAAGTCTCTGATTGAACGAGTTTGTTGTACTCGGATTTCATCAGGACATCTTTCAATAGGTTGCTTAACAAGTGGTTTTAAGTTTTCAATGGTCTTTCCCTGTTCTCTAGTTTCTATTGTATCCTCAAAGTTACTGTTCTGAACCTTGTGAACTACCATTTCTATAGATGCATAAAAAGTACTTTATAGGTCAACCATAATATAGTTTATAGTTGATCGAATAGGAGTATATCGTAGCAAATTGGAACGAGGAAATAGTTGTAGCGAACTCGAGAGCGCCTCGTCCTCAAGACCTTAAGGTATCTGTTCCTAGAATTACATGTATTCTGGATGTTAAGTCCTGCTCCAGTAAATTTACTATAGTTAACACTTAAATATGGATGTAATTTACAAGTATCTAATTCACTTGCCTAATCTTATTAAATTTTATGATAAACAGTATAAATTAAATATAAACTGTCTATTATTACTAGATCTTAGAGGGAATATTGTCATTTTCTACTACTTGACCAATCTCAATAATGTAGAATAATGTAATCCCAAATATAAATAAAGTAATTATAGGATATAGGATTGGGAAAATATCAAATACTGAGCCAATACTGCTATGCACTTTAGAACTTACTTCTTCAGAACTTATATTTAATGGCTCATGAATAACATCAATATTAAAGGTACTACTACTTTGAATTAATATATTATCTACAATTTCCATGGGTAGAATCCATCTATTGTCCCAATAGTAATCTTCCAAAAATCTCACAACATTCTTCTGATCATAAACATTATTGTCATAATCTGAAGTACTTAAATCATTTATATTTCCCAATATACTGTTTGTTATTACAAATGGTACTGTGTTAGGCTTATAACAAGTAGGACATAGACCTCTTGGTGGAAAACTAACTTCAACACCTATATATGAAACAGCTTCAAATTGTTTTTGTTCAATAGATCTATAAGTACTTTCAATGGCCACACGTGTTGTTATAGCATTATGTACCCTAAATAACCAGAACACAAGTCCAGTAGCATCTTCAATTTTTATTGGATAATTATCAATGTTTTCAGGAGGTACTAGTATTAATCTATCACATTCATTATGTTCGAACATAGATATAAAGTGATCTCTGCAACTCTTGCAAATAAAAAAATTATCAACAGTCTCTTTTATACTATTAAGAACCTGTTGAGGTGTTATAGCAGGTCCTAAATAGTGATTTTTTGTATTAATCTGAGTTTTAGCTCCATGTAGTACTGCAACTGTCCAAATATGAAATAATATCCAGACCCCACAAAACACCGATCTTTTACATAAATAGTACGTAGGTTCAATATTAGAAACAAAAGGGCCAATCCCACCAACACTAATTGATTTAATAAATGAGTTCCACTTTCTAAAAGTTAGCCCTTTCCCATTTATATCTTTAGTTGACTCTAATTCTTTCTTATTATTATCTGTAGTAACGTTGAAGATATCTGAACTAATACCAGTATTCATATCTATAAATTCTAAAATTTTTGTTAGACTTTTCCTTGCTTGACGGCTTGGTAGAAGTATCATACTAGTTTGAACAAAACGGTATAATGCTAAAATTCTCTTTCTATCAAGAGGTTGATCAATATTACTAAACTTACTCTCAATAAATACCCACCTAGATAGGATATAGAGTTTCGAAGTAATTGCGTCACGAACTAAAAGGGAAGGATCTACTTTTAGACTTTCTTCACTCCATCTACCTAAAGGCTCAGTACTACTAATAGTAGTTAAAGTTGCTGGTGGCAATGCTGTTAACATAATAGATGGTAAAGGTTTATATATATCTTGTAAATTGAATGCACGAATTAGACTACAAATCATAAATTTCTCAGAGTTTAAAATAGGCATTGCAACTGCTGTACTAGTTCCTTGTATAATTTGAGGTATATCTACATCACCTGGTTGAAATTTCTCCGGAAATTTCAGATTTTTTTCATGTTTCCTGGTACAACCAATAGAAGGATATTCTTCATAAGAAAGGATGGCTTTTAAATCAACTTTTTTATGTTCAGGTGGAATCAATCTTAAAGTAGGATATTCTTTTACTGACCAAAGTGAGCACTCAACATAATTAATTTCACATTCAAAGGAATAAAATTTTAAACCTGTCTGGTGGAGTGATTCAGCTACTTTCTTGAGAGTGAATGATGATAAGTGACAGTATGGACAATAAGATGAGTAGAAAATAAAAACTTTAGCTTTGGATGTATTGGATGCCAGGATGTCATATAGAGAGGCCGTCGAATTTATCTCGTTGATAAATAGACTTTTTTCATAGAGTCCAGTACTTTTTTCTAGCTGAAGTAGATGTGCACCGACAAACCAAGTGCAGAAATACCATAATATCAGTAATATACCACTATATAAAAAATTAGGTGAAATTGTTTTGTACCAAATATTAGAAACTTTGCTATCTCCTCCAAAACTAGTCCTATTTTTCCAACAAAAGCGATTCATTAAAAAGTCAAATATTTTATAAATTAACACTTTCCAGAGTTGAAAGTAACCTATGGCGCTCACATTTAGTTTGTTATTTGTACTTTTCTGATACTAATATTAAGCGGTATATTCTCGGTTCTAGATTACCATTAGCTTAAACATTAATATTTGTTTTTCCCTGTAAGCATTTAGTTCACTCAATATACCTTACTATTATCTATATATGTGGATTCTATCATATTGGAATCATTTATAAGCGTAGATGGATATACAAGTGGCAAATCATAAGAACTTCTCTGTCAATGAAACGGAAGATGTATTGAATACTCTTAGGAATAAAAGTGAATCTAATATACAAAATATAGTTGATGGAGGCTCCGAGAAACCACTTACACTGGAAGATGTATTATATGAAACAACTTCTGCTGCTTCTGCATATAACCGTACTAACTATGGTTTATTGGGTATTTTGAATGTTATTCGTATGACAGATTCTGATTTAAACATTTTAGCACTAGGCACAGACTTGACAACTTTAGGTCTAAATTTGAATTCATCGGAATGTCTGTATATTAACTTTGATTCTCCGTGGAATAACAATAATAATATAGAGAGTAACAATAGTGAAATAATAAGAGCATTTTCTTACTCTCCTACCTATACACCACAAATGATAGGTTTAAAATCTTCATACGTACAGAAGTTTGCTCTGGAAACCCTCTTTTACATATTTTATAATATGCCACAAGACCTTTTACAGGGATTTGCTGCAGTAGAATTGTGCAATCGTGGTTGGCTTTACAACCCAGAATTATTTCTTTGGTTTACCAAGATAAAAAGGAGTGAAGATAATAAATGTGAATGGTTTGTCTTTGATATTAAGAAATGGGGTAAATTCCCAAGTTCAGAACCACTTTCAGGAATTTTATTATCTATTGATGATATTAGACCAAATGTAGAAGAAGGTGTACGTATCCACTCTAAGTGGATTCAGGAACAAAATCAAATTTATCAGATGATGCAACATCAAATTCAACAGCAGCATTCAGCTGGAAGATCAAAGCAAGCCGAACTACCTATTCAAACAGGGAATTCAGCTAGTGCTGATTTCTCAAATATACACAATAATCAGAGAAACCTTCAAACAGCCTACTCTCCAGGTGGCGTTCATACTTCATTATCTAATATGAATTCAAATTTTAGACCAGAACATAGACCTGCAACAAATTTTTCTAATCGTTAATTTTAAATCATTTTATTATTTAATATTTAAATAAATGTAACTATTTTTGAAGTAATTATCACTAAAATTTTGGTAATATTAAGAATAGGATTAGTTTTAAGCTTAACTATTTAGGATAGAATTTGTTGCTACTTCATAGATCTAGAGATTCACTAAATATTAGGGATTTCCTATTACTGGCGCATAGTTTTTAGTAAGGCTGCAAGCATAAATATAGGTTTCTTTTACAAATGAGCTCTTTAGATGAAGATTCCACTACTCTTAAAAAACTCCTTGAAAAGTGTTTACATGAATATTTAATAATATGTAAAAGTAATACTGATGCAACAGCTAATGCTCTGAGACTATACAACTCTCTAACTATTGCAAAATTTACAGAATATGAAAAAGCTTTGATTCATGATGATACTTCAGATATTTGTGAGTTATTTATATTGAGGAAGGTGCATAATGAAGTTATAGATAATTATATTGAGTATAAGAGGATTAAAAGTTGTTTATTGAAATTAAAGAGTTGTAATTACTCCTTAGAATTATATGCAGGGATCCTAGAAGATTACAATATTGAGATAAGTTCACTAGTAAATATGTATTCAAATTTTTATATATTAAATAAGATTTTTTTCACAAGTAATGAGGATTCAAGCTCACATAGAGTTGATTTTATTCATCTTGGTATGTTTTCAGAATGGATGGAGAAGCTTCATATGGATGGTGTTTGTCTCCATACACCAATATACTACAATAATTTCTATGATGAATATCCAAGATTATTAACTGCTATCCAATATAAGATTATTTGCCTTTGTAAAGATAGATATGGAATAAATGAAGATAACATTGTAGAGAATGTAGATATAAATTTAAATAATATCTTTGTTGGATGGTATCAATTAAGATTTTTGCTTATTTTATTTAATGGAGCAATTTTTGAGCATGGATTTGGAGATTTTGCAGCATTACGTTGTATTATGCAACTCATATATAGAATACCCGAAAACATTTCAAATATTATTTATCAATGGTTCGTAGAGGTACCACTTGTATTTCTGGAAAATTGTGTTTCAACAATCCAACAAATGTTGAGTGTAAGACTATATGAATTTTATGATAATATGGATAGCGAAGAATTAGATATTATGAGATATTATCAACAAAATCAGATTATCGGTATTATAGCGAGACTAAAACCAAAATTTCAAAATGATATCAAACTGGCTTTTTCACTTCTTCGTATTATATATAAAGCAAATAATACTAGAATGATGCTATATTCTAATTCAGATTTATTGAATATAAATAATCTTGATATTTCTAGTTTTTATAATGAAGCTATTAATTCTGCTAAGGCATTACTACAACATGAACTACGCCAATGGCTCTTAAACCCATCATTAAATAATACAGACTTTGAATTGTTTTCTAATCCATATATTTTGCAACCATGGGCTAAAGCTCAGGCATTACAACAGGATTCTTTACTCCAGCAACGTCTAGAATTCCAAAGTTCAATAACACATGCTTTAGGATCTGTTGAATCACTATTTACTCCTTCAACACTAATAGAACCATTTCTTTTATTGAGAATACGCAGAGACTCAATAATAAGAGATTCTATGGAACAACTATCGTTACAGAATAATTTGAAAAAGCAGCTTAAAGTGACTTTTATTGGTGAAGAAGGTGTTGATGAGGGAGGTGTACAAAAGGAATTTTTTCAACTTTTAGTCCAGGAGATATTCAAAGTAGATTTTGGAATGTTTATTTATTATGAAGATACAAGGCTTTTTTGGTTTAATATGGCATCACTGGAATCAGACGGGGAATTTGAACTTATAGGAGTAATTCTCGCATTAGCAATATATAATGGCATTATTCTTAATATTCACTTTCCACTTGCTGTATACAAGAAATTATTGGGATTCAAAACAGGAATTAGGGATCTTTATGAAATACAGCCAGACTATGCTAGGTCTCTAATTTCCCTACTTTCAATTACTGATAGTGAGAGATTCGATGATTTATGTCTAACATTTTCTACAACCATAAACAATTTTGGGGAATTTCAAGTAATAGCTCTTTCTCCAGAATCATATAGTGCAGATGAGCCTGTTACTATTGAAAATGTTCGGATATATATAGATTGCTACATTGATTGGTTTTTTAACAAATCTATTAAACGTCAATTTGCTGCATTTTATAATGGTTTTCACAGTATATGTGGAGGAAGGGCATTAGAACTTTTTTCTCCACAGGAACTAGTACAAGTTATTTGTGGGAGTTCTGAATTTGATTTAGATTCACTTATTAATGCAACTAGATATCAGGATGGTTATACAAAAGATAGTGAAACTGTGAAGTATTTCTGGGAAATAGTTAGAGAGTTTGATGTTGATACCCAAAAAAAGTTACTATTTTTTGTTACAGGTTCAGATAGAATTCCAATGAAAGGTCTTGGTGATATAAATTTTATAATTGGGAGATTCGGTCCTGATTCTAATATGTTGCCGACAGCTCACACTTGTTTTAATTACTTACTATTACCTGACTATAACAATAAAGAGAAGTTGAGGAAGCTACTACTTATATCTCTTGAACATTCTCAAGGATTTGGGTTAAAGTAAGGCTTATTCATGATTTACTTAATTTAAAAGTAGATTTAATAATATAATTTCTGATTCTTTTAATACTATATCAGTATTAATGAAATATCCTGCTTTTTAAAACTTATTCTAACAGTAATACAGTGTAATAATTTTCATATTTACCTTTCAGCAAAAATATTACTTTTATACCATTAATTGTCAATAATTAAATGTGCCAATTAGTGAATTTCATTTTAAAGATAGATAAAACCTTTAGAATTTTTGATGCAAGTAATATAAAAGATCTTCTAGAGTGAAGATCAAGTAGAATATCCTTGATTTACTTTAAAAAGACGAACTTTAATATAGTATAACTATTTTAAATTATAGTTTTTTTTCTAAATAATTAACTAATGAAAAAATTTCAGTGTACTATACGCTAGTATGACATAACTCAATATGTAGTCAAAAGCAAATATTTCAATCAAAAAGAGACCCCTACACATTATTAAGAGAAATGACTATTAGGAACATGCAGAAAATTAGGATCTGTAATATGTTGCATTTTGGCTTTGTAATTAGCCAATTCTTGTTGACTGGCCATATTATATTTTGTTTTTTTAAGCAATGAAGTGCATTTTATAAATTGAATAATGAACAACTTTATTTTCTGAGATAAGAAGTATGAAAAGTTAAAGAATTTGTAAAGATAACCTAAACAATAAAAATAATTTAAGAAAACACTTAAAGTGCAATAATAAATGTATCAAGCCCTTATTAGTAATAAAATTTGTTATTCATAGCGTTTACCTTTAAAGATATAAGGGTGATATTGCGCATTCATATTAAATTTAGTTGTAGAGTATCATTGATAATAAGATGATGGATCTAAGAATTAAAGTTTTTAGGTTTATTTGGGAATATAAAAAAATTTATAAAAAAAACTTTTACTTTTAAATAAGTTCTAGCAAATTAAAATAATCACTAATAATGCTATTAATCTGTGAAAATATAGCGGTTCTAAAAAGAGCTATTAATATACTTCAGAATTTACTAGTTAAAATGACTTGTATTTGCAGGACATTTGTGAGACAATAATGCACTTATGGATTTTGAAAGAAGTAATATATTTATCTGCTCCTAACAATGCAATATACTGCTCTGTAATCTTTTGTAGAGAAATATATATGATTTTTCGTTAGGATTTAAGCTGTTGGTGAAACTAAGTGATGAATTCTGTATTATTTACCTGAGTTCTAATATAATAAATAGTACGAGAAGAATAGAGGCTGTTGGACAGTGTGGCCGAGTGGTCTAAGGCGTCAGACTTGAAATCTGATGTGGTCTCCACGCGCAGGTTCAAATCCTGCCACTGTCGCCTTTTTAATTTTTAACTTTCCTTTATCACGATTAAAGAATAATTTAATTGGATTCTATTGGATTTGCAACTTTTCAAATATTATATTAGTAAAATGAGTATACTAATTAATATAAATTAGGAAAATTTCGTGAATGGACTTATTCCTTAGTAGCCTTAAATAGGAGAAATGTGAATACATTAGATCATTTAGTGTTGGTTAGGTTGCCACTATTGACTACAAGTAAAGAAATGTCAAAGGATATTTCATTGTAATAGCCTATATGATAAAGATACTGTGAATAATTACATATGGAATTCTGCATTTGTATTTGACAATATTCTATATAAGTAAATTTATTAGCTCATCTTTACTGATAGCTCTCTGAGTATTATAGCGCACTATTGCAATGCTTCCTATATTTTTTGAAATATTACTCTATAAATATTCCCAGTTGCTGTACTTTTTGTAAGCGCAATCAATTCTTGTTATGGAAGTAATCTAATGGTATACATTTCATTATTACTATATTATGTGGTTTATATTTCAGTTATCATCTTTAATATAGGTAATATACTGCTTAAAATACAAAATATAGCCAATAGCTTACCTGTACAGAAATCTAGAAACCATGAAGATATATCGCCAAAATCTTTGAATTGGACAAATAACTACTCTGGATCCCACTTTTCACCTGTAATTAGCCAAAATTATTCATCATATTACCCCTTTGATATAATTAATAATCAAACCTCTGAAACTGCTATACAAGAACTAAATCTTGAAGTACAATGCAATAGATTATGGTTATTACAAGCTTTAATTCAACAAAGCTTATTATCTATAGGAAACTTTAAAATAAATATACCCATTTTAAGGCATGAAAGCAATGTATCCCTACAAAATGACTGGTCACAAATATTTAGAACTTCTTTAGACGCATTTTCAAGGCATAGAAATAAGTTAAATGAAACGCTGCATCACTTTGATAGTGTAATATTAGCTGGAAAACATTATGGATATTTGACTAATAGTCACAATAAAGAATATTTCGTTTTATTGATACCTTATAAATCACCGGTATTTAGTCAAATACAACAATTTACTGAAGTCTATAAAGGCCTAACAGAATATATATCCCATACGAAGTACTGTAGTTCTTATAGCCCAAATATTACAAAAGGTTTTGTAGATAGTTTAAATGCTCTATATATGTTTAGTATACTTACGGGAAAATCGTCAATAGGTATAAATTCTCAATATTTAGAAAGGTTTTCAAAGGAATCTTCAATACTTCACTCTATTGAAAAAAAAGTTCCACTTTCAAAGCTTTTGATAAGTTTCCAAAATCACTGTAGAAATGGAATGGATACCCCTTCTAAAAATAATAATACATTTAAGAAGTGGTCAGAGAATAAACTAAGAAAAGTAACGGCAAGTATCACTCAAATTGAAAATCTCGCAAAGCAGTATAGAAAGAAAGTAGAACTATTTTTAAACTGCATAAACTACTTCGAGAATGTAAATGATATCTTGTCACTAGCAGAAAATACTTTTGAATCGATTGGGGTTGAAATACAAAAGCATATTGCAAATAGAAAAGAGATATTATCTTTGTTTATTGCTAAATATAATGCAACTGTTATAGAGTCAAGCATTACAAATAATCGTTCATACTCTTTATGGCTGCAAATACAGCAGCTACTATTAACTATTAGAGTGGCAATTAGCGGAATTCTTATGAATAAGAATAAAAGAAGTTTTAAAAAACTTGGTAATAACTTGAGCTATTCTTTATCTGTCTCTGCAAATTGCTCACATGTACTAAGGTATACAGCCACAAATTGGAATTTAATATTTTCAATAAAAAATAGGGATATTATTGAAAGAATTAAAAATTATATACTGGTAAATTTGAATAATTTAACTTATACTGGAGATCAATCTTATCAAACTGAATGGCATTGGACCATTCAGAATGAATACATCATTAAAACATATGCGAACTCATTCAACAATATGTGGAAAAGGGAAATTCATGACCCACTGGTAGAATGTGCGAAACCATTAAAAATGGTCTACAAGCAAATTAATTTGCAACATACTAAGAACAATGAATCTAATACAATAGAATCATATAAAAATTATATAGGGACCCTTGTACCTTTTATTAAACGAGTAATTAATCGTCAAAAACAAAATTATGATCGTTTCAGCTCTTTAAAGTCATTATTTGTATGGCCTCATATAATAGTTTCTTTAGAGAGTGCAATTTCTATATTTAATAGAACCTGTATTCTTGAGGAGGCAATATGTCAAAGTAATCAGAATTTTGTAATAACACAAAAATCTCGTTTAATATGGTTACAGAGACTTCAGTCATTATCAAATACTTTAAAAGAAGTATATAAGCATATATGTGAAAGATCTTACTGGGATCTATTGTATTCATATTCAAATTTTGGATATTTTAATTCAACTAATATTAGAAGTATTGACAAGTCAAACTTCAATTTAGATCCAGAGAACATTCTGAGAAAACCAAACTCAACCCCTGTACAAGTGGGTACTTGGATTTTGAAATCACTTGAAATATCTCAGCTATACAATTTACAGAAAAGTGACTTTTTGTCGATAGTTGAACCTGGTCTTCATTTTCGACTCCAATTTTTGGAGAACTGGATTTATGTACTTGAGATTAGCATTAAACATATCATAAACCCTATTGCTTTACAAATAAATAGCTTTGCTGAAACTATACTATTTCAATCACTTCAATATCAAACCCAATTGGCTTCTAAGCCTATAAATAGCACTTTAAATAATATGAATAATATATCTAGTTATGTAGAACAAATTAATACAGTTCTGAATTCTTTATATAGAGAAAGCAGCTGTATAGAAGTACAAAACAATACGAGTTCAAAGAATAGTTATTCAACAAGATATAGTGGTGATTTTCCATCTTTTTTGTCAATTCAGAATTACGTTGAGGATTTGTTGAAAAGAGTAACTGAATTATCAACTGAAGTAAACAATAAGCTCAACAATTTATCATCTGATAATCAATTATATAATAGGAACTGTCGTTACTTACTGTATTATACCAGAAGTGCTAAAGAAGAATTACTGAGTAAGTCACAAATTTTAAAAAAAATTTATACAGATTTAACTTTGCAGAGAGCTGAAATGATGAAATTATTTGCAATTGTTGAGGAATGTTTGAAGTATAATGAGGTAAATAAACGTGCAGAATGTTGGATTACTAATCAATGGTTAGAACTGCCATTAAAAAGAACTATAGAGGTAAGAAAAATAATGACCCAATACTTGCAAAGTATAATTGATGGCATACTCAATATAACGAATTTTGTTGAAGATTGTTTGTCAAGTATTTTAAACCCTGTTAATCAAAATAGAAGACTTCTCAAAGTAAATAAAAGTGATTCTGATCAGCAGGGTTACACTGGATATATTACTTTATTAAATGTATTAGTTAAGCCAGTTGATAATATGCTAAATTCACTAAATGAAGAACTATATACTCTTGAAGTCAGGTACCCAAATGAGTACAGAAAACAGATAAATGGGATTTATAAAGATTTGGAAACTGTATCATTTGAATTCCTAAAATTAAAATCTTTGAAAAGCACAATAGTTCATTATTATGGAAAACCTAACTGGTTCCAAAAGATATTTAAATTTCCAAAAGTAATTTTACGACGTGAAAAGGTTGCTGAACTTGACAGTTTGCTGTTAGGTTACAATACTTCACTAAACAATGAGTCACTATATGCACTGGAAGTAATTGATTATACTAAAGAGAATTTAAATGGAACTATAATAAGTTGTAATAATATTAAAAAGTACTATGATGCACTTTTAGGGGCAAAAAATCGACTTCGATGTATTATTGGAAAAAGTGGTCAAAAACTAGATAAATCGAAAAAAATAAATGAAACATTGGGAAATGGAACAATGATCATATCCAACTTTAAAAAATTAAGTATTTTAACAAATTTACGTGGTTTGAAAAACTTAGAAAATAATATTTCTTTACTACTTAAACAAAGCCAAAAAGTACTAAACCAAGTTAACATTGAGCATTATAGATTCTTCACTGTTCGAAATGAAACAACTAACATGAAAAATAGATTATCTAAGATTATTGTAGAAATAGTAAATAGCCAAAAATATATAGAGGATTTGGAAAGGAATCTTGCTAACTCAAATTGTTTCAGACTCTGGAAATGGAAGAGACGTACTAAAAGTAGACAGAAAAAAACCAATAAAAAACAAGTTAAAGGGAATTTAGATAAATTAAGGAAATTGACAACTATACACAATAGTAATAAAAAATTAAGTAATGGAATTCCAGTAAAAACTATTAAGTTGGACTTCAAATCTAAGATAAGTGAATTAACAAGTCAGGCAAGTAAGGATGTATACATTTCATCGGAAACAAGTACTATTGATGTAGATAGCTTTCAATTTGATGACTTGTATAAATTTGATGATTTACCAGATTTATATAATCCTAAGAAAAGTGGTAATATTGAGGATATAAGTTATGATACTGATCTGGGTGGAAAAACAGACTATGGAGAACAAAGATACATGTCCAAATTTACTGAAAAGGTAAACAAAGCTATTCAAATGGGAATTTCTATAGGTAATATAATTCGTGATTTTCATGCTATTCGTAAAACTATTTTCCAGAATAATACTGTAGGTGAATCAAGTACGATGTTTATGGCAGGTCTGAATATCTTAAATGCTCTTACAAGTGGAAATATAAATGAGGGTAAATCTCTTTTTAATGATGCACAAGATACAGATTTGGCAACACAAATTTTTAATGAGGCAGATATTTTTAAGGAATTGAACACTGGTGATAATCCATTACAAGTAGATTTTAATTTTAATGATAGTTACTCTAATCATGAATTACCTTTAGAAGTCGATGAACTAGATCCTTCATATAAAGAATTTAAAGAAAAAATTATAAATCAACTCCAAAATAAGGGATATGATTTAGACTCTGAGCCTGAACATGAGGATTATACAGAATCACTTGACTTGGATGATAAATACTTCTAGCTTAGTAAATCAAAATTTAACTGGACTATATATATATTACTATAGCTCTATATAGAATAACTATTATAAAATTGTTCAATTTGATATCTTATTTATGATTTTATTCATATTAGCAATTATTATTATTATTATTATTATTATTATTATTAAACCTTTTTAAATTTGTATTACTAATAGGCTATTTTTAATAGCATAGGAAAATTAATCAATAAAATTGCTTTGACTTTTTGTTCAAATAAAAAGAACTTGAATTGGAATATGGTTACAACAAATTCTATATTTTTATTTATAATAAGTTATTTAGTTGAAGTATAGTGGAATTAGAGAAAATAATATTTAGAAATTTAAATTATCCTATATTCCCCTTATATATACTAGTCAGTCATTCCTGGAACTCTGTTTATAGGTTTCGCCTTCTTTGCATTAAGCCTCCTATTACCAGTAGGTTTGTTAGTACTTTCATTGTTTGGAGGTAATTCTTGTAACAAATCCGTCTTTTTCTTCTGTTTTCCAACAGTATGCCATTGTCCATCATCATCTTCTAAACTATTAGGTTTACTACTTATAGTAGTATATGTATTCGGAGTAATCGATTGTTGATTAATAACTTTCTTTTCATTATTTAATTCATTATTGAAGTATATAGTATTAGGAGTATCCAAATCCTTCATAGACTTAGATTGTTCATCAGAAGTAGTTTGAATTGCATTATTACAAGAACTATCATTTTTTTTAGTAACCTTTTTAGATCTCTTCTTTTGTTTTCTTTTTTTTAGCTAAAAATCAAAGTAATTCGATGTTAAAGGTAGGTTATTTATAATATTGGAGTAGAGTGAGTTATATTAAGAGCTTACCTTTTTTTTTGAGGCTTCAATATAGCAAATAAATGGACATAATATTACAAAGGATAAGAAGACAAATATAAGGAATATTGCAGTCGGATGTCCCATTAATAAATTTTCCTTTAGTTGTTTTATCATTTTAAGTGAAGTTTGTTGTACGATTCGCATCTTATCAAGAGAACTTTTTGCGCGAATATATTGTTCAGTACTGCCACATTAGTGACGCAATATTTAGATTAAATAGATATTATCTGAATACGAAATTGGAGAATTTTCTTTTCTTTTAAACTTAGATACAATAATATGGATTTTTCAGACTACGAAAGTATTATAGACAATAATTATAATATAAATCCTAACAACAATGAAGTATGCTTATTTTCAATAAAAGATGAAGATCACAAAATGTTAACTTTATTAAAAATCGCACTTGAAAAAAAGGAATTTTCAGAAAGAGTTTTTAATTTAACCAAATGCATTATTGACTTCAATTCACAACATTATACTGCTTGGCATGTAAGAAAGAAATGTATAGAAACAATGGTCAAAGAACTAAGTAAAGAACCTGTAGATATTTCTAGTCTCCTGAAAAATGAGATGAGCTATGTTCATGCAATTACATATGATAATCCAAAGTGTTATCAGTTATGGTGGTATAGAAGGTATATTTTGAAGTTAATTGGAAATGATAATGAAGATCTAGTATATGTATCTTGCTCAATTCAACAAGATGCAAAGAATATGTCAGCGTGGGCACATAGGGTATGGTTAATAAAACAATTTTTTAAAGATAATTTAGATATATATACGACTGAGATAAATTTCACTTCTTCATTGATTAGAGATGATTGCAGAAATAATAGTGTGTGGTGTTATAGACACTTTATTTTCAGGTTGTTACTTAGTGATGAAACTAGAAAGTTAGATTTTGAAGAAATTATATCAGAAGAATTGGAATTTATTATTTATTGGCTAGAAAGAGTACCTCATAATGAAGCATTATGGAATTATATAAGAGTTATATTCAATAATCCACAAGTAGGTCAAGAATTCGAATCAAAGACAGAATATATGAATCTCAAGACAATTCCTTCATTTTTTGAAGAGGCTGTCAATCATATTTATGAAAAATATAAAGTCACTTGTCATCAAGCCTCTTATTTCATTACATGTTTATCATATGCCCGTGGTAATATTTGCAAAGTCCAAGATTGCCTGAAGGCACTTGAAATATCTGATCCCATTCGAAGATATTTCTGGAATTGGAAACTTTGCAATATTGTAGATAGAAAAATAAATTTATAATCTTTTAAAATAAGATGTTCTAAAGGGATGTTTATATTAATGACTACATAGTACTATTATTATTTTTAATATTCACAATTAGAATCTAAATATGAAAGAGAAAAAAAGGTTCAAAATAAGTTTCTATTCTATTTATATTAGAATATAGAATTTAGTATATAAAAAGTAATGAAAATATTAACATCTATTCATATCAATGTAAGTATAATTTACTAATCGTTGCAATAAGAAATAATTCATTATTTTAATTTGACATTGCTCTATTCTGTAAATTGATTTCCTTCATTGGTATAATAAGATAATGTAACCAACTAAAATTAGTTAATACATCAATATTTTTTTTAAGATTAAATAGTTTTACAATACATTGTTGGTATATTTTTTAAGAAAATAAATGATTCCTAAAGTCAAATATTTGGATTTTATTCATCTGGAGTTTCAAAAGAAAAAAAAATCTCAATAATATAGTATTTTAAACTTTAGAGTGAAAAATCTCTATATGCCCAATATCTTCATTATTTTTTAGGTTTTCGAAATCTATAATTCCACTAGTAGACTACAACCCTATAATGTAAAACAAATAAAATAAGTAAATAAGAAAATATTATCTTACCTCAGTTCTACCATGATACTTAGCAATAGTGTATGTTCTAATGGCTTGAATAAGGAATCTAGCACTTGTTAAAATTTGTTCAATAACATCTGTAGTCTATAAGTCAAATATTACTATTATATAAATATATTTCACTATCTAATTATCATATTTGACTTACTATCTGCTTTTTGTTTAATTTCTTAATATAATTATACATAAATACACGTGAAATATCTCCATTAAACAATAAGAGTGTTACACATGTCAGCATTATACAGAAATCAAAAAAATTGTGCTTAAATATGAAGTATCTATTACCCATTAAAAAAATCTTTATTATAACTTCAAATAGAAGAAAGGATGTAATAAATACTTCTATTACAGTACTAATAAAATCACCACATTTGTTACCAATAAATCCTCTAAAGAAGACAAAGATATTAAGTAAAAAAATAGTTAAATATACAAACTTTGAAATTTCAGAGTAGTATAAACGTTTTGCAATAATTACTGTGATCTCCTCATATGATAAAGTAGAATTGTAATATTTTAAGTTTAACTGAGATGGATTATATTTACTGAGTAAGTGTTGTATACCAAAATAATTAGAATCTTTTTGAAATTGACTATCCATCATAAATCAGATCACAATTCTAAGATATATTCATATTAAAGTATTTACAATACCGGTGATCTCTATTATTAATTAAATCATGTAATAGCACAATTTGTCAGTTACCCTTTAGGCGGTGAATAATAGTTTTATTATTAAGTTAATTAACAAAAAATATTTCCGAGAAAGTTAAATAATTAGTCCAATTAGAATATAAAAAATAATTAAAATATGTACAAATTTAGTATTACCTAGAAATAATAAAAGATAAAATATTATTTTATTGTCTCAAAGTGTTTTTTTTTTTATGGTAGACTTAATTAAGTTGGGGCAATAATAATAAAGATTAGAATAGCGCCTAATATTATTATTAAAGTAACTAATTAGCAACATTTTACATATATATGGATTATCTATCACCTAAAATACAGAAATTAGCTGAAAAACTTAACAACAACAATAGGTATGTAAAACCTATTGAAGTAACTAAAAAAAGAGATAAAGAGGAGTCAATTTCGGATAATACAGACAAAGTGAACAATATGCATATTACCTATTTGGTAAATATAATAAAGTTATACTGCAATATTAGTTCATCATTAACTAGTAGATTTGTTTGTCTCTTATTAGATCGTATTGAAGAAATTAAGGATACTAAATTATATAAAAATTTTTTTCTAAAAAAAGTTTGCAGAAGATGTTATTCAGTATTTCTTCCTGGAATTAATAGTAATTTTAAGATAAATCCTATCAATAATAAGTTGAATAGAAAATTAAAAAAAAAAATTATAAGAGACATGAATTATGAAGATGATAATGTGAAATTTAATCGCAAGTGTATTAAGAAGATTTCCATTTTATGCAAGAATTGTAATAAAAGGAATATGTTATTTGTAAATCTAAAGAATACAAGTAGATCGAATATATGTAAGTCTGAAAGTAATGAATTAATGTCTTCTAAGAAGTATTTGAATAATAGATATAAATCTAATAAAAGTGTTGAAGGTACAACTTTAAAAAGAGTTTTATCTATAAAGAAACAAGATAAATATAAAACCCAGAATTCAGATAAATTTGATGTAAAATTAGTACAATTAGATGAAACTCAAACTCCTGAAGTAAAGAAACCAAGGTTAAACAGACGTTTCTTTCAAAACTTTAGTAGCAATGGCGCTAGTGATTTTAATCCTATTAACGATAAAGAGAGTTTAACACAAACAGAATATATAAAGGCCTCAGAAGGCTCTAGTTTTTATGATATATTAGCTAAATTAGAATAAATAATTATATAGTATAATATTACGTTGTTATTAATGTATTACCCAGTAGTTTATATATTTGGAACGACAGGTATATTTTCATTAATTAATAGCACTAAAGATTAAGTAATAAAAAATAATTCTTTACAGCTTCAGGTAAAACGCGTCTTTCAATTGATATATGGGAGGAATTAAATAAAAAGGTATGCTGATATTGCGACATTATAAAATGAGATTTTTTAAAAATGTAATTAAGGATATAAAATCAGAGATTGTAAACTGTGATAGTATGCAATTATACAAGGGATTTGATATTGGAACGGGAAAGGTATCTAGAGATATTAAAGATAGGATTCCACATCATTTATTGGATATATTAGAAGATACTGATGAATGTACTGTTTCAAGATACATAAGTATTGCTACGAAGACTGTAGGTAAATAAATGATTTTGGATAAAGTCAGATCTTATCCATTATATATCTTAAATTATAATCTTTTTAGATTGATGAAATACATGCTAGAGATTCAATTCCAATAGTTGTTGGGGGTAGCCATATGTATATTAAAGGACTCATTTGGAGATCTTTGATGGATCCAACAGGCCAATCTCCTAAAATAATTACTAATCTTGAGCACTTAAGTAATGATGAACTTTTTACAAGATTACAAATTTTAGACCCTAATAGGGCAAAACAATTGCATTGTAATGATAGAAGAAGAGTTTCGAGAAGTCTTGAGGTAACAATAATTTGTCTTTTCAATGAACAATTAAATTCTGTATTACAAATATATTCTTATTTTATAATACTAGATATTTTATGAAACGGGTCAAACTTTTAATGAAAATATATCACAATATGAATTTAAACTAAGATACTATCCAAGTATTTTAATATGTATAGAGAATTTACAAATTGAACACTATATTAATTTAAGAGTACATAATATGGTCCAAGTAAGTTTATGTTATTGTATCATTAATAAATATGTTTGATGTATATGTATTTATAAGGATGGTATTTTTAATGAAGTAATTTTACTTAAGGAGAGATTAATTAAAAATGAATCATCTGGTATATTGCAAAGTATTGCATATAAAGAATTTAAACCGGCTATAGATATTCTAGAAACACTTGAAGATACACATAATGAGGTGGTAAAGCAATGTATTAAAAAGCTTCAATTAAAAACATTACAATACAGTAGAAAACAAAGAAAATATATAAAAAAACACTTAATGAATACCAGCACTCCAGTTCATAAATTAGTTTACAAAGGTACTATAATTGATAATATTAGCAGTAATATGGATGCAAACTACTTGAATGATGATTTGATGTGGTATAATGATATTGTGATGCCAGCAATCAAGCTTATTATTGATATTATATAGGATTAAAACACGGAGAAGGGCTTCTTGATAATGAATGATAACTTTCACTATCAGGAGTTATTTCTCCATCACTATGGGATATTGTTCTACGATTACTTGATTTCTTTATTTCAGTATTCACTTTTATTGAATTATCTTGAGTTGACCATCGTATGTTATTAATATTACTTAAAGAATACCGTTCATTAAATTCACTTATTATAATTGGTTCATTAACTTGTAATTTTTTTTTAGCTATATTTCCACGTCTAATCTGAGAAATTTCTTTATCACTCCTTCTAATGGGATCATATTCTCTTAATGCATTTCTATATTTTTTGTTTTTAAATGGTATTCCTCTATTGTAGTAAGAATGTTTATATCTATGTGAAGCCTTATTCTCTCTTCTAAATCTATATTCGGTCTTATCATCGTAATTTGTCGCTGCATTCAATTTTATCCACTCCCGCAAATCCTTAGCTTGTTTTCTAATAGCTAGATAACCAAGATGTATTTTACCACTGAAGTGGTCATTTAATCGTTGATCATTATCAGTCTCAGATAAGAATGCAGCACAAACTTCGCATGGATGTAGTTTCTGCTGATACATCCCATTTGCTACTTCTTCTCTAGTGGCTATAATCTTTAATTTTTGTTGATTCAACCTAGTTAAATCTTCCATCTTTTTAAGAGATCCATCAATATCTCCACTTGCACCAAGATCTTCAATTTCTTTCATAATTAGTGTAATTTCTCTATCAACGCTCTTGATATTTTCATCTTCCAATTTTGAGCTACCTGATAATTGAGCACGTACTCTATTCCTTGTTATCTTCTTGTTACATTCATCAACCATACCTTGCAGAATTAGATAACTTTCCTGTTCATAGTTGGTTGGGATAAAATTAGGACTTTTTCTTTCCTCTAGATAACGCTCACGGAGTTTCTCTGAATGAATTTTTGGACAAGCACCCATATAAAGTTTTGTATTTTCAAAAAGCTCGTGAGGACATAATCCACATAGGTATAACTTACATACACTCTCATCATGTACACTTTTTTTCTCAATAGGGGACTCAATCTCGCCCATTAAGCTCTCTATCTGACGGCGAATTTCATCCATCTTTAGTATACTTAAAAGGAGTATTATAGTAAAGTAGTGCAACACTACTCCAAATTTAATTGCGCCTTTAAAATGTCCGGGAATGATTATCTATAAATGAGAAGATGAAAAATAGATAATATCTTTACTCTATAGAATTTGATTAGAACATTATTAATATATAGATTATGTGATACACTATAGTATTAAATTTTTTAGTAGTTCTTCTATCTCCTAATAGTTAATACTATACAATCATAGTTAAACCTGCTATATTAGCCTAATCTATAATATAAAGTGGTACTAGTATACAGTAAAAAAAAGCTTACTAATTTATAACTCCAATATAACTAATTCTATAGTAAGTTATAGAAAAGATTTAGAAAACTACAAATTTGAAAAGAATAATTTGTTTTATTTCCATTGGTAACGTCTATAAATATCTTTGAGCGCCATAATTGAAGCTTCCCCATAACCTATTTTACAAGTTTATGGGCTGGAAGAGTATTAAAAGTCGTAATTAAATCCTCATTATAGCTACATAATTAAACTTAAAGAATTAATTGGATGCTTTGAAATAGGCTAATTTAATATTTGAAAGAATTAAATATGCGTAATGTGAATTTTTCACCATACTCTGCCAATATTAGCAATATCAGGAATTATATTGACTCAAAACTTGGTAATAAATTAGTAAGCTCAAGTAATACTTTAAAACCAAATGATGAATATACAACACGACATAATTTTGGAATGGACTCTGCACATTATAAAGTTTTGCAATCTCCAATTCAAACAAATATGTGTAGATCTAACACTCCATTTAATACAACTAAAGTGACTCCTTTTATAAGAGAGGAAAGAAGATATCAGAATTCTTTATTAGAAAAGCCTATAATGGCAATCAATAGGGTTAATTCTGATACATATTCAGTAGTTAAGGGTAATACTCCAAATTTCAAATATTCTCATTTAGATCATAGTAACTTTTTGAACGAAAAAACCTTGAATATACCTAGCAAATATTCAAGCTCCAAATATAATATCTCAGAATATTATAATGGAACTATAAATAGTGGGAATTCATATAGTAAGTTTGGAAAGGAACCTTATGGTATATCTACTTGCAGGAAGCGGACTTTAGAGTGTATGTCGAATACAGACATGAAAAGTGCAACTTTGAATGATGAAAGTGAGGAATTTTATGATGCGATGAGTGATAATGAATACGGAGATGATGACAAAGTTACTTCCAAAATTAATATTCAGCCTCCTATTAAAAAACCCCTACATGTTCTTACTCCTTCAACAGCTTATTCAAGTGGTCAATTAGGTACTAAACAAAATACTTTAAAGGGCCGTTCAACAACTTATGGTATACCTTTATCTTTAGTTGAAAGTGATGATACTTTCTTTCTTGAATCTAAGAATCCAGAACGTTCTTTGCAAAGTGATATCTCAACTCCAGTAAGCTATATAAATGAAGTTAAGTATTCCCATCCTGATATTATATCTAGGAATTCTATACTCCCACCGTCTGCACTAGCAACTAGTAATATTAACCAACGCCTACGTACTCCACTTAGGTATAGAAATACTCAAATACTTAATAAACCAGGTACTTGTTCGCGTATACTTACTGCAGCTGAGATGAAGCAGGCATTTTGTAGGGTAAGGAGACCAGTTGGTGTACTTCGTGATTTTACACCAACTATTTCAGATAAAAGCTATGCTGATAACAAAGCCAGCGAAGTTGATGATAGCAAAATAACTAATTCTAATTATGATAAGATAAATGCGGAGATATTAGAAAATTCTGCAATGGCGGAGAAGTCAATAATGAAAAACAAACATTCTATAAATGCTACTATAGAAACAAAAAGTGAAGCTGCAGATTCAGACTTGGCCACTTCAAGTAAACTTGGGGACTCAGAAAATTTATCTCAAATTAAGAATATCTTTGGTAAGTTTATAAATAATAAAGAGAATGACAAGGCTTTAGGTGAATTAGACAACTCAAGTAAAGAATATAGGACCAATCCTAGTGGGTTGAATATGAAGGATAATGATAAAAAGTTTGGACTTGATACTGATATCAAATGTCCAGCAAAGAATACGAAGGTAATTAATTCTAAATCTTGTGAGATTATTGAAGAGGCTAGTAAGGATATTAATAAAGAGATTAATAAGGATACCAATAGTGAAATTAATAAGGGTATTAATAAAGATATTGGTAAAGAAACTACTAAAGAAAATGGCAAGGAAATTAATAAAGAAGTTAATGAAGTGTTTAAAGCCAATAAAGAAGATAATGAGGAGGCTATAAAAGAAGTTAATAAAGACATTGTTCCATGGTGGTTAGCTAATGCTGATAAACCGAACATGGTTGCTATTGAAGAAGATAGTGTTTTTGCACCAGATTCAGATTCTAGTGACGATACGAAAAATAAAGATATTAATGATGAATCTAAATTGCCTCTACCTTCATTATTTAAAGATAATTCAAGTAAATCATTACAAGTCAATAATACAGAGAATACAGGACAATCGAAAGAAGTGAATACTTTACATGGAGTATTTGAAAACAACTCTTCAGGTTTAGAATCTATTACAAAGCCATCAAATAGATCTATATTTTGTATTGGTGGAACTGAATCATCCTTACAAAATGGAGAAACAAAACAACTTAATGCGAATTTTATACACCAACCTTCAAGTTCAGCAAGTATATTCTCAGTTAATAATGGAAATAGTGGCAACTTTGCAAACTTACCTGAAGCTCCTAAAACAATTGATTTGCAAAGTAATAGCAAGAATATTTTAACGGAAACCCAGACAAATATTTTTAAAAACAATTTATGCACAGTATCTTCTAAGGATTCTAGTGCTTCTAATTTATTAAATAACGATAACTTATTTTCTTTTTCCAATACTTTGAATAATTCTAATGAATTAGGTCAACTAATACCAAATTCTTCGCAATCAAAAGATCTAGATAATTCTATACTCAGTAAACCTGTATCTCTCTTTGGTGCTACAACTCAGGGTATTACTAATACTAGTGATTCATTATTTAGTCAACTCACAAAATCTCCTGAGAAATCTGGAAATTTACTTAGTGATGCAGTTAGTCCTCAGAAAGACAACTCAGTAACTTTATTTTCATCTACTCAACCTTCACCTTTTAAGTCAGTAAGTGAATTTAAAGATAGTAATGTTACATCAAACTCCTCAGACAGTGCTAAAAATTTAATTTTTGGAGATACTTTTACAAAAAAACCTGAACTAAATTCTACAGGGTCTATCTTTGGAACTACATCATCATCATCATCATCATCATCATCCTTCATCCCATTTTCTTCTACTACACTGAACCCTGTACCTTCTGTGGGGACTAATCCCAGTGGATCAATTTTTGGTTCAACATCTACAACTTCACAATCAAGTACTGTTACTCCATTATCAGCTAGCGGAGGTTTGTTCGGTGCTCAGTCCACTTCTGGTTCTGCAACTTCATTAATTACAAACAATTCAGGTAACAATGGTAATTCTCTAACATCTACTGATAATAAGACATCCGGACTATTTGGGCCATTTTCAAATAGCTCCTTTAGTAGCACAAACATTGGGACGAGTAATACATACCTTTTTGGTCAAAGTGGAGCTTCATCTCCATTTGGTACATCACCAATCCAAAATCCCCCTGCAACCAATATATTTGGCTCTGCTACCCAAAATATCTCCCCAGGTGCTCTAGGCCCGAACCCTATACTAGCATCTAACTCCAATAATCCCTTTATTGGCCATGCCTCCAATTCAAATAGTGCAACATCTCATAGACGTCGCATAGCTAGGGCTAAAAGGTCTCAGTAGCTAGTAATTTATTGGAACTATATATCTTAGATGTATTAGACTACTCGAAATTCTCTTAAACTACACTATAATAAATTTCTACATTATTAAATTGTCCCTTTTAAAAGTTCGGGTTTGCCCAGGGTGAGTCTGGTGCAAATTGGAAATTGCTTATTTGGGACAGGACTCCATCCTTCCAAATTCCTTCAATTACATGACCCATTGCAAACCTTAGGATCCCATTACCCTCCTTACGACCATTAAACCACTCTCCTTCATATACATTGTTATCTTCTGCACAGAAAAAGATACCTTTGCCATGTCGGCGGTCATTTTCCCAGTATCCTTCGTATCTATTTCCATTTGCATAAGTATATATGCCAAAGCCGCAGGCGTGATCTGCTACCCAACTCCCCTTAAATCTATCATTATTTGAATAAAATAGCTCACCTTCCCCATGTTTTTTAGCATCTAGCCAATCTCCAACATATTTATCACCACGACTATACGTAAGAGTTCCCTTACCATTTACTTTACCATCCTTCCAATATCCTTCATACTTTTCTCCATTTTGATATGTCAATACACCATATCCATATTTTAGATCATTGACCCATTCTCCTTCATAGACATTACCATTTGGAAAAATATAAGTTCCTTTGCCATGCATAGATCCCTCATACCAGTCACCTTCGTATATTGCTGAATCAACAAATACATATTTTCCATGTCCATGCATCTTACCATTAACCCAATCGCCTTCATATTTCTCAATAACTTTATCTCCACTACTGCTAACATACGTTACAGTTCCCTTTCCATGTCTTTTATCATCACGCCATTCTCCTGAATATATATCACCATCGGAATATTTGTAAACGCCTCGTCCATGCATGCGACCATCTAGCCATTCCCCTTCATAAATATCACCATTATTATATATTAATTTACCATATCCACTAATCTTCCCATTTTCCCACTGTCCTTCATATATATTTCCACTAGAGAAGTGAGCTTTCCCCTGCCCATGGATTCTATCGTCAACCCACTCACCTTCATAAACTGCACCATCCGAATAGGTAAAACGTCCATATCCTTCTCGTTTCCCTAACACAAAGTCACCTTCATATTTTTCATTTTTTGAATAAACTAAAATTCCACGACCATGAAATAGTCCACCTTTTATATCACCAGAGTATGAATGACTAGTAGTTTCCATTTCTGTATATCCAATGAGTGCTACGTCAACTACGAAGCAGCTCTGGTATGACTATCTACAAAATAAATTAGTCAACTTTCAAAAGTTAAGTTAATCAACAATTAGTTATAAACTAGTCTATTTAAAAAGTAGACTAGATTGTCAATATTTTCCTTTGTAGTAATATTGATATTTCCAATGAGACCTCAAGTTTGATAAAATTCCAACTAGATATATTATTGGAGGGAAGTCTAAATAAGTAATTATAACAAAAGTAGTTAATCAAGAGATAATATCCTTCAGGTTTTCACAATTCAGCTAAAATAAGAGATTATAAAGTCATAAGGCAAAGAGTAAAGTTACATGTTTTGATAGTCTTCCCCACATAGAGCGCCAGCTTTTCCTTTTTTTCTCCATTTTTTTTTTCCTTTTTCTCGTCATTTTATTTATTTTATCCTTAGATAGTCACCAAATTTTAAATTAAATATTATAGTTTCAATGTAATGTGAACTTTGCGTATAACGCAGCTATATGAGAAGTCCGGCACCTTCTTGTATTACAAATATCATATACAACTTGATTTGATTTATATTTTTATGCTACCAACATCCTTAATATCTTGTTTAGAAAAAACGAAACATTAAATCCAACAATTACTGTATTTACATTGGAAGTAGTCAAGAGCGCCATACATATTTTTTCAGCGGGCTAGTTTTGGTATTTTAAATTTGCAGATAGGCAATTTCTCTTTTAAATAAGAAACAGTTAAATTTCTATGAACTAATTATTGCACAGTATCATCTTTAAATATGCATATTTCAATACCTCCACCACCTCTTTTACAGTCAAGTACTAGGATAGCTCGTCCTATCAAAGAAAGTATAGTTTGTGATGTTAATAGAGTCTCCGACATCACTATTAAAGCAAGTAATCTAAGTCATGGCAATATAAATGGAGCTGCTAAATTAAATGAAGATTTTGCATATAAGTCGGAAGGTATAGTAGAAAGTCCTCCCAATAAGCTTCCAGAACAGTATGATCAAAAAACTTATATATTAGGGAAACTGCAATCTAACCAACTTTTTAACAACACTGAACAATCTAATTATACTTATTCCCATATGGAGATTGAAATGGGAGGTAATAATCGGAGTAATAGTTCTGATTTCTCGACAGCATCTCTACCACCTACAAAATTAAATATGGATAAAAGTAATAGTAAACCATTTCAGAATACAGAAATAAATACTGTTTTTTCTACTTTAAAATCTGAAAAATATCTACATGGAAATAGAAGTGAAGATGAAGCAAATGTCAATTTTGATTGGCCTTCAATAAGTGGACATAATAAATATGAACTTCCATTGAATAGTAGTTCTAGCAACGAAATTAAACAAATTAGGAATTATGAAACAAATACAACTAATTTAAGCAGGATAAATAAGGAGCAGAGTAATGGGTTCTTTGTCACTACTCATAATAGATTTTGTGAGGGAAAAAACTCGAATATACCCTTGAATGATAAATCTAATTATTTACTTTCGGAAGGCACTGTGAACTTAGAAGAAAATCATTCAACACGCCATATACATGGTAATTACATAGCTGCAAATAATCTCAAGGAATTTGGTTTGAATAGTGGTGATATAGAATTAAGCAAATCTATAAGTTTAAAAAATAGCCATACTGGATCTAGATTGCCTCCAAAACTACCGACTATTTCTACAAATATAGTCCCAACTCCTATAGATTATACTGAAACTGATGTTAGAGATACTGGAAGTTTGGAATTTCCTGATTTTAGAAAAGGAGGTCATGAAATCATACCAGAAAGAGGAAAGTCATCTACTCGTCCTCCAACTGCACCTATATTCTCATCAGTAGACAATTCTATTCATTTAAATCGCAGTATAATATTGGAAAATATACAAGATTGTAGATCTCAGATATATACTGAGAGTGAACTTGTAGATATAAATGAGATATCTTTAAAACATGATATATCACAGGACTTACCAACTTCTTTTCAAGGGTTATCTTTGAAATTAACCTCATCTCAATTACTTCCTAATAATGTTTCCCCTTTTATTAATAAAAGTAATTTAGATACTGATAAACTAAGACCTTCTCCTTCAGCTTGTGTAGGTGTCACTCGTCCTCCTACAGCTCCGAACAATAGTTTAGGACCACATCCCAAGGTAGAAATGTTGATGAATTTAATGGATCGTACAGTTGAAAATAAAAGACGTGAATTTGAGAAATTCAATCGTCTGAAATCTGCCTTGTCAGAATTAGGTGATTTCAACAAGCGTTTACTTGAAGAAAATATTCGATTGAAAAGTGCCAATTTGAATACTGATTGTGAAGAATCTATTAAATCTAGAGTTGTAAACCAAAAAGTGTTGAACACTAAATTATCAATAGATAATGACATAGATAATAATTCGAATAGAGAAGTGGAATTACTGCAGAATGAACTATATAAAAAAGATGAAGTAATTAGGAATCTTCAGAATAAACTAATATCTAAGAGCTCATTCGACAGATTTAGTGCAGATCAGATGACATCTACTTATATGAAGATGTTTAAAAAGATTGAACAAAAAAGTTTACTATTTAAGGAAAGTGTTGATGATATAAACAATTTATTGTCAAACATTATTGGATTAGCTAGGAATTCAGTGGAATTACTTGGCAACAAAATGGTAGAAAATTTAAATAGGCTGTCGAGCGATATTATTCATCAGATTGAATTTAATTATAGTGCTTTAAAGGTAACATTGAATCACTTATCAGATCGTCAACAAATTATACTAGGCTCTATGACACGAATTGACAACCTCGAGATATCTGATAAGAAATACTCAAACATAAATATTGAAGATAATAGTTCTGCAAATTTTGAGGGGAATAGGTCACCAACTTACAAATTTAATTTTGAATCCAATGATGAATGTAACAGCAATGTCATGGAAGAAGCAAGTAACATACTAGATTATAATGGTAAAGCTAACACAAGTTATAGCCATAGCATAAATGGACTATTCTCACATACTAATGATGATTTATCTACAACGGGCAACAATAAAAATTTAGTAGATATAAATTTACCAGATGGTGATGCATGCCATCTAGATCAACTGTCATACAGTCAGTCACAATTTGATTCAGTATCTTTAGAAAATCAGAAACCACCGGTAGAAACGGTATACAATGATGATTCTAATACAGGTTGGAACTATGATCAGCCATGTGACTTAACACAGACAATAAGTGACATTGACTATATATACAACTATAATGCAATGCAAAATATATCATCTAGTAAGGCAACTGTATAAGTATATAGTCAATATCAATAGTATATATCGATTTAATTTAGGTGTTCAAATATAGATATTTTCTTAGTTTTCCATCTAATTGTTTAACTTTCATGAAATTCTAAATATTTATTTTAACTATCTATAGGTAATGCCTCTACGGAAGAAGGAGATGATCTATTATATGGTACCCAGCTAAAGTAGTCATCATACAGTGGATACCCTGGCCTTCCTGTGTGCTTAATAATATTCTCTAAGAATTTAAATTCACAATATAGAAGTTTTCGTTTGTAGAAAGTTCTAAGTATTCCGTTATCCTCGAGAGTTTTCAATACATCTTCACGTCTAATTCCAGTTCTCCTAATTATACTTTCTATAGTGATCCAATGTTTTACACTACCAATTGCCTGTTTATTTAATAATTCTTTAGATTTCATGCCTTCTAGTAAGACTTCAGGTATTTTAGCATTCCACCAACTTTTATATATAGCTCTGCCTAAATCAGATAGAGGTCTTTCGGGATGACCCCACTTTCCTTCACTTATTGATAATCTGTATGATAAATCTACCAGTAATTTTCCATAACCTTTTCTTTGATAACATGGTAGAGTGAGTATACATGCTAAATTATAATGCATTAGTGATATCTTCTCTTTGGAAAAGTACCCTACAAGATGACAACCTTCTTCATCAACTTCAGTAACAATGTAGAAAAGAAAGGGTTCCACATCATATTGAAGTGTTTTATGATCTAAGAAAAGCTTTGCAAGATAACAAAGATTTTCAGCATAACGTTTAGCTAGTGCTCCATCAATTTCAAATATAGAGATATTTTCTTTTCTATAAATTTCATTACCTGGTGGATGTCTAAGGATACAACCCTTAATATGGCGAATTAATTCACCCTCATGTCTAAAGAACTCTAGACAAAATTCACAAAAATGAAGTATTTCTAAATTCTGGTATTCATCAGGAAATGGTGAAAAGTACCATGTATCTAAGATGTATTTCCCAATCCTAATTTTACTAATAGTTTTTAACCGTGTTGTCTCTTCATGTACCTGTAATGCTGCATGATCCATCCCCTCATGCTCCTCTGGATCTTCTCCATCAGATATTTGCAATTGATCAATAGTCCTTTTACGAGATTTGGTAACACATTTTAAATTCTGATGAGTTGGAGATAATGTTGAATTAATTCTCATTAATTTTTCACGTAAATTAAAATCATCAAGCTCTTCTAGTTCAAAATCAACTTTAATATTTTTACCAGTTATCCAACGATCAAGACGACGATTTAATCCACGAAAATGAACATAAAATTCATAATCTACAAGATTTAATGAACTTCTGTTTTTCTCTATAGATGAATTAAGCTTTACTAAATTAGTTGATAGATTTTTACTGTTTACTTTTAAATATCCATTATATTTATCTTTATTTTCTACAAGATGAAGAAGATGAGTTGCACTTTCCCCAATTAGTTTCCATCCAATAATGCGTGCTAACTTATATTTTGCTGATTCATCAAAATATGCCAATACCCACTGATTCACTGTGGGAAAACTATTATTATTTATATCGAGATTAGTTTTATTATCCTCAATATTTGCATCACTTGAGTTTGTTAGTTCATTTCTACTTTCACATATATGTTCAGTATCTTCACCTTTATTTTTAAACTCTAGCTTTTCTAATGGAGAATCATACTCAGATAGATTAGCAAATTCTCGTGTCCCAGAATTTGGACGAAATTTACTAGAGCTCCCAGATATTTTGAGAGATGATCTAGTACGCAAGCCCATGCACCAATAGAGGTATATGTTGTATAATATCCAAATATATTATGAACTAAAAAAAAATATTCAATGTCTCAATATATTTAAATACTAAGTAGCTCATAAGTAGTACAATATTATTATTATATAATTATTTTCTTTAAAAGAAAAAAGGTGGAAATATTACTTTGTTATATACCCGTGCGGCCCTTGCCCTTCTTGTAAGGGTTAGTAAAGAAAAAGTGTAAGTTATATATTAAACTCTTCAGATCTACATATACATAATACAATGGTATAATGCAACATAACATCAATACAATATAATATAAATTAATGGATAGAATACTGAAGTTATTAGAATGAAAGTTGTCATTACACTAAATGTACTACTGTTTTTTACATTACTTTGGTATTACATCACTTTCTAATAAATACAAAGCTCTAGATATTATAGGAATAAAATTAGGATCAATATTACAGGAGATTTTTAAAATAAGAAGTATCTTAACTGTTAATATTCTGTTGACCTTTCACTGGTGTCCTTTGCAGATCTTAATTGTAACAGAAACTAATTTGGCGCTTTTAGACACATATTGCACGTACCAGATACTGGGTATCTGATAACTTGGTATACTGTTGCTATTTATACTCTGAATAGTGTTTTAGAGATAATGGAGGGATAGAGAGAGGGATAGATGTAAAGATCCGACTAGTCAATAGTTGTAGCAAGTAGTCGACTAATGTAAGTGGCAGAATGTGAGTGTATATTTCATTGTGCGGATTGCCAGACACGCAGACAAGTCCCGATGGACCATTGCACAGGAAAGTTAGCTGTGTTGTGTACAAATATTGTGCAGCTTTAAATCATTTATTTTAATATAACTACAAGTTATATTTATTTCTGTGTTACCTATATATTTGTGGATTTTTGAACAAATATTACTGAGGCAGTTAAGGAAGAATTGTGCTGTTTAAGATATCATTGTGTTTTGCACCTTTTTTGTATATAGAGCTATAAATATGGGAGATAATTGTACAATAGTTGATAAGTATACTGGGGTTGCAGAAGATATCAATTTATATAGACTTGATATTTCATCAAATCTAGACACTAATTGTAAAGACAATTCTATAGATGAAGTGAAAGATACTGTTAAAAGTGAAGAATATATACAAGAGAACACACTTCAAATACAAGATATTGATTGTAAACAAAGTGAGGACTCTAGAGAAAATACAGAAAGTATAGAATCAACTAATTCCGATACTTTAGCCGAACTAGAACTTTCTACAGAAAATTTAATAAAAGATGACAATTTGTCTCAGCAACGTCACATACATGATACATCATTACCTTATAAGTTGTGGATTGATGCAAAAAGTCGTGATTGGATTCTTGAATGGCAATCAAAGAATGGTAGATGGGGTGTAAGAAAATTTAGCTGCAAGCGTTGGGGGAAAGGGAAGGCATATTCTCATGCAATGAACTTCTTAGCCTCATTAACTTCTGGAGGAATTATTAAAGGAAGTCAATACAATAGACAATTTAATGATTTAATAAGTGTAACTGGGGATGGGAATGGATCTTGTAGATCTGTTGAAGATGAATTAGTCCTTCAGTTTCTTTCACAGCGTGATGCTGCATCAAATTCTGAAAAACCAAAACAAAGGCTAGAGAGTAATCCTGGACTGAATGCACTAGCAGCTATTGCAGCAGCTGCCACTGCATCAAACTCAGCGAATAATTCTTTGAATATTAAAAATCAGGCTAGTCAAAACAATAGTAACCAGAACCAGCAAACACATGTTAGGGGAGCTGTGCGCAAGAGTGGTGTTCCAGGCGTTTACTGGAGTCAAAAACCTCAAGGATGGAGAGTTGTATATTATACTGGAAAAGATAGAGAATTTGAATATTTTAAAGTGCCAGCTAGTGCCTCTGAAGAGGTAATAAGTGAGATTTTGGAAGTTGCAAAACGTTTTAGATCTCAAGTTACTTCAGAAGGACGCCATTTACCAAATGGTACTGTAGGATCTAGCTCTAAAAGAGCTAGAGCTGCTGAAAGGAAAGCAGCTGCAGCTCTCTCAAATGAATCTGCTCGTCGCAGAACACTTGTAAATAATGTATCCCCATATCCTAATGATACTTTTAATGGAAAATATAAAAATAACCCCATTGATTCAGCTCCTAGTATTTTAGTTGATTCAGATACATTATCATCGGCTGGGTCATATGGTGCAGCAACTATTGCAGGGAAAATTGTAAATTCACCAACTAGTATAACTCCTGGCATCTATGATTGGTTATATAACCCTATGCTTATGAATTTATATGGAAACTATTCAGTGGCAAATCAGGCAGCTGCAATACAACAATGGGCATTATTGCAAAATATATTGTACCAACAAAATTCATTAGTGCAGAATAGTGTACATACATCTAGTGAAACACCTGGGGTTCCACCAATGTTCCCGAGTCCATTCCTGACTAATTATCCTATTCAATCTCAAAGTACTAACAATACTCAGAAGACACATCTCTCTCAACAACAGCAACAAATAATTAATAATCAGAATTCAATAAATCAAGCTAACATGGATTTATTCTATAGATACTATTGTATATCTCCTCCTACACAACATCAAAGTACCTCTGTAATGAGTTCACCAAATACAAATGTAAATTTCCCTATGAATGATGCCATAAATTGGCTATCACAGCTTATGAATATGCAAAACTACTCACAAAGTGGGGAAACAACTTTATTACAAACAGATATATATGGGGACAAATCTCAGCAAACAGATACAATAATACAAAGAACCACAACTTATCTATCTGAGTCTAAACCAGATCCAGCTGAAGAAAATAAACTTGATATACAACAAAACAAACCATGTGGAACTGAAAATATAGAAGTGATAAAGAATATTGAGGAAGAAGAAAAAGTCCAACCTGTATTTTCCAATACTTGACTTATATAGATGAAGACATAAAGTATAATCAGGTATAACCAAGTAAATAGTAGTGGAACTTCAGATTCCTCTATTAAATCACTTCTAGGTTAAAGGATTATGTCAGGTTAAGGTTACTTCTTTGTAAAGTCCGACTTTATAGGAGTTCTCTATTAATTTTATATCATATTTGATCACTTCTAATTAAAATATTTCATGTTATTCTGGAACAAAAGACGATGAAAATACATCACTAAGAACTTTTGCTTTAATTAAACCAATCCCAGATAAATTAACAAGTTCACATTCGCGTGCATTTATTATATTTGACATTGAACTAAAGCTTTTCAGTAGTTTACACGCATCACTCCTGTTTATTCTAGGAAGAGAAGATAATGCTTCAATGGATCTTTCGTTGATATCTGAGGAGAGAATTCCTCTTATACTATCTGGAGGTGTGTTTTCAAATGATTTCATTGCTTCTAGAACAGCAGCTGCTTCTTGAGGTGTCCATACCAATAATAGTGTCATGTTAGTGTTAAAGCATATATTTGTTATATCAAGAATGGTAGTATCCAAACCAGCAGATGAGGAAACATCAACCATACACAAAACAACACGAACTTTATAGTTTTTCTCTAGTGACATAATTCGTCTTTTTAGATATGTATTGTGAAGTTTATGGTACTTGATACTTATGAAAATTACAGCATCATATTTACCTACCAAGAAGTCTGGAACCAACGAACTAAATTCATAAATTGTATTCTTAATATATTGAATCAGAGGATTTCCTTTTTGTCTGTTACTTGCAACTATGATATCACATGCTCTGGAATCAAAGAACTTTAATTCAGAATTATATTCAGTATTTACATTATTGTTATTATCCATTGAATTAAAGTTAAAAATAAGACTTTCTTCTTGCGGTAATACAAATTGCATATTGCATCTAAGCGCAACTTATCAATGCATCTAATAAGTATTATAATGGAATTATTAATCTGAATTTAAATGAATGATTTAGTAATAATATAACTGGTAATTATCTATATATGTTATCTAACTAATATTTATTTACATAATTCCCTTATATAAACTATTTCATTAATATAATAGAGCTATCATAGGATCAATTCCCTTCAAAATTTATTGCCATTCATTTTGAAGTGGAATAGTAATTGTGTAACATTATATAAACTCTATAAAACTATTAAATAAGAGTATATTGATTAGTTTATATTTATTACTACAGATATTCGATAATATTACTCTCATTTGTTAAATTATAGTAACTTACAAATAATTAATCCACTGCAGTTTCTAATCAATATAATTCCTATATCTTGTATTTCTTCCTTAATATTATACCCTATGTCTAACATCTTTAGTAATAAAGTAATATGTTGTTGAATAAAAGTTCTGTGTTAGATATCAACTTTATTTAATATTGGTTATTCAAGGTAAGTTCAAAGAAGTCAAATAGTTAAAAATAATAAATATTTTTGATTTATAAAAGTATATTATTTCCAACTATTTGACTTAAATTAAATTGATGATATACACTTCATATTTCTTATTCAAATACTTACAATAAAGATTCAGATAGCTACTTTGTACAAAATTGACATTTTCTTAAAAAGAAAACTCAAAGTTCTATAATATAATACAATAAGGTAGAAATACACACAATTTTAATAACAAGATCTTAATTAACTAACTACCTTGCCATTGTGAATACATCCTGTGACTAACTATAAATAAATCCCTAATTCAGAGATTTATAATAATGGTAAGTCACACTTAAATCAATATTACAAATCATATCTTGGAAGGTGAGGAGATATATTTATAAAATAGAATACTTACTTTATAATGAAAAGATACTCAATATTTGATTATATATAAAACAATTATATATTTAAGATCACTTCTTCATATTGTAACAGTATGGTATCTTGTGCTAGAGACTTCGACACAAAACTAAAGAGTCTCATAAAATACATTCCCACTAAATATTTAGACAACATAATTAAATATAAGATAAACTATTGCATGAAGAAATAAAAGTACTTATTCAAATTATAGGTTACTAAGACTAAAAATAATTACGTCTACTGGCGCACAATCATTCTATGTAGAAAGAACAGCAATCGACAGCGTGTACGTCTGGGTATCTTACGTAATTTTTTTAAATAATAGTGGGTTCCCCCCTCCAAAATATATTAGGTGTGAGTAGTAATCATAGAAAATATTATTTATTTTTTTTGTATAAAATAAAAGAATATAAGGGGCATCTTAATGACAATAGTTGCAGAAGGAGCAAAACTGGTGCGAGTGCATCCAGAAAAAGTTCTAGAGTTCCCATTAGTACTTTATAGCTCTGTGACATGCCCACTAATGCTTGAAAATATAACATCTTCAACAGTAGCATTTAAGATCAAGACAACAGCTCCGAGAGGATATTTAGTTCGACCTAGTAGTGGTATAATTTTACCAAGTCAAACAAGAGAAGTTCAGATAATTTTACAACCATTGCAATCTGTTGAACAAGCATCTCAATCACATAGATTTTTAATACAGACAACATTATGTGATAATAGTGTAGAACAGCTCCCTAAAGACTTTTGGCAAGAGGTTAATAAGGATCAGATATTTGAACATAGATTGTCTGTAATATTTAAACAAGAAACTCCAGCGGATACCAATCCTGGGAGTATAGATTTATCTAAAGGTTCATTACATCCTGGGTCACAGTCAGCATCGTCATCTATAATAACTAATCAAGGTGTTCATTCAGGTGATATTGATCTAAAAAATAAATATGATGAACTTGTACAATATTGTCTTGCTTTAGAAAAGCAAAGTAATGAACTGAAGGGAGAAGCTGCAATTCTCAGAGAAAAGTTAGAGAAGGCTGAGAGAAATGTAGTAAATAATAGTACACAAGGTGCCCAAGGTATTGAGTTTTGGCATGTAGTAGCAATGGTTTTTGTTGCTATTGTTGCTTTGAAACTTATTAACTATTAAATAGATTCATTATATTAGGTATGGGACGCTAGGGATATATATCCATAAGTCTGTTAACTATTTCAAATATTGCAAGTTTTTGATAACTTATGAGCTCATGAAGACTATATTTGTATTAATAGATACTGATATTATTGTTCTTTTAAATTATACTTTTAAAGGTTGTACTTTGAGTGACCTTCCAACTTTTATCTCTGAATCTAGTACACTGAGAATTAGTTGATTTTTAAAAGTGAGAAAAAGAGGAGATATAATAAGATTCTTATTTCAATTATTCTTCTTTATTTACAGTAGTTGAGAAATATAATTTATAAATTGTAATAGATTATAGTATATTATTATAGAACAACTGTATGTGTGTTTGGAAGTTCAGTGTAGGTTATATAGGAGAAAATATCATTTAACTTGACTAAGTTTATTTATGAAACTTAAGTGAAGTCTTAGTGTGTATATGTTTAAATATCGGTTATAGACGCTACATTTTTGATACTAGTACTTCATCTAATATTTGCTATAAGCGGCTGTAAATTTCTTGTATTACATATCAAAAAGTATTTTCAAGTGGCAAATGTTAACAGGAATATTAAAGTACCTTCTGTAAAGCTTTATACTGTATGGGAGACAACCTTAGTGAATTAATATGTAAGTGTGATCATAGTATTTTAGAAAGTTATCAATTTCCAGATAATATTAATATATATTTTTTGAATAGCAATGAAATTCAGAATAAACTGATATCTCCAAAGTACTTTTTGTTTAGATCTGGGAATCGTATTTCTAAAGATTGGATCATTGGGAGGATTTTATTTTGTGAAGATGGTAGAATTTGGTTTATACAAAGTAATGAAGACTTAGCTATTAAATACAATAATTCTCAATCTAGTATTATAAACTGTGAAATATCTGGTTTCTTTACTTCAAGCTTATTTCTCCAATGTAAGGTAACAAAAGTATTTAATTTGTCATGCCTAATTGCTATTCGTGACTGGAAAATTATGGAAATATCAGCTAAAGAAACTATATCCCCTAAAAGAAAATTACTATCATCAATGTATTTTTCTTGTATAAATTCTCCTTTAAAAAGTACCCATAATAATATAAATGTAATTAGAGATAGAATTTTGTGTTTAAATGCTAATACTATAATATGGCTATCAGATAAGAAATTATCTTTTAAAAGTTCATTAGGCAATTATTCTTTAATTGGTATAATCATACACATATCTCCTATTATAAGGAGTGTTAATAAACAAAAGAGCAGTATTAAAACTATTGATCAGTGCTTAGTTTATCAAACTAAAAATCAAGATAACAAATATAATATATTTGATTTTAACATAAAGCCATCAAGATGGAGTAATACAACCTCATACTCTATCAAATTATATAATATAGAGACGAAATCTATTATTTCAATATATTTTCCTGGTAATAATCTCTTATTTTATAGATACATTTTTGATTGGCACTATATAATTTCTTTAAGTAATCTATATCTTGGAAAAATTGTAGTTTTTGAAGAAGGTAAAGAATCATTAGTCCAATGTTATATAGCGCATAGCGATACACTAGTATATAGGCAAGAATTGATACCAGATCATATTAGGTCTTTGCAAATATTCCCAATACTATTACAGATTAAGAAAAATATTGGATTTGGAGTTTATGAGATATCATCATTACGAAATTCTGTTAGACTTTATTTACATAATGCTTGCAGATATGAAACATCTATAAATTTTTCAATAACTAAAGGTTCTATATTGTGGGTTAGGAATTTCCGTTGTTTATTTATTAAAAATAGAAAAAGTCTCATTTTAGGATCTTGCAAGAATTTTTCTTCACGATTACTTGTTGGAATTGCTGTAGAATATTTTTCTGATTGGGGATTATACAAACACTCTAATTTAATCGAATTTAAATATGAATCATATTCACTTTCTAATACATTGAATATGCAGTTACTTAGTCATGAATATTTGGAATATTCTGATTCTTCAGTAGATATATCACAGAAACTTCATCTATGGGATATCCGTAATTTTTGCTATTTTCATTATAATCTTTATGTAGACATCTTTAATATATTCCTATCAAATCATGATGAGTTTGATATGTTGCCAGTAAGTATTTTAGATGCTATTAAAAATAAACTAGATTCTTCAGATATTATATACTATCACTATCATAATAGGAATAATACCAATTTTAGGAAATATAAGAACAGTAATATATGTAAGAATGATCAAATAACCCATCCTGGCCAACTTTTACTATTACAAGATAAGGATCATTACAGTAATAATGTAATTTACACAGATTGCAATGATCGAATGCTAAGTACTTGGAGATTAGCAACTATTGAAGAGTGGTATATTGTAATAGACTGCCTGACTAGATCTGATATTGATTTAAGTGTTTTGAATGCTTTAAATAATGAGGTGATATCAATTGAATATTTTGAATACTTATTAGATAATGAAAAGATAATATTACCTGATACTAGATATAATTCTTATACAAGTCAGTTTACTGATACTCTTAGTGTAGTATGTAATGAAATGGAAGATAATTATCTATCAGTAATTTTATTACCTGTAGGAAGTTTGATTGGAGAGTTATTTTTAGATTTTGAAGAAGATAATATCTTAAGTAATTTACATTATATTTGTACTCCAAAAAATGGTTTTAATAAAGAAACTTTTCCAGTATTATTTTTATTGCATGGACAATTTTTAGCTAATATTTGGAGGGGCAAAACTATTGAAGAAGTTTACAAACCAAGAATTATATATATAGAAAAGTTAATGATAATATTTCAGCAGAAAAAAATGTTTCTGATAGTAGAACCATCTAATATGATATTTATTTCTCCAAAGAATGATATTTCTAGCCATAATATATCTGCGACACTTTTATTTATTAAATCTAAAGAGATCATTCGTGAACAGAATAATACAAAATATATCTTTTATTGTGTTCCATTATTTAGATCAATACTAAATTTATCTTATTATACTGATCAAGATACTTTCGAATTAATTGAATTGAGTATTGTGCCATTGGAGATTCCTATTCATTGGTACCTTTGTATTGAATCACAATCATTTATACTTTTAACAACTAGTGATTATCATTTAAATAATACTATATTATTAGATCCAGAATTTGAAGATAAACTTTTGTCACATTTTACTATATCAAATACACATCGTAACAATGGTACAGGTTACTACATTACACAACTTACATTTCCATATAGTGATTTTAGCAGCAATTCGTCAAATTATATAGAAGTAAAGAATGGTTATGACTCAATAAATTCTCTTTTGTGGTTTACAAACAACAAATTCACATTAAAACTAGATTTATCGAGTGAGTCTTGGCCCGAGAAATTTATTAAATTGACCCATATAACAGCTTTTGATATTAAAGATTGGGTAAACAATATTGTTGACTGGTACTTATTTAAAAAAGGTATACCTATAATATACAATCATACAAATATCGCAAGGTTTGAAATAATTAGTATTTGCAATAGATTAAATAATATATGTGATGTCATACCATTAATATCACTAGAAAAAGTTAAAATTTTAGATATAATACACTTCAAAGGATATAATCCATTGAATATATATGGTAATTGGATAGTATTGCGTGTTACTACAGGAAGTGAACCTTTAAAGTACAAAGATGATAAATATTTACAATTATATCCAATATGGAATTCAGGTTGGAATGATATCTGGATATCGAAGGATATAGCTAAAAACTCTTTAATAAATGCAATTTTTCCAGGTCAAATAGTATCTATCAATCGAATATATGCAACTATAACTGAACAAAGTACTCCACATACTTTAGTGAGTGGAATTTTACAAAATGTCATATTAGAAACAATTTATCCTACTATGGAGAATCACATCGCAACTTCAGATCAAGATTTTAGTGTTGACCATTTAACACCAAATTTAAGTCCATATACATCTCAGATCTTATCTTATAAAAGTTTTTTAAATTCACTAAATTATGGCAATATTATATTTCTTTCTTCAATTAAAAATAATAAGTTACAATTAATAAATTCAGATAAGTATGATAAGAAAAGCACACATAATTTTCTCTATTTTGACCAGTATAAATTTTCTTCTACCTATATGTATATTGATACATATTCAGAAATATTTATCCACAAACTCTATGAAAATAAAGAAAATTCAGCACTTGAATATGAATCAGGCCTCTTGAAATATTATAATGATCCCAATCCATATATACTTGGACCAGATGGATCTCCAATAGCTTCAAAAATTATATTTTCAAATAACCATTCATATTTTCTTTCTGTTATAAATCAATCATACTGTTTTCAAAGTAATATATATATTAATGAATATAAAGATCATTTATATAACTTTTGGGAAATTTTATCTGATAAGGAATCAGAAAACTATACTTTAGATCCAGATGCAATCTTTTGTTTTAGTGGAACAATCTTACATATCGAGTATATTGAAATTCGTTGGTTTTGTCTTAACTGTTTGAAAGTACTTCAAGATGGACTTGAAAATTGTCTTTGTAAAAGTCATAATTCAGATTTATCATCAACTTCTATGATTGTTACTATTATAGGATCTATAGAAATTGACTATCCAAATGATTCTCAAACAAAAATATTTCCCTTTGTAATAACAAATTGGAATGCAATAAAACTTTTAGCTTATATACATTCATATGTTAAATGCCAACCAGAAATTACATTAGAGTTAGCTATTCCTATTGCAAAAGTTCTATGGAACAAATTATATAACCAAAAGGGATTTAGTAATTCTTATACAATATATAATCATAAAGAATTGAAAAATCTTAGCTCTAAAAGGTTTATAAAACCTAAAAAACAGATTGGAATTTTAGGATATGTGGAATTATTTGAAGATGAAGATCTAATTATTATCCCTTTAGATCCACTAGAAACATTTAAATTAGAAGCATGTATCAGATTTATACAATCTAGTGAAGATAAATCTATATTTGCATATATACATATTGTTAGATGGGTTTCTATAAATTATGAATATCAAATATTTAAATATAATAAGTAATACTTATATTAATACTTGTTATTTAAAAAAAAATCTTCTCTTCTGATTTTAATTCAATTCTCTTGTATAATTCCAAAATACTAAACATTATTATAGAAATGATAAATATAATAATCGTATAAAATCCAATTGTATACAAATTTATTATCATTGATTCGAGCTTTAAACCAAGGATATTTTGGGGAAATTCTAGCTTCTTTATTTCATTAAATGTATTGATATTGAATATACTCATAATAGGTATATGAAATACTGTTGGAAACATATTTAATCCTATATTTTTAAAAATTTTAATCGAAAATTCATGTTTGTAATTAATCAGGAATAAAAGTATATTATATATATTTGGATTAGATAAGAAATTAGATATATAAAAATATATTCCAGAAATCATTCCATAATATTCACGATTTGTTAAAACTAGTATTGTAGGCTTAAGTATAACTTCAGAAATAGAATTCGTTATTACTCCAAAGCAAATTATCCAAATTATATCTTTAAATATATAAGATTTAATATTTATTGATATATTTTTTTCATATACAATATTATTTAATATTGAAGAATTTACTTCTATAATCCATAATAATAGGCAAACTGTTATAAACCAAAAACCAATTATAATCATTATTCTAAACTTTATTTGACTCTCTTCCATTTTATAATTTTCTTCAATATCAAATATTTCATTATAATCATTATGTATATTGTAAATATATTTATATATAATATCTGAGATATAAACAAAAATTATTGGACCAATTGCAGATCCAAATATAAAAACAATACATTTAAACATATAGTATAAAGAATTATCCATATAATTATATTGATATTTATAATCATTCTTATCCAAAAAACCATATTGAATTTCAATAATATTGAATGAAATAAAATCATATAAATTAAATAATACTAAAATTATTTTAAGTAATACACCTGAAAATATTATGAAACCAACTATAAGCCATTCAATTGAAAATTTACTATTTTTATATATTTTTCTAATATATCTATCTTTATTCTCATACACTTCTATATTGTCTTCCTCCTCATTTAATTCATTAATTAATACTTGTCTCCGAATTTTATAAATATAATATCCTGACATTAAAGATACAAATATACCAGGAATTGCAAATGCAAAATATATTAATAAATATTGAATTTCCTTTTTAAAATTAATAAATATAATAATAAAAACTGTTATTCCCAGAAATTTACCAGATTTATAGTAACAATTTATCATACTGAATAATTTTGAAGTAGCACTTAAATTATAATTAGATCCAACAATATTAAATACTAATGGTAAGAGTGCATTATAAGCACAATTTATGATAATATTAAAACAAAATATTAGAGGAAAATTTATTAATATGCTAATAGATGAAAGTATACCCCAAATTGTAAATAATAACATTAATAAAAAGACTGGATCAATTCTATCAGATAGAAAACCCCAAAACAAATAAGTAATTATACTAATGATATCTTGAACACCAACTAATATAGGTGGATTTAATAGACCATATCCTTTATGATTAGAATATCGTAAAATCAGTAATAAGAAGAAGAAATATTCACTATACCCTTGTAGTAAATTCATACATAGTAATAGTTTAATTGAAAAGTTTGCAGTAACAGGCTCTTTAGAGAAATTTCCCAAATATTTTTTATTTAAAGTTTCACTTGAAAATTTCATTATATGATCTTTTTTGCCATCATACAGTATTAAATATTAGTAATCTTGATTTTTGCAGTAATAAGTCCATTATTGTGTTCGCGGCAAAGAAAATTAAGATCTTTAATTACATGTAAATAATATAACGAGATACAGAATATTGTAGTAAGTCTTATTAAATAATTTTTTTTTATTTGATTATGATTTTTATTGGATTAATAAATAAATTAGAATTTATGATATATACTCAAATGAACAAAATAAAAATACGAAGTTTTGACTTTTTTTAAAAAAATACTTTAAGATTAATATAAAGTTCTAATTACTTTTGTATTTAGAAAATTCTATTATAAAATGTTTTGTCTAATATTATTTATTTTGTAAAATTTATATTTAAATAAAATCACATAAACTAAACTATTGAATTTGTAGTTAAAAAGTCAATAAGTCTTTTTATATTTAAGTTGACAATATTATGATCTTAAAATCAGTACAATACTAAAATCAATTATTTAGAAATCCCAATCAATCATAAATTCTAGAAGATATAAACAAGTAAATAAGCTAATTATCAATAAATCTAGTTAAATTGAAGTTAGATTTATTATTGTTTCTGAAATTCACCTAATAACTTGTTTTTTTAAAAGGGAAGTGAGAAGTATTTATCTGATTTTATTTTTTTTAAGTTAAGATATTTTGAAATATATACTAAAATGTAATAATGAGCTTATAATTTTTATAATATTAATTAGATAGTCTTTTGTTTCAGAAACTAAAGCTTTTTGAAACTAAAATTGACTAGACAATTTATTATTATAAAAATTAAAATAAATTAAATTATTTCTGTAGAAGTTTGATTGATCTTTTTTTTGTAAGAAATTTAGTAATAACTAACAATATATGTAAAAATAATTTTTAAATAATGAAAATTCCTTATTTTTATTAAAAGAAATATATAGTATATTTTATTGGATTGAATTGTCACAATACTCAGAAATTGTAATATTTAAGAATAACAGATTATATTATTATTATCCCAAATATTTTTTTTTTTTAAATATATGTTCAAGTTCTATTAATATTTGAAAATTAACTAGATTAGTTATTTATAAATTTCACAAATGTCGTAATTATTTCAATATTTAAATTACTAAATATTACATAATCTTATAATTTGACCCAATTAAATTCATTAATTACTAAATATAAGAGTATATATGTTATAAAATTTAAGATTGGAAATGTATTTAATCTAATAAAGATGACTTACTATGAGATAAATTTATCTAAAGATAAGGATATATTCAATTCTTATTAATAATGATACAGATACACAGAAATATTACTTTAAAAAGTACTCTTGTACCTTTTTTTAAAAAAATGAAATAAAGATGAGAATAAAAAACAATATACTATCATTCAAAGTGGTATAAAAAAAAAAAAAAAAGGTCAATGTAGATATCTAATATTTAATATTACTGCAAATTAATCAATCTCATAATCATATTTAATCCACATATAACTATTAAACAAATTCAATGATAATTAATACTTCTTTATTTTTAGATGTATTTTTATCTAAAATAAATATCTTTGTACAAAATTTGGTCAAAATTTATGAAAATAATGATTTGATTTTCTTTGAGATCTAGTACGATAAAGTGAATTAGATGGAGTATCACTTCTATTTTGAGTTAAATGATAATTTGATCCTTGAAGCATTCTTGAATGATTCTCAATACTAGATGGTCCTGATAAATCTCTAACTATGCGATTACCTCTTCCATCATCCTCAATTTCTTGAATACTTTCACGTGTAGTTCCATCTGCTAACCGTTCTGTTGTAGTAGTGCGAGTCACTACTTTACCATTTATAACACTTGTAGTTTGAGAAATGGATCTTGATGAGCCTCCAGTCATATTCATACCACTTGAAAAAGATGTACTACTAAATGAATGAGTAGCTCCATCAAAACCAAAACTTCTACTAAATTGTCCAAATCTACCAAACATCTCAGATTGTAATCTATCAAATGGAGATGAATTTGACATATTTCTACTTATAAATCTACTGGATATATCATTCCCTGAGAATATATCAAATATATTATCTGTACCAAAAAATTCTTCAAATATTCTACTAGCATGACCCATACTAAATTGTCTGTGGAATTCATCAAAATCAACATTATTATCAGGAGAATTGGCTCCATTTACTCCATAAGTATCATATCTTCGTCTTTTATCTGGATCTGATAAGACTTCATAAGCTTCAGCTATTCTTTTAAACATTTCTTCTGTTTCAGCACGATTATCCGGATTTTTGTCAGGATGCCACTTTAAAGCTAAACGCCTATAAGCTTTTCTAATTTCATCATCTGTTGCATGACAAGATACACCTAATAAGTTGTAATAATCCATAATGACAACTTCTAAATAAATAAGATCTAGCGACTTGATTTTATAAAAATAAAGGGGATATTTTTACCGCTATTTTTTCTTCCCCCTCAATTTTTCAAATAATGGGAAAATAACATCTGATGGATCCAGTTCTAAATGTATATACAATAGATGGTTATTCAGTTAATTTTCCATACAAAGCATATGATTGCCAAATAACTTATATGGAAAAAGTTTTGTATTCACTGAAACATAGGAAACATGCACTTTTGGAAAGTCCAACAGGAACTGGGAAGACAATGTGCCTTCTAGCATCAACATTAGCATTTCAAAGGGATTGTATAGTAAAATATAATTTGACTAGGAAGCTTAATAATAGCTGTGAAGTGGACAGAAATTTGAAAACAACTGGTACATCTAATTTATATGAGGAAGAACATACTAAAATTGAAATTGATAAATCTTATAATTTGAATGAGGAACATGGAGATTCAAATTTAAAAAAACAAAAAAGTGAATTTATTTTACCTAGAATAATATATTCATCTAGAACTCATAGTCAATTATCCCAAGTAATGCGAGAACTTCGCTCTTCCAAAATTGTGGAAGCATTATGGAAGAATTTGAATGATTTAAATATTGAAAATTCTTTAAGGCAAGATTCTCCAACAAATAAAAAACAACGAAATACAATGAAAAATCCTGGAAATAAATTATTTAAGGCTACAATATTGGGATCCCGTGATCAATTATGTGTTCACCCAAAAATATCAAAATATAGAGGTAGTGCACTGGTAAAAAATTGTCGAAAAACAACTAAGGAAGGTAAATGTAGGTATCACAATAATTTAAAACAAGCAAATATGACGGGTATAGCAGGCGATATAGAGGATATTGAAGATTTAAAACGTATTGCATCTACAGATTCTGGGTATTTTTGTCCATTTTATGCAACAAGGGAAATAGCAAATATATGTAATGTAATATTACTTCCATATAACTATCTATTAGATAGTATAACAAGACAAAATTTGAAACTAGATTTGAATAACACAATTATAATTTTAGATGAAGCACATAATGTAGAATCTGTAGCTGAAGAAGCATATTCATATGATTTAAGAGATATAGACTTAGCATTGTCACAAAAAGCAATTCAAAATATGTTAGAAGCCGCAAGATCTGGATTGTTAAAAGAGAGAGAATCTGACAAAAAAGAGGATGATATTTCAATTTCATTTGATATTGAAATTGCTATACATCTAGCAACTAGTGTATACGAACTAAGTAAATTAATAAGAGATATTCCTTGTAAAGTACCTAATAATCGTAATGAGAGGATAAGAAGTAAATTAGGTGATGTTGAGGGTACTATTTTTCCTGGTTCATATATTCATACTCTTTTCAAATCTGCTGGTTTTACAATTGATAAATTTCAGAATATGGATGAATGTTTAACAAGTATGATAAATTTTGGCCAAGGTTTAAGTGGTAATATAAGTGATTTATCAAGTTTATCTGATATAACTCCTATACAATTGAATGCAAGAATTGGAGCTTTAGAGAGATTTCAAAGATGTTTGAGACTTACATTTAATACTTGTGCTGTTTCTAATCCACAATGGTTTAAAGTTTATGTACATTATGAAATATCTCAACAAAATGGACTAAATTCCGAAGAATCAATTGATATAAATAGAGATATTGATACAGAATATGATGGAAATTATTATAATTTATGTTTAAGTTTTTGGTGTTTTAGTCCTGCTGCTGCTTTAACATCACTTGTATCATCTGGAGTTAGGTCATTAATAGTAACATCTGGTACATTATCTCCTCTAGATACACTTGCACAGCAATTTAGTTGTGCAAATTTTTCATTTGAAGTTTTTTTAGAGAATGATCATGTAATTAATGGGAACGAACAATTATGGGTAGCTGCAATAGAGCAAGGAGCTCCTGAAAATAAAACTCAACTTATTGGATCTTTTGAATCAAGAAGTAATCCAGCATATTTTGAAGCATTAGGATCAACAGTTTTGGATAGTGTTAAGCGGATCCCTGGTGGAGTCTTATTATTTTTTGCATCATATACATTAATGGATCAAGCAATAAATTTATGGACAATTCAAGGTCTTATGGATAGAATTAAGGCTTTAAAAAGTGTTTTTGTTGAACCAAGGAATTCATATGAATTAAATAGTATTTTGGAATCATATAAAGGTTGTATTGAATTAAAAAGTAAAAATAATGTAAAATCTAATTCACTTGATAAATTGACAGATTTTACTAATATAACAAAAAAATGTGCTAATTTTGGTTCATTACTCATAGCAGTATGCCGTGGAAAGATATCTGAAGGAATAGACTTTTCTGATGATACTTGCAGAGGAGTAATTATTGCAGGAATGCCTTTTCCTTCAATTGCAGATCCAAGAGTTTGTCTAAAGAAACAATATATGGATGAATATAGAATGGATAGTCGTCGATGGTATAATCAACAGGCTATTAGAGCTGTTAATCAAGCAGTTGGTAGAGTAGTTAGACACCGTTTAGATTATGGAGCAGTTATATTTGCTGATAAAAGATTTACTCATACAAATATTAGGAACCAATTATCAAAGTGGTTAAGAGGGTATATCAGGTGTTTAGAATATCTTAACACAACTAATTTAAACAGTATTTCTACTTTTTTTAATAGAGATTTACATAATAAATTAATTGGAAATTCTAATAATTTAAATGACAATAAATTAGATCTACTCTCTAATAAAGTAGATGAGTCAATCAGAAGTAATATAAATACAACTAGTGATAAGAAGTTATGTATACCTATTGTAGGTAATAACTTAAAAAATGAGGTAACAAATTTGTTACAACAGCTCCCACAGAATAATGTTGAAAATACACAATGCCTAACTATTATTGAGAATAAGGAGCTTAATCAAAATATACATAACAATATTAGGACAATAAATATACCATGGAAAAAAAGTAAGATTGATTCGTCAGTAAATTGTACAAAATATGATGAACAAAAAGTCCACTTTAACTTTGTACCCATTTCATCTCCAAATAAAAATTTAGGACGGACAGATAAAAAGGGCTCTTTATTATTTGATAAGGCAAAGTCAACTTTAACAATAGAAGAATACTTGAATCTGAAGTCTTATTTATTTAATCTTGATAATTTAAACTCAACAATATTAGTTAAAATAGTTGATTGCTTTTTACCTGATCATATTACTGACTACAAAACTTTTAATGAAAGGAGTATATTGGCTAGGAATTTTCAAATATTTATTCCAGAACATTTTAAGATGGTTTATATTTCATTTATTAATAATAAAGCTACAAGTTTTGAAATTTGTAAAGATAAAGCTTTACTCAATGCACTAGAAAGTCAAAACGAATGAAAAGGGATTTTTACATTATGGGTAAATTCGACAAATATAACTATTAATTAGCTAGCTATATTATGCAATATTATGATTGTAATATTCTTTTATGAGACCATTATTATTATTACAATAAATAAATCTCACCATATATAATCTAAGTCATCTTCATTTTGATTTTGTAAATTATTTATAAAATTATTGTAATTCGTACCTATTAACATTTCTTCATTAAAATAACTATCTTTTTTTTTCTTAAAGTTATAGACTGGCTCTCCATTAAAAATACTTAAGCCTAATTCTTGTGTTGATGCCCATTTAATAGTATAATGTCCATCTACAGATGGCCATCTTATCATGTATTCCTGAGTAAACTTGTAAAACTTGCTCAAGGCAAGTAGTGCACTGTAATTGCTTAAATTTACTGCTTTAAGCTGTTTGTCTCTAAATTGCCATCCTTCATAAAACATTTCTAATTGATCTTCAGCCTCAGTATTATATTTAATAGCTAAGTTTCGATCTAAATTTTTATTTTTAGGCTTACTTTTATTATAAATAGACTTTTTCCCACTAAATGAATATTCAATACTATCCCCTATTAGTTCATCATTTGTACTTGTTTTTAATAACATATTATCTTCACATAAATATGGCATTTTATTATCATATAAAATATTAGGATCATCATTTTCACATGAATTTCTTCTATTTTGGTTTCTATTACTTATTCTCCTTTGAGAAATAAAATTATGTTGATCTTCATTCCCTTTTGTCCTAGCCTTTGTCCACAATTGTTTTGCGTATTCATATGCTTCTTTAATAGAGTTATGCCTACTTAGAGCTACCCACCCAACGTAAGTGTTATGATATCTAACTCTGTATCCTATTTGCCTTTTATCAAAATAGATCCCAGGTATAGGTGGAAGCTGTAATGCTTCAGCTTCTACTTCTTGTAAAATACATCTTTTTCCATTATTGTCAACATGAGTAAACTTGTCTAAACCAACTGATCTTCTATACTGGTGATACTGAAGATAACTTGAGTTTAAGCTATGCTTAGTGCTTTCTACTAATTGCTCATTATCTTCTAAACTAGAATAACTAAAACCTTCAAAAATAAAATATTTTTGAGATTCAATAAAATTTTTTCTTATGCTAATACTTGATACATAGGATGTTTTAGTTATATTTTCATCATTTTCTCTATTATTTGATAATATTAAAGAATCATTTGAAGGCCCTAGCTTATTACATAGTATGCCTGTTTCATCATGATATAAAGATTTTACCTCACTTATAATATTCTCATATTGTGTTTCATTATTAGTTTGGTCATCAGGTATTGCCAAAACGTTGTAGTTATTCACATTTTCAGGTTTCTCAAAATATATATTACTTCTACTTTCGGAAGCAAAAAATTGATATACTGTATCATCTACAGATTCTATAGAAGATAAATTATTTGAGTCTTGTATTAATATTTCTATATTTTCACTATTTCTAGTGTCTAAACTTGTCTCTTCACCTTCTGGTCTATGACGTTTCCTTCTCCAGCCTGGAGAATCATCATTGCAACTCATTCCTATCCCCAGGACCATATCTAATTTATATACAAATATTTCCTCAGAATATTTACTTAATATACCAAAAAAGGAGTTAAATTTTACTTATTTGCATATATTTGTCAGTGCATGACTTGATGCCACACCATTATTTAACTGTCCTGTGTGGCAAAAATTCTAGTTAGTCACAAATTACAATAAAATTGTTTTTAAATAGATCATAATGTAAATAATTCAACTTTATAAAATCTAAATTTAGATCATAACTTTTCTTGATGAGTTAATAAAAAACTTCTTAGTTAAAAGAAGAAGAAAGAAAAAATTAACTGCTTCGACGCATTAAGCGCCAATTTGTAGATATTTGAACTTAAATAAGTGTAAATATACGTGAAATTAAAAATAAATAATATAAGGCCATTACTTTATATTAAAATAGCAGACTAATATGCAAAATAAAGATCTATTGGCTCATTGATATCGTTGCAAGATTTTAAGGTAGCACTGGTATCATCAAGAATATGTTCACTAAGAGAAGTAGCAATATCAGGTATCTCTACAAAGGACTGATATTGATTTGTAGAGACCAATGAGAAGATGGGTGATGTTTCATTTATATCACCAGATAATTGAGATCGCTCTATAGAGCCTTGGCTATTTTCACTATTACCACTACGTATAGGTGATGAACAAGAAAAAGACATTGAAAATGAACATGAATATGAATTGAGCATTACATCCAGAGATTTATGTTCAAATTCTAAATTTTCTTGTAGGTTGTTGCTATATGATTCTAATAATTTGATCCAAATTGGGAGCTCATTGGGATTAACTAATAAGTGATGCTGTATAGAAGAAAAAACCAAACGATGATCCAAATATAATATTGGTGCTATTATATCTGTTACATCTTGTTCTACATTATTTATATAACTAGAAGATTGACTATTTTCAGATATTTGTGATTCTGAATTACTTAATATATTCGAAAATCTTAATGAACAATGTGACTTCAACTTAGATAAGCCTGGTATTTCTCCACTAATCCAAGACTGATATAACTTATTTAAACAATTTACAGGTATATTCCTTATTAAAGTCCAAATTACATTGTCATAAGATGATGATGCAATATTAGGTGTTTGAATTTCCCTTTCTGTAGAAGTATTTATTTCTTCATAATGCCTTATTTGTGTGCAATTTACTGAATTTAATGGTATTAAGTTGGTACATTGATGAGTATTATTTAACACATTCTTTTTGTATTGGTTAGTTATACTAATTTTTCGATTGTTCAAAGTGCCATCTTGCTGTTTGCTTAAATCTACTTCTGCCTCATAATTTGGCCCATATACCTTTACTGTTGGAGTGCATGGAGATGAATCATTTATATCAGTATCTGAATTGGTAGGATCTAATTTTTCAGTAGAAATATCTTTATGGTTATCATCTTTATTTGACCAGGAATTCTTTTCCTGACGAATATCTTGTTGTGAATTCGTTTGTTGCTTCAACTTTTCAATATTACTTGCTATTTTTGGTAATAATCTTATATTTTTTTGATTTATTGTACGAATAGAAGTGGTTGGTTGACTCTTTCGGCCACGATATCTCCATTTCTTAATATGACTTTCTATATCAAGGGTTGATACCCATAATAAACTTCCAGGAGGGTATCCTGCATCAAGATACTCTTCTGGACACATCTCCATACACCAAACCTTCAAAAGTCTCTTTAAGGCACATAATCTATTCATTGATTTTAACTGATAGTAAAAATCCATTAACCTTTGGGGGTTACTACTCCTTGCACGGGGATCAAGATGATATGGTGGATCAACAACGAACATGAATAGAAGTACTTTCATAAATACTGGTCCTGAAATATTTTTTTGTTTATAATGATTCAAAACATCAACCTTGTGGCAACCATTTAACTGTAATTTCTTATCAAAAAAATAATACTTTCCCCCACCTCCACTTTTTAAAGCTCTCCTTTCAGTACAAAAAGCTAAAAAACCACTATTCTGCTTTGAGATACAATTTGTAAAATAACTCTCAAATTTTGAGATATTCTGCTCTTTACCTAAATCATCAATACTTTGAACTACTGGTATTGGACAGCGACTAGGAGCATCTCTTACAATACGAAAAATTTCTATAACACTTGGTACTAATTTCAAATAACAAGTTCTACTCTTCGTAAATTCAAGCATTAAATTTGTCTTTAATAACTCTAAATAATCATTATCCATAAATCTCGTTACATCTAAATCATTTATTGGTTTGATATTTCCCTTCAGTAAAATATTTGTACTAGAGTTATTTACAATTAAATTTTCTTCAGATTTTGAATCTTTACTAACTGTATGTAATTGATATGTTTGTTTACTTATATTATTATTAGTTACTAATGGTTTACTGGAAATTTGAATGATATCTGTTAAATTTTTGATACTGTTTTGTGGTTGCAATACTATATCATTATCATTATTTTGTAATGAAGATTGCAAATTAATGCATACTTCATTTGGCTCTATGCAGATATTATCTTTAGTCTCAAAAACTTGATTTTCTTCATTATTACCATTCTTATAAATTTCATCAGCACTATTTGTGGATTTATTTATATCTGAATTTTGATATTCAATATTGTCTTTATTAATATTTTTATTGTTTTTTTACATTTAAAGTTTGGTAACCAGATATTTGTATCATTCTCATCATTAGTATTGAGTTTACAGTTTAACTCATCACTCAATATTGAATTCCCATCTAATTGTAATTTCCTTTTTGATCTTCTATAACATGACGATGTTAAAATTGGATCTATCTGAGACTTACTAAAATAAGGAGATCCAAAATCATGTATAGATGCAGGTGAAGATGTTGAAGGGGTAAGAGATAATTTAGCCTGCCTTTCATCATCCCATAATAAACAAGTAGACCTTCCATTAAGACCATCTGTATTATTTGGCATAGTGAAGAATATTACAATATATCTTTGTATTATTTATTAAACTATTTGAGCTAACAAACATAAATGGATTTATATATATTTTGAGCCAATTTAGATTAATGAATATAACCAGTTATTAACAAAATCTAACTGGAATATCTTATGTGGGAGTATGAAATTTTAACAATACTGTTTATAAATTACTCATTAATAAAATCTTAATTGTTTTATTACAAAAATTTCTATACAACCAAATATTGCAAGATACTGTCACTCACTTATAGAGTACCGTAATGATCCCACACACGTAATTAGATGAATTGTACAGCGCTATACATACATCTGATAGTTACATTTGAAGGATAGTACAGTGTTTTAACCATTGGAGTCCCAAGTATTTCTTGTATAGCAGCTAATTTGATCCAAACCTTCACATACCTTGTCATTATTATCCCAACAAGCTTAATAGTATCCTTATATACTACAATGGTCTATATAATATAAATGGAGTAGGACTCATAGCAAATTAAGAATCTTAATGTATTAAGGATATTTGCAACTACCTAGGAGTTGAAATAATGGAGAATTATTAGAAATTTTAATAGCTATTATTCTGTATGTCTCTATATCCTGTCTCTCCAAATAATTACAATCAATAAAAAAAAATTGTATATTATTGGAGTTGCAATTTTAACTGGAATCTATATATAGTAACTATTATATACTATAAATATAATTCACAATATAATAAATTACGACATAGGACGTATTCAACAACATATAAATATATTGTGGAATCACAGCAATCCAACAAATATGGATCAATTATTGCAATTTCATGTATTATGGAGCCCTGATCTGGAGAAGTCAACATTAGTATTTAGACGTATATCTTGTCATTAAAATGCATCATTGGGTCTATTTATTTGCACTGGAGCGGGGGACTATCCCAAATTATTTACATTTATAGGTAGCAATAGGTCCAATATAAGATAGGCTGTGGTTGAAAAAACCCTTAAAATACTAAATTTTAACATTTGCTTGCTCTCTTTATAGATATATAAAATATTCTATTTCAAATCAAGATCAACTATTACTAGTCAACTTTTTTTTTTTTTTATATAGGTTACACAGTAACAAAAAAGTGCACTATATTTAAAATTTACCTTCTAAAAGGTTATTTTATAGTAATATTCTATTCTATTACTTAATTAATTGGTTAGTCAATTAATTTTACCCCTAATTTGTTCAATACAATAAATTGAAGTATTTTGCTATATATTTCAAATTTCAAGTTATAAAATAAATCATTTTACTTTATTCAACTATTAAAATAGATAGATAACCTATAATATATAAAATAATGCATTATATTATATTATAAACATAAAAAATATTAGTATCTACATATTAGGTAGTCAGTTAATTAAATTATCTAGATCTCGCACCTGCAAACTATTCTTCTCTTAAAAAAAAAATCTACTTATACAGAAAAAGTCATACATATAATATATACATTTGTGTGCTTAATGTTCACCTTTTCAACGATTTGATTTATTGCAAAATAGCTCTTTTTCAATTTTTCTATTGGATTTCTACTCTTCTCCTTCCTACCCGAATTCCCCAGTACGTGTCTTCTATCACAAGAGGAGTATCTAAATGTAAGAGGTTGACAACTAAAATTAATCTGTTAACAAAGAAATGTATCGAAATATCAAAAATAAAGTCTCTAACATCATCTAAATTACTACAAAATATTTTCACCTCTTCACAATATTAAGTTATTTTCATTTCAAATCTTATTAATAAGCTATAGTTCTTCATTAACTTCATTGTTATCTTTATTATCTATAATTTTGATTAATTTCAATTTAAAAATAATAACTTCATTTGGTTCTATAGAATGACCTGCACCTCTCTCACCATAAGCTAATTCTGGAGGTATAAATATTAGATATTCATCACCCTCATTCATCATTGTTAGTGCCTCTGTCCATCCTGGAACTAGTTGTGATACTTCAAATTCAGCTGGTTTATTATCTCTAGTTACAGATGCATCGAATTCTTTACCATCAAGTGTTTTTCCTCTATAGTGAACTGCAACTTTGTCGTGAATAGAAGGTTTCTTATTATTCCCACTTGAATATAAAATTTTATATTGTAATCCACTAGGGGTAGTTTCAATATTAGGTTTCTTTTTATTTTCTTCAAGGAATTCAAGAGATCTTTTTTTCAAAAGTGAATTCTTAGATTCTCTATGTTCTGGATAGTCATTTATTTTCCATAGATCATCTTTGCTATTACAAGCTTTACTAGGAATACAAATTTGTTCAATTTCCTCAGACAAAGATAACTTTTTTACTCCAACTTTTTCTAAGTATTCTTCAATATCATCCATACTATCTCTGCATACTTCAATAAATTGTTCTATAGTAAATTGAGGAGTTATATCTGCAAGAGGTTGCCATACTGTATTTGAACAAGCTACATGACGTTCAAGGAAGTTATTAATTGTTGTATCAAGGAATCCTTTGGGAGGACTAGAATCTTTATATTTCTGTAGTGCCTTCTCTAAATGATTATGAAAGGCATATGTAAATAATTGGCAATATTCACAAATTAATGTTTTGGAGTTCATTGTACTTGAACTTAGAGGTTTAACTTCAAATTCGTCCCCTATCCATTTTAGAACATATTGTTCTGCCTTTAATAAAGTTATAAAATAAAATACAATTATACTATATATTATTTTCATTTTTTCCAAATTCAACTATATATGGTATGATGTAATGTGATATATATATATATATATATATGTTAATATAAATATAAAATAATATAATTTAAAACTGGTAATTTCTTCCCTGCATGGGGGAATTTTAACTTTTTACTACTAATATATTTTGGCGCCTGATGCATTTTGTGTGGAAGATAAATAATATAGTATTAATTTTCTGTAAAGGCAAAATTACAACCTAATATAATTTCTAATAATATCTTCTTAAAAGACTGAAATTCACTCTTTTGGGTCTTATATCTATTTTTCTTTTTTTGATAAATCACTAAAATGATCTTATTATCTATATTTTTACATATATATCTTTTTATACATATTTCAGCAATTATTTTACCACCTTTTTATTTAGGTGTAAGGGAGAAGGGGTGGGAAGATAATAGTGTGGCATAATTTGATTTAGTTCTTATATATATTATGTAGATACATAAGTATAGTACATATTATTTAAGAAGTAAGATCATTAAGTTGGAATACTTTAATCCATAAATAGATAAAGTATAAAAGTGGGAATATACAAAATAACTAACTTTATAAATAAAAAATTAATATACTATTATTTATTTATTTATAAAATATTACTAAACTATACTATTTTGAAATATTATAAATCTATGATTTAGAAGTAATTTCATCTTTATGCTCGTCTAGGAACTAATGCTCGCTTGAATGCGGACACGCCTCTACAGTTAAATTTATAATATATACCTTTAAAATGTAAGATATTCTAGTAAATTAGAAACTTGTGGATATAATGACAGTTTCACCATTACCTTCAACTTCTAATCATATGATTGAAGAGGATGAAGACTTAATTTGCGGAAAGCAAGGTAAAATTGGGGATATAGAGCAAAACTGTAAAGATAAAGTGGGCACAGAGGATATTGAATCACCACTTACAAATAATACTGATACAGATCAAATTACTTCTGAGAAATCTAGCTTTTATTGTGGAACACCTGTTTCATATAAAAGCTTTTCTGAATTCACAAATGTAAAGTGCTCACCAAATTCTAATACCACATCAAAAGTATTTTTAGAAAAAAAAAATCCGAAGAAAATTTTTGAACTTATAGATGGTGCACTTAATGGTTTATTAAAAAATATAACACCAAGTTCACTTAAAAAGATAGAGAAGTCAATACTTCTTCAATGTGCTGAATATCTAGTAAAGGCAACATTTGGTGTGTCTGCAAGAATATTTACAACAGGTTCTGCTGCAGTAGATATTGATTCAGAAATGAGTGATATAGATATTGTAGTCTTTGCTCCATTTGATCCACGAACAGCTCTATATAAGATGTCAGCACAATTCCAATTATTAAGAAGAAAACATGATGATAGATGTATATGTTGTAATTCATCAGATTTACATACAAATTGTAGATCATCTTGGTACTTAGAAAACTATTTGATGGGTATGGAAATAAATGTAATTGATACAGCTAAAGTTCCTGTAATGATTATTAGAAGTAAATCACCTGGTTTTAAGACAGAATGTGATATTTCAATAAATATTTATACTTCTCTATTACACTCTGTACTATTTCAATGTGTACTAATATCATATCCTGAATTACGACCTGTATTAAGATTAATTAAATATTGGCTATATATAAGAAAATTACCAGTAGCACGTGATGGTGGGATGCCCTGTATTGTTTGGTTATTATTAGCTTTTGTACATTGTAATATCAATAATAACCCAGTTAGATCACAACAGCAGGATATGGAGAACATATGGAGACCTGCAAAACAACTACTTTTAAATTTACATTTAAATTCTTCACAGAAGAGTTTAGTTAATACTGATATAGATTCACAATATATAACTTTGTTTGAGAACGATAAAAAAGATGGTTATTCATCGAATACACCGAATCTTTGCAATTTAATAAATAATATAAATGAAGTAAAAGATATTAGCCCTAATTTATTAATTACAAAAGAAGATAATGACTATAAAACAAAAAGTATAGGAGGTACGACCTTTATGGCTCTAGTATCTTTTTTTATGTCATTATGGCACAGGAATTCATTATCATGTAGTGTGTCTGTAATAAGCAGAAACATACAACCAAAAGATCAAAGGATGACATCACAAGTAATATATAATAATGGTGGTATTTGGGATGAAGTACTGACTTTAAATGATCCATCAGCATCTCTTCTAAAGCAATTAGAAGGACAGAAGTCAATATTAAATGGAATAAAAGATAATGAATCCACTCAATACAATTTGAATAATATAGAAGACAAACATAAAAAAATAAAATATGTGAGTAAATTAGAAATAGGGGATATTTATGAATGGTTATTACCGCATAATGATTATTTGACATCATCCGATTTGGCAGCACGTGTAACTTGCGGAACATGGTTGGTGTACTTATATGAATTAAGACGTGGATTTACTATTTTGGAAACTTACCTACAAAAAATTACAATTGCTTTAAATGATTTCGATGCAAATGATGTAGTTGAAAATTTATTTATGCCTATAGATGAGGAAGTATATAAAATACCAGCAAAACTTTCAAAATCAGTGCCAAATTGCGTGTATAGTTCAATAGATCTCGATTTTTTATTTGAAAATGAGTTATTAACGTTAATACAAGTTCCATATCTTTCTTGTAATCACAAATTTTGCTTAGTTTTATTATATGGACATGTAGTTATATTAAGAATTGAGAAAATATGTGTAGATTGGGAAGGAGGTTGGTGGAGTAACGAATTTTTGAGTAGAAGAGATACTAGATCAGTTTTACATGGCTCAATATTTTATCCTATTCCAATATCTTTTAGTAGTTATAGAAATTCAAATTCTGAACATTGTATTTTGCAACCAATTGACTCAAGAATCTTGTATAGTAATATAAGAGACAGTGCCAAAATTTCAAATATTGGAGAAGTAATGGTAAATCCAGCTGTTTTTATTACTATTTTGAATGGTATTGAGTGGTATTCTATTGATGAATACAATGGTTTTTATATTATTCCTATAAAGGAATATTATAGATTTCTTGATATTGAGATTATTGCTAAAGATTCACCATACTGGCATGAAAATTTCAATGGTAATAGTAGTTCAATACAACCCCTGGTGATATCATGTAAATTCTGCAGAAAAACATGCAAGTCTAGTGGATTAGAAAATTTACTTGGATTAAAAGATTTTTATTGGGACTCTAAACAGAGCAAATTTGGGAATAAGTGACTAGTAAATTCATTTAAAAAAAAAATAGTGTCAGGTGTAAAATAGCCTAGCAATATAAAAAGTCCATCCTTTAGATTTTTTTTCCCCCCTCATCTTTAAAAATAAATATTGTATTTAAGGATAAAAAGAGATAACCCTGACATTCTAACATTCCTTATACTTAAAATTTACGAACAATAGGGGTTCTAATTTCTTCATTAGCATCAAAACCAAGATTTACACTTTGCGCTTTGATTATATCAGTTATACATGGTATCTCTTCATCTAATATTTGTGAGTCACTATCTGGACTAATTAACTCCTCTAATTGTTTCCTCGCAATAGTCGCCTGAAATTTCCAATTAATGGGAATATTCTTATCACGAGCATTTATTGTATGAATACTGTGATTATTATTATTATATAAGTCTTCAGAATCCTGATTAATTATAGTATCTCCATTGTCATTATTTATACCTGGAAATGCAGAAAAGTCCTCAACTAATTGTTTATTTTGTATATAATTTACTTCCCACTTCTCATTTTTATTAGAAAGCTTTTCATCTGAAGATAATCTACCATTGCTTGCCAAACTACTCATTGATAAAAAACCACATAATGGGGGTAGTGATGATTTTATTGTTTCAGAATCTTCATTAGAATATTCAATTTCTCTTAAATTTAATTCATTATTTTCATCACAATTAATCCTTAAATTCTCTTTCGGTGTAATGTATATATTTCTCATAGAATCTAATTCTATATTTGAGATATTACTATTCTTTTTTTTATTTATATTCAAACATTTATTTCCTGGAAAGTTCCTGTTAATATGTTTTTCTCCTAATTTTACATCATATTTAGATAAAGTCATCGGATTCATCTTAGTTCCCTGAATTCTTGGTTGCATTATATTAGGATGCACGTCTTTACATAATTTCTGATAAAGTACACCATTATTCATACAATCTCTCTCAACTACAGGTTGAGCTTTCTTTTTCTCGAAACGAGCTTTTGTTGCAAATTTAGGTGATATAGGTTTAGTAACCTCTTTAATTTGAGAACTTGCTTTTAAAATAGATTTATATCCATCATTATATATAGGTGAATTATTATCAATATTTCCTACATACTTTTTCATTGATTCAACAATATTATTTAAACGTTTATCTTCATTATATTCTTCATTTTTAGATAATACTGCTACATTGAAAGTATCATCTCTTTTATTCGATAATTTACCCCCAAACTTATTCAACTTTTCTAGTATACATTTTGATCGGTTAATAGCTCTAGCATCAGTAGAAAAATTAAATGGTTTAGGAACTGTTGTTTTAGATGATCTATTACTACAACGAGATTCAGCTCCAACAGATGTAGCAGATCGTACTGATAATGGTCCATTAGGTATATTATATTGATTAATTTTGTGTAAATTCAAATTTAATGAACTAAGTGGTTTACTTGACTGTCGTGATCTATATTCTGCCCTTCCAATTGTAGCAAATTCAAAAGCTTTAGGTTTTGTTACTTTTGAATTTATAGGCTTCTTTGGTATATTTTCAGATATATTGAATATTGAATTATTGGGATTTGATCTAGTGCTAAGTAAAGTAGGGACATCACGATTAACACGAATAGAAGTTCTGAATGACCTACCAACAGGTAATTGCTCTAGAATCCCCCTTTCAATTCCATTTAATAAAGTATAATTATCTTTTATTGAGGATTTTACTTCACTACGAGGGGTAAAACCAGTAGGAAAGTTTGTTAATGATAATGAATCAAGCCGTAAGTGACTTGGAATAGTTAACGTTTTTGGTATTTCACTCATACTTGCAAAGTACTTATAGTAATAATATTAACCATTTGATTCAATCATTTAAGTTCCCTTTCTTTATGTAAACAAGAAAAAAAAAGAAAAAATATGGGAAAGAAGGAAAAAAGAATACAGTAGAGAGGAAGATAAATAACTTCATGTAGACTGGACCATAAAATAAAAGTGGGGCCTATATAAAACCGCCTTTAACCTAACCCCACAATTTTTCTTTTACTTTTTCATAATAAAACTTAACTATTTAGTAATATAAATAAGTAAAACATATAAGTATTCTACTATTGAAATATAGAATTATACCCAGAAATAAAAATCTAGTAATTATTATACTTTACTATCGATAAAATTAATTATATTACATAATTTAATAAACTTTAGTCCCATGCAGAATCTACATGTATATTTTAGCGCCTTTTAAATCTAAGTTTACTGAGATATAAGTATTATACCTAGTTTGTAAATTCTAAATAATAGAAAGATTAAATAATATGAGATTATGTTTTTAATATTATTCATCTATTAATAGTATGATGTTATTAGTGTTATTACAGAAATCTTAATATTATAATAATAGGATTAATGGCGAAAGAAAAAAAAAATAAAATGACGACTTTTCACTAGAAGTCATTACTAAACAAATTACCTTCTATTGAGTTGTCTTTTTTCTCTTCTCTTTTTAAAAGAAAAAAAAAAGTTAGTCCCATTAATTATATAGATTATAAGAAAAGGATTGAGTTTTAATCTAGTAAATCTAAGAGAAAAAAGTATCTTATATAGTCATTTCTAATCATCTTCATATTACAAAACTATCTAGGTTTTAAACTCCTAAAATATTGTAATATTAATAATATATTATTAGGTATTTAATTTGAGGAATTACACATACTAGACAAAACAATAATCCTCGGAAAAATTAACTCAAAGAAAATCATAATTTATAAATTCAATTTATATTAGGTAAAATGGCATATCCTACCAATTGAGGTTGATAAGGCTGAAGTAATCGAGCTGGTACTGTTGTCTGCTGGGATTGTGGTCTAAATTCTTTAATTACTTGTGGTGAACTTCTAGAAATTCCACAAAAACATAGACCACTAATTATACAAATTATAACTAGTATTGCAGCACATGCTGCAACAAAAACAGGACCAAATATGGAGTTCTGATATGTTTGTGGTTTTGAAATATTATTATCTGGTTGTATAATCTGTTGCTGAGGTAAAACTTGATTAGGAATTGGGAATTTCGGAATTGGAGGATATATAATACGTTTTTGTGGAGGTAATTGTATTACCTCCTTAGGAACTTGAATCTTGTATATTTCCTCAACAAATAAAGGATTCTCTTTTGGTTTCCTAATTATAGTTTTCTTTGATCTTTTTCGAGGTTTTACTCTAAACAATTCTTCAATTCCTTCATCTACTAAAACATATTTAACATTTTCATTATTTTTAAAATGAATCTTTAATTTATCTTTCAATTTATTTTCATCATTAATATAAACTCTTTTAAATTTATAACCTGTATCTTTTATATTCAATGGCTTAATCTTAGATTCAATAATTGTTGGTTTTAATATTTCCTGGTTTATTACTTTTGGATGTGAAGTCTGTTTATTAAGTTGAGTCCCTACAGGTGAATTATTTGTATGAACTTGTTGTAAAGTATTTTGAGGTAACATTTTAACAGTTTTCTTAATATCTGATTCTTCAGAACTATTCATTGATTTTATATATTTAGACTTCATATCATCAGAAAAACTATCTTCTAATTGCTTTACTGTATTTGTCACTTTATTATCAACAAGTTCTTTTTCTGTATAATTAGTATTAGATTCTTGAATATTTGTTGTAGTTATATTATCTTCATTATTGGTAGCGAATCTTTGTTTAATAAATAGTTCAGAGAATGTATCTTTTGAATCATTTGAGCTTTCTTCTGCTTGTACCATCATAATTTCAATAAACTTTTCAATATTTACCCCTGCTAAAGTAGCTTCCTCCTCAAGTTCAGCTCTTGTGATATTATTATTGATACAAAATTCATCAATTAAGTTACAATTAATAGAATCCAATATATATCCCAATAATATTAGAGAAAAAAATATGATATAATATCTATTGAAGTATCTCATTAATATAATCCTAATTGTGTTTAATATATATGATATAAAGAAAAAAAATACTACCAAATATTTACTGAAAAAACATTTCGGTCCTTTCTATAATAGTAACTCTTGACAAATTTAACCAGTTTTTTTTTTTAAAAAAAAAAAAAAGAAGGCGCTTATTTAATAGAAATATTTAAGCGCTATATTTTATTTAGGTAACTAAGTTAAATCATAATTAAAAGTTAATATTATATAAATATTAGCAATAGGTTCAATTAATAATATTAACCATATATTCTCATATTTTAAATTGCCACTTTTCTTTCTACTCTTATAAATATATAGAATGTCGAAATATTTTAAATCTATATAAATATTAATAAAGTTATATTCCAAAAAAAAAGGATTTATGTTTATTACTAAGATTTCTCTAATTCTAGATCTACTTTCATTGTTAAATAAGTAAATATTAATAATAAAACCAATAATTCACCAATTTATTTACTATTCATTATAGTTACAAGTTTACTAAAATAAAATATTTAAGGGGAACAATATATTGTATAATATAACAAAATGTTATTGTGAAATTATAAAATTTATTTTAATTAAAATAACAAGAAATATTTTCTTAAAAAAAATATATCTCCTATTAATATTAATTTTGGTGTGAACTAAATAATTATTACACACAAATATTCTGCACTTAAATATAATGAATATTGTAATATTACTTTATAATATATAATGAAGTTATGAAGTTAAAGTATTTTATACTTTCTCTACTTATATTCAAATTCTTTCAAACAATTTCTTGCATTAGTATGCAAGAAGGGTATGCTCAATTATCAGGTTATAAACAAAATTTAGATAGTAGTGAAGAGGATGAAGAATCTGATGATATTCAAACTAGTCTAGACACAAGTGATTATCAAGAGGACAAAAAGTATAAAAGTGAATTAGATAAATATAATAAAGAAAATGAAGTAGAACAATTAATGGAATCAGATCAAGAAATAGAATTAAGTGAAAATATAGAAGACAAGTCAAAATTAACTCCAACAATAAAAAATGAAAATAATAACAATATTCTTTCAGATCTACAATATAGGGCAAGACAACAAAAATTACATTTATCACAAATGGTATATCCTGGTATAGAAGGATCACAAACAAATTATATATTTCTTCCTAAAAACCAACAAACAATCATTGATAACAAGATCAAGACATTACAAAAAAGTGGTTATAATCATGGATCAACACGTGAAACAATGGCAATAGGGGAATGGCGGAAACGGTATTATGCTAGGCCACAGCGTCCTGTAACAAAAATTACCTTAACTAATCAATTTCAAGATTCTACCCTAGGATGGGTTTTAATTGGTGTTGTATTTACAAGTTTATTTATTTTAGGTTTATTAGGGATAAGATATATCAATAAAAGTTGAATAAGAAATAATTAAGGAAGAAAGGAATAATTATATTATATTTAATTGGAAATTATAAGTATTTAATAGTAACATATAAATTCTGCTATAATAATTTGTATATAAATTAAATTACATATTTATTTATTATAACTTATGAAAACTATTAACAATATAATAAAAATACAAATATATTATTATAACTTAATACATGTATAGATCCATTTTTATAAAGTTATTATCATGGGGAAATTCTCCCTTCTATTGTCAATTTATTTCTCGATATTAGCGGTCAAAAGTTGCGGCATTATTGCGGGTTATTGTTGTGGAAAAGGTGCTAAACCTCGAATTTTACTAGTAACATTAAAAAAAATTAAACTGATTTTAGAGAAAATTAGTTTAATTCATGACAGGGAATAGTCGTGGTTATAGAGATCCACGTAGATCACTGTTAATAAGATCTTTGAGATTTGAGACGCCACCGTCATTAGTTCGCAGAGTATTTGAGAGATTCGGACAAATACGTGATGTATATTTACCAGTTGACTTTCATACAAAAAGACCACGAGGTTTTGGATTTGTTGAATATGTAGAAGAATCAGATGCCTTAGCTGCAATTCAACGTATGAATGGAGCAAATTTAGATGGTTCTCAAATCCATGTAACTTTTGCTCAAGAAGGAAGGAAGTCTCCAGAATCTATGAGACATAGAGATAATGAGAATTACTATACTAGAAGATCAATTGATTCAAGATATAATAGTTCTCATTATCGTTTTGATCCATATAGACGTCATTCATCTTATAGATCAAGAGATTTCCATTATTCTAGAAGATCTAAATCACCTTATATAAGAGATGATAGGAGATATAGTGATAGAAGATATGATTATAGAAGAATTGATGATAGGAGAAAATATAATGATAATTATCGAAGTGGGCATCATTATATAAGAAGAGAAGAAGAAAGAAGTGTAGAGACAGATTCTGATGTTTCTCATTGGAAATCAAGTAATAGAGAGAATACCGGTACAGAAATGAGAGATATATCTAGTGAAATTAACTATGATAATGTCAGAAGTTATTCACCTGTTAATAGAAGGTGTGTATCGGTCTCACATTCAGAAAGTCCAGCTAATTAGTCTGAATATCATCTACAATATAATATTTTTTTATTATTAATAATAAATTGTTATTGATGTTAGAATGTTTTAATTATTACAAGTAATTATATTTATTACTTGCACCTGTTTTGTCAGCTTTTTTCTTTTTATTAGTTTGGGAAAAAAAGAAAACTTTTTTATTTTTCTTCTTTTTAATTTATTTAACTTAATATACAATATGGTATATATACTATAAAAAAGTTTTAAGATTACTTCAATAAATTTATATATAGGGGCTTTAAAAAGTTACAAAGTTTTAGTAATTCGTTACTATGGGAAATATTCTTAGATGTCTATTAAATTAGTGTAATCAATAATTTATTGTCTTTTAATATTCCTATTTTTAAATATTATAGGTATTAAATATTTCCTTTGTGGTTCGCGCGCGTTGATAAATTTTGCGTGAAGAAATTGTTTTAAAATAGTTAAAATTATGCTTGAACAATATTTCTCAAGTTATGAAATTTATATTAGGGATATAATTGGTGATGGTAATTGTTTGTTTCGAGCTGTAAGTGATCAATTATATGGAAATAGTGAAAATCATGAAATTATTAGATCCTATTGCATGGATTATATTGAAATTAATAAAGACAAATTTTCTGATTTTATACATGAATATCCTAATATAGATAATTATATTAATAATAAACGATGTTTAGGAGTTTGGGGTGATAATATTGAACTTCAAGCACTTTGTGAATTATATAATATACCTATTCATATATTCCAAATAGTTGATGATATGAAATTAATTACAAATAAACAAAATTATATAAAAAATAATAAAGATACGAGATGTAATTCAATGAATTATATTATACAATCACGTAATTGTTTTTTACAAAGAATTGCAATAATGACATCTTCTAATACAAATGATAGAAAATCCTATGTTAAAGGATTATGGCCATTAAGATTACTCTATTATGGTGATACACATTATGATTCTTTATATTTTATTCCTGATGGTACCCCATTAGTATCTAATTATCATCCACGTATATCTTATGATCCTGGAATAATTGAAAAACATAAAATCCACGAAATAAGAATTAATAGAAAATATGAAAAATTAACTAATAATAATAAAAATGAATATACTAATTTTAATCAATCTCCAATAAAATCAAAAAAATTTAATCAATCATATTTAGATAATAAAATTATAAATAATGATTCTAATAAATTAATTTCAGATATATTATCAGATAACAAAAAAACTTTATCTAAGAATCTTGAAGATAATCTAGAAGATAAAACTTTGTATAAATACTATAATAATATAATAAATAATCAGAATAATAATAATGGATCATATTTATATAAAATTTCTACTATAGATACTAAAAAGAAAGATACAGAATTAACATGTATTAATAATAATAGGCGCCAGTATAATGAAGATAATTATAATAAAGAAGAAAAAGATAATTTAAAGTATTCTAATCCAAATAATATAGATAAGTATACTAATTTAAAACGGATTGTATATCAATCTTTTAATTTGGATATATATAATCCTCCGAAGACATTTGATAGGAATACTCTTGATGATTACAAACGTAATTCTAACTCCAATTCTAATTATTTAGCAATATCATGTCCTTTTCTAAAAAAAAAAATTGAATATAAGAAATTTGAAAGATAACTATAACATGAAATGGATAATAATATTAGAAGACCGGTTAATTTATTACCATTAAATTATTTACATCCACATAATATTGATTTCGATAAGAATTTGAATGAATTACTTGATAAGGAAATTAAAGATAATAATAAATTTAAAAGAATTAGTTATAAATATAATCTTGAAGTAAATTCATCAAGTATTCCTATAACAGTAATATCTAATATATTAAATAGTCCTGATAGATTACAATATGATTGGCTTTTTCCTGATATAGAGACAAATATTATTATAGACTGTGCTTTAAATAAAAAAACCCAAAATGATAATAAGAAAGATAATACAATATTTTTAATTAAGCATTTTGATCTTAATAATATAGAGTATTCTAAATTAGATTTGAATATTAATAATGAGACAGATGAAGATATATTTAATGAAGTAGGTGGTCTTAAGGATTGTGAATTTATTAAATGTAATGATTACATAAAAGATAATATATATAATGATGGTGATAATGATGATAATAATGACAATAATAATGATAATAATAATGAACGTGAAAGTTCTCTTGAAAGATATAATTTATCTCCTTTTGAAGATAATAATCAGAATAATGATAAAGATGATAAATTTGATATTGATTCAAATAAATATATTGAAAATAAATCATTATTAAAACAAGATGAATTAATTTATAAAGAAGAAAAATTAAGAGGAAGACAATCATCAAAAAAAAATGGTATATCAAGAGAATATTTTATTTTTGCTAGATCAGGTCCTATTAATAAAAATATTGATCAAAATATATATAAAGAAGAAAATAAATGTGATTATTATATAGAATGTTATCAAGATATAGATGGAGAGATATTTTATGAAACAAATGACGATGAAGAATTAATTCATAAAAGAAAGAAAAGACGTAATAATATAAGAAAGTCTAGTAAACGAGAATGGGATAAAATAAAGAAGATAATTGAAGAAAAGGAACATAGATAAATATTAAATATATTATTAAATAGAAATATAATAATAATTTATAGTTTTTTTTTTCTATACTTTTTTGGTTTCTTTTTGAAGATTTTCTAATTCTCTTAATGCTATTTGTAACAAATTAAGTAATATAATATTATGTTCTTCTTTTCGTTTTAATTCACATAATAAATAATTAATTTTTTCAGTATCTGTTATACAATTATATTTGTCCATATTATGTTTAATTTTATTAAATATTAAGTTATCAATAACTTCGGATATTTCAAAAGAATTCTCATCACCTTTATAATTTAAATTTGAATTTTTTTTTTCATTATAATTACTTGTAAGAGATGAATTAACTTTATCTATTAATAATTCAATATCTGATAATGCAATAGTATGTGTTTTACCACAAGATACTTGAACAATATTTTTATTTTGTAAAATAGGATGTAATGTAGGATCATTTGGTTTAGAATCTATAACACCATGACCTAAATTTCTAGTTACACCCCAAGCATATACATCACCAATATTACTTATTACAACTGTATGAGAATGACCACAAGATATATTAACTGCAATAATAGAATTTAATTTTTCTACAAGCTTTGGAGATAAAATATCTGGTTCAGGACCATTATAAATATGACCTAATCTACCACCTTGTCCCCAAGTATAAACTTTTCCTTTTGTAGTTATTACAGCAGAATGTTGATATCCAAGTGATACTTCCTTAATAGATTTATTAGTTAGTGATCCTTGTAAAAGTTTAGGGATATAAATATCTTCTTTTGAACCAAATCCAAGCTTTCCAAAGGCACCACCACCACAAAAATATACCTTTCCATTATTTAATAGAATTGCAGTATGATGACCACCACAAACAATATTCTTAACAGATAATCCTGCTAGAGATTCTATTAATTTTGGAGTATAGACATCATTAGTATCACCATGTCCTAATCTACCTTGCATCCCTAATCCCCAAGTATATGCTTTATTAAGATCAGTTAAACAAGCTGTATGAAAACTACCACAAGATACTTTTATTACTTTTTCATTTAATAATTTTTCAACTAGTTGAGGTGTGCAAATAATATTATTATTTAAATTGACATTTAAAGATCCAATACCTAATTTTCCACTTTTATTACATCCCCATGTATATAATCTACCATCTTCTAATATAGCAGCAGAATGCCTATCTGAACATGATACATTAATAACATTTTTTATTGAAGTCATTACTCTTGGAATAACTATATCTTTTAAGTCACCAAGTCCTAATTGTCCACATCCACCATATCCCCAAACAATTAATTCTCCAGAATGGGTAATTACTGCTGAATGATGACCTCCACAACATACTTCTTTAATACGATTAAATGAATATAAGCTCTCTATTAATTTAGGTTCAATATTAGATTCTTCATAAATTGCACCTAATTGGCCATATTCTGAAGATCCCCAAGCTACAACGCCAGATTTTACTGGTGCTTGCCCCATGTATATATAACAATGATATTAAGTCTAGTTATATGATATTAAGAAAATGTTTTTTAAGTCATAAAAGAATATCTTAATAATAATTATTTACCTAATTTATAAATTATATTCAAATTTATAATATTAAAGGTCTAATTTTAAATTTACATATAATCAATAAATCCTGTTTATAGAAGTTTTATTATTGTGCTAAATTTAAGCGCCAAATATTGCATTATCTATTTTTCATGTATAGCCAACCTAGTATATTAGAATGGACCGGTGACTTTTGTAGCGGTATGTGGGAGTATGCATCACCTTTAGTGGGGATAACTATTTGGAAGTACTAAAGAGAAAAAGGAAGAAAGAAAAAAAAAAGGGAAAATAAACAACGAATAGATCTACCTCTTTTCTTTTTAATAGCAGGTTATATTTAATAGAATATAGGAGATATGCTTGAGATATCTATAATAATAGTAAATGAGTGGAAATAAACTATTTAGCGGGGATATTCTACCAACATGGATTCTTTCAAAACTGAAAAATAATTTCAATAATAGTGGAATAGACTTAATTGAAATTAATAAACTCATATTTGAATATGCATTTGACTTTAATACCATTTTAGAAATATCTCGTGTAGATAAGAGTGGACTAATTTTTTATCGTAATTTCCAAAAAAACTTATTTAGATTAATTACTAAATTCGAAATATTGGGTAAACAAGAATGGATAAAAAATCCAAGTACATGGCTAATATGGCTATATATGGGAGGTAAAAGTGATAGTGATTCAACAAAAGAGAACAATTCAGTATTAATTCCACTAGAACCGACAATAACTATGGATATATTATTTAAAAAAAGAGATATATATCCAATATCATTACAAAAAAAACAATTAACTGATCCAATAGATAATACATTTTTTTTATCAATTGAGATGTCTGCAATTTCCATATCAAAAAGTAGTAGAGTAAATTCAAATTTTAAAAAAGATGAGTTTATTCATACTAACAATATCATGGATGATATCACCAAGAAAAATGAACAATTTGAATCTATATATGATATGCTCTTATATGATTCTATTATATATGCCTTTGAAATGGTATTTAATGATCCTTATAAAGGTTTATATGATGATGAAATTGAATATAAATTGATTGGTGGTGGTGATATAATTATTTATATAGATCCTAATATTATATACAATATTTTAAAGCATAGGAATTTTGAAGAAAAAATGTATAATTTTTTGGATTGAAAGATAAAGAATTGAAATTATCTTCTATTAGTGGTTGGAATGGATATTTTTTAAATGGAAAACTTGATAGATATTCAACAGGATTTTTACCCAAACTTGTACTAAAATCACATGAACTTTGGAATAGAAGTTATCGTATCCAATTTCCATTTTTATTATTATTACTTACTTCAACAATTTCACAGAGAAGGATAATACCAACCGAATTTACTACATTATATCAAGTAGTTATTTCATTACTTGATAAATATAATAAAGAATCTGTAAATTCAATTGATTTTATTAAATTGATAGAAACTGGTTTAAAATATAAAGCACCATGTATTATTTTTTTTCTTGATTCATCATTATTAAATTATGATTCTTTAGATGTTGTAATTAAACAACTTTCAGATTTTGGATGCAATAAATTAAATTATTACTTAGGAACAAATTTTATAGATGAACCATATTCTGAGACTATTGTTAATTTAAATTGGTTATCTGAAGAATATAATGGAACACCAATATTTAAAGAATCATATAATACTAAATTTAAACCACCTTGGAGAACTTCTATAGAATCTTTAATATCAATATTTCAAAAAAGGGAAACAGATATTCTATCTAATTATAAACAACCTTCTATTTATAATAATTTAGATGAATATTTTAATTCTGGAGTTAAAATAGGCAGACATAGAGCAAGAATTATTGAAGATTTTAATGAACTTAGTAATGAATCACAAAATGGATATATAACATTTAATGATAAGGAAATTGATAATGTTACTGATTTAACTTCATCATTAAAACTTACAGAAATAATAGATAATATTGAACTTGAAACTGAAATTGATAGTCCAAGTATAGTAGCTTCAGGATTTGTAATGGGAATTCCATGTTTACCAAAGAATGCTCCAATTACTTCTCTTGGTTCAATTTCAGAAAGTTATCCATTAGGTGAAATTAATACTCAACGTCTATCAATCCCTGTATCTGAATGTACAGAAATCTATACTATTGAAAGACAAAATCGATTTAGTTCTTGTAGAACACATAGTTCAATAGCAACAAGTTGGGGTACTCCAGTTCCTATTACAAGGACAATCCCACTAGATGATGTTTTAGGAAGAAGAAATGAACAAATTAGAAGTGAAGATAAAGAAACTTATGATCAATTGAATAATATAAACTTCTTCAATCCAAAAATTATATGCAATAATGAAAACAATGAAAACAATGAAAATAATGAAAATAATGAAAATAATGAAAATAATGAAGATAATGAAAATAATGAAGACAATGAATCTTATAATATAAATGCCTCATTATTAGCTCAGGCTACATTAAAATCATGGAAATATGTGCAATATGATATAGAAGATGAATTAGATGAATTAGAAGATGAAGCTCAATATTAACAAGTATTTATAAATTTATAAGAAAAAAAAAAAAAAAAAAAGTGAAAATGTCCGAAATATCTCAAAATCAGTATTATATATTAGTATTTTCTTAAAATTATTTAAATGCAATATTACGTTATATTTACTTATAACCAATTATTAGATAAATAAGTTTATTCCAAACTTTTTATTGATGACTTTCCACCACCACCTTGAATACCTCTTACAATATTTGGAGGAGCAAGCTTTGCAAAAATAGGACGTAATTTAGAAATGTTCTCAATAGTTTTTGTTAATGAGTTACATTGAGAAATCAATCTTGTATACTTTGCTTTAGCATCAATAAGAGATTTCTCTAATTGATTTATTCGTTCTTCTTTCCTTCTTAATCTTCTTTCATACAATTTTCCTTGTGATTTAAGTGTTAAATTTTGTTCAACAAGTTTTTGATATAATTGACTTAAATGTTCCATACTTGTATCTAATTGTGACATTTTTTGCAACATATCTTTTGTATCTTGATCATTTACATCAGCCCTCTTTATTAATTTCTGGTTTTCATCCAATTTATTTTCTAAATGAGCAATCTTAGCTATATTTTCATCAATTGCATTTAATAATATAGTTCTTTCTTTTTTCTCATCTTCATCTATACAATTTGTTAATAAGTGTTGACGTAATAAGCTAATCTCATCTTTTAAAGTTTGAGTTAAACTTGAATTATGTTCATTATTAGATGTTAAGTTTAAAATACAATTACTTTTCATATTAGATACATTATCCAAATCTGAATTAGATAATTTATTTGTTAAATCCTCATTATTAGAAGATATTGTTGTACATGCCTTTAATGAATCTATCTGTTGTTCAAGTTTTTGTCTCTGGATATGTGATTGTTCTAAATCATTTACAAGAGATTTATTTGTTAATTGTAATTGTTGTATCTTTTCATTTTGATCTTGTTGTTGATATTTTGATTGATTCAATTCATTTGTAATATCATTTAACTTCATATTCAAATTCTCTTTATCATCACTAATCTGCTTAATAATATCTGATATTTCACTCAATTTTTGCTGTAATTGACTAATCTCTTCACTCTTTTGTTTTAACTGTTGTCTTGCTTCATCCAGTTCATCTAATTCACTAGAAGAGTCAATCCCATCATCTTCACCTGTACTTCTTAATTTAAATTTATTTAAATCATCATCTTTATTAGAGGATTCAATATCTAAATTATTATCTATTTCTTTAGGATTTGGAATTTCTCCACCAAGTCGTTTTATTTCAGATTCAAGTAAAGTAATATATGTGTCTCTCTCAGATAATTTCTTCTGTGCTGCAGATAATAATATTTGTAATTGTTCAACAGAATATTGTTGATTAACCTTTGGTATATTCTTTACCATCTTTGCTCTTATTCCAAATCTTAATGTTCCAATTGTTTCTGCTTCATTAACTACACTAGGAGAACAAGTTACAATTAATGCAGTTAAAGAATTCCCACCTAATGAATTTTGTAAAATCCTTGTTAATTTAGAATCCCTATATGGAATATAATTTTTACTATTATCAGTTAAAGCATTTATTACATTTCCAAGACAACTTAATGATTTATTAATTGTTTTTGCTTCATCTAATGTAAGACCCTCTGCACCAGTCTTACTTATTTTTTCTGATCCTGCTAAATCTACTAAAAAAAGCCTACCAACTTTTACACTTGAATCAAAAACATTCTTTTGTTGTAATTGCAACATAAATATTAAATGAGATCTTGATGAATATGAATTCATATTAGTTGAAGCAACTGCTCTATGTTTATGACCTAAAGCCATTAATTCAAATACTTCTTCAGGAGATGTTACATAATATTCACTTAAATCTTTAACATATATACCATGTATTTTATCTTCATGTATCCTTAAATTATTTTTCGTACCACTAGTATCTAATAGATCACGTATACGCTCCATATATACTTCACAAATTGATACTTTCAATTGAAATTCAATATGTTCTTCTGCATTACTTATCATACCAAAAACATCATGTACCATCCTTGGAATTACTCCCATCTTTTCATTATCCCCTATAACACCTTCCATAGTAAATGTTTTACCACTTGATGTTTGACCATATGCTAAGACTGTTCCATTAATACCTTTAAATAATTGATCAACAATTGGTTTTGCAGCGGTTTTATATACATAACTTTGTGTAGTATCCATTGGAAATATATGATCTAAATAAAAAGTACGTTCCTTTGGATCATTCTCACCTTTTAAATCTGCTGAAGTTGTTGTTATTTCAATACATTGCTCTGATCTTACACTTACACATAAAATTCCATTGCCATTTGTTCTTTCTGCTTCGTTAGGAGGTCTTACACGGCAATATACATGAACACCTGTTTCATTCATTACCTCAGAATTTGTCCCATTATCATTATTATTATTACTATTATTAATATTTTCCGACATTCTTATTTATTATCTCCTCTATATATACATATACTATCTAGTTAATTATATGTATATATTTCAAAATATATATAATATATATAATATATAAATTAATAAATAGGCATGGAGATATCCTATAAAAGTCAATATAATGAAAATGAGTTTAACTCTTTTCTAAATATTTCTTTTTGTGAAAAATCCAAAACCCTCGTTCAACAATTTTCTTTTTCTACATTTAGAAATTAAAATTTTTTCCTTAATTCATACAACTTCCCCCCCCCCGTCCCACTTATTGCAACTTTTTCAAATATTACAATAAAATGTATTTACCCGCCCATTTACCATTTTATTCTAAGCATCTCTTAGAATAAAAATAATAATTACTAGAACTTTTTTTTTTCTCTTTTCTTAATTATCCTTTTTATTTTTTTTCTGTCTCCTTACCATTTATTTTATTCACTATTTAATATATTCTATAATAATAAGTTCTAAATAGTTTCATATATATTATTAACATTTATCTTATTTGTATTAAATAAATATTATTATTAAGTCTCAAATATTATATACTGTTACATATTGTAATATTTTATAAATTAATATTGCACTATATTGTTGTTAATTTGGAAATGATAATATAGTAATAAAAGAAAAGGAAAGAAAGTGGAAATATTAATTGCTATCATTCTAATAATTTACTAAATACCCAATTTATCTGCAACTATTAATAGATCCATTACAATTGATTCATCAATATGAAAAGCTGGAGATGGCATATTAATATTTGAATATTTATGCCTATATCCAAGATATTCAATAACTTTTTCCATTAATCTCGATTCAATATAATTAAATACAAATCTTTGTTTATCCTTAATCTTATCACGTATTTCTGGAATTATTATTGCAAGCTCACGCTTTATACGAAATACTTTATTGTCACAACTAATAGTAAAGCAGTAACTTTGTACTATTACTATTTATATTAGAGAAACAATATATCTTACCTTACAAGCTCTACTAAATCAAAAGATTCTGTTTCTTCTACTTCCTTCTTTATATCTATCATTTAACATATTTTATTTTATTCTTTTATTATGAGATTCAATTTGTTTGGCTAGCGCTAATTAAATTCTAACATATTTAACTAAAAAATAAGTAAGTTAAATATATTGTTAATAATAAGAATAAAATCTAATAATTTAAACTTAATATTAGCCGTTATTTATCTAAAGAATCTGTAATTTGACACTTTATTATTATTAGTTGAATTAAAGTATTTAAAAAGAATATTATAAGAAATATATCATTAATCACTTAAACAATTAGAATATTTAGAAATATAATCAAACTAAACTATTTTCTCTTTAATTATAAAGATAAAAAAAATAATGTAATGAAATTGATATATATTCCTTATATTTACCCTTTAATATTAATAGTTATATTCTAAGAATTAAAATAGGTGAATAGCGCGATTAGTCCTAGAAATAACTTAAAATATAAATTGAGTAATTTAAATAACTAAATATAAATGTTAGAATTAGATATTAGAAAATTTTTGGATGAATTATTTTCAATGTTACAAAATAAGAAGAATACTCGTTCAATACGACTTTCCATTAAAAGATGTAAGTATAATTATAATTATAAGATTTTATAATACTTGATATTATCTTTTTCTTCAATTTAATTTCTTAATATAATATTTTAGATTATCCTGAAATAAGTGGATGTAGAAGAAAGAGAAAGAATCAAGAAAATAAATTAGAATCATCTGATAAGTTATTATCAAAATCTTTTAGTTTGATTAGACTTTCAGATGGTAAGAGGAGAAAATCAAGAACAATAATTAAATCACAAAGTGAAATTGAAGAAATTATTAATAATATTGGTAATTGTATAAGTAAATCAGATTACTTACGTAATAATAAATCTAAATCATAAATATGAATAAATTTTAGCAATAAGGCTAGAATATGTATTTTTAATATTTCAGAATTTTAAATATTTTTTTTTCTATGAATTATATATTTGATTAACTATAAATGTGCATTATATAATTATTTATAAATAATTAAAATTTATCCAGTTGAATCAATATCTAAATGAGATGCAATAATAGCTTCAAAATGATCTCTTGCATAATCAATATTATATAATGTTGCTGATGGTGTAGTATCTAAAAATAAGAATTATATATTATTCATATTCATATTAGGAAAAAAAAAAAATATTTAATATTATATTATTAAATTTACTTACCAATTCCTTTAATTACAACAAGAATATAAGAATTTTGAGTAAATCTTTCAATATAACTTGAAAATTTAGGAGTATGTAAAGAAAGACCTATAAAACTTGTTTGAGATTTTGCACAAGTTAATTTAAATTGTTTACATATATTAGATATCCTTTCAAATCTTGTTTTATCTTCTATTGAAAGTGATGAATTACTTGCATGTGATATAACAAGAAATGTTGATTTTTCAAAAATAACTAATTCTTGAGCATTACATACATTAGCTAATATTTGTAGATTTTTTTCAAGAAGTTCAACATTTGGTATAAGTGCATATACAATCTCACTCCATGCAGCAAATAGAGTTTCATCCCAAATAGTTGTTGGAAATATTCTATAAGATAATTGGTTTGAAAATTTACTTATTTCATTTTCATAATACTGTAAAACAGTTTCCCTTTCATATATAGATAAAATATCCATTTTATGTATTAAACAAAATAACCTTGCTTCAGGTGATAAAGCTTTTAAATTATTAATTGTATTTCTAAAATAAAGGAAATCTTGTTCTAAATCTTTCATTATTTGTTTAGATGATGATTGATTAATTTTTCTAACTTCTAGTACATAAATCATTACTTCTGTACTTCTAAATATATGTTCTCTTTGACTTTCAAAATAGTTTTCCATAAAAATATCCTATAAATTATAAATTATATTTTTACAATATATAATTAATAATATTTTTTTTTTTTCTTTTTTATTGACTTACTTGTCCACCACAATCCCATAAGCTTAAAACGAGATTTCCAAAAAATCTTAAATGAGAATGTTCAATATTATTTGTAGCTGTAAGTCTACTAGTATCTCTTGGTAAATAATTTGCAAAAATGATACTTCTCATAGATGTTTTACCAGCACCAGCTCTACCCATTAATAAGACTTTCCTCCTATCAGAAGTCATCTATTTTGTTTTTTTTATACAAAGAAGAATAGAATAGATTTTAGTTTAATAATAAAAAATTCAGCTATAATCAAATTTATATATTGTATGAATTTTCTTCTTACCCTATTTATCTTAATATTAACTAGAAGTATTATTAAGAATATTAGGGTTTATATAATGGCGCAACCCTAAACCTTAAAGAAAAAAAGACTTAAATATCCTAATTAATAAATAATAAATTCTTCTTAATTATTAATTAAACTTAAATATTTAGGAATGTATTAATAATGGAAACTAAAACTAAAGATGAATATATAAAACTTGATGTATATAATACAACAGAATCTATAGATATTATCAATTTAATTAAAAATTATAATTTTTGTGATTCTTCAGATTCAGAACTTGGTGATTTAATAAATATAATTCTAGATAATTTGGCAAATGGAAATTTTCAATTATCTAATATTTTAAATGTTTTAAAAGAAAAGATAAGTATAAGAGATGATGGAACTTTATGTATATTTAGACAAAAAAATCCAAATTTTATTGATTTTTCAATTAACAGTAAATCTTTTGATTCTAAATATTCTTTAAAAAAAGAACTTAGAAGGATATGTCAAGATTATAATATTAATTCCGAAATAAATTGTAAAGATGATATAAATTTATTAAAGTATATTTTAAAATTTCATCCAAAATATGATAAATATAAATATTTAGAACAAATATTAATAATTAAACATCCTATTAAAGAATATAATAATATAAGGACATTTGCAATTAAGAATAGATCAAATGATGATAATAATATAATTATTCCTTTTAGTTATGTAACTTGTGTTAATAATATGGAATCTAAGTGGGAACAAGCTGGTAAGAAAATTATTAAAGTTATATCAACAATTATTACTATCTATCCAAGAGAAATTAATCAATACATAAATTTAATTCAATCTTTATTTCCCCCTACAACAAGATTCTCAGTTGATTCTTTTATTATTTATATTAAGATTGCATTATATAGTATAAAATTAATTCCATGTGTATCATCAATGATTATAAAATATATTTTAAATCGTCTTGTTATAATAGATTCCGAAATTCATGTTAATAATCCAAATATATGGACTGAAGAGAGATTTGAAAAATGGAGACAAGAAGAACTACAAAATATTGTAATAAAAATAAAGAAAGGTGATTATAATAATATTAGTGATACTCAAAAATATATTAAAGATATAGGGGCACAAAAAATAAAATTTATAGATTTAATAACAGAAGAAGATATAGATAAAACAGCACAAATTTTAGATAATATATTATTAATTTTATATGAATATATTTTTGATATTTGTACTAAAGGAATTGAGAATAAAATGATTAAAGATAATGATAAAGATAAAGAAATATCTAAAGAAATAAATTTAAAAAGTGATAATATTATAAAGATAGAAAAATTAGAAATTTCAAAATATACAAGTATTTTATCAAGTAGTGATATTGAATCATCTGCTCCAGAAGATAATTTAACTAATGCTTCAGATAAATATACAATATATTGGGATAATGCAGCTAATTTAATTGAAATTTTATTAGATGCATTTGATACATATATAATAACTGTTAATAAATGTCAATTTATTCAACTTATTCCAATTTATGCTATTAGTTTTCATGAAATATGGTGTGAAAATTTTATGCAAAAATTATTTAAAAGATTATTTAAACCACACGAAATATTAATAATTAGAAAAATTGCAATTGATTATATTATCTCATGTATTTATGGAATAAAAACTGTTAATAATATGAAATTTATAATACCAACTATTAAATATCTATTACAATTTTTATATGAATTTATAGCTCATTGGAATTTAAGTAAAAATAAAGATGATAATAAAAGAAATGATATGAAGTTAAATAATTCAATAGATATACATCAATCAACAAATTTATATAGTTTATTTTGCTATGTTACTGAACGTTTATGTTGGTTATTTTATTTATTATATCCTATATTAATAAAATGTATTGATAATGATGATATTGAAAATATTAAAATTTATATTGATCTTCTTTTTAATGATCGTAAAGGTTTTATTACATTTATTATATATGGTGATTTAAATCCTATAGATAATATTAATATTTTTATTTTGAATATATTTTTGGATTCATGTTGTAGAATTGTATTATATATTTATAAAAAAGATCCAACTTTTTCATTTAAAGAATATATATTAGCATTAAAATTGTGGAAGAAATTAAAATCATTAATTATAGATAATAATCAATTAAATAAGTTGTCATTTAATCCAAATAAATTAAATTGTTTAGAACAATTTTATAATAATATGCCAGTTAGAAAAATGTTATTATGGCATAGTAAAAGATATACTAAAGAATTATATTCAGAATATATTGTTAATGAGTTAAATTATATGGATGATGTAATAAATATAGATAATCTTGATTTTCTTGTTAATATATATGAAAATTACATAGAATCAGAAAATATAGGTAATATTAAAGATAATGAAGATAATAGTTGTTTTGAAAAAGTAAATCAAATTAATGATAAAAATAAAAATATAATTACAGAATTTATTACATCTCCTTATGGTAAAATGGAACCAGCTATTTTACCAAATCAATCATTATGGGAATATGCTTGGGGTGATGAAGTTTTACAAAATGATATATTATCACATCATGATTATTCTGAATATTCGAAATATTCAAGTAATAATAAATATAATAAGAAACACAAAAATTTTACTAGTGGATTATCATTGTTAAATATATTAACTTCTTCTATAGCATATAAGAGAAGTTTAGTACAAGTAAATAATAATAAACATAATTTAGATAACTCTAAAAGGAGAAAAAAAAGTTTATTAAGTAAACCTATTTTGGATTAGTTATAAATATATTAATATTATGAAATACTAAAATAATATAAAAGTTATTATTTCAATAATTATAATTTGTTAAGTATATCAGATTATTTGTAAATTTAAGGAACATCAATTTATTTAATTTAATCACAATATTCTTAATTATTTGTTTATAATAAGATCTACTTTTTTTTTATTTTTACTAAATTCTGTATTATTTGTCTCTATAATATAAAGATTCACTTTTTTAATTTCTATACCTATCAAATAAAACTTAAAGAATAATTTACCTTTTCTATTAGCGGCTTTATTAATAATATATTGAGAAATTTAATATTTGAATTCTTAATTAAAATTATGGATATTCTACCAGAATTTCTCGAAGATTTTACAAATAATGAATATTGGGAACAATTTTTTCTTAAATTAGATAAAAATAAAAAGATAAATTTTGAATGGTATGGAGACTATAATTTGATTAAATCTAAATTATTTGAAAGCTTAAAATATTCCCATGATTCAAATAAATCTATAAATATTCTACATATTGGATGTGGCAATTCAAATATTCCATTAGAATTATATAATATTGGTTATCATAATATAGTTAATATTGACTTTTCACAAAATGTTATTAAAAAAATGAAAAAACTTTGTAAAGAGTATTATAAAATGAAATGGATTTGTTTAGACGTAGGAAATGATTTAGAAGATTTTGCTAATAAAGAAGAAAATAAAGGTATATATGATATAATTATTGATAAAGGTTTTTTAGATGCTTTTCTTTCAACTAATATATTACAAGATACATACAAAAAACGTGGAACTGAATATTTTAAAATATGTTCTAAATTATTAAATAATAATGGTAAATATATTTTAATAACATTATGTCAAGAATATATTTCTAATGTTATTATTAGAAGTTTTTACAAAGAAAAAGTATATTTAAATATTTATCCATTATTTAATATTGAAGATTCCAAATTTCTACCTTATTATATTGAAATAAATAAAATTGAAGATTCTAAAAATGATATAGTAATGTGTTTTTTAAATGATGATAGTTCATATATAAAGTCTTCAAATTTTAATATATGGTTATTACCAAAACATATAAAAGAGATTTCAGCTTTATTTTGGAGTAAAAAACATATAAAATATTATAAACCAGGTCAAATGATTGTATATTATTTAAATGGAAATGAAAAAAGTAAAGATAATGATTCTTATAAAATAGTAATTTATGATAATGAAGTAGAAAGAATAGAATATCAATTAACAGCAGCATTAATTGTTCCTTTTGGGGAAGAATTAGATTGGTTATATAATACTAAAAAAGGATATCAAGAATTAGCAGAACAAATAAAAACTAAACGTTTAATTGTTATATCTAGTCATATTTCTAATAACATTATTTCAAATCTAGAAATTACTAATAAAATTTCTTCATATTTATCTCCATTAGCTTTAGAAGGTTCTGGAAAATTTCCTATACTTTCTATAGGAGATAATGGACATATTAAACGTAAATGTATAGCATATATAGAATCAGACTATTGTAATGGGATACAAATATATGAAATATTATCTAAAAAAAGAAATTGTAGACAAATGGTATTTACATCTAATCCTCGTTTAATACAATCAGAAGTAACTATATTGAATTCAAATAATGGTAATATTAAATTTAATTATTTAAGTAAATTATCTGATTATTATATTGGTGTAATTTTAGCATCTAGTTTATCATTAATAAATATTAATAGATATAAAACTAGAACTCCTGAGATAATTATATTAGGATTAGGTGGTGGGATTTTAGCATCTGTATTTGGGCAATTATATACTAGAGATCAATTAAATATAACAGCAATTGAAATAGATCCTAATGTAGTCGATGCTGCCATTAATTATTTTGGTTTATCTAAAAATAGGATAAATATTATTATTGAAGATGCATTTAAATATATAGAAGATATTTCTAAAATGAAACCTAATAGTACTGATATTATAGTTATTGATATCAATTCTAACAATATTGGGGATCCATTAATGTGTCCTGCAAAACATTTTATTGAACCATATTTTATAGAATTAATGAAATTATCTATTACTGAAGCTGGATGTATTATTTATAATATTTCTTGTCGTGATAAGGAAAGAAAATATCAAATTTATCAGGAAATTATTTCAAATATTAATAAAAATATTATAAATAATTTGAATATGGAAAATAAATATATTGATTCTAGTTATAAATTAAATAATATAAATGAAGATAATGAATATTTCATTCAAGTAATACCTACAACAGAAGATGATGTTAATGAAGTATGGGTAATTCAAAAAAAGTCTATATTTGAGTCATTAGAGAAAAAACATGAATATATAGATAATTTTATAAAAGATAATAATTTAACTAATTCTGAAGAAAGAATTAAATGGGCTAATAAGTGGAAATAATTTATCTAATATATTTTATACATTAACATATTGACTTATAAAACTAAATCACTTATTTTAATTTTGATTTTTATTAATAAAAATTACCTTTATCTTTATATTATATAATCAAAATTTATAATATATGAAATGAAATAATCAGAAATTGATTAAAAATAAAAATAAAAAATAGCTACTTTTTTTATTTCTATTTAAATATCCTATTATATATATATAATTTGTTCTTAATTTAATAATATAAAATCTTTAAATTGAATTTACTTTATATTATTAATATTTAATCAAAGGATTTATTAAATTATGAAATATTAAAGTACATCTGATTTTTATATTCAACAATCTAAATATTTCAACTTAATAAATTACTAAACCAATATACTATTGTATTTAGTGAATATTTTATTATAGACAAACTTAAATATTAAATCTGTCTTTATTTCTTAGTTAAATCTTGTTTTTCTTTCATCATGTAAAATTTTCATATAAAATTAAACTCTAAGATTTACTATTGTAAAATATTTAAATTTACTAAATATATAAATACTAGATAATTACATATATAGATCTTCTAAAAATACTTTATATTTACTATAATAAAGATCGTTATTTTCTTTTTTTTTGTAAAAATTAGTATTATTATATATTTACAGTATCTTAGAAGAACATCTCATTATTAATAAATCATAATTCATTATTGATGACCTAATATGAATGACTAAATTTTTAGTTCCTAATCATTTATAAGGATTAATAACAAATAATTATTTAACCTATATTATAATTCGTTGTAAAAAAAGACTTATAACTTAAATAATTCAAATATATTATGTAGATATTTTTTTTTCCTTTATGAATATAATTTATGATTGTAAATATAAAATTAAGAGTATTTTATTATAATAATTATTTTAATTAATAATATTATATTCTTTAATTATAACTATTATATATTTTTTTTAAGATTATTTTTAAAGGATAATCTCCTATATCTCTATTCTTTCAAATTCTGAAATACTTATCAATTAAATAGTCAGATGAGAAATTTTAGAATATGCAAATAAAAGTGATAATATACTACACTATATAAAGATTTTTTTTTTTTTTATAAAGATTAACTATTATAATTTTTGTATAAATATAATCTTCTCTTTTGTAATGCATGATCTAAAATAATTCATTAAATATTAATAAAATATTAATTATTGTTCTAATCTTAATAAGTCCAACTCTAGAGAAAATTAATTTTTTATAACATAATATAAATCATTATTATTAATATATATTAATAAAGTAAATATTAAGTATTTCAAATTTAATTTTCTTTAGTGGACGTTTCAGTATCAGTATCAGTGATATCCTTTATCTTTTCTTGGAAAAAAATTTGAATATGATATATCAATTGCTTATTATCCCAAAATGTCATGAGTTTATTATTTTTACGTTCAATCTCATAATTTGGAATTTTTATTGCAATAACATTATAGGGTTCAGCTGCAATTAATAAATATTGGTATTTTGTATCTGGAAGCTCCTTTTTTTGTTCCCAACAAGACATTATCCTAAAATAGGGTTTATATTTTTCTTTAAT